GTCTGCAACATGAGCGCTCCAGAGTAGTAAACCAGCGGCCTCTGTGGCGTTGCAGGAAAGCATCCCATGCTCACAGGATCGACTGTGAAGGCGGCACTGCACCCGCCACACCTGAATGCTGGGGGGCTGACCTCTGTCCTGCCGCTGATCGAGACATACACAAGCCTGCTGATCGTCTCCACCTGCTCCCACACTGATCCCACCCTCCCAGCCTGACTGCATGGACTGCAAGCGGGCAGGGCTGCTCTGGCAGCTGTCAAAAACTCTGCCTGCAGCTGCTGCTTCAGTGCTGCTTGGCGTGCAGGCTGACCAGCTTGGAAACATGTGTTCCTGAATACATTGTCATCAAAGCACGCATCCCATGCTTGGTGCAGCCGTCTATTATCCTCTTGAGCTGCCTGTTTCCGCAGACGCCGGCGTGAGGGCGGAGGCTGATAATAGGCAGCAGCGGCTTCTCCATCTCCATCTGCAAAGCCATCCTGCTGTTCTTCCTGCTGAGCTGTGTTTCTTGCAGGGATCCGCCAGGATGGAAGGGCGCTGGCCGGCCTCCGGGGTCCCCTCGGTGCAGATGTTGCCACAGTGCTGCCTAGGTTCCTCCCAAATCTGCGGCCTGGCTGCAGCAGAGCAGGAGTGTCGGCTGATGGTATCACCTTGACACTGACCCTCCACCTCTTGTTCCTGACCATTCGTCCTGCATGAAGTCATCACACAACGGTTTCTGCAAGTGATCCACCAGGACATTAAAGGAATGAGAAGTACATCAGCAGCATGCCTTCTAGTACAAGTGATACAACTATCCTTACAAGCACCTGGGCTACTTGCTACTCTTTGGGGTGCACAGTCCTCTCCAGATGCTCCTCATCAGATTGGCATTCCAAGCAAAGCCAGGTCAGGGCAGACACCCACGGCTACTCACAGCAGCAGAGGGATCGTAACGCTCACCAGAACAATTGAACTTGATGTTGGTTTAGATTGTAGACGACTTCAGTGTCTGTCCGGTGCATCAGTGCTCAATTCAGGTGAACGCTCTGTGTTGCCTGCACGCATTTCATTTCAAGGAATTGGCTTGGCAGGGCATGCAGTCACTACGAAAGAAGTAGACATGCACGTCGATGGTCGTGACATTCGATTAGCTGAGTCCAAACAAGTCAAGGATGGGGATGCCAAAAAACCGGCAAAAGTGCGAACCTCACATGGCCAGCGACAGAAGACTTCAAGAATTCGTTTAAATTACTCCCATAAACATTTGCGGCCGTCCCACCCCCCTTTCAAATCCTACTTTGCAACGGTAACCTGGCAAATGGCATTGCTGTCTTCGCAGAAACGAGTAGCGCACGATCCTATAGATACAGGCTTGACCGAAATAATTAGCTTGACGGAGGTACTATGCAATGCTGAGATTGTTGTAGGTAAATCTGAAGGATGTGCAGCATTGCTTTTGTTATTGCACGCCCCGAAGGGGCGTGCTCAGAAAGAGAGCCAAATCCACTAATGTAGTGGAGTGCATGTCCACTAAAGTAGTGGATTTTGCCCGACAGAGTAGGATGCAGCAAGACTAACGTAACCGCACTGGTTGGGTTCCGACGTGAACTTCAACAGGGGAATGCGATCTGCCTGTGACAGGTTTCGGCATCTCAAGAGACGCCATATATCTTGGTTAGAGGCGAAGATTTGTATTTGCAGAACATTCTTATCGCCTTCTCGATCTCGACGCAGCAGACACGGACGTACGGAGACTTGCTGCGATTCCGGAACTAATATACTGCTCGATGCAGTCTTGATTGAGCATTTTGCACCACACACGTTTGTTATAGACTAAGAAAAGGTCATTGGAGCAGTGGTATACTCGGGTGAAGCGACCCACAACGCTCTGCAGCCTAGTGCAGGCCTGGAGTCAACGTACAGTATTTTGGCCTACAATCGCCAACACATATCTAAGAGAAAATCAAGAGGTGCCTAAGGTAGAAATTTCTTATAGCCTCAAGCTTCAGTAACAAGCTGCTGGGCTGAGATATAACACGGCTATGGAAGCAATGCCTCATCGTGGAAGCCCCCCACTATCTGACAAGATCTTGTGACACCGTTCAGGAATGGAAGACTCTCTTCGCTGAAATGGGCCTGCCAAAACGGACATGCAAAGCATGAAGATACTATGGGTCGTCTGCGCCGCGCTGGTCACATCCCTGGCCGTGCCAATCTGGTCCAGGGCGCTGAACGATGTGGATGCCTGCAACGGCAAGAGCATTTACATTCTGGACCTGCAAATGTTTGCAGCAGACAACAACATGCCCACCTGCGACGTCATGAAGGCAAGCCCTTTCTAATGCATGCCACCTAAAATTCCTGACATTTCCATACTTCAAAAGTATCCTTTTAGGAATTTTTGCCGCATGAAAATATTTGAGAAATTGTCATGCACATGCATGAGGAAGAACTGGCAGGTGCATCTGGTACGCCGCAAACAGCGTGCGGTGTTCTGACCCGCCGGTTTTCTATGCATTTCCCACAGGACATGAAGATTGATCCGAAGAACGGGATCCCCTATGAGCTGGATCACATCGGGTTCAAATTGGAGGACTCATTGCCCTATGCGCTGGCGACCCACTCCGGGCCGTGGCACCTGAGGGAGGCGATCCAGAGCAGCAACCACGTCAGCGCTGACATGGACACCGCTGATGTCATCTACGTGTACGACCACTGCTACTACATGATGTGGCTGGCTCAGGTGCGTAGCTCCATTTCTGGTACCTTCGATTTTGCCTCAGCGCAGTTTGCACATGCCCCTTGCTACTTTTACGTTGCTACGTTGGGTAGGATTCAGGTTCAGGCGCGGTTCAGGTCTTTCCAGGACGTTCCAGGTCTAGATGCCCCATTTCTGCTCTGTGTGATTGATTGCCATCTCCTGGCTCAGAAGGACACAGGTGCACCACAGCTCTTCAGCTCAACACAGGGAGCAGCACCTGCCATGCGTATTAAACCAAGACAGCCAATGCATTTTACTGACTGGTGCTACTGACGAACCCAGGGAGCAGGTAACGCTATGGAAGACAGCCGCTGACTGATTCCTGTATATGTGGCCTGCCAGGTGCACACCCAAGGCCGCAAGCATGCATTTCAGGAGTCTCCGGCAGGTAATCATCTCATAGCGGGCTACCACGCAATGCTGAACACCAGCCGCTGGCAGCGGAGCAAGGGCGCAGACTTTGTGTTCTATGACCCGCACCCGGGGTTCACCGACGGCAGCGTGGAGAAGAATTACTACACGCTCATCTGCGACACCTTCCAGCACGCCATGCACATCGTCGTCGAGCGCGGCCAGCGCAACATCTGCCAGGTACCTGTCGCAAATTTAAATTTTGATTCAAATTCCACTGAATTGAGTTTTTGTGCCGCCCCTGTTGTAGGCAGAGGCTAGGCCTTGTGCCTGTAGCCATGCACAAGGCTACAGTGGGAATGCCCTAACGCCCTGACCTTTGAGACTGATTTTGGCCACTCCCGTTCAAGGCAGAATTTAGGCGTGGTGCCTCTACGTCAGGGGACAGGACGGCAGTGTCAGGCTATGTAGTCCAGAGCCCTGTTGGCATGGATTTCTGGATGTAACTAGATGTGCCAGGCACCTTGCAGATTTGCTGCATGTGACTTCATATTATTTGCGGCTCCTGCAGTGCTGCTGCGTGGGCAAAATGGCAGTCTTTGACCTGCCCGCCTCATGCGCGCACATGCAGACACATGACTCGGCCTGCCCCCATACTCTCCCTTCCCAAGGAAATTGCCTTGAAGCAGTATGGCCCCTCTTACATGTTGCTGGCTACCCTGGGAGTCATTTTCAACTGGGTGGCGGAGCGTCCCAATCAACAAATTTTATGCTAAGCCTGATTCTGTGGCTATGTGGCAGGCGTACTGGGAGATCCAGAAGAAGCTGCTGATAGTGCCGTACGTGCCGGGCTCGACAGACAACGCGCGGCCGCTCGCCAACTTCGAGCAGCCCATCCTGCCCCTGGAGCAGCGGCAAACACTGCTATTCTTCCGCGCCACCTGCCTCCCATTCTTGTACGTCAACGAAAACAACACGCGCATCGGTACCGGCAAGGTCGGTTTTGCCCCCTTCTTTTCTCCCACACTCTAAATGCAGCCCACTGAATGTCAGTCCCCAACATGTCCTGCTGCACTTTAATGCATGTGAAGTCTACAAGCCAGGAGTGCATGGGACAAAGCATGCAGAAACCATTCAATCAATTTTTCGTGTCCACTTTTGCCTCTTTGAGAGGCTGAATATCATAGCTTCGGAGGCTGTTTGCATGCCTCTGCATGCGAGCTTAGCTGCCATGCATGTGAATTATGTTTTTTTCGAACTCTGTCTCATCGAGTATGCTCCATGCAAGCTCTACCCATTTTTAGCTGCGGAGGTTATGCAGGGACCACATTGCCAGGGAGGCTCTGTTGATACCGGGCTCTTTTGGTTAGTCTCGAAAACAAATGTCTGCTTGGCAGGTGATGCGACACGACGTGTCTCTGGCGCTGGGCAAGACAGGGCCCAACGTGGATGTCATGTGCACTGACAAGCCCTTCGGCGGCCGCTTCCTCTCATTCCAGCAGGTGAGAGGAACTCTTGAATTGATAGTGTCTATTCGTTTCAACCTGTGACAGCTAGGTGCGCCCTTCAGGGCAGTCTATTTTTAGGCTGCATTCAATTGCACTCTTGTCATGTCACTGTGTGGATGCCGCCTGTACAGCTCTCGTCAGTTGACAAGAATCCGTCAGGAAGTAAGCCGAGGTTGTGCACTCATGGTTTGGGGTTCAAACATCTAGGGTCAAGGGTGTGCGCTGGGGCGCGCAGGTGATGCACCGCATGAGAAACATTCTTAGGGTCTTGATAAAAACAGCTAGGGTCAGGGGTGTGTGGCGGGGGTGTGCGCAGGTTGTGCAGCGCATGAGATTATTTGAGGATTTTAATATAAAGACCGAAGGTCAAGGGTGAGCGGCGGGGGTGCGCGCAGGTGATGGACCGAATGCGCAGCACACTTTTCTGCTTGGTGCTTCCGGGCGACTCGGCCTCTGCGCGGCGAACGAGTGAGATATTCATGTCCGGCTGCATCCCGGTGTTTTTGGGGCCGCCCTACGGCGCGATGCCCCTCGCCGACGGGGGAATCGACTACCGCGCCTCCTCCCTGTTCTTCAACGTCACTGAGTACAGGTGGCGCCTTGTATCTCCTTGCATGCATTTTTTTCTGCATGCACTTTCGTGTGTCGCTCCCAGCAGGCAGCCTGCATGCGCAGCCACGGTCGGCAGGCCTTTGCATTTCCTTACTCTTCAAATCCCATTACCGGTACTTGATCTAAATTATTACCACCTTTCATCGAAACGGCCTCAAACCTCAAGCCGGCCTTATGAACAGCCTCTCAGCACTTTCCTCAAAGGCCTTGATTAGTAATTGGCAATAATCACTACTACTTACTGTGCAGGGGATGGCTTGATGACAACATGGTGTGGGAGATCGGCGACGAGCGGCCCTTCCACGTCAGCAACCCCTGGGTCTGGATACCCGACACCCCCGTCAATGACATAATGGTGACCATACAGACGGTGGATGAGCTAATGGACCACCTCCGCACCATCCCCAAGGAGGTTCTCGACAAGAAGCTGGAGGCAGTGGTTGCCGAGCGGGAGAAGTTCTCATTCCAGCCGTACATTACGGCGCCGCCGAGTGCTATAAATATCATCCTGTCCAAGATGTGCACCATGGGGCATTGGACGGCGCCCGTCGCTTGAAGTTAGAAGGCCTTTGCCAAGTTGAGTTGTGGGTCAAGTTGAGCTGTGGGTATACCGTTTACTTAATGTGTACGTACTTAATGGACAGCCAAAATGGAAGTGATTGCATAGACGGCGCTCATTGTGTACAGGCCCGCAGCTTCACAGCTGTGTATGAATATTGTGAGTGCTGAAGGGAAGGCAGCCAAAGGGCAAGTGATTGCACAGAAGGCGCCCGTCCCATGAAAGCCCCCCGACAGCTTAGCAGCTATGAATGTACATGGTGGGTGCTTAAGGGGAGCCGGCCAAAGGAAGGGGATTGCATAGACAGACTGTTGCCTGACGCGTCGCGGCTGCAGGCTTTGCTCCAGAGATCCTGCTACTTCGACACTGGGTCAATGCTGCAGCTCTCTTTTGTGAGAATAGGCGTGGTCAGTGGGTGCTTGATGAGAGGCAGACAAAGCACATGTCATTGCAAGTTATGTGCGCTCTCTTGGACGATCCCACCGCGTGATGGCTGCATGGTTCCGTAGAAGATAATTCTAGTGGGGATGCTTTACAGATCATGGTGCCTGGTTGCGTGTGAAGCTTGCGGCCAGACTGGGCATGTGTATAATTATAAGTAGGCTGACTGTGCACATGTGCTTACGAAATGGTAATGGCCAAAACGGTCACTAATGTATCTGATTGTGAAAAGGAGGCATTGTTTGCCTGCATGCAGACTGTGCATTGCAAAGTACATGCGCCATCAATTGCGTTCCAGAGCATGGTGAGCTTGCAGAATTGCAAGCAGGTTGGCATTGCCAGGTCCCGCAAAACATGGTAACAGTCACCAGGCCTGCAGTGCGCACCATAACTCACAAATGTTGCTTTGCACAGGCGGACACACGAGCATCCCACCTGAAAATGAGTCACCACTGAACATGTGTCAAAGTTCTAGAAAATTTTCCCCCTCGCTATCTAAAGCGCCCCATGAAAGACGAAAGACTAGTCACTTCTTGTTTGCACATGGTAGTACTGTTAGTACTCTTAGTACAATTGTATCCTGATGCCCTTGCTTCCTGGCTAAATATTTCATCCCCAATTTGCTCTCATTTCTTGCACAGACCAGTTCTCTACTGCGCGCCAGTTTGTCACTGTGGGACCGGCACAGAATGTGCAGAAGGACTGATAATATCTCTTTTGAAGTGGGGGCTCCGGGAGGACACCAGCGAAATCACATCGAGCTGCCTCAAAGCACACTGGCAGCTTTGCAGCACCAGCAAATAGTTAGAACTTCAGTTTCTTTGTTGGTCAGACCTTGACAGCTTAACGCTGGAAGCTAACAGATTGCACAGCTTGTCCCTAATCAGCACTCCCACTGTGCGACAAAATACCAGCCGAGAATCAAACAGCGCTTAGAACGGTTGTCAAATCAGCTTGAGTGAAACCAAATCGAGTGAAACAAGGTCGACTGAAACCTGCTCGAGAGTGAAACAAGCTTGAGAGTGAAACCAGATCGAGTGAAACCAGCTTGAGAGAGTGAAAGCAGATCGAGGAAACCAGCCTGAGAGTGAAACCAGATTGAGCATCAGAGATGCAAAAGCAGCTAATCCTCATCTTCGCGTGTGTCACTGGCAGAGCCAGTGGTGACCTTGTCCCAGGCAATGCGCGCAATCATGGAGAACCAGTAGATGTGCAGCACGATCAGCAGGCACAGAACAGCGCTCATGAGAGTGTTATAGCGCGGCAGGTACCCCAGCACATCCTGCACGCCAAACCTGGAAAGCCCCCCACACACCGCATCATGCTCGCTGAACGTGCGGTGACAATCACTGCTAAATTGGTCACCCATCAAAGCATGACCACATTGTCGATGTCACATGCAAATAGTATGTTGAGTTTGCAGAGAGTGGAGAAGACTAAAAGTGACAAGCGGTTGAATAGCTCTGCATGACCTGGCTCAAGTTTCTACGTCATACCGTGGATCTGTGCAAATTTTTTTCATGGCATGATATGAACCTTGAACCAGCTCATGCAGGGATAAGTATGCGAGAAGCACGAGCTATGACCAACATGAACGGCTTCGAGGGAGAAACAACTTCAAGGGAGAAGGGGGGCGCACAGGCAGCTGCGGACGACCCAGAAGGGCAGCAGGACAAGTCGCAGGATAAGCCAGGACACGAGCAGCGCTGCAAAGAGGGACGTGGCCGGAATGTCCCAGTCAGCATAGTTGCAGATCTTTGCTCCCTCCAAGAACACGTCGCTGGGATCATGCAGCAGCATCACTATCGAGCCCACGCGCGCATACCTGCATGCATCATATTGCATGAAACATTTCTCACTGATGAATCTATTACCTGAGCATAGCTGATTCTGACGACCATGAGACTCTTGCTATGCCCCCCATTATCACAGCAATGCCATGATGTGCGCAAGGGTTTGAAACTCTCAGCATGCTGCAAGCGTTGAATTGCTCTCGACGGGATGGGGCCATGGGACTAATAGAATTTCCAGCCCACTCAGCAATGGTCAACACATGCACTTTTTAGCATACACAGCAAACTGTAGGCCAGCAAAACAAGGTATTTATGACTGGGTGGGGAGCGCACGAGAAGAAGTAGGACACAGCGATGAGGGAGGAAGTGGCGACATGGTGCAGCAGCATGGCATGGAAATCCTTCCTGCGCTCCTCCCAGAACAGCAGCATGAAGACTGACGCTGTGTAGAACGCTCCCTCCACTGCATAGTACAGCTTCACCTTTGCCCTGCACGCGTAGCATGCAAGATGAATCAACCCCACAAATCACTCTGCAGCAGGGAACATGACAATCATGCTCTGCTTGGCACGTGCTGATCATCAGGCCTATGAAGCAATGCTGATGCCCTGAACTCCGACAGCATCAGGACATTGATCATCAGCAAGCGCTGCTGTGGCTTGAGGCAGCATGCAAGAAGGTGTGCACTCAAAATGCATGTTAGTTGTTTCCGCATGAGTCAAATTGAAGGCCATGGTGCAATGCAGCAGGTAATCTCACATGCACGGTTTCGTCAGAATGCAAGCATGAAGCCACTCTAATGGCTTGTTCCACCAGCATCGGCTTGTAATGCTCCAATGTTTCAGGCAGGATGTGTGTTTTGGTGTCGTGAGGGGCTCACGGTATGTTCTGTGAAGGCCAGCCAGTCCAGAACTCTGTACTGTCTGTCAGGTATGGCTGGTCATGCAGAGCATAGAGACCTAAGGCCAGCAGTGTTGCGTACACCGTCAGCTGCATCACAAGGCACAAGACTCCTCTCAGATTGTCCCATCACACACTGCAAATGGAGCATAACACATGTGTGCTTGATAGAAAGAAGAATGGGCGTCTGTGACAGACCTTCCAAAGAGATTCGCAAACTTTGTCCACCAGGCGGAGGAGCTTGATAGGGACACTGCCGGCTTTTGTGAAAGCATCTGTTTTCAAGATCCTCCTGGCTGCTGGCTGCAGTCATTGCATTGAAGAGAGAGAGAGATTTCAGCCTACTAGCGGTTTGCAAGTAGCCTGTAGAACATGTCTTTCACCATACCATGCTGACCACGTGCTGAAGTCATGTGCATACCTGGAAGACAGCACCGTGTAGGACATATCGCAAGATTGGAACACAGCAGGTCAAGCCTGCAGCAGACACCGAGATGTGGGTACCACAGCAGTGTTTGTTTGACCATTCCTCTTCGCTTGTGCCAAACAGGCCATTGATGCTTCAATGCAGCTGCTTCAGTAAGCATTTATCTCAGATTAATGTCATTGAGACGATAAGCATTGCGATAGAAGAGAGAAATTGAAGATGGAGCTCACCAAGAGCAACTACATATTCCTGTCTCAGAAGGCCTCCCTTCACGCTAAGATCGGGCCATCCTGTGCTGATCTGTGATGTCATCCTATTCGTTCAAGCACTTGTATCAAATATCCCCTATGCTTGTCGCGCTAGCGTGCATCACCATATATTGATCTTGATAGATAAAGCCGGCAATAAGAGAGTTCACATTTGACGCATCGTATGATCATTATAGCTCAAGAAAATCATATGAACAAGCTAGATAGGAACCAGAAATGGTACGTGAAACGCCTGAGAAGGGGTCAAGTTGCTGGCCAGCTCAACCAAGCCTAAACAGGACGTCCCACAGATGAGGTCGACCAACAAGAGAGCACCAGAGAGAAAAGTAGGCACACAAACCTCTGGCAGGTTTCTGATCAATCCGGAGTATTTTCGGGTCGGTCTGCCTGGCTGCATCTGGAGGCAGTGGCAATTATTCGGGTCCTGGCTGACTGTAGATCACCATGGCATCTCAGTGCCTGACGATGCAGTCCAATATAGTGAGGCCACAGAAACTCAACAGCTGCCAGAAAAGGACTCAATTTGCGCGAGCAAATGTCTCTCAAGTTTTCAGGATCAAAGGGGGATCATTTGGAAGACGTGCAGGACGTTGCCTAGGCACCACGAAGACCAGGGCTGTGAACTTCAAGGAGGAAACGGCAGTGGGAACCTCGGACGAAGGTGCAATACGTGTTTTATTTTTTTAATTGTATATAAATTGGAGCCCTGCAACCTCAGATCACTCATGCAAATATGCCACAATGCTCAGTGTGGGAGGTGGACGAGGAGGAGGAGTTTGACGATGGACCGGACGATGGTCAGGGCCTCAGCACACAGCAAGTATGTCAACATGTCTTACGTCGATTTGTCGTATACATTGGCTAGTCCTTCCATAGTCACCAGACCCTACAGCATGCAGTCATCTTGATTGCTCCTACATTGCCACAGTTTCCCTGACCCTGTTGTTCTGCGCAGGTGCAATCCTTGCTTCATGTCCTGTGTGATGAGACTGAGGTCGCAGAGCTGGAGCTCAAGGTGAGGGCAAGCATCTGGAAACCTGGCAGACTGGTTGGATGCCGCTTGTTTTTCTTCAGAGATGCAAGGCATTCATTGTTATGATACCAACATGATGGATGCATGGAAGGGTTGAGAGTCGAGGAGCAAGGCATCTTATCTGCGCGATGTTTCCCGCTGCAGATGGGTTCCTTCGAATTGCTTGTGAGGCGCTCTACCAAGGGCGACATCAGCAGCTCGTCATTGAATGGCGCAGCTTCAAACGGTGCAATGGTTGCTCCCCCGCCAGCATCTGCTTTTGCTTCAACGCAGTCCATGGACATCCCAGCCGGCGACTTCCCAGCTGCTCAGAGCGTCTCTGTGTCCTCCATCGACGAGGACATCGACGACGAGAGCACCATCTTCCTCACTGCCCCGAAGGTGACTCATCTCATTTATACCCAATGGCTCCAAGCGCACACGACAATCACCCTTCTAGCGTCCATGACTGTTGTGGGCTTGCCTGGCAGGGAGACAAATTGAGCCCGAGACTCTACTGGTTGCATGAGTGAGGGAAGCCCGTGAAGAGCAGTGTTTGCATGCATGCAGGTCGGAATCATACGCCTCGGCCGATATGTGAAGGGCAAGAAGGTGGGCAAGGGGAATATAATCAACGTGGTAAGGCCCATTCACATCTTGCTGTGCTCACAAACGTTTCACTTGGAAGGACTGCTCATGTTGAATTGTGCCCAATGTCTTGCATGCGAATAGCAGAGGATGCCAGCAAGAAGCGGTGACCTTCACCGTCCGAAAGCACACAACTGAAATTTGACGTTGGTTGCAGGGTGACGAGGTCAAGAAGGGCCAGACACTGGGCTTCATTGAGCAGCTGGGCACCTATGTGCCTATGGAGGTGTGCACCTCCTTACTTCTGCTAAGCCACATCACTTCCTTTTTTCGAGGGAGCCATTGTATTTCAAAGTGGTCAATCGATGTGGGTGGTTGCCCTTGCAATGCTGTGTCCGCTCAGGGTCTTTAAGGTTGTGTTCTGAATGCGAATACTGTAAATTTGATGTGATTAGTTATCCTTGCAATGACTTGCCATGCAAGTGAAGCTGAAGGAGTGCATTTTTTTGGATGTACAGGCGCCCCAGGCAGGAGAGATTGTGGACTTCCTGGTGGACGAGGGCACCGCAGTGGAGTACAACCAGCCCGTTGTTGAGCTGATGCCCTTCTTCGGCGGCCACATCATCGGCGACCGCAAGCACGCCTGATCTGGCAGCACTCAAGGGTTACCAATGACTACTGATAGTGCCTAAGCTTAGTAATCTCATGGCAGCTTGCATGCTGCAGCAAGTGCAAAAGTTCTGGTTGGCAACATCTATGCTGTACTGGGCAGTGGACAAGGGTGTACACATGAGGAGAATGAGGTTCTGGCAGTACGCACTTGTGCAAGATTTTGATGCTAGCGCAAGACACAATGCAAAGAGACGGGTGAGCGCCAACCGAGAGAGCATGGTACCTTGGGTGCCATAAGCATGGTACCTTGGGTGCCATAATAGACCGCCGTTGATGCTTACTTCTCAAAATCATACGAGGCGAGTGTGCAGTAGTCGTGAGAAGGCATAGGGTAAGCACACTGAGAGGAGGGGCAACTGTAGTCTTCAAATGTCCAACAAGTGAGACTTCTTTGCTGTGCATGTCTGCTTTTGACCTTCTTTATGGAAGCGCATGTGGGCTCAACAAGGCACTGCATGATTCCTTTGAGGATTGCTTAGAGTTATACAAGTCAGCGCAACCCATGTTGCAATCTTTTTCGAAGCTGACTGTACGAGTGGACTGTGATAGCCCCCTGCAAGCTGTGAAAAAGCCTCGAGCTGAACTGTAAAAGCTGCACTGTAACCGTCACAAATATTTTTTTACTCACAAATTGCATACGTGATATATTACATAGTATGCATAATTGGGCACATGTACATGTCATTGCTCCTTGCCATGACATGTCGATTGCTCCTTGAAGCACTTTCCTGTGGTTTGGATGTGGAGTAATATATCATGATATAGATGCTGCAAAGATGACATCGCTTGATCTTACAATTACTTGTTGGGATTGCAATTCAAATTGTCTTTGCAACCACCAACATGTCACACCACCATACACAGCCTCACGAAACTCGAAAAAAAAAAAGGTATTGATTTGGGCATCTCTCATTCGCGCAACCGAATCGATTTGCAGCCTTACGCGTGCCTTCATGCACAGATTGGGCATCGCCGTGTCTGCTCACTGATCAAATTCACATGGCATTTGGAACGTTTGCATGACTAGCTGAAGTACACTGCACAGCCAACAGAAAGTCCAGAGCTGACGAGCACAGAGTCTTGTTCTAACACTTCCATCAAGGATTACTGGAGCCGTGTTAACAGCTCAAGGGCCATTATATCACATGCTTTCAAAGGTGGCACCGCAGCACAAAAAAGCACAGCTCATACGTATACAGCCACCTACGCAAGGATGTAACAGCGCACAGCGCCTCTGCTGGCTAGAAAATAAGTTTAACGTGCATTGCAGGGCAGTCAGAGGTAGCCACTGCACCCTCCTTTCTCCAGGACATAGCCAGTCAAAAGCATTGCTGCCTATAAGCCCATGCTGATGGCAACACTTCATCGCAAGGACAGCTGAATTACTCTGTATCGTATCACAGGCTCAGTACTGTCGATGGCTGGGCAGTACGGTGCACAATTGTCCAGCCAGGCAGCCCTTTCTCCTTACTCTGGCGCTCGCTCCGCCTTGATGTCTGGCTATCTTATCCTCTGGAGCAGTACCCTGACTCAGGTGGCACAGTGGCACTGAACATACTGCATCCAAAAGGGGTTCTTCTTGAACTGGGCGGTCTCATTGGGGCCCAATTTGCCCCAGTAGGGGTCCTTGTTGTTCAAGAAGATGTTGCCCTTCCAGTAGCAGGGCTCGCTAGTTATTGCCTTGTACCAGTACGGGTTCTGCACAGCACACAAAATTGCCGTCAATCAGCTGCCTTGTAATCATTTGTGCTTCGTCACACATCCTTGTACGTGCCCTTAGTGCAAAAGGACACTGGACCGGCAATGTGTAGGACATTGAGCATGTGATCGGATAAAACGTCTCGGATTGCAAACCTATGACCACCTTCAGAAGCGTCTCCTACGGAGTGACCAATCTGCAGGTTGTTGATTTGCATTTGAATAACTAGAATTTCAGGATGTATGCATGCATGCAAAGGTGAGAGGGCACAAGAGCGACAAAAATACACACCTGCACGTTTTGGTGGAGGCCGTGCAGCATCTGCACGGGGGCGATGCCTCCCCAGGCGGCGGCCACCGACCCGTAGGAGGACCCCACGGTGATGACTAACTCGTTGCACTCGCTCAGCAGCCGCATGTCAATCAGCGCCGATTCCGGCGTCCCGGGGTTATTGACCCCGATCACTTTACTGCTGACCTGGCCCACCCCGTTGTCTTTTCTGAACACCACCATGTCCTGGCCCAGCAGCTGCACTACCTGCGCAGCAGCCCTGGCAGTGAGACATTCGAAATTTGAAATTGAATGAATTTTGAAGCATGCGGGCCCGCTCATGCGTTCGCAGTATAACTAGATGCCCAATACCGTTGTTGAACAGTTGGCAGCAGGAGCACGGAAGCAGGATGGGTTCCATGCATTGAAAAGTCGCTAGGGCTATTCACTTCTGTGCAAAGCTTTCTTGTGCAGACAAACAGCCATTCTTAACGAGAGCATACCAGTTTCTCGGTTCTCTGTGCGAAGCAGCAAGAAATATCCAGGATTTGTACAAAACGAGGGTATTGCCTTGGCGCGTCTTGTGGCAGGATTATGCCTAGACGTATGAAGCGACTCCTCGGCCCGATGCTGCTGCAGACTTGAGCGTACGCAGTGTTCCAGTACCCATAGCCCTATACCCCAGCCATCATGCCCACAAAAAGAATGAAAGACCTACTTACAGGAATGACAGTGGTTGCGCACCTTCTGGTAGGATTCTGGCTGATCAGCCCCGACAAAGAAGCGGACTTCGGAGTCGTCCAGTCCGCGCGCCGCCTGCAGAGCACGCGCCGCCGCGACAAAGTTCTCCACGGCCGGCAGCTGGTCGCAGTGGATGCTGCCCTCGTTCCCGTCGCACTTCAGCCGCCTGCACCCATGTGCGCATGCATGCTCACCCCGCCAGATCAGGCACAAACGGCATTATTGTGCCTCTCTTGGAGCACCCTTCAGTACACGGTTGGTGATTATACCCCTGATAAGTGTGGTTCACCAGATACATGCAGACTCACCCGAGGTGACAGGTGCTTTGCTTATCGATGAGTCGCTGCTAGGACCAGTATGCTTATCACATGCATGCAACAGCCTGCAATTGAACAAGCACTACTACCACCACAATTGCTCTGGAGGTGGTGGCAGCAGAAGGTTTGGCACAGAGGCTCGGGGACTGGCCAAACCAGCGGACGGCTGAGCAGGGAAGACGCAATGTTGATGAGTCAGCAGTGGGTCATGATTACCTGATCTGCATGCCGATGGTGACCTGGCGGAAGTGCTTGCGCTTGAAGTCCTGCACCTGCGCCTCCAGCTCCGGCCTCACCTGCGCCAGCCATGCAGATACACTCAGTCCCAGCAATCTGAAAGTTCTTCAAACTTCAACACAATCCTGCGAATTCCAAGCATTTGGGGCGTGCCACTGGGTGTCCCTGCTGTTCTGCTGATCACTGCTCTCTTCCAAGAGCTTCTCTGGCCTCTCCACATAATTTTGGCCCGTTCAATTTTGACAATTCAATTTTAACACATTGCGACAACAAATTTGAATTCTGAACAAGGGGAGGTAAAGGGGTGCGCGCACCTTCAAGAGGAAGTGGGCGAGCGGCTGGAACATCTCCCCGGTGGGGAAGATGTTGCGCAGGAAAGGGGCGTGGTAAGGGTTGGCTTGCAGCAGTGCCGCAGAATAGTCCGGGTCATTCTTCAGCACAATCCCGTAGTGCGCGTCGTAGAAGGCCTTTTGGTCTTGCATGAGCCAGGTGTTGAGGTCCTCGCCCTTCCAGAATTTGATTTCGAACGGCTGACTAACGTTCACGTCGTGGCCGAAGGCGGCCAGGCGCTGCGGATGCGCGGCCCAAGAGAAGTCGAGGTCGGGGGCGAACGCGCGGTGGAAAAAGGGGAAGTCGATGAAGAAGCAGCGCTCCGTCAGCAGCGCAATCAGAAAGCCTGCGCGCATGTGAACCGTTTGATTTCAAATTGGCAATCTTCAGTCAGCCAGATTTCAGCATGCTGCTCCATCACTTGAGAGCATGCACGTGCCTCCCGGGTCAATGCAACCACGATGGAATATGAACTTTACTTTGTGTCTCCATGAGGTGGAGCTCAGGAATGGTGCAAGCTGTCAAGAAGACCGTCAGGGCTGGCAGGTCTTTCGTAATTTCGTGCCAATTAAGTTGGCTCTCGTCCTACAAATTTCATTGACTCTTGCTGCGCGAAATCAGGTGTAGGGCAGTGCTGTGGGGCTGGTGCTGTGGGGCCAGATGAGTTACCTGTGACGATGCTGGGGAACTGGTTGCCGAGGCCGGCGTAGTCATCCACCATGGACATGACGACGTACTTTCCCGGCATCGCCGCGCCGCTGATGCACTGCGCATGCCTCGCCCGGTAATCGTTCAGCAGGGTCTCCAGAGCCTGATCATGAGTCAATAGATATTTACGCGCTCGTGTTGCTGTGGTCATGTTTAAGCAGGAGTAAGGGTCCAGTGGCATCATGTTCCCTTGCCGGCTGCGACTGGCAAGACTTGCAGCTTTCTGGTGGCGATGCATGCATGCTGCATGGCAGGCAGCATTTGTGCACTCATGCGCATTGGGAAGCAGGATGTTAAAGATGGATTGCTTTCTACTTCTTGCAAGAATGAGGGTCAGCAGAACGGTGGCAGGCTGTGGCAAAAGCCGGCCACCCCCAACATGCGTGGCAGCATGTCTGACTGTTTCAGAGCGGCTGGGAGGGCCAGATGGAGGGGATAACAGCTCTACAAGCCATGTGGGGACTTAGACTCTCATTCTAATACTGACCCTCCTCATCCAGGTGGGCTGCACCTGGGTCCCGGTGGCTTTTTCGATGGATCGCACGCGTTCAAGGGCGTGCTCGATCTGGCGGCTGGCGCTGTGATCGCGCATCTGACTCAGGTCCCGCGACGCGCGGTCGATCCCCGTGTATATGCTGTACTTCAGGTCCCGCCCCTGAATCAAATTGCAAACACTGTGTCACTCACTTCCCCCAGGAGACCACACTCTGTCAAGCATTCACCCACTTTGTAGAATCCAGAAGCACAGACCCGGTCACTATACCCTGTCTTACACTCCTTTAGTCATACAGACTCTAATTGAGGTTCATTTGTTGTGGTGATTGGTGGACTTCTTCCTCCTGGAGATATTGGACGAGCACACCCAAAACTGCCGACCAATGCAAGCTGTGGAACGCATGGGTGCCCTTTGCAGATGTCAATGCAATGGCACCGAGTACATGAGAGAGCTTGTGTGGGTTGCTCTGCAGCAAAGCAAGCTTCTCCCTGGCTGATACAAGGTGCTAGTGCGCTGCCTAATGGGAAACATGTGCATGGTGCAGGATGCATGCAGGCATGCAGGCATGCAGCGCTCACCTGCAGCTTGCGCCGTGAGGTGCTCTCATCCGCAGGCATCACTCCCAGTGCTGTGCTGAAGCTCTGCACGTGCTCCCTGACAGGGGTGCTGTCAAATAGAGAGCGCCGCTGCTGCATCCACGAGGGCGGCTGCACTCTCATGGACACTTCTAGCACTCCAGCCAGCACCAAGAGCGTGAGTGCCAAGGCCACCGTCATAACCGTGGTACATATCGACGGTCTCCTCGTCGTCATTGCTGTCTATCGTTTGTTGGACCGGCTGCCTTTTCTGCAAGGACTACTGGCCAGCTGATTGTGGAAGCTGGTCGCCTGATGTCGGGGCTTTTCACGTCAGTACGGTCTAGGCTGCGTGCTGTATCGAGGATTGATGTATGTTGTAGTTGGAAATCAATGCTGCAGCACCCTACAGGCCCCACTGTTTGACCAAGGGTGACCTGGAGCTAGATCACATCTTGGCTCTATCATATTCCGGTATGCCAGACTTCCCGCAGCTTGGTATCACCTTGTGAGTTAAGGATTGACTTGTGATTCAGATAGTACCCTCTGTGTGCGATCTCAGCCACCAATGTTCAAAACAGCCTGTACGTTGACAACTGCCGGTGTCGAAAGGAGTGCACGGAATGCGACAGAGCAGCAATCTGCGTCAAGAAAAAAGCTCGTGAATTTGATCAAGAAAGTACCCTCAGCAGACGTTGTCGGCTAATGGTAATGGGTTCTTCAAAGTGTTATCGATCGTATCGGAAGTCAGCAAGCGAATTTTGAAGTTCTCGTTTCCCCTGAATTAAAACAGGGTTCACACTTCAAGAGGGTTTTCCTCCCATGCATTCAAAATTCATCTCCCCTTCAAGTTCATAGAACCCCAAATTGGTGCTCCCCCCGATTCGCAGTCTTCAAAACTAATCTCAAGGAACCTCAGACCCTGTGCTCTGCTTTCTCAATTCGCCATCTTGTCCTGAGCTTTTCATAAGCACAACACCTGTGCAACAACCGGCTTGCCTGGCCTTAAGGTGAAGCTTCTCAAAGTTGTTTGCAGTCACTCACTCCACACGATTGGACATGACCCTGTAACCTCACCAAAATCCCCGGGCAGAAGGGAAATGGTACTTGCAGGGGCCAGAACTGAGACGCGGGGACGCGGTTAGTCACAAAGTATTGTGCCCTGCCCAATAGGGTTCCGACAACTTCTCTGTGATAACGGCAAGCATGCCACACTCATTCAATGCTCTCAGGTCAACGCCTTCCCTGCTGGGCTTTTCTACTCAACGGCAGAAAGTCACCGCGTGCCAGAGTCTGCAGTGCTCAATATTCACAGTTTGATCAGCATGTGAGTCAGCCAGCATACGTATCAGAATGACAAGGGAAGCGATCAAAGCTCGCCAGGAAGGCACATATATTGCACATTCGTGAATGCTATTGAAGCAGCAGAGTTGTCTCGACCAGCATCCGGGTGACCACATAAGGGTCCAGGTCACCAGAGGGCCTCCTGTCCTCCATGTACCCGCATTTTTGCAGGGGCACCAAATTGCCCACTCGCACCGAAGCTCCGCGGTCCCCCACACCCCACCTGCCACACAACAGTTGGTGATTCGACTTTCCCCTTTTGCATGTTTGGGGGCAGGAGGGAACTGCATATTCATGTTGACCCGCCGGAGACCCCTGAAGGGCCCTCTCCGGAGCATGTTATAGACTACTAAATCCATTTCAAGAGCTGAAAGCTGTAGCTTCGCGCTGCCTCAAGCTGTCAAGCGTCATAGCCGGCATCTACTAAGTAGTCTTCAGTACCCCCTGCCCTCTGTCAAGCACCCCCGACAGGTGCAACACACGGCAATAGCGCCTCTCTGCAAACGCCTCCAAAAAGAGCATGCACAACTTTCATGCAATTTGGCACTTGCCAAATAACTCATCCGCCAGCCAATATTGCAGTCTCCAATTGTCAGGGCCAGCTCTCTGCATACTGTGGCTGTCATTGGCAGCCACATCGTGTATTTGAGGACCTGGGCCCGTGGGATTTCCTGTGCAAACTTGGCCATGGCATGAGGCGAAAACTGGTGCGCAGACGCCACAGGAGTGTTCACAACTTGTGAATCACAAGCTGCATGTGATGATCTGCAGGTAGCACGTCCTAGGCTCTGGAGGAGAAAAGTGTGGGGCTCACCTGAATTCATTGGCGCTGGGCGCATAGTAAGCGCCCAGCAGCCGATCAGCGCCACCGTAAGCCGCCATGTGCTCCTTGTGCCGTGATTCCAGCAGCTTTGCATACTGCTGGATTGCCTCCCAGCCGGAGCCCTTCGTGCGCGTGGCCTTTGTGCTGTAATTTGTGTGCCCTCCCGTGCCTGCTCAGTCAGGGGCACCCATATGCTCATGCCACCCATGCATCCCTTGGCGCACATTTGTCACAACATTTGTCACCCCTAGCTCAGTGACCACAAGTTTTATGCTGTCACTGGCTGCAGGATAGGCTAAAGGTCACACCGACCACGCAAGAAGGAAGAAGGATGGAGGCTTGCACAACCTCTGCTTGTTACAGCTAGGGCAGGGAATGAATGGACATAGCTGAGTTGTTGGAAGCGAAGTCTTTTTGGGTGGTTGCATCTGATCCCCGCTGTGTACTGTGCACCATGAAATAAGCTGAGAGGACGGACCGTTAGTGTTTGGGATGGGCTTGGGCTCAAAGCTGATGATGACATTGAATAGCTCGCCGATGCGCATGAGGATGTAGCGGCTGATGATCAGCTCATCGCCCATCTCAATGCCCCTGCAGGGCCCCACCTGCACACAGCGTCCATTTTCACAAGCCACCTCTTGCCTGCCTAAAGTGCTACTCCCAGGCGCAAACTAGGGCCTGTCTGCCAGAGACCATTCTAAGGTACAAAATCACAGCAAGAAGGCAGTCATTTGCAGCATGCCCCGGACTCTGTCGGCATACATGGCAGACGACATTAAATTGTTTGCTTCTAGAAGATCTTCGACAGATCTGTCAAAGATCGGCAAAGCCTGAATGATCATTGTCACGTCCGAAAGAACCGTTTGTCACCCCAGAACGTGCCTATTCAAGTACTGAAATCATGACTTGTGGCATTCAACCCGTGTCTATAGTAGCGAATGTGGCAGCACTCGTTCTGGCCGAGCATGCCTTCTCTTTTTGACCCCCAATCCCGCTCCCTCAACTTGGCCGAGTCAGGCATGGCGCTTGGGAAGGTGATGGTACACAGAGGAGATGGTATTTCACTATGCAGCCCAACACCGCGACAGCCAAGGTGGCAGCACCTCTCTGGCTTCCTTTCAGGTCGCAGGTGTCAAGACCGGTACCTTCAACCACTCAGACACTCACCCCTAGCAGCTTGATCATCCAATTGCTGAATCACCTGGTACTCGTTCTGGCCAAGCATGCCCTCACTGTTGACGCCGCCGATGCGGATGCCGGCCGCCACGCATGCCTTCAGGTGCGCCATTGCAACTTCCCGGCCCGCAAACGCGCCCGTGCCCGGCGTGCAGAAGAACGGACCCGTCGCAAACTGCAGCCCAAAGGACAATTGAATTTGACTGCACAGAGTTGGCGAATTTGACTGCACGTGGGCACTTGCTCAAAGCAATCCTAGTCTCCATTCTTCATCCATCTGTGAGTTTGCTGTTTTCTGAGATCCCCAGCCCCTGTTCTTGCAGCTCGAACTGGGTTTGGGGAGGCCATAAAAATTACGCCCCCCTTTTCTCTGTTGCTTCTCTGTATTGTGGGGACTAGGTAGCGTTTAGAGCACTGGTATCTTGTGCCTTTTTGTCTCAAAAGGGGGACATTGGGTCTGATAGGCTGCGCAAGCATCAACAGCTGCCTGACTGAGTGCAACTTCATGGCAGGTACTGAGTCAGCAACTCGGCACAGCTTGAATTAGCCTGATGCGGCCGCTGGGCCATATATTTTCAAGCAGTTCATACTGTGCCGCTACCCGCTAAGCCGGCAACTGGAAGTGCATAGCGGGCTGAGCTCCACTGAGCCTATCACTCACCTTGGCATGCATGAGCACAAATAGAAGGCAAATGTGCGAGAAAAGGCCAAACAGACTTGCCTCCTGTTTGGTGAGCTCTACAGCGGCGTGCTGGATGCCAAACTTCTGGGGGTCAAAGTAGCCGGACCATCCCAGGGGCCACTTTGTGGCAGGGTCAAGAATGTAGTACTCCTGCTCGATGCCAAACCAGGGGTCCTGCTCTTCCACCTGGGCCATCACAGCGGCACATGCCGCCCTGCGCAGGCACATGCCCTCACATGTCTGCATGTGCTGGCAGCACATCCCCCTTGCAAGAGGCTAACAGCGTGCCATTGGCAAGTCGAGCTGCACCTTGCAGCGGAAATGGACCTCACTGAACTTCTCAATTCAGTCAAGATCTTGTGCACAATTTTCGCAGCATGATGTGCCTGCAGATCTCAACCGACATGGCGATTGAAATACTTACATGACAGCTGACAAACAACAGCATGCATGGGAGACAGAGAGGCGCGTGCCTGGTGTTTGCCTCTACAGGTTGTAGAGCAGGCAGATCAGATCCGTTGGTGGGCGTTTCAGTGTTGTTGGGAGTCTGGTATGCCTCCGCCAAGACCAGAAGGTTTGGGCTGCCCAAGAAGGGGCAGGTGTACATGGCCTTTGGCACTAGTAATATCTCGCTGTAGGTCACTGCGCAAGGGTACATCTCAACAAATGTTCTAAGTCTCATTGCTGGCCACACAACCAACTCCTGACAGGATGTTCGTCGTGCACATACGGCTCATTGGCACAAGAACTGTCTTAACAAGAGGTTAATTTAGGTTTTGAAGCTGATCCGGCGTACTTTTGGCCTCCTTGAAGAAGCACGACGAGCCGTCGCAGCTCCACATTGGCACATCAGCAATGGAAGAGGGTTTCCTGTCTAGCACTTTTGTCTTCGATCTGAGATCCTTTCCAGTTCCTCCAAGCCATATGTATTCAGCAATGACTTTTTCTCCTTGAGGCAGAGACAAGAACTGGCTTAACACGTTCGGATCAGCCATGTCGTCAGCGCAAGATCGGACAGGCGGTCAACCCTGCTTACGGATACTGGGAGAACTGATGGGGCTACTAAATTTTATCGAGGTCAATCAACAATTGAAGAGAACAGAAAGGATGAGATGTGGGCACCGACTTGGTTTACATTTCTGAATTTGAAAGTGTCGTAAACGGTGTGAAAACCTAGGACTGCGAGAAGGCGTACTCACCCGTTGGATGAAGACGTCAGACCACCTTACCTTCTCCCAAATTGTTATGCAATAGCCTACTTAACGCAATATGCCTGTAGTCAAAGTAGCCGCTGTACAAGCGTCGCCAGCATACTATGATTTGGCCAAATCTTTGGAGAAAGCGATCCATTTCATTAAAGCAGCAGCTGAGCAAGGTATTCATCAATCTGATATGTTTACTTAAACAAAAAGCAACTTAAAAGGTTCTGCCAGGACGCATGCCTCTGAAGTGCTCAAATTGCTGTCGCCATTGCAACATTTGCTGTGATCTGCTGTGATCCCAAAGGGATACAGCTGCTCACAAATGATCCACATCCGTTATACATCTGCATAGTATTTATTCCATGATAGAATTTCATGCTGCAGGAGCTCAGCTGGTCGCTTTCCCAGAGACGTTCCTTCCAGGGTACCCCGCCTTTGCAGACACCAGTCCTGGGTTCGCCCTATGGCAACACAAAGACACCAAGGAGCTCTATGCAAGGTAACAGATTGGTCGCACATGAGCATGCTACGGATCCAATATGTCACGTTGACTCCATCGGTCCATTCCTGCAAGAACTGCAGCTTTAGCACATGCTCTGCTGTGCAGGATGATGGAAAACAGCATAGCAGTGCCTTCAGCAGAGACAGAAGCCCTGTCCAAGGCGGCAAAGGACCACAGCATCGTGTTTTGCATCGGCTGCAGTGAGAGGGTCACCAGCGGACCCGGCAGAGGCACTCTGTACAACACCCAGCTGACCTTCGGTGTGTTTGAGACACCCTCACCTTCAGGCCTGTAAAGATGCAGACCTCCATTATCACATCTATCATGCCTAGTAAGCGATGATCAAACTCACAGCCAAAGTTTTGATTTTTTGACTTCTGGCAAGCTCGTGCAGCTTTTTGCAGTGTGGCAATGTCTTGCATGTTGAATGCACTCACCCCTTTCCGCTCACCCGGGCAATTGCATTGCCTTTCATGCCTTCAACAAATTGATTAATCTGCAACTTGCTAGCGCAGGAGCGGACGGGCAGCTACTCAATAAGCACAGGAAGGTGATGCCAACGATGGCAGAGCGGATCTGGTGGGGCCAGGGGGATGGAAATAGTCTGCATGCGGTGGAAACGGCAGCCGGCCGCATTGGGGCGCTGATCTGCTGGGAGCACTGGATGCCGCTGACACGCGCGGCGCTGCACGCCACTTCAGAGGACGTCCACGTGGCTGCCTGGCCCCGGGTGAGAGGCAAACTTGTGCAGTTCTAAACCCCGCTTTTAGGCTGTTACAAAGAATCTTAGGTGCCGCTGATATCAACAGCAATGATAGCTGCAAATGGAGCAAAGGACATCCAACCCTAGACACAATCAGAGGCTGCAGGGATGCTGATTCCAGCCTTTCTCAGCGGTTTCTGCATGGAGCCTTTGAACAGCTGGACTTTGTATTCCCAGTAGAATGCCTCTCCCTCAGAATGCATGTTGCGCTGCGCTGCTGCTTCACACTTAGTATCATGCCGATTTTTGCCCACTCCTGAAGCTACTTCTAGTATGTATTCAATAGTTTATCGTGATTTGTTCAAGCAAAGGGTACTGACAAGAGGGCGTTCTTATAAAAACTCACAGGTAACGGAGATGAACCTGCTGGCGAGCCGGCACTACGCGGCGGAGGGGCGCTGCTTTGTCATCGCGGTGGGCGCGCTGCTGCGGCGGCGTGACCTGGCGCTCGCTGACTCATCTGTGCTGCCAGAAGACCCCGATGCGCTGCTCCTGGACGGAGGCACCACCATCATCGGTGATTTCCTCACTGCTTAATTTCCTCCTTTGTAGGGAGTTTCAATTTTAGTTTTGAAACCCATGAGTAGCGGGTAGCAGAGTGATCTTCATTAGTAGCAACGGCCTCGATCAAAATAGAGAACAATTCCGTACCAGTGCCATGTGTAAGTCAGGAAGGGGAGGCCACCAACTCCTCTATGTCAGCCCTGTCAGGCATGAGCTCGCTTGCAAGAGATTTATGAATTTGCTTGAAGCTCTAAATTCAAGCAGAGTTGACTGCAACACATACAAGGCAGAGCGAGCGCCACAAGTAGGGACAAAGGGCTGCCTCACAATTGGATAGCAATCTCAATTAGGTGAATTTGTGCATGTGCAGGCCCAGATGGGAAAATCTTGGTGGGCCCGGTAATGGATGAGGAGACACTGGTTATGGCAGAGCTGGACTTCACGCGCATAGCAGAGGAGAGCCTTGCGCTCGATGTGACAGGCCACTACTCACGGCCGGACATCTTCCAGCTGACTGTCAATGGAAACAACCCCTTGCAACCCTCATAGCCATTGCAGCTGTCGTGCTTGGAACTTTCGCAGCGCTAGCGCACCTAGCCTAGACAATGGTCTAGCAGAAACGTGCATGCAGGCCTCCTGAAGAAATCAAAATTGTTCAACAAGTTGTCTCAGGATCCTTAGCTAGCTGGCATCTATAGAGATGCATAAATTTCACCACCACTTGCTAAACCTGTATAACAGTCACCAGCACAAGTGGAATGTTCAGGCAACCACAACAGCCGACAGACAAGCTTTCATATATGGCCAGACGCATAATTCCAGAGTTTCCCAAGTAATTGCAGTTCAACATCAAAGTTCCAGACTTGGTAGCACACCAGAACACATACAGGCACAGGCGATGGTCACTTGAATTACAAGCGGCTGTGCATGCCCCCTGCAACCACAACAGTCTCCCCAGTGACATACGAGGCATCGTCTGACGCCAGATAGGCCACAGCCGCTGCCATGTCCTCAGGAGTTCCCAGGCGGCCCAGGAATGTGCGCGCCTTGTTGGCCGCCTCCATCTCAGGAGTCTCCACCAGGGCAGCTGCAAATTTTGTGGGCACGGTCCCTGTACATCCACAGACAGTACCAATAAGACCCAGCTATTTTCATTTTCCGTTATCTCATCAGCAGCGATTAAGCTCCGTGATTGAGCTGGCTGCTCCACAAAACTGATTGCCTTTACCTGCTGGTTCTGCAAAAGGCAGCCAAAGCATTTCCAGCTTCTGCCACTTGAGCAACCCTGTATGTTGGCCAAGAAAAGCGCCCCGGCATGAATGTGCAGGTGCTATGCCTCACTGAGCAATTTGTCATAGTCCTTGTAGTCTCTCCCTCAAAGCATTTACGCCTGCATCCTCATTGCATAGAAATGCCATGGAAAGTATTTCAAGCTGAAGCCTTTCTTCAGAATAGGCAACGGCGCAGCACCTGGGGCGACGCAGTTGACTCGGATGCCCTCAGGGCCGAGCTCCTCTGCCAGAGCCTTCGTGAGCGCCACCAGAGCAGTCTTGCTAATTGCATACATCGCGATGGGCGCCTCAGGATGATACGCCGTGTATGAAGAGATAAAAATTACGTTGCTGCCCTGAAAACAGGCACACAAAGATGATCATGTCCTCCTGCCTCACTTCCCTCTCTCTAGTTGGCCCTAAGTACAGTCATAGGGACCAAAGTAAGCAGTGAGGACATTCAAGGACGGATCAGAAACGCAGCCAATACTAGCAATTAAACATCCTGTGCAAATTGCTGGATCTAGAGATGCAGAGGAAGCAGGTGTGGACCTTGTGCAGGTGGGGCCTGGCTTCTTTGGCGAGCAGGATGGCAGACTTGACATTGACATCCAGGATCTTCTCGATCGCGCTGTCAGGCATGTCGAGAATCAGGCCCGCTGCCGGATTGACGGCTGCGTTGGAAACGAGCACATCCACTTTGCCAAAGGTACTGACAGCCATGTCCACCAGCTTTTTCAGATCAGCCTTGGCGCCCACATTCGCTGTGCAGCCCACGGCTTCTATGCCTGCTGCCGTCAGCTCCTCCAATGCAGTGTCCACGTTATTCTGACCAGCAGCGCAAGTAAGAGTTGGATATGCAACCTGATGGGAGAATAGTGAGACAGTACAAATGTAGACCAGATGGAAAATCGATTCCTTCGTCAGCAACGGTGACTTAGTCCCCTCAAACTTATAAGTAAGTAATTACTGAACGGAGAGAAAGATCGGAATGGAATCACCTGTCGTCTTGAGCAAATGCATAAGCGGGCTCCTTCTTGGCCGAGCCTGTGCGCAATGCCTAGGCCAATGCCTGCTGTGGCTGCAGTAATGATAACCACTTTGCCTTCGAATCTTTTACACTGATGAGACATCGTACAGCAGGGGTGGTGCTCAGAGCTAGTTGGCGATGCAAGACACTGAAGCAGATCTGAAATTAGGCAGAACACCTTCTGATCAATTCATGCAGCACAAACATACAAATCTTTTGATTAATGTCTCTTCACATGAACTATTGCCGAGCACGCAAAGCGATTACTGGGGAGAGAAAGCTCCGAGACCAGGGGTCTCTAAATTATATGGTCTCATGTGTTCCGAGACTTCATTCAGAAGAGCAAAGCGTTTTGCAGCAATCCGTTTACGAGTACAAATCTTACGCTAAGCAGAGGGTACTCTGCACTTCTTGTCTGTTTGTCGAAAACAACGAGCAAGATGCCGAAGGTTTCCAAGAAAGACGCCAAGGAGCAGGCGGCGCTCCAACCAGTGCCTATGGTCATGGATGCAGATGATGACAACCAACCCAGCACATCAGGCGCCAAGAATACGACGAAATTTCCACCCATGAGCGTGTTCGATCAGAACGGACGAAAAATAGACTTTAGAAGGGTGAGCTGCAAAACAAATCAGCAGAGTTCATGCTCATCAAATTAAGAACACATTCAACGGCTGCTCCGTTGGTTTTAAGTATGTTTGGAGTCGCTATTTAGCTGCCCATCATCCCTTCTGGTCGTTTGCAGCTTTGCTATACTGTGTGGTGACTGACTGTGCACTCTAGCCTTTGAAGCGCTTTCTCATGCTTTCTCACTGTCTGCGTGTTGTGTGGGCATACAGATCACCGTACCTCAGCACAGGCTGACGCCTCTGAAGACTGCCTGGCTGGCGCTATATCAGCCAATCACAGACAATCTCAAGTTAGATATGCGCATGAACCTGAAGACACGAAAGGTGGGGTGATGCCCTCATGGATATCTACTCAGGCTGGGCAGAGGGGACACATCAGCCTACTATAAAATCAGCATGCTGCAAACGCAGATGATGCTCAAGCTGAAGATTCTCGGCTGTGCAGGTGGAGATCAAAACAACTCCGCAGACAAAGGATCCCGGGCACTTGCAAAAGGCGGCAGACTTTGTGCACGCCTACATTATGGGTGAGTGCTTTCACAAGACATGCCTTTGACAAAAGAGAGAAGTGCAGTCTATAGGGGGTCCTGCATGCGGCTATGAGGGACTAGTACGGCAGATGACTGAGGGGCGGGTTGATGTGTTGCTGCAGGCTTTGAGATTGCAGATGCAATTGCGCTGCTGCGGCTGGACGATCTGTACATAGAGTCCTTTGAGGTCAAGGACGTGAAGGTGAGACCAGCAGCTTGCTTTCACAATATCTCCCAAAGGCAATACCTGGAGCTTGAGGTACTGCCTTAAGGCAAAGCAAGTCAGATGCTTCGTCCCTTCTTTCGGGAGAACCCGTGTCAATTTTGACACACCCTATATATGGTTCACATAAGCAGGAGATGCAGGTTGTTGTGTGAGCCTGCTCGGCCTGCTTGCATGCGTGAGGCAAGGTGCTGAATGCTTGGCTGTGGCTGCAGACGCTGCGGGGAGAGCATTTGTCGCGGTGTATAGGGCGGCTGGCTGGCAAGGTGCGGCACATTCTTCTGCATGCCACATACCACGATTGTTATCGTACCTGATCTGGGGTGTGGGAACAGAGAAGTCCACAGTGCATGGCAGGGCGCTGAAGGGTGCAAGATTTAGTTGTGTTGGTGCTGATGTGTGGTGTGGCGGGTGCGGCAGAGCGGGAAGACAAAGTTCACAATAGAGAATGCGACCAAGACGCGCGTGGTGCTGGCAGACTCGAGCATCCACATCCTCGGCTCCTACCAAAACATCCGCATCGCCAGGTGAGCGCTCCTGTCTGATACAGTGCATCTCTTCATCACTGAAGGGGCACATCGCGCGCAGTGCATTGCTTGATCACTTGGGAACAGCAGCAATTTTCAGGGGCCCAGCCTTGCAGCGCCCGAGGCTCGCAGCACCCGAGGCTTCACCTTCAATCGGCCTTGCAGTGAATCTTTGTTTGGGTTTGTATGTTGTCAATCATCATCATCATCATCATTGATTATGATCCTCAGACGGTGTCAAATGCTTGCTGGTACTTATTCTCCATGAGCAGGCACACATATGGCAGGCAGCTTCGCAGAGGGCTTTTGTGGGGCAGCCTGTTGCGGGAAAGCAATGTACAAGCATTGTGCATGAGTTCTGGGTGGCTTGATTGTGTGCAGGGATGCCATCTGCGGGCTCATCCTGGGGTCGCCACCTGGCAAGGTCTACAGCAAGCTCCGCAGCGTGTGCTCGCGCTTGAACAGCAGCTACTGAGCCACGCATGGGAGTCAGGACGTGCATGTTGTGTCCTTGTGTATATGTGAGAGTTGGTGCTGCAGCTCTTTGCAGCTGCAGCAGGAAGCTTGTCCAAGACATTTGTAAGCAGATTAGCGGCGTTGCTGTGTCATGTCAGATGCTTGAATAAGGAGCAGGGTGTTTGTTGGAACATGTGTCACTGCATCTTATTGGCATGATGCTGTCATCTGACAAAAGTACCCAACTAAGGGTTATTTATCTTGCTTGTAGCGTCCAGTAAGAGCTCAAGCAAGGAGATCGGACAACAGCTAGTACTTGAATGAACGTGAGACAATGCCATGGTGGCTGTGGGGTGGTCAGCATGTCTAGCATTTGCAAGCTAGAATGAGTACATGGCCTTTGTATAAGAGAAGCACTGTAAATTTATTGCAATCAACTGATGGATATCTGCAGACTCCGCCGGAGATGCGGCATCAAATGCGAATTCCAATGCATGGCCATATGCTCATGGGAGCTCAAAGTTGGTGATCGTTAGGAATTTCGGGGCTAACTCTGATGATTGAATTGGGAATTTCACTAGTGATTGCAGCACAGGCACACTGCATGCTCTGTCCTCCATTAGCACAAAATTTGTCCGGATAGATGCAAGACAGGAGGGCAGTGGTGCTCTTCTAGGTCAAGGTGCATGTGGACGATAAATACTTCAGATTACACTGTCAAAGCATATACGTATGAGACCATTGTCTCAAATAAATCTAATATCAATTGCCATTCATGCGGAGCATGGTGACAATGTACAAGTGCCTGCAGCTGCCAAAATATCAGGCGCTGGCAAGTAATCAGACGGCACTCTGCAAGCAAATTCATAATTAAAATGATAAAGATATTGTAACGCAATCTATATTGGCTCAAAGCAAGTTGTATGGTCCGTTCAGATGGTGTTGAACAATTCGTTCCCAATGTCACACCATATCAGTACTACAGCTGAAGGCGCCAACTTGGAGCCGTCAGGCAACTGTTTGTCCCCCTGTACAAAGGGAATACCTCCCAAATGCACCATGGTGCTTCTGCCACCAATTTGCAATCTGTTCCAAGCACAAAACGCCAGAAAGCCGCAGGATTCAGGTGCTTGCAGCACCGGACCCAGAACTCAGGAGCACAAAACTTCTGTGCCCGGTGCTGCAAGCCGCCATCAGGCCCACATGCAATAAAAGCACGTGGGCCTACATCTCTGTCCACAGCTTTTTGGTGACTAACAAGAGTTTCATTATCACCCCCTTAGGGTTGGGTGCGCTTGGGGGTCACGCCGGCTGCCCGGGTCACATGGCGGGCAGCCCAGCATGCAAGCAGGGCTGCCCGCCACATGACTCGCTGTGCCCAGCGATGACTCACCCAGGTGCCACTCCTTTGTCACTCCGGCATAAGCATGCAAGGAGTAAAAGCAAAAGCAAAATAAGGAAAAAATTCAAAACCTTCTTGGCATTCAGCAGCAACACGGCATGATCCCACGGCTGCATGCCTGGAGCTCAAAAGAACGTCAAAGTGCATTTCATTCTCTGGGATGACAAAAGATTTGGGATGACAACAGATAACAAACCCATCCGAACAGATTTCCTTGTGCACCGACCACCGTGGCTCTTATGGCTGCACCTCACCGTGCAAAGGCAGTCGCTCTGACAAGAGACACACGCGTGTCGGTGCCAACAGCAGTATCATACAAAGCATCATCGCTGACTTGCCCCTGAGCCGGCTCGGAGGACTCTCAACGAACTCTGAAAAGTCAACTGAGAGTCCCCCGGCTGGCTGACACCAAGGGGAAGTAAAGGGTGTTGCACTTAGTAAGCTGAGGGCCCGTCTATGCGCGCGCGCATAGACGGACCCTCACCCCAGCGAGGAGTGACGCGCGCACGAATTTCTGGGCTCACATATCTTCACTTGGCTGGGCAACACCAGCCCAGCCCGGACGAGGGTTACGTAATTGATGACTAACCCGCTTCTTCTTCATCTCCCCTGAGGCTCACAGGCGCTCAGGGGAAGCACATCATGGAGTAGAGCAGGATGTTCCACCAGTCGATGACATTCAGGCAGAAGTGGCGGCAGTCGGTCATGTCGACATCGCGGCCGCGGCCGAAGCTTCCATGGTGGCTGTTGTGCCGCGCCAGGCTGAGGTCGAACACCGGCAGCAGCTTGATTTTCTTGCAGGGCTCGCCGCACTCCTTGAGAGTTTGTAAGACGGCGTCACGGAACCAGTACTCGCCGACGGTGACCGGGTCGCAGTGCTGGCGCTTGGGGACGCCCTCCGGCATCTGCGCTCGCGCACCCCCGTTGTTATCAGGGGGTTGAAAACATTGAAGATTTCTAGGCTTCAGGGGTCGAATCTGTAAAGCTGCAATCTACAGACCAGGGTGGTGGTAATATCTCTGCACATGAAGCTCTGTTCTCTGCAAGTTAATGACAGTCAAAAGCCAATTGGTTTAGCTTAAACTCTGCTGCATTGCAGTTTAATACCTCCTGCTGTTGAAGGAGCAAGCCCCAAATGCCCTCGCTACAAGGGGATTTTACTAATGCATGCAAAGTCCGCCACTGGCAGCTCTTCAGGGAAGCGATTATTTCTGACGAACTGCGCCAGAAGATTCACAAGCAGCAAAGGAACTTGAACTTGCAGGAGCTGCAGCAAAGCAGTGTTGAAGGGCAGAGGCACACCAGCATCTGTTCAATGGCGGTGAATGTGCCGGTGTGGCCGCCAAAGTGGGAGGGCGAGTTGATCCTCCAGATGGTCTGGGCAGGAGATTTGGCCAGTTTCTCCATGAAGATCTCCCTCACGTCCTGCTTGTATGCCTCAAAGGGTGTCTGCGCGCACACAGCCGGCACAACAGTATCAGAAATTGATCCTGGAATTCAGCAGGCAAAGATACCCGAATATGGTCAAGGAGTCTTGTATGCGTGTGAAAGCATGCATGCACAAACAGAAGAGGGTTGGACATGGATTGTCCCAGCTTAGGATACGTTGCAGACATAACTTGCAACCACAGCCGCAGAGGAATTGATGGGGTTGTATTATTACCCTGATCTCGTAGTAGTTGAAGCGCGGGTACCAAGCGCCAAAATTGACGATGATGACATCACGCTCTGTCAACGGCCCCAGCTCAGCAAAGACGTCGTCCCACAGTGTACCGTTGAAACGGCCAAAGCAGCGCGCGATCAGTTCACCACCGTTTTTCAGCTTCACCTGCAGAATCAGCAAACATACATGGTCGATTTTCTTGCATGGTCCTCTATCCAAGCACCATCCCATGGCAGCAGGCCTGGAGAGCCCAGTGAATTCCTATGTATGAGCCTATTCAAAGATTTGCTGTTGGTGATTCATGGGGCCATAACAACTACCCCATTATAGCGTTGGGGATACCAAGTTCCCAGCAGCCCAGGGGCAAAAGAGCATCTACAAATGAGTGCAAGCCTGCGAGCCTAGGTGCAGCATAGTAAAATATCCCACCGTCAGTGCCCACAGCCGTCGGGCAAACATGCAAACGGACATGCACATGACAGACAATTGCTTGAATTAGGTAGGGACAGATGGCATCCAATGGCGCTCAGAACCATAGCATGACTTCCCGCACATGAGTTGGTACGATCAACACATGATGCTCACGTGCCGTGAAGGATCTTAGGTCCTGCCACCTCTTCCTGGGACAATAGAGCTCTGAACAACAGGGAGGAGCTGCACGGCGTGTTGTAGGAATTGAAAAAGGAGCTTTGTCAAAAAGGCACCTGGGCCCAGTACTGCTTCATGATGTGGCGGCCCTCATTCCATTCGCGCCCCTTGTATTCCCCAGTCACCGTAGTGTTCGATTTCTCCCATGTAACACCGACGCCCGTCTCCGTAACGGGCGCCAGCAGGCATGCCAGCGAGGTGTACATCTGCCACGTCATCGAGTCCCCCACGAATATTATGCGTCGCCCCTTCATGCACCTGCACCAGGGGTGTTTGCAACATCAGTACTTGGTCCAGCAATGCAGTCCAGATGGTTGGCTTGGGTGCTTGCTGAGTGGCTCCCAAGAACTGAAGATCCAAACCCTGGATGGAATGGTACTTGATACATCGTTGCATGCCACAGGACCCTCGTTCTGATGCATGACCTTCGTTTCTGCACGGGGCAGGAATCTGGGATTTACGTGTCAAACCCCTGGGTGTCCCAGGGGCGCAGGTTGCACTCATCCGGCTGGAAGACCTTGCGGTACTCGGACGCGAGCAGCGCCGGATTTTTGTCAGACGGCCCGGCGCTTGTGTCGCAGTCAAAATCGTGCGCCCACTTGGGGCACGCCGAGTGCTGGTCATACAGGCCCCTGTAAGAACACCATTCCCACTTAGCTCGTTCAAATACTTTCCATTGCTCCACCTTCCTTCCTTTCAATCCTTCACGTGCTTATCAAAGCTCCAAAGGTATCTGATGCTCCATGTAATTTCTAATGCTCCGGTGGTATTCTGGGCAGAGCTCTCAAGGCAAAAGGCTGGAGCATTTTCTGCAATGCATTGTATAACAAGTAGAGAAAGCTACTTGCTGCCTCAAGAGGTGCGGCAGGCTACTTCTTCAAATGAGCACCCATGGGACGCAGGCGGTATTGTACATCGGCACGGAAATTTGAGGACCTGCCTGAAGTTGCGGTCTGGGTGATCCACCCACTGCCCAGTGAATTTGCCCGTCCTGCCAAAGTCGTGGCAGATCGGCAGGTTCAGGTCGACAGTCACGTTCTGTGGGGAGGTGGGGGGCGGGTGCAGCTCCTTTAGCAGGGAACCTGCGCAGAGCATGCATGCGCATGAGACATATGTGGTGTGGTGTTTCTTCAAAACATGCGAACACATTGCAGACAGTGACTTGGCCCACAGACACTGTGGCAGGGATTGTGAACAAGAGTATTGAGACGTATGAGTGGGTCTAACAAGGTGTGTCTTCCCTTGCCCAGATTGTCCCGATCATGATGTGTGACATATTTTCGACACACGGCTCATGCTTGGTGTGGATGGTAAATATGCCTATGTCCTGTCTGTCGATACTCAAAGAAACTGATTGCCCCCATGACCGAGCCAAGCCTGCCTTTGATTTTTCCTTTCCTACCAGGTGCTTTCATGTCCGCCAGGTCAAGCCGGCGCTTGAGGGTTCAGTGAGCTTATCCAGCAGATCCGAAGTCGAGGGACTAGAAGAGCACACCATCGTTGTAGTGCAGATCTGTAGAGGTCACGCCATCGGACAGCTGGCCGCCCTGGGCCTCAGCCGCTCCTGAGGGATGTCTTGTGTGGTGCCGTGCCAGTGCCAATGGACAAAGCAGCAATGCCAGGGCTATGTGCGACAGTGAGCGCCGCTGCTTCATTGGACCAGCAAGGGCCTGCATAGCAACAAGAGTAGCTTGCTGCAGGAGTGGCAGGATTGCCTTGTGCTGGCAATACAAGGCAAAATGGCTTTGGCTAACGACTGTAACAGGGGCTCATTGCTGTGTGGGAATATACAAGAGAATAGTATGCACAGACGTTGCACCTGAGTTATGCTGCAGGGGTTGTCGGTCGAGGCAGCAGCACGTTGGCGAGACACAGACCCTCCGTGGTCCTGCAGTGGATGTTTGCATGTTGAATGAGGGTACAATAGACAGGGTTTGAAGTCAACTTTTCATGGTCCGCCCGGAATTGGACACTCTTCCTACCTGGAGAATAGGAACACGCGGTCGTGGGTCTGATTTAAAAACGGATGCGAATGAACTTTATAGCCCTCGATGATGTCACTCAATTGTTTAGGGTCGGAGACAATAGTGATCTGGCCGGCCAAGGTGTTGAAGACGACTTTGCAAGACAGGAGTCAGGTGCTGTGTATATGCACAGGTATCAAATATAATACAACAATGAAATGAGGTTTGCTGCTTTGTGTGATACATCGACGGAGTGGGGAAGGTAGAATCTATGAGTGATCTGCGTATCGGAAACCCGAGAGCAAATTCGAATTCACGGTTACGAAGCCCTCAGTCATCCTCTTCTTGGTCTGTGATCCCCACCGGTGGTGCTGAAAGCAAGGGTCACTGGGAATGCTTGATGGGGTGTACCTCGTCTCATCACCTCATCATATGCATCACTTGAATGACCTGAAGGATATCCGACCCTCGAGCTGTATAGGAGCAGGCATGCACATGTGATGCATGCGCATCAGCATGATGCGCATGTAATCATCCCATTCCAATTTCAAGCTTCCAATAAGTCTTCCAAAAATTACAAAGAGGATGAGGTGAGTCATGTTCTCATGTCAAGCAGCTAAAGTCTCATTCTAGAATAAGTAGTCCCCAGCCCGATACCGTCACGGTTTTTAACGTGCGCACATTCTTTTCTCCCAGGCAATCAATTATGATCATGACAAACTATCCGCATACCAAGCAGGTCTTCAGGCAAACTTGAGAGCGCTGCTCTGTAGCACATTTGCACTTCAGGCGGGCACATGACCACTAAAGCTTCAAGTCTCCACACTAGACTGCATCCTGTCCTGAAGACACTTGCCATGCACGACCCAACTTGGTTTGTTGGACTTATACACAGATAAACTCTCCTAGACAAGCCGAGGGTCAGGCAAAGTTCTGGTGCAATGGATTTTGAGATGTTTCAACCTTGATCAAATTCTGCTATGATGGAACCTAAATTGGAATTGTAAGCTGATCGGCCCAGATCATGCAGGGACAAATCGCTCGTATTTCCAATCAAAACGCAAAACACCCACCATAAGTCCAACACAGGACTTTTCCAGGCACGAAACTGCCCTCACCAAACACAAAAGCAGCAAGCAAACTGAATAAAAAATCTCAAATCAATAAGAGGGGGCAGAGGGGTTGCAGCAGACCGGTCCTGCAGCTCTGGTGCAACAGAGCCAGGATCCCACGTCTGACACTGCCGGTCGTATTCAAACGCAAAATCAACAGCCGTTCAAATTGCCCCGGCGCTGGCCGCGGCCGCCGCAGAATCCGGCGGGCACAGCACGTTGAGAATGCGCAGGTCAATGGCATAGCCGACATGGCCCCGGTAGTGTGAAGCATCGTAGGAGACGTCATTCAGCGGTGCTGAAATGCTGAAAGTGTCTATGATTGGGATTCCTGCATCCTCCATCATCTTGTTTGCTGCGCGGTTGTACAGAAGCAGAGTTGGGTCTGTTCGCCACTCCTGGCGCTTGGGGTTGTACCTGCAGGAAAGAATGATGGTGAATCAAAATTTGTAATAAGATGTATGCATCAGCACGGGCCGAACCATACCACACAGTGCAGTATTTGCATGCAGCTCCGCGCCAAAAGCCACATCCCGCCCAGCCAATCAGTTGGCCAGTCACGCGTGCAAAGAAGGGAGCAGCGGGTCCCCCCTGCTGCCCAGATCAGAATATTGAACCGGGACAGCTCAAAAGCATTGGATGCATGCCAGGAATAGATGCTATGGCCAGTGAACAAGCTCTAGATTTGATACATACAAATGCCCCCACCCTTGCAATCTTCAAGGGCGAGGGCAACTGGCCAATGTGTGTATATTGCATAGAAGTCAACAAGTTTGGCTGCTGTGCAGATGTGCTGGAAAAACCAAAAGAAGTGGAGAATTGAATTCGAAAGGGCCGAGCCTCACCAGGCGCCGCGCCACATGGGGAAGCTGTTGGTGGTCATCCAGAAAACGCGCGCGCCAGCCTGGCGCAGAGTCAGCAGGTGACTGATGGTGACTCGCAGCTTACTAACGTACGTGTGCACGCTCTCCGGCCGCTGCAGCTCGGCCGCCGCCAGCCACTGCCCAAAGTTGGCCACGATGTCCGTGCACCCCGTGGAATTCCAGGTCACGTCCCCCAGATTATTGGTGAAGTATTTCGTGAACGTCCCCTGCCCAGACATGCGCACACTGCGTCAGTCACTGAAGTCGCGCAGCAGCAGTTGCATTTGTGGCAGAGGCCATGCAAGCTTATCAGTGCAGCAGGTGCAAGTGATAGGAGTGATATAACCAAACAACATGGTTCAAGTGACCTTGTCACCGCTGCATGCTTGTGCACATCTGGTGAGCCAGACAAATTCTGTATGCTCGAGTTCAAACATCCAGAGCCTGAATATGGCCAGAAAGGTTCTGCAGAGCCTAAAAATGGCCCCGGCAGAGTCAGCCAGGGCATGAAAGGCAGCACATTGCCACCGGGTTCGCATACAAATTCTGAAGGTCAGAGCTGCACCTGCATGACGGTCTTGTCGGTCTTCTGGGCACCGGCGGCGCCGCCCGCGCCGCCCGCGCCGTGCCACTGGAGGGAGCCTTTGAAGAGGGAGGTGACGCCGTTGTATGCGTGCCTCATCTGCGAGTCCCCCACAAAGCAGATGAAGCGGTTGGCCCCGCACGCCGCCCTGTCTATCTCCTTCTCCGAACGCATCCTGCAGCAGAACTTGAAGTCAGCCCCCGCAATATTTGTCCCGTCATGCAGTGACAAGGGATGCGTGCTTGGCTGGGGTTGCTTTATATTGAGCGCTTTGATGCTTCTCTCACTTCTGTAAAGCCCAGAAGCAGGTGCTGCCCCGCCCTCACAGCCTGTCTCAGGTCAGGCTCTCCCTGCCTCGCTAGCTTCAATCACCGACCATGATGCCGAGTGACCCAGTTGCATTTGCAAGGCCAGACGATTGCAGCCCTGCTTTTCCTAGCAGGCTCTACCGTGTCTAGCAGGTTAAGCAACATGCCACAGCCTTGAAGCCTTATTGTCCAGTGAAGTACAAATTGATGAGGCAAGGGATCGGGGCATGCCTGCAGTTGTACGGCTGGTAGGCGAGCCCCTGGGCGGATTGCCAGGTGGTGGCGAGCGCGTGCAGCTTCTTGTCCCCGCACATGGGGTTGCCGTCCTTTGTGCGCATGCTTGGAGTGACAATGCAGGACGTCTCGAGGCCGAGGCCGGCCGGGTCGCGCACGATCCACCGGCCGGCCGCGCGCGGATCGGCGCATGCCGGGCAGTCGCCGTCCCATGCGCAGCCGGTGCGCGGCGGGGTGGATGACTCAGTGCCGCCGAGGGTGAGCGTGAAGTGCGCGAGGGAGACGCTCGCCTCGTCCAGGATGTGCGGATGGCGGTCATAGGAGAAGCCCGTAAATAGATGCAGCACCTGCGCGGCGCAACGCTCATCTCAGGCGTCGTGCAGCAGTACATTCTTCTGAGTGATTATTTGGCTCCAGTTTCTGGTTTGGTTCTGAGTCCTGAATTCTGTGTAGATTTCTAGAAGCAAACGCTGTCCCCCACTCCTTGCTAGGACCAGCAAGCGGTCTGCAAAGGAGCCCCAAGGGGACTTGATAAGAGCTGGCAGCCCCCTCTCAGGGCGACCTCTCACGTGATGCACGAGCAGCTAGTCAAAGAGAGCAGCTGCAAACAGTCTCGGTGCCTCTTCTTTAGTAAAAGGGGCATGGCCACACCTCAAAGTGGTAGGTGCTGTTGAGGGTGACGGAGTAGGGGGCGATCGCGAGGCCGGAGCGGCAGTAGTGCATCGGCAGCAGGCTGATCTCGCGGCCCACCATGCGCACGCGGAACACGTCCGGCCACCGCCGCGGATGCAGCGGCTGCCGCTGAAATATCAGCACGCCCGCCGCCCTGCTGCCCCCCGTCGTGCAATGCTTCACCTGCGAGTATATTCATGCGTGTCAGCAGGACAGACATCTGTGCGTGTCAGCAAAAGATCTGCGCGTGTCAGCAGAGCGCTCCCAAAGATGCTGCAAGAATGCGCCTCGAATGCTCGACCTGCGCATGCTTCTGGCAAGCATGGTTGCATCTTGAACTGAACAACTATACTTTCTATCTTCTGTTGCAGCCCTGTCCAGCAAAGAGTGTAGAAGAATATTACAGGATGGTATTCATGGCTGACCTGGATAACCCGGTTACGATAATAGCTTCCTCCACCAAACAACTTGATATTCCAGTCACTAGCTATCTCTGCTGGTCCCAGCGGAATGGCATTCATGCACACATTACTGGGATTAAGGGGCCTGCCTCACCTGAATCTCCGGTGTGGCTGACAAGATGTCCATGCAATCGTAGTCGCTGACAACATAGCCGATGTCGAGGCAGGCTGTGTCAGCTGCCGAGCTTATGGTGGCAGGCACTGTCAGAAACTCCTCCCCAAACCCGGGCAGCGGGGCCCCGGCAAATACTGGCGCATGCCATAGCAGCACAAACACCCAAACTGCTTTCTGTAGCCAGCCTGGCAGGCACCCTGCATTGATCAGAGGATTCCAGTGATTTTACTAGTGCATTGAGAACAGAAAAAGTGTTGCAAAGGTCTGGAGCTATGAGAGAGCACCAAAAGAACCCACCTGGAAGCATTTGGATAGCGTTCTGCTTTGTGGGTCTTTATTTTCGCAGATTGATTATGAGGACAGTCCACTATGAAAAGGCCTGTATGGCCTTGTTTAGCAGTGAAAAACTGCTTGCGAAGAGGAGAACATTCGTCCTGATGTCGACAGCGTCGTTCGGGACATTACGTCTTTGTTTCTCTGTTGGATTGGAAACTAATCAATCTATTCAAAATCAGCATGAGTAAGACAAAGTTTTTGATTCATAAGGAAACCATGGACTCCTGTCGTCGATCTGTTCACGGTGATCTCGACAGGGTTCTCGGGTCAGGATATGGGGATCGATGCAATTATCCCTTTTTGATAATATAAAACACAAGTAAACTCTGCAGGAAACAGGAGAATTGTAGCGTCCTAGGTAATGGAGTCAGATACTGAAATCAGGTTGCGGTTTGAAGTTCTCGCTTGAAGAAATGTAGCTTATAGACCCCCAGTATTGCAGGGGTTCTCAAGGAACCCTATGGCAGCTCGCCTTACAAGAACTTTCTGTGGATTTTCAAGGAAATGCAATCTACTCAAGACAGTAAGTAAGGATACAGGTGTTGACCAAAAGTTCTTTTTGCATGTTTGCAAGAGCATCAGTGCCAAGGGTATCAGTGATAACTGCAGATCTGCAAGGCCAACACCTGGCATAACAATATGTTGCTGTGATTTCCCAAAGGCCACAATCAAAAGGAGGTGTCTGGGCAAACTTAATTTGATCGTACAATTGCCGCAGCCAGCTATTTTTATAGCGCATGGTGTGTCTACCTGAACAATGACTACTGGGCCTAAGCTCAAGTTTTGCCCGGAGAGCAATGATCTCCTATATCCAAAAGAAGATCGAGAGCGCAGGAAGCTCGTCTACCATTGCCGCAATTGTGGCTACCAAGAAGATGCAGATCCTTCAAACTATTGCGTGTACAGGTGTGTTGGTCATATTGCCCACCTGTTTCTTTAGAATTTGTTCTAAGAATTCACGTGTTCAGCGTGTCAAAGCCCTGATGAGGGGAGGTTTTAGGTCTCATTGCAAGAAGAGGCCAGAGAACCTGCTAAGCTGCCATCAGGGCGATCACCTTGAAGGTGCCAGAGTGCATGGTTGTGTTGCCTCAGCCTGGGCAGCGGTGCGTGCAGGAACGAGATAACCCACACGAATAAGGAGAGGACCGTCATCCTGCAGGATGTGCGGTCAGATCCCACACTCCCCAGAACCAGGGATGTGATCTGCCCAAAGTGTGCCCACAACGAGGCTGTCTTCTTCTCTGCCAGCACAGAGGAAGGCATGACGCTATTCTTCAATTGCTGCAAGTGCGGCCATCGATGGCGGGATTATGTCTGAACACCATGCTGGAACAGCAGTGTATACAGACGACTGTCTGTGCATGCAACGCAATCCCTCTGCAGGGCAGCTCAGGGAAAGCACTGTTGCTGGCTGATTCGCGAGAAACAGCGGAACGCTTTGTGAAATAGGAACCTCATGCTGGTAAGAAGGAAATAGCAGCAATGAAGATATCATGCTATGAATTGTCTGGAATCTCTTTCTAGAAATTGTAGCTGACACGCTGACGGTACACTTCGTGACATGTAAGGCAGAAGCTCCACAAAAAGATGGGCATGCATCGTTGCCGCAGCTACCAGGCACTCAGCCTTGTCACAACTTCAAATTCACTTCTTGACTTGATTGATTTCAGGCAGTGCATTGTTCAGAGTGGCGCATTGTCACATTCAAGTGAGAAAATTCATTGATTTATGATCATAATAATGATCACGTGAGCAAAAAATGAAGTGTGTTAAAATTCGAGTCTGGCCTCAGTGATGTGCTGCTGCAGCAGCGGCTGCCCATATATCAGAACCTAGTTTACATGGTCGAGTATCTCATCTAATAGCATCCCACCAGAACGTTCAACAGCATGCCAGCATGATGCATCAAGACCAAGGAGGTAGCTCCTTAAAGGCAGTGCCTTTCCACGCGGATTCGAAAGACCCAGAAAGATGAACCAAGCCCCACCCTGCCTTCAGGGAAATATAAAGGCATGGTGAGGGCACAGATCTGGATTGCATGCCTGTCACAATCACCTCTAAATAGTTTCACTGCATGACCCAACTTGTTGCCAGTAGCTTCTGGCAAAAGCACAGCTCAGACTGTGCACGCTGTCGTATAGACTGTAAAGGGGAAAAACGCACAAGCCGTCTAGCGGCAGTATGCGAACTGAGAATACAGGCCTCCTCAAAAATACACGCATGTCTCCAAGAGGGGCTCCATGTGTCACATCCTGCCCTCTTGGTCCATGCTGTGGCTTGAGACTGACAAAATTGCACCTGGGACGCAGGTGCAAAAGGATCTGTCCCAGTTTTCACCCTGCTTCAAATAAATACATCGTCCTGAAGGCAACAAATTGGGCACCCTGTGACGGCCGCCCGCCCCGCATAGCCAGGAAGCGCTATGGAAAGAATCGTGCATCTTCGTTTCGTCTTATTTCCAAACCAGGGTCAATCCCAGCCATGCGCATGGTGCGCAGCTGCGTCGCTCATGACAGAGCCGGACATTGTTTCAGGCATTGCAAGCTGATGGAAAAACGGCGCCGCCGGCAGAGGTGCTTGAGGGGACAAAGGGTCAATCAGCACATCATGGGTCTGCCCTCAGTTGGCATCCGACACCTTGGCGCCACCGCCCTGCATGTTGCGAATGACCTGACGCAGCATCACATTCTCGCGCTCCAGTGTCTTGACCTCCTGCTGCAGTTTTGCGACCTGCGCATCAAGGTATTTCATTGTTATTTTACCGCATTTTTCCTGCCAGAGAGGCTGTGCGTCTGCAGACAAGCTGCATGTAAAGGCTGCCAAAATCCTATCCCTTGATGGACTTGCCAGATCCAAGCAAGATCCGATCAACCATGTGCATGGTACTCAGAATTTGTACCGCCCAGTATTGTTGTGCAGTACATGCATGGAGCAATACAGCAACTGTGCTCCTGCTCAGGGATAAATATTCAGAGTCCGCGACCATGCTTCATGTTCAAGCGTGGATGGGAAATCTGCTCACCAGCTGGTCTGACTGCTTGGCCTGTGCCTCCAGATTGCTCACGTAGCTCTTCTTCCTCTCTCGCGCCTGCTGTGCTGACACTCGGTTGCGCAGCAGCCTACAGGAGACATAGGGCAAGTCGTGAGCTTCAAGCATCTCAAAAACCGAGGCACTTGAGGAAGTTCACCTGCCTGCAGGACTTGCTGCTTGGGACCGCAGATGACCCAGAACAGGCGCTGTTGCATAATCTGCCACTGAATCGTCCAAGAAATCACCTTCGTAATCTCTTGGCCTCCTTCTCGTCCTTTGTGGCTGCCAGCTTGGCTTCCAGGTCGTCCTCTTCCCCTTGAGAAGCATCACCCTCATCATCACCCCCTGTGCGCTCTTCCAGCCTGGGCCTGGAGGCCCGCCTCCTGGCTCGAGCGGCTGCTGCGTTCGCCCTTTTCCCTTCTGCAGCCTTCTCGGCGCGCCTTCTCGCGAGCTCGAGCTCCTGCTTTTCGATGCCGTTCAGCCGGTGGGGGATCCCTCCTGGCTGTTGAGGCACGATATTCTGGTCCATCCGTGACGGCATGGGTATGCCTGCAGCAGTATTAGCAGCTCCATCAGCACTTCCGAGTCTTGGAAGCTCTTTTGGCTGACAAAGCCCTGCCTGAAAACGACTGGTTGTCACTCACCCTCGGGCTTCTGGAACGCGCCGACGAAATGCGACGCATCAAACTTGTGTGGCCCCTCAAAAGACATGGGCGCATGAAATGAGTACGCCAAGGCCGGTAGTAGTGCTGGGTTGTGGGGAAGCACGGGCACTTGGTGGTCACTCATTTCTCGTCCTTTGGGACTTGAAGTGCGAAGGCCCAGCAGTGGATTCGCCAGGCCTAGGATGTGGCTGACGAAAGCACTGCTCCTCAGTAAACAGTGCGAAAGGTGTGCACAATAAGCTTGCTCACCGGAATCAAAGAAGCTGTGCAGTTGTTCCACGTCCCAATTAGTAGTGTGCGGGTTGATGGAGATTCAGTTGCCTGATCAGGAACCACACACATGGCAGGCCATAATTCCTGCATCAAAAACTACTCGTGGAGAAATACCCACGAAAAATTTGGCTTCACTGCGGACAAACACCTACCAGAGACAAGCAGACAAAGGTGCTGAAAGGAAGCTGAAGAAGAAAGGCGGTAAACGTTCTGCAGGGCACAAAGGAATCTGAAGTAAGGTGAGGAAAGTTACCCAAGACATGTTCAACTGCCACGCGCCAGTGATATTTTGCTTGTAAAACACCACGATCTGAAGCTTCGTACAAATCTATATACAGAGTACTTAGCCTAGCCGTTGTGCGTGCTTCTCGACATGGCACACCCTCTTGTGGCGTTCCTATATAATGTGATGCACCCGTACACCTTCCCTCGCAAGGCAGGATGTTTCGTTGGCCTTAAAACTACAGTCAACATTGAAGGCAATGCTGTTGCGATGCAAAATTCTTTCAATCCTTACAGGGTCAGGTGTGGGCACAGGGCAGCTTCTCTTCTTGGCACCATGAGTGAGCCCAATCTGAACGAGATTTCCCCCACGCGGCTCCCGCTGCAAGAGCACAATGTACGTTACTTTCTGCACTAATTATTCTGTCGGCGAAATACATGAGATCTCGAGCCGCAAGCCTTTCATGCATGTCAGCTTCACCAACTGTATGCTTCACAGGATGCCTCCAGAGGCGGGTTGAAGACGGCTTCAAAGGCGCAGAGGGTGCTTGTGGATTCTGGCGAAGATGGAACAGCGCCTGAAGGCAGCCCGGTGTACAAGACCCTGCGCAATGGAAAGCGCATCCTGCAACTGCAGACACCTGCATTAAAGGGCGCGGCTCGTGTGGCAGTGGAGGCCCCTGCCACCACCAGCAAGAAGGCATCAAGAGTGCCAGTCGCACAGGTGACCTGTTAAATTAAGCTCTACAGCTGGCGCTGTTGTACACTTCATAAGTATCCCATCTTGACAGTTCACTCTGTCTGCAGGAAGAAGATGTCGAGAACTTCGGAGAGAATGGGGAGATCTCAGCGGAAGCTCTGACCATGTTGGAGGCTGCCACTGCCACTGAAGCAGACTCCTCCTGGCTGGTTAGCACAGAGATGGTTCCCATCAGCTCGCCAGAATCTGAGCAGAGCGGCGACACCACAGCAGCTGTGGAGACCCCAGGCGCAAGCCCTGTGCCAAGTGGATTTGATGCATGCCTCGCGGTGAGCCTCATCTTGTCTACACATGCATGCACTCTACTGCTTTCTTGATAAGCTTTGCAACCTAGGCAGGGTGATGCCTGCTTCCTTGAGAGGTGCATGAAGAGAACAGCAGGCTCTGATCTTCTGATTCACAACATCAATGCCGTTGCAGGAAATGCACAAGGCTGGATTGGTGACCAAAGAAGCCTCGACCTACAGCTGTGACACCGATGCTGTGGCAGCTTCACACGGACTCGTCAACAAGTACTCACCACTGCCTGCGAAGACTCCCCAGAAAACCCCTGCTGTGAAGGAGCACACACTGCCAACACAGCTGCAGCTGAGCGAAGAGGTAATTTCAAACATCTGTCAGATTTCTTTTGAATGCACGCAGGTCACACGCCTTGATTTGTATCTTTTTGACATGCATGCAAAGCCATTCAAAGCCATTTGACAGCTCTGCAATATGATTACAGCAGCCCCATGCAGGAGCTGGTTTGTGCATCTCATGTCACAGATTGCCCCCTTTTAGAGCTCATCTGAGGCCTCACGATCCAGAAAAATACATCTTTCATGTTTGTTGATGTGGCGTCATGTGCGTATTGCAGACAGGAGAGACTCCATCGCCCCCCTCATCATCCAGAGTGCGCCCCAGCAGCTATGCCCTGGATGACTCCCTCAGCCTGGAATGCTCACCTGCAGCCGGAGCCCCCCCGCCAAAGATCCAGCACTCCAGCACACCTCAGAACAATGCCGAGGACAGCTCAGAGGCCTCCACACTTCCCACACCGTCCACAGCAGAGACAGAGGAAGATGCCAGCGACCCCTACCAGTGCAGCTCTCACACCATGGCCTCTCCAGAGCCGGGCTCGCAGGGCACTCCGGCGCCAGCGGTGACTGCGCAGTACGGCTCTGCTTCACAGGATGACTGCACCCCCAGCCATGACAGGCTCCAGCTGGCAGAGCCAGCGGACCAAGGCGCCTCGTTTGTCACCCCAGAACCTCAGCCAGTGTCGGAGGAAGCTCCGGACAGCGATGCAGCGCTGGACGTGCAGCAGACGCCAAAGGAGGTGTGTGCTTTCTGTCTGTGATGCAACAAATGTTGATATGATCAGGTTATTGCTAAACAAAGTGTCAAATGACCACAATCATTGAATGGGCATGATGCATGTGCTTACCTTCTGATGTGCACCATGCAGGAGGACACCAGTGAAGATCCCTCAGCTGCTGCTTTCATCCCCAGGAACAAGGCAACTCCTTACATGCAGCGCAAGCTGCGGGAAATCAAGGTACTCATGTGGGCAAAGCTTGACAATACCATTTCGTATTGCCATCTTTGCATTTCTATATCTTGAATTGGAGCACCATCAAGCATACAGCGGTACATCACATGGTGTGCAGGCAGAAGACTGGTCTGCAGACGACACAGTGAAACCCCACAAGAGCAAGCTTGAGCGCATGAAAGAGGATGCTGCTGCAGCTGCCAGGTGTCTTCATGGGCCCTGACTACTGCAATGTCAATATCATGACAATCCTTGTAATGAAGCAGGTTTGCATGCATGCATGCATGCACATCTTTGCAGCACCAACAAAAAATATTGTGTCACTGTGGGTGCAGGAAGAAAAGCATGTCTTCTGTGGACAAGAGCCTCACCCGCAGGCTAGTGCAGCAGGCAGTCGGCAAGGCAGTGCGCACCGATGGGAAGGAGCTTGGAGAGGTGCTCCCTTCTTTCACCTTGCACATTAACCCATTCGTCAAGCATGTCATGTAATGATTAGTCATCTAATAGTCAGTCATGCAACGATGTGCATGGGAGGTACAGGTCCTGATGAAGCACAAGTCGCGCCTGGAGAAGGAGAAAGAGGCTGCTTTGGAGCTGGCAGCCTCTGAAACAAATGGTGGCAAGCCACGGAAGGACATCCCGTCTGCATCTTCTGAGGGACGGGTGCGCGCACTGCATCCCACGGCTGTTGATGTTCAATCCACAGTCACATTGTATAGCAGCCGACTTTGGCGCCTCGGCAGCACATGCTGCAATGCACTTTAATGCAATCCCCTGCAACAGCATCGAAGCGCTGCCAGAACATCAGAACTGACCAGGATGTATATGAAGAGCGGAATTGTTGAGGAAGGGGACGGATGCAGGGCCTAAGCGCTATGAAGGTGCACAAGAGCCGGCTTGAGAGGGAGAGGGATGAAGCAGAAAAGCGCCGCGCAGACACTTCCGGCCAGGAGAAGCCCCTGCCCAGCTACATGCGCGCAACCAAGGCCTTCATCATGAAGAACGTCAGCAGTTCCTGCCCATCTTCTTGGCATTTCTGGCTTCACTCTCAGCCCACAATATAGTGGCGCACATGCAGAGCCCTTATGTACAGTGGGTGACTGATCATCACAGGAGGGCAGCCCAGCACCTCGTGCTCATCGTTCGGTGTTGCGGACGTACCCCTTTGCACAAAATGTAGTGGCACACGGGCTGAGGCGTCCATGACTGATGGCTATGGGTTGCCCATTTTTATTGGAAGGCAGCCCTGCTTTTGTGGCTGCAGACTTGGCACGAAATAATGGCATGGTGCAGAGGCGTCCTCATCTGACGGTGGGTGCCTGGTCACTGCAGGAGAGCGGGCTTGGGGAGGATATGAAGGTGCACAAGAGCCAGCTGGAGCGCGACAGGGATGCAGCCGTAGCTGCGCAGGCCGCACGCAAGAAGGCCGGCGTCAATCCTGCCACGCCCTACCCCCACAAGGTCTGCTCCCTGTTGCTCTTTCAAAATTACCTGAACGTCTTGCAAGACAGCGCCTGGTTTTGTGTGATTGTGCTGGCCGGCACATAATTGCGCAATGCATGATGAGGCCTCCACGCCCTATTGATCCTCAATGGGATGCGTTCCTGAACTGCCTTCAGCAATTTTCCTCTCTGGAATGCTCATGGGCGGGATGCACATGATTTGCAGCACATCATAAAGCGCTGGCCAGGGCACAGTTGCTGCTGTGCGGTTGATAACCGTATGACATCGCATGCTTGCAGGTCCGGCGCGCTGGCGTGGCGAGCGCTGCAATCCAGGCAGCTTTTGGAGGGCAGGGTCTTGGGAACATGCCCGTGCACAAGAGCGCGCTTGAGAAGGAGAAAGAGGCGGCTGCAAAGAAAGCCTCGGGCGCACTCAACCGTGCACCGCGCCCCCCTGTCAACAGGTGTGTTTGCATGGTCTGCAGTGGAGGCTTATTGCATCAAGCGTTCTTTTGCCTTCCAAGAGTTGCAGAGTGGCCGAGAGCAGTGTGAAGTCCAGAGCCATATTAGAACTGCCATGCATGCAGGACTGCAAGCGTTGCGGCTGGCAGCGGCCTGGGAGACATGAAGGTGCACAAGAGCCGCCTGCAGAAGGACAAGGAGGCATGGGACAAAGCGGTGGGTGCCTTTCCAATATGCTTCCCGTGGCTATATCACATTTGATCTCAGTCCAGATGCGCATCACCATCTCCAGCGCGTTCCCTGCCTGCCCACCTGCTCGGCACCCCTCAAATGTTGCCGCAACAGAGATCATTGGATGACCTGATCCAACCACCACTGTCTGTCTGATCTCTGGGAACAAACACAGTACGCTGATGGTGGGCCTGACAGATTTCTCTAATGTGACATGCAGGCCGCTGAGCATGCTGAGGCAGGCAAGGTGAAGTCAAAGCCTGGCACGCCAATGCAGGCAGAATCAAACTACTTGCGCCCCACAGAGGCCTTCAACTACAAGGCGGGCGCACCCACCCCCACCAAGCAGGAGGAGGGCTTTTCCAGCTTTGTGCCCAACTAGCCTTGCAAACAAAGAGGTCATGCAGAGTGAGAAGGTTAGGAGGTCCAATGATCCAATAGCAAGATGAGCTCATTTTGTGGTGATCACGGTGAATGGAGAAAGTGAATCGTCGAGAGGGTGTGCCAAAAAAGCGAAAGGCGTTACAGTAGAGTGCGACATGCATCAAGTGCGTGCTATTCTGCGTGCTATTCTCAGAAACACCTGGCTGCTCAAGAACGTGGGACATGCATCAGGGGGTCGTCTATGTGCAGGGTTCAAATGCTTGTCCTTTGCTCAAGAAAATGTGTGTGGGTATATTTTTGTCGATGTGTCAAACATATATCTGGTATTGTATCCTGGGATATCAAGGTCAGAGAAGACTGTTAAGAAGCGGCAAATCTGTCTGATCTGTCATCTTGAGGCGCCATTCTGCGCATTTATCAATGATGGCATGCTGCTGTATGGATCGTGAGATACCATGCGTGACTTCAATCAGAGTGGAAATACCATCTGTCATTACCATGTAATATTTTGGAAAAGGACATCGCATTCCTGCATGTTGCCTGTGGGTCTGTCATTCCTTTTCCTGTACAAAATCACAAAGGCATGATGGCATCATGATGATGCTGTATGCATTACGCCACTTTCTCTTTCTTCCTCCGCTTTTTCTCTTTGTGCCGCTTCTCCTTTTTCTTCTTCTTTTCCTTGTGCAGCTTGCCTTTCGGGTCCTTTTTGACCTTATGCAATATCTCTACCTGTTTGCCTGTACCCTCCTGCTCTATAGAATCACTCCTGCCCCCTTTCAATGTAGCTGCAGTGCCTGCATCCCTCTGCAGCCAAGCAGGCCTCTCTGGGCCAATGGGTCCTCTCACGCTCATATCATCAGGCCCGGCATCTGTAAGGCCACAAAAGAACGGTGTCAGGAGCTCCACAGGACAGCAGCTTTGCAATAGATCAGTTTAGTACGACCCCACCAGCGACTAAGTTAGTCTGAGCCAACAACCAAATCAAACCACGATAGCAATGTCAGCATGAAGCACACCTGCCAAGGCACTCTCAGGCAGGAATGGTCCTGGCTCGTCTGCACGCGAGCCCACAGCGCCCCTCCCCCTGCAATCAGGAGCCAGCAGAACTCCAATCACCCAAAGAGCTCTTGCATATAGAAGTATAACGAAGCTGCGCTGGATGAGGGGCTCTTAGAGCAGGCAAACGTGCTGGCAGAGACTAGATCCTGCAAGAGTCAGCACCTCGGGCAATGCCTCGATAGCATGTCTGCCAGCTCGCTGTCGCTCACAGCTCCTGAAGGCCCTGCTTCGCTCTCCATCTCTTCATTTTCACTCTCTAACGAGTCACTCTCGCTGCTGTGCGCATCACTCCTGCCCTCGCCGATGCTCCTGCCTGCTCAAATCCACAGGCAATCATCCTGTACTGCTCCCTTGCGCATTACACCGTCCGGCAGTAATCTAATGGCTCGCGGTACTTTAATGTGAGGATATTTTGGCGAGGCAGAATTTACGGGTCCTGCACACCTGCTGCATGCTGAGTTGTCCTGGTCTCACTACGAGCCCGCTTGGTTCTGTGTGCCCACATTTCATCCTCTTCTGCCTTGCGATTGGCTGCAGCATCGTGACTGAGGTCCTCAATATCTGTGCTAGAGGGCGTGGGTGGCAAAGCGCTGTATGGATGACATGCAATTGAAGGGCGCGCACTCACCAAAAGCGACACTTCGTAGAGTGCCCTGCAGGAATCGTTCGTTGGGCTTCTTTCGGTGCACAGGTTTGCGCAGATACGCTGTAACCCCCTTGTCTGCAAACACAACCAGCCATATCAAGGGGTTAAGCTACACGCCACGTAGGAAGATAATGAGCTCTTCTTGCGTCATTACTATTCTCCAATCTCAGTATGATTACATTGGAGGTTTCCTTCCAGCTCACAACCACCAGGATGACTATCACCTTTTGCATCTTCTGCCAGCTGAGTGATATCGCGCATGATCATGTCGGCCAAAAGCGCTTCACTGGGAGTCTCCAGCTTTTTCATTGCTCTCTCGAAGGCCTGGGAGGCCATGCTTGTGCAAGAAAACGAAAAGCAGTACTCAATAATCCGGAATGAGACTAGTAAAATGCATACGATTGGGGTCCTCACTAGACCTCACGTTAGTTCGTTGATTGAACTTCATTGTACTGCTTCAAATTGTTCCATGCACAGCAAACTGCACTCCTTCTCCCTGAAAGAAGCTAATATTATCACGTGGCCATCATGCTGCGCCTGCTGAGGTTCACAATGCCGAGCGTCATCTCACCACGTCGCCGCAAGGAAAGCAAGGATTCAAGCTTAATGGTGAACCCTTTTCTGAGCCTTTTTATGTTCCTGATTACAATCCTTGGTCTTCGTGGCGTTTTTTTTAAGAAAAAAAGGGCAGGATCAAAACAGTGATCCACAGGTGGAGTGACACAAACTCTGGTTCTAGCCTATACAAGGGACTCAGAAGGTGACATACATAATTCTGACATATTGTGTGACCTCATCCAGAGGGTATATGATCTCATCTGCCACTAGTTGGATGTGTTTTCCTTGTCCTGGCGTGATGAATGATCATAACTACACGAAACTTGTCTCGGTGCTGCAGGATGCCTCGGTGGGTGGACACACGTCAGGAAGACGAGGAAGAGGCAGAAGAGGCAAGCACTTCAGAAGAGGAGGACGAAGACGTAGAGGAGGAGGCTGATGATGAGGACGGGGAAGCGGATGCAGATCAGAATGACAGGACAGCTTCCAACGCACAAGCCGGGCCAAGCGGGCAGAGGGAGAAGATCACCATCTCTCTTGGGAAGAAGGGTCTCGTCTGTCATGTGGGTAATCCAGCTTGTGCTTTGTGCGGCATATAATTTCACCTTGTACAGAGCATCTTTCTACTCTTGTGCTTTCAGCTGGTTCTAAATTCAATGTGACAAACATTCCCCGTCAGTGTGCTTGCTTGCCAATGATGATAATTGATTGTGCAATCTGCAGGTCTGTGGCAAGAAGGGTCACTGCGCAGGCTTTGTGGGGTCAGTGTATCACGACTGTCCCTACAAGCCGTGCTACCTGTGCAAGCAGCCAGGCCACACCACCATGACCTGCCCCTTCCGGATTGCTCCAGAGCACGGCTGCCGCCAAGCCTCAGGCATCTGCTCTGATGGCATGCTCGCCTGCGTCAGACAGCGTGAGCTGAATGGACGGTGAGGACTCTTGAATGTCTGAATTGCGCCCGTGCACTGCTTTCTATTCTACACCATTGGTATTGCAACTCCTGGCCCTGTTCAGGTACTTACAGGGCATTTGTGCAACTGCAGGAGACAGGACATGCACATCGAGCAGAACGACTGGCTGGTGGATGCAGCTGTGCTGAGGCTGCACTCGCGCCGGTGCACCTGCCTCGAATTCCACCCAACCAAGGTGCCGTTTTGGACACATGCATGCCATGACTGATGTATATTGCTCACTTGCTGAACACCTGGCAATACTCCTGTCTTGCATATATTGCAGATTATTTGACTCAATCGGATGCTCAATATTCTGAGAACAGTCCAGTCTTCTCTACAGATGTTTCACACGTGGTAAAGGTGATCTGAAGCGTGGAGGGCTGCATGGCAGGACAACATAGTGGTGAGTGGGGACAAGAAGGGGCAGGTGGCGGTGTGGGACTTTGAGAAGGTGCACGAGCGCACAGTGCATGGCAGCATGCACCGCGCACTCACCAACAACCTGCGCTTCCTGGGGCGCCTGCATGACATGCAGTGCGCTTCAGCATCCTCCGACGGCCTCTGCAAGGTGAGGCCTGTCTCACCAACCTGACTCATGATAGGCATATACAGTATTCAGTGAAATCAGGAGTCACCGTTGCCAACGAAGACCTTGCTACAGTGTGTGAAGCGGGCACAGCTGGTTGGTATGCACCGACATCTCAAAGAGCCTAGTGACCAGGCCGGCAATGGCCATTCTGGTGTCGTGTTGCCTGTAGAAAAGGTTCAGACCCGTGTGGATGACCATCATTGCTAAGATCTGTCCTCTAGCACAGATACTGGATGCAACTCTGCAACTTCTTCATCATGGGTCAATCATGTCGTGGCTTGAATTAGGTTTTGCATGATGGGCAGGTGTTTGATGTGGAGACTGGCTTTGACACCACCGTGCTGAACATGAACCCCGAGGGATGGATCCAGGGGGTGACCAACGAGCGCACATGGGTGATGCTGTATGGCCTAGACGTATGCGCAGAGCGGCAGCTCATCATTGCTGGCGACAACAAGGGCAAGGTGTACTTTGCTGATGCGCGCACCAATCAGGAGATTGCTCAGCACCAGCTGCACAAGAAGGGCAACAAGGTCTGGCAAAGAGCATATTGCCCCCTCTTTCAGGCTGCACAGCCAAGTCCAGAGTTTGCTGCCATTTGTGGACTGTTGCATTGCACCTGTACAAGAGGCATGGAAGGGTGCGCATCTTCACGATAATTGCTGTAGATGTCTTGCAACCTAGGGCAAGGTTCTGTTGAAATTTGCTCTTGCAGGTGAACACGATACACGTGAACCCAATGAACTGCAACCTGATGATGACGGGCAGCAATGACTGGACCGCTCGCATCTTTGACATCCGCGCCATGTCATCCAGCGTCGGCAGCAGCAGCAGCAGTGGCAGCTCAGGTGTGTTGGTCTCTAATGCTCAAGCTGCACATCTCTGTGTGCATGCTTTTGCTCTCAAATGAAACTGGTCGTGCCAGATGGACCAGTGGGGATCTTAGAATGATTTTAATCGATGACGTGCTCCTCTAATGCAGGGAGCACAGCTGGCAACGAGCCCATGCAAGTAGCATGCATGGATCACCCGAAGGTGGTCAATGCTGCATACTTCTCTCCTGGTTCCGGTACCAAGATCATGACCACCTGCATCGACAACAGGTGCTCCCTTGAACACACCTCCCAAATACCGCAGCCTGCAAATCATGACGAAGACTCCTGATGGAGTGGGCATGCATGCTTGTCCTAGCCCAGGTCCATGTTCTGCAATCCACTGTAGGTGCTTCTCACTGCTGCTGGGGTGCTGAAGACCGTCATTTTCTCATCCCTGGTGCAGACGGGAATGTTGTATGCCATGTGACACAAAAGGATTCTGTTGTGCAGGCTGCGCATTTGGGACTACATTCTATCGGCGGGCGATGCACCTGACCGTGAGATTGTGCACTCCCATGACTTCAACCGCTACCTCACGCCTTTCCGAGCCGAGTGGGATCCCAAAGATGCCGCAGAACGCACCATCATCGTTGGCAGGTGCCTCCCCTGTCCTTCCCTATTAGCACCATTCGCATCCTACATGCCACCTGCCTTGTTGCAAAGTTTCAGCATGCATGTCCTGTCCTGCTTTTATGGGGTCCCACTTTCTCCCTTTTTTTGGCATTTAGAGGTATGGACACATATGAGGGCTGCAGATTCTCTGAGCTATCATTGACAAGCCCCTTTGTTCTAAATCAAGCTTTTCAGGCAAGGATAGCAAGCAGGATTGGGCCGCGTTGCTTATGGGCAGTACCGAAGTGAGTAGTGTTGTAAGCGCAGGTATATCTCGGAAGATTTTGGGGGAGCGGCCCTGCATCCAGTGGATATCATGGATGCGTCCACTGGGCGGCTGCTCACACAATTGGTGGACGCAAATCTCTCCACCATCTGCCCTGTCAACAAGCCACACCCCCGCCTTGATGTCATCATCTCGGGCTCCTCCCGCTCGCTGTACGCCTGGCGCCCAGTCAGCAAAGGTGCCGCTGCCACCCATATCTTACCTAAATTTACTGAGCGCTGCCTTCAACTGAAAAGACTTATCATGAATCCACGCTTGAAGGCTTTGGGCACAGGGCTGGTCATTTCATACATTGGGTCCCTAATGCCTCATGGATGAAGTGGTGAGACCTGTGTACCAAGCTTGTCCCTGAAAATTGCAAGTTGCTATTTTCATTTGGGACACTGCCAAGGGAAATTGACTGCGTGCTGTCAGATGGCGAAGATGAGTCGGAGCGCGCAAAGGTGGCGGCAGAGAAGCAGAACCGGGCCGCGCCCAGATCTGACCATTTTGTGAGCTACGACGCCGACGACGCTGCAACAGAGAAGAAGAAGCGCAAGGCAGCCTCCGCTACAGCTGCAGCTGCAGATGAGGTGGAGGTGGAGGGAACCCCACCCGGCAAAGGCAAGGGCAAGGCCAAGGGGGGCAAAGCTACAGTGGTGTTTGGCGAGGATGACACACCGCCAGGCAAGGCCAAGGGGGGCAGGAAGAAGAAGGATGATGAGCAGGATGGGAAGAAGAGGAAGAAGTGAGCTTTGAACAGGTCTCATGTACACTGTTGGATTGTTGGTTGGATTGCTTCAGCAGGTTGCACATGCAGCAAATTAGCACATACGGGAGTAAGACAGCTACATACCTTACAGTTTGCAGGTCCATGTATAAGTGGTGCAGTGATTGCAACAAGTTGTTCCGGCTCTTGTTTTAAAAGTTTGGATAGGTACAGCTGACTGCCGGCATAAATTGCTCCTCATGATTAGTAATGTGCATGCAGTGTCTCCAGGAGTAAATCATATGACTGTCTGGCATGAGCTCTGCCCTCTATAATCCAGCTACAGCTTACTGTAGTAGCAGTGGCGAACTGAGAAGTAGGAGTATTAGCAATGCCCTTCCTGGTACTACCCTACTAGATTGGTGTGGGGAATAGAGTTAACTTTGCTGTATCAAGGAGGGAGTTGAAGGAGGCATGGCAGACATCCGTAGGACAGGATCTCTGTGACAGGACTTGGTCTCAAGCAGAGCAATGAGTAACACTTCAGTAGAACTGGCATTTGGGACAATCAGACAGCAGCAAGAAGCGGGAATGACTCTTGCAGACACGTGGCCACCCATTGGGTAAGCATGCATGGTCTCTGTTGTGCCCTGCCGCCCTTGTGATTTCTGCTGGATGATCAAGGGCGATCCAAATCTCAACAGAGGTGGACAACATGAAGATATCAATAGAGATCGAGCTGGAGGCGAACGAGGTTGATCTGGCAACAGAGCTGCTGAACACCCTGCGGTAAGTGATCCGATGGCCATTGGAAGCTTCTTTGAGCAATATGTGTTCGGATCAGCTGCTGTTGTTTACTTTCTGCTGTAAATCGTGTTGATTGTCTTTGGTGTCTTGCATGGCCGTCATTTTGTGATTACTTGCTGGCTGCGTTCATCACTCTCCATGAGATGTAGTACAGGCCCCTAGTTGTGATGGTGTAGACTGGCCATGCTATGAGTCTACGTGATGATTATAACGGATATCATATGCAGCGCAATTGGTTGCGTCTGTGGGCTGAACAAGCTGATGTCCGTCAATTTCTGTTGCAGGAATCTAACAGATCATGTTCAAGTCAAAACCACAGCAGGGTCCGCGCTGGGTGGTAGTGAATCCACCTCAAGCTCCTACAGAACGCCGGGGATGTCTTCAGAGGGATCCAAGGCCACCCCGTCCCCACAAACAGTCTCCACTCCCCAGCACATGTGAGCACTTCTCTCAATTGCAGCAGGAAGGATTTGTTCTGCACTGTGACATCTGAATTGAACCCCTCATGCTAATACCAACAGCCTTCTATTAGTTTACTTGCCCCAATGCCTCTGAAGATTCTTGTGCAGGAGTGGGTTTGCATAGGCCCTAGACCCGGGGTCGGCATTGCTTAGATCTGAGCAGGCAGGACGATGTGCCTCGCAGGGATGGAAGCCAGGCAGGTTCTGTGAAGAGCGCGCAGCCTTCTCCGGTGAAGCTGAATCGCCCGAAGACGCCGCCCCCAGGCATGCCTTTTCCTGGCCTGCCACATCCAGCCACCACTGTGCCAGCAGCATCCGTCCCAATCACTCCAGCACCCACTTCCTCATCTGGCTCAGTCACACCGCAGACAGCAGCGTCGCAAGCACCCACTCCCCACCAGCCAGCTCTGTCATCCACTCAGGTGATTTTCTGCTCATTGCATTGCTTGTCATGACTCGGGAAGGTCTCTCCAGAGGATACCGCCCCAGGGATCAACATCATTGTGCATCACCGTGTTTGTTAATTGGGGAAAGTAGCTCAGAGATGTGATGGCATGCAGGCACCGTTGCCAACTCCAGTGGCCAACAGCATGCAGCAGCAGCAGCAGCAGCAGCCGCCACAGGCACAGCCGCTGCAGCGAGAGATGGTTGTCAATGCTCTGAAGAAGCACATGATGCAGCTGGATTGCAGCCAGGACGGGTATGCTGAGAAATTCGAATCGGTAAGCTTGCATGCACTGTCCACTGTCATGGCACATGCCAAAAATCGTAGTGGCTTTCCTCTCACACAACATGGAAGTGCATTGAAGAATGCCTTTGGGAGGGCATATCATTGACCACCAATTCTTTGACAGAAATGACTTGTATCGGCAGGTGTCAAGTGATCTAAACAGGATCTTGGAGCAGAGCGGCACACCGCAGCAGATGTTTGAGTACTTCACTGAAGCCTTCATGAGCATCATCTTTGATGATGAAATGGTCGCCAATGGGAAGTCCGTTGTGAGTTTAAACTCGTCCCAAGATCCTCAAGCTCTGTTTGCATGGGCTTTGCCTTTTGCCTCACACTCTGACATCCCTGGTGAATGTTTGTTCGGGCTTTGCATGCTGCATGCCTTCATGTGTGCTGTGCTCGTGTACATTCTCCAGGCTCTAATATGTGAAGTCTTGCGCAGGTTCCCTACATGAACATCCTGCCTATGCTGCCAGAACACTTCAGGGCAGATCTCAAAGGGCCACTTGTTGGGAATGTGAGTGACAGCTTTGATAAATTAACCTAATGGCCTTCCCATTCATCCTTTGGTCGTATCAATTCATAAAATTATGCTCCAACACTTCTATGGCTCCTTGCGTTATATGATAGAGCACAACGTTGAAGTTGTGGCCTATGTGAAGGGTCCATGAATGAAATGTTTTTTGACAGGTGCTGAGGCACCTGACCCTTCCACGACCTGTGAACTGCAATCGGGCAGAGTTCTTCGGACAAGCCGAGGCATTTGCATGCCTAGTTACCTTGGAGTTTGTGACAGTCCCAGGTGAGGCTTTCCGCATCCCGATCAGGCAGCAACAAATGCAATACAAGTCAAATTAATGCTTCAATCGATGCATGCAGATGCGGTCTGCGCCAGTGATGTGGTTCGGCAAATGTTTGCCAAAGACAATGAACACCAGGATTAATGGATGTACGCAAGCATTCGATTCTTCTGCATTTGATCAGTGGTCGTGGGTTGCAACGCAGGCGCTGTGCAGACGCTGTGCTCGCTGATGAAAGACGAGAAGAAGCGCTGCGCGGCAGTGACCATGCTGGGCAAGACGGCAGAGCACTGTGCAGAGCAGGTGGGCTCCTGGCTCTCAGCCTGTGACAGCCCCGTGAACCCCTGGTCCCATGTCATGCTGCACAATTTTACAAGCGTGGAAAGGCATGGATCTCCAAACATGCAAATGCTCCGGACCATGCATCCACTCCTCACCATGCATGTCCCACTTATTCTCACATGGCATTGCATTTGGGCAAGGATCACCTTATCAGATACCCCTCATGCTTGGGAAGAGGTGGGCTTTTTTCTTGCCCTTGCAGCACCCAGATCTTGGAGAGTATTCCTGAGACCGCATCAGATTGGACAAGGAATGCAGCTCTTGAACATCGCTTGTGTGCACTGGTGCAGCTGAAGCAGAACTGCCCAAGCGAGTTCCTGGAGAAACTGAAGCAGCAGATGGAGGCGCTGGAGCCAGAGTTTGACTATGACAAGGACTACATCAACGAGTGCATGGGCTGGACTCCATTACACTCGCAGAATGGCAGTGCCCCTTCAAGCGCCAATGGCCATGCAGGTAAGAACGCTCATGCCATCTTTGCCCTGTGCTAGTTGTGATGATTGCCATGCATTGAAACATGGCACAGCAAATACGGGTCACCATGCTCTGTATGCATCGTCTAATGCAACTGTGGCTTGAGGTAAACTATCTCCCCCCTAATAGTTGATGTGCAATGAGGAATCACACGAGTCTCAGAAGGAGCGCAGGCCCGAGAAGGCCACGCGGGTGTGAAAACCAGAGCAGAAGTGAATTGAAAGAACAGTTCGGCAATGACGCTTACCCCTCTGAAGATGTAGGCCTGATGTGGTATTGAGCGTTCATTGTGCAATTGTTTGGGGCAGGCGCAAAGCCGCGGTTGACTGCAGCCGGCTCTTTTGTGGGCCACGCCGATGGCGTCTTTTCTCTGGCATGGGATGCAACTAATCAGCAGCTGGTCAGCAGCTGCAAGGACGGCAGCTTCATCCTGTGGGACACCCAGGGCCACCAGCTCCAGCGGTGCGAATTCCCTTTTTCGCCTGCTTGTCTTGAGAGCCCTTGCTGCAGCCAACGGTAGCTCCTTGGTTCCACCTCTGCCAGATTGCCCTTGCAGCCATGACTCACAAGTAGCACATCTGCTTGTGAGTCCGGGACCTGAACTGCTCCTTAGGAGACACGAATCGTCTAGGTCCATGACAGATCACAAGTGTTAGCCGGTCTCCAAAGCCGCGCTCAGGCATCTAGGAGAATGCATGACATTCTTCTGGAGCCCAAGTAGAACGGCGCTGTAGCTTGGCTAGAAACCTAGAGCAATGAATGAAGTGCTACCTGCATGCACCACATTCAGGCTGGGCGCTGAGCGCAAATACCAGTCCGCAGCGTTTGCACCGCTCTGTATCTTGCGTGGGTTTTGAAAGCCAATCGCCACCTCTCCTGTACAGCAGAAGGGCTACTTGTCAGAACCCCTCCTGGACAAGGCTCAGCATGCAACATGCCTTATATTTTAGTAGCTCAGTGGTGGTCCGTTGGCAGGCTGTCGGCGGCGCCCGGGTATGCGTACAACGGTCTGGCGTGGGCGGCGGAGCAGGGCCACCTGGCGGCGGTGGGGCTGCACCGTGACGCGACGCCCTGCATCGACGTGTACCGCTCAGGGCGCGGCAGCCTCGAGCTCTGCGCGCGCCTCATGCGCTCCCCGGCCTCCCTCCTCTCCTCCGTCGCCGTCCTGCCCGGCACCTCCGAGTTCGCCACCGGTGAGGCTTGAGCATCTGAGCATGCATCCAACCTGAAATTAGTATGCTGGCGTCAAAGCAGAGCATACTGTCGTGGCCCTACCACACCGGCCTGGCCTATATCGCATGCCTTGCTGTCTTATTGGGGATTTGTGTCTGAAAATTATGTGTGGTTGGCACAGGCGAGCGCATGGGCGATTCCGGCATAGTGTCCCTGTACGACTTCAACTCCCTGCCGCAGAATGGCGAAGCCCAGCCTACAACCACCCTGAAGGTGCCAAATCTCCCAGCTCCCCACTTTGCTGCAAAATTGTAGCCACCATGCCTTGTACGACTGCCATAACTCCCAGGAACACTATTCTCACATCAATATAATAGTTCTCTTCGTGGATGGAACGCAATTCACGGCTCTCCTTTGCTGCAAAAAAAGCGTGCGGGGGAATGCATTTTCCAGTGTGTGGAACCTGCACAGCAAGTCAAAGTGGTGTGGCGTGCTGTGCAGGGCACCCAGGACCTGGTGACTGTTGTGGCACCTCTGGGGGCGGTCCCTGTGCTGCTGTCAGGCGCCAAGGACGGCACGATCGCGGTGTGGGATGTGCGCCAGCGCACTGTCGCCATGACCCTGGTCGGCTCCACTCACAGCTCGCATGAGGACAGCACTGCCATGGTGGGCGCTATCTCCTGTCATTGAAAGAGCTCTGTAGACAAGGAGACGATGGCCTGACCCGGCGTGGCATCTGCTTGAATATCTGGGCACATAAAGGTCTGACTGTGGCCGGTGCTTGAGAGGCTCCCACGGAGAGCGCCATGCATGTGCCGGGTCAACCCACTTGAGGATGAAAGTCCCTCTTTACACAAAGGACAGTTGAGATGGTGTAGCTTGCAGACTACTCGGCTCTGCAAGAGAGATGGACTCTTGAAAATAATCCTATATATTTCGTGCAAGTTCCAGATGTGCAACTGCATCGAGGGTGCCAGGTGGCAAGAAATTCAGAGGTGACACATGCTGGGCTGCGGCTGCGCAGGTGACGACAATAGACTCTCGGGAGACCACTGTGGTGGCTGGCTGCCTGGACACCTACATCTCCAAGTGGGATCTGAGGTGATCAACCCATCACCTGACCTGCCTGCAAAACCGTCTCTGGTGGTGCACCTTACTTTTGTGTGATAATTCATCTTCCACCTGTTTACGTGGAGGTACAGCTGAAGCAGGCCATCAGGGATGCCTCTGCTGTGCGCATGCACAGTTCACACGGCTCACACAAGGAGTTCTGTGCTAGGCTCACCTTGCCATGCGTGGTACGCTGCAAGCATGACCTTATCCTAAATACCCCGGCCCCCATGCGCAAATGCCCCTGCTGCCATGCGTAAATACCCCTGCCGGCATGCACAGGTCGGCGAGGGATGGCATGAATGCGCCGATGGCGTCGGTGAGCATGGACAACAGCGCGGTTCTGCGCGTCGCTCTGGGGGCGACCCCCGGCTGGGCCGCGATCTCCACCATCGACGGCCTCTACTACACCGACCCCTTTGACTCCTCCCTCCAGCCCGGTGAGTCATCATCATATTATCAACAAGACACGCTATTCCTGCCAGGTGGCAAGGTGCGTCTGCAGACAAGCTGCAATTTGCAATAAAACCCCCTGATGGACTCACCAGATACAAGCAAGACCCAATCAACTGTGGGCACAGTGCTGAGTATATATACCGCCGGGTGAGCACCATTGAAATTATACCTCACTGTGAATGCAGCCCCTTGAATGGTGAACCAGCGAGACCCTCCCTCCACATCCACAACCCCTGCTTTGTGCGAAGTGAATCCCTTGGCTGTGGGTCATGTCTGTAGATCAGGACTTCGTTGTAGTTTTTAGAAGAGCGAATGCTCCTGCCGTGCCCTGTCTCGGCGTGATTATTGTGCGCTGAAGCGCTGGGTTGATGCACAGCAACCTCACCGATATGGTGCACGCCAGAGAGGAGTGTTTCAGAAGACACAGCTGCAATGCCTTTCGCAGTGCACACCGGAATAGTCAGGGTGTGACTACCCTTTGAGTGGCAGGTTGAAGCTCTAAAGCACTGGGTGCTGAAGTTGCCTGCCTGTTGCATTGACGCGGTCCGCTGGGTGATGCAGAGAACATGCGCGCGGGCGTCAGCACGGTGCAGCACTATGCAGATGTGAAGTGGGGCACGGGCGAGCTGGTCCTGTACGCAGGCTCTGACCAGGGCATGATCGATGTCTACACCGTCTCTTGAGCGTTCCGCCGGTGAAATGCCAGCTTTGCCAGGGGTGCATGCGCCCAAATTATACCCAATTGCAAAGCTTGATTAAAATAAGCTGCTGAAATAAGTCTAAAGACTAGCTGGAGTCACTCCCTAAAGGAGTGTTAGTCTGGAATGGTTGATGCTGATGCTGCATGCAACCCGCAAGGGCAAGACGGGCACAGGATGCCTGAATAGGTTTTAAATAGTGACTTTGTCGAGTGAGGCTCTTCCTATTCTTGTTACTTTTATGTCACCAGGGCCCATGATGCATCGTTTTACACTTGCAGTCGCTGGTAAGGGGAAGTAGGAGGATGAGAAAGAAGTGATTTTCAGGAGCTGCTGCTGATTATGAACATCACTTTGCTTTCACCCATGAGGAATAAGGGTGATGAGGCGATGCAAGGCACCCTCAAAGACAAGCAGATTTTGATTGTGCCTCCCTTCTGCAGTTCTGTGTGCTATTTGCCTATATGTCATGCATGTTTGTGAGTTTACTGTGAAGTCAAGTGCCTGCAGATCTGTGGCTTGCAAATTGTCCTTACATTCTCTGGTTTTGTGAGCATATTTGCAATATTATGAGCATCGCAGTGCGATACACTGCCATGTGCAAATCCAACAATGGGCAGCAATTATCTAATAGTGTAACAATGCAGTATTTCTATAGCACAGCACCATCATTTCCTGACAAACCTGACAAGCAATCATCTGTATACAGTAGCAACAGTGCTGAAACGCAACACAACTGGCAGACATTATGTCTGCTTGCATGTCTTATAAGAAATAAGAAATCGATTCTTGCATGCGTCCATGTGTTTCTCAATCTCTCTCACTCCTACTGAAATGGCAATAAAAAAATGTGGCCTTGCCATAATGTGCTCAACATTTGCTTTGACGTGCTATGGTGGTGGACGTCACTTTGCAAGCCAAAAACCATTCTTTGATCTCCCTGTGCATGCTGGCAGGCAGGTTTGAGCACTCCAAAGCCTCTGCCAGGCTCCCCTGGGATTCCAGCCATTCCAGCAGGCCCTCCCGTTTGAGCTGCTCCTCCCAAAGGAAAAACTTCCTGTCCTTCACTGCCTGCAGCGTTGCAACCCAGGAACCCTCAAATTCGCACAGGGACCATTCTATGAATGCTGCTGTCATCTTTGACCCCAGACAGTGTCTATGCTGCAAAGATTCTTCCGCAGAAGATGTGTCTTCAAGTATCCCTGCCTTTGATATCATGTAATAGATTGCCCCACCTAGAGATCATCTGTGGCCTAGGGTCCAGTGCAATACAGAAAACATAAAATCCAAACACATTAATAGCCTTGGGCACAAGAGAGCACTTCCACATTATTGAACTAGGCTGGACATGCAAGGCAGAGACTTGGAAGAAGAGCATGATTGGCCCCACCAGCTGCTCCGTCTCCTGCGCAGCCCATTGGCAGCCGGCCAGCGCCAGAGCGCGTTCGGGAGAGCAGTGCGCGACGATGAACCGTCGCCGCGCGATCGATTCCGCAGCTTCCTCCAAACTCTGAGGCGTCCCCGCCAGGCCGTTGGGGCCCCCAGGCAAACCCTGGATGTACCTCTGGGCCGCCAGAAAGCCGTCCAAGATGTTCAGTCCCCGCGCCTCCAACTCAAGCAGCAGCTGCCGTTGCCGCTCTTGCTGCGCACCACCCACAACGATTCTATCAGCTGTCAGCTTGACATTCGTAAAGTTTGACCTCTCTGGCCCCTGGTAGGGCATCAAAACACGCCGCAAGCCACTGCGGTGCTGCGCACTCCTGCGCAGACTTATCCACATCCCAGCAGCAGCATGCACACACAACGACAGCGTAGCCGCTGCTTTCCAAGCAGAAAAAGAGCCATTTTCTCGGTGACATTGCAGATGAGCAAGCGGGTTGCACCTGGCCACCGCTGCTGGTCTTGTGGAATCGCTGTGCGGCTTCTCGGTTGCGCCGTGCCTGCCGCAGCATGGCCGCCTCCGACCCATACTTGTCGCGCGCGGCCCTCTGCGCATCCAGCAGCCGGTACTGCCTCGCCCTGCCGCTGCGGCTGAACAGCGACGGTTCCTGCTTTGCACAAAACACCCGTCCCTTGGCATTCCGTCTTGACTGTCAAGCTGCTGCCATGTATTTCCCCATTAACCCGTTGGGCAATCGCCCAGGCCAAGATGCTGGCTCATTCACTGAAAAGAAAGTCTGGGGAACCCGCGAGCGTGATCAAGCTGGACCATGCCAATGCCGACGGCGCATGAACAACACGTATCTGTTCCCAGAAATGAGGGGCTTGAGCTTGTGGCTGACCTTCACAAGTGCGAGGCAGCTGAGGTCAGCATTGGACAGGTGGAAGCAGCGCTTGGCTTCGGGCCCCGCGAGAGTCTCGCAGCGCAGCCGCCGCACCTCCAGCAGCAGCTTCAGGGGTGCCCGGCAGCTGCCCACCTGCCCGGGCGTGGGCAGCCGCGCCCGCAGCTCCGCCGCACACGCCTCCAAGTCCCCTGCTCAACCCCGAACACTCCGTCATCTTCCCCTCACCCAGTCTTGATGCTACGTTGGCCTTCTCGTCACCCTCCAGCGGCACTGTCAAAGCTCACGTGTCCACTGGATTGTACTCCAGTCAATCTCATCTCTCCAACCCCCTGCCAATCAGGGCAAAGAGCGCTGCTCCGAGCACCTGCTTCTGTCAGCAGCAGTCTAATCTTCTAGCAGAAGCTGCTCAAGGAAACTCTGGGGATTGTCTAAAACATGCTGGCAGGCAGTGCACCCTGTGAGCATGGGGACCTCCAGTCTCTGGATCAGCAAATGCCTCCACAAAGCTGAGGCAGCTTTCACCCAGCCATACACTTGATGCTATGGCCATGCGTTTGGCTGACCTGCCCGATGCCTGTTTCGGGGGCACAGAGGCGGGGTGAGCGCACCCCAGTCGGCGGCGCGCTTGACGCCGAAAATGGCCAGGCAAGTCTGCAGCGCCAGCGGCCCAAAATTGACCTGCGAATCGCGGCCCCGGTGCAGCTCCACTGCCACCGCGGGCCACTCCAGCCGCCGCCCGTGCCGCGATACCGAAAAAATCCCCCGCTCCCCCGTCGCGGAGCTGCAGCGTTGGAAACAAGCTGGGCTTAGTCACTGCAGAAGCTGGCACATACTCTGCTCATCCCTACTCCCGTCCCCTAGCTGCAGCGTCAGAAAAATAGCTGGTCTCCTATTCTGCCGAAGCTGGCACGCACTCTGCCCATTCGTGGTGCCACTTGCGGAGCTGCAGTGTCCGCAAGAAGCTGGTGTTGCTGATTGCAGCAGCTGGCACAGACACTACCCATTTCTTGTCTTTCAAGACTCAGAGAGACTGACTTACACATAGACTGAGCCGGGGCTGTCGTCAAGCATTCCTGCTTTGGATGTCATGTGGTAGTGTGCCCCACTCAGAGGTCATCTGAGGCCACCAGCTCCAGAGGAGTATAGATTACAGGGGAAAGTACTGGCAATCTGAACAAAAGCAAAATTGTGGTGTCGGCCTTGAAAGTGAGTAGAGTGTGAGACCAGAAGATAAGGCTCCTGTGCACGAGCTTGCAGGAGCCTGCTCACCTGTCCAGTCCGAATACGAAGGGCAGGCTCGTGAGCGGGCAAGGTGGGACTGAAGGGCAGCCTGCCGCTAAAGCCTCCCACCTCTCAGCCGCTAGACGCCTGGTGTGCTTGCAAACCTTCAACAGGAGCACACCCACAGGTTGGACTCTGTTAAAGCAGGATAGCCAGGGTGATGTCGTCCAGCAATGCGCATTCTCAGATCAAGGGATGATTCATAAACGAAGTGTTCCTTGGCTTGGAAGTCAGACCTGGCCCAGCGCTGCCAGAGCCTCAGCGGCGCAAGCCACTGAATACACCCGGTCTGTAGATACAAGGTTGCACAGAACGAGGTCCCATATATCAGACGGCAAATCACACCAACCAGACGAGCTCATTCTATATTGACTGGTGCACTGATCCTTCGCACTCTTCCCCGATTGCGTACGAGACGCCTAGAGCGTTCTTTCTAGCGAAACATAATAAATGTGCTGTATTACAGAACACGCTAGACTGCAGTCTGGATGAGTATCGATGGTGTGAGGACTCTGCTAGAGAGGACTGATCCCAAACCCTCAGTCTGACGTGGTTTTCCTCGACCCTAGGGCCTTCTATACTGGGGTTATTAATATTGGAAAATCCCGGCAGTACCATGTTGAGATCGTCTGACACAGCGCCACTTTAACTTTCGCTTTTCTCCGAATTCGGCTTGTCACAAGCCGCTTGTGGTATTGCACTGAGGACAGCTGTATGTCTTGTTGAGGGATGTTAGATTGCCATCCAGGGCTTTCACAACGTTCGGCCGATGCAGCTAAGCGGAGGTTTTCTGTCCCGCGTCGAAGCTCACGCCTCCTGCGTCTTGGATGCCAGCATTGATCTTGTATGGGCTGTGTTGAGGTGCGCCACAGACGCCTGACGCCCGCCCGCTCTGTCAAACACCCCTCCAGACTTTTGCCAGGTTTCCCTTAAGTGCTCGGTCTATGGACAGAGGCAGCATACCAAACCGGAGGCACTTCCAGTACATGTAAATATGTCACCGGAAGAGGAAATATCGCAGCCTGGTGGCGATCGCGTGGTCTTCGTGCTTGTTTGCCTCAGGCTGTACATCACAGCAATAACTTGTCTGTAGTTTCACCTTTGGCACTACTTGTCTGCAGAGACTGGGGCTCTCTTGTATGGCTCAAAGAGGTGGATGGACGGCCCCTCCGCTCTTCGGTGGTGGTGAGGATCAAATTCCTCCATGCACACGGAAGTGGGGTTGGCACTTATGAAAGATCAAGACAAGATCAAGACAAAGACACTGACCTTCTGCGATTTTCATCACTGCTGCTCTCCGTTTTTATGATATCCCTAAGGATAGTTGATTATGCGTGGCAGATATCCAAGAAGCTGCCACCACAGACCGTGCTAAGAAAACTGTGGTTCAGCTGATTCGCGTTGTTGGTCTTTGCAGGAGGGTTCCTCAAACACTTGTGTGGGAGCCATCCGCATGGTGGAAATTGGTGCCCACCGCATGTTTGAAAGGCTCAATGCCGTGGATGATGACAAACATTGCATGTGCGGCCTGTTTCATCCTCTGCCAGAAACACCAGCAGCATGTTCCCAAGTCAAGTTTGGGAGTCAAATATGGCAGTCACAAAAATGTCACTGTCCTCTTGTGTGTGGCTGTCAGGAAGTGGCAGGTCATCTCGCACCCAGACACCATCAACCCTTTTCCAGCTTCTCTGGTCAACTATGTGTGCACCCTGAAGCTTTTGCCCGTCACCGTCGGCAACAAGACCTTAATCGACTGGCAAGGTGCGTGCTATGGGCTTACAAGTCTGTGCAAAGGGTGCTCTCTTGTGCCACATCTGCCTTTTGAGTAGAGCAAGTAATTGTGGCTGCCAGTCTGATGAGCTGCGCGGGGGGGTACAGGAGTACTATTCACCGAGATGCAGAGCACAATGACAATGAAGGCAACCCTGGAGCGCTGGTATCTCACGGGTTTCCAGAGCCTACAGGTGACTCACTTGCTGCTTCCTCTCGTCTCTCAAGCAAGACCTTTGCATGCTCAGAGTGATCCGCACGACACCCCATGACCTCCTGTAACAGTGTGCAGCTATTACGCAATCTGGATCTCTGAAAACCGGCTGAAACCCTGGTGTTGCTGCAGGAGTATGTGGCGCAGCGCAGCCACACGTTGCCACAAAAGCAGTGTGTGCCTCAGGTGGGGTCCGTGCCACCTGCTCAGGCCGAACAGCTCAGCATCAAAGAGCCACTTTTTGGTCAGGAAGACAGCCTGCTGTCCTCTGCCCGCGCTGCTGTCGACATGATTTTGTCGGTGTCTGATGACAGCGCTTGACACTGGTATCTGGGTGGTGGGCACAGGTGGGCACGGTGGACTACTCTCCATGGGCGGTGGGCTTGGCGGGCAGCTCAGTGGGGGTGTCGGTGGCATCGGGCGCCCCTGCAGCATCACCTGGCCTGACGCAGGCAAGCAGCTCTCGCAGCGCACCGGCAGCGATCCCTCGCAGCGTCTACGCGGCGTGCTCTCTAGAGGGCGTGGAGCTGCACCCCTCTCAGAGGGCTGCCTTCCACAGGACCATGTGAGCCCTCCCCCCCTCCCGGATGAAGCACAACTTCTCTCTCGACTGTTCCAGCCACCATAGGGAGTTGTGCGAAAGGGAGATATGGTGGACCTGATCCAGGTTCTGCAGCCGGCTGCTAGAGAACTGTCTGTCTCAACTTTCTGCCATTTTGTAGGAATGCTGCTTCCTTGCTGGGGTTCTTGTCTTGGTATGCCCAGTGCAAAGAGGCGGCAGGTGCTGACTCATGGGTGGGCTTGCCGGAGCAGGCCGTGTGAGGAGTCGCTGGGGCAGGCGATGGGCAGGATCAAGGGCGTGAGCATAGACAGCGACGTGCTGATGGGTCGGTCGTTGTCGTGGGGGGACGCGGCGCTGGTGCACAGCGCAGTCAGCAGCCTGCAGTCCCTCGAGCGGGGTTCCCTGCTGGGGTCGCTCCCGGAGGCGCTGCCGGGCAGCAACAGCAACAGCAGCAGCACAGTCGAAGACGGCGCGGCCACACCGTGGGTCTCCGCCAACACCCTCGCCGAGGACACCCTCAACACCCTCATCGCCGGCGGCCGCTCCGGCACGCTCAGCCGCGCCGAGCTGCGCACGCAGCTGAGCGGCCTGTGCGGCGGGCCGGTCACGCGTGAGGAGATCCAGCTTCTGGAGATGCTGCGCGACGCCAAGGCCCTGGCTGCCACCGGCGGCGGCGAATGTGTGTCGGCGGGGCTCGCTGCCGATGCGCCAATGGCGCGGACAGCGTCGGCCGACACAGCCGCCGCGAGCAGCTCGGGCAACACCGCCACCGGCAGCCGGGCCGGCAGCGAGGAGCTGCCGCCGAAGTTCGAGACCATGCACCTCGAAGCACACCCCATCCTCGCACCCTGAAGCCGCGCTGGGCAATGTCTGACCTTCTCGGTGCCCACGATCGATGGGTCCCTCGTTTATTGTACACTAAGCCATCCAGTATTCTGAAACACCGCGTGTCCCGTAAAATGACTGAGGTAGTATTTTAAATTTGGCCATCTCTTGCTTCTGTTTTTCTAGCATATCGAGACCGTGCTGGGGTTGCCAAAGCACTGTAGCCTACAATGTCCAGGTCGAGATGCTGGGGGCATAATTGACAGGCTGCACCTTTTGTATCTAGCTTGCTCTTTTTTGTAGCACGGCTGCAAATTGCCGAGTATGCCATGAGGCAGCCTCTCTTTTTGGGATTTAATCGTGGAAAGCAGCAGACAGTGGGTGTGAAGGAGATTGCTAATAGTGATGGAGTGATCGGTCTTCTTGTGTGCATCAGCCTGATAAGGTGATGGTCAGGGGGATCATGAGACGGTAGAGCCAAGGATGAAGGGCAAGAGATGACAGGCAATGCACGTTAGACTCTGATCCATCACCACAATTACTTCTCACAGGAATGCTGAAAAATAATTGCTGTCCCATCAAGTACAAGGCTTGTGTCAAGTCAGTTGACTACATCGTCGGCCAGAGTTATTGCCCTGCAAGGGCAGCTTTCACAGGTGATATTTATCACTCATAGTCAGATGTACTGAGCACGGCAGTCACAATTTTGTGGTTGAATGGTGAGAAGCCTTGAAAAATATCTGCAGCGCCTGGTTGCATGGCAGCAGGTTTTGTGGATGGATTGAAGTTCGTCCTTGTGTACTCAAGGGTGCTGCCTGGATGTTGGATGTCACATGATCACAACATTGATGCGGATTGTTTTGCGACGTCTCCAGCAAGTGGGGTACTTGGCAAGGTTTCAGGTCACGCCTGGGGTATTTTAGCGTACGCAGTGCTGCAATAAGCTTTGGCTCGGGTGTCCAAAAACAAGTGGTGATTTGTGCTTGGCTTTTGTTTAGTTTGCAGCTTCCTGCTTTTGGACGTCCTCGACACATGTGCTCTAGCTTTTCTGACTTTTGCACTGTTGATGTGTCCCTCAATATCTGGATGAATCTCTGCGCGGATCCATGATCCATGACCAAATTTTGTTGCTTGTAGTACATTGTGAGATAGTGAGAATTACTTCGAAGAAATTCCCAGAAAGTGTGTATATGGGCATATGCCTTGTATAAGGGTGAGCGGTAGCTGCAAATTTTGTGTGAACATTTAGCAGTGCTCAAGGGAAATTCTGTTAAGGAGCTTGTTTCTGAGTGTCCTGCAGCTCTAATAGGTCCTGCTATGCAAACTGCGGAGCGTTCCAGGGTCAGATATTACTGTACTGAGTCTTCACAATACACACCGCCATCACCAATGTAAGTGTTTGTCGGTCGAGGGAACTTGCATTTTCTGGCGTTTTTCCAAACCATGTGAGTATTCTCGCCAGCTGACACATGCCACATCAGAACTCACATGTCCAGACTGTTGTGCATGTACTGGTAGCCAGGCAGGCATACTGAGCCGTAATCACGAGCAGGGTAACACAAGAATAAAAAACATCCACAAGATTACCGGGAGCTTTCCAAGGGCCACCTGACAGCCTGCAAGTTTTCATCTGGTCTGTGTTATAGCTTAAAAACTTCTTGGAGTTCTGAAATCCGGTTGTTCTGTTTTGGAGTCCACGGGGCCAGTTCTATGCATTTGATCATCCTTCAAGCAGCAATTAAACAAATTCCCTGTCCTTGAGAATTACCGGGGCTGCCATGCTCCAGGAGTAAAGGAGCACGCTGACCCATTGGCTGACAATCTTCACCCACACGCTCACCCATCCCTTATCCCCAGTTTGGCGCCCCGAGACGCCCTCCAGATTCCACGTGGTGAACACCATGGCGATGTAAGCCGACGCCAGCATGAAGATCAGATGAAAGAAGTCCGCCCTGCACCAAGGACACAGCCATGTCAGGCATGCAAACAGAGAGGATGGCCTGTGGCAGCAGACACAAGATCACAGCATGGAAACGCATGCATTGTGGCAACATGCAGAACATAGCCCTTGAACAGGGTCAATACGGAACTTGTGCAAACGCTGCGGTGTCTCAAGTGTACAGCCATGCCGTGAGCTTAGCAAGCATGCAGGCAAAGGTACAAAAAGCAGTCACCTGTAGGGCAGGTCGCCATCAGAAGAGCTGCCAGAGCCCAGGCGGAAGGAGGCCGCCTCTTGAGAAGACGTCATGACGCTGATCAGCATGATCGCGAGCCCCAGGAAGAAGAAAAAGATCTGCGTACCGCCAGATATTCAACGCTCCATCGGAACCCCCAAAGAATGAACAGCAGAAAATTAAACATGAGAGCTCCGTTTTTGTTTGCAGGATGCCCAGATAATGCTACAGACGCTTGAGCCTACAGTGCCGCGCCAAGGTTCTGAGCACTGCTATAATAAGTCCACACAGCATACTGTTCAGTGTGTACTTATTTCCAGACTGGAATAAAGCGGCAGGGCGCACCTGCAGCCCATTAGACACATTGCCAGCAGTGAGCACACATCTGCCCGGAGGCTCACTGGAGAGTGCATTGAAGAGCACCACTGCAGTATAGATGAAGACGGTCGCGCTTGTCAGCAGGCCTGCCGCCTTGGACCTGTAGGGTGTCACCTGCCCGAGCAACAGCCAGAATCACCACCCAGATGACAAGAGCATGCTGCCAGAAATTCATCTCAATCTTGCAGGCGACCTTGCACATCTTACAACGACGTCTGAAGTTGTATAGTTTCGGGGTTAGCAGAGAGCAGGAGGTTTTGGAGGAGGCCAGTGAGCTAGAAAGGAAATGTCCTCCTGTCAACATCAGCTCTGCCTCCAATAATGCATGACAATCTGTGTTGGACGGAGTGAGCATTCTTAAAGGGCAAGTGTGATTTTTTCCATAACAAGCTTTTGAACACACTTCCACCAAGGAGAGGCTCACCGAGAAGATGGAGTAGGCGATGCCCATGATGAGGGTCCAGGTGATGAAGAATATGTTGAGGCTGCAGGAGGCGGTCGGCGCATAGAAGTGGTACATGAAGCCGATGATGACGAGGCCGCATGCATACATGGACACCGTGGCCCCTGATTCAATCAACATACCAAATCAACACATGCGAGGTTCCGCTGTGCATGCAACGCGGTGAGTAGCCCATGACATGCTTATCATGGAATAGTTGGGAGGTCATTTGAGGCCTCAAGGTCCACAGGAATACAAGTAGCTGCTCATGATCTTCACACGTACCCACAAGCGCCACCTTGTGGCTGGCATGGTCCTTGTCGATCAGGTACTCATTGATTGCATAGATGAAGCCCAGCAGCAGAATGATCTGGATAATGAGGAAAAAGCCCGACAACACCCGCGCGATCTGCGCAGCAACAGGCGCCGTTCAGCGTTCTTGCATGCAGCATGCATGCAGACCACATGCAATGGGCGACAGTGGTCAGATCAAAACAGCTCTGCCGCTTGGCTTGCATCAGATCAGCCAAGAACCTCAGGACCTTGTAGGCTGGGGAGATGGCATGCAGGATAGATTGCAAGCGTGCATGTCAGAGGGTTGGTATTGGAGTCTTGCCTGGCCATAGACGCTGAAGACATGGTTGGGCATCGCAAAGCAGGCGATGATGATGCCGACCCAGGCAATGCCCTGCAGAGGCAGCAGGCCGGTGTGGAAGAAACGGCGCAGGTCAGCCTCCTTGGAGACGCACAGCAGTAACAGCAGATGCGCCGCGAAGAAGATGAAGTTGCCAAAGCTGATGCGTAGCACCACTCCCTTGCCCACACAGGTTGCCTGCACTGTGCCAGCCCTTAGAGAAAGCAGTTGGCACCCATTTTAGCATGCAACACATTGTGCTGTCCGTAGGCTTTCCATGCAGCATGTAGATGGTTGGCGGGCACTGGCTGAGGACATGTCTGCACGCCAAGGTGCAAGGTGCACGCCAAAGTGATCATGGCTGGATGTGTGTGTATGTGCGTGATAAGGTCACCTTCAGTACACTGTCTGTGATGACCAGACAATCACGTAGAGGGCCAATATGGCCCAGGGCGGGCGAAGCATAGTCACGCAGCACCCAGGTGAGAACCGCCGTGAGCGCCAAGCCCGCAAAGTAGAAATATTTCGCTGAGTTGTAGCCAGCCGCAAGGCACCCCATCGCCAAGCAGCCTCTTGCACCAGGCTAGGCAACTAGGAGGCAGGCATAGTTATTTGCAGCCAGTGCGTGCCAGGGTCCCTGCAAATGAGCAGGACAAATTCCCTCTGTACAAGCCTGTGTTGTGATCAATGGCCACTGATCACATCGGTGGGCATTCTTGACCGCCACGCAGCGATATGGCAGAGAAAGGTTCAAAGCTACCAAGACTGGAAAGTGGGTGAAGCTGAGTGGGAAACTATAACGCACCTGATGCTCTGCCAACACAGGGCCCGGCGACCGTCTGTTACGTATACCAACAGTAGATGTTGGCCAGTAATTCTATTGAGGACTGCAGTCAAAGTGCCACAGTGAGAATGTGCATCGAGGTGAATTTCTGTATTCCTTGGAGATCAGATTTGGCCCGGTGCGTCAGGCTGATGCAGGAAATTTCACAAAGAACTGAAGCAGAGTGCTGAACAACTCAATAAACTGCTTGCGTGGATCGTAGTGGCAGAATTTGACACCGCATTTGGAATGGAATCGTATCGTTGTTTTGAGCCCATGCAAAGTCGTTTCGCCTTATCGCCAGACAATACTGTGCTGGGCTGGGATTGATTGGCGAAATGCATGCGAAACCTTTGGACCTTGCTGTGCAACACTTGCCTCTCAAATCCGCCCGCATCAGGTGGAGACAAGTAGAGAAATTCGTACAGAAAGGCACGAAATACGTATTGTCGAGTGTAATATTGAAGTTTAGGACGCGATATTTGATTTGTGGCCATATCTGTAGAAATTGTGATGCTTCCTTTCGAGGTCGTGCTGACGGGTGCATCGATCTCCAATTCAACCTTCCAGCGATACGATCTTGAAATAAATTGTAAACTTTGAAAGGTCCTGGTTGCTCTTCCTCGCTGGTTGGGCTCCTGTCAACGGTGGATTGACATGGCCGAGCAGCGAAACCTTAGGCAGATCCTCGAGGCGAGCAGAAAGACAGTGGAGGAGGCGTCAGAACGCCTGGAGTTGTTACCTCCAAGATCGGAGCGGCGACAGAGCAAGCTACCTCAAACGTTCACAGAGGCCTCTCAGTATGTTCAGGCTAAGGAGGATGAAAGGAAGAAGAGGGAGGCCAAGAAAGACAAACAGAAACAGAGGGGAAGCGCTCCTGCCGCAGAAGTTGTGCCAGGACTGACACCTGGACCGCCAGATTCATCACCGTTCTGGCTTGTGACAGAGGTATGAAGGGCAGCCTGCATGGAGCTTCTGATAGGTCCTGAATTTCTGTTCTCAGTTTCGGTCTTGTTTCTCCTTTTTGGTAGGAAATGACATTTCTGACAATTCACAGGGCTACTTCCGGGATGTCACCAAGGAGGACCTTGCAGAAATCCTACCTCCATTTGCCAATCCCTTGAAAGATCCCATCTTTCTGATCCCACCCATGGGCAGACCGTACACCCTGAGCGACGAGGATGAGCCAGCGATGCGATTTTTTGCTGGACATCAACGCAATCGTGCCAGACCAGCACCTCAGCATCCATTGATGAAGGACCGTGTGTCTGAGCTAAAGGCACAGGCAGCTGCAGAGGTGCGCATGCAATGCATGATGCATACCATGCTGGAAGGCCTTGCTGTGTTTCGTTTTTGACATGTTGACTCAAATCTCTCTGGATGTCTCACATCTTTTTGATTAAGCAAGATAGTAGGAAGATGGGCTCCTTGTGCCTGTGCAGACACCTGTGCCCCGCAACGAGGAAACACCCAACAGCGACTCTCCTGCTCTTGATGACACGGTATGCACACCGTTGCCCAGTGAAGCTGCATTTGAATAATCGATATTAATGATGAGCTTAAGAACACCCTATTGGAGGGCCATACCCTTGATGCCAGATGGAGGCCTGACTTTGCATGTGCGGATGATGCAGCAGCGCAAGTCACGGCGCTTGGTTGCACGTGCGGTGAAGGAGGCAGACGCTCAAGGGCCCGGCGATGACCATGCGCTGTCAGTTGATGGCACAGGCGCTGCTTTTTTGCTGCAGCGCTGCAGCGACTCTGAGCTGGCCCTCATTACAAGCCAGGTGCGACACATGATTATTGTGTTCTGAGAGTCGGGACCTCGATTGCTTGCATGACTTCATCATATGGCACGCTGAGTTTTGCCTTCACCACTGATTGCCCTGTTGCAAATGCAGGTCATGGCGCTGCAGAGCCTGCCTGAGGGGAACCTGGCAGAGGAGTGCGGGTGGCAGGAAGGGCAGTGGAGAGAGTGGCTGGCAGGCGGCAGCTTTGAGAGGGGAAGTGATGAGGGCGCAGAGGCGGGGACTATCCCTGAAGAAGCCCGCAGCAAATTGTATGCATGGCTAGCCAAACAGGTGCTCAGCATGCTCCAGCAGCCGGGCAGCACTACGAACGGTCTGCACGGCTCGGCTGTGGCAATTCTGGACTGTGATGCACCGCCGCAGGGCCTGCTGACAGCCAAAGGGGCCTCGCAGTCAGATCATGACGAGGAGTTGCCAGCTGCAGATGCCTCGCCAACAGATGCTGATGCTGCTGCAGAGGCGGCGCCTGCGGCTGTCACCGAGAGGCAGGCAAAACCCAGCGGAGCAGCCGCAGATACCAAGGTGGAAACAGAGAGCAGCCTCACAGGGATCAGTGCCGAGGAGACAGGGGCGTTCTCGTCCTGGGGGGAGTGGCAGGCCGCGTTGGGGAAGCACCAGCCGCCGCAGCAGCTGAATGCCGCCGAGGATGAGGTCCTGCACCCCTACACGCAGCTCATGCTGGACCAGGGCCCCACGCAGTACGTCCTGCGCCCAGAGCCGGACACCCGCCACGTGGCCACCATGAGCGGCATCGCGACGCCCTCTGCCGTAACTCCCTCGGTGTCGGCCGAGGACGGCTCGGCGTTTACCGGGCACCCCGGGGCGGCCGCCGACGCCGGCGCTGACTCGGCGAGCACGCCGCGGCTGGCCGCCGGGTTCCACCCGACGCCCTCCTCGCTGGCCGCCGTCAGCACCGCGGAGCACACGCCAGAGACCCCCTCCATGCAGCCGGTACTGGTGAAGGCAGAATCCTCAGCGGGCTTGCAAGGGCTGGTCGGGCCGGAGGAGAATGCAGAGAGAGTGGCGAGCGGCTCGTTTGCGGGACCCTCAACGCCGACCGGGGAGGGCTGGGGGCCGCCCGGCAGCCGGGGGCCGATCGCGCGGCAGCGCAGCCAGGTGAATTACAGCGCGCTGGCGGGCAACAGCGCGCGCAAGGCAGAGCAGGGCAAGGCGGCCGCGCGCAAGGCCAAGGGCCCGGACCGGCACGAGCCGCGGCACAAGGGCCAGACGGCTGCCGCAGTGCAGAGCGCTGTTGCATCTGGTGAGTTGTCTACCCTGAAACGCTGCATATTTGTGGTACTTCTGTTCACTTTCATAAGTCCTTTCTAAATTTTCCAAGAGGTCCGCATGCGTCATTCAAGCTATGAGCAAGTTTGTCTATCCAGTGTCTCCTTCTGCCACTTGTGTCCTGCTCTGGGATGTGGCTCTCAGAAATCTGGCATGCTTCATCCTGCAGGTGGTCAGGAGGGCAGCCTTGAGGACCAGTGGCAGCAGATGGGCGTGGCAGTAGATGTCCTGGCAACAGCGCCAGACGACGAGGTGCTTGCAGAAATCTTGGCGTTGCAGAGCGAGCTTGCGCAGCAGGTATGTACAAGCCCGCAGCTCTGTCTTCAAAGTTCTGAAATATACAGATTCCGATGAAGTTGAACTAAAATTGCAAATTACATCCATGTGTGTCTGGCAATCTGTCCTAATTAAAAAAGATGCATGTGTCCAAACTAGCTGGAGGCTTGTCCTGCGCAGGTGGCGGTCAATCGGGCTCGATTGGGCGTGGTTCTGGAGCGGCTGCTGCCTGACATCAAACACCAGAAGGAAGCCACGCAGCAGCAGGAGCAGGACATCGAGTTTGCAAAAGCTTACTTCACCGTGAGTCTTGTCATTCATTCCGTTCCCCTTCAGTAGCAAACATTGCTGCCACCAACATTGCTATACAGAATTGCTCTAAAAATGGAGATTTCATGGAATGAATTTTACAATTGGTTTGCGCGAGCAGCTACCGGCTTAATGTTTTCGCTGCTACACCCAAGTGTGAACATGTTGCGCAGAAGCTGAGAGCGGCGAAGCGGGGAGCAAAGAGGGAGAAGCGGGAGGCGGCCGCGCGCGATGCGCTCGCAGAGGCGCAGGCCAACCTGCAGCTGTCGCCGCGCCCGGCCGCCGGCCGCAGCCGCTCCAGCGTCGAACGCGGCAGCACTCCTAGCCAGGTACCGCCACACTCCCCCACAATTGTGCCCATCATCAAAGAAAAGGCCCCACAACACTCCTCGCTGCTAGTATTGCAAATTTTTTAGATCTTGGATACATTTTGTGGACCAGCAACTCGCTGGCCATGCTGTTGGGCAAGAGCATCTTGTCGCCTGTTGGCAGCCTGTATGCTTGCAGCATATCTTTGCCAGCGTTAGCGACCAGTGCTGTCCGGCGTTATTCAGGAGAGAGCGCAAGCGGTGTTGAAAAGGGTGTGACTGGGTGCCAGACGGAACTGGTGGACATGCTGGCCTGCCGCAAGGAGGACGAGGAGGCCCTGTGCGCGGTGTGCGGGGGCGGCCTGAGCGCTGCACCCAACTACATCGTCTTCTGCGAGCGCTGCGATGTTGCTGTGCACCAGCACTGCTACGGCATCACCGACATACCGCCTGGTGAGATATCTTAGCTCCTCCCGCACTCCCAACATTGCCTTAAACTGCCTCTCGACGGCAGTGCTCAGAGTAGGAATGCTTGGGCCCTATCATGGGCGTCGTTGTCTTTGCCAAAGATATGATCGTGAGTGAGTCAGCGCTGGTGTCACCCAGTGCAGTCAATGTCTCTCTGAGGAAGTCTGTAGATATGCTACATGAAGAACGCAGGCCGCAACCAATTGGGGTGGGGTTCTAAATCGTGCAATGTGATGGCCAGGGGAGTGGCTGTGCTGGCCGTGCCGGCAGCGCGAGGAGGATCAGCTGCGGGCGGGGCTGACACAGTACCAGATCCGGCCGCCGCGCTGGGAGGCTGTGGGGCCCAAGCGCCAGCTGGAGGGCGGCTCCCTGGCGGCCGAGTGCACGCTGTGCCCCGTGCGCTGCGGCGCCTTCCGTCGCACCGTCGACACTGGGGACTGGGTCCACCAGGTCAGCGGCTTTTGCTTTCACCAAAGCATGCCAGCATGTTCAACTGTTTGCCATGAGCGGGGTACCCTCGATGGGTCATTCTGTCAGCACTGGGGCCTCACAGGGATGTCGCGCCAGCTGGGCTTGCCGCTGTGTCTACTGCTTCATTCAAGCCACGATACACGCATGGAGTGAGTCACTAGCCTTCGAAATCCCGCTGGGGAGAGGCTCTTTGACCTTGGAGCTACCACAAGAGATAGTCTCCTCCAGTGATCAAGAACCAAAGTCAAGTGATGAGTCGGCGGTTGGCAGGTGTGCGCGCTGTGGGTGCCGGACGTGAAGGTGAGGGCGGGGGCCGGGGCGGAGGCGGTGGAGGGCGTTGCCTCCATCAAGGCGGAGCGCTGGGGCGTTCCCTGCACGCTGTGCCACTCCAGCCGCGGCGTCGTGCTGCGATGCAACGCGGGCCACTGCACGCTGCCCTTTCACGCTCTGTGCGCGCGCAATGCCGGCCATTACCTTGCCGTTCGGCCGGGCCCCGGGAAGAACCAGACCACCTACCGCGCCTACTGCGCGCAGCACTCCGAGACCCAGCGCCGGAAGGACGCCGACAACAACAGCAACCTCCTGCCCGGTACACCCGAGGTACGCCGCCTTGCTTTTCCCAGGTGAAGCTGCATGTTTGCGTCCTCAAATTGATTTCACGTTTGGTTCTGCAGAGTCACGATGTCTCTGCACCCTAGGAACCTGATAATCTCCAGGTCCTCAGTGCTGCAGAACATCAATTGTGCACAGAATCCCTCAGTTGTCTGTGTGTAGAAGTGGCAAGGTGGACAAGGCAATGTGAGCTCCAAGTTCTGCAGCTCACCAATGTTCCTGTGCTTGCGTGGGTGCGAGAAGCATCTTTCACGCAGCACCACAATGCAGCCATTGCTGCGACCGCATTGGGAACCCGAGGGGGCATCAGTCAAGGGGGCGTTTGTGACGTGCAGGGCAATGCACAGCGCAAGGCGGAGGCGAAGCGGCGGGAGAAAGAAGAGGCGGCGGCCTCGGCGGCGCTGCGGTCGCTGGCGGCCCGGGAGGCCCAGCAGGCGACGCTGCTGACGGCGCGGCTGGAACTGGAATCGCTGCGCGTGCTGCTCGAGCGCATCGGCCGCCGCGAACGCATCAAGCACCAACGCACGTTTGCACCCCCTTTGACCCTGTTTCATTTCCCTCGCATATGAGTCGGACTTGTTTGTAATTCACTCGCATACTTGCGAGGTTCTCTGGATCTCACTGGACCCCAAATTGCCAGCATGACCTGCTGAGCACGACATGCACCTGGTAGGGGAGGCATGGATGCATTCCTACTGCTCTTTTGTTGCCTGCGAAGAAGAAAAGAGGTACTGCCAACTGTGCCCTGTTGGAAGATTGACATCAGCATCGTTTTCGCCTCCGTGCCATGCATCCTGCCTATCATACATCATGCCAACAGTTAATGAGACACCAGTCTGAGCAGTGGCATGCTGAGTGGTAGCTGAATCTGGAGTTTTCCTGGCTCCTGCAGTGGTGCGGGCAACACAGGAACTTTACCGCGCTCGATCGGCCAACCCGGCAGCTGGCCTCGCCGCGGCAACCGCCAGTGACGCGGCCCTGTCGCTGCCTGCGCGTGCTGAGATGCGGCAGCAGCAGCAGCCGGGCCCCGCCTCCGCTGCTCCCACGCCCGCGGCATTCACCCCCGAACACTTCAACGCTGCGGATCCAGATGCAGCTGCTGCTGACATAGGTGATGCCAGACAGGTCAAGCATGTGCGAAATGGTTAAAGAATATAGACATTTTAGCGAGTCACGTGCAGACAATCTCGCCCTTCCATCTTAGGCAGGGGCCGTACTTAGCCACCTTTTCTCTGCAGTGCTTCCCTGCTGACTCAATGTTCACAATGGTCGTGCAGATGTCCAAGTAAAGCCCGGAAAGTAAATGACACTGAGATTGCGGGGATAAATAAGCAGGGATGAAGCAGCCGGCGGAGCCCCAGGAAGCATCAGCCACAGCAGCGGAGGAGATGCCCAGTGCCAGCGCAGAGCCGATGGAGGTGGACAACCAGGCAGAGCCTGCTGTAGAAACCCCTCAGCCCCAGGAGGTCGAGCAGCCCTCAACTGGCGATGCTCCCAGCCACCCACCAGAGAGCGCGGTTGCAGCAGCGGAAGCAGAGGCAGAGGCTGCACAGGAGGCTCCACCTGCCGAGGATGCGCAGCAGCCTAACGAAGCAGCGCCAGAGGCCGCAGCCGCCGAGGAGGCTGAGGTTGAGGCAGAGCCAGTGCAGGAAGAGGCGGCGGCAGCAGCAGAAGTGCAGGAAGAGCCGGCGGCGGCAGCAGCGGCAAATGTGCAAGAAGACGCGCCTGATGAGACCCCGCCGCCCGCGAAGAAACCTCCAGCCCCCAAGAGGAAGCGTGACTCGCCTGCCGCAACCCCTGCCTCCAGAAGCAAGGTGGAGCTCATTTCCCACCTGCCGTCACACTTTCATTCAAACAGCCTGATTGCTTGTGGGTGTGTCCCCTGCGTATTTTGGTTTCGTTGTAAGGATGTACTGTGCGTTTGTTGAGCCAACCGTGTGCTGGCCAGGCCAAGAAGGCCAAGGGCGGTGCAGGCAATGATGACAGCGGGTCGGCGGCGGCGGCTGCTGCAGCAGAGCCGCCGGCAGACGAGGGCATGCGGTCGCGCCTCAGGCGACCCACCAGCTCCAACCAGGTGGATATCTCCGCTAATATCTCCACAACCACCTGTCATTGTCGTGTGTGTTTTTGGTTTGCTGCCCTGGAATGTTTAGTAGCGATGGCTGCATTTAGTGTGAGCTGGCCTGCCCCTGCATGCAGCTGGACCGGCAGTGCGTCATGACGGGCAGTGAGGCGGCGGCCTCAAACAGCAAGCTGCCTAAAGGACTCAAGTATGTCCCCGTGCAGCCGCTGAGGAAGAGCTCACGCCCCACCAGCGGCCAGCCCCGCTACTGAGGGCATGCATGCGGGGCCCCGGGCCCGTATGGCCACGCTACATGCACGGACGCCTCGTCCGAGCGGCTCTGCTGGGCGGCCCCATGCAGTCACAGCAGTACGCGCACGTGCATTGCGCGGCTTTGAGCTGGTGGGGCCAATGATTGTGTGGCCCGTGCCGCCGTGTGAGCCTTCGTGTTGTTTCTGGTCTGTTCAACATTGATTGGAGGGGAGTTTTAAAACCCTCACATGTCGCCATGATCAGCGTTAGCATGCTTTGGTCCAACATATTACCGGGCTAGTAATTAGCGCTAAGTAGCATTCAAGCCCTACTCGTCAATCCCTCCAAGTTGGCATATTTTTGGGCCGAGAGCGAAGCCTAGCTAGCGGCCCGTGCAGCCGCTGCGGCACTGGGCTGCATGCAACCGGGTTGTAGCCTCCCAGAGATTAGCAGAAGAGGTGTCAGGCGCCGGCATGCACCATTGACCATTCTAAAAACCATGTTTAAGAGGCCTTGGTGACAGTCAGTCAGTCGGTTACATCTATTCCAGCCACCTCAGGCTGATCAGATGTCTGACTCTGATCGTCAGAGTCAGCGCCCAGCATCACATCCAAACATTCTGACACAAATGTGGTAACCCCAATCAAGTCAGCCTGCCAGAAGAACTGCAACATAGTAGGACACTGAAATAGTGAAGAATACTTGTCCCTAATAGGTTGCAGGTGTGGGCACTCAAACACTAAATGTTTCTCATCCCCTAGACTGCCGGGTCCACACAATGTACAGGCACGGTCAGCTCGGGGAATCCTGGCCCAAGAGCCAGTGTCCCTGGGCAAGCCATGACAACCCATCCTGAAACGCAGCATCTGTGTGACACACCGAGCAGGCAATGGCAAGGACAAATAAGATTTCCTAGCAGAGCCAACAGGGCGAGCAAACCACGCATGATAAGTGCAAAGGCGAGAATTATGAGACAGGCAGGTCCTAGGGCAGAAATCAAGGTCTGCCCAAACAGAGGCAGCACGAGCATCAAGCAACTGGGTAAATCGTGGCACATCAACATGGGTCATATCTGTGACACTAACAACTAATTCGTAGCCAATGTCACGCACACCTCGAAAGATTGACCAGGCCCAGTTCTTGACATTCCTAGTCACAGCAGCCTGGCAGGCATCAAGGGCAATTCTCTTATACACATTTTGCACTGGAAGCGTCTGACAAAAGCGTTTTGTGGCTGCTGCATGCTCCTCCCCCACGCTGATGCACGAGCTAACGGATCGCCGTCACATTATCCAAGAGTAGGTCACCGCCGTCAGCACGCTTGAGCAATATGGTACCATCAGGCAGTACACTCAGTCATGTCATAACCTGTTCTTTCACGATCGAGACGGATCAAAGCAAGCCATAGTACACGCCATACAAGGCAGTGCGGGCGCCATTAAAGGCTGCCTCGCGGTGCAAACGTAGTGCAATGCAGAAACCGAACACCCGGCACTACAAGACAATGATCAGATAGATAGGGCGTGGCCTGAAGATGATACCCGGTGCTAATCTAGAGGGCGGTGGTAACATCCTGCTTTACAATGGGGTGGCTTTCTCAGCCGTGCACGCCCGGAATTCGATAGTAATTCCATTCTCGCACACTGACGTCTGGCGAATAGTTGGTGACTTCGGGAAGCAGGCGCTATGGATGTGAGTAGGTCATTGGAAGTAGTTGATTGTAGCGCGCCGGTGCTTCGTGCCGTTGTTAGTATTGCTAGATAGGCCGTGACAGCGTGTTCTGAGGTCGTGATCTTGTGCTCAGGGGCGAGGTCGAGGGCCAACACATCTTCACACAGCTGCTGGTAAGAAAGAGTTGACGCCAATTCCAACCAAAATATGCGCGCTTCTCACTTTGCAGGAATTGTTGGGCGCTTTTCCCGGGGTTTTGACAAAGGACTTTTCTTGTTTATGCTGCAGGGTGGGGTTGAGCAGGATTATATAGGTGCATGTCGCGTGTTTGGCATATCTGACAAGCTCATCTTCGAGCAGCTGACGAGGCTGGACGATGAAGAGATGGTCATGTGCGAGGCTCCCAAACCTGATGCAGCTGTAGCTTCCTTTTGCCCTCACTGTTGAGGAATTCTAGCGTTGAGCCACTACCCAATGGAATTCTAAATCCTGAGTGGGTTCTTTGCTCCTGTGCAGGTGCTGGCAGGGCATCGCTCACCCGAGGAATTCCAACCCATTTCCAGCATCCTTCCTCAACTTCAAGGCGCAGCTGCGGCTGGCCCCCATCCTCATACCTGGCCGCCAGACCTTTATTGACTGGACGATGGATTTCATGACCGAGGCACACGCTGTGGATTATATGCGCGAGAGCATGGCATCCATCATGCGCGTGGCACTGCTGAGTGAGTTTGCTTACACAACTGCTGATACAAAGGGAAACGACTAACCCGGCCTAGGATGCCTATTATATCTTCCAAGAAAACAATCTGGTGACAAAATTTGCATTGTCTGGCCGGTCCACATGATCTGTTAGCTGACTGGCGGCGCTGGAGATGCTGACATTGCATGATTAGTTGGCGTACTGGCGGCGCTGCTGATGAGGAATCTGTGGTGCTGCTGCAGATCTGCAGAAGTTCATGGCGACGGGCAGCATGCCCTCGCACTCCCTGGAGATGGCCATTCGCCCACCGGCATCCTACGGCATCTCCACCATGCCGCAGCCGGTCTGCGCGCCAATGCTCCTGTACCACCAGTCTGTGACCAACCTTGCAGGTGTGCAAAAGAAATGGGTGCATTCAAACCACTATCCCCACCTGCTATATGTTGGAAAATCCTCGCTTAGGTTGCATGCCCACCTCGTGAAGGATCTTCTGGAACTTGATGATTTGCTCAGCAGTACTGGATTCTGTCTAGCAGCTTCTGCTGGACAGACAGTGACTTCATCCCAAACAGGGCCAGAAAGAAGTCTGACGATTTGTGATCTCCTGTGGCAGGGTCACAGGGCTTGAGGCAGGCCAACGCGACCTATATGCCGCCGCCGATGCAGCAGACGGCGCCAATCTTCTCCTCGGAATGCATCGACCGCACAGTCGAGCGCCTGGAGCCGACAGTGCCGCTGCTGCACCAGGCGCACCCGGCCACCCACCTGCTTGCCAACGCCCTGCACAGAGCCCAAGCGTTGGCGGCCAAGTCCGCCCCGATCCTGCGGCCGTCTTCTCAGGGCATGGGCTTTGCCGTGGGGGAGTACCGCCGAAGGGGCAGCGCCTCGGTGGCGGGGGAGTCGCCCCGGGCGCGCACCGGGGGGTCCCTGGAGGAGCTGGACTCGGCGCCAGGGTGGCGGGCGCAGGGTGCGGACAGCCTGGCCATTTCTCAGGCCGGCTACCCGGCGCACCTGGTATCGGCTGGGACGCTGTTGCCTGGGGGCCCCGTAGGGCTGGGGGTTGCGCCGCCGAGCGACCAGGGGTCGTTGACCCGCGCAGAGCAGCCGGAGCAGCAGGAGCTCTCCTTGCACCACGCCGACTTGGCCGACGGGCAAATGCTTGCGCGCAGCCGCGGTGGGAGCATGCCGTCAAAGACCTCCATCCGCGCGCTGCTGGCGTCCCAGCCGTTCTCCGCGTCGCGGAGCGGCGAAGCCAACTCAAGGTGAGTGTGCCTGTGAGCTAGCGTGCTGCTATGTCATGTGCAGCCTGCTGCCTGTAGATGACCAACCACCCCGCTGATGCTGTCCAGTGGCCTGTTTTGCCAAGCATGCCTGTGGCATTTCAAAGCCAGATTCATGCAAGGGCTCACACCGAAGCTTGCCCACCGTGCAGCAGCAGCTTCCGGGGCTTCCAGGAGCGTCCACCGCTTGTCCCCGAGGCAAGGACCCCCCCTCGCATCGAATCTGGTGTGTCTCTGGACAGCCTGTCTCTGTCCGAGGGCGGTCGGTCATTTAAGAAGAACCATAAGTAGTCGACCAAGAGCATTGGATTGCACGGGAGAACTGATGCGGCATAGGGGGCCCAGCTGACAGCGCGGCGGATTAGTAACCAAATGGCCAACAGGCCGTGGATGATGTCAGCGCGTGTATTGCAGGCTCCTCAAGGCCTTACATGACTGTTCCGGGGGTGCAGCCCAGGCCACTGGGGATGCAGAGCGTTGGGTTTGCCCAGGCTCCATGGAAGTGACTTGTGTGCGGGTACATTGACATGTGTGACCCATATGTGGGATATTGATATGATACGTAAGTGCTCGATATGAGCACCTTGCAGACCTACCAGAGGTTGCATGGATTGGCGACATAATGTATGACACCGGGATCGTGTGCCAAGTCTCTGGGTGTGATGGAGGGCCTGCTAACGTGGCTAGCGGCCCCTCTGTGACACCTGTTGGTGGGCCACTGTGGGCGCTAGAAGGTGCTGGTCCCCGTTAGACAGCTGTTTTAGTGCATGAGGTCGTGGGACACGGGCAGAATTGCGGGCCCGCTGCTTACAGGCAGAGCCGGCCCTCTTTTCCTGCCCCACCCTCAGAATTTGAGAGAACTGAATACTGTATCTCGACTCGAATAGGTGGATTCGGGGCGCTTTTCCTAGCGCCTTCTGTGCAGAGTTACTGAAGTGTGTGTATGGCCGCGCGTAAGGCTAGTTTTCTGTTCTTGCTGGCTGAAGGACCCTTTGGGTTGCATGAGACCAGGAGCCTTGCCTTGGCATTGGGAGAAAAGTGGGGCATCTCCTTTCTTGCTCTGTTCTGGTTTGGATCTAGGTCGAGAGGATGGGCGCTGTCGACGGTGAGCAAGAGTGCATCAATGGTTGCCTCGACCCCGTTCGCTGCGTCACATCGCTTTATCTTGTACTTTCAGAATTGCATTGGTTGGTTTGCACCTGACCGTGGGGCCTTCAGAATGTTGAAGCCCTGCGCTCTTGCTGCGGTCGTTTTGCCGCACCTATTTTGGGTGAAAGGGCACTTCTTGTTGTGTTGGTTTGCCTGGGCTTGAGTGTGCACAACAGCACTAACACATGGGAGTGCTGTTGTTCCTGTCAGTTCAGGTTTGTGAAGATTTCTTTCGAGAGCATGTTCCGTCCTTGCGGAGCATGTGCACCGCCGTCTTATGTTACAGGTACTTGCTTTTGTGCGATTGGCCCCTTGACGCGTCAATAATGACCTTGCATGACCTGTAAGCAGGGTTGCAAAGTTCATGTTGTGGTTCTACATGTACAGTTTTGAGGCTCAGTTTAAGCCTCTAGCGCGCGTCGAATACCATACTAGCCTTATTGAAGCATGCCAACTCCACTTCACTGTGCGTCACTATCACGTTAGGTACCACCAGTGGCAAGAAGTCTCAGAGCACCTCCTGCACTTTGTCATCCGTCCAATTCCTGAAAATGAGCAGTGCAAATGGACTCCAGTATCATGCAGCTGCGGTATACAAAGCATGCTATGCATGCGGTCGCTCCAATTTAAATTTGTCATGGACACCCGTGGGAATCCCTCAGAAGACCCAAGATGATGCCCTTGTCTTGACAGTGAGCACACAGCAAGTGCAAGGGATGCCTTTTAGTGCACAACAGGTTGATTGTGACCTCACACTATGGGCATCTCTAGGCAGAGCAGCTTGGTGGGACAACCATGCATTCCTGTGACTGAGTTTACAGACAGAAGTTTCAAGTGTATTAATATGACATTAGGCTGCTCGACATGAACGAGAAAATCAATAAGCTGAATACTTCGTCTTGAGTTCATGTCCGCCTTCCCAACAGATACAACCGTGCCGCAATCCGCAGCAAAGAATGCACCAGATCACACCCCAAAATGAAATGTGCCTGTTCTGCCCCGTACATCTCTAGTGTGTCGGTGCCAATTATTCGGCCAGTTGTGCTCACAACAAATACGAAACCGCTCGACTTTGATAGCATCCTGTGCCTAAGCTCGTGAATCCTGAATGACGAAAACAAGTAAGGAATTCCGCTGCTGTTGACATAATCTTGACAAAGATCTCCTAGTGGGCGTCGCGCCACAAAGTGCAAAGAAGAAACAAACTACCGAACACACCCCTCTTGAGCACAAACCATGCTTCAGAGGATGTGGCCGAACAAAATCGGCCATATTAGAGCCGGCACAACGTGGCGCGCCCAGCCGCCGCATGCCCTGTCATGCTGACATTAGCATAACTTCTCTGAATGTAGGCCATTCGTTGTGCATGTGTGCTGGCGTGCATGCTGCCTCAGTAGGTTGTGAGTGGTTGCCGGGAAGGCACTTCCGCTCGGCGCTGCTCCAATGCCAGCACTCCGTTGCTGAGCGAGTTGGTGGAGCTGGAGTGTGGGAAGGCGCTGTCAGACTGGGAGCTGGGGAATGACGGCCCCTTGATACTCCTGCACGCATGGCCAGAAACACTGTCATTTTCTCAGCAACTGTAGACCAACATTCCCGGGCACCCCTTTGATTAGGAAAATGAGAAAGAGAGATGCACGCTTGGAGCGCCACAGTACATGGAAAGGGCTGCGTAGCGGTGTAAAGGCAATGCAAGCTATCGTTGCCAGCCCTGAAGGGGGTGGCCACTGCAGCATCTGCTGCCGTCACCGCTGCCTTTACACTCAATGAGTTGTTTCTGCAGTACATACAACAGCTCCCCGCTGCCCTGCCCTGCCCTGAGGGGCAGACGCAGGACAGACAGCCATGCTGTTGCGACCCTGGTGCACAATTGCACTGCATCCTGACAGGTGTCAGGGGACAGAGGAGGGAACGCGGCGCACCTGGGGCGGCGAACGACCATGGGCTTGGGGAGGGTGAGGTACAGGAGGGCGACACCGCAGAGGACAAAGAAGAAGAAGTAGGCGTCCAGCACGAGGACGTCGCGCACGAGCACGCTGGTGTTGACGCTGATGAGCTGCAGGAAGAGGTCGCCAGTTATCGTCACCGACACGCCCTGCGCCTGCGCAGCCCAACACAGCCACAGCCTCAGCCGACATTGATCTCAACATTTTATGTGTGCAATCCAGGGACAGATGTGTGCCCGGCCAGTCATGAAAAGCGCACAGCATTGCATGGCCCGAGAGGCTTGTGCTCAGTATCACTGCTCACCACTGACATTCTGGGACGCACCCAGCTCAGTGCAGATCAGTGTCTCATGGGTCAAGATTAGATTCTGAGGATTGGCAGCACGGTCAGGGCAGTGTGCCAATAAATACAGATGTGCCTGGTGATGCTCTCTGATGGCGGTGCAGGTGAAGCGGAGGGTGAGGGCGCACCGCAAAGAGCAGGTTGATGCCGGACATTTCGTTGACGATGAGGGACTCGAAGCCAAAGAAGAAGACGGAGAGGTAGTGCACCCACTGCAGCACGGGCGTCACCGCCGCGATGTTCACCAGGTAGCCCGTGAACAGCAGGCTCAGCAGCAGCACCTAGCGCACCACACCCGCTCTACCTCTCAGCACTCCTGCATTATCTCACGTTTGTTCTGGCCCTCCAGAGCCACTACAAAAGCCAATCAGGACCACCCTTCTGTCTCTCATTCACATCAGTGCCCGTCAGAAACACGATGCTGAGAATGCATGGCACCAAATATATTTTCTATCATAAGGACCCTTGGTCCTCTGCTTTCCCACGCTGCAGAATGCCACAAAGCAGAACACCTGCATAGAGATTGAAGACAGGTAAAAAGCGGGGGGCCCGTACGCACCAGGTTCATGATGAGGGCGGCCTTGCCGGCGGTGCCAAAGCCGACTGTGATGGCCATGGAGAGGGCGCCGACGGTGGCAGAGAAGACGGCCAGCACGCAGAAGAAGAGTGCCACGTGGCTGGCATCCGGCTGGAAGCCGATCATGGGATAGAAGGGGATCGAGTAGATCACTGCCGGCAGCACGCGCAGCAGCAGCCCATCCAGCGTGGCTGTGGGACAAGGCACACTGATTATTACCGCCATGCTCAACAAATTCTTTTCTTCCCAGCTTTCCTAGGCTTGATTGCTCTCTGCGTTGCCCTCAATGTATTCATCCCCCAGATCCTGCATGGCTCTTCCAAGACATTTGCAAGAAATTCCAGCAATTTGCAGCAACCCGGAAGCCCTTAGCCTCCCAGCTGACAGGGTCTTGCCACTGGGATTAGGCAAGGATGAAATTAGGCCCAGGATGGTTAAGATTTGGGGTGGAGGTGGCTCACCCTTGGAGAGGTAGTAGGAGAAGGGGCGGTAGTAGCCGCCCAGGCACTCCTTGACCACGAGGCCGCGCTCGTTGACCAGCAAGTCCACCGTCGTCAGTGACGTCAGCGCCAGGAACACCAGCGAGAAGAACACCGCCCCTGCCACGCACGGCACATGGTTCAGGCACCTGCCGTTTCTTGGCCATTGCTCTTTCAACTTCAACCGAGCACACACAGGCCCTGGCAGCCTCTGGCAGCAGACCTCTACTCATCGTGTGATCTGTGCGCCTAAGTCAGTTCTACACTGGCTTCCAGATACCACTTAGTACTCTGTTGGCTGTCAGATCCCTGAGAGAATACTTTGCACTCCTATGCAAATGGGCCAGACACGAACAGGCTGCAAATAATCTCTTGCACAGAGCACGCAGACAGAACCCACTAGAAGAGTGAGGAATAGGGGCAGCAAGGCAGGTGGGCTTGGCAGTAGGCAGAGACATGGGCGGGGGCCGCACCGAGGCGGTTTTGGGCGCCGGCGATGTCGTTGCCGATGTGGTAGAAGATGCCGCCGCAGAGGAGGCCCATGACGAGGGCCATGGCGCAGTGCATGGCCAGGAGCGTGGGGTTGCGAATAATCTCCGTCAGCGTGCGCCAGAACAGCACCGCCAGCTCACGTGCCAGCGGCGCGCGCGGCGGCTTCTTGTGCTGCGCGCAGAAACAACATTCATCGACCAGCACACACATGGACAGGGGGGTCATGATACACCCTCACAAATATTGCTTAAGCAAGCCCCAGAGCGTTTCAACACGGATGATTATATCATGGTTGACAAGCACGCAGGGAACCTTTGGCAACTGCCGCATCAGCTGCAGGACAGGTGCCGCGCCATTTAAATGGTTATCTCTCAGCACCGTCTTGCAAGGCCACGTGCACAATTAAACTGTAGCAGCCAAAGCGATGATCTTGACAAGGCAGAATTTTGTGCTGGAAAAGGGATGTTGATCGAAAACTTTCAGCAGCACGCGGGAGGAATCTCACCGCTAAAGCCTGCGTGAAGCTTTCATCCTTCTCGTCGCCGGGCAGCGTGCTGGTGGGCAGCTCGGTGAACTCCGCCTGCAACCATCACCAAAGCAGCCTCAGGCAAAAGACACGGCAGATCAAAAACAACTTCAGTACCAGCACCCGGCGGCGGCCTGCGCGCCGCATTGAATTGAGCTACAACGCTGAGCAAAGAGAGTTGCCCTGCCCCAGCCAGGCCTGTCTACTCGACCTCCCCTCTCTACAAGCTGCATCTGGGAGCCCTTCCTAGATTTAGCCTGGTATCTAACAGCCAGAGGATCTCAAGAAGCATAGGGGGTGCTAAATACGGCTACTTGCACCGATTGAAGGCTTGGTGTGATTATTCAGTTAATCTGAGCAATGCTTGTCTTAGCATCCCTGTACCTCATGTTATGTAAGATAACCTAAAGTTGATTTGGATCCCAGGGCCCAGAGGTATCGACAGGGCGAGGGGTGCGCACCGCTGCAATGCCAGCATGGGGCCCGTGCGAGTCGACGTGCGCCATGAGCGTGTGGAGCATGGCCGGGTCGGAGACGGAGGTGAGCATGTGCTCTGCGATGGCGGTGTGCCCGGGGCAGGGCAGCCCCGCACGCTCAAAGTGGCCGTAGGCCGCGGCTGGCTCTCCGCTGTAGACCATGTGGCCGCGCGCCATGAGGAACACGCGGTCCAGCAGCTCGTACATGGCTGGCGACGGCTGGTGGAACGACAGCATCACTACGCGTCCCGCCTGCGCCACCTGCGCGCACACCCCGACACAACCAACTCAGCACCAATTAGTTGATCCCCTATTTCTGAAACACCCCACTCACCGGTGCACCTCAGCACCACCCGCTCAGCCCCCGTTTTATATTCCCACTTAAAGGGTGAACCTAACAGCGCCCGCTCAGCCCCTGATTTTCAATTCCCACTAGAGCACACTCCTATGACTGATGTAACAAATGCTCAGTGCTCTTTCAATCCCACTTTCCAACATGATCCTGCAACTAATGCAAGAATTGCAGCCTGATAAGGAGCTGGGAGAAAAGACACCTTGTTCTCTGTAGAGAGTTTTGCAGCCAGTATGTACGTACAGGTGGCACAAGGCCTTCAGAAACACCGGCTACCGCATTGGCACAAAGGGAGAAGGTGAGTGAGGGAAATCACACAGGCAAGGACCGACACGGACCTGTTTGAGGGTGGTCATGAGGTTGACGGCGGTGTAGGAGTCGAGGCCGGAGGTGGGCTCGTCCAGGATGAGGATGGAGGGGTCGATGACCAGCTCCATGCCGATGGTCACACGCCGCCGTTCACCGCCGGAGATGCCGCGGATGCCGCTGCTGCCGCCCACCTGGCTGCCCGCCACGTGCTCCAGGCCCAGCTCATACAGCACGCCCTCCACCCTCGCCTGCAGAGTTTTGTGCACTCTTTCTAAAACACAAGATGACTTCTTATCTGTCATGCTTTGAGCTCCACAGCTCGGGCTGCACCCTTCTTCAGACACAGAATGACCTTCTTTTGTCATGCTTTGAGCTCCACAGCTCAAGCTGGTACGCTGCAATGTGTGGGAGACAGCTACTCTTGTTGAGAGACACCCATGCTGACCCGGTAAAATAGGAGCCCTTGACACGCCACCAATCTCCCAATTGCAGGATCCGGCAAGCCAGCATGCATGCGCACAGGGGATGATGCGAGAAAGGGACGGGTGGGCTGGGCACCTTGACCTCGGCGGCGGTGGCGGAGCGCGGCAGGCGCAGCTGGGCGGAGTAACGCAGCGTTTCGGCGACGGTGAGCGTGGGCAGCAGGAAGTCAAACTGGGGCACGTAGGCCACCAGGCGGCTGGCCCAGCTGCGGCGCGGCTGCCCATCCAGCGTGACCTGCCCATACACCCTGCTGCTGGCCGACAGCGAGCTCACGCTGCCTGCCAGCACACTCAGCAGCGTCGTCTTGCCGCACCCTGCAACGGAAGAAACATGACAGCGGTGAGATTCATCCTTCAAGTCTCTACCAGAGACAGCTTCATCACATGCATGAGGGGCACTGGGTTGCCAACAGCACAGTAAGCTTCTTTTTATATTCCTGCACTTCAGCTGCTTGGTTGTATGCGTCCGCTATATTATCATTCAAGTGTCCAAACTCCTGCCAGTTCTGTGCCTCATGCCATGTATGCTCTGCCAACATATCAATCTCTTCTGCATGCACGGCTCTCAAAAGCAGGGTCAATGGCACAGGAGGGGTCAAGCCTGGAACGCACCTGAGGGTCCAAGGACGCCGACCAGCTCGCCCATCTTGGCCTGCCCAGTCGCGTTGTCCAGAATGTTCACCTGCGCCCGCCGCCCGCACAACCGGTCGCACACCGCTGTCTTTAACCCGCAATGCCGCTTCGGGCCCCGGGTCGGGCCGGCACCCTCCGATGACGAGTCATCATTTGTCGCGCCCACCCTCACCTGTCCCACATCTCTGCCTGTCAGAACTGTGCATGCATGCCATTTCCCTCGCAATTGCAGGTGCAAACAAGTCCAGGAGCTCTGTAACATGCAAACAAAACAATGATGTATGAGGATTCTGAATGGTCACCTGGCCAGGCAGGTGGATCCTTGTCTCTCCTTTGCCATTCTGATGCACTCCATTCTCACCATGCTTGTAGTACCCATTCGTGCCATTCTCCATTCCATTTGCCATCTGCGTAGCAGCCATGGGGAGGATCTGATTGAGATGTAGTCTCCAGAAGTGCACTGGGATTGTAAACGACATTCTATCTAGTAGATCTATTCCCATCATCATCAGGCGCATGGCAGGACTGATTCTAAATCTGCATGAGGAGGAAATTGGGGCGCACAGCAATGCTTCTGTCCTGTCCATTGGCGAGCGGGCGGCCGTGGCCGGCCGGCTTGCCATATTGCACTGCGTTTGCCCAGTGGGCCCGGTTGAAGCGCGAGCCGGGCACCGAGCAGCTCACATGCTCAAACCTGCGCACCCAGGTTTAGCGTCACCACACAGAGACAGCTTCCAAGCACAGTCAGCACTTCGCGCTGTCTTCCATCGGCACCCCACATCAGCAAGTGTCCAAACCTGTTGCCTCTGGCTGCCTTGGGTACCAGCTCTTTACAAGTCTGAATCATGTAGGGCTTGGACACCTAGGGGCAGAAGAAAAATCCGCTCACCTGAGAACGTGAATGGGGTGGGCGGGAGCGCGCGAAACACGGTCCTTGCCGGCCGGCACGAAGACGGCCGACGCGGCGCCGCTGGGGCCCTTGGCGGAGCGGAAGGCGGTTGCAAAAAGCGTGACAACTGCCGCCATGCCGCAGAGCGCAAGCAGTGCCATGATGGGGATGGCCGCGATGACTGATGAGTAGTCACGGTGCACCGTACTTTTGAAGGTGCCTGCCAAAGTGTCCAAATCAGCTTAAGCTTGGTCAATCTTGCTAATGAATTGTGTGCAAGCGCCACATGAAGGCAGAGAGTCAACGGAACTTAGCTCTGCGCACTTGACTAATCTCTTAATAATTTCTCCTCTTGGGATTCAAGATGGTGGGCAATTGAGTCTTTGTGGCAGGCATCACTGTCACAATGCATGCTGATGCCGGGACCGAGTGGACATACCTGAGTTGAGGACGGGGTTCTTCTCAGACACGCAGTCGCCCGCCTTGCAGGGCGTCTCGAGCTGGATGGGGAAGTCTTGGATGGCAATATTGCAGACACCCGAGGCGTCATTGCAGTCCGCGGTGATCTCCTTGCCCTGGATTTGGTCGATGTACGCCGCGGCGATGTCCGGGCAGGCCCCCTGGGGGCAGGCGCACTGGGACGTCTTGCACTGGATCTTGGAGGAGCCCTCCTGGAACTGGCACGCCGACGCTGTGCACTGGATGGGGTTGTCCGGGTACGCCTGCACACCAGTAATTGGCACCATTCAGGATCACAGGATGGAGAAACATGAACCACATTGTCACTGACTGTCTATTGCCCCAGCCACCACAATCTGCTGCACGAGCACCCCTGTCAAGACTTCATAGCCTGCAGAGCAGTCAAGGTTGACTGTATGGTGAATGCTTGCAAACGTGCACGGAGCGTTGCATGAAGTAGGGACCGCTCAAATCAATGTGCGAAGATACTGCACTTGATACTGGGGAGAGGGCGCTACCTGGAGGCGCAAGCCCAGGCGGCAGTAGCCGCCCTCGTCTCCTGCGTTGTTGCGGACCTGCGTGGTGTTGCAGTCAATCCAGTAGCCGCGCTGCGGAGTCAGCAGCCCTGACAGCACCGTCTGGCTGAAGTCGCACACGTATGACTTGTACAGCGTCCGCCTGCATGCGCACTCATCCCATTGATGCCCCAAAATCAAGCCTTTCCTGATCGCCAAGCTCGCCCACCGGCTGGCTTCCTGATCATTCGGGCATCTAGCAGTGCTCATGCTCCCAGATATACGCGTGGGAGGCTTTCAACAAGCTTCCAACAATAGATTTGGCACATAATTAATATTATGGAGAGAAGTAGAATGAACACAGAGTCAAAAAGCATAAAATGCATGCTCACTCCGTGAACTGGAAGCCGGTGTTGCAGGTAGCAGCGGCGTCGCCCAGGCTGGCCTTGCAGACTTGGTCAGCCACGCAAGCATCGCAGTTGGCGCCCTGCCATCCCTGTTTGCAGCTGTCGCACGCAGGCGTCGCCCCATTCTTGCACACCGCTATGCCTGCACCAGGAAGCCACAAGCGATCCGTCAGGCCCTTCGTGCACCCTGTGCTGCCGTGTCTCGCCCTTCTATGTACCTCCACATTGCTAGGAAAGCACTGCCCTCTCAGCCTGTAGGACCCTCTCTCCAAAGATCGCCTTCATGCCCAGCAGTGTGCCACAATCTCCTGCGGAGCTCAATGGCATCGAGAAGGTTCCGCATGTTTTGAAAACCAAGAACAATGAGGAGGACAGGCAAGTGATGGTGTGAGGCGAAGATGTGCGCGCACTGCTCTTGGGGTCCAGGTCTTTGGAGGGGCCGAAGGCGTTGCCGGCCAGGACGCCCAGAGCGCCGCCGCCGGTGCCGGTGGACACGCTCTGCTGCACCGCGTCGGCCGTCGACTGCTGCGGCGCAGCAGAAGCCCCGCCACCCGACAGGATTGGCACTGACTCCTGATTGGCAGCAGTGCCCGTGTCTGCAGAGGCACAACATGCAACAATCAGTCACGTCTTGGCGGGCTCTGCATTGCCCCGCTGAAGCACAGCATATGCTGCCAAACAGCGTCACGTCTATGTGATCACCAGGTTGACATCAGTTACAAGCCTTCGCCGTCAAAAGCTTCTCCACGCACACTATATGCTGCCCCTGCTACGGTTGATCAGCCGCAGAGATAGGCGGCCAAGTGATCAGAAGACAACTTGAATGCTCACATTGGGTGCTTCCAGCGGCTGCAGCAGCGGCGGGCGCTTTGGCAGGCGGCGAAGCTCGCACGGCAGCCTTTGCTGGAGCTGGTGCGGGCGCCAAACTCGATGCAGCCACCGGCTTCCTGGCAGCCCCCGGGCAGTTGGCCTGGACGACCTGGCTGCAGTCATCGCCTAGCGCACCAAAAATACATCTCAGCATATGCTTGCATTAGAGATCCGCATTGATAGATTCTGCCAAGATCAACATGATGGTGCACTGCTTGCCCCAATCTTGCCGGCTCGCTTTAAAATGCAATGTGCGCTACCTTACTGCAGCTGCAGAAAGGATAGTATTTGCAATCAATATTTCATTGCATTCTGCCAACGGGCTGCGCGCACCTCCATAACCACAAGCACATGAGCAAGTCTTCTGGGCCGTGCAGCTGCCGTGCACTCCACAGCCGCGTGAGCAGCCCAGGATCGCCTGCGCAAAATAATATCCGGGCTGAATGATTTGCATATATCTGGGCGTAATGATCTGCATATCAGCATCCAGGGCTGCCAGTGTTTCAGCAAACAGCCACATCCGGCGTCAGGTGATTTGAGGACATGAAGGTGCCCCAAAACTTGTTCAGGCAATTAGAGCAAGACAACCAGGTCGAAAATCAAAGGGATCTAGGAGGGGCAGCGCACCGAGCCCTGCACATTGCCTGCAAAGTAGTATGCAGCCTCGCCTTGCAGCCCAAGGGTCTCAAATTGCGAGACAAAGGTGAAGTTGAAGTTCGAAAACGTCAACCTGACGCCTGAGGTGCCCTGCATGCAGGCAACAACGTTGCGATCAGAAGTGATGTACTATGCCCAAGCACAAGGACTTCCCTCACCCCTGTCGTCTGCCCTCTGCTACACTGGACACACATTTCACAAAAAATAGGTATGACAACAAACCCTTTAACACAGACTTGGCTTGCTGGACCAGTTCTTCAAGGGAAAAAAAATTAGATACTTTTGCCACAAATACACTCTGCCGCATTGCACAAGGAGGAATGGTTGCACATGATCATGCATGACACATCCAAAGTGGTCGATCATTGCTGCAGAGAAGGGGCACACGGTTGAATAGACTGAAATCAGCACTGAAGAGTTGGTTGTCAAGGACTCCAATTGCACCGAGGACCCTCCTCCTCCATCTGCACCCGCAATGGGCAGGGACGTTGCAACACTGGAACTTCCGTTCACGACTTGGGAGAACAGCGTGGTCCCGTAGGCTCCATTGGCCGGTGTCGCTGGTAAAGGAGGGAGCGGCGGAGACGTCAGGTTGAACTCGATGCCGTAAAAGGTCACCTCAGCCAGTGCTGCTTCTCCGATCTGCGAATTGCGATCGCAACATGTTATTAATCGAAGACATATGTGGAATCGGCGTTTCGCGGACACTTGGCATGTGATTCAGGGCAACTGCTCCGCTAGACATGGCAGCTTTCCCCTGCTCGCGCACCTGTGCCTGGAAGGAGTCTGGCTGCATTCGTACTGGATCTGCATCTGCAGGTGTGACCAGTTTTGCTCCCGGTAGCGCATTAGCAAACGCCGAAGGCGTCGTGGGGCAAGCTTCGCTGGGAAATGACAAAAAAAGCTTCCCAGCGAGGCTTAATTGCTGGCTGCTATTGACCAATATCGGAGCTTGCAGAGGCTGTAAAAGTTCTCCTCCGGCAGTAAGAGTGCTCTTTGCGGGCTCAACGTCCAAGCCGAGCAGGCACTGACCGCTGACAGAGGCAAATAGGCCTAGACAGACCGCACATGCAAGACTCACTGCCACGTTCATGCGTCCCATCCTGGAGCTTTCTAGCCGCGGCCTACATCCAGATTTTAGCTGCCCAGGGCCAGCGACTGCGCCCCTGAAATTCCTCTGACGCACCCAAACGAGAAAAGGCTCCCGTCAGGCGCAGGATCAGGCGCCCCACGGTGCACACAAAAACTAACAATGATCGTGCTTGTCCTTATTCAGCACGCTGCGCAGTAACCTGCAGTTGCCGCACCTATTTCAATTCTTATTGGTGTCTGAGGCAGACAGGCAGACGTGAGAGCAGCTGCTTTGCTTTGGTGCCACAGCTCACACCGAAGCCTAATTTGGTCGCCCTGTTGCATGACAAAGCAATTTTAGGTTCCATCTTGGACTGGCAAAAACCTTGCTATCATGATCACCAATTATCAAGCCCTGGCCTAGAATTTATTGGTCTTTGGACAATTCATGTGACATCTTGCATATATCCTGCTCTTTCGGGGCGAAAATGGGGCGTACAATTAGCTGCTGTGACAATCATCACTTCGTTTTGGCGCTTGAACGCGTAAAGATCCAAGAAACTTGGGTAATAGGTACTGTATTCGGTCAATGAGATCGTCTCTTGTGCGCATTTGATCGGCAGTCAGGTCTTTGGGAGCTTCGGAGGTGGAATGGATGCTGAAGATCACTGCAGTGTCGTCGGGTGCGACCTCCTGCGTGACTTGCATCAGTATGCCACACTGTTTACTGCGTCATGATGTCATATTGTTGTCTCATGGATGCTCTTATCAGATGCTGGTGTCGCTGAGCGTGCCAGTGCTCTCGCACACAGGGAAGCCCAGGCCTACTGTGGAGCATATCAGACCTTTTCTTCTCCCTTGAACCTCCCGTCGCACCGGCAAGACTCTGCACAGCTACCAGCAACCATCTTGCCACTTTTTGGAGCAGCAAGCTCATCAAGTGCGTTTCTGGACTGAAGTGACTCCTTCTCAGCATATCAGGAAAAACGCAGGCTGTCCGATCGATGCCCATCATGTCAAGTAATTTCATTATTCATCAGGCAATCGTGGCAAGGAAAATGGAGGGGCACCTGCGACAGAGGTCAGCACGTCGGGCCAGAAAGACCACAGCACCGTGGCATTCTGTGGTGGACCCATCTGGGCACTTGACTGGTGCCCCTACCAGTCGAGCAGTGCCCAGTATCTTGCGGTGAGACATGGTCTTTGTTTTTCATCCTCTAATCATGTCTGCGTGTGCATTGAAACCAATAAATTGCCCTGGCGAACCCAATAACATCTTGTTTGAAATCAGGTGGCCGCACACCCAAAGGCGCGCGAGCGGAACGTGATCGGCCGCGCCTTGGAGGGTCCTGTGCTGGTCCAAATCTGGCGCGTGCCAAGCAGTGCCAATACAGATGAAGGAGCCAGACGAGGGTCCACAGACAGTGCTGCAGCTGCAGCCGGCAGCGCCGGCCCTGGGCCAGGCTCGGGGGCTGGAGGGTGGATGCCAGGCCAGGGGGAGGGGCCGAATGGAGATATTTCAGAGGCAGGCTGCAGTGGGTGTCATGCTCCGGACGGGCTGCCCAGGATGGTGTTGGGGATCTGCTTGGATGGCGGTGTTGTGTGGGACTGTAAGTGGCGGCCGGGCAGCAGCGGAGGGGATAGCAGGTGACATAAGACCCTGTTCCTTCCGCTGACTGGGTTCTTCATCACAGCTTCCAGCCTCTGCAACTTGTTCCAATCAGAAAGCAAATGAGTGCACATCGAATGTCGACCTCTGTGCGCTGGGATAAAGAAATGGACAGCTTAGCATCCAAATCTAGCCTTTGGTTATCAGCAGCGGCAGTGCAGATTCCTGCGTCATTGGGTGTCATGCAAGCATCTGCAACAAGGTCGTGTGTCAGCTGGCAGGTTGGGTACATTGGCTGTGGTGCTCGGGAGCGGAGAGGTGCAGCTGTTGCCGGTGCCCCACCCTGACCACATCGGGAGCGCGCATGCAGCCGCGCATCAGCGGCCGGGGCCGAGGGGCACCGGGACAGCGCCGCCGGGGGAACTGGGAGGACCGCGCCTTGTGCGGCTGCAGCCTGAAGCGTCTGCGGCTGGTAATGACTTGGGAGGCAGCCTGCCGAGCGTTGCAGAGTGGCTGCCCAGCGCCCCGCATGACCTGCTCCTGGTACGCAGCCAACTGAACTTTACAGCGGGCACCATGGGCGACTGTCTGTATGGGATGCAAGCATATGGCAGTCCTTGCACAGACATGCATCTGCGAGGTGTATTCTCAAGTGCATGTCCCGTCATCACTGCTCAAGCACCAGCGGACGCATGTAAGTAGTCTTAAAAGGTGTTGGACTGTTTTGCGGATGTCAGAAACGGTGTGCTGCTGTGACGGCAGGTGGGCTTCTGGGACGGCACAGTAGCTCTGTGGAGGCTGATCACTGCCATGAATGGCGCCGAAGCATCTGCTGGGAGGGAGTCAGAACGGGAGGTGCGCATGGAGCTGCTGCTGCACATGCCAGCACTGGAGGGTCCTGTGCGGGGGCTGGCCTGGGTGCCCCCAGAGGTGGCCACCGCTGCGGGGGATCGAGCCCACCGCCACCTCTTCGCCACCGTCGGCCACTCCGACAAGCTGCGCTTCTGGGACTCCAGGCGAGGCTCCAATAAAAGCTCCAATTTCTGTGCCATGAACCTCCTTGCAGCTTGAGGTGTCAGCCCTGTGCATGTGGTATCTGGGACCATGGCCATCTCATATGATATTACGCCTACCCTTACAGTACTTAATTAAAGTGCACTGTCAACCTTATTGCCAGGTTGTATTCTGTGCCATTACGATGTTGCCTGATAATCCATGTGTAGAAAGAAAATTGCCCCAACTCTGTCAACTTCGTGTGATAAACCAAAAAGTTCCGTTCAATCTGCTATGCAGGAGCCCGTACAGTCCACTGCTGGAGGCCCCGTGCCAAACATACTGGAAGATGGGCGTGGAGTGGACGGGGGACCCTGCAGGGGTGATTGTAGCGGAGGACGGGGGCACGCTACGCTGGATCGACCTAAACCCCTTTGGCCGCACCTCGCGCATGTCATGCAACACCAACATCACGTGCGCACACCCTCACATGCGCTGGCCTGACCTGCCCAACAGACACAGCCCAAACAGGGCTGGCATCATCTATGGAGGAGAAACAGTCCAGTTTGCAACTAGGAATTGAGATTCTTGCCAGATAAATATGTGCGCACACAGCCTGCGCAGCACTGGTGGCCGTGGTATGCTTCCCATAAACATCTGTGATGCAGAATGGCTATTCAACTGGCTTTCAGGATATGGAAGAATGTCCCGCTGGGCGGCTGAGCCCTCATGCGTCCAGATTCTAGCCTGCCTGATGCTCGTGTGAGGGCTTGTCGGTGGATGGCTGTTTTATATTAATTAAGTGTATCTGTCTGGTTTGCAGAGGCGGACAGGGGACAATGTGGGACGTGCACTGCCAGCCTGGCGGCGGCTGGATCGCCTATGCAAGCGCAGACGGCGAAGTTGCTGTTGTGCGGTTGGAGCGAGACTTGGCCTCACAGCGTCACAGCGTCCTTGCTGGTGCCTACTCTCACACGCACATCCCTTTCTCATGCCCCAGCTCAGCAGCCAATGGCAAGCTCAACATAGGCTAAGAACCCGTCAATCCCAGGCCCAGGCTTCTGGGATTTTTTATATATTCACAGAAAACGTCAAGCGATCTGCTCTGGCATCCAGCTCCTAAAAACAGCAGCTCACATGTCTGCACATGATGGTTGCTCGGGAAAGAGCTGAGTGCTTACACATTTGCATGCGAATGAGAGCGCCTTCTTGCTGTGCACACTATTTGTCTGCATGCTCAGGCTTCCGGTGGGAGGCTGGTTTGCTCACAGTGCTCGACAGAGCAGACTTGGCAGTTGGCAGCAGGCTGAGGGCTGGCAGCAGCAAGCAGCCGCGGGTGAGCGTACCTCAGGAGGCCGTACACAGAGTGCGATGGAGCTGCGCACCGGCTCAACCAGAGGTGAGCGTTCCCTGTCCCACACACCATGGGGTCTTGTTACTTCTGCTTTCACCCTTTTCCAGCCTTCCAAGGCTAGGTGCATTCCAGCAGGATTTATATAAATTCCTTCCAAACTTCCCTGTCTTTGCATTTTCTCCACCATGGGGTTTGGGCTCACTCTAAAGTGGGGCAGAGCTGTAAAAGCTGCAGACGTACAAGACGAAGGGCAGCAGAATGTGAGACAGGGCAGCAAGTGCGGAATAGAGTCATTCTTTCCACTAAGAGCGTCGGTGTGATTGTTTTACCTTTGGGTTAGAGGAGTCTGATTGTATGAATCTTGATCTCTGAGGTGCATCAGTCCAGTGTGCTGCCATGCAGGCTGGTGTAGCTGGTGGTATTCTTGTTGGAGATCCAGCTGGAGCAGCACTTACAGGAAGGGGAGGACGGATGCTGGCAGGGAAGGCCTCGCCTGCTCTGCTTGCCTGTGGGGGCGCTGCAGGACTTCTCCTGATTATGAGCGCATGATCTGAGTCACGATAAACACATAACTGCAGAGCAGCAGGACTGTTGACAGTGGCGGCAGTGCAAGCCATGCCAGGTCTGCGTTGTCATGTGGTGCTGATTGCTCTGTGCAAGCAGGTCAACTGTTAGTGTTGGTCTTGCAAAGAATGCGAAGGGTGCTTCCCATCTGTAGATTAATGTGGGAGTTCTTTCTGTGGGGTTTTGCGTCATGTGAAATCTGTGTGCAACATTTTTATGCTTTTTCAGCTGCGCAGCGGATATTGAGACACTAGTTCTGGCATGATATTGAGACAAAAGTGCACGCTCTTTGGGTGCATGAGAAGCACCGACAATTGCACTCTGCGAGGCCATCAACCTTCTGTACTTGATGCCACATGGATACTGCCAGCACCAACATGCACCATCTCACAGTATAGCATCTATTTCTTTACATCAGGGACATCAGAACATTAACAAATTCCTGTCTGGGATGAAAATACTGAGAAAAGGCGGTGCGATCATGTATATAGCAAAGTGATAGCGAAAACCCTTCCATACTGATAGAAGCCCAAGCGGCCCCCCAAGATCTGAATCCACATGCAAGGTCCATACGGTCCACTCACATGACAACACTACTTAATGACGGCGCACTGCAGAGTGCGCAAGATCAATCACTCACAACATCGCAACAGTTTCCTGAAGGATGCGGAGTCTCTCATCAATAAACAAGTCAATAATTATCGTCGATTATCCCCTCAAAGAACCTGCAGGCTCTGGTTATGCAGCATCCCTGTCGCACATTCAAGCATGTCCATGTGAGCCAGGGAGTCCTCAATGACATTGCCAGCAGGCTTTCCACAAGACGTTGCAAAATTAACCACTGTTATATGTTGGCTCCAAAATGTCCAAATTCCTATCCAGACTGGGCCTCTCGACTGCCACCCAAAGCGGGATGTAGTACTATGCCAAAACACTGCTGCTTCTCCTCAAGTGTGAGGTCTGGCACGCATGAAAAAATCAATAGGCATTGGTAGGCATTTGCCCTGTGGGCGTGTGGCTGTTGGGCCTGCCCAAAAAATGAAACAATGCCGCTGCTTGCAGTAGAGGAGAAGCCAACTTCTCAGAGCGCCGGTGCGCCACCGGCCTTACGTTCACGCAGCCTCATCTATACAAATACAATGGCACGGGTGCTCCACGCACATACCGCACAAGTCTTTCTTGATGCAACGGCCCATCCAAACTTTTCCCTTTTTCCTTGCAAAGCTTGAGCAGAACAGAACCTTCTGTCACCATGTCGCGGCCCAAAGGCCGGCTCTCGGCTGAAGCCCCCAGACAAAGAATTCCAGTGGATTGCTGTCTTGACCAGTATGCATGAATGGGGGTGAGGGAGACCTGAAGCAACCAGAGTGGTCAGCCATCTGCGCGCCTCAGCCCCCATTCACGGTGTCTTGCCTATACCACAATTTGCAAGCATTCTCTTTTCAAATGAGGTGTATGTCCATGTGAGAGGCATGCATCTCTCCATGCACTTTCAAATTGAGGGGTCCCTCGTCATCCCCACTGCATTCTGCGTCAGAGGCATGCTCCATGTCGGTGTCCGGTGCCGGCAGCGCTTGGCAGTGCTCGTCGATCATGTCCAAGGGCCCGTCCGTTTCCATCTGCTTCACAAAGCGGCCCTTGACGCGCGGCCTGCGCACAACAACATTTATTATTAGTAATATATCCCTTTCCTGCCAGAAGGCAAGGTACGTCCTGCAGACAAGCTGCGTTTGAAGGCTGCCACTTCCCTACCCCTCGTCTACAGTAGCATTGTAGAATTCTGGCTGCATGGACATGTTACTACAACATGATGTTAGTAGTGCTGAAGATGCCAAGGTATTTCTGTCTCTCTTGGACACCAAGGATCTTCACTCAAGGGGCTACGTAATATCAAAGGGGAAATTGAAACTGGAAACAGCACAGAGTTCCTGATGGCTGAATGCCCTACTGACGCGCGCAAAAAAACTCTGAATATTCCAATAATCCACAGTCTGCTACTGGATAATAATTCTATATCAAAAGTGTCAAGACCACAACACTTTAGAGGTCACACCATGCAAAAGATTGAAAGATGTTTTTCAAGAGAGCAAATCCTCACATTCATGCCAGTCCATCACCCAGACATGCACATGTGTGGTCGGGTAATTGAAAGCATGCCTGCGATCCGCGTTGACCTTGCGCTTCTCGTAGCGGATGGTCTTGGTGTTGGAGAAGACGCGGCGGCGCTTCTTGTCCCGGTATCTCTCCAGGCTCTCGTGCCGCACGCTCAACTCTTGACCTGGCAACCACAGATTCACTTTTATGCCATAGGCAGCGCTGACCACTTCAATGCAGTCAGGTTTGTAAACTCCCTTGCATCCGCACTCAATTGAAAAGTGCGCAGGCCGTCACTTTTGCAGAGACATTTCTCAGCACTCTGGAAGAATTGCTTAGAAGCATGAGGACTGCAGAGGATTGGTAAAGTTACCTCCGGTTTTGCAAGGCAGGCGAGCAGCGTTCCTCATGTTGAAACCCGCCACGGCTGTGTGCACGTCATCGAAGTGCCTCTGCAGCGCGCCGCCCTCGCGGCCCTGCAGCGCCTCCTGCTTCACAGCCGCAGCAAAACGCTGTGCAAACTCTGCATTTGCTGCATCCTGTGCTGCCCGCCCCTGCGCCGACATTCCTCAGCTCAGGATGAGCACTTCAGTCTGCACTGCTATAAGCAACCATCGCCAAACATGCCAGAGCGGGATCATGGACAGACCAAGGTGTGAACACAACGTTGCATGGATGCATTTGTCTACTGGAAGGCTCTGCTGACAGGCAGTGAGGCCGTAAGAAATCAAACGCAGTGAGGCGACAGGGCAGTACCTTTGGTGCGGGGGCGATGAGATCAGGAGCTGTAAGGGCGGTCCCCAGGTGGTTGTTGCACACATTCTGCACCGACACAGCCGCCACGCCGGTCTGCGCTGGCCAGGTTGGCGGGTCATTATGTGACTGCTTTGCTGCCGCCTGTGCACACACAGCGTCACTTTTCTCTCAGATGCCGCTGTGAAGCCACTCTTTTCCATCACAACACGTTGCCTGTCACAGCGTATATGTAGAGCAGTGGGGAAACCCGCTTAATAAGTAACAGCCCATCATGCCCAAACAAGTTTAATCCAATTTGAGCTTGTGGGGCATCACCCTGGTGCGCAGCAAGCTCTTAATTTCCAGGAAGACAGTAGAGGCATGCGAGAGGAGAGATCACCTGCTCAGATGCAAACTCTTCGACTGGGGCACCAGCGCGCCGGCGGTGAGTGGCGGCAGTGACCCGTGGGATGACTGCACCGCCATTCTGGCCGGCCGCGGCGTCGCCGCCGGGCGCCATGCCATAGTGCCAGGAGCCCAAGTCCAGCGTGAGGCCCAAGCCCATGCCGAGGCTCAGCTGCATGTGCGACTGCTGCAGCACCGGCGTCGTGCCCCGCCTCTGCTGCTGCTGCTGCTTTCCTTGCTCGAGTCCTCCCTGTCGAACAGCCACCCCCTCCAATAAGATACGAAGGCCCAGACGAATCACAGGGGAACCGCAGCTCTCATGGATGAGTTCATCAAGCTTTTGCTGCAAACAAGTTTGCAAAGTGATCTTTCAAAACAAAGCAAAAGTAAATTTGGAAACAAATGCACTTCAGGGAAATTGTACAACAGATAAGTTGGCCCAAGAGTGTCACCTCCTTGCTGTGCACCTGCCGCAGGTTTGCCTGCATGACCTCCTGCGGTGTCAGGGGGGTCAGCTGCGGGCGCTTGTCGGGCAGCCCCAGGCCCAGCGCTTGGTGCGCAGCCCTGGCGTTGCTCGGGGCACTGCCCTGAACAGCTGCTTGGGCGGTTGCCTGCGGAGGCCTTCCTTGAAGCTGCTGGGCCTTCACTGCGGGGGGTGGCCCACCCGTTGCTGGCTGGGTGGTCGGCGCCTGTGTGGCATTGCTGCAATCCTCCCAAGCTGTGCTGTTGTAGAGTCTGCTGCTCGCTGCCGCGGGCACTGAGTCAAAGCTGCTCCTGTTCGAGCCCGGGTCGCCGTCCGTGCTGCCATCTGACGGCTGCACCTCCCTGCCTTCCTCCATGCTCGGCCTTGACAAGACGCCTTTGGCCTGGAACCTGTGGAGTGCCTCGGCAACGCTCTGAGAGGCGGCTGTCCGAAGATTGCTGTCGCTGGCGCCTCCCTTCGACATGTGGGACATCCCAAAAGCGCCAAACTCCAGAAAGCATGAGCCCATGGATCCCTTGTCAAAGGCATCCGCCTCCTCCCGTGTCATGGGCTCTGCATTGCACACCGGCATAGCACCGCTGCTGTCTTCGCTGTCACACACGTCGCCCCTTCTGCTGGAGGCATCATAGCCGCTGCTGTCTGCTGCTGCGCTGTTCTGGCTCTGCTTGCCGGAAGCCTGGTGCGTTGTGCCCGAGATCAGCCTCCTGTCGATGAGCAGTGGCTCTGGGTGATCTTGAATCAGCCCCATGGGGAGGGGCACGTCGTATGGCAGCTGCTCGTTGTCACTGGGGCTGTACGGAGATGGATAATGCTGCTCCTCCCGCGTGTCTTGCCATTCTCTGCACGCGAAATCGACCCTTACGGAATCAGCACACAGGCGATCGAGACTTCCTTAGACTGTCTAGTGATGTCGGGCATTGTGCAAGGGAACAAGCCATTGTTGCGGTGCATTATAAGAGACATCTGGTACTTGTCAAAAAGGTGCTGGTTTTGAGGGCTTACGGTGCATCCTGTTGTCCTGCACGGCCGGAGTGGGCCACATCTATAACGGAAGTCTCCATTTTGAGGCTTTTCGCCTGCAGCAGCAAAGTGGGCTCTTCAGCACCAGTCAGCACTTTAAGATGGGGGTTATCCGATGTCTGCAGACCTGCTGACCAGATTGAGCGTCAGCTGGGTGACATGGACGGTGTGCGGGATATGCAGGCCTCTGAGCAAAGACAAGCCAACTGAGTACAGACAAGCCTTGGGTTCACGTCACAGATGTGGGCAACAAAGCATCCAGTCTCTGGAGCAGATACCGGCCCTGAACTCACCTAGATTGCTACCCGCATGGTTTTTGCGAGTGAGAAGATACCTTGATCTCCGTCTCCGGAGAAAAGCGCAAGACTTTTTGACAAAAGTGCTGATGCGAACGCCTTTATTTTTCCTTGCGCCATTAGTCACTTTAGCCGCTATAATTCCCTTCAGACAAGGGGAATAACCCCATCATCCCAACGTTATCTTTGGTCTCAAATGGTTGCAAAAATTCCTCGCTAGCAACTCAATTGTCCATACAGGGAATCATGGCGTTCACACTCAATGCAGGCGCCGCATTCTCTGGCAGTCTCATCACTCCAAAGCACACCTGTAGAGCTGCCCGTGCTCCTTTTTCATGCAGAGCGCAGCAGAAGGGTAAGCATGGACGAAAGATGCCTTCTTCCTGCATGGCTAGTCACAATTGGACGCATGTGGTACAAATGACACATTCGATGGATACTGACTGGCAGCGCTGCCAGTTGTACTTAGGAAAGGGGATCAATGCCGAGTACTGGTTGGTCAGGACTCCACATAATGCACGCGGTGCAGTGCTGGTTTCTTACCACTTTCTGATCAATTATGCGCGTCATTACTGAATGTGATATGATTGTCAATGCAGAGGCATCTCCGCAAGTGCTACCAGCAGCTTTGAAGACTTTAGCCGCTGGACTTGCTGCAGCTGTCCTTATCACTTCTAGCCCCGCACATGCGGGAGTAAAATTCGAGAAGGTCGTTTCGAAGAAGGTACACGCCATCCATGGATTGATGTGGGCTTAAAGTCATCCCTATGTGTCCAGAGAGGAGCCAAACCCCTGACTGGAACCTGACGCACTCCCTGCTGAGCAGGTCTTCCAGAATGAGCCTCAGGCACCTGCTGCAGCTGGCCCCAAGGGTGAGAAGAAGAGCTCTTCATCAGGCTTCTCTCTGCCCACGCCCTCGTTCAGCTTGGACGCCGGTGCCATCGCCATCCCAGGTGTCCCTCGTCCCTCGCCTCAAGTCAGTCATATCTGCAGTATTCTGATGTTGTGATTAATTCCACATTGGTCATTTGTTGTGCAGGAATTGACATGCGTGTCTTTGATATTCTGTAGGCGCAGTCGTCGGCTTGGGTGCTCTCGGGTTCTTGGCGACAAAGGTGGATTCAGGCTTTGCGGACTTCTTGAATGACACCATGGTGAAGGTATGTGTACTGACAAATGCCTTTCATTATGCATAATGACACAAAGATGTATCGGCAGTATGGGCGTTTCATGGGCGGTTTCATGGGCGGCATAATGGCACGAAGGTGTATCAGTTCCTGTCAATCTCACATGATGCTGCTGCACAGGACTCCAGCGGCTACGCAGGCTACGAGCAGGCGCTCATCAAGGCAGCCGCTGGAACTCCTGCAAAGGTGCGCATGGGAAATATCTGTTACATGTCGTTGGAGTGTCAGATTTTGTTCGTTTGACATGCATCCTCCAGAGCCCTCGGCCTCAGAAGCCTCTGGGTGGGGCATCCTGGTGCATGACATGCAAAGCAGAGATGTGTTTCGGGATCACAAGCAAATGTGGTGCACCAGGCTGCAAGCAAAGGCAAGGCCGCGGTGAAGGCTGGCACGAAGAAGATTGGCTTCAAGATTGGCAAGAAGTGAGGCCGGCCTGCTAGGATGGGAGATTGAGAAGAGCAAATCCATCACCCTCCACCTGCAGCTCTGGGGCAATTGCAGATAGTCGGGAGGGTGGGGATACTAGAAGATCAAATCAAGCGGAGCATAGATGGAGTGCTTGCTGAGCAGCTCCTCATTGTCCTGCAAGTTTTGGCAGCTTAGAGAGACATTCTTTCAAGCAGGAAACCCAGATTAGGAGGCAGCATTGACCACCATTACAGTGACATGATATTTCCATCACAGGGGCAGATTGGCCTTTATGTCGCGTTTCATTGTTGCACAATCATCAACGGCGTGCACAGAGAAGATAACAAGATTTAGAATAAAGGATGTCCTGACCTCTGCAATTTTGATTGCGCTTCTCAATGACCTGAAGTATGGCAACCATGTAGGCAATATAGCATCTGTCAGCAACTTGAAGGCAATTACAATCATCACGCATTACAATACAAGACATAGTATGTCTTGGCATCACTCTTGACTTGATCAGCAAAAGTTCTATGAACGACGAGGTTATATAGTTTCTAACAGCTGTGCCAGCTCCTCTGTGGTCTTGCCCTCCACTTCCTGCAGGTAATCCACGATTCGACGCAAGCTGGCATTCACCTCTAGACCCAACAGGGATGGCCGTTTTGCGACCTTGTCAGGGCCGATGCCAATGCTTTCCAGGTATTCAAAGAATGGCTTCAACCGCTTGTCTGGGCTGTAGCACAGGACTGCTGGGTGGTCTGAGATCACCTGTCACAACACAAAGGTGCTATTCAGGGCAGGCACTAGGTGTGGTGTTAGTCAAAAGCACATCAGAGCGAGCTCAAAACCTCCAACGCTAAATTGGAGCTGCTCACCTTGACAATCTGTGCCTGATTCAAATCGCACAATCTCAGGCACTCCACCACGGGCCTCATGTCCTCTTCAACATTCAGCCGCCTCGCCTGCCAGCGCACACAGATCGGTTCCACATTGAATAACTTGAATGCTGGAACCTCAATTCAAAGAGCTGTCTTTGAATGTCTCCATGGTGTACAGATGGGATACAGCAGTCCAAAGCTGCACACAGGGGCTCACCGAGGCATTGCCTGCTCTCTTCTTATCCCTCAGCGTGACGAACAATGAGTTTGGATTCATGGCAACATCCAGTATCCGCGAGATTTCTGAATTGGCCTCGAAGCCGATGCTGCGCAGGAAAGCCCCTCCCTCCTGATATGCCTGATCCAGCTCGCTGCGCCGGCCAACATCCAAGGCTGCAAAGCAAGCACCAAGACCTGTCAATGTGCTAACCTGCAGGCAGACTAGCATGTGTCTTCCCAACCTGTACACCTAGTCTGCAGATACAAGCTGCAGGTCGTGGTTCATCAATCCTTTCCCCTGCGCTATACCAATGAAACTGAAACAGACGTAAGTGAATTTTACCCTCGCGCAAGGCGCTGATGGTGTCACTATCTTTCCGTTTCTTGGCCAGGGTGACGATTGCCTTACGTGCATCCGCGGTCTGTACGAGCTGGCACCGGAATCTTTGCTGCTGATCTGAATCTTTAACATGCATTGGGAACCTGAATGGTGTGATCCTTCGCCTATATATCTGGGAACCATCACCAAGTGTCGAAGCCGACACTTCTTGGTGGGTGTGACAGCACACCATTTTTACAATCTCGAGTGGCACATGCACACAGACCAACCCCTTTGCTTCCAAAACTATGTATCCTCTACAAACGCAATTTCTGCTGAGACAGCGCGCAACCAGATTGAGCTTGTGTCAGTCAGGTAAAAGCAGGAAAACGGTGTTCCCTACTTCCCCCAAAAATGCCAAACACAAACAAAGCAGCATGCAATACATCATATGGTGTGACAAGCTGAACAAGTGAAGGTGAGAAGGTTACCCGAAGCGTTGGGAGACTGGGAACCAGATTGAGCTTGAATGGTGACTCAGTGTCGAGGCACGCACGTGCATGATCTGCCACATGGTGACAGCATGCACAGCAGGGAGTTTGATTGTTCCTGCAAGGGAAAGCGATGATGGCTGTGCACGTTACCTTAAGGTTGTTCGCATCGCAGGATGCGTTTTGGTGAGCGAATATCCTACTGCAGGAAGTGAAGGCTACCAATAAAAGAGATCTGCACAGATGGAGGACCCTCTCTTGGAAGCACCAGAGCTGAGCAAGGATGACAGATCTGATAATGGCTTCGTCAATTGGTTTAAAGCTCTCAATCAGGTAGATCTTATTTAAGTGCCTGATGCATTGTGCTCCTCACCGCGATCATTGTGCCGAATAAGTCAACTGAAGATTGCATGCACCGGTGCAGGAGCCCACCTTGGTGCGCTTCTTCGACAGAAAGGTGTGTTGGTGACAGTTTACCTGATTATCTTACTTCACTGTTCTGTTTGCTGCGCATCGGTGTATTGCCCCTTCCAGGAGGCTCCAAAAGAGAAATGCAGGACAAGTATATCTTGCTTGGGAACCTTGTCATCACGATCACAACATGACCGTTATTTTTTCTCTCTGCAGGATTTTTACAGCGTGCATGGAGAGAATGCGCTCTTCATTGCACGCACTTTCTACAAAACAACAGCTGTTGTGAAGTATATGGGAGGTTCCGCCACCGGCTTGCCAGGTACGACATTGCTGAATGACTTTCCTGATGCATCTGCATTCTGTACGATCAGATTCAATGCAAGAGACCTTTACTATTTTGAAATTGTATCGCAGGCGTCACGCTGAACAAGAATCTCTTTGAGACCGCAGTGCGGCACCTGCTTGTGGAGAGCGCAGAGTACAGCGTCCAGATGTTCGAGGGCAGCGGCACGCAATGGCGGAAAACCAGGCATGTTTCCGTCTAACGCATATCTTGCATGCCTTGCCGTTAGCACTGTGCCGCATTTACAACACCTGTGAAATAATGCTGTCTGGGCACGACTCTGCCAGCTTTCGGAATGCAGCCCCTTTCTTGCGCGGCACACTGAAAGCCTTTACAGCAAATGCACAAGCCTGCTAGCCTGCTTAAATTTGGGTACACTCCTTGAGACCGAGCCAGGTCCTTTGCATGCCATCTTTTTTGTACGCTCGCGTGTGTATGCTTGACAAATCTCAGGGTCACTGACGGCAGGCTATCACTCGTTTGTACAAGCTGTGTCACCGTAATTTGAGGTGCTTTGTAAGGAACCTCAATTGCACGCATGCAGGGAGGCATCGCCGGGGAAGCTGGGAGCGTTCGAGGAGGAGCTGTTCCGGAATGTGGACATGACAGATGTGCCTGTGGTGGCAGCCCTGCTGCTGGGCTACTCTGAGGGTGCGAGGACAGTTGGAATTGCCTTTGCAGACGCGGCGGGCCGGCGGCTGGGGGCGTGCGAATTTGCGGATGATGAGTACTTCTGCGCCACCGAGGCCGTTCTGCTGCAGCTGGGCGCCAAGGAAGTGGTCCTGCCCAAGGTGCGGCGTGTCAGTGCAGTGTTTCTTAGCTGTTTGGTGTCTCCTGTATGAAGCGCATCATGTTGCATGTTGTGTTGCATGTTGAAGCCAGTCAACCAGTTGGGTGTATCAGCTAGCTGAGAGCTGGCTTTGACTGGGAGCCATGCCTGCCCAACAGCGTTGAACATGGCGGGAAAGGTTGATGTGGGCTCCTTTGAGAAGGGCATCATGCTAGGGTAGGCTTCTTGAGGGTGATGTAAAAATGCAAATATCCTTGTCGTGTCAAGCAGGAGAGTGAGGCGGCGGCGCAGTCAGCAGACGCAGGGCGGCTGAGGGACGTTGTGGCGCGCTGCAACGCGCTGGGCAGCGAGCGGCCGCGCGCCGCCTTCGGCACGCGCAATCTCGAGCAGGATCTGGGCCGCCTTCTCCGCTCCGGAAATGTGGAGCAGCATCGCGACGTGCTTGAGCGCCCCCTCGCCTCCGCCGCGCTTGCCGGTGCGTGATTGTAGCCTACTTATCTCCTCAAACACCTGCTCATCATATGTGCTCGCCGGCGACGGACACAAAACCGCATGGTGGTGTATTCATGGCACACTGTGGCAAGCACTTCTACAGAGCGCTGTCAGTCGGCAGTACTACACAGCCATTAATCCAACTAGCACAAGGACATACGCAAATGCGACTCATTAAGCTTGTCCTGGGCAATATAGAGGGGTGTTGGGGTAATGGTGCGCTGCCTATTTTGGTGCGAGAGATGTGATGCGAGCATGTGCATGGTGCGGTGCAGCGGTGATCGCGTTCAGCGACGTGATGGCGGTGGACAGCGGGCACGGCAAGTGGAGCCTGGCGCTGTATGACACTGGGCGCTACATGCGGCTGGACGTGGCTGCGCAGCGAGCGCTCAACGTCATGAAGCAGCGCACGGACGCCAACGACTCCTTCTCCCTTTACGGCCTCATGAACAAGGGCCGCACCGCCATGGCCAAGCGCCTGCTTAAGGTATGACACGCTAACCCTGCCCTCTCTAACGGTCCCATCACAGGGACTTTTGTGTATAGATAAAAGTGCTCCAAGATGTGCATGCATGGGGACTCCTTTTGCACAGTGTCTGCATGCGCTTGACAATCCTCAAAGGGGCACTGCTTTTCTTTTTATCGTGAGTTTAATGAGAAGTTCGGGGGTGCTTGCGATTGCCAGGTGTGGCTGAAGCAGCCGCTGGTCGACTTGACAGAGATCACGGAGAGGCACGACATCGTGGAAGCCTTTGCGGAAGACCCCACGCTGCGCGAGCGCCTGCGCAACCTGCACCTCCGAGGCACGCTGCTCCTCTCTTTGAGATCATCATCCTACCAGGGGCATGCAGTCTTTATATCATGAAGGCACTCGAGGGTGACAGAGGGCAAGGCACGCTGTTTGCTTGATTATGTCCACCTGTCGCAGCGGCGGCATGCATAATGAAGCCATGAAGGCACTCATTGGAGAGACGGGGGAAGGGGGCATATACTTTGATGGCTGGGGTCAACGTCCTGACGTGGTCTGGCGTGCAGGGCTGCCGGATATAGAGCGTCTGACGCGCAAGTTGGAGCGCAAGAAAGCCACGCTGGCGGATATGTGCCAGCTGTACAGGGCATCCTCCCGCCTGCCCATGATGGAGGAGGCCTTCCGGGACCATGACGGCCCACATGCCCAGCTCCTCGCCACCAGGTATAGTCTTGCCTTGGTATTGACCGACTTCTTACCCCACCTTCAGCTGGAATTTTTTTCCATGGCCATGTCTGCATTCGGCAGGTCCTCAATTCCCTTGTACCGTCCAGACATTGTCGCCTCTCATGTGCGCCACAGTGGCATATTGCAGCCTGGCCCTCAAGTGATGGGTGAGCCAAACGATTGTAAATCCAACACACTTTCAATGAGTAATTCAAAAATTAAGCCAAGCGACTCCCTGATCAGCAGAGGCTTGTGGTGGCAGGTATGCGGACAAGCTCGCAGCGGCGCACGACGACGAGCACCTGGCAAAGTTTGAGGAGCTGCTGGAAGCTGCCATAGACCTGGACCGCATCCCAGACGAGTACCTTATCTGCGCCTCCTACGACGCCGACCTGCAGGTGGGCGGTGTCAGGCTCTGTTGATAGGTGTATAGGAAGTCCCAGGTGACCAAAATTTGCTCCTGAAATACCAGAAGCTCCCGAAGTTTATGGGCACCCTGTTTATCATGTGCTCTCCAGGTGCACTGTGAAGACCAATTGTCGGTTTTAAGTGATATGTTGGTGAGATGTGTGCATCTGCGGGTTCTGACACTGGGGTCAAATGGTTTCATGCAGGGCTTGAGGGAAGAGAAGGACAAGGTGGAAGCGACCATAAACAAGGTTGCAGAGGACGCAGCAGGTCAGCTGACACAACTACCATCCCAGCGACCGTTTGCTTCTGCATGCTTGCCTGTCTTCCCTTTACTGCTCTCTGCCATCTCTGTAATGAGCCCAAGGGGTAAAGATAGCAAATCTGAGCGTTCTTCTACCTGCAGATGATCTGGGCCTGATCATGGACAAGACCATCAAGCTGGAGTGGCACAAGGTGGCCAACACACGGATGCGCTGCCTGCGCATCACACAGGTGCAGACCATTCAATCTCTGTAAGCGCTCGGCACCAATTCTGTGCTTTTCCTGCCGCATGTCCAGTTGTGTCGCATCCTTTGCACTGCCATACTGGAGCCATTTGAAAACCACCTTCTGAGGCGGCTGTTTCTTGAATGCCGGGTATGACTGTGTGGGGGTACAATGCAACTGGAAGTGTGGCTCAAGAGCCAGAGGGAGCCAGAGGGAGCCTTTTCTTCTGCTTTATGACGACAATGTTATTCTTGGTGAGCATGACATGGGCGGTGCATCCAACACTGCCCTGAAGGCATCAACTGAGTAGCTGAAGTGGTGATGCAGACTGAGGAGAAGAAGGTGCGGAAGAAGCTGCAGAGCGGGCGCTACATGACGCTGGAAACACGCAAGGACGGCACCAAGTTCACCAACCGGCCGCTCAAGGAAGCCGCCGAGCGCCTGCAGGCCATCTCCCGCTCCTACGACCAGCGCCAGCATGCACTTGTGGAGCAGGTTAGTACACTTTTTATCTCATGCATCGTGTCACTAGTTCAGCGGCGGCACAACTGATACAGCTGCTGCAAATGCTGACGTCTAGGCATGCACAAAGCAGGCAAATTTTGCAGAAGAATTTGCATCTGCCCCACACCTGCTATTCCTGCTTCCATTGTCTGAATGTCATCGGTGCATGCACATGAATGTGTCATTCCATCAAGACGCCTCACCCGATCTGCAGTGTTCCTTGGGTAATTCACATGGCCATTAGCGCAGCTGGCTTGTGCTAATTCAGTGCTGGTGGCAGGTGGTGAGCGTGGCGGCGACATTCGCCGAGGTGTGGGAGGGCGTAGCAGGCATGGTGGCAGAGATGGACCTGCTGGCAGGCTTTGCCGAGCTGGCCGTGTGCGCGCCGCTGCCCTATGTGCGGCCCACCATGCTGCCCGCCGACTCCAGCGAGCTCAAGCTCACCGCCTGCAGGTGCGCCTGGCCTCTCTCGTAAGTACCGCAGTGGTCAAAGTAAACCGCGCTCAAAACATTTTGTTTCTGAGCTCGCGGGTGTTAAAATTACTATCTTTCCAACGTGTAGAAAAGCCCTGCAGGAGCCTGAACAATGTTTCAAAGTCTTCAAAGTGCGGGGTTTGCACTGATCACTACAATGATGGACCAGGTCATGCAAGAGCTTATCTGCTATACACTGAGGAAGCAGGTCGTATAATAATGCGCCGGTCCCATGGCAGAGTTGCCGTTGTGCAGGCTTGACCAGTGTCAGCATTCCTTTTCGTCAGGTGACTTTGAGGATTCACTAGAAGTAAGACACGGCAAGTCTTCCATAGTATATCAACCACTTCAGAGGAGTTGGGTGTGGACAGGCACCCATGCGTGGAGGCGCAGGATGGAGTGGAGTTCATAGCCAACGACTGCCACATGGAGCGCGGGAAGTCCTGGTTCCAGGTCATCACCGGCCCTAACATGGCCGGCAAGTCCACCTACATCCGCCAGGTATGCTGCTCTTTCACCATGCAGTTCTCAGAGAACTCCGTCTGATGCTTCAAATCAACAAAGCGACCTTCCACAGAAGTTGACCCCTGGCGACATGGGCATGATCTGGAAAGCACTCTAATGGGCGGCTTGGATCTGTTGACAGGCTACAGTTGTATGGAGACCATTAACCAACCAAAGCACAAAATTTCATTGTCCTTTTTGGATTGGTTGATTCTGCATGAAGCTGGGTGTATTTGTGCAGGTGGGCGTGGCAGTGCTGATGGCGCAGGTGGGCTGCTTCGTGGCGTGTGAGCATGCGCGCATCGCCGTGCGCGACTGCATCTTTGCGCGCGTGGGCGCGGGCGACTGCCAGCTGCGCGGAATCTCCACCTTCATGGCTGAGATGCTCGAGACTGCCGCCATCCTCAAGGTACGCGCGCAAGTCTTTTGCGCGCCTCACCCTGAACTGGCCACAGTCAATGGCTTTGGAAATCGAACATACTGGCTTTGGGAATTGAACTTACATCATGTGGTTGTGTTTGACATAGGTCTCTCATGTTCCCACCCCCAAATGACTCCAGGTCACCTTCCATTGGTTTTGGGCTCTAAATTCTTCACATATTCTTGCTGCTGATAAGCATCTGCGTAAGAGCCCAAGAGCAATATCTGGCGGCTCTAAGCCCTGGGGCTGTAAGCGGACTTTAGGCGAATCTGGAAATGCTTGCGACAGCTGAGTGTGCACAAAGAGAGCTTTAAACCCGAGACTGGTGTTGTGGCTGCGGCAGGGGGCGAGCGCCAAGTCACTGGTGATCATTGATGAGTTGGGGCGCGGCACGAGCACGTACGACGGCTTCGGCTTGGCATGGGCCATCTCGGAGCACCTCATGCAGGAGATCGGCTGCCCCACGCTCTTCGCCACCCACTTCCACGAGCTCACAGCGCTGCAGGTGCCGCCGCTTGCATATTCTGTTGCATATGAATGACGCTGTCAATTCTTTTGTCTTGTCGGTTCACAGGCTTCACCTCAGTGCTGCAACAGAAAATAGTCAGTTGATTTTTGGCTTACAGCTTAGGCTAGGCAAGGCATGGATTGCACAAAAGAGCTGGTCGTATAGAAAATACAGGCACTCAAAGAGCTGGGAGTCGAGCGCATTTTAGGCAGATAGCTGGCTTGGGCAGGGATGTTGAGGTGTTGAGCTCTGGCGGTGCTTGGTGCGCGCAGGGGCCGGTGGGTGTGGCAAACAAGCATGTAGAGACGGCCATCGACGAGGCCAGCGGCAAGCTCACCATGCTGTACCAGGTACGCAGCGCTGCCACCACTCTCTTTCCCCCAAATACGGTGTTGAAAAGCTATGGCAGCTTGTCTTGTTTTGGGGGAGCTTGTGTTCCATGAGAGTGCCATCAGTGTGTATTTGCACAGTGGCATTTCTCAATGAAATTTGTATAATGACACAACAGTGCATTGAAAAAGTTGTGTATAATGTGAGGTGTTTTGGTGTCTGCAGGTGACGGAGGGTGCGTGCGACCAGTCATTCGGCATCCACGTGGCGGAGTTTGCGCGCTTCCCGCCCGAAGTCGTGGAGCTGGCCAAGCGCAAGGCCGCCGAGCTGGAGGACTTCTCCGCACCGGCCCAGGTGACCACACACCCTCTCCCCTCCGTCTGTGTGCACCATCACCGCTCTTGTGTCCTTGCAGGAGTCATGTGAAGGCTGTGCACAAGGGTGGTCCTGGCAGTGTGTGTCCAGCTGCTCCGGAGCTTCCCTGACCTGTCCTGTAGAAGAAGGCGTGCCCTTATGAGGTGACGGAGTGTGCAGTCTGATCGAGTGCATGCAGCAATGCAATATCTCATGTATGATTTCTCATAGGCAGATGCACACCAATGTATTGGTCGGCGTGTGAGGAGTCATTGATGGTGTGAACCCCATGCAACAGGGCTTTGGACAGGACGCCAAGCGGCCACGCACTGACGAGGAGGAGGCTGCTGTCAGCGCCGCACGTGCCAGGGCGTTCCTGCAGGTCTATTTTTGCGTCATATAGTGGCACAGCGCACATCGGTGCATGCATCTTTGCTGAAGAGATCCTGTCAAGTCTTCAGAGGGCCAGAGCGGGGCCACCTTTCTTTGTGGGAAGAGCACAAGCATGTGCCGGCATGCGCGCAGGAGTTCTCAGCGCTGCCGTTGGACAAGTTGGAGCCAGAAGAGGCAACGGCCCGGGCGCAGGCCTTGTACAAACAGCTGCTGGCAGATGCCGCCCAGATGCCCACGCTGCAGCGGCTGCTCGAGGGCTGAACTGTTCCACGTGCACAGACTTGCAAGGCTTCAGCCGCAGAGTTGGTGCCTGACCCAGCACTGGTTGCAAGTCTGCAAAACCATCTCGAGCAGAGCCTAGTCCAAAATCCAAATTTGGAACATAAAGAACGCTGTGAACCCCATTTTATGATCTTTTTCATGGCTCATGGTTCTCGATGCCAGGGATACGTTGATTGAACACTAAAGCTTCCAGATGATAGCTTAGTAAGGTAGACTTTGGTGGCCTTCAAGAAGTTCTGCCAGCGAGCTGTGGCGCACTATAGTATGACTCATACTATACATACAATGACTCAGAGTCATTGACGTTCCAGAGAGGGCGCATGCAGTAAAGGCATTGACTTAAGCAGATGCTCTAAGTTCTGGACTGAATGGACAGTACTGTATGCCGGATCATGACACAAATATGATATTCAAAATGAAGAGCGCTCTGAGTTCTACTACTTCATGGGTTCAGCAGTGGGCAGCGCTGCTGGATGTAAGAGACAAAGGCAGCATGCTAAAAAGGGCCACACCTTCAATGCAGCCCAGCCAAGCCAGGATCCCCTCAAGATTGTCCTCAAGCCCTTCAGACTGCTGGGATCAACCAAAATCTGGCCACGCCTCGCAATTAATTGGAGCTGGATACCCGCCCTCCGTAAGCTGGATACAACCCTCGCAAGTTCGATCAAATGCATCAGGTTTCCTTGCTCATCGCAATTATTAGTTCCGTGCTGGTTTATGTTTCTGTGAATTTGGATGTCATTCATCAGGTAGAACGCAATGCTTTGCTGTCAAACGCATTTTGATAGCGTCCAGATCGTCTAAAACCTCGATTACAACGTGAGGAATACCTGGCTTGATCAAGCATTTAGAATCTGACTTCTAACGTGTAGACTTCGTGATCGGAGCTGCTGGGACGCCGGAGTGTCTCCATCTGAGGTCAATCATTGCAACATGAGACACTGCATGTGCACGAAACAACCAGGATGCTCTCGATCGGCCACACGTTCCTATTCAGAAATCAATGTGTGAAATCTTTGTCGAATTTTCTAGAGACAATTTCCCTTACGTTGGCACACAACACAGCTTTTATGCATATGACCTAGGGACATTGAGCCTTCCCACTACCTGCCACTGCAGATCTCTCGAGGAACGCCAGCGAGTGTAAACTGCTGGAAAAGGATCTGTGCTCAGAGCAACAGCCATGGCGGAGGCTTCAGGGAAAGGGTCAGGCAGCAGCCCATTGAGAGCTCGGTCTGCCCTCTCCCAGAGGCTCCTGGAGCAGCAGCAAGGGCACTCGCAAGTTGCTCAGCAACCCACAGAGTCCGTCATTGACATTGGTCCCTTGGGACCCTCCCTGCCCAACCCTGCATCTCTGCCCCCGCTACATCCAGGCAAGTCTTCCTGTTCAATTGGGCTGATGCGTGCATGTCATACTTTATGCAGCTTGGAGCACTCCTCAGCAGATCTCGCATCTCCCTGTCATTTGCATGTCATTTTCCTTGCAAGTGGTAGGCAATGTCTCAAGGTTGGGCCGCCAAGCAGCAGTAGGTGCATATTATTGAGGACCACGCCGGCTCCATCAAATTGGCATGAATGGTGCAGGTTCCCATCCAGTCTCGCGCTCGCCGTCAGGCAGACACCATGAGTTTGGACCTGACTCACAGTCTGTGCCCTTGGGAGCTGGCCGGCACCACCACCCACCCCCAGAAGACTTTGGTGGTACGCAGCCTCCTTTACCATGCACTCGTGCAAGCACATGATCCCCCCTGCCCTATGCGAACGACAAATTTGGAATCTTCCGAGCTGCAGGATAAGGGGCCATGAGAGGAACATGGTGGCTGTCTTCAAGGCATGCAAAATATATATATGATATAAGCTGTGATGTGATCAGGGACATCGCCTCTGCTGGGCTCACCATGGCCCTACCTGATGAGGAGGAAATCCATGAACCACCAGGAGAACCATGTAGTGTCGCCCACGCCAGAGGTTGACGAAGAGCACTTCGAGGTGTGATCAACTTTTGCTCAAAACCGGCATCTGGAACAGTGCCGTGCTGAAAGATAAAAATTGCTGTACCGTCGACGTGGGCAGGTCACCTTTGCTGGGCTGTCACAGCATCATTCCTGTTTTGTCCACGTTCCTGTCAGTATTTCTAATAAAGCTCCAAGATTTTGCAGCTTGGCAAATTAGCTGCTACAGGTTCTGGAGCGATGAGGCACAGCGTGCCTCCTTGCATGCATGCTTGCCTGGCACAACAGAAGGCCTTGGCAGTTGCATATATGATGACATTACAGTCTCTGCGCATGCATGCAGGACATCGAGGAAGTGTCTGAGCCGGCCGACGCGCCGTCGCCCGGCCGGCGCGCATCAATGCAGCGCAGCCGTCTAGAGGAGCGGAGCTCTTTTGTATCTGGCCGAGGCCTCACCGTGCCCGCCAACAACGGGCCCCCCAGCAGCAGCAGCTCTGACCCCCCAGGTGATATTTCTTTGATTGAGTAGATCATCTGTACTTCGGGCTGTGTGGATTTCATCACCCATGTCTTCATCCTTCACCTGTGACATGCACCCCTTGCGGCCACCCAAATGATGCTTTATGGTCTCTACTAGATTTGCAGACATGTGAAACCATTTAAGGGGTCCTTGGCACGTCCTTCAGCCCTTTCAATGGGAATCCACTCAGTCTTTCCTATAGGGCCTGTGCAGATTAGATGACATAATTTAATTGTAGTCAAGTGAGGCCTACATTATTTTTTGACTTGAGCTTGACACTAAGTTGAGTGTGGCTGCTGCAGATGAGCCGTTCCACACAGACTTTCTGGAGATGCCTGGCGAGGAAGCGCCACTCCTGGCCAAGCCTGCCAAGAAGAAGAAGGCCAGCCAGCTGTCCAATGACATCCTGTATGGCATCATCAATGCCATTGTGGGCGCACCCACCATGATTTCATTCGCTGCCATCATCTTCCAGGTAAGGGCTGGGCTGCTCAATTGCCTCGGCGGGGTAATACTGTGGCTGCCTTTTTTAATCCTCGCATCCTTGTCATCATTGATCATGAAGAGAATGAAAGGGACGAGGAGGGTCCTTGAGGGGGCAGCCACAGGACTTAGACAGCACAAATTTATCTGCATTTGCGCGCAAGTTACAGGGGATGTTGACATCTATTATGTAATAAATTAAGAGGTGCTGCAGGCTGAAGTGGGGGCTGCAATGCATGATTGCAGGATGATTTGTATGCGCCATACCTGGGGCAGCTGGCAAAGCTGGCCTTCCTGGCCAGCGCTGTGCACCAGGCCATCTTCACGCTCTTCTCCACACTGCCCTTTGCAGTGGGCCAGGTGTGGATCCCCCTGACCTACATGACACTAGCATGTCTTATTAGAATTGAGCAGCGTATTAATGGCATCCGAATGGTATTGACCTGGAAAGCGCTAGGCTACATGCCTGCCCAAGTCAACCCACAATTGAATCAATAATACTTGCACAATACAACGACACCGAGCCCCACCAGAGCTTCGCTGTATTTTGCAATGGTGGTGACAGACGAAGTCCCAATTGGCAGCAAGCTTCCTCAATTTTGAAGCATTCAAGAGATCGAAGGGCAGTACTAGGCTAGTCAGCGCATATTTGGCGGACGAAAGGCGCTCATTAACCCTCGCAAAATGGGTCAAGCTCTTTGATGCCCACAGGAGACACACATGCAACGCTGTGTTTTTGCAGCCAGACCAAGCAGTGGCATAACCTGCGAAAGGGCAGGGTGAAATATTATGGAAGACTGTGAATGTTTGTGGTCCTGCCAACAGGTCCAGGACGTGGGGCTGATATTCCTGAGCGCCATGGCGACCTCCATAGCGCACCTGTGCGAGAAGAACGGCTACGACCCGCATGAGGCGCTGGGCACCTCGCTGCTGACTCTGGCCATCTCCACCTTCATTGTGGGCGTCCTCATCATCCTGGTCGGTGCGTGCATCTCTCCCTCATTGCAGCAAGGCCTCACATTGTTGCCTCCTCCCCAGCAGAGTCCTGGCAGTGACAGTCTGGGATGAGGGCAGTCATATTTGAGTAGGAAGGGCCTTTCTGGCTGATTGCGCTCATCACATGATGTGCAGAATGTGTCTAAAACACTGTAGAGCCAGGCGTTCACAACAGATCATGCTGGCATGATCCATTCAACTTTCAAGGCTGGCTTTAAAAGCACTGTCATTGTCACTTGTGGTGCACAAGCTGAAGGCGTGGATGCGCTGCGCAGGTTACTTCAAGCTGGCCACGCTGACGCAGTATGTGCCACTGAGTGCCATCGGGGGCTACCTGGGCTACGTGGGATACTTCTGCATCGCCGCCGGTGTTGCGCTGGCCTGCGATGTGGAAGTGCGCCATTCCCCTTTATGAACAATTGCGCGCTGCAAGCGCGGGCATGCTCACCGGCTTGGGCTCCTGTATGAGTACACATGAGCACAGGAATGTGAGCATGTCTGCGCTCACAGATAATCATAGCGGCCAGCATAAGAAGTTCTTATAGACGGCCTTCTCCAGCATGTCTGCGATTTCAGAGTTCAAGGAGTTATGCACCTGAGAAGAGCAAATCTTACAGAGGCTGATGGTCATATCCTCATCTGCAAAGAAGGGGACAATCAGTCTTCTTCCTCCCAGCCTATGCTCTGACAACATCAGAGACCTCTCAATCACAAGCGTCTGTGCTGCTGCAGATCGACTCGTTCACCAGCTGGAAGCACCTGGCGAACAAGGCGGCGCTTATAAAGCTGGTGCCGGCTGTGGCGTCGACTGCGGCGCTGCTGCTGACGCTGAAGCACTCACGCAACCCCTTTGTGCTGCCGGCCGTGCTGGTGGCCATCCCCGTCAGTTTCCACCTGGTCCTACTGGCCACTGGCACCACCCTGCAGCAGGCCGCTGATGCCGGCTGGCTCATGCAACCCGAGGTGGGCCGCCCCCTTTGCCTCCGGCACCCAACCCAAAAATGCCTTATGAACTTTGGGAATAAATACTCGTGAACATTGGGAATATCACGGGGCTAGTGGAAAAGGTTGAGCATGTGTTTCTGTGTATGTTTCTAAAGATATGGGGCCATGGTCGGCAGTCTGCAAGGCGATGGGCACGGCAGTATTGATCTAGCAAGAAGTCTTGGAGATTGTTGAATAAACTGTGATTGATCTGCTCTGGAGGATCGGCAGTTCGGCAGGCTGCACATGCGCTTTGAAGCTCATGACTTTCTTTTCACCTGATTTCAGATGTAGCATGCAGGGACTGAGCAGGGGACTGGTGTGTGCTGCAGCCGCCGCGCTACTTCTGGGAGATCTACGAGCTGTACAACATCAAGGACTTCAAGTTTGACGGCGTGTACTTCCCGGGCATGCTGCAGCAGATCCCCAAGCTGCTGGCGCTGTTCTTCGTGGTCGCCTTTGGTTCCAGCCTCGACGTTGCTGCCATCCAGGCCGACTCCCCTGAACCCCTCGACTACAACCACGAGCTCAAGACCGTCGGTGCGCTACAGTCCTTTCCAGCGCTTGACAAGTCCAGCGCTTCAGAGGAAAGATACCAAACTGTTTCTTCAGTCCACACACATCCTGTGGCCTTGTGGATTATAAAGCCATTTTCGGTTTCTCAATTGTTTGCTATGAGTCATGTGCTGGCAGCGTTAGCCAGGGAGCATCATGCCTGCCAAGCAGCCGTTGGGAACTCAATTTTTGTGGCTGCGCAGGGCTGAGCAACATGGTTGCGGGTCTGACCGGGGCGGGCATGACGGGGTCGTACATTTTCAGCCAGACCATCTTCAGCATGCGCGCTGGTGTCAAGACGCGCATCCACGGAATCATCATCGCCGGTGAGCTCATCACTCAAGAGCATATGCATGATTGCAAGACTGGAGCATTCACGCATGCAATGATGATTGCATCCATCATCATAGGCTGCAGTGACTTTGCAGCACGGCACAAAGCAACAGTGCTGTGCTGCTGCACTCAAAAGCATCAGTGCTTTGAGACACTATTGACAAACAAACATTGCCTCGAAGCACAGAGACACTGCTTTGCTCTCTCTCACTGCCCCACACACCGGTGCTCCACTGGTACTCAGACATGTCCGGCACCTGTCCCTGACTTGCACTCTGGCAGTCATGTCTGCATCTGTGAGATTCCAGTGCACTGTGGCATGATAAATATTTTCAAAAGATATTTCATAAGAGGTCTGTGACCTGGCAGAGATCTGAGATCTGTGTCTGGGCCATATGCAGTATCGGAGCTGGTGCTGTTTCTGGTGCCCATCAGCGTGGTCCAGTACATCCCTACCTACTTCTTCGGCAGCCTCCTCATCCTCTTCGGGGTCGAGATCACCCTCGACTGGCTCTTCTATTCATTCAGAAAGGTCCGGTTCACGCACCCTTTTCACAATCTGCAGGACCCACAGATGAGACTTTTCTATATTTTCCCATTAAAGCGGGCCTCACCAAATCACTTGGCTCAATTCCTGCCTCCCATTCCGGCAAGAGCCAGGCCTGCAATGTCCACACCTAGAGGGGAGAGCAAACAATCATTTGCCAGCTTTTGGTCTTGGACGTCAAGGCACAGGAGCCTGGAGGCATGCCTAAAGTGATGCCCTAGAACATCAGGATGGCCTGCTTGCTAGAATATTGGTAGCAGACAAAGGGCATGCTTGGCATCTTGAGAGGCTGGCGGGCAGTGTTTTTTAGAGGCGGTATGCCGCCAGTGAGGCTCTAAAAATTCATTAGGCCCTCTTTTTGATGCGCTAGGAGAATACTTCGGAGGGCCTGGGCGCCAACATTGGCGGCACAACAATAAATCAGCCCAGAATTGGCGCCGCAGATTGGCGGAAGCAAAAACAGTCCTTTGGCCAGATATCGGCATGGCCTCACAAGTAGCTGAAACCAGCGGTGGTGGGGTGGCAGGTGACTCGGATGGAATTTCTGCTGCTGTGGGCGACGTACCTGGCCATCATGTACACCGACCTGGAGCGTGGCATCGGCGCAGGCATCGTCATGGCCACCCTCTACTTCGCCTACTCCTACGCCCAGGCACGCTCCCTCCTCCTGACTACTCTGCTGCTCCACCTGTCAATCTTGCGTGGTGCCTTGTTTTGAAGACCAAAGAAGGAAAGCATGTCTTCAGCAAGAAGGATGGAGTGCGTCAGAATCGCTTTGGAGAACACGACCCTGTGTGGCATCGGGGGCTCCTGCACAGAGGTGGTGGCCTTTAAGGTTGTACAGATGCACTGTCCCATTTATGGGACAGCCCCTGTGTCTCAGCAAGGGCATGCAGGATGCCAACATAACAGGCAGCAGTGGAGTCTCTGTTCGGGGGCTAAATATAAAGCACAGGATTCGAGCACGCGGCATTATGGGTGATCGATGCTGCACAAGGTAGAAGTGTGGGAAAGATTTGGCGGCTGGGGCGCAGGTGACGGTGCGGACGTTCACGGTGCTGCCGACGCGGAGTGGGGTGCTGCGCGCGGTGAGCGAGCGCAAGATCCTGGACCTCTTCTCCAGCCGCCTCGCTGCCATCTCCCTCTCCGGCTACATCTTCTTCGGCTCCTCCGTCTCCATTTCAGACCAGGTCCGCCCACACTGCTCCATCCCTCCTGCAGCGCATCGACGGGTTTTCCTGGGAGTGTTCCAGGCCTCCCTGGAACAATTGCTTCGCGGATGCAATCTGTGCATCCTTGGTGCATAGAACGCAAGTGCCGGATTACTTGTTTTCATAATTCATGTCGAGTCTATTTGTTTCACCCATGCACCATGTGTGGTTCACCTGTGCCTCTGCCCATGTGGTACCGTGCTTTGACTTTAATGCCGCATCAGGGCAGTGATGGAGGCATTGCAAGGAGATAAGTATCAAGGCACGCCCCCTGCATGCGCAACAGCCCGTGACATTCAAGTTTTTGACACGCGAACCATTTAACCACCAGTGCATCGCAGGTGATGTCGGTGGCGCGGACGCTGGTGGGGCAGGACATTGCTGCGTTGGAGGCCGAGGCTAGCAGCCCGCAGGAAGCCAAGGCACGCGAGCTAGGCCTGGACCCGCTCTTCTCCCCCGAGCAGCGTCCCCACACCGCCGCCGCGTTCGCCGCCGCACCCAGATTCATCCTCCTTGACTTCAGGTGCGCCGCTGCTTCTGTGTCAAAAGCGCCAGGATGATGGATATTTGTGTTGCACTGAAAGGAAGCTACGCGTGCACGAACGGGAATCCTTCTCCCGAGCAGCAAGTAGCTGCTTCAAAAGCAAGGGGAGACACTCTATTTCAGACTTGGGAGGGATAAAAGTAAGTGCTTCCTTTTGCTATCGCACCAGCAATGTCAGACTTGCTTGCAGCTGCTGCTGCCAGTGCTCTCCAAGGGCACCAAAGACCCTGTCTTCCAGCAGGCCACAGCCGGCAGCAGGTGTATGTGCAGCCCGCCGTATAAACAGCAGCAACGGACAAATTCTATGCTCTGGGCATGTCCGTACCCTGAGAGAGCCAAAGGGGGGGGTGCGGGTGTGCAGGCAGGTGCACGGGTTGGACGCGACATCGGCGCAGACGTTTGGGACGCTGTGGACGATGCTGGATCGGCTGGGCGTGGAGCTGGTCATCACCCACCTGGACAACCCCGACATGGAACGCCTCCTGCGCGCCCACGGAGTCATCGACGACCACGCCTGCGCGTGCGTCGCTCCAACCTCCCCCCGCTCCCCCTCTGTTGATGTATCCCTTGCCGACCGGTGATCCGATGGGCCAGAGCTGCAACGTGTTCAGATGCTTGGAATTGCCCCAAGTTGTCGGCCAGGGCGTCTTGAGCAACAACGCGCGCGCATGCATGGCTGGCGTTTTCGCGTGCATTCTCCAGCTCTGCCTCTGTTGATCCAGACCCCTTGCAAACCCGTTAAGCAATGTTCAGGAGCTGCGGTTGTCATTTCTCCGGATGACTATGGCTTCCCTTTGGTGCAAAACGCTTGGAGCCCTCCAATTTTGTAAATGTCAAACTCTCGGCGCCAAGCTGAAGGCCCCTGGGTGTTTTTTGTCGAGTGCGCGCTTCGATCTTCTGAGCATGTGACAGCTGCAGTTTGGTGCCCTGTCAGCAGCTCTGCACATTGGCAGAACCATTGCGCTGGTTGCAAATACGCAAGAGCACGGCTGAGTGTCTGATCGGTGCGGACATGCGGCATCTTCTGTGTGTCTTTGTGAAGGGGTGTGTGCGCATGCATTACAGGGCGTTCCAAACGACTGAGGAGGGCATGCAGTACTGCGAGGAGCAGTTCCTGGCGGTGGCGTCGCGGCACGGGCTCTGCCGGCCGGCCAGCTCGGTGCTGAGCCTGGAAGACATCATCTCCCTGCATGGCAACGTGGTACGCTGCCTGCTTCTAAAGATTTTTTTCTTGTACAAAATCCCATGGGCTCAAGGCTTAGATTTAAGGGTGCCATTGGAAGCATCGGCAGTAAGTGCTTCAGCAAGTGCACCCTCCAGGGTCCAGAGGCTTTCCCTGCCAGTCGTGTGCATTTTGCAAGCTCGTCACAGTATTTACGCACATGTTCTTTCTGATTGTGCCTGATCAGTAATGCAAGCATGCTGGCGCCAGGTGTCCGGTGATCCACTTGACTACGCGGCCATCGCTCGAGTCTTGCACCAGTACATGCGGGAGATCCACTACGAAACCGGCGACCCCATGATCGAGGTGACCTGCGCGCACAAGCCGAGGATTCTTAAATAACCAATCCCACATCACATTCTGGTTGTGGAACAGAGCTGTATGTTGGCATTCTGTATTCGGCAGGGCATGTGTGTCGATTGCTCCCGAGCGTGTCCTGTGGCAGGCTGGGCAGCCGCTGGCCATTCAGGATGACATAAGTGGTGTTTGCATTTGAAATCTGCAAAAGAAGTCACGCTGACTGGTGGCGCTTGCAGATGGGGGAGGAGTCGAACGCGTTTTACATCATTGAGGAAGGGAGTGTGAGCGTGGAAGCCAATTTCCTGCCGGATCCCAGCACCCCCGGCTCTGTCGACCACCCCTCCAATGTGCTCGCCCGCCTCGACTCCTCACGTTGGTGCGAGAATCTGCCGTAGCACCCCAAATTGTACCACTGTAGCTGCTGTTTTGCAGGGGAGGTGAATCATTATCTTTCTGAGAACAGAGTACATCGAGCCGCCCTAGAATCAGCATCAGGATCCCAATACTTCTGGGCTGTGTGGTTCTTTGTGGGGATCTGAACGTTCCAGGTAATTGTTCCAGGTGCGAAAGGGGGCTGATGCATGGGGACAGACTTACAGATGCAGCAAAGCAATTAGATGGTGTCTGAATTCGGAGGGTTCTAGACTTGAGCTAGCGGCTGCTGTGGCACAGGAGTTTCACGTTTGGCCCCGGGACGGTGACGGGAGCGATGGACTTCATCCAGCGACAGCCGCGCCGGTTCCGCGTGGTCGCCCGGCAGCCGTCGCGCGCGCTCTGCCTCGAGCGTGCCCAGTTCGACGAAATTGCCAATGATAACCCCGAGGTGCGCTCTCTCTCGGGTCCCAAATCTGCAACGCCGGCAGTGCCACATGCAAGCGAAGATGGCTTATGCAGGGCTGTGAGGGCGGCAGCCGGTTGACTTCTTGCTCTTACAGCTAGAGAACAGGTTGCTGCAAGATAAGAACCAGCGCCGCTGCAGCTTTGTGGATTTTCTTGCCAGTGACTTGGAACGCCGGTGTGTTTACCTTCGGCGTGGGGCGTCTAAGCAGGGATCAAGATGTGTCTGCCGTGCAGGCGATGGTGGTATTGCTGACGGTGCTGGTGCGCACATCAGTCGTGGACGCCCAGCACGTGTGGGAGTACCTGGCCAGAAACAACGCAACTTCACGATAGCAGGGCAGCTCTCGCATCTGTGGTCTTCTGCCCGGGTGACCAAGTGAAGCCAGCTTAATTGCTCCAGCTATCTCTCTTTATGACCATTATAATGATAATGATAATTACCGGGATTAGGCTCGTAGATCCTGGCTTGTTTTCTTTGTGCGCGGCATCAATGATGACCTGTGACGGCAGAGAGCTGCCTGAGAGCGCGCATGTATCTGTCTGTGTGCTGTGCTAATCTTACTGTACAATTGTTTGGCAATATTATTGATTTTGCAAATGCTTTCATAAGCACATAATGATGCGTACGGGCTGGTGTGTATTGTTCTATTCTGTTAGTTGGTGTGTGCCTTCCCCAATTTTCCTAATGATGATACTGGATTCTTGCCATCACTGTAAATTATAGCAATTTAGAGATGTGTTTGAGACATTTATATAGGGGCACCTGGTGGGCCAACTTCAAGTTGAAGGCCCAGCGAGCCCAGGCCGGCGCCGCTCAGTGCGCACTGTGCATGCAGAATCGACTTTAGAATTGATGTGCAGCAAGATGCATTCTGTATTGAAATGACCCCCTACTGAGTTGCTCACAGTGTGGCAACTTTGTAGGAAGGAAGGAAGGAAATTACACATCAACTCCAGCCGCCCAGGGCTGATTGGATGTACTGACAGCATCCAAGTGATCAAAACAATCCATGACAAAGTGTGCAACACTGACAATATCTAACTGCCACATGAACTGTTGCATGGTCTGAATGGCAGCACCAAACAAAGCAGGATATTGGTCCCGAATGGACTGCACAGCAGGGCACTCAAAAACCAGATGGCGCTCATCCCCAAGCACGTGCTGGTCACAATGTAAGCAATATCTCTGGGCCCGAGCAACCCGTGCCCAGCGGCCCGAGACATTGGGCAGGCTGTGACACCCCATCCTAAATTTGAGAAACACACGCATGCAACGAGCACTGATGGGCTGTTGCAAGAGCAAGCCTGGGCGACTCAATAAGTCTGGCCTGGAAAACCAGCGACGGTAAGTACACAGAGTAGCATTCCTTGTAGGGCAGGTCCGAGGGCAAATATCAATATCATCCCAAACACGCGAGGCCTTGCCATCCAAGAGCTGCAACACAGCAGCAAGGTGCACAGGAACCAATGTATCAAACCGAATGGTGAACTCATACCCAATGTCGCGCAAACCACGCATAAAAGCCCACGCCCAATTCTTGACATTGCGTGTGATTGCATCCCAGCAGTCATCAAGGGCCACCTGCCTGTGAAAATGATGGGCAGGCAAAGCAGCCAGATTGTTCCAGAACTTGACAATGCGCCGCCACCAGGCACAATCAAGGGGTTGCTGACCCAATTCTTTCAAGAGAATAGAAGCATGCACAGAAGTGGGCACGCCTGTAATGTCCTTCAGAATCCTCAAATGAGAGGAGGCCAAGGCAGCCCGAGCCCGCCGGCCGTCACCAGCAGGGAGATGGCGCAAGCCCCACACCTCACAACCATAAGATGCGGCAGGCGGCACACATGCATCATACAAACGCAACAACAGGCCAGCTGACATGCTGCACTGCAGCTTCCCAAACTGCTGACGCAACTGCGCCCATGCACCCCACATGTTCCTGTGAAGCTTACCAAAAGTGAGATTAAGGCCTTGGACAGAATCAAACAGAGTGCCCAAATATTCAAATTGTTGAACCCACTGTAAAGGTGCACCAGCACAGAGCCACTGGTAAGGTCCTGGCAAGCAAGAAGAGAAGACAACCACCTTGGTCTTGTCGGCACTAATAACCATTCCTGTCTGCTCACAAAATTCGGCAGCAGCATCAAGCAGGCGTTGCAAGCCAGCAGGGGTAGTGGATAGCAAAGCAAAGTCATCAGCATAGCCCAAATCAGGAACACATACACCAGTACGCAAAGGCGGGCCGACCCCAGGACAGCTGTGCAACAAGTGCCTGTGCAAACCATCAGCAAATAAGCCAAACAAGGTGGGGCTCAAAGGGCAACCCTGCTTCAACCCAGTCTCAGAGGGCAGACTCATGCCCCGCCTGTCCCCAATCTTGACTGCCACCGTGGAGTTTGCATACAAGGACTGAATGGCTTTGAGCATGCGGCCACCAATGCCCAGACGCCGCAAGGCCTCCCAAAGCAATGACCTGTTGACTCTATCATATGCACCCTTCAGATCAAGGAAACAACAATACAAGGGCTCTTGGGCAGCACTCTGCCTATCTATAAAATGCTGCAAGGTGAATAGCTGGTGGACAGTGGAGAGCTTAGGCCTAAAGCCAGCCTGAGTGTCTGCGCGCAACCCAACACCCTCTGTATACCTGAGAAGCCGAGCATTTAAAATGTTGGAATAAAGGCGCATGATGGGCTCAGTCACTGCAATGGGCCTGTAATTTGACGTGTCTAATTTGCTGCCTTTCTTATGCACAGGGGTGATCAGACTACCATTCACAAAAGCTGGTACTTGCCCAGCCACAAAAGCAGAGTTCAACACAGCAACGAGCGCAGGCCCCAGAATGTTCTCGGGGGGAGGCATGCCGGGCTCCTTCTCATTCTTTGCATACCGGAACAGCTCGGCCGGCAAGCCATGCACCCCAGTGGCACGGCCATTTTGCAATTTCTGGAGCCCGGCAAGTACTTCCTCAAGGGATATAGGAGCATGCAAAGTATCAACGCGATCAGCGGGAGCAGCTGGCTGCACAGGGAAAGACAGGAGTGGCAACTCTGCTATGTTTGGCAAGTGCAGATTAGCAACTTGCTGACAGTAGGCATCCCACATTTGCACTGGCTTGAGCTGCTCTGGAACATCACAATTTTGTGACCTGAGCCTTTTCCAGAAGGCACGAGGGTCACTGTGGACTTCATCAAGCAGGCGGCGCAACTGTGCGAGCCGATGAGCGCGCCGTTTGGTGCGGACTGTGTTGTGGTAGAGACGCTCAAGGGCACGAAGCTCGGTGGGGTCGCCCCCGCGCCGAGCGCGGGCGCGCAAATCACGCTTTAGCTGGCGGCACTCCGCGTCAAAGAAGGGCGCATCCACACGCGCCGAGCGCTCGCAGCGCTTGCTCCGCGCCGGCATGGCACTCCCGGCAGCCGCTTGCCGGATTCCCGCATCTAGGCTTTTGAAGGCTGCATCAACTGTCCCATTCTCAGCATGCCCTTGGCAGGCCTCAAGGCTGACATTGGCAACAGTTCGCAAAGCATCGGCATACGCATTTCTACCAGACGGTTGCCACCGCACTCGGGACAATGGCTGCCCATTGCAAGCTACTAGACTACTCACAGCCACATTCACTTGCAGGGTCATCTCAATAGGATTATGGTCAGAGTCACGCCTGCCAGTGTTCACAACAACAGAGCTAACCATGGGCAATGTATCAACAGAGACAATAATATGATCAGGCCTAGTTGCCTGTGTGTGGGCCCTGGCCTTGAAAGTAGGTATCGCATCAACATCCCCAGACACTCTGCCAGTGCAAAGTAGCATGTCAGTGTCCTTGCAAAGCTGTAGGAGGCGCAGGCCATGAGCATTCACACCCTCATCACTGCAATGACGAACACTGCAATTAGCACTATCAGAATCAGGCAAGTTTGCAACACGGGCATTGAAATCGCCTGCCAGGATCACATTGCCCTGAGCTCGTGCAGCAACAACCTGTGCGCTTAAACTTGTAAATCGACTGGTGAGGTCCAGGGTCTGGAGCTGCCTGGAGCCCGCAGGTGGAACATAGCTGGAAGCAATCAACAGGGGTGTAGAGCTCCCCACAAACTGCACTTTCACCCACAGAGCACTGTCAGCGTCTGATGCCCAGTCTTGGGCATGGTAATCACGGTGTTTACGCACACCAACCACAATGCCCTCACCGGCCTTGCCATCTTCACTAGCAGCTGTAAACGTCACAGAATGATTTGGTAAAAGCGAGTCATCCCAGGTTAGGCAGTGGGCCTCAGAGAGCAACACAATGTCAAACTGGTCAAGATATGCTGCTGTGTCCCACAAAGATAATTTGCTAGCATGCAAGCCATTCACATTCCAGGACTGTAGAGGCTGCTCTCGTGTGTGCATTGCACATGCTCTTCCCAAGCTGCCCAAAGGGCCTGACGTGGCACAACTGGGCCCACTTGGGCACGCTGTGCTGGATAGCGCACAACCTCCGAGATGAACGCCGGAATCATAAAAAGGACGGAATATTTCTCACGATCTCGTGACTTAACCTTTCAGGATGCAGATGAACTCTACGGTCAGCCAAAGGGCTCCAATTAGTCCCAGCTGCATTTGTGGCCATCGATGCATACCATCGACTATAGTTCAGCCAAGACGTAGCATTCTTAAGACATGCACGCTGCGCAGCACAAACCATTTTGGATCTCAACCCATTCTTCTCCGAAGCAGACCTTGCCAAAGGACTGCCGCACGCTCCACTGCAGGAGCTGTTGTGAAGGCAGAGATCTCCTATATCATGGTCAGACTTTCCCGGCACTTCTTGACTCCGTGAAGTAAAGAGAATCGATATCCACATGCTCGAGCGCTTGGTACTGCAATGGGATCCTCAAAAACGATATTTGGATATCCACATGGCCTCTGCTTACTGCTGACAGGTGAAGCCAGATGGCGTTCAGAGGGGGCTTGTAGGAGAGATCATCGGTAGGTTCGAGAAGAAAGGCTTCACTTTGCGCGCCCTGAAGCTCTTCACACCCAGCAGGGAGCTGGCAGAGGAGCACTACAAGGACCTTAGCGCAAAGCCCTTCTTCAAGGATCTCGTTGACTACATCACCTCTGGCCCAGTCGTTGCAATGGTGCGCAGCGACCTGAGCTTTCTTCAATTGATGCTAGTATAGAGCTGTACACTAATGGGGTGATTGCCAGCGCTCAAGATGTTGCCCCGGTGCACATCTGCTGCTGGCGTGTCCCTTGCTTTTCTGCCGGCAATTTGGCATGCATCTTTTTATCTGCTGGACATGTGCGGTGTGGGCAGGTTTGGGAAGGCAATGGGGTCGTGGCGTCGGCAAGGAAGCTCATCGGTGCAACCAACCCGCTCAACGCAGAGCCCGGCACCATTCGCGGTGACCTGGCTATTCAGACTGGGAGGAATGTGGTGCATGGCAGCGACAGCCCAGAGAATGGCGAGCGCGAGACTGGTGTGCTGCCTCTCTTGTCCCACCTGTGTCATGACTTTGGCAATTATCATGTTCTCTGTGCATGATTTAATCCCATGCAGAATTTCCCCTTCAGCTCCCCGGTAGGAGATGTCACCCCGACCTTGCACCCAGACAATTGTCATGGGGATGGCTTCAGGCAATGCTTCTGGGCGTTTGCATGGATTTTGGCGGAATTATATGCTACACTGTCCTTTGTGTGTGAATGTGTGCGTGGTGCACAGGGCTGTGGTTTGGCGAAGGTGCTCTGGTGGACTGGGAGCCCTCACTGAAGCCGTGGCTGACAGAGTAGAAATAACACTCTGATTGGAAAACACGTCCACGCACTGTGGGTCCAGCAAAGAATTACCATATACAAATAAACTGCCTTTTTGAGTTGGAGCGGACATCATCTACAGTAAGCAAGATTGGGGCGCTAGAAGTAGACGATCGGAAACGACTGTTAGTAGCTTCACATGTGATTTGCTCTTTGTGAATACACTTGAGGTAGGAAAGCTGCATTACAAACACCTTGTTACCCATCCAGCACCATTTCTTCAGTGTTACTCCTCATCCAGCATGCTGCACCCTCAATATTCTTGGGAAATTCTCGACTCTGCTGTTCTACTCTCATGCACTGCACTCAGGAACCTCTCCGATCTCAAGCACATACAGATGAATGGGAGCTTGCTTGTGCTGAAAGGCACTCTCTAGACAAATGAAATATATATTTTTCTGCATTGCTAAGAACCTCAAAGCCGACCCTCACTGCTGCTAAGCGACTGGCAAACATGGCAGGGGCAGCAGGCACTGTTCATACTAGGGAGCCTCCAGCCAAGTACACATGATTACTGAGCACCACATATAAGCCTCCTCAAGACTACTGGGGCAGGGACAGCTTCTGGTTGTTCCGCCAGGCCAGGAAGTAGTAGTAGAAGAAGTCCACATACAACCCGGTCTGCAGCACCCCGCTCAGCCACACAATCCACTGCCGGTAGTGGGGCTCTGTGAGGTAGCGGTATATCCAGTTCAGGATGTACAGCCCCCGATACGTCCTGCACAAACAGCCCCTCCTTGTCAGAGCACTTCCAACCCCCCTCCAAATTCGCTGCTTGCCTTTCCCACTGCACAAGGCATGTGTCATGCAACCCTCCGTCTGAGACTGAACCCAGCAGCAACTCGGCTGCAGCACATGCATGCTCTCCTGGTGCCCAGGTTGATCATATGGGCAGTAGCTGACAGGTGGCAGATGGCAGTCACCCGAGCAGGAAGACATAGTTCCCGGTCAGGTTGTCAATGTTCTGTGTCCGCTGCAGCAGCACCAGCTGCGGCAAGATTGCCACTGCCTCCAGGTAGATCGAGAAAGTCCACAAGATCTGGGACCAGCACACAAAACACTCCTTCATACTGTATATCATGTTGCTTATAAATTGGCATTCTCTCAACTTGTTGTGAGCACATGGGACAAGCCAGCAATGATCTGATATGCTCAAGGCAATTCTGGGGCTTGTTGGGGCATATGTCTGGAGAGACATGCTGCAGCCAGAGGCAGAACATGTTTTGTATTGATCTGACATGAGTGTTGTGACCGTGTGATGCCCTGCCAGCTTGAACATGGGAGGCACACCTCAAGGACGCTCCTCTCCTGGTTGATGAGCAGGGCCAGTACTGCACATGGGACGACGATGAATATTGACCGGAAGGTGTCCTGCTCCTTGTCATATGTGTTGCGCACAACCCGGTGGAACCTCATGAAGTAGATGATCGAGAACGAGGTCCCAAGGAACACCAGCTTCATCACAGTGTTGTACCTGCAACATCAGATGAGCACATGTCAGCTCAAACTTTTTGTGCATGCATTATTGTCCGTTGGACCACACCTCACATGCGTATCCAACTGCTGCTTACAATTAATCTTTGCAAATTGGTGCAACCCTCTGCCATTTTTGGTGGGCACAAGCACTGAACACAAAAAATTGGTGGTGCGTGTGATGGAAATCCAGGATTGCAAGGAGATGCTCACAAGGAAATGTAGCGTGTGAACAGGTCCAAGTAGCGGAAAAGGAATACGAGCGCATACAGGTCCTGAGTCTTCAGCGAAATGCCTGCACGACAATGACACAGACATGTAGATGGCGCAGTGAGAGAGACATAATTGAGAAAGTACCCATTCGTGCATGCAGAAGTAAAGAGCATGGCAGTCTATACTTGTCTTCGCTTGCAGTCGCTTTCAAAATTGTTGTTCTTGACACTGCTTTAAGCAGTAACTCTGATTCCGTCAGACCAAGAGATCTCATAATATTGACATTTTACCCAAAGCGAGTAAGATCAAAGTCTCTGTTAAATTTCTACACGCTTGTAATCAGCATTTCAAGGCGCAATGCCTAGCGAATCGGACGCATACGAGGCATCCTGTATTGATCAGAGAAAAAATACCTCTGCAGGAACGTGTGGCGTGGATTTTCAGCAGCAAGACCAATATGGAAATGAGATGGGTCATATCCGCAGCAAGCCTGAAGATATTCATCTCGGCTACTTGTGCTTGCCTCCGTTATCTGCTCGTCGTTCAAGTGGCTGCAATCTCGCTCATCAACCGTCTGACTTTCCTGACTTCTTTCTTCAATCATGGCTCTGCATCATTTGCGTGGCTAACATGGAGATCAATGTTCTATGCACGATATTATCTGGCTATGATGCATTGAATCAGAAAATGGTCAAAAGACAACTCGCAAGATTACTCTAATTGTATTCGGCCGCATGCTCAAGAATTCACGCAGAGAAGGGGTTTCCAGGCCGTCCAGAACAATACCTCGCGAGTGTCATCGACTTAAGAATGTGTTAGATCGCTTGAATTGTAGTTTCGATGTCCACCTGCCCCACCATCGTTATTGAAGTTTGGAGCGATCTGGCATGTCCATGGTATTTCATGTTTTCATTCTGAACGTTGGAAATAGTATTCCTTGTCAGTGTACTGCTTGCCAGGATAACTAGCTCTCTAAGGTCATGTATGTGGCCTCACGTAAGGGCAGCTGCGGTACAGGTGCTATGTCGGTAAAAGGCGCTTGGACAAAGCGATCGAGAAGCAAAAGAGTCGAGCAAACTTCAAAGTGAAGTGGTGTGTGCCAGAGATCACGAAAATAATGATGCCATGCTATCTTTAAATGCTGATCCCTTCACTGAGGCCCTGTTGCCTCAAAGCTCCCCTCTGAAAAGCAGCTGGTGGGAAGAGCAGGCACCCATACATCATCGATCATGGAACAAAGGAAGCAGGTTCGATATGTCTTGGAGTCAACGTCGAATTTTAAGCGCTCAGTGCTGATCACATAAATCCCATATCTGAATTGTGCATGCTGCTGCAGGAGAGGAGTACCTTGCGTACAACAAGAGGCGGTGGGGCAGTGATGGTTGGACGCAGTCATTGCGGAGGTCTGGCGAGCCAGATGGTGCCACCTTTGCAAACTGGAAGTGGTGGCCAAACACGCTCAAGGCCTGGCTAACTTATCCGCCCTTCCTTCGTTCAAACGGTTGAAGCGCTACAGATCTAATGCCTCAAACATTTGCACGCACATGCGGCTGCACAAGGCTGTCACGAAAGCACTGTTACATGCAAGCCTCTTATCCGGCCGAAATTCCTTTCGGAGTGCAGGCGCACCGTCTAGTGGTGCTTGCAGAGCGGACAGGCCGGGCAGCAGAGGCCGAGGAGCTTCTTTTCGAGGCAATCTATGAGAGGGGCCAGAATGTTGCTGATGCTGCAACCCTCCAAGCCCTTGGAGAGGAGCTAGGCTTGGATAGGGTGAGTAAATATCGCATCGATTGCCCTCCCATGCAGCGCAGTGCTCCTGCATTGTCTGGTAGATGTGTAGGTGCTCGCCAGCACTTCCGGAGTGCATGCATAGTCACCCTATTCATCGTACCTTAGGGTGTGGCCCATGTTGGAGGTAATTCTATTGGATGGTTTCCATCAGGTGAAGGAATATTTGAGTTCGTCAGATGGTCTGGAAGAGGTTTTGGAGGAGGACACAGGAGCAAAGCAGGAGATGGGGATCCACGGCGTGCCCTACTTTCTGATACAGAGCTCCTTAAGCGAGGTCCAGCACAGGCTGTCGGGGGCACAGAGCGTAGCCGCATTCACTTCTGTGTTTGAGAAAACGATTGCTGCCAAGCAGTAACTCGTACAAATGACACTACTAGTGGTGCTTGAGGTATTGTAATTATTCCACCTCTAACTAAATGTACAACAGCCAATAAGACATCACCACACAAGATCATAGGTACATGCACTAAGAAAACCCAAAGCTCAAGACATGTGACAATTGTAATCTCATGGCAAGTGTGTGTCATTGTTTATTTCCACTGCCATTGCAAGCGGTACAGCAGCTGCAGCAAATGCAATTGGTGAACTCATGTAGCATTGTCTGCATTCTCTGCATGAAGTCATCACTTTCAGGTGCCACACAAGTGCTATGTACAGCAGTTCACGGTTGGCTGTACACAGCCAGAGTGTCTCAGACTTGCAATTATAAAAGTGTGGGCCTAAGATATCCTACAGCGCATGCACAAAGCACATCATTGTCCTAACACCCTAGATAGAACAAAATGCTAGAGGTTGCAGAAGGAGCATTCACGAGTGTAGATCCGCATATCAAGAGCCATGAAGACCCTTGTGGTATATTCATTCAATCAAATCCCAAGGAGCCACATCAAGGGCTCAAGCGATGATCGGACATAAATATCGAGGTGCAGTGCCAATCAGCAGCATCCAGATGGCATGCTCCCTTAGAGGACTCATAAACCCAGCAGATCAAACTCACATCAAAGACATGAAACACTTGCGCAATACAGAGGTCCCGCCGTTAGGGCCTTTATACCAGAAGGATCCATGCTTTTTGCACCCTGCAATTCCGGCTCTAGCGCAGGTGCACATCTTGCAAAGGGCAAGACAGCGTGGTTGGGCCCAAGAGCGCCTGTGTGGTAGTGCCAGCCGAGCAGCTCAGAAACATTGGGGATTATTTTATGTCGGCTTCATGTTGCACTTGGTGGTAATTCACAGCTGGACATCGTCAAAGCCGGCCTGCTCCAGCACGAGGTCCAGCCCCAGCCGCCGCTTGTTGTTGCTGTAGAACTTGCTGACGGCCGCCGGAGACCTGCACCAACATCTCAAGCGTTCAGCCAAATGCACCTGGCTTTTTTCATATAGAACCTTCTTGCAGGAGCGCTCCTGGAAATGGCACATGCATGCAAGCAAGCACAACAATGCACCCTGCATCAGCCATCTTCTCAAAGCGCACATGAGCACTGCAGCAGGCAGACTGATTATAAATGCATGTGTGGCAGGGAAATCGCACTTCTCCGGGAAGGCCGCACAGAGCTGAGTGAGGTCGCGCCCGTGCTCCTGCAGGACAGCAATGTACCGCGCCTTATCTTCGTCGCTCCACAGCGTCTTGTCGCACGGCCCCCGCTTGCGGCTGCTGCCGGCGTCCTCCGTGCTGCTGGGCGTCTGCGCACGCGTTCCCTCCCCCGTAGCCGCCGAGCAGCTGCCGCCGGGACGGCCGGCGCGCCCGGCCTGGCGCAGCCGGCCCTGGCGCACGCGGCTCGCCTGCCGGATCTTGGAGCGCGCATCGGTCTGAAAGGGCTCATCTTCCTCCGGCCGTGCATCGCTGCCTGTCACTGTTCCAAGGCCCGCCACGTCCACGCCAGGCTCGCTGGACCAGAAAGCCTGGGACTGCAGGAAGTCTGCGTCCTTGCCTGTGCTGGCCGCTGTCTGCTTGTTGCCAAGGGAACGATTGTGCTGCACAGGCATGCTGCTTGCGCGCTCCTGACGTCCCTGGTCGGCTGCGGTGGCGGGCAAGTTGCTCTGAGAGTCAAAGTTGCCTGTGTCTGGCTCCGGCAGGCCGTCCAGATCGCTGGGCCAGTCGAGGTCGCCGGACTTGGCCACGTTGGCCTTCAGCTGCTGCAGCTGCTTCTCGAGCGCCGCGATCCCCCGCACCCCGCTGAGGCTCCCGGTCCTCTTTGTCGGCTTCTTCAGCCTAGTCGCTTGCCGAGCGTCTGCCGCAGCACCCTTGGCGGCCTTCTTGGATGCCTGCGGCCTGGGGCGTGCTCTCCCGCCGCCCAGCAGCAGCTGCGGGACGGCTGCCACCGTTGCGGCGCACGCCAGAGGCTCCGGGGACGGCATGAGCGGCCACAGCACGTCTGGGCTGCTGGCGTACCGTGCCGCCTGAGCCGGCCGGCTGCTTGCGCTGCGCGCGATCCTGCCAGGGGTCCCAAACGCGCCGCCCTCAGCCGTGAAGCCCTTCTCTTGTGTGTCGCCCCCACCAAGCTCAGGGAAGCAGGTGCGAGCGATGGCGTCTGCCCCATGCATGGCTGCTATCTCCTGCATAGTGCACGGCACGGCGCCCATGCTGCTGGCCAGCTGCCTCTCCTCGCTGAAGAGCTGCGCCTGAGTCAGCGGACTAGACCTCACCCTGCGAGCCTGCTGTAGCGGCGGCGGCTGGCGCGCATTGCCGTGACCGAAGCCCTGCTCAGGGCTAAGCGTCTCCAAGATCAGCTGCCACTTCTCCAGCAGGTGCCGGGCCGTCAGCGCCACATGCTGATTGCCGTGCTGCAGGCACCACCGCACGTAGTGAGCAGCCAATTTGTCATGCAACAAGCATGTGCCAACATCACAGTATCTCTTAACTAGTCTGAAGGGCAGGCAAAGGGAAGGGCTCTGTTACATGTCTGTCAAGTTTTCGAGGACTGATGCTTCCAAATAAGGCAGTGCAATACAATGCAGGCAATTATGTTACGTCATGTACAAGTCACAGACTGGAAGTCAAGACATGAAGAAAGCATGGCACTAAACAAATACATCCTGCAGGAGGCACCACAGTGGGTGATGTGTATAGGCACCTGGCAGCAGGCGCGCACACAGACGGTGACCTGCGACTGCTGCAGCAGCTGCCAGGTGACGGGTATGCGCTGCAGCATTTCCAGCAGCAGCAGCAGCGACTGCGAGGCGGCCACGCCGGCCGGGTCCGCCGCGGAGTCGTCCCTACCCGACAGGTTCAGGCACAGCAGGCGCTGCAGGTTGGCCGCAATCTGGCGCAGCTCCAGCAGCTCCAAATCTGGCACGGGGCTCCTGTGCACATTACACCATCAGGGTAGCCTGGCAACTGAATACCTGGCTTCACAAGCTATTTTAGGCAACTGCTGTCTACTGCCGAAGATGTGACAACACACAAGGCATGCGCATGCATTGAAGCATACTGAGAGCAGATCTGCTGGATTGTTTGGGGGAAATGGTACAGTCGGAGAGTGCATATTTATGGTCTGTAATGCAAAAGCATGCCTGTGTGCCACCATGGGCTGCATGTAGAAAGGCTGAGTGCTCCCGTACATGCCATTCCGCGCTGGTACAGCTTGCTCTGCACAGTGATACCCTGCAGAAACCCAAGATCAACTCAAATTCAACAAACCAGTGAAGGAGACAATTTTGTGCCAGAGGCGTTCTTTGCTAGATGCAAAAATAAATCCACTGTTCTGTGACACTGCAGATCTTGACATTTGAATTTAGGATTTTCTTCCAGGCAATATTTGTTGTATCTCAGAAGGTGCACAATTCCATTCTCATAAGTGGCCAATTGTGCGGCAGAAAAGAGCGGAGCACTAGAGAATGGAACGGGGCTGAGCATTTGGGGCCTGCGCGGCGCATGCCCTTCCACCCGTCCATCCAACGGCGGGAACCCCTCGGGTGAGACACCTTGAAACACATCTGCTTGCCTGTGAGCACAAGATGTGTCAAAACAGTGAAGCAAAAATACCCATGGTGTGTCTGACTGTCAGGTCATCTGAAGCTGCCTTCAGCATTCCAGATTCAGCTAAAAATTGCCATCTGCACTGTTGCACTGTTGACAGATTGAGCAACCTGCACAGTGAAAGCATGTGGATTGTATGGAATCCGTATTCTTCACGCATGCAGAGGTACAGAACCTGCCGCCTGCCGCACCCTCAGAAATGTACATTAGATTTCCATACTGCATGGGAAGAACGCAGCATGTGGGCACCCACCGGACGTGGCGGGCAGATGGGGTGAGGAACAGCTGCGGTGTCGCGGCAGAGCCCCACGGAGAGGGGATGCTGAGGCGGCGGTTCTGGCTGCCCAGCTGCTGCCCAAAGGACACCCTCCTCGCCTCCCCATTGTTGACCCTTCCATACACCCACACCCACATCGGTGAGCTATCGTGGCAATATGGTTTTGCATGTGGTGTGTATCAAAGCTTGCGGGACAGGTGCCAGCAGCCTGAAAGGGCTGCCAGGCAGGCATGGAATGCTGCACCGGCCTCCCATCCGCCTGCTGTCTCCGCTGTCCCTATCAACTCTTCTGATCATTGTAAAGCTTCTAAGGGTGTCTCTATTTTCACAATCATAGTACATAAAGCAACAGGAAAGCAGATTTAACTTGTAAAGATGCGCGCTAGAGGCTTGTACCCACCTCGTGTCAGCGGGTTCGTGGTGCCAGGCGTTGGCCAGATCGGTGTCAAACAGCGCCATGTCTTCATCGTCTATGGCCATGGGGTCCGCTCCCACGTCCGCACCAAAGATGGTTCCCAGCAGGGGGCCGAACGCATCGTGCTCAGCTGCGGCAGAGGATGGCGGCGGGCCTTGCTGGGGCTTCTGAGGGTAGCACTGCTCGTGGGCGAACGGCGTGTCCTGGCCCTCTGAGTCACCTCCGTTCAGGGGCGTGTCAAGCCACATGCTGGCCTGGCTGTGCAGGTTGTGGCCCTGAGCATCAGCCTCCCCTGACACAGCTCCTTTGCCTTTGCCCTGCTGCCGCTGGTGCGGCACTGCTGCGCTGTTGTTCACCGGCAAGACCTTGGACCTAGATTCCTGCAGCTGCTGCAACTTGAGGCTGCTGGGTGCAGTGATATTTGTGCCATGCCCCTCCTGCGATGCACTCTTCTTCTGGGGGCGGCTGTTCTTGCTGCTGCAGCAGGTGCTGCTGCCGCCGGCCTCCGCCGCTGCAGCGTCGGCCTTGGGGAGCTCTGGAGCAGCTGTGCAGGAAGCAGTCTGCAGCAGGCTGTCTGCATCGAAGCTCTGCGTCTCGGCGCTCGCGGACGCCCGCTGGCCCTTGCGTGGCGGCTCCTGATCTGCCACGCTGTCCGGCTGCCGGCCGCGGCGCCGAGCCGGGGAGGACTTTGTGGTCACTGCAAGCGGCGACAGTGACACGCTGGCTGGGGCAGCGCAGGCCTGCCCGGTAGGCGTCGCAGGTTCATCCGGTGCCGGCTCCTTGCACAGCATCACCAGGTCGGGCACGGTGACCGGTGTCTGCGCCTCGGCCGACTCTCCCTCTGGAGTGCCTTCTCCCACTTGCGCTGCCTCCTTGTCAGTCGGTGGCTTCTCGGTCTGCGGCTCATTGTGGGGGAGGTTCATGGGATCACTGATGTCCTGAGCCTCTGCATGCTTGGGCGTGCCAGCCTCCTGCTTGGCTGGCCTGCTGGCTGGCAGGCACATCGACGGCAAGACAGCCGGTGCCAAGGCACGCCGGGCCTCCCTGGTGCTTGGGCATGGCGGCGCCGGGGGGTCCAGGGGGAGGCCCGCATCCACAGCAGGGGCCTTGTCCCTGACGCCAGCTGCTAATTCATTGGATGAACCTTTGGGCAGCTGTGGCGGGGTGCAGACCTTGCCGGGCTGCGGAGCACCGTTCTTGTCCTCGTGCGCAAGAGCTTCTTGGCCTGCGGCCGGCTGCGCCTCGACAGGGACAGGGGTCGCCCGCACTGGCCCGCTGAACACTGCCAGCGACGGTACCAGGATGACTGGCACGTCGACACCACCTGAACATGACATAAGCAATAAATAACCTGCTGGAATGACTTTTCCATGTTGAAGGTTGAGGACGCTGTCACGAAGAGTAGTCAAGGTTTGCAGTCCAGGTAGAGCGCGACAAAATAGTTGCAAGAATCTATGCCCACCAAAGTTCCCTTCGACATTGTCTTTGAGCGATCATATCTTCTGTGCAAGCAGCAGCATCAACAGCAGATTGAAGAGGTGCCAACAGCCATAGGACAGACCTTCGTCAGCAGAGCTGCCCCCGTCGCCTGCTGCCTCTGCTCCCCACGCCAGAGGCAGGGGTTTGACCAGCTTTGCACGCTTCCGCTTGTCGCCCGCGCCGCCATTCTTCCGCCGCTTGCCGCCGCTCCTGCTCGGCTGGGCAGCCAGCACATCGGCCCACGTGGGCATGTCACCTCCCAAGAAGTCCATTTTCAGCACGCCGGCCTCGCCAGTGGGCAGCTTGAGCCCTTCAAGGATGGAGACTTTGCTGTGAGAGGCGATCTTGTCCGTCACCCCGCACAGGCTGCGCAGGAAGGCCACACTGGGAGGGCTAATGTGGATTGGGATGTTTGACTGCAGGCCACCTGCAAAAATAAGATTGCATACAGTCCTCTCAGCATCGTTGATGGCAACGTGCATGGCACTGGGAAGCAGGAGAGCAGGAGGGAATCAAGAAAGAGAGCTGCGTTGTGCTATAATTTAACAGCGTAAGTGCTACAGCATGGCGCTTACCAGGGTACATTTGGTCTGCAAGAATGGTAGTGTGAGGATGCAGATCGATTGGAACATCAACAGCTCTGTCAGGAGTGTCGGGACCTTGCACATGTGTCCTCTCTGGCTCTGCCACTTTTGTGTGCTTGCCCTGGTGATGCTCAGCGCCATCTCCGGCCTTTCCGCTAACGTTTGCTTTGCGTTTTTTGCCTTTAAATTGTGGCTTGTTGCCATCAGGGCGATCCTCTGTCACGGCTGGCATCCGCTGATCCAGCCCACTGCAGTCACGTCTGAGTGCCTCCAGCATGGTTGTGAAAGTTTAAATGCTGGTAAGAACGTCTGCAGGCGATCTGGGCGTTCTTCTTAAAGGATCACGGCTCAATGCTCACGAAGGCGGCCTGCACCAATTCAACAATCAGCAGCTGGGCTTGCCGGTTCTGCTTGATAGCTGAATATGTAGAAAAGCACCAGCCCTGCCTTCACCCTTTTCCACATATGTCACAGTAAAATTTCCTAGAGTTACATGATTATCAATCCGTTCAGATGTTTCAGTGTTGCTGGACCGACAAGGAGCACCATCTGCAGTCCACCTTCAGCTGGCATCCCAGGAAATGAACACCGATTTTAAAGATCCAAAAGCGGCATATGTACTTTCAGTAATATGTTGCAACATTAATGCTTAATGAGACAGTGTAATGTTCTCCAAGGCAAAGGAAACTCACCGAGGACGCCTCCATCAACGCTTTTGCGTGGGCAGGACCTCGAGTATTCCTGCTGTTTCTCCTTACGACTGAACAGGTGCAGTTCCTACTCTCCGATGCACTTCAATTTATGGGCATTACAGGTGTGCATACAGGCACATTTGAATCTGGACCCCGTCCAAGAATTTGTAGACAAGCGGAGGAGCCGGCAGCTGTAAGCGGACCAGATTTGGCAGGGACCCCCCGAGGGATAATCTCAGGGCTTATAGCTGCCGGAGGTCACGGTGCACTTCCGTCAGTTGAGTCAATTTGAAGCTCCTGAGAAATATCTGGTCAGGTTTCTTTTTTCTTCATCCAGCAAGCAGCTTCTCATGGTAGCAGCTCAAGCTGTGCATGCAAATATCCAGACCGGCTCCGTCAGCTCGAGCTGATTAGCTCATGAGCAGACGGGTTGCGCCGCGGGCACGGCAATGCCCGCGCACCGTGCAGTACCTCAATGCAGATCTGTCTCATATTACCATTGGGCTCCTCACTTCATCTCGACACAGCTTTTGTTTTCCAAGCAATCCTATCTGCCAAATAATGCCGATATCACATGTGTACAAAGGCAATCATGTCGCACAACCCTGCTCTTTGAGGGGCCTCCGATGGCAGCCAGCCCACGCATGAGCATACCTACCAGCTTGAACCCCAGTCAAGGCAGCCATTCATTGCTCAACAATTCCCATATGCAGAACCCATCAAACATGAGTCAGGTCACAGGCAACAGGTCAGGCATGTTCGGGACTGGCGCGCGCATCAAGCAGCAGAATATTTAAAGCTTGTGCAGGCAAACGTGACAAAAGCTCTGCGCTTTAGGCCAATGCTGACACCCTCACTCTCATGTTCCCGCACACCTTTCCTACCGTGGAAAGCGCAAAAAAGACTATCCTGGCCTGCCTGTACTACATTCCCTACGTTTAGAAGTTGGCCTGCTATGACTCGACTGTGTCGCCAAGTTGCTCATCAGTAAAATTAATCAAGACAAAAATTGCATAATCTTCTCCACACTGTGGCACCCGTTGTCACCTTTCAAGATATTCAAGGGGCTGCATACAACGGTCAGCTGTGCAGCATTCTTCCTAGACCACTGCCTCAGTAGAGACACCACACTCCCACCCACAGCAGGATGTGGGCAGATTCTGAAAGGCAGCGGTGAGCACGTCAAGCCAGGAAATGCTCGGTTCACCGGACAACCTTTGCCACACCCTTCAGGCCGTTGCGCGGCTTTTTGACCATCGGGATGCCGTTGTATTCCAAGCTCTGCCGCCTCACTGTGCTAGCAAAGGCTATGAGGATGTCCTGCTCGTCCACAACCTGTCCATGCACAGCAATTAGTCTTCTTAGTGATGTCTGGCACGCGTCCTTCCATGCGCACAGCAAATGCCTAACCTTTTTTGCCCAAGAGGCAATCAGCTGGCCGGACAACTACACCTCAGCATGCCAATTTCCTTAAAATAGCTTGCAGGGGGCCAAAGCAGCGCCTGCAGTGCTCTGGCAAGCAAGCAGCTGCGCGCTTGCATCGGCGCTGTTTGAGGGGGGTTTGCAACGCACCTGCTGAGCAAAATGGCGCTGGATGCCCGGGATGAGGTCCTCCTTTGTGCCACCTGGCACGTCCCCCAGCTTGAAAATGTGCCGATACCGCTTCAAGGAAGCCAGCTGCGCACATGACACCATTCTGAGCTACTAATATGTTGCCAAGACAACTGGCTAAGCACTGTAAGGGGCCAGACGGCAGCCGCACCGGCAAACACCTAAAACCCTCCTTTCACAAGGGCTATGGTTGCACAGGAACGATCATGATCATCATGGCAGCACCCTGGACAAGCACCCTGGAAGAGATGACATGCCAAGGTGAGAGACGCACCGTGAGCTTGGTGAAGTCAACACCTGGCCTCCTCCTGGTGGATGCTCTCTGTGGGACATACACCTGCACACAAAGGGCTTCTTCAGCAACGCCATAGAGGGACCAGGAAGGCTTCGCTGTGCGACAGTTTGAACTTCAAGATGCGATCGTGCCTTGCCCTCCCTGACACGCTGGGCTTTGGATGGGTTTGACTGGGACATGATGAGAACGGGGGCGGCCAAGATGGGGGCGTTTAATCGCACCTGGTCGTCAAAATCTTCCATGTAGTCGTTATAAGAACCATTCGTGCTCGCTCGCATCTTTCTCTTGCCGTCCATTATGGTGCTCCCTGAGCGTTGGGGTCTAACCTGCTTGCAGGCAAAAAATCAGGGGCAGGTTTTCGCGCATGCTGTGATCACGCAGCCGACAGGACTTTTGCTTTGCTAAAAGTACAGCTTGCTGACACTGGTGCCACCCAGTCCTTTTTTCTTTCTGACCTCGCGCACTTGTTGCACAAACCACACCCGAAAAACCCTCACTTCCTGGCAACAGGCCTGAACGGCGCCCTTTGTTCTCAATTCAACCACTATAAAGGGGTAGCACATCTTCTAGACGCCTAATACAGTCCCACATCCTGCACGGCAGGGCCGATCTGAGCTATCGGTCCAGCAGCCTTGCGCGTTCTTGACCATCCTGCATCATCATCCGGACGTACCTGGGACAGGCTGTTTTTATAGCTTCCCGCCCGTCTCCACACGCTCAGACCTCCCCGAAATGTTGCACGACCGGCTGATCTCCTCGCCAAATTCCTCAGAGTTGGCCCCACTCTTTCGTAACCGGTGAGTCATAAGTCGGCCAAATTGAACTGGCTCAAGACAGCCAGCTTTCACTTTGAGAATTTGTGACGCATGAAAGGTCTAGAAGCCAGATGGTCCTAAGCATGCGCACGCAAGGCATCACGATCTGTGTTTTACAATTGCGCTGCATGTGACTAGCTATAGCTAGCTAGTGCCTGGTAGGGCCCGGGTGCGAACTACAGCTGAAACCAGCACCATAGAAACCGTTTCTGTGAGTGCGATGCCGGAAATAAGCCACCCTCCCACTTACCGGGTGCCCTGCAAATGCCCGAGTCCAACTTTGACTGCCAGCCAGGCAGCCGGCCGAGGCGCCCCAGCTTGACAGCAGTGGCCCTCGGGCTATTGGCAGATTTGGCTCATTTTCGCTTACTTTGCATCAGATTGCATGCTTTCGGCTCACACGAGCTTCAGCTTCAGTGCTGCTAGCAGCACTCAGTAAGCTGCTCCAAAAGACTGACTCACTTTGGAACACGTGAAACATTTACTGATTCTGAGCGCATGACACTTTCAATAGATCCATGGTCCCGGACCAGGGGCCCATGGGGCCCAGCCACCTCAGGCTATTGTGCAGTGTGCAGATCCTGTATTCTTGTTGCACAGAATAAAATATTTATAATTCCAAATCTTTTGCATGCCGGTGTCTGGTAGGATGTCTGCTACTGCAAATTGGCTGATTCTGCACCACAGAGCATCCCCAATCATATCGAATTCTTGAAGTACTAGTACTAGTAAACAAAATAATGTGTCACCAATATCAAAGGAATTGTATCGTGAAGCACTGGCAAGCTCACCAGAACCACACCAGAAGGCGTGTTGTGCAACGCTTGCTCTCCATTCGAAAGCAATTGAAAGTATGTCACTGTGTGTCCTGGTGGCGGCATGCGTCAAAAGTACTTCACCTGCGGATGCCAAGCCAATCCATAACGTAGTTACAGATGTCCACAGCCAACATGCATCAAGCCGCCAGAGAAGATAAAATAGAAAAATAACGCACCATCTGGATTTCCTTGGATGTGAGGCCACACTTCTCATAGAATGCAGCGTTTTCCTCTGCACAATCCAGAATTAGTTTGTAGCAGCCAGCCTCTCTGGCAGCCACCAGCAGCGCCTCAATCACCCTGCGTCAGCAGCCAGGATGGAGCAGTTGCGTCAATGCTCTTATCCTGTGATTTAGACCTGGAAAGAAATCAAGGAAGTGCCTACAAGTCAGACCGCACTTGACAATCTGCTACCTCTCTCACCTCTGCCCCAAGCGCTTCCCTCTGTAAGTCTGATCCACAACAACATCCTCTATGTGCCCTGCCTGCAGGACACAGGAGCGAGATGTAAATGCCTCTATCATGCAGTCTCTACGCTGCTGCAATGACAGCAAATCCATGTCCTATACTGCAACTCTCCATGGGTGCCCACCTTGCCACAGCTGCGGATGAATTTACGCTCTATCAGAAGGGAGGCCGTGGCGACGATTTTCCCCTTTTCAGGATCTGCACAAGAAGCAACCGCATTATCAGTGTCAAGGCACAACAGGCCTGCACACGAGGACATACAGCAAACCATGGAGATAGCAAACACCCACCCTCGATGACCACGCTTTTGTAGTCTGGGGAAGAGTCGATCTCCTCAAATCGAGCTGCAGCAAACCAATACTTCCTTATCACGACATTGAATATTTCTCTGCAGGCTCTGGAGGCATCGAAACCCAACAAGTGCATACCCGTAAATGCTTCCTGTGAGACCTCCCCAACGGTCGTCAGCTGGCTGAGGATGTCTGGAAAACCTGCAATCCATTCTTCAGTGGTGATGTCGTCCTAAGGCTACGAAGCATGCCTGCTAACTGCAATAGGAAGTTTGTGCTATGATCATGGGTTCAGATATGCCCACCTTTACTGAAGTCCCCTTTTTCTAGATCACGCACCACGAACGCCATGGTGTAACAGTCCAATATGACAGCGTCAACAAAGTTCCTCTCAGTTGCTCAGCTAGGTGAAGTTGTGGACCCCTCAATTTGGCGGGAGCTGCGGCCCATTGACCAATGAAATCGCAGCATCCACGCTGGTGCAGGAGCATGTTGATGCTTTAGCTGCTGAGGACTCACCTTAAAAGCAGCGCAACAAATTTTAATACAGGTGCATACTCCTGAAGCAGTGCAGAAATAAGATCGAAAACCTGGAAAACTCACGTTCCTGATCTGGTTGATGAGCACATGCGCAATATGTTTGGAGTCCACTTTTCGAGGCTCGGAATGAGGATGTCTTAATGTACAGCTATTAATGCTGTTGAACTTCAAAGGATCAATTCAAACTGTCTTGTGCGGCGTAAAGAACGCCCTTTCTGAACGCAGTTGATCAAAGGCAAAGAGCGAGGTATAGAGGCCCAGTATCAAAGCAGAAAGGGTCCTATTCATTTGACAAGATGGAAAGGAGGATCCAGGCAGCTCCTGGGAGAAGGAGAAGGGATTGGGTGGCTCTTGTGTTGTGCATCCTACAGGTACTTCCTGGCCCTTTCGCTTGAAGCCTCACCGGGCTAGCCAGCGGTTGCAAGCACAGACAGATCCGGGAAATTTACTGGGAGATGTACACCCAATCTATTGTGGAGTTGCTTTGAGGGATCCGGTCAAAGGCTTAGTCGTTGGGGCTTGGCGCAGATCACTGCTGTGTGCGCGGGACCACTGATGGCGGTGGACTTTGGTGGAGAGTTCATCAAGGTGTCTGTGGTCAAGCCTGGCCGCACACCCATCAGTATCGTGCCAAACGAGATGAGCAAGCGACGCACCTCCGCCCAGGTACCAAGGAACCATCCTGTATATGCCCCCAGACATTCTCCAGACATTTTATCCAGCCAAATCGCAACTGAAGTGACATTGTGTCTGCTCCAACTTCCACACGACCACTCAAACCCATTAGACGAGCAAGTCGGCTCAGGATGTGCACTGCCACAAAGGGGGATGATGTACTGGACTTCGTGAGCTCAAGCATGGTTGCCTGTAGGTGGCGTTTGTGGATGGGGACCGGCTGCTGGGAGAGGAGGCCGCCGCGCTGTCAGTGCGATACCCAGACCGCGTGTATGCCAGGTGCAGCTCAGCCCTGTATCCGACATCCTGCTTGCACAACTCCAGCACCAGCTCTTTGCAGAGCTTCTGCGGCATGCTCCTGCAGAAGTCATTGAGTGGCCCTCCTAGGGGCCACCGTTTGGCTGCTTTCATAAGCGCGTGCCATTGGAGCAAGTGCTGATCTCATAAGACACAGCAGGCATGTCTTGAGGTGTGGTTTGTGAATTTGGGCAAAGCGTGTGAGAGTAGGCTGGCGACTGACGGTGTTAGTTTGTTATGCAGGACGAGGGATTTGGTGGGGAAGCTTGCGGCGAGCGAGGCGATTGGGTCTCTGCTGGCTGATAATCACTTGCCCTACACGATTGTGGAGGACGAGCAGCGCAAGACTGTGTCCCTCAAGACACACACCGGCGAGCTGCTCTCTGCTGAGGCCCTTGTGGTGAGCGCACCCCTCCATATATCCTGCAGCAGCCAGATACTCACTGGGAAATCAAAAGGACACCTTGGCCCCTGACCAGGGCTTTTCAAAGATTTCTTGTGCACGTGTGCTTGCAAATGAAGAGAGCAGCAGGACACCAGTTCTACTCTGCCAGCGGAAATAGCATGAGCAAGTCTGATTGCATGGAGAGGTTGACACCAGGATCATGCCATGCCTGTTGCTGCTGGTCAAAGAGTACAAGACAACATTCTGATGATGTCTACTGCTTTGGTGTGACAGGCGAGCATCCTGCACTATGCTCAGAGGATCACATCGGCTGCCAGTGAGGGCGCTCCAGTGGTCGACTGTGTCATTGTTGTTCCGCCATTCTTTGGCCCTGCGCAGCGGCAGGGCCTCATCGATGCCGCCCAGCTTGCAGGCATGCCCATGATAATTCACCACTGCATTTAGATGCCAATTTTGCATGATTGATGTCCAATGTCCACTTGTCTTGACTACTTCACACCCTGATGAAGTCCTGTCAAATTCAGAAATGCACATTCTGACGCTCTTACCGCCAGCCATGAAAACGAAAGCATCACAAGATGACGTGATGTCCATCTTGTCATGCCGCCGCTCATGACGAGCTCCATTACCTAACGCTGGTGGCGGTGCAGGGCTAAATGTGCTGGCGCTCATAAACAGCCACGCAGCGGCAGCGCTGCAGTACGGGATTGAGCGTGACTTCACAAACAAGACGGAGTGGGTGGTGCTGTATGACATGGGTGCCACCTCCACTGAAGCGGCCCTCGTCAAGTTCTCCTCGTTCACTGTCAAGGAGTTTGGCAAGCCCAAGACCCACAGGTACTTCCCTGCTTCCCAAGGACTGGCGCATCTGAATCTGAACTAAAATCCATATCGACTGCAAACCTCGTGTATGAATGGGTTCTGCGTACCTGTCTAGCTGAAGTGCTTTGGAATCAAAGGCAATTCTACTACCAGGAATGTAAAACCAAACGCGCTTGTGAGGGTGGGTGATGTTCCCCAACAGCCAAGACTGATCAGAGTGCAACACACAGTCTGGCGTGGATCGGGTCCAACAATCATATGTGGGTGACCCGTTATCGCTCTCGGGGCCGGCTGTTTTCTTCAGCATCAGATTTGCACCTGCTCATGCCAAGGCAGCAGGTGGCCGACAGTGGGGCTGTGGGCTGTGGTGCAGCCAGTTTGAGGTGAAGGACGTGGCATGGGACGAGGCCCTGGGGGCAGAGAAGCTGGACCTGCTGCTGCTGGACCACTTCGCCGACGAGTTCCAGGCCAAGCACGGCGTAGACATCCGCCAATTCCCCAAGGCTGTTGCCAAGCTCAAACGCCAGGTGTGAAAGCTTCTTGTTACGTCTGCTGAGCAGGAGATTATCCAAAAAAATTGCACATTGCGGCGCTTAATGCAGTGCAAGAGGCAGATACTAAGAGCAAAGCAGGAGCAGCTCCAGCAAGCTTTAAGCATACCTTTACGTAAAAGCCATGGAGTCCTCTCACCTTTCTAGCAGATCACGCATTATGATCAGGCCTGAGCAAGGCGACGTGCTACTATGGAATGCCCTTGTCTGCGATGCATGCGGGACATGTCACAATCAATAACTCTGCTCATTTTAGCGACGATGGTAGCTGTGTTGCACATTCACTCGCGACTGGCGCGTGCAGACACGCGGTGAGGTATGAGGGTTGAACATGCGCTGCTGCAGGTGAAGCGGACCAAGGAGATCCTGAGCGCCAACTCAGAGGCGCCCATCAGCGTGGAGGAGCTGCACAACGGCATCGACTTCAGGTCACGCATCACCAGGTCAGGCCATCGACCGACAACAAGTCTCTCATGTTTTAACTAAAACCTCCCATATTTCAGTGCCAAGGACTGTGCCGATAGCATGCATTCTGCTGCATGCACCTTTGCACAGTCCCTTGCACTGTGATTTCACCTGGCCTTGAGGCCATCATTACAAGCACAGGCAGCAGGGCATGCGTGCTGGTGGAGTTGACGAGTCACCGCCACAGGCATCGTACACGACCAACTGTCACCTCTCGCACCCAACCTCTGCCACCAAAGGTCACCTTTGGCACTCAGCCCACATCTCCTGTCTATGCTGATGAGTGGAACCCCAAATCGCAGGGAGCAGTTCGAGGGGCTGGCGGGGGATTTCTTCACGCGCGCGGCCGCGCCGCTGGAGGCGCTGATGGAGCGCAGCGGGCTGGCAGTGGGGGACCTGCAGGCGGTGGAGCTGCTGGGCGGGGGTTCCCGCGTCCCGGCCGTGCAGACCGCGCTCTCCCGCGCGCTCGGCGGCCGCGCCCTTGACAAGTGAGTCACCCCGCTCGCATTTCATGCCTGGGCTGCTGCATTTTGCAGTGTGGCCTGGTCACCCCTTCTGTAGCAATTGCAGTATTGTTAGGATCGTCTCGTGACTCCCTGCTTTAGATCATGGCGCTCCCCAGTAGCCTTCATCGCGTAGGTGCCGTTGCCGATGGGGGGCAGTGGTGTTATGTAGTAGCAGTCATCCTGCTTGTGTGCACCTGTCTCTTTGAACTGATGACAATATTTTTTCAACCCAAGACAGGACCTATACTACTGCATAGTCTCAGCTGCTCCTCATCTGCGATGGCATTTCTGCACTAGCTTGTATCTATGCAGATTTGACAAGACTTGTAGATGCTCAAGCTTCCTTGGCATTGTCAGGCACAGCCACTGTCTGCTGCAAGACTACGATGTGACAGATGCAAGCCAGCCCGATGGCTGCATCTGTTTGGCGACCAGTGAACTGTGACTTGAGTTGCTGAGTGGGTACTTCTCCGATGTTGCTTCCAGGCACTTGGATGCTGACGAGGCGGTGGTGCTGGGCGCGGGCCTGTTTGCGGCCAACCTTTCGACCACCTTCCGCCTGCGCAAATTTGGCATGGCCGATGGTGCCACCTACCCCATCCAATACCAGGTCCGCACACCCGCACATACACCCACCCACTCACCCTTGAGCATGGACGCACAATTTGATCGCGCATGCTGTGCCTGCAGGATGTCTAGTTTGCTGTGTTCTGTTCACCTAGCAGGGGGGGGTCAAGATGTGCTTGCTTGTACTCGGCCTCCCTGATTGTTGCTGCTCTTTGCTCGCCTGAAATTATCACATCTGTGTAATTGTATGGTAAGGAGCTACACAGGCATTCCTGACATGGGTGCCGTGTGTCATTGTCAGCCCTGAAACTACCATTTTTGTGTGCTTGCCCAGAAAGACCTGCTCCAAAGGCATTCCTGACATGGGTGCCGTGTGTTATTATCAGCTGGAGAGAGAGGGCGGCGCAAGCAACCTGGAGGAGACCGAGTACAAGCCCAAGTCACTGCTGCCCTTCATGAAGCGCATCCCGGCCAGGCGCATGGTGCACCTGCCAGAGCAGGCTGTGGACCCCCTCTCGTTCACCCTCTCCTACAACTCCAGCTACCCCCTGCCCTCCGGCATCCCCTCGCCTGTGCTCGCGCAGTACGACGTCACCGGTGCGTCCGCCCCTTCCGCTTGCAATCATTTTCCCGTTTTTTTTGTGACTTTTGTGACGTCAGACTTCTGTGACGAGCAGTCGACTGCTGCATCCCCTCCAGAGCACTTAATGCTTGTTGCTAGCCCAGTGTTAAGCCAAGAATCAATGTGGTTTCTGCCCCTCCTGCGCCCATCCTGAGGGTGCATTGGAAGGAAGACAACTCAAAAGGAATTACTGGCACGTTACAGCGCTCGGCCAGGAAGCTTTGAAAGTTTTTTAGGGAGTTGTGTCTCTGTACACACCCCTGAGGGTGCACCAGTGGGGAGGCAATCTGGGAGGTCAAGCCCTACTGCATAGGCCTAATCTAATGCGGTGTGACGAGCAGGTATCAAGGATGTGAGCGCCAAGCACAGCGAGCCGGCCAAGCTGAATCTGCACGTGCATGCTGACGCCTCTGGCCTCATCCACATCGACAAGGCAGAGGCAGTCCTGGACGTCATGGAGGAGTACACCGTCAAGGTGCCTCACATTTACTTACCATCTCGTTTGATGACTGCATCATTACTCATCACGCCTTCCATGTCCAGCCATTTTAGCATGGGTCGGTGACAGGTACATAGCGCTACAGTTTTCAAAGGATAGTGCCTAAGGGCAGGTTGTGAATGGATCATATGACAGCTCGGGAGCATATGATGGATGCCGAAGAGCTGGTGGGCAATGCCATAAGGCACTTTAGAGGGAAACTTGCACGTTGTACTCAAGATATCTGTTCTGACGTGATCAGTGGTGTGCATGGCATGCTCGCAGGTGCCACTGAAGAAGGCGGGCAATGAGAGCGCACCGGGCGCAAAGGATGGCGCGGACAAGGCGGCCGCCGCAGGCAAGGAGCAGGAGGATGCAGCGGCTGCTGGGGACGGTGCAGAGGCAGAGGTGCGTGGACATATCTGGTCGTTCATAAGGTTGAACTCAGAGCAAAAGACGTGATCTGTCGGCACCGACCAAATTCTGTGAAGATGTAGCTGCCTGATCATTGTAACACACGTGAGGGCGTGTCTCTCTATCAGGGAGATAGCAGGGTTTGATTCCCTGGATGATGACCCCTGAATTCCTGCTATACACCCACCCCAAGGGTCAGGAGTCATCATCCAGGGTATCGAACGCTGTCATCTCCCTTACAGAGCTACAAGCCCTTACATGTGTTACAATTATGTTCTCATTGTTCTGGCCAGATAGGTGGCCCTGCAAGTGCTAAGGGAAAACCTGACAAGGTGATGTCTCCAATATATCAAAAGAAAGTCTTAGGTGAGGGTGTCTGGCATGCAGGCGGCAGAGGTGGGGGCGGGTAAGGGCTCCGCGGCGGCGGCAAATGAGACGGTGGCTGAGAAGATTGAGTTCGAGGAGGTGACTAAGACGCGCAAGAAGACGCTGCGCCTGCCGCTCAAGCTCAGCGGGCCGGGCCTTTCCATGCCCAAGATGACCCCGGAGCAGATCAAGGTACGCCGGCCTTTCATGCGCCATGTTGCCCAGCATAGCCAGCCCTCACTCTTTGTGGAAGAGGCGTTTCTACTCGGGAGAACAAATTGCAACAAGTTGATGTGTGCATGCAGATTGCCTAGCGCTGAACTTTTCTCATTGCTAGCTTGAACGCAGCCCAGGGCACTCGCAGGGCGTGCATGATAGTCATCGGCACTCTCATGACATTGAAATGCCGCACCTTGAGAGTGAAGTGCAAGGGATACATCCTTGTCTGGTGTGATATCTAGGCCTCTGAAGTGGCTGATGTGGCGGGGGTGGCTGATGTGGCGTGCAGGAGGGCAAAAGGCTGATGGCACAACTGGCGGCCAAGGACGGCGAGAAGCGCGACGCGGCCGCCGCCAAAAACGACCTCGAGTCCTACATCATAGCCACCGGCTCTACCCTCGACGAGCCCAGCATAGAGCAGGTGTGACCAGCGCATGTGACCAGCGCATGTTCTTGTCTGTGTCTTCAGAGATTTACTTGGTCAAGAGGCAGTCCTTGCTTTCTCTGTCACCCCGATCATGTGGGACGGCCATTTCTTGCCTGCCTTGTCCCACAGGACATGCAAAGGCATGTGTGTGTTGGGAGCATTGCAAGAGGTATGATGTTTGCAAAGCATTTGCGTTTTGTCAAGCGTGGTGGGATCTGGCTCTGCCAATTACTGACTGCTTTGGCTCGGTTGGCTGGCGGCAGGTGACGACTGAGAAGCAGCGGGAGGCGTTCAGAAAGGCGCTGATGGAAGTGGAGGACTGGCTCTACACCGACGGCGAGGCCGAAAAGGCGCCCGTCTTCAGGTGCGCTTGCATGCGCTGCTGCTTCGAGATGGCCCTGGAACGTTTGAAATTGCTTGTGTCAAAGTGATCATTGTGGCACATATTGCACTGCACTTGCAGCCGCAGCTGCCTGGCCATCTGGCCCCCCTGCCTTCACTTATTTGCTTGATTCATATCAGGAGCGGGGGTCGCGGCTAGCATTCAGCATGCTGGACGTACAGATCAGGTCAGCTACAATGTGAATGTGTGCATGTCTCTTTTTCTAAATTCAACTGCCATGATTAAATACCAAAAAATCTGCTTGCGCACAGGAAGAAGCTGGGGGATCTGAGGGCGTCGGGGGACCCGATGGCCTTCCGGGCGGCCGAGGCGGAGGCGCGGCCGGGGGCGGTGGCGGCAGCACAGGGCATGCTGGACATGTGGCGCAAGGCGGCCAACCTGTGGCGCAGCCAGCGCCCCTGGATGAACGCCACTGACATCCAGGCACTCCTCGATGCGGTGCGCCCTGATCACCACCTGCCGGCTTAGAGAGGGAGTATTACAGCTTCTATCATGGCAGAGCACGCGCAGAGATGTGGGAAAGGTCTGCCTTGCAAGGGAACACCGTGCAGCAACAATATCCTCTGGCCCTGTAGCGCCAATCTTTTGGTTATTGTCTTGATAACGGCTACCCGGCTGTCACTCAGGGTAGAGCAGAAAGATGCTGAGGTGAATAATTCCCCAGCCCCTGCAACATGGGCTGGCAAGTTCATCGAGTCGCTTCATTGTAGTTCAAAGCAAGAGAACTTTCCTGGTGCCAGCGCCAGATGCAGAACTGAAGACCTGCAGCAGGAGAAAGGACACCTTTCACCATGCTGCAGCAGTGCTAATGTTGACAGGATGCATGTCTGCCACAGGCTGATGCGTATGAGAGCTGGCTGAACAAGGATCTGAAGAGGCAGAAGAAGCTGAAGGCCCATGAGGACCCGGTGCTCAAGTCTGCTGACGTGGACGCCAAGCTGGATGATGTGCGCAAAATCTTCACCAAGCTCAAAAACAAGAAGCAGCCCAAGCCGCCCAGGCCAGCCGCACCCGCCAATGACACGGCGGCAGCTGATGACAAGATAAAGTCAGACCCTGATCAGTCGCAGCCGGCTGAGGAGCAGGTTGATCAGGAAGTGGAGGTGGATAGCCACGAGGATGTCAGATTAGAAGAGGGAGCTGAGGGGGAGAAAGCATCAAAGGATGAGCTGTGACAACTTCTGTTCCAGAACTTGCAATTGTATTTCAGTCTGGTGCTATCAGCGCAGTATAAGCAAACATCCGTCGTCGTTTGGATAATGCATCTGGTCTTTAAGGTCTCAATAAGTAGTGTTTTAAGCGAATTTACATAAACCCACCATGCTTAGAATCCCACACATATGCATATTGTATTTGAGCATCCTAAGGCTCATGCTTTCATTGACCAAAGCCATTAAATTCGATATATATTATAATTGATATATCGTCGCACCTCTAAACAAGTACATGCGTGACTATGCATGAAGATCAAGTCACAAGACCTTCTCAAGGACCAATTTATCTTTTCACATCACAAAGAGCTAAACTCAGTTGACACATGCTATATAAACGTGTACTTCGCCTGCAGTGCAATTTTCTGGTGTGAAATACTTCTCTTTTCCATGCATGCATGACTTACCGGGGTTATTCCAGCCTTGGTCTTGAAAGCCTGCTTAGAGTACGCAGAAATCGTAGCTTGGTTCACAGGCCACTCGAGTAAATCATTTGCCGACAAATGAATGGCCCTGCTTGAATAGCTCTTTGTTCGATCCTTCAGTTGTAGAAGGAGCTTGTTCAGAAATGTCCTGCCTGCTTCCAGGCCATCCTGCAACACAACAGTCCAGCATCAATATCAGTATCACAGAACACTAATGTACCTGTGCTGAAATTGCATAAAGATGCTGTCGAGACAGGCAGCAATGCAGGCAGAGGCAATGTCTTTCTATTCCCGGGGGACTGTTTGAGCAGTAATGTGCACACACACATGTTCGCAATTGCATTGTCACAAAATCATATTTGGAAAAGTATAAAGTGCGTGTGCCCCTTTGGAGGTGGAGGACAGGGGACATACATCTTCTCCAGCATCTGCGGAGGCACGTCGAAGCCCAGCTTGGAGGACACAAATTTGGCCATCATCTGGCTCTGCATGCTGGATCCCCCAAACTGCTGCCCCGTGTGTGACTGGAACATGCCCGACAGCTTGTCCATCTGCAGCGCCACACAGCACAACTCACAACTGGAGCATTGTGAGGCCCTCTCTGGGAAAGGACATGTCAGGCTGTGTATCGAATGTCAGGGGGTACTTGTGGTTGCAAGTGTCAGGCGGGAGCAAATGTTAAACAGCCAATGGTTCCTAGTACGTCGAAAGAAGTGCCCTCACCATGCCACCATTAAGGTGCTGCCCAGCGCCTTGCTCGTTGACCCTGCGTCCACCCCGTATCAGCAGACATACTTGTGCTCAAGACTTACAATATCATAAAACACAGTATCTACACCTGGCAGCCGAGCACCATCGTAATGGGGCTTGTGCCAAGGGCCCCAGCTGACACCAATCATACCTGTACATCCAGAGCCATTGCCTTTTGCGGCAAAAGTTTTGCCAGTCAAAATGAGGCACTTACTGTCCATACGGCTGTACTGGCACGTCTGTCAGCAAGGAGACAGCTATACACAGTACTTTACACATGGCAGGGCCGAGGCTCACATGTTCTGGAATGAGCCGAAGGATGGATTGCCGTTGGACTGCTGGGCGGCTCCCTGGTAGCTGGACACCAGGCGGCCCAGACTTGACCAGTCAAAGCCCCCATCATCCTGGTCCTGTTCACCACCAAATCCCTGCAGAGCAGCACGAGTACAGGACATTGACATCTCCAGTATGAAACCAGAAGCCATGCTGCAAGCCGTGCGTGCTTTGATGCAGTGTAAATGTAACAGGGCTCCAAGAGCAGGGACGCAGATGAGCATGCACACAGGGATCCCCCAGGCATTTATTTTGGGTGCCCACCAAGGTCTACAGTGCAAGGTGAAGGCAATATGTGCAAAATATGTGATAAGGATAATGTGAATGCATGGGGAATAGCCACCTCTTGGTGGCGGTTTGTATAGCCTCCTACCTGCTCCTGGGGGCGGTACCCCCCGCCTCCACCTCCGTCCTGCGGATTGAAGCCCATCGGCCCGCTGCCTCCCTCCTGGCCCCCATACTCGCCGGGACGGTACCCCTCTGGCCGGTTGCCGTAGCCCTGGCCACCGCCGTATCCTCCGCCGCCCTCGGGCCGGTGCCCCTGCACCCCCAGATCACAGAGTTTCTTGCCTTGCTCTCATGCTTGCTCTCATTGCTGCAGGAGGGCTCACAATTAATTTGAAATCCATATGAATAAGCACACCTTGATTGCTAGCCTGAAAGCCGGGTTATACAAAGAGTGCTATAGCTATCATAGCATCTTCCACGGGGGCAAGGGTGACATTCCTGGTGCTTGAAACGCTGGTTCTGACCACAACGGATTGTATATTTCCACCATTCAGAGAAGAAAATCAGGAAGAGCACCTCGTACTGGCCCTCGAATTGGTTGCCGCCATATCCCTGCTGGCCACCTTCGTATCCTCCTCCCCCCACAGGGATCCCCTCTGGCCTGCCCTGCTGATAGCCCTGGTTGTTGTAGCCCTGATCTCCCTCGTCCTTGTGGCCACCCAGGGCATCACCGGCCATTTTCATGATCTGCAAGGACGAACGCACTTAACGCAAGCGTTCTGGAGCAAAGTTTTATGGTACACACATTGGCAGTGTACATCAACACACATGTGGCAACCTTGATATTGTGCAGGTGATGGAGAAGAAGGAGAACAACCGAGCGCAATCGCGCAATGCAAGTAACATCCAGTCGTAATGATCCACTGTATCGAGTGGAGTAAGGGACAGGTAATGAAGACGAAAACTATGGTACGGCAACGGTTGGATTCGGGTGAGATCGTTCGAGACGCGCCTTCTCCATGGCGCAGATGTGCTGTGAGAGATTGTGGAATCTCGTTTGAATCCGTTCCTCTCTGCAATCCGTAGGCAACCGCACTTTAGTAAGCGCCAAGACTCAGGGGTGCATATCATCAGCACAAAGGTAGCCTGTCAAATGCAACATTACAACACTGCTTAGGTCTTATGACGTACCTGACTGTCTCCAAGTTGACGATGACCGAAAGTTTGAGATTGATAGCGAATGAATCGCTGACCATCTGCTGAGGTTTATCTCCAGGGCATTTGGGGCCATGTAGCTTCCGCTGACGCGGTAGCTGCGAAGATTCCTCTGGGCAGTTACATTGAAGCTGCGCTTGAAAACTTCGCTATGTGAGCCATCTCCTCATTTCGGTTCCCTCTTTGATCTTGCGGATGTATTTTGACGACTGGTCAACCGTGAAAGTAGAAGGCCATCCTCTTTAGCTACCATGGGCGCCTGCAGATCAAAGCCAAAGGTACCGCCATCTTCGCCCAGAATTCTCAACGTTTGATCTGCTTGGAAATGAGGACCTTCCATATAAAAACATGAGAGTTGCTGCATCTCAAGTCAGCAGGCGAATGTGACATCGCTCAGCAGCAACACATGGTTCTTGTCTTTGACTTTTTCTGCATGGCTTTAGGACGAGGCTGAGACCACGTTGTACGAGGAGAAACAGCAGGAGGCGGCCCAGCATGAAGGCAGGCACTTGCCAACAGAGCCTACTCCAGCGTGGGTGGAGCCAGGCACGACAGCAAAGGCAACAGCTGACACCATAACTAAGGCCGCAGGAAGAAAGCCAGACACCACAGGAAAGGATGTTGGGGCTCAGCCAGGCACCACAGCAAAGAACGTGCTTGGCACGACAGCGAAGGATGTTGATGATGCATCCGGCACTAAAGCAACGGGCACAGGAGCTGAGCCCAACGGGACCACGGCGATCAGCCCTGCACTCTCGAAGGCCTGCATTGTATTTATCCTCGGCGGACCAGGCAAGCTCCAACTTCAGCAGCCAGCAAACTCCCTGTATATTCAATAGAATTATCTCAGGCATATGAAGCCATGCAGCCTGCACAGATGGCGCAGTCTGTATGAGTATGTGCGTTCATGATGTGACTACAGGGTCTGGAAAGGGGACGCAATGCGAGATGATTGTGAAGAAGTATGGCTTTGTGCATCTGTCTGCTGGGGACCTGCTGAGAGAAGAGGTGCGAGAAGCTTCACCATTCTGCTGTACTTTCTCTCTGCATTGCCAGACACCTGATCTCCATGCACCCTGCCAGACACAGCAAAGTGTCACCTCTGTCCCTCGGTCATCAAGTGAGCTTCATGTCAGAAGTAAATGTAGCTTGCATCTGTCGACCATATTTTGATGATCTTACAGGGTCGTGTTGTCTTTTCCGCTCCTTAACTAAGGCTGTGCTGCTCTGCCGCGGCTGGCAGGTGAAGAAGGGGACGGAATTGGGCAAGGAGATAGAGGGCATCATGAAGGAGGGCAAGCTGGTGCCCACACCAATCACTGTCAAGCTGCTACGGGAGGCCATGGAAAAGAGCAGCTCTGACACCTTCCTCATCGATGGCTTTCCCCGGGAGATCAAGCAGGCGGAAAACTTTGAGCGCGAAGTCAAGCCCCCGCAGCTGGTCATCTTCTATGACTCCCCAGAGGTGCGTCCTGCCTGGCACACCCCGTCTTTTGGCTGCTGGGTGGTAGAATTGCCCAAGAGGCCTTGACACCTGTCCCGCATGCTCATGCACCCCAGATGTCACATAAATTGCTTGTCCCTTCTCTCAAGAAGGGACAAGCATCCGCATCTGCAGAGCTTCGGGAAGGTCTGGGCAGGTCTGTCAGGACTTCAAGGCCACTGCCTTGATATCCTGCTCAGGAGTGCTCATTTCTCGGCTGCGGTGCATGCATGCACATGCGCGTGATCTTTTTCAGACTTGAGCAATCATCCTCCGGCCCCTGCTGTGCAGGATGTGATGTTGGAGCGGCTGCTGAAGCGCGCGAAGACCAGCGGACGGGCCGACGACAACGAGGAGACCATCCGCAAACGCTTCAAAACGTGATGCTCTCCTGCCGCTTGCACGATCGCTTGCGCACGATCTAAACGGCAACAAAGCCCCGGGACTAGGACCTCTGGTGCATTTATTATTTTGTGCTGAAATCTTCTGCAGCACTGTATGCACGAGGTGCCGGCATGCATGCCAGGACTTGAGTGTCTTGCAGCACTACAGAGATGAAATACTGTTTCCATATTCCTTGTGAGGTGGAACATGTCAACATAAAGTGGTTATGAAGTTGCTCTGCCAATGACTTCCTGACTTGGGGTGCCTGGGTGTGAGCTTGCAGGTTCCTGGAGTGCACAATGCCAGTGGTGGAGCACTATGAGCCGCAGGGCAAACTGGTGAAGATTTCAGCGGTGCCGCCGCCAGAGGAGGTTTTTAAATACACCGAGGAGGCGATAGAGAAGGCCTGCGGCCATGGGAGTACTAAAGACCAGAAAGCTCTTGCTGCCAGCTACATCGATGCTTTGCCCTGACAGCAATGATGAACATGTCTTCTAACACTGCCTAAACAAAAGTGCTTATTCAGCACCCGAATTTTGACACTACATGTTCCCAAAGACTTGAATGATTTGCCATTTCGAGAAAAAACGAATGAGTGCCGGTCGATGTGAGAGTGTGAGAGAATCTTGCACGTGACGCTAGTGTTGCTTATTCAACACTTGAGAGGATCAGCTGATTCGTCAACATTTCTTACAAACTATTCTAGAAAGACAGAGGAGTTCGAAGTGTTCCGATGTAAATGAAAACGTCTCCCTCGACGTATCCTGGTCATGAAGCCTCGTTCGTTGTGGTGCCAGAGTGTGGAGTTGGGCCATCACAGATGAGCAAGTGCGGTTGTCATCGCGACTGAAAGCCTTATATACGCCCAGTGAGTGGAGCATAGCCGAATTTAGACGTGAAGGCGCTCCATAGACATGAAGATATCACGTCCGACTGAGTCAGAGCGTACTCCAGAATTTGAATTCTGAAAGGTTTGAAGGATGATTACACCTGTGGATGAAAGAAAGCTCTCAGGCGGTGCTACAGGCCCTGAGACAATGGAAGCACCGCCTTTCTGTCACAAGCTCTTTCTCTGTCAAATCAACCCAGGGCAGAGAATGAAAGAGCGTTGCTTCACGCAGATCCGGGGTTCACTTCAAGTTGGCCTCTGAGGAGACAGGAAAAGGATGGCCAGTACAATCTGATGAATGATTTCAACACTCTGTATGAGCAAATGTGCATCGAGGCAACATCATGAAACGTCAAAACACGTGCAGCGCTAGAAGCGGCAAGGTCTCATGGTTTGGGTGAGAAAATCATCTGGGCTGCATCTGTTTGAAACTGATAAATTATATGGAAGTCGACGGGCTCAGAAAAGCCTTGCAATGATCCACAGGATGTCTTACAGACTGACTTTTATTCATGCAGAGATTCCCGAGCCAGAAAAGTGCACAATGAGTCAGCTAGTGGAGGCCTGGCATAAGGCCGACAAAGGGCGCTTCCCTGCAGACCTCAGAGACTGGTTAGAAAGGGCAGTGAGATGGTGGCAGTACAGGAAGCATCAGGAACGCCTGAGAGTGGAGATTTATCTCATCTGGGAGGGAAATGGTGGTATGGTCTCTGCTTCCCTGTTTGACAGAGATCACGGTCGTCTTTACACAGCCATCATGATGAAAGAAGCCATTCTCCGCATCCTGGTGTCAACAGACACCTGCCTCATCAGTGTCTTTTCTGTCGCAGAATTTTATGCCTTATGCCACATGGTTCTGGCGGACCTCATGTGCAATCTGTCCGCTTCATTGTCCGGAGGGCTTGTGAGTTTCAAACTCTAGCAAGTTGCTAGAGTGAGGCGACACGGGACGATCACGAAGGTAAAATTCATTACTGCCTGCGCTCAGCGAACAGCGCGCTTTGAATATTATGCTGCACCGGAATTGCTGTCAGCTGCAGATTTTTCCATTCATAGCATGTGATGTATGCAATCACATTCACATGCAGCAGACTTCACAAAGATGCGTGGCCAAGTCCTTTTGCAAGCCTCCAAGGGCTTCTCTTGACGTGTGTGTGTGTCCTGCACGGGGACAGATGGAAGACTTTGCAGCTATGCATGTGCTGAGAAGCAGGCCCAAGATTGACTAGGCCATCGCAAATTCATATCACAGCCAACGAAGTCGTGGCACCAAGTGGTGGCGCTTGAGCCAAATTTGGTTCACAGTAAATGTCTTAACGGTGTCCAGATTTTCAGCAATCGTATCAAAGTACACTTTTATACTGTGAGTGAGCTGAATGCAGTAAAGTAGCCTTTTCAAATTCAAAGCTTTGAAAGTGAATTATTAGCTCGCGCACGGCTCAGGATCCACAGGCTTTGCAGCTGGGTAGCGACAAAGGAGACACCTTTATCTGAAGAACCCCATTCACGCCAGCCTGGCCCAGCATGCATCACTCCAAGACAGAGACATTACATTGGGACCCGACCTGCGACAGCCAAAAGGTAGATGAAACGATATCTACGCCACGGTCTCAGGTTCGATCCCCAGGAAAAACACTGGGACTTTTTTCGGATCGATTTTCGGGTACATTCGGCGATGCGGCCGCTCCTGAGACACCCGCATCGTCGCTGTCGAAATCCGTCCCGAAGTTTCGAGCGGTTTGCTAGGGACGGCCCCTCAGCATTCGTGTAAGAAGGGGGTGTAGACCTGTAGGCTGCAAAGGTGCATTTGCGAGTTGACAAGGCTGCAAGCCTGTGCATATCGGCCCCGGTTTCCGGCTGCAGACGGACCTGTGTATGCCCTATGGCCCTCTGGGCTCTGGGTTCGCCACTCATACAGAATATTATTATTATTATTATTATTATTGGGACATCCCAATAATATTGATCACTTGTTACACCTTGTGTTGCGTGTCCAGCTTTCCTGTGCGCCTCTTGTGTGCGGTTTGTGTAGGTGACCGTTGGCTGTCGATGCCCTTAGTGCCCACACCTCCATGAGGCAGACACAGCCTGTTGCAGACGGAGGTTAAGAGGGATACATTGAGGTGCAGCTGTGGTCGTTTCGGCTTCGTAATCCTGCCAGACTACACTTCAAGTTTTGCACTCAGCCATCTGCAGTTGTGGTGGTGCCCTGTGACTTTCGTGAGAGTGCCTGGACGAACATTTGCCTGTTCTGACTACCTAGGGCTGTTTATTAGTTGCCTTTGCCCACTCTGCGATTCCCTGCATGATATCCTCGACGTCACCCACAGGGTGTTGCGTCGCTGGCGGGCCAGAGGTGTCAGTTCCAGAGGGATACTGGTCTGAGACAGGGATTGCTTGATTGTACATGCTATGCTATGCATTTGCTTGCTGTGCTGTGTAGCATTGTTTGGTGGTGGGGGTGATGGTTTGTTCCTTAATACGCACGGCTCACTTGGACTTAGAATTTTAGCATGATACCATATGGGCTGCAGACCAGACCTTCAGGCCCCACAGATGTGGCTGCAGACACTCTGTGTGTATGCCCTATGGCCTTCGGGCTTTGGGTTTGCCGACACTGTAAGAATAATAATAATAAAAAAAAAGAATAATAATAATCCCAATTTGGCGATCCCCATCCACGGCCTTTGGACTGCCATGCACCTCACCCCTGTAGTAACCCTTACGTCACATCATGTGACCGACTTAGTTACTCCCCCTGAAGTTCACGCAATGACTCCTTTCTCCCTTCTTCTCCGCACAGGACCGAAATCCTTGGGAAAACCATAGAGATGTGCTTGCTTACTCTTTGATCGACAAAAACTTGATCCCGCACAATCTGGCCCTCAATCCTAAGTATTAGTCAATGGTTCACGGATCGCAGATCATGAAAAAGCGCTCACGCGATGCTGGGTGGATGCTCTTTAAGAGCTTTCACTTGTCTACTATTGATTTTTTGCGTCCCCAATTCCCAGGGAAGATCCTTCAGCTCGGGTGATGGGTCGACTGGGCCTGAACTACGACCGAGCAACACGCTCAATCCCAGAAGACTAGATGAACACATTTGCATGCCATTGCTCAAGCCGCACATATCAAAGGTAATATTTTGAATGGAATTTCAACAGAAAGTTGACAATTGGGTTAGTTGATCTCTTCTGTGCCTGACTAAAGCCTGACGACCAACTGTACTGCGCCGTACAGGTGGCGCTGATGTTTCTGGTCCGTGGCGATCTTCCTCACGAGGAAGTTTGGACCGAATGGATAGGAAGTCTCGCAGGCCTCGTGCCTTACAGCGTTCTGTGTGACAGCAGAGTTGAGAGGTGTTACAGAGACATGCTAGAGCGTAGCTCGCCCCCAAAGAGCGTGTATGATAAGCAGACATACTTCAGCATTGTTGTGCACACGAAACCGCATTTTGAAGGCTACGAAAGTGGAAGCATCTTCGATGGAAGGATCGTTGATGACAGGATCGAGGTATACTCCAGCGCACCCTCTGCAGCGCTGCACCCAACTGGCAAGATCTCATTTCCTCTTAGGGACTTGACCGAGCATTGAACGATGTCCTTGGTGCTGCAGACAATGTGGGGAGGGCATTCGCTGGTCAAAGCCGAGCGCCTGCTGATGAGGGCAGCTCTGCAGGACCCCTACAACCAGCGTTTCCAGCTAGTGTGTGAATACAGCATCCCTGTGCGGCCGGCTCTCTTCACCCACCAGCAGCTGCTCGCGCAGAACATGAGCCGCGTTGGAGAACCCAATGAGGTGCCCATCTCTTCTCCCCTGTGCTCTGCTCCCTAGCGCATGGCCATCCTGCCTCCAAAAAGGGCAAATCAAGGCATAGGAGAATCAGAGGGGCATGCATCCTGCGTGCACTTACTGCAGAGGCCCTTGTGACCACCAAGTCAGTCTGCATGGATGCAAAGTGTCCGTGCCCTTACACCTGGTGTCTCCCTGTGGGTGTCACCAGGTGCAACCACCATACTGATAATTTCAGCGCTACTTTGTTGTAGTGGGGTGGGTGTCAGGTTTGAATTCGTGTGCTGCCTGGTGCGCAGAAGTGGGAGACTGTGGAGAAGGCGGCCTTCAAGTGGCCGCTATCAATGCATGAGGAGTGGCCGGAGCTGCGCCATCACACCAAATCCCACAGCCAGTGGGTGACGCTCATCCGGGAGCATGCGCAGTTAGTCGTCGATGACACATTTGTGAGCGATCTCTACGAGAAGCACTGCTTTCAGGACGAGTACCTTGAAAGGTGGGCGCCTTTGGTCTTGCATGTGTGCTCCCAGCATCTCCCACTGATGGAATTGTGGTCACGCCTCACACACCCACAGCAATGCTGTCCTCATGTGTTGGGGACGCATGTAGCACCCGCACTCGTTCACTGGCGGAAGTGATAAGCCACCAAATTGCTAGCCGTTCCCCCCTTGCTTTCTGAACAGTGCAGGGGATTTGCCACGTGATCCTCGCTATCCGGAGGCCTCAGCTCTGAGTTGATGCACTCTGAGACGTCCACTCCTGAAGCGACAAAGAGCAAAGCCCCACGCATGCACAGCAGCGGTGTTTTGCTGATGTCATGCGAGGAATTGCATATCTGGTCTGCGCAAGCAGTGAGTGCCTGGGTTCCCATGCGCAGGCGCAGGACATGGTGCATACCGGACGAGCAGTATTTTGGGACGCTGCTGAGCTGGAAGCTGGAGGATGACCTGGCGTGGCAGTACACGAATGACCTGGCGATGGCGCCTGTCCACGACGGTGATGGGGTCCCCCCGGATCAGATCAACACAGAATTACTTATCCAGATCCGGGGATCCACGCAGGACACCTCCCGGGTACCTCAGTACCACATCCGCCACGGCGAGTGCCATGCCGTGGAGAGGTGAGAGCCCCCTGAACATTGTGGAAGGGCACGAGTCACTTGGGAAGGTCCTAAGTATGCTGGGTGAATCGATGGTAGAGAGCGTGGGATGCCTGCTTAAGGCCGGACATCCAGACACACTCAACTGTGGTCGCAGCATTTGGCGCTCTACGAGCATTTCAGGGGATTGCTTATGGCGCATGGCTTAGGGCTGCATGGCTTATGAATTCATTGTGTGCTTGTCCGCAGGCCTGTTTTTCAAGCTGCGCTGCTTGAGCTGCCACGAGGGGAAATAGAGGCGCAGTGTAGAGAAGATGCCGCATTGCGCGAACCCCCGGCTTACACAGACTCGCCGCTGTACCGCAACTGCGCCTTCTTTTCGCGCAAATTCAAGCAGAACACTGCACCCGTAGTGAAAAAGCTGCTGCAATCGCTGGTCATCATTTGATGCGCACGCGCTGATGTTCGGACTTTTAGATGTAGCTGGGTTTGTTGGCATCTCATGCCAGGGTCTATGTGACACAGAAGTATTGTTCCGCCTTCATAAAAAATTCATAGGGATACGCATGCAGTGCACATTGCATTTTGGCAGTTTAATGGCCCGCCAATGCTCGCACAAGACTCTGTGTTTGTTAGCCCTTATATCTGTTGTTGTTGAAGAGAATATGGGATGTAGCTCTCAGCCGTACATTTGTTGGTGTTGGTGTGTGACACGGGGACTTCCTCGTATTTCCTTTATGATTGCGCTCAGTGCAGGAAAGGAAATGTGCACTGTGCATCCTGCATCTATTCATGGAGGATAGGAGGATGAATTGGAGATCAAAGGAGCACAGAGTGAGCAGGATTGCCCAGAGCGCAAGAAGTGAAGTATGGGTTTTCTTTTCCACATTGTTTGGGTTCCATGGTGCTGCAAGCAAGCATTAGTCTCAGGGCTCAGAACAGAGCTTCATTAGAGGCGTAGGATTACATGTTGTGGAAACCATTCCTCGACAGGTGTGTCTGAGTTGAGATGGCTTTTGAGTTCAAGCTGGCTCTGATGCGGCTTTGATCAAACGCATTTGCAGGTGGCAAAATGAGTATTCTGATAAGCAGGAACTGGGGTCAAATGACAGATATGATATCTTGTCAATGTTAGAAATGCGCAATCATGACGGCAACTATGTGCCGCAGAGGCCCTCAAATACATGTGCCACGTTCTTGATTTGTGCCCATCAGTACATTATAACATGATTATGCAGACTCGGCGAGCTCTGCTTGAGCTATTGGTGATGCCTGCAGATGAATTGTAATAGCTGGGTCCATGCAAGGAGGTCGTTTGGCAATGTCAAATGCGGTGCATGCCAGGAGGCATCTGTGACATGAAAAGTTGCTCTTGCCATGCTGGCCCAAGACTGAAAAGTGACAGGTGACCATGGTGGTCAAGGGAAATAACTCCACAACAGATTTATCGAGCATTTACACTGTACGAAGGACGGGAGCTGCAATCTATATAAATTGTATCCCAGCACAGTCAGCCACAGCATTGGGCCCAACAACGAAATATAAGTTGTGTTCTGCCACAGTAAGGGCGCACATCAACAGCGTGGTCAGAACAGGATGTGCTCACTTTATTTCCCAACCAGATCTGCAGAGCTCATAAACTTAAGCTTAATGTGCACAATGTGATAGGATCCCAGCCCAATATTGATGCAAACAAGGTGACCATCTTGCAATGTCCATCTGTGGTTTGGACTTTCTGTTTGTGCATGGCTGACTTCTGTACTGTCACAAATATGCCTAACAGATGCTCTCGCATGGCTCTGAAGTTTCCCACAAAGCCACGAAACCTGAGACGCCCTGAGGAGTCAAAACTATGTACGCTCTTCAATTCCGTCAGCCAGCAGGACTGTCTTTCGGGGGACCAAACTATGGAGGGTGTATGGCATTCGTTTCCCTAGTGTTGCTTCTACTGGCCTGTTGAACCCTGTGGGCCAAAAAACACCCTTGGCAGACAACGCAGTTCCTTGCACAGGCCTGGCATTGCCTCTGAAGAAAGAACACAGAAGAAAGAATTGACCAGTCCCTTTATTTACTCTATATGCACTGTTACCTCGGTATGCTATTACTTCTATAACACAACACTACCAAGCAGCTGCCCTGCCTCTCAGCCCTGCCCTGCAGCGCCGATTAGTCACCGCTGCCGCTGAGTCACCGCTGCTGCTTAGTCACCGCCCGCAGCAACACGGCTGCGAGCCGGGGAGGCTCTCAGCACGCACAGCACAGCCGCCGCAATGTTACAGCCGGCACTGTCTGTGCGCCAAGAGAGAGCTCCAAAGGGGAGATCAATCCTCACGGCATGCCATATCCCCCACAACAACAAGTGCAAAGAGTTGGCGCCCATGTTTTCCAGCAGCAGCCGACACGGCTGCCAGGCCGGATCGCGGTCGCTCAGGCGCAGAAAGTCCCCTCCTTCCACACACCCTGGGCCCCATTCGCGCATGCACCCTTCCTGGAGGTTGTGCAGCTGCCGATAGGCACCGGGGTGTCGGTGGTGGAGCAGGGGATTGTGTAGAACAAAGAAGGGGTGAACAGCGTGAGCTGCGAGTTGATGCTGGTCACGGGGAGCACGCCGGAGTCGGTGGCGTTGATGTAGTAATTGGCGACGTAACCGTTGGTCGCCGTGTTGCCCTTGGCTGCGCCCGGGTTCTGCAGCAGGTAGTTGAACGCGAGCGTGTTGGTCGTAAAGTTGTAGACCGGCGCGGACAGCGTCAGCAGCAGGTACACGTTGTACGTCGTGTTAAAACCCAGCAGCACCGCCTGCGCGCACATGCCGGCACATGCTCACGCGCCTTCCCAAATGTGGTAGTGCAGTAGAAAATTACGGTAGATAAACGCCCCTGCTCTTGCCCAGAGCAACGAGCTTCAGAGCAGGAAGGCTGCCAGACAATGACGCAACCCGATCTCCCATGATTCACAGGAGATTCCTGAGCCATCACACGCAATTACAGGTGATGCTCTGTGCTTTATGTTCACCAGTGCAGCCCGCAAACAGCATTGGCCGAGAATCCTTTCTCTTAAAAACTCTTGAGCCAGGCTTACCTTTTGCTACCTGCTATGCATGCTGTAATAGATAGCCCCAACTAGAGGTACTAGATCCTCTACTCTACTTACTCAAGGCCAAAGGATTACAATTATCTTGGCGGACAGTGGTGTTCAACCCCCTCATTATTGGGCAGCTGAGGGTCGCTGGTCACACAGAAGTATGCTGTGGAGATTGGCTGTGGAACCCTCACACCTTGCAAAGCAGTGGGAACTATGACAGTGAACACGCACATCTGGGTTGCTGGTACGGAGTGAGGGTGACCCTGAATCTGTTGCCAGAGGGTGAGATTCAACACCTCTTAATTATTGGGCAGCTTGGGATTGCCAGTAGAAAGGAGGGAACGCGCCTGTGGGGCGGGCGCGAACCACTGCGCGGCGCCGGTGCCGTTGGAGGGCGAGCCGGCGTTGATGAAGTTGGTGGTGGAGGTCTTGCCCAGCTTGCGGATGGGGTAGTCCTGGTCATACAGCGTGGTGTCCAGCGCGTTGTTCATGAACATGGTGCCCGAGTTGGGGTCGCTGGGCGATGACGTCATCTGCACGTTGCCCGCCTGCTGGATGTAGATCACCGTTGTGTTGCCGCTGTCGCCTGCACACACCAGCCGGGAATCTTGTCAGGGGACACTTCCTGAAAACGGCAGGCACCTTCACAATTGTGGTCCCTTCTGCACCCGATGAGATGCAGTTTCACCTTCACAGGAGACCGTTCTGCACGTCCATCCTCTGTCAGGCCTTACAGTGCTTCACGCGCTTCATTTGGCAGTATGTCAGGGGCTCTGTGTTTTGAAGATGGTGGGCCAGACATATTGGAAGGGCTGAAGGGCTTAATCTCATTTCCTGAGAAGGCAATTGATCTACAAAGAAAGATAATGCTGCAGTTTTGAAAAAGCAACTGACCTCCTCCGGTGGCGATGGCGGCGCCGGCCGGAGCTGGGGCGCCGGAAGTGGCGGCGGCCGGGCCGGGCGCGGGGGCGGCACCGGTGGCTGGGCCCGGGGCGGGCGCGCCGGCCGACGGCGCGCCGGCTGCCGGGGCAGGAGCGGGGGCCGGTGTCGCCGCCGCGGGCGCCGGCGCCGGAGCCTTGGTGGGCGCCGGGGCCGGCGCCTTGGCGGCTGCCGGGGACGGCGAAGTCGCAGCTGCCGGCGAGGACGCCGCTGGCGAGGTCGAAGGCGATGTCGAGGTGGGAGAGGGGGTTGTTGCTGCGGGGGTGGTGGGTGCCGCGGTCTCGTCGCCGGTGTCGGCGCCTGGGAACGCGCTGGGAAGCGCCACTTGCTGCAGGTCACGCGCTGCACGCCCACAACATAACTTGGTCAGTGCAGGAGTACCTACAAATTGAGGAGTCTGATAATGCACCACCTGCTTGTTGGGCACTGAGGGATGGCCTCACGAAACCCTGTTGGCCGCTAGATCGACACAGCTTTCCGATTGCACCTAGTTCCCAGCCTCGACACACGCAGGAGGGTCATCACGGCGCTGAAAGGCAACGGTATCTAGCACAGCAAAGCTCCGATGGAGGGTGTCTAAACTATCGCGCACTGCCCTGAGCGTCCCGACTTCGCCGCATGCATCGTGACCGCACTGTGGCTCAGTCGCAATATTTTATTTGTGCAGTGTCAAGCCACATCGAAGTTAGCGCAAATTGTAGGCTGCGAAGAGACCCTACCGCTGGCAGCCTGGATCAGGAGCAGAGCTAGCAGAACAACTGCCGCTCCTCTTGTGCTTTGCATCCTGACGGTCTTTCTACTCCACTCCAGTCCTAATATCTGCACAACAAACCCTATTGTTGGGCTCATTCATGCCAAACTGCTGAAAATTAGCAGGGCGATGGGCCTGCTTACTCACCGATGTTGGGCGCACCTCTTACAAATCCATTGGGTTTGATTATATGAGAACGTTCAACATAGCATCTGGGAATGCTGAGAAACTATTGAAGCAATGCACATGTTTGTAGGTGCAGATCACGCCATCAAACGCCGTTCCTAGGCACAGATCGATGCCAGGTTCCCACGCACCTGGTAACGGGGACTCCTCGACGCGCGTGCGTGCGGCCGCAGCGTCAAGTCAGATGTATTTCTGCAGCAAAATATTAGCCGGTCCGCACCCAACTTACCACGTGGATATCCGATGAGCAGCAGCACTCCGGAGGGTGGTTCATTGAAGTTCAGACAGCGATGACGTCATTACCTCATCGAGACCAGCCTTATGAATTATGCCGGGTGGTCAGCTGAATGCTCAATTAAATCTCACGGTACGCATGAAAGACGATGAATTCTTTTTTGAAAGCTACTTTCATGTGATCTCAATTGTTCAGACAAAGCAGTGCTGAATCACTTAGTTTTCAGAAATAATGGAAGGAATCCAATATCGGTATAGTACCTTGGCGGCATTGGGCTCTGGCATTCTCGAAACAAGAAGCGTCGCAGATTACTTGTTATCAACAGGGACACCTCTTGCAAAGGCTCCTGCATCTCCAGCGTTGGTGCGCCCTTGACTTAAATGACTGCTTCTTGGGGCGGCAGTGATCTTCCTATGATCCTTCAAGCTTACAGGGTCCTTGCTGCTTCAGACTTTTACTACAATTGATATAACCTGGTGAGCATGGATGGAACAGCAATGGCTTTGCACGAAGGATCACTTTTGGCTTCAGGAATCATATAAGCAGCTAGTGGAAGTTCCAGAAGAGCCTGCAGGGGAGCTCCAAGATGAATTTATCGGCTTTGACGACGAGGCTGCCGTGGAGGTGGAGGCTAGCCGGCCAGAAGGCTCTCCCAGGGCAGCAGAAGAGCCATCCACCTCTGGCCGCTCAGAGCTGCCATGGACAAGGGCCTCCCACCGCATCAGGAGCCCCTCTGTCAGGCTGCACAATGGTGCGCTGCTCTATTAAGCTTCATTGTTTCTGTATTTACGTCTGGAGAGTGGTATACTCAGTCATGCTGTGTTGGAGCTGTTTGGTCTGCTGAGTGTGTGAGAGCCTGTAGCTGCACTGTGCAGAGCTCGTGGAGTTCTGTCGCTTCCTGGCGCCCAGCAGCAGCGAGCTGGCATCAAGGCAGGCCGCGCTTGCGCGCGTGACAGATGCTGTGCAGAGCATCTGGCCCTCTGCCTCTGTGCAGGTGTTTGGCTCCTTCGTCACAGGTGCCACCAACTCTACCCACACCCCTTGGTAGAGTAGTGGGCATCCAAGAGTTCAGTCAGTGAGTCATTTGCAGGGATGCGCTTGCCAGCAGATTCTACTCTTCTCTTCCAAGTGTACAGGACTCTCTCGTGGGCCTGACCCTGCTGAATTATGCAGGGCTCTACCTGCCATCAAGCGACATGGACATTGTGGTCATGGACTCGCAATGTGGAGACATCCGATCAGCGCTCAAGGCCGTGGCCAACAGCCTGGTCAGAAAGAACATGGCGAAGAACATCCAGGTCAGCATCTTCATCTCTGCCAGTCTCTGCAAGCTTTCTCAGCAAGCTACTGTGCCTCGGCTCCTTGCATCCCACAGCCGTGCCATTTTTGGCTTTCAAGTGTATTAGAGGCCTTGAGCTGCGCCATATTCTTGGAGATTAAAAGTTCCTGGGCTGGTGTGCAGATCATAGCCAAGGCGAAGGTGCCGATCATCAAGTTTGAGGACATAGAGTCGGGCATCAAGTTTGACATCAGCTTTGACGCTGCGAATGGCCCCGAGGCCGCGGACTTTGTCAAGGGTCTCATGCAGAGGCTGCCTCCCATGCGGCCCCTCGTGCTCATCCTCAAGGTCTTCCTGCATCAGAGGGAACTCAACGAGGTGAGGCTTTCACACATCTGCAACTCTCATGTCTTGCAGCTCTCATGTCTTATGAGTCGCCGTGACGCATTGGAGCTGAATGATCATTTATGGTAGTGAATCGGTGTGTTGTATCATGATGATTGGTTCTCTGATGAAGCCTGAAGACCCAGAGAGGAATGCTATCTCTTGCGTTATGCAATCGTTGGACATTTTGTCACTGTCACAGCATGTCAGAGACAGGAGGCTTGAGCAAGGTGTTCCAACAGAGCTGGCATGGTGAGCAGAAAATGCTGAGGGTTATAATTCTGGGCTTGCGCCAGGTGTATCAAGGGGGCATTGGCTCGTATGCGCTGCTGGTGATGGTGGCGGGGTTTTTGCTGCTGCACCCCTCGCGGGGAGGCCCAGGGGGGGACCTTGACTTGGAGGCCAATCTGGGAGTGCTCCTGCTGGACTTCCTGCGCCTCTTTGGCCGATCCCTCAACACACTTGATGTCGGCGTCTCCTGCAGGCACGGCCTCTCTTCATGTGGTTCTGTTAATTCCCCTGTATATTAGATTCAGACAGTGTCAGTTCTTATCGTTCAGTGCAGTACACAGACTACGACGGGTACTCCCAAGCCTCAAGACCAGGGATTCAATATGTTGCTGCCGTGAAACTGACAATGTGTCCGTTCCGAGTAACAGCTGGCATCGCCTTCCATTATTGGCAGGCTATATGATTCAGTCCCACTGCTCGATTCTTCACGGCAACGCAGGCTTTCTCCTGGGGCAGACATGCAATTGATAATACAAGTCCCTGAGCCTGCATGCAGGTCTCTCGAGGCTGTCAAGTGATCCTTTGGGTCCTGCTGCAAGCGCAGGAAGGGCGGATGTTTTTTTGGGAAGCGCGACCGGGGGATGCTGCAGGTGGAGCGGCCCTGGATGCTGGCTGTGGAGGACCCCAAAGACCCCTCCAATGACCTCGGCAAGGGCAGCTACAACATACAAAAGGTGCGCGCCCCTTCTCGTGACTCATTAGCCCGATTTGATGCTTTTTGGCCTGGTTGCGGAAGCATTGGTGTATAACATGGGGTGTCACTTGTGGCAGTGCTGGTGTCGTTGTGCAGGTGTGACTGCAGTGTTCAACTTTTTATGTGGGTGCGTGCAGGTGAGGAGCGCTTTTGACTTTGCCTACCAGCAGCTGACGGCCACAGCCGATGAAGGAGAGTCCCTGCTCCAGCGCGTTGTCAGGTATGTCATGAACCGGTCAGCTGATTGCTGTGCATGCGGAGGTGGCCATCGCCATCTTACCCCACAGCCCCTTGTGTGTGCTTTGGACTTCATGCATCCCTTTGAGGAGATCTTAGGCACTCCTTTTTGCCATCAAGGCACCTTGCAAAGTTTGGGTCTGCTGCATGCATGTTGGTCCAAGAGGAAGCCTGTCATTGACATCCACGTGCTCATGGCTGAGGGCGGGTTTGCTCGTCTGCTTGGCCAGGTTGGATGCAGTGCTGACAGATCGGATTGGTCCAACGCCGCAGCCGTCACCCACGCCCGAGCCTGCCATTGAAACAGTTACGACCGCCAAACGGCGCCGGCCGGAGCCAGAGCCGCCGGCCGAGCAGCCGGGCCACGCCGGCGCGGAAGCAGCCGCCGACGACGCGCACCGGCGCAAGCGGCGAAGACGGGGCCGTGACAGGTGCGCGGATGTACTCATCTTGCCCCTTGCAACTGTGCTGCACCGGTCAATTATAAAGGGTATTGAAGAGTCAAGGGGGGTCCTACTCTTCAACCCTCTTGCAATTATGCATTTTGCTGCCAACTTAGAGCGGTGGCTGCATGCTCAATGCCAACTTGTCTGGCAGATGACACAGCTTGTGGTGAATCATGTCGGGCCTGGTGCAGGGTAATTGAGGAGGAAGACCACAGAGGAGAAGCCAAGGAGGCAAAGCATGCAGGCAAGCAGAAGGCAGGGGAGAAGGATGGCAGGGGCCGCAAACACCACCACAGCAGGCAGCACAAGCGCTCACGGTCACCCGAGGTGGAAGAGCGAAAGGTGCACCCTCTTTTCCCTGTCAGCACCTTGAAGACATGTTCAAGTGTATTGCCTTCCATGTCTGTGAAAGGAAATGCAACTGCCTGAGTAGTGCCTCCGTTTGGACTGTTGCTGCGCAGAGGGATAAGCCAAAGAAGTCCAGGAAAGTGCGGGAGCGGGACACCGCCTTTGGCTCGTGCGAAAGTGGAGAGCTGGTAGAGGAGCATGAGGTCAGAAAATCTGGCTCGAAGCGTTCGCGGCGCTCGGCGTCACATATCCGATTCTCAGAGGATGACAAGGGTGGGAATGCAGTTTTGGATGAGCTGCTGCATGCTGTTGCGACTGGCGCAGCCGCAACGTCTTGGGGAGCGACACATCCGTAAACTTGACCATGTGCGCTGTTGCACTTGAGAGTAACTCAACAGCATGACATGCAGTTGCTGAGAAAGAGCCAGGAGCCATTGTGTAGAAAACAGAATCTTTGTAAAGGTGATGCTTGCATCCGACGGCTACTTTGCAAATTATGTCCTATACTATTCTTGCAATTCCTTACTGAAGACCTAGCCATCAACTTCAAGTCTAGTCTGCCCGACAGATTCATGGAGAGCTAAAGTTTGCTCTGATGCACACATACCACTGCAGCCACCGCCCACTCATGCAGCCACGCACCAAACTCATGTCAGGATGGCAAGAGTCCAGCTGCTCTTCAGGGCCTCAAATGTCTTCTGCAGGTCATCATCGATGCCTCTGCTGGCCTAGGCTACAGTGGGCGGGGTGGGCTGGGAGTTGGAGGCCTCTGGAACCGGGTTTACTGGACTCTGCACAAGTGGAATGTTGCTTTCAGATATCGCTGTCAATGTAGGACTGCCTCTCGCAAGCGCAGCCCGCTGCAGCGATTGCAGCACCCTCCAATATTTCACTCCTAGGCCTCAAGGGGCCGCATGACAGGACATTCTGAGCGAACATTCCAAGAAATGCGGATCCACGTGACGAGAGATTCCCGAGGGATGGCAATGCAATGCATTGCCATGATTGAATGCATGCCCTTACCAAGCCATGCAGGGACTTCCGGTGCGGTAATTCCATATCAAGGAGTGAGATCGTCAACATGAAAGCCCATGAATCACCGAAGACAGGCTGGGTTGTTCCTCGGCAGGGCTGTGTAGAGGACATCACATCAGCATTTGGAGGTTCGCAAGATATTGCTTCTTGCCAACCTCTTTGCTTGATTCTTTGCAGAGTCCATCCAATAGAAAACGTTGATTAGAGCACATCGAGTAGAACAACATTTGTCTTCGTTTCACCTTGTGCAGGTCTGAAGTTGGGAGGACCAGCCAAGTCCAACCTTGATGACGACACGGAAAAGCCGATCGTTCTTTTCGACATCAACGGTGTAGCCTCGCTTGGAACATGCAAAAGCAAACGAGCGCAACGATGTGTCGGTCTGTTGATGAATTCGTGATGATCTGAATAAAATTTGCAGGAACTCTCCTCGACAGAAAAAGCATGTCAGGCAGCGCTGGCGTCTTGACTATGCGGCCAGGATTAGAAGCGATCGCACGCCTAACGGTGGGTATTAATAAGTGAACGATGGCGATTAAAACTTAAAGTCACACGTGCAGCTGAAGGATCCACTTCATCTCTGCAGGAACACTTCAACCTTGGCCTTTACACATCTGCAGCGCCCAGGTGTGATATGTATTTGCCTGGTTTGCGCCTCCGAGGAGTCCTCATCACGCACTTTCTCAAAGGCAGGCTCTGAACAGAGGCAAATCTAAATTCAGCCTGTACTAGCGTCAGGGGCTTGAGAATACAGGTGAACCAAGCATGCTGCTTCATGAGATGACAAAGGGCACACTGTATGCAGGACGGTAACAGCGATCCTGCCTAAGCTGGATGACCACATTGGTCAGGTGAGGGTTCTAGAAAGCTAAACACTCCAGCAGGAAGTAACATGTGTTTTTGAACTGCTGCCTAAGCCTGAAGAATTGAGGCCCAAAAAGGGAACCTCCTAATGCCTAATCTTTTCATGTGTGTCTTCATGAGCAGCCTGGCCACCCTGTGCACACTGCTTCAGAGCTATTGAGCAGTCCAGAGGGAGTACACATTGACATCCTAATAAAATGGAGTACAATGATTCCGATTTGCCCAGGTCCCGATCTTCAAGAGCAGCAAGTTCCTGCTGACGAGGACATACTGCCAACAGAGGGACGTGAGCGAGGGCGGCAAGCCCTGGGACACTGTGAAGCCTCTGGGGAAGTGGTTCAAGAAGCTGGATCAGGTCGTGCTGGTTGACGGCGATGTGTACAAGGTCAGCTGACCTTTTCCTGAAGTGCATGCTGCAGAAACACTTCGTGTGACTTACTGTGTGTTTCTCTGGAGACTGAGCCATGCATGCATGACACCATTCATCTATCATGGGCAATTGTGTGCTGTATGTTTTGCAGCTGCCCTGATCTCCGATAGGATTGCATTATTGTGATCCCTGCACGCAGCTGCAGACCCCCGTATTGTTACTTCAGAGCGCATGCGCCTGTGGAAATCTCTTGCTGGAGGAAAGTCAAGAGCCTGATCTGCGGTGCATCATGCTGTCTTGTCCACGAGTGTGCCTTGCATGCTTGCAGGCGGTCCCGGGCGAGGAGAGCAATCTGATCTACATCCCAGCATGGAAGAAGGGTGACATGGACGATGACTTGCTTCCCAGGCTGGTGGACTTGCTGCTGAGGTACAGGGTCCGCATGACTAAAGGAGATGTGCGGGAGTACACCGCGGAAATCTCAGAAGCATTGGCGGCTTCACAGGAGGGCCCTGTACTCCCCGACAAAGCCGCCGAGGCCTCAGCTGTAGCCAGCAGCAAGTAAGCGTTTTACCGCTGAGCGGCACACTGCGTTTGGCTTGTGTGGAAGTGCAGTGCTGGTTGAGGAAAATGCAGTAGATCTGGCACAAGGCAACTAAGGCGTTCGGCATGCTTCTCAATTGATGACTAATTCGGATGTCCAGCCTTTAGTCTGGCAACTGCTAGGTGGGTGACACACTGTGACAGGGCCTTCAATTTGACTACGCATGCTGTTTTACACCAATTCAACGCGACATTGGGCTCTCGCTGGTGTATCATGGTATTTAAGAAGGAGCATGGGCCCATAGTGCAGCAAACAAAATATCTCGAATACGCATACAGTATCACAGATGATCAGCACATCCTAAATGTAGGTTTTGTCTCTGCAACACAGACCTAGATCTAGTACAAGTTACATTGCATTCTCTCCTGGACTTTTACTCTAATTTGCTCAATTTATACCCAAGCATACGATTTGAAACCTTTTCTCTCGCTCCAGCCGTTGCAAAATTCAAGTGTGCCGACCCTCATAATTCGCCGATAACACTGGTGCAGTTGCGCACTGGTGCAGCTGAATTTGAAGAGTAGCATTAGAGTGGAAAAGGCTAGCTGCGCTTCAGGGCCTCAAATCTTTTCTGCAGGTCTGCATCGATGCCGTTGCTGGGCTTGGGTGCGGCAGGGGGTGGGCCAGGACTTGAAGTGCTTGTTGATCCTGCACAAGAGCAACCTTCCTTTCAAATAGTTCCCGAAGTGCCTCTTGCAAGCGCGGGTTGCTTCGGATCTTTGCAGCACACTGCATGCTCACTGCTGAGACCCCGATGCTGGTCACACCAAATGCTCTTAAAGCAACAAGGAAAACAGAACAAGGGTACAGTGAAGTTGAGCAAAGGTGCACGACCAGATAGTAGTAGGTACACAGCAACAAATACCAAGTTTCTAGATGGGGGTTTCGCACCCTTGGCGGGCGGGGAGGGCAGGTTGGGGGGTAGGCTGGTGGGGGGAGCGGGGGGCGCCGAGGGGGGTCCTTGCGCCTGGTAGTCCTGCTTGGAGGGGGGTCCTGGGGCCGCATCGTACGCGCGCTGGATGGCCGAGTCGCTGCGCTTGTAGTAGCTGCCTTGAGCATCGGGTGCGCCCTCATCTGTGCCAGGAGGAGTTGGCGCCTGCACGGGGGCGATGCCTTCAATGAGAGGCTTGGTACATGCAAAAGACTACCAGCGGAGCCCTCGAGCATCTCAGACACACCTAGGAGCTGATAGAATGCAATGCAATGCGGACATGGAATGATGCATGTCGGCTCACCCCGAGGTTCAGGTCGTTGACGGCAGAATCAAGGGTGCCTGCTGGGGCGGGCTTCGGGAATGCTTCACTGTGGGGCGCAGCAGGGGCACCATTGGCCTGCGACACATCGTTCACCTGCTGGGACAGCTGCCCCATGATATAACCCCCTTACACAACACGAGCCACAGATTATGCATGGCATGGAGCACTTCGCATGGGAGTCACCACAGCACAGACCTGCAACGTTACTCAGCAAAATTGCACATCGCATTATTCAGGCTGATCACCCTGAGCATATTCCGTAGCCTTCGCAGCCCACCTGGGGAGGAGCGCCGGCGCGGGCGAAGCGTTCGGCGGCGTTGCTGGCCTCCTGCGCGCGGCGCGCATGCTCCGCGGCGGCTTGGGCAGCGGCCATGGCATCGGCCCACTCCTCCTTGGCCAGCGCCTGCACGTCCGTGGGCAGCGCCTTGCCCGCCGCCAGGCTCCCCGGCAGCACACGCGGCGCCCCCACCGGGATCTCTGTACACCCAGAGCAAAACAAAATCATCACTGCATGCCCTATTTCAATTAAAGTTTCCAGTAAGCCACGCCCATGGAGCATGGATGAGATTGCGGAGCCAGAGGGCACTGAAGCATGGACGCTTAAACTTTGACGTGCTGGTAATCCAAATGGTGACGCAGACAATCTTTGAGCATGCAATATTTATCCAGGGTTTCAAAGAAGAATTTTGAGCTGAAAATATGAAGCCAACAATCTTCTGAAGACCATATCTTTGATGAATGTGTGAGGACAAAGCTGAGATTTGACAGAGCTGTTTGCAGAAGGAAGCCTGCGCATGCAGGGGCGCAGCACACCTGGGAACCTGTTTGGCGCTCCGCCTGAGGGCCCCTGCGATGGGAAGCCGCCGGGGGGTGGCCCCCCACCGGCGCCAGCTCCCCATGCGCCAGAGGGGTTTGGTGGGGGCGGGGGGCCCGATGGCAGCATGTCCTTGGCGGCAGTGTGAGCGTCCCACTCGACGCCATACTCCTGGGCGATGTCTGAGAGCGTGGCCAGCTTGTCCTCTGGCGCCGGTGCTTCAATGGACAAACACCTGGCCAGTAGCAGAAACCAAATCATTCCCTTGTCTCATACAAACAGACTATGAAACCAATATGCATGCCTCGGCGCATCAGAATGGTGAAGCAAAGAAGGGGAATCACATGCATTGAAAATTTCAATGTCAATACATGTAAATTAGTCAGCAGGGAAATAGGTACATGCATATCATGCTGATAGCAAGAAATTTCTGGGTGGCAGCGATCCATGCATGATGAAAGCTGGCATACCTAATGAGGTTCTCATTGACATGCCACTTGCGGCATGTGAGATCTGAGCTTGACTCTGCCGCAAACTCTTTCCCAAATTTGCCAGCAAGCTGTGCCCTGATGACGATCAGCTCCTGGAAGTCCTGTTACCACACAACATGCATTCAACTGCATTATCACTGCTTCTATGCTCGAGCCATTTCTAACAAGAGCAATGTGTGGTACGGCTTGGCAGAAGTCATGTGCATGCCACGTTCTGAAAATGGCCAGCAAAAAGCAATTCTGATGGGGTACCTGCACGCGCTGAGCAGCATAGACCAGAGAAGACAGGGCTTCAATCATGTCAGGAGGGACATCCTTGCACTTTTCGACCAGCTGCACTCGCACTGCCAACAGCTCGAGGAACAGCTCCAGCACTTCATAGGCCTGAAGCATCAGATTCTCCCGAATGACAGCCTCCACACGGATGCGTGCGTTCTCCTGCTTGTTTGTGCGCAGCAGATCTGCAACCTCCTTGCGCATGTTCTTCACCTGCATGATAAGGCATGTACAAAGTCGCTTTGCCAACAAGGTAGCAGCCACGATCGTACGAGATGGACAATGGCTTAGAATGGAAAAGGAGAGAGGGAGCTGAGGACTTCAGCAGATTGTGTTGGTGCCCTGATGCTTTTCTAGTGGAAGCGTCTTGGCCGAAAACATGGACAGCATTATCCAGATACTGAAACATGTTTCTGCTGCAACATACAAGGTTCGATAAAACTGTCAGACAGAGCTCGCAAGAGCAACGTACCATTATCTGCTTCTTGTTGCGCATCAGCTTGATGCGACCCACGCACAGCTTGCATTGTGTTTTACTGCACAACAAACATCTGAATGAGCAGAATTTTCTCTGTTATCTTACAAAGCAATGTGAATCGACGTACAAAATGACAGACACAAGAAAGCTACGACAGGAAGCTGCAAGAAGCTCACCACTTGTTGCTGGAGAATCGGGCAAACATCCTTGATCTAAATCTTTCAATTATGCTATCACTGACAATTATCACACGATACAGGTACGGCCTGCAAAAGACACCATTTTGAGAAAATGAATGCGAAAGAAGCTTTGGTGTCATCGACGGGGAAGCTGTCTCCCCACCTCGTGGAAAGCGTATCACCGCGGCATGCCTCCACGTGCCGGCGCAACCTCTGAAATGCATGAAAGCCTCGAGGAGAGCCCTTGTTCACTTTTGGAAAGATTTTAGAAAGCTTCTAGTGCCAGAAACCTTGTACCCTGGCTGCAGAAGTGAGCCAGTTGTAAGTCAATCGGTCACTGATCTGTTCCCCCTCAGGCAGTCATGCTGTGCGCACGCGGATGAACAGGACAGTATGGTGCTCAGAATTCCCCCTTTCATGGTGCTGTGGTGCCAATGTACACTGTGTTCAGCCGCTTGTAGTTCGCAAGCGGCATAGACCCCACTGCTTCAGGAGAGAGCATCACACGCTAGGACTGCACTGTCGTGCAGATGGAGGTATGCAAGAAGCTGGCTTTCGGTATTCGAAAAGCAAGTGGAAGTCTTACATGCTCTGGGTGAAGGTGTGCTAAGCAAGTCGCCTTTCTGGCCAACAGGTGGTCAGATGAGGGAGCTGTCGAACGGTTCGCCCTCAACCCCCATGCTAGGCCCACAGGCGTCCAGCATCGACATCCTTACTAGCCAGACCTCTTTAAAGGCCTCAGATGAAGGCCCATCCCTGGTGGTCTTCAGCGGTGGTACAGCCTTCAACAGCGTAGCAGGCATGCCTCGCACCCCATGCACAATGTCCCTGTATTCACATATTACAATCATTTTGTTCATTATCACGAAGTTTGTTAACATGGAGAGGCTGTTTCAGATCTTTGACCAGTGGTGCAGGGCATCTGAGGCAGCTGACGACCAGGGTGACGCATGTGCTGCCCGTGTCTGACGATGGTGGCAGCACGGCGGAGATTGTGAGGGTGCTGGGAGGACCGGCAGTCGGAGACATCCGCTCGCGCTGCCTGCGGCTGGCTGACAACTCCGACTCCGAGGTGCATGATCGGCAGGACCCAAATACTGTCTCCCCTGACAGACAAGTGCTGAGGCGCGCTGATGTTGGCATGCATGAGGAGGAATGCTGCTCTGCGGCTGTCCAGCCATCGTGCAACAAGATACATGAGGCCAGTGCGCTTGGGCTTGCCACATCAAGGGTCGCTGGCTTTCTTTGTGCCGAGCCAGAATCTTGCATTTGACACAAATCCCAGGAGGACACCATGCAGACCTGCAAATGGCAGGTTCTGTCCTTTTTCTGCATGTCATCCTCGTGGCAGTGTCGCTGATATGCACATAGGAATGAGCGCCAAACACCTGATTTACTTTTTCTGGGACGCCAAACAAATGACTAATGTGACCATGTCTGCACAGGCGTTGGCGGTGCGCGTCCTGCTGGCGCACCGACTGTCGGGGGAGAGCGCGGAGGCCGCCAAGGCCGACTGGTACGACTGTAGCGCTGCATGCTGACTACACCCTTAGTCACTGGCAGTCCATTTAACTTTCTTTGCCCGCCCAGGCTTTTGTTCAAGAAAACCCTGCTATGCATCTTGTATTGGGTGCCCCACTAGAGGTCAACTGGCAACTGATTACTCGGGAGAGGGAATAAGTGATTACAATTAAGTAACATAGGGCTGCTGTGACGCCCTGCCCTGCCATATCCGTAGTGGGCAGTGCAGCACCCGCATCCCCGGCGGTGCAGGGTGCTTTTCAAAGCAATCTTGAGGGGTCTGCCTTGCATCAAAACCACTATTACTAAGCTCCATCGGATCGATGTTAAATCTCCATGTGGTGCACACTACAGGTATGAGGTGGTGGAGGGGGACCATGCATTGTGGCGGGGGGTCTCCGAGCCCTACAAGCACACCATCCGCGCCTTCCTTGTCTACTTTCACACCCAGATCCTGCGCCACTCCACCGAGCGCTTCAACTTCCGCAACGGCTCCGTCGGTGCGCCGCCCCACCCCGCTGATCAACCCTTGCAGCGTTGATCTACCCTTTCTCTGCCAGGTTCTTTGTGAGGGTGAAGCACGTTTCTACCTTCTGCATCAGCCGGGACATTCATGGGGCTCGCAGCCAGGGGCAAAACGCATGTCTGGTTGTCATGGCATGACCGGATGGGAGCTCTGCTCATTCAAACTTGAGGCAGCCCCATGCACACAAGGCAGCATTAGGCAGCGTCAAACAGATTCCTGTGCTGGCCTGGTGGGCCAGGAACAATTGCATACAAGCAATGGAGTGCTCATTTTGAACCCAGGAGCAACAAGTGAAGCTGCTGCCTGTCTTGTCTGGGCGTGCTAATTCCAACTTGAAACTCTTCATTGTAAATTACTTCCCTGTGAGAATGGGTTCAATCCAACCCTGCAACGGAGCATGCAGTAGCACTTCACCTCGAACGTCAGGCATGCTGACCGGGCCTGCATGCATGCGCAGGCAACTTTTTCTTCGCGGGGGCGCGGCTATTCTTCCGCTCATTGGAGGCGGCAATATTTCTGTTCAGCCGCGTGGCGCGCATCCCGGAGGGGTCTCTGGTGCTGCCGGCCATCTGCACGGAGGAGCGCATCACTCTGGGCGCTGAGCTGGCCAACTCCGCCGTCATCCGCGGCCAGAACGAGATCAGCCACCCCGCAGCCCCAGGTGAAAACGAGTGGACCCCTTGAGTGAAATTATTCAGACTTTAGAAGTCATTTGATCTGGCTGGCAGAGAGCTACTGGAGTCGAGCTAATGCACCGCAATTGGTTGCCTATGCCTATATCCCCTCTCTGCAGGGGATCATGCAAACTTCACCAGAAACCTTTGTAGATTTTCCCACCCTCAATCTGAGCACGCCTTGATGCTATTCTTTTGGGGAGGAAGCGCTCACGGTCACACAGCATTTGTGACCCAGGATAGACAGTGATCAGGATGGGTTGTAGTGGCAGCTGCTGCAAGGGTGCTCATGCTGTTGTGGCTGTGGCAGAGTGCCCGGGTCCAATAAGGGTGGACAAGGGTAGAAAAATGCAGTGTCGATGAGTGGGATGTGGCTTCGGCTGCAGGGGTCTACAGGCTGCTGTGACTGTGGCACAGTATAGGCGAGTGCTAGAACAGATGCAGCATTGAGGTCAGTACCTTTGAAACTTGTAGAGTGAAGATGCAAGCAAGAATGCAGCTGACAAGCAAAGTGCTTGGCAGAGTCCCCCGGGCCGATAAGGGTGGACAAGCACGGGAGGGGCCCCCCGCTGGCTGCGCCCATCCGGCGCATCTTCTACCTGAGCGCGGAGGGGACCATGCGCGAGCATGAGGTGTTCCCTCCGCCCAACCCCCGGTTACTAACCGCGCTCGACACCGCCGACGCCATCATCTACGGCATGGGCTCCCTCTACACCTCCATCTGTCCCTCCCTCATCCTCAAGGCACTCAGCCCCCCTGCACATCTTGACCCTTTTTGACTGCTCAAATCCGGCACACACTTCAGCTGGCAGGAACTCCAGACTGCACTGTGAAACTTCAATCGCTGCAGTGAACTGTGGCACACAACAAGGGCCCGTTGCAGCAATTTATCTGGTGTAAAGCGCTGCTTTGCCTGCGAGGCAGGATGCGGGCCCTGTGAGATTGATCTTCAGGGAGGTGCTTTTCCAGGTGTGCATTGCAGCTACCCCAGAGAGTAGGTGTCCACCACTGCTGTGCAGTGCAGCACCCATGGTGTTCACAGACACAGTGGGTGCTCTGAACAGGGAGTGGGGGAGCGCATAGCGGCGCAGAGCGTGCCCAAGATATTTCTGCTGAACGGCAGCCACGACCGCGAGACGTCGGCCAGCAGCAGCCGCGGCGGACCCATGAGCGCCGCCGACAGCGTCTCGGCTGTCTGTGACGCCCTCAACCGACGCCACACCAAGGCACGCCGCCCCCCCTCAATTTCGCCCTATCTATGCCCACTTGACATGTGCACCCCTCAATCTAGAGAAAAGGGTATGCTGACATGAAGGCAGCGCGAGCGCCAGGAGATGAGAGGAAGGCCTGCCACGCGAGTGGATAGGACGCAGCAACAATGCAATGATTCCCGGCACAGGAGCTCTAAATGACCACATGTACAAAGTTTTAACTAGCCCAAGTGGCATCACCAAGCGCACAAGCAGTCTCTCAAGGCTGTCTGGAGCAATAACGAGGACTACAGAGGATTTCAATAATTTTAATATCAATAATATTTGCAATAAGCACTCCTCCCACATTTGCAACCCCCTATCCAATTTGTGCTGATTGAGATTGGATTCGTGCATCCAAGTGAATCGTTCTCTGGGCACTTCCTTAATTTGCATGTCATGCGGAAACATTGGTCACCCAGTGCAATCTGTCTGCCGGCCAGCATTGTCTAATTCTCACACACCAAACAATAATCAGACCCGAGCCTTTTGGTGACAACTCCAGGGACTTTTGTTGAAAGTGGGGATGTGATTTTGCGCTGTGATGACATGCAGGCGGGTGAACCGCTGGATCTGCCGCCCAGCGCATATGTGACGGCGCTGCTTGTGCCGGCCGGGGGAGCCATTGATCTAGACACTCCCGCCCTTGAGGTTATAGGCATCAGGTGGGCGCCCCGACTACCGATTCTCCTTCTGCAAAACACTCTCCTTCCCGCAAACCAAGCCTCATGCAATACCTGGAGGACTTGACAGACAGTCTATTGCTGTCAATGCTGAGCAATGTTCCAGAGGATTTTGTATTGCTTTGTAGTATTCCTGACACACCTTCTTCACATTGTCATGCTCAGTGCAAGGTTGGTGGCATCAGCACCTTTGGGTGTGTGAAGGGCATCTGCTTCTTTAACATGATGAGGACTGAGTGACTGGATGGTCGGTGCATGCGTTACAGGCAAGTGGTGGAGGTGCAGTCAATCAGGGATGCGAATGGAAATTGCTTGTTTGAGCCTGGGGCGCTGGTGCACGCCATTGGGGAGGTCGTGGGCAGCCACATACTCTGAGAAGGCTGTCCCTCATATTATTTTGGGGCATGAACTTTATTGCAGACGCCCCTTGCCTCTGGCAGAAACAGCGTGCATTCATATCAAAAACAGAAAAATTACAAAATTATGAGACCCTTTTGACATGCTCCTGCTCTGCAACATTCCGCAACAGTGCAACGCTGTCCGTTTTGCATTTTTGGCATGGTATTCACATTGGCTAAGTGTCTGCCATGGGAAGGACATATCTGGGATGCTGTTACAGGACCTCTCATGGGTCACGCTGTAATCAAGGTTTTCCGAAAAAGTAAAATATATGGTATCTATATATCAAAATACTTCAAGCACACAGCCAGCCTGTGGCCTCCTCTGTTTCCTCGGTCAAACCAATGCACTAGCAATGACAAGGTTATGGCACGCCTTCTCACAAGCCAGTGGCCTCGCTGCATATGCATGCACAAAAACCCGCAAAGCTAGCCATGCAATCCATAGGTGGGATCACTCCTACATGATCACGCACAGGTCTTCCATTTGAAGACAATCGTGATCATGGTTCTCATATTCACCTACTTGCAACTAAATATGAAACTTGCCAGTCCACAATACATAAGCCCTCGCAAAGGCAGCGCTGCATTTGCGAGCATATCTGAGCACACACACAGAAATAAGAACATCACTGGGAGGGCATCCTACACACAGCAGTGCATTCTGCAGCTTCCTCAAAACTGCTAGACTGTGCTGTCCTGGGTATGTTCCCAAACAGGTGGTCCAAAAAAATCCTGCTGTTGACACAATCGTACTTAATTAAGATGTACCATTGAAAGACAAACACCATCTCCTTATCATCAGCCTAGGATCACCTTGTCTAGAGGTTGCCTGCCTGGTTCTGTCCAGAGCAGTGTCGGGTTTTCAGGGGGGAGATCAATTAGAATGGTCCTGTCTATGAGCTGCGAGGCAGGACATGCTCCTCAGCTTCACACCGAGGCTGAGGGCATCAAACGCACTCTCCACATCTATTTGATGAGAGCTGTCCTATGAACCAAAAAATAATTGTGCAACTTCCTAGTGCGCTTTCAAACCAAAGGAATGTATCTCTCATTCCTTTTAATTCTTAAGGAGACCACCCTGCAAATTCATCACCAAAGCCCATCTTAACTGGCCTCCAAATGGACCGGCACTTCACACTTTTGTTCTTTCTCTCGCTCTCTCTCTCACACACACACACACACACATCCAATCTCATCATAGACAAAGCCTGCACTAAAGCAGCTAAACGCCGCTGCTATCCTTCTTGCACCTGACACATCGCAATCAATCTGGGGTCTGGAAACCAAGGCCCGAAAACAGACTTTCTCATCCACTGGACCTTCAGGCCAGTCTGGCCTCTAGGTGGGGCAGCCTATCACATGTTGTGCACCAGGTATGCCAAAAAGACAGACCTGGCTCGGTCTAGTGGGCACTCAGACTTGAATTTGAGTCAGAGAGGTGCTTGGAGCATCCTACGCTGCCTGTGTTTCCGCTGGGCGGCCTTGCCTACACCGTCAATGGTGACGTTCTCAAAGCCGCCGATCCCAAAGTGCCGCCGGATGCGCGCCCCCATGTCGTGGTATCCCACGTCAGCAAACGTCACCTGCGCCCCCCGGCGAAGATCCCTGTCAGACCCACCCCAGAAAGCTCTACTGCTGAGAGAAACATTTGCATGACCTCTGATAGGCTCACACAGCTACATGCGGATCGTCATGAACCTGCGAGGACAGACAATTCACCAGAGCTGAGTTCTGCTCTGCGTGAACAGGAAGTGGTCAGGAAGGATGCATTTCCCTGCCAGCCCCTAGATCCTAAAGAAAGGCGATGTCAGAAAAGTCATGTGGATCCGGTGAACTTTGGGGATTTTATGATGGCATTGGCACGCACAGCTGCTGGTGGGCTAGTACGCAAAGTTGCTGCATGCTGATTGCTGATGCTAGAGGTTTTTTGAAATGCGTGCAGCTCCTGTTGATGCGGCAGGTGCGCACCTGTGACTTGGTGTAGACGGTCATGCGCAGAGTGGCGATGATGTGGGGGATGCCGCTGGTGGACGACCCCACAAAGTAGTCCGCATGCGCCATCATCTCCAGATCCTTCAGCAGCTGGATCGACTCCCTGCACCGGTCCTGCAGACCATGCAATCCACGGATGAGGCCTCTGTGTGCAAAGGAGCTGGGTGGCACTGGATGTAATACCAGGGGGAACCTCTTCCAGCAGCCATGAGATGAACATGTTCTGCCGCCTGAGCCCCTTTCAGGATCGGCATGCAAGGGTCTTCATCACAAATATAAATCGGAATTATGCGCAAAAGATTGCAGCCAGCTGGGTGCAGGACGAAGGGGGATGATCTGTGGCTGCTGACCAGAATTTTCTTGCACAAGCCCGCAAGCAGGCACAGGAGCTGCCGCTAGGGAAGAGCCTGTGCTGCTCTCAGTTGAGCTGGGGGCAAGGAGTGCCTCTTGGCAGCTGTTCAGATCACAGCACCACTTCCTAGCAAGTTTTTCCAGCTGGCAGTGGTCGCAAAGAGACAGAGAGCCTGAAGCAGGGACAGGGAGGGGCAGCCGCGAACCTGCAATGGCAAGCTGTTGAAGGTGGCCTGGTGGTGGCCTTGGGGGCGGTAATATTTGGAGGGGTGTGCCACCGTGCACCCTATGTTCTGGTACACCAGCTTCTCCATCTCTGCTATGGCGTTCTGGTCGTCTCCAATCAGCACGCAGGTCCCTCCCTGTGACACACACATACTCACACTGTCAAAATTCTGCTCTCCTGCAGATCTTGCCCTTGCAAAGGAGATGTTGCCGTCAGGAAGAAGGTGCCATCAGGTAGCTGTGCATGAAGATCCTCGGCCTTGTCACTGCAGATGCTGGAGTTGACATTTTGTCCTAAGAGCTACTGTGTGTTCTACCTTTCGCACTGGCAACTTGCTCTCTTCTTGCAACTCATCTATTTTCAGATGAGGGGTCTTCAATAGCTCAATGCCGCTGAAACAGCGGCGTACAGAAGCATCGGGTCTTGAATAGCTCAATGCCGCTGAAACAGCGGCGTACAGAAGCATCTGATATTTCTGACAAACCTTATGAGCAACAGAAGCGATAACGCTCACAGCATGCTTGTAAATATTTCCATAAACTGTGTGGGTGTTAGGTGGCATGAAGGCACGTACCCGGACGCTGACAAAGTTGTCCATGAAGGTATTCACAAGGTCAGTTGGTCCAGTGGTCCTCCTTCCCTGTGAAAGATTTAAACCACATTATTGCAATTCTACACTCTCATGGAGCAGAATTTTTGTAGGCAGAAGCTCAATTGCTTGTCAGATTAGATCAGTCCATCGTGATAGCGTGTTGAGCAGCTCACCACAATGGCATCCTCAGTTGGTTTGTCGCCTCCTCGCACTGCATCACCCACAATGATCATCGATTAGTGACCTGGACTTGGACGTGTTTACTGAAAGCGGATTCTGCGCTGTGCGTGCATACAGTGCAAGAGTGGCGGCCCTCGAGGTGGCCTCGATGCAGAAATCCAACGGCAACAAAAAGTGCTTACCATGGAATGCGATGGTGGGCTTTGCGTAACCGTCAAGCACGGCCAAAGCTGCATCGACTTCCCTCTGTACATCAGGCTGGAACCTCCAGGTCTGCGACACCACACCGTCAGTGTTCCACCAAGTCGTAACGGTGAATTAAGATTCAGATCGCAATTACAAACGCAGAAACGCAAAAATAAAGCATATACTGAAGTCAGGATTGGACGGATCTCAAGTCGGCGTTTGAGGTGCATGCCTTTGTCACGATGCCTGGCTCAAAGCGAGCCTGGACGTGCGATATACCGATCGCCTTCGACTCCTGGCCCATATCTCCATAGGTATAGTATGCGCAGCTCTCCGTCTTGGCTACTTCGGGCGTCCACGGCTTCAGGAAACCGGGCTCTGTCTTGAAAAAGTCGTGCCAACCTCCGTCCTCGGTGCATTTATAGGGAAACTTCTCGTTGTCGATGTATATACTGCCATTTGATCCATACAGTGCCGGCAGGGCGCCCCACAGGCCTCCCACATGCGCGGCAAGACCGGACTCGGCAAACTCGACCACACTACAGCTCAAGACATTCACGGGACTGTGCAGGAACACAACGCCCAACAGCGCCACGATCATGCAAGGACGCTGCATGGTGGTTGACTTTGCCCCGCACTTGGTTATGGTATGTGCACTCCTCCCGCACTATTAGCAAGGGCTAGATCAGAGGATGACAGATGCATGGGGTTACTAGTGATGTGTGATTGGCAGGTCATCGAGGGTGGCAGCTTCCTCCTGATCCGCACCAAACTTGGCAACCGCTGGCCCATCTTTGTTGTTGCTGCTCACGACATCGACAGTGCAGACATACTCCTGTGACACGAGATATATCAGCCGTTTTGAATGTGCGTCCGGTGACGGCGAGATCGTGGCTGATAAGGAGCGCAATTCGGCAGACTCACTTCAAGGTTGCTGTCCTACTGAGCTCCTCCTTTCTTTGCAGACATAAATTTTTTACGCCATTGCTTTAATTCAAGTATTTTGAGCTACGGGTGACCGACTTGAGGAATATGCCGGCAGCAGCAGTGCTGCTGTTAGGATTCCTTGAACATGTGATGTCAACACTTAGTATGGGTCAATACAACGATCAAATGACATTTGCATGTGTTCAACACAGGTTTCGGTGGATCCTTGCATGTTGCATAAGATGGTGAATTTTGCAAGGGGCCTCGCGTCATCAGGAGTCTTTGCTGCACAAACTACAAGATCTGGCAATGTTCGGGTGATCGCCCCGGCTCACCAGCGGACATTCATGTCTCCAAGGTGCGTCCAAATCTTTGCATCTTATGCATTCCATTTTGTGCTTGGTGGCCTCCGACCACTGCGTTGCTTCAAAGGAACATGCCAACTGAAAAGGAATGCTTGTGCTTGATAGGTTGCTCCAACAGCGATTGGCTCACATATCTGCAAGCATGTCTGCCCCCAGTGCCGTGCTGGACGAGGATGTCGGTGTTGGGTCACAATCCACCTCTAGCTTGGGGCGCGATGTTGAGATCAGAGAAGTGAACCTTCCTGCCATCTGCTGGAACAAGCACAGAACAGATAACAAACCCATTCCTCTCATATTGGAAAGCCTGTTGCATGTTGAGGAAGAAAGGATGCTGATCAGTGCTCGGCTGACTTGAGAAATACCTCCTTGCAGGTGGATTTCGACCCCAGGCTGGTCAACTCGGTGGGCATTCTGGGTAACTTGGGGCAGCCCTTCGACTTGCGCAGGCTGCGCAATGGGATGTCTGTGGCCTCCTCCACGGTCGCTGTCAAGAACGCAAAGAAGGAGACTGAATGGTGGGGAGCTCTAGCACAGGAAACATCACTTTGGGCATGCAAATGGTTTCTACTTTTCCGTGAGAATCTTGGCTGGCCTGGAATCATGGGCATGCAAGACTGACATACACATTATTATGACAGGTTCAACCTGGAGGTGTGGAATAAGCTGGCAGAGCAGGCGGCCGAGCAGTTCAGCAAGGGCTCTCAGATCCAGGTGCTTATTTAAGTTTTCCTCATCTCTCTTCTCAAGTCCTGTTGCCGGCCCAGTGTCGTCACTCTCTACCCTACTTCAACATCCACCAGCACGAATCATCAAATGTTGATCAATGTTGCAAGGATGCTTTGCTTTCTCTGAACTGCTATTGTCGCAGGTGGTGGGGCGGCTGAAGACTGAGACATGGACAGACAGGGAGGGGCAGACGAGGAAGTCATTCAAGATTGTGGCGGACCAGGTCAACCGTGTGCGACCATACACCATGGTCTGCCCTTGCACGCCTTGCCCTTTCTGAGAAGCAACACCTACTTCTGTCCAAGTTCCTGAATGTGGAGCTACCTATTCCAAAAAGTAAAACAGTGATAGTGCTCCCAGTATTTTGAGAAAAACTTGCACCAGGCCCATGATTAGCTGCCTTCCATACTTCTCAAATGCTAGCTGGATAGACGACAAAAGGTTACAGGCGAAGAGAGGAACAGCAGTCTTGAGTTTTGACAGCATGATGTGGGGTGTGATGGCAGGGGTACCAGAGCTCCCCACCGCCCGAGGCATGGAGCCCCGCGCCGCAGCAGCAGCAGCAGCCTCAGCCTCAGGCGCCGCCAACGCCTGTCCAGGATGACTTTGCCGGTGGCAGCCCGCAGCCCTTCTTTGGCGAGATGCCGCCTCCCGGCTCGGTGCGCCTCCCTACCTGGCACACTTGTGCGTATGGCCCTGCATGCAGTGGATAGCTGCACGTGTGTTCTTAGGCATGCACTGTCTCGTCCGCCTGGCGGCTGTGCTTCAAGGCTATGATGGATCATCGGCAAAACAGGCTGATGGGGTTGTGAAATTGCTCCACCGAGGGCAGCCGGCCTAGCTCACCATGCAGTGGCTTGGAGCAGAAGAACAGCTGATTCTGCTTTGCTGCTGCATCTAATGCGTCTCTTAACTCACCTCTCAATGCGCTGACTCAGCATCGGATGCCGTCCTGCATTTGCATGCATGGTCTGCTTGTCTGCCCTTGATCATTAAATATCAGTAGTGCTTGTATTGCGGGTTCCTGTGGAAAGATCCAATTTTCGGAAAGCAGAAGGTGAGATATTTATGCGCGCGCAGGCGATGGACCCGGCGTCGCAGAAGTGGGCGGACTTCTTCGCCAACCCGGGCGGCTACTGGGACAACCGCTTCAACAAGCGCAACCCCAAGGCGCCCGATTTCAAGGCCAAAGACGGCGACTCAGCGCTCTGGCTCGACTCGCGCGACACCCCGCCCTGGGTCCCCGACCAGCTCATCAAGTCCGGCCTCGGCGCGCGCCCCGACGACGACGAGATCCCCTTCTAGACGCGCGCAGGCAGTTCTCTCCGCATTACGATACGTTGCCTGTTAAGGCGCGGTGCTGGGGGGACAGGGAAAGCCTGAGGATGTCAAGGAGCTTGTTCAGGCGCAATTTTGAGCAGGCAGTCGGAATGCCTGTGCATGGCAATGGCCAGGACTTAGGCAATCTTCATGCGTAAAACAGCTGGGTACGAAACCCAGCATGTTTGCATTATGACTGTGTGCTTGTTACTGCTTCTTGTTTTTGGATGCATGTGCAAGTGTTTTGAATCTAGGAAGCACGGGATGTGGGGATTTTGTATATATATGTGCGAGTAGTTTTCACAGGACCCATGCAGTGACAAGTGGTCAGCGTCCAAAGAATGAATCAGAAATGCTGTAGACTCAATTGTACATACTATAAAAGCTACAGTATCTGCTGAATGCTCCGGGAAATGTAAAAGACCTCATATCCTCTTTTTTATTGCCAATAACACTGAGGGAATAGGAAGATGTATCTATTATTGAGATTATACAGCTTTCTCTGGCCAAATGATGCTCAAGTACTTCACGTCCAAATGGCATGCGACCTTCAGCACCGGCAGTGTCAAGTGCATGACAATGAAATAACTTCATCGGCTGATCCTTGCTTTCCTGCCCCGGCGCTTTGGAGCGCAGCCCTGGGCCGGCCCTCTGATTTTGCTGCGCTCATACGTGCATTTGGTGGCGCCCTCCGCCCTTTCATTCAAGCATCTTCAAAAGCAAGAAAGAATATCATCATCACGGCTCCTCTCATGCAGCCTTGAGCAAGTCTTTGTCAGGCCATGCCGTGGCAAAAAAGGAAGATTTATATCCAAACCTGACTCAGCAAGAAGCGTAAAAATGAGTCTTTCAGCAACCATCCTTGTCCCATAAAGACGATGCGCAGGGAGTCACCTGTCACATGTGCACTCGAAGAAGAAGTTTTTCCGCAGCTCGTCGCCTCGGGCTGAAGGCGGCAGGCCGAGGTCAATGTAGCTGATGGTCAGTTCTTCCCCTTCCTGGACCACCAAGCCATCACTGTTATCATGCAAGCATTGCACGCATCTTGTCACTGCCAGATCTGTAACATAGTCACCCGCCACCTCGTCACCAAACGGCTCCCCTATGCTGCAGAATATCAGCATTGATTGCTACGAGCCAGCAATGCCAAGGAAGGCTCGCCATCATGACTGGAACTGCTTTTCACCACATGAGAAAGAAACTGCTGATCAGAAAATGCTGCTCATGAGGAGGACAGAAGACGAATACATCTGTAGCAACAAGGTTGGCAGGTGGGCTGACCTCAATGTCTCTGAGGGCACGCACTGACCCGCTGGTCATGCTCCGAACGACCACGCAGTTTGGGCGGCAGGAATGGTTGAGCAGGGACGCTCTGACATACAGCTCCCGTCCTATCAGCTCCTCTAATGCTGTGGCTCTATCCCTCAGATCGTGCGATGTGCCGTTTGCCGCTGCACTTACAACTGGTTCATCTGCGCTTGCAGTGTCTTTTGTGCCTTGCTCTTCAGTCTGTCTGTCTCCCTCCGCTGCTGCCTGGTCAAGCATTCTGGATGGCACTGCTGCCTCTGTCGATAAAAGTTTCTGCTGATCTGGGTGCTCAGAGGCAGGTTCCAGGTCTCTGTGGGAACCATGAGTGCCTGCTGCGCTGCCCGTTCCAGCGTCTGAGTCCTCCTGTGCCGTCTGTGCGGCTGTGCCGCTCTGCTCGTCATCCATTCTGTCAGGGCCTTTGCTGATGCTCAAGTTTTGAACCAGGGCTTCACAGCCGTCGTGCTCGCAATCGTGCTGCCTGGCTTGACTCGATCCCATGGTGCCATTGCTGGCATGCGCATGCTCCTTCCCTGTGGTGTCGAGTGACTGACAGGATGACAGGTCCTGGTCACACGAGTCCTGGGCAGCAACAGGCTGCGCAAGAGGCCACGCAGGCAGCTTTGGAACACTGATGCTGCTGGGATGTGGCAGGGCAGAGCAGCCGCTGTCACCAGGAGTTTGGGCCTCCGGTGTCTGCTCAGCCTCCGGCGAGCCGCCAAGGGATGCCTTTTGGGCGGCCACTCCCTGCCTGCCAGCAGCAACGTTGCCTCCCCGTGTCCTGTAGATCCTGCATGCATTTCCCCCAGTCAGCCCCCAATTCCTTGAGTAGCTTACCATGCCTTTAGTTTATTTTCAAGCTGATCCCAAAATTGGTGAGCCACGACATGAGCCGATAGAACTTCCATGCGGTGCATCTAGTCACGAATTCTGTGCAAAGCAAGGGGGCACATCCAGATCAGTCCTCTAGTCGGCGTATCAGTTTCTGGGCTTATTAGAGAGCAAGAGGGACACACCCAAAGTTGTTGGCGGCGATGCGGCCCACGATGTGGAGCAGGTCTTGAGGCTGTGGGCACTCTCCCGGCCAGGCAGCCTTGCGCAGAGCACCCTCCAGAAACGTCAGCGCCTTCATCCAGTCACGCCGATCCTCCTTGTTGAAGTCGCCAGAGTGATCTTGCAGCAGCAGGAAATCCGCGTGGCCCAGCGCTGCCAGCCGCTGCACACCTGGCCATGCAATTCGATTGCATGATCAGACCCCTTGCCATAGGCTGCAATCGCGCAAATAATGGGTGCTAAGAACTGTTTGCAAGGTCCATGCATGTCTCAGTAGAGTGCAGAAATATCCCACCATTGCAAGAGAGTGCCACAATGTTTTGGGCAAATGTCAGGAGATTCAGTACCTGCAAGTTGAGACTGGTTCTCGAGGTGTTGCAGGGCCAGCACGTCCAGGCACATGTGCAGGACGGACTCCATGTCAGCATCACACTTGGACCCGCCAAAGAAGCTCAGCACCGGGCACACCAGCATGTGTGGGATGGGGCACTGGGCCCCGGCTGTGCCTGTGCGAGCATGGCTCTCCCTGCAGGCCTCTGAGCAGTACCATGCCTGGTTGCACTGGCCTGCACCTCAGCACAGTCACGTCAAGGAACCAGGCAAATGTGAATCAGAAGTTGACGTTGCAGATCTGTGCAGTGCGAACAGTATTGGTGGGACATGGCTGCAGAGAAGTGCATGCATGAGAATCAGGTTCAATACTTCACACATGCCCATCAACCGTGTCCCATCAAACGTGTATCACTAGAGCTGATGCATTGATGTTTGGGACAGCGCACATTTGATGGACAGGCGTGAGCTGTGCGCAGCAAAGCAGCCGCGGCAGATCCTCTTCTTCCAGCTTGGTAGGATAGTGTTCAGATAGGCTTCGGAGTCCAAAATCTCCTCTTCGCGCAGCAATTTTTTACTGGCCATGAGATATCTGCCTCTGCGGGCAACACAATGACGCACTTCTTTCAGCAGCGGGAGATCGTGTGCCAGATCACTTGAATATCTCGGCAAATGCTAAGCGATTCATGCAGTACCCAAATTCCTCAAGATCTCCACAACAAATGGATCCTTTTCCCATGTTTGTTAATAGCAAAATCTAACTCACTTTTCAGCAGAAAACTTAAGCTGGCAAGGTAGCCCTGCTAAAGTATCCTGTAGAAGTGTGCTCGAGGTGTCATCCAGCATCTGCATGAAGCAAGTATGAGGGACGACTTTGCAGACTACAGTACAGACCTTGCACGATGTTTGATGCGGTCTGGAATCCACTCCAGTGTGACAAAGGGCAAGGTGGGAGCTGGAGGAAGCTACCGTTCCCTATGCCACATCGAACCCATGGAGTCACACTCTTTTTCGTTCAGCTTAAAACCAACCTGATATATTATGGGCTGCTGTGCACTACCACACCTTGATTAATATCACGTTCACGTTACAAGGATGCTATGAGGCTGGATCAATCACAAGAGCTCGCGCCACTTTCGGCCAATATTCAGCTATGGGCTGCAAGCGAAACAGCTTCAAGTCTGAGTGAGAGTCCCCAATGCACATCTATCCATCTTGGACAATTGCAAGCAGGTAACTGTCGATTGTCCTGTCTATTGAGTAGCTGCCTTATTCCTAGCTATTATCAGTACCAACTACCAGTACCTAATCCTGTCAATTAAATCGCCATATCAATTTCAAGAACGCCCGTGCTCTGCAGACTGCATGCATTTGGGTGTGACTGCACTAGCTCGCAACTTTATACTAATTGTAAAGATTCAATCAGGGGCTCCTAGCACGTGGCAGGTTTGCGGCAGAGCCCAGGCATTATTGAGGGACTGCTGTGTGTCAGAAAGCGCTGCCTCATTGTGGCTCCCCCATGCTCCATTGAGCGACCAAGATTGCATCTCGCCCAAACCCAAGCTTATCAACCTCAACCGCCCCAGAAACATAGTCGCAGATTGGGATGGTGCTGGAGCACACAATGGGGACCTGACATGCTCTTTCACTTTCAGGCGGCTGCTGCCAGGGTGGCGGCATAGCCTACGGGCTGGCAGGCGGCATTCATGAGGGCGGGCAGAGCAAATTGTACAGAAGGTGGCTCCAGTGGTCCACCACGTTGTTGCACCAGTGGCGGCAGTCGGCCTGAACAGATACACCCTGATCTCAGATTTCATCATTGCTTGTGTGACCACAGTAATTGCAAGCTGATCTACCTGAAGCAAGCTGGGCCCCTGCAAACGCATGTAGGTCATGCAGATACAGACACATGAATAGAGATCCAAGCCTGCAGCTGCTGTGAGATCAAGGATGCTGTCTCCTCATGTCCATCTGGTACAGCACACTGGAAACTGGCGACTGGAAATTTCTCAACGCGTCACAATGCACTGGCTGCTGTATGTTGCCGCATGAGATACTCAGTGAATATTTGGGAGGGCAGATGAGGCACCTTGCCGTCTGACACGCCGCGGCCCATCGAGCCGTGGTGGGAGTTGGGCCTCGACAGGGTCATGTCAAAGATGGGCAGGATTTTAACTCGGTAGCAGCCCGCCGCCTTGCAGGACCCAGACAGCAGGTCCCTCACAAACTCGTCGTACCAGAACTCCCCCTTCAATGCCGAGTAGCACTGGTAACGCCACGGCCCGCCTTGCAATCCGTTCTCAAACCTGCGCACCCGTGTGACACACGCTTATTGGCATCTGCCCTGAGGAGGCTATCTAACATCTTCGCGAACACACTGCCTCACTCTCCCAGCGGATCTGGCTCAAAGGTTGCTGTGAAGAAAGAGGGTGTCGCATGGAGGTCTTTGTGAGGTCAGACACTTGGCATTGCGGCAGTATGATGGACGTTTTGCACAGAGCACCCCGAGAGGCTAACCACTGCGTGCTGCTGCAACGAAGGGACAGGTTTATGGAAAGAGTGCGCACCCGACTTCGGCACCGGTGGCGCCTCCAAAGTGGATGGCTGCATGCGCCTTCCAGATGATCTGCACCGGCAGCACAGCTAGTCGCTCCATAAACAGCTGCCGCATATGCTCCTGCCACATCTTCCAATTCACCTGCGCGCGCAATTTTTGCATCACGTCAATAAAATCTTCTGCACCATTTGCCTCCCATGCCTCTCCTCACCTCAAATCCTTAATGTGCGCCTCCCTGACCTCTCTGATGGGACATCATTGCCTGCATGACGATTTAGCCAAGAGAACTGATCATCTAAAGACGGGTGATTTTGAAGGCGGTGGTCAGTGCTAGCAGCAGAGACATGTGTAAGAGGGGCCCCCACCTCACTGGACCCCCACGCAAAGCGGGGGTACCAGGCCCCCCAGTTGAGCAACAGCACGTCATCGCTTCGCAGCGGCGCAAAATCGGACAGGAGGTCGTCGAACAGCGTCTGGTTGTACACGCCAAAGTCGCGCACATACACCTGGGCCCCGTTTGTCAGCCGGAACTCGCCCACAAACTGCTTCACCACCTGCGAATGCCCCAGTAGCTCTGAAGACAAATTTCATTGGGCTTTCTCCTCAACCCGGAATGTCATATTTCCCCTTGCGCTGGCTGCGCTTAGAGGACTGAAGAGACCCAGAGATGAGAGTTTGCCTACCAGCGCAGTTTAACAACAACTTGAATAGGGACAGGCTGAGAGCAACCGCTGCCTGCACATGGATCGCACAGCTTCCCATGAGGATGCTGATGACCAGGCAGATGCACCACTGCAGCTGATGAGGAAGCTGCACCTGGATCTCTCTGCCGTCCAGCTTGGCGGTGTAGTCACCCTTCCACTTGATGTCGGAGCGGTCCCAGGTCACGCCCCGGCCGCTGGCCACATGCGAGCGCAGCAGACAGCCCAGCGAGAAGAAGTGCAGCCGCATGAGGCTGTCCCCCAGCATTATCAGCCGCCGGCCCGCCATGCGCGCCGCCAGGTCGTCCGGGTCGGTCGGCCGCAGCTGGCACGCATCCGGCTGGAATATCTGCCTGCGCGTCACGTCATGCACACACTTCTTAGCACAAGAAAAATATTTTTGGACCGGGCAGGGTTCACATTACCATATCCGCGGGAGTTCTATGCTAGTATTTGCTAGAGGCCTGCCGAAACATGAGCATCAGTGTGAGATACCCAGCATCAAAACTAGGTATCTGGTCACTGGTGGAGCTGTGAAGAAGGTCCATGTGAGGTGCGCAGAGCTCAGCTGCTGCAGCCACTTCGGTGCAAAAACCCCACACAACAAAAGAGTGGAAACTAATACACATATAGACGTCACTGCAGAACCCTTGCAAGTCAGGGTGTCATAATCTCTCGAGGTGGCAGGAATGTTCACGCTCACAATGCACGAATCCACCGCATCAGATTCCCTTTGTAACGGTGTACATCTAAGCAGCGCACAGAGCACATTTTGTTCACTTGCACTCGCTTCCCTGCTGAGTTGTTATGCTTTCCAAGGACAGAGCGCTGTGTTGGAGTCACACAGCGTGAGCGTGTTCACAAAATCCGGTGTGCACGCCGCTGAGGGCTGCACTTACCTGTACTGCCCTTTGATGAAGTCCGCAGGGACCGTGGCCCGGGGGTCAGGCTTGCGGCAGTCATAGTCCTGCGTCCAGTCTGGGCAGTCCGAGGTCATCTCGTACTCGCCCATGTAGTCCGGGTCAGGGTGGTTCACCCACTTGCCTGCATCAGCGTCATGCACAGAAGTCAAAACGCTGGCCATGCAACCAGATAGCAGCCGTGCTGCATTCTCTATCAAAATAGATCATCGGAACCAGCTCAATTGTTGCAAATTAGCAGTGCAGTCGGCTGATCAGGCAGATACATTGCATCTAGGACATGCACAGTTGCCTGCCATGGTGAAGGTACCTCATCCAATGACACAAACAATGCCAATGTGGGTCAATCAGCATACCTGGCAGCTCTTGCAGATTGGAGAACTCGCTGCAGACGGGCAAAGAGACCCTGGTGCGGTCAGAGGAGGGCTCGGATTGCAGCAGCGAGCTTGTCCCAGTGATATTTCTGACAGCAGGCGCAGGGATAGGCGCACGCGATATGGATCTAGCTGGGGCAGGTGCCTGCACTAGTGGTGTGCCAGGGAGGGGAGCACCCCCGCTGTTGAGGTACTGCAATGCTGCTGACACCATGTCCTGCATGCCTCCTCCATTTCCATTACAGCAAGTCGCAGTTATGAGCAAGAGAGATGCAAGCAACTGGAGGACAGAGGCGTGCATTCGCCTTCTCCCACCGCTCATAGACCGATGTCAGCGATCAAGCGAGATCAACAGCATTTCTTGCAGTACCTAATAGTCAGAATTCTGCTCAAATGAGAGTATTATTAGACCACTAGTGTTCCGATCACTCCGTGGCCTTTGACCCCAGTGGGCACTGATGTCCACAGAGACGCCAAGAAAATAACTCATAAGCTTATATCATTTCCTCGTGTCACCATCGAACAATCACAAGTTGGGTCCGTTTCCTGAGAGCTGAAGGCGAACGCACGCAGCTTTATCCTTGCTGCCACGCACACATCATGGCTTGAAGTATTCTAGGCCTACTGATATGGGTCTGCAATCTCTATGAGATCTGCAGACCACAGATTCAATGGAAGTTTTGGATGACGTACCATTTGGACGCGCATCGCGTTGTGACTTCCGAAATGCTCGGGTTAATCCCTTGGGGGTTAATCTCTTTGGGGTTGACCCAGGCCTGCAGCAAGCATCATGCCAGCCAGATGGATCTTACAGATTCCATGCCTGAAGCAGAGTCTCTGATACCGCAGATTCCTGAGCTTCCAGGGCCTTTGCTTGGCCAAGATTGCACAGCCTGTGACATTGGTAAGAGGATTGTACATTGTATCGCATTACTACTGAGTAAAGCATCAACAAAAGTGATCTCACTGCCAGTGTGCATTTCTGCTAGTGGTGCATGTGGCATTCACACTGTGGCAATCCTACCCTTATAAGGGCCAGATGGTCAGTATTGTCAGGCACTTGCTTGCAAAAGGGCGCCAAGCTTTGCAGGGCTGCTGGCTCCAGCTTCTCATGATACATCAGTCACTGGTGCCGCACCCGTGGCGGCCACTCAGTGATTCTGCATGCAAGCGCCGCGGGCGGACGGCCTCTGGCGGCTGCAAATGGAGCTGGAGGATATGATTGGATAGTCCCTGACAAGACCAAAAAGGAGCACATTTCAATGGCCAAAGCCTGATCTTCCTTCAGCGATTGCAGACCCTGGATCAGCCCAGGATGCCAGGATGAGTCACACCACCACCCAAGTGGTCATACGGAATCCTACTTGCTAACCGGGACCTGGACTGGTGATTGCTCGGACTACACCAGGTTTCTTCAAAGTTTAAGTACTATAGAAGTGTATTCTGTCTCGATTACTGTTGTCAAGACCTCCAAGTATCTGTCGATGTTGCCAGGAGAGAGCAGAGTACTGCCCACATTGCCCGTACTTCGCGAGTTTGACGGTCTACGTCCTATCGAGCTGGCTTGATCGCGCCTGTGAGGGCACGTGGAGAGCTTATCAACATATACTCCAATATCAATGATGCAAACCGGTGGCTTCTCAGGTACCCAATATTCCGGACACCTTTGGCGCGCGTGCGATGGTTTTCCTCAACCTGAAACAAGCAGTGCCGATGATCATGGCCAGTGCATCATGCAGTATGCCACGTTGTTAGTATTGTGCATGACATCAGACTAACAAAGTAAAGCAGACATTGGCGTCTTCTGGGAAAACCTCTGTGCTGACTTCGAGCGTACCACCATCGCTTGCAGGCGGTACATGGGTCTTTCTATGTTCTCTTCTACTGTCGCAGCCTCTAGCTGAATGCAGCAGAACTTCAGGTGGGACTGCTTGCCAACCTCCGAGTGTTTCTGGCGAAGCCCCAGTGGGAAGGTTTACTTATGGATCTGTGCGTTGTGGTTGCTTGCCGACGACAATGTACACTCAGGATGCTTCGAAATTTCGCAATCCCAGCTCACATCTTGTTGCTCAAAATCCTTCGCAACAAATGCCACATTTGTCTTGTGTGCTGGCCATGCAGCGCTAGAGTCCCGTGGGACGATACAAAGGGAAAACAGGAACAGCATCAACCAATCGGATGGAGGGTTGGCGCTATCAGGCATCCGCCGAAAGATGCTGGAGCCCAGCTGTGTCAGTATCCTGCAGCAAGTGCTCCCAAAAGTATACCACTTTCTGTGCAGCCATATGATGGTAGTTATATGGGGAGTTATTCTCTCGTCAACAAGTCATCTCGGCATTGCCTCATGAATCTCTGACTGCATCGAATACGGCCTTACTGGTATTGCTCATAGGTGTGCTTTGCCATTTGATGCGTGTCAGTCGCATGAATCAATGCCACTATAAATCAACCAATCATTTGACATGGCTGTGGTGGTTACAGGTGGCTTTGTTGTTTCTTGCGCCGGGAGCCATGCCACATGAGGAAGTCTGGACTGCATGGATTGGAGCACTAGCAGAAAAGACACGCTCAGAAATTTTCTGCAACCCAGAGGCTTTCGCCTGCTACGACGCCCAGCGAAAGACAGGCGATGAGATCCACAGCGTGTATGACCAGCAAGACTTCTTCACAATCTACCTCCACACTAGCCCAGGTCTGTGTACTTCCTCAGCATAAGTGCACATGCATTACACAATTCCCTTCTGGTCTGCATGCATCGCAGGGTGTCTGCAGCAGTTTTGTCTCTCTGTACTCATGTAAGCAAATCGCACAGCGCAGCATGTTTATGTGCTGGCAGGGAGTATAATCGTCTTCTCTTGGTGCTACAAAGTACGACTATCCTGTTTCATGCTGCAGGCCACATGGGATGGCCCAAGGGCAGCATCTTCTACGGCAGAGACGTCCCAGATCCTGTTCGAGTGAGCGCTCACACCAACTGACTAAATCTCTTGTAGTGCAATCTTGTGGAAACATTGGGCCTTTATAGAAGCTGTGTCGCTCACCACAAAGGAGGCCGGCTCTGATCTTTCTTTTGCATGCAGACGGCTTGGGGGCATCACAGCCTGACGGTGGCCACGCGCAAAGCCATGATAGAGGCCTTGAAAGACCCCTTGAACCAGCGTTTCCAGATGGTCTGCCCGGCCACTGTGCCCGTGCGGCCGCCGCTCTTCACCTACACGCAGCTTCTCGCGCTCAAGAAGAGCCGCATCCAAGACTTTGACCAGGTCGGATTCTCTTACATGATCCTCCTTCTTTGAGGTGACGGACTGCTCTCCTGGGATCAGCCTTGGAGTGATGCTTAGTGGTCTATACTTGTGCTTTCTGGGCTGGGACTCCTTCTGTTTGAGGAAAGATCTCATATTGTCAGTATTGATGATAGTAGTTAGTAGGTAGAATGTAGGTAGCAGAGTAAGCGTACTTTGGTAAGAAGTGGTGCTTGGACATACAGAGCACTGTCTGATCTGTATAGTGTCATGTGGGGGTGCAGGAAGAGGAAGAGACTTGGAGCAGCAAGGCCTTCAGATTCTCGCTGGACATGCTTGCAGAGTATCCGATGCTGCACAAGCATGCGAGGCGGCACTGGCAGTGGGTGACGCTCAACAGAGAGCACGCTGAGATCATCGGCAAGGATGACTACGTCATCAAAATGTTCGACAAGCACTGCTTCTTCGGAGAAGAAAAGTGAGGCCTCAAAATGCAACTGCAGTCCCTTGTCTTGCCAGATATTCCTCTTACTGTGTGGCAGTTTTTGATCAGCCCGCCCAGTCCAATAATTCCAAGTTTGGTCATGGTGTCTTCTTCTTGTCACGAGTGCTACCCTGCTCAATTGATCACAGGTTTGCTTGAACCAAAGGACAGATTGAGCACTACAAAGGTGACTTGCTCTGTGCAGGCAATGGTGCTTCAATGGTGACACGCCGTGTCAACGCAGGACATTCCGTAAGGTGAAATACAATTGGGGTGATTAGTCATGATTTATCACGCGTACTATGCGCAGGAGGACGCTGGAATGCACCTCAGACGAGTCATACGTTGGCACGGCGCTGAGCTACTGGCTGGCAGAGAGGAATGAGAGCCTGGCCGAGCAGGCAGACGGGGATCTGGCAATGGCTGTAGCAACTCAGGCAGGAGGCTTCAAGGAAGAGGAGGTCACCGAAGAGACAGTCGCAGAGCTGCGCAACTCGTCCCCCAAATGGACCATCAATTTTTGGGCCGACCACCGCCGTACAAAGGGCTGCCGGGCCGTGGAACGGTGAGCGCCAATTCCTCATGCCAAGGTTGATGCATGACACTTCACTTATTACAGATCAGTAACCTCCCATGCATGAGACTACAAAGTGTCTCAGAGGGTGACACCGCTGCCAATTCAGGGGACTCAAATCTGAGTGGATGCCTGTCCAATTCTAGGACTAGCAAAACTTGACACAGTGCATCTGGTGAAGATTTGCCCTGCAGGCCTTACACCCCGCCCACTCTGCAGGCAGTTTCGTTTGAGTGTGTTAACAGGCAGTGCATGCATGCACACACACACGTTACAGTAAATGCAGCAATGACAGTGAACCAATATGGAACGAAATTGGCAAGCTGGTTGATGTGTGGTTGTGGGCAATGCAGGCCGCAGGTTGCGCTGAGCAGCAAAGGGATGCTGGGCGACGCAGCTTCGAGGGAGGATGCATGTCAGATGTCAAAAGATCCCCTCAATCCTCCTCAGCGCATGGTACCTTATGAGGGCTGCTTATATTTTGCCAGGAAATTCATGCCACCGGTGGCGGAGACCGTCAAAGCTATTCTCAAGGATTTTTATGTCATTTAATGCCTTTGCATTTCATGCGGGCCTAGCTAGACTGTTGTTTAGGGCAGGCTGGGGAAAGGCTTTGCAGCAACAGGGCCCTGTGACCTTGCCTGCAAATATTTTTGTTTTCTGGGAGCCATGTAAGGTGGCTAGTTCTAGCACTATATCACACACTTCTGATGCGTGTGCATTTTTCATTTTGTGTGCTGTCCATATATTGATGGCAGCACATCTTTGATCATTGGTTGCAACTGGTGCCAGGAAAGACGGTAAGATTTGACTAATAGAGTCTTGTTTGAGCCTCGACAGCATTTTGACGAGGCGTTCTCCAAGTGGTACCATTGTGGCACTTGCGTGGTTATATTTGGTAATCTTGCACATGCAGGGCAGGGCTTTGCTCGACATGCAGAGCTTATATATCGAAGCCTTTATGAATTGATTTTGTAGCGTTTCTATGTTTATTGCAAGATTTGACATTGCGGGTCCGTGAAGTGCCCTGGCTCGGCAGCAACTTGAAGTTAAAAACCTTATCAATGGCTGCATTTGGCCGGATGCTGATGTAATGAGATTATGTGCTTGCATGCTGTCTCCGGCTGGCGGGGGGCGGTACAAATACTGAGCACCGTGCCCACGGTTGATTGGGTCTTGCTTGGATCTGGCGAGTCCAACAAAGGTAGGATTGTGGCAGCCTTTAACTGCAGCTTGTCTGCAGGACGCACCTTGCCTCTCGGCAGGAAAAGAATGTAATTTAATAATTCTGCTATAGTCTGTGCAAGAGGACTATTGCACATTCATGCAATTCTGCCAGGATGACTTTACAGCATACATTTTGCCAATTTAGCACATGTGTTGCATGGCTGCACTTCACAGGGGATATACCCTGCTGGTGGTGTTGCTAAGAAGGAAGATTTTGCTTCCAGAAGCCAACATTTGCTCCGCTCAATGTGTCCAGCCACAGAAGCACTACCGCGTCTCAGAAAGAGTCTTTCTGCACACTTGGTACTGAGCTGCTAATCAGCAAGAGAGAGATGCTCTTCAGGCATGCATGCCATGCTGATGTCTGTCAACCGTCTGCCCCACTCTGATAGATTGCCGGGGCTTATCAGGGCACGCAAGTCATTCTGACAAGCTATACAAACACTGGTGGCACACATTTCAACAAGAGGGCACACCGCCCAAGACGCTGCAGACAACAAGATCCTCTCAACATAGAAGAGAATCGGTAAGAGACTTGGATTTGAATTTGAAGAAACAAAGGTAAGAGAGCAGCGGGGTTCAGTGGCGGTCGCTGTCCTGGAAGGTGCCCAGCTTTGCGTAGGAGCACATCAGGTCTACAATTGCATCAGAAGCTGACGGCTCATGTATCTGAGCTGATGTGGTGTAGATGAAAAGGCTCCGGTACTTCATGACCGCCCTTCGCTTGGCCTCCATCCACTCGTTCGGCATCTGCAATCAGGCCACCCAGCCTCTCAAACCTTTGCAACTAACACTCTCCTGTCTCCCGCTGCTCTATTTTATACCGTCCCCTGTGCTCAAGCAAGTGCTGATGAACCAAGAGTTTGGCTGCAGGCCAGCAAAGTGATGCTGTTCTGTGCATGACTGGCAGCGGTCCGACAACTGCGGTGCAGGGATTGCAGCGCATGCAAAAGCATGTTCGCTGCCCTTTTGAGGGCGGCAGTGCACAGCTTGCAATCCATGTGCCCCATGCATGCAGAATTACGCCACAGGTCTCCCATGCATGATGTCCTGACCATACTGTCCTAAGGCCGAAGAAATGCTCATTTTGAATTGAAATCTGCAAACAGCAAGAGTGAGCTTGGAAGAATGCCCCCCCCACCTGTCGCAGGTATGGCAGCACGGCGTCCACTCTGCGCAGAGGGATGATGGAAGTCGCCGGGATATCCGCAAACCACCAGGCAGGGCTGAACCTGTCCTCAGCCTGTGCGTCAGACAGCACAATGGGGCCTCAGTAAGAGTGCATCAGCTTGGAATAAAATGCAGAGTGTAGAATCGTATCCGACTGCAGATGGACAGTCTGTCCAATCACTAGACCTTGACCTGGCATTTGCGCGTTCACATAGCAATTTTCAGTGGTCAGCAGCCACCAACAGAACAATGGACCTTGCTGACCCTTGTGACTGAGTTGTAGTCTTGCATGACTTGGATGGCAAGTATTCCAAGGGCAGACAGCCATTGCCAGGGTCGAGATGTGATGTTGAAGTATACAGTATTTGAGGGGGGGCGAGTCTTGCCTGGGTGCGGGGATCGAGCCCCTTGTGCATTTTGAGTTCGGGGTGCGACCACCAGGGCAGCGCCTCTGAGGGCTGGCTGGAAATGTTCAGGAACAGGGCCGCCTTGGCATAGTCCACCTGGCAGGCAGCACACCAGGAACGCGGCCATCAGCCTCGTGGCACTGACATATATACCCGTCAGCTGCTTAGTACCAGCTTGCATAAAAATATTGTAGAGGCAAATATGATAAGGTGATGCATACAGTGTCTGAATTTCTACAAGTATCACAGCCTCCCTTCATCTAAAAGATGACATGCACCCACAAACCGCAATGTCAGCCCACATTCTCCGCACTCAACACAAACCCAGGAAGAGCTAGCAGCAATTGAAAATTGGTAGCAGTAGATAAGTACCACTGACAACTCACAGAGCCAGGCAACATCAAATAGCAGCGCGGCTGCAGGGGCGTACCTTCTGGGTGAGGGGCAGGGAGTGCCAGGGGGGCCCAATGAAGACAGGGATGCAGCCAGCCAGAAAGGCCTCTGTCAGCCGCTGACTGGACTGACTGTTGCCCGGGAGAATCAGGCAGAACGCGCTGTTGGCCATGCCTTCTAACACCGAGCGGTGCTTCTGGGTCGCGAAGACATTCTGCTCAAACTCGCGCTCCGTGCACTTCACCTGCGAGGTAGCACCCCCACATGCATGCGTCAGAGTAGCCCAAACTCCCAATGCAAGATGAATGCTGGATGACACTTGTGTGCAATGCACACAGCATTGCACAAAGCATTGGTGGCTGCTGCCTTGGTTTCCTGCTCAATTTGAGCCTGAGTGCCTTCCTGCATACTGCCAGCGCATAATTCATCTGCCCATCGTCACAATGCATGAAGGTGAAACCCCAGCCGGATAGTAGGGGATGGTTGTGATGAGACAGGCGGAATGGCAAGCGGACCTCGTCGCCGGCCTCGCGCCCGTGGCAACAGACGTTGATCTCCGGGGCGGTCCCGGCTGTGGGCGGCGGCTGGTCCCCCTGCGCGATGCCCTCGCGCAGGTGCCGCACCACGTGACTCCTCATCAGCTTCCCCATGTTGCTGGGGATGGCTGGGTCGCACTTCCCCCTGCAGCGCCAATGCAACATTTTTAACAAATTTGATTTTGATTTTGAACAAATTTTGATTTTGATTTTGATATTGATTTTGAATTGATTTTGCAATCTAAATGGGAGATTTCAGCAAGGGACCTGCTTTGACATAGAGAAACTTGGCTTGAACAGAAGAGAACAGAACAGCAAGGCTGTGGCTGCTGCATGCCAGACCAACTTTTCATCAAATTGCACTCTGTAGGGTAGGAAAGTAAAAATTGTGCATGGTAAAAAGCGTGGCGGGTCACCTGAAGAAGAGCAGGCTCTCCTTCTCGCCGTCTGGCCGCAGGGGAATGGTGTTGATGCTCTCTGTGGAGCTGTAGGGCACCACTATGGTCGACCTGCCATGCACAATTCTCTCCTTCAGTCCATGCAACTTGCGCAAAAACCTTAATGTAATGCGCATGTCTGCTTCCATCTTTCAACAAAGGTTTACTAAATCTCTGAGAGCCAGCAGGCATCAATAAGCTGCTTGAACGGAGGGTCTGCCATGGCAAAAGCTCTCTGGCTCAACCCTAGAAATTTGAGCTTGTGGTCATGCAAGGAACAACCATTTGGCAGCCTCTGCATCTGCCTCTATGATCTTGTCTGGGGGATGGCATTTGGTAAACATGCAACGACAGAAGCTGTCTTCCTGACATCAAGTGGCTGTTCAGCCTCATAAATCTGGCAGCGGCCAGACCCTTTTCTCTTTTTATCTTCATTTTTTCAAATGGGGAAAAGTGCAAGCACCTGGGGCTGTAGGAGGGGCAACGCCATCGCTGCCCCTGCTCCACTGCCAGCACAGTGGCCCATTGGAAGTCAACGCACATCATATCCTGGTACGCGGTCGTGACAGCCAGGTCGTCCCACTCGAAGCCCGGGTGCGAGTGGTAGAACACAAAGTCCCGCCCACCCGTGCGCCGCCACCGCGGCAGGCCCATGATTGCCCTGCGCAGTGATTCATCGAACGCCGTCAGCCGCCAACTCATGACTGCATGACTGCATCCGCTCAGGGACCACATGAGTCCAAGTTTGGTGCAGCAGGCGGTAACTGCGCATGTAACAGGCACGTACAATAATGTAAGTTCTGTTGTTCGTGCCTGATCAGATTATGAGAGAGGGCCACTTAAGTGGCGCGCCCGAAGGCGATACCTTGAATCACACTCTACTGCAGAATTCACGACAAGTGGTGCAGCCAAGATCCCTTCTTTCCCTCGTCAAGGGGTAGGCGAACTCACTGTGACGTCCAAAGGAGGCAGGCTTGCAGGTACCGCAGCTGGGCCGCAGCCTTGACAACCCATACCCTCTGCATGACTCATGTGATGTTCCACCAGCAATCATTCAGTCGTAACTCGAGCGGCGTCAGAATTTCAAGTTTAACAATTGAGGAAGCACCTGTAGGAGGAGAGGAGGTAGTGGCCGGCTGAGCGGGTGGGGTTGTAGTTTTCTCGCAGCCACCAGTGGTCGCGCGCGTGGTGGTCTCCGAGCGCCCACATGATGTAGCAGTAGTCGTAGACGTACACAACGTCCGCCTCTGCTATCGTGCGCACGCTGTTCACGCTGTTGCGCAGCGTGTGGTACACATACCTGCATGCATGCACCAGTACATGTCATTTTCCAATATCGATGAACAGATGTCCACTCTGCATACACTGAAGGTGATGACGAAATTTGTCGGGTCATAGCATCCCCCCCAAAAAACACCTGACAGGACACTAGAGGATGATCACCATGAGGTGTTCACTGGGCCTCCAGGTATTCAGAGAGGGGCTTTTGTGAGCGTGGACTTAAGCAGGGCAAGGGATCGAAAATCCATGAATCTGATTAACAGCCCTTCATCACCACTTACACGAGCTGCTCATGTCAACACAGGCAGAAACGGCGCTGCCTGACTCATATTTTGCAGCAGCGGCTGATCCCGACGGAGCTCTTGGGAAAGGTGTGCATAATTGGAGGTTTTGTGCCACTTGTTGGTCAGCAAGGGGCTGCACTGACTTAGCCAAGGACACCAGTGAGAAGGGAGCATGGACTGCGGCATTGCAGAAGGAGAGCTGGCTCGCATGCCGTGATCAAATCCTCAACTTTCTTTTTATCAATCGATGAAACAAGGGTCCTGCAAGAGGGGACGCACCATGGCCCCGCATTCTGGCTGAGGTAGTGCGGCTGGGTGGTGTAGGGGTAGATCCACTTGTGGCCCTCCGGCGGCACCGGTTGCGAAAAATTGGGCACGATGGCCGGGTTTGGCAGTGTCATGCCGCTCTCAGGGTCAGCCACAAACTGGTCCACTGAGCACGACGGGAACCCAAGCTCCACCGCTATCTCAGACACATCCTGCAGATCAAAGATAATATAGGTAGTAAATCTCAGGTGCAATCCGAAAATGCATCGTCCTGATTAGTGCTTGGAGGATAGCAGGTCTGGACACGCAGTTGAGACGCATTGATGCCTGCTAAAATATTGTCCAGGATTCACCGAGGCTCAGACTGTCAGTCTTCTGAATGCCCAACAAGCAATTCACACCCTTGCAGGGTTTCCAGAGGACTGTACCAGGAGGAAGAACTTGCAGGGTGCGTTCTGGTTCTTATGGCAGCCGCCGCTGGCGCCCCCAACAGCCCCGGCCGGCTGCCCCTTTTTGCCCTCCTCCTTCCCAGCTTTCTTCCGCAAAATGTGCCCGGTGCGATTCCCCGTCTTGGCCGCCCCGCCGGCCGACCTGTCCCTGAGCAGGCTGGACACATTTCGCAGTTCGGCCTCGGTGGCATTCCTGTGCATCGGGTATGGCAGCTGCATCTGCGCCGGCAGCAGCCGTACGACGCCGAGCGTCGCCGTGTCATTCCCCCGCTCAAACTTCACGAGTTCTGCGCCCGTCGTGACGTTCCCGACTGTCGTCTGCGAGATGGCGGCTGCGGCCGTCACGGCGCCGTCGGCGTCGGTCTGGATGAGTAACTCCGACTGCGTGTGCGCGTGCTGCGCGATGACTTCCCCCTCGGTCCCCTCGGGGTCCTTCGCAGGCTCCCCCCCGGCTGCCGCCGGATCCCCAGCGGTGGCCGCCGCCAGCCGCGCGGCCGCCGCGCCGTCGAGCGCCCCCGGGTATACGTCCAGTGCCTGGGCAGGCAATAATATCCCACTTCCCCCGGTCCCTCCGGTCCCCCCGGCGGCAGCTGCCTGTTCTGGCAACTGCTGCTGGCCTACCCCTGCGGCAGCAGCAGCGTCCAATGCCGGAAGGGGGTCAATCTCCGGCTTCTGTTGTTCCGGTGTAGGGAGTGTCAATTTAGCCTGCGGCTCGGTGGGGTTGTCAACTACGCTCTGCTGCGGCAGGCTGAGCAGCGTGCCGGCTGTTGCGTTGGAGTGCTGCAGCGCTGTCGCGAGCACCTGCGCAGAATGGGATGAACTCACTCTATGACAGGAACTGACCAAAAGACAGTGGGCCTTCCGCCTGCAACAGCCCTGCCATTGCTAGACCACCTTCCAAACAGAATTACAAGCAGGGCTTCAGACTGCTGCAGAGAGATGACAGTGGGCTTTGACGCTATGCTTTGTGCACTGCAGAGGAAGATGCAGGAATGCACCTGTGCCAGCGAGGCTGCCAGCTGCTGGTCGGTGCTGAGGGCGCCGCTCTGTTGCGTGGAGTTCCCTGAAGCTGCATCTCCCGCTGCATGGTAGGGGTCCGTCTGCTGCAATGTGAGCGCTGTGCCCCCCTCAGCGGCAGCTGAATGACCTGCGCATTCAGATCATCTCACACATCTGGTTGAAGGTGGTGCCTGTAAGAAATTGTGTCTGTCGTCAAGCAAGGGAGCTCAAACAACACATCCGGGCCTGCAAAGAAAAGTTGGTGCAATCGAGACATATACTAGAACGTGAGTATGAGGAAATGGGGGCTGGCTGTCAGTGTCACCCTTTTGCGGATACTACAAGGGTGTACCTGTCAATGCAGATAGGATGCACAGGAGGGCCGCGCTGCAGGCTCCTGAGTTGCTGCGCCCCTTCATTTATGGCAGCTATGGAGCAAAGCCGAAGCTTGGCATCTGGAGAAGTGGCCAGGAGTCATGCTCTCATGCGGCTGCAACGTAAAGAGATCATGGATAGAGGCCTCCTGCACGTCAAGTGCACAGGGTTGGACACCAGTAAAAGGCCAGAGCAGTACAGACGATGAGGGCGAGTAAGTTGTATGTAATACTCCCGGGTATGGTACATTGTGGTTAGCTTGGGTTGCAAATCAAGCAGAAATCGGAACCAGGGAGCTAGCATCAGCATCCAAGGATAGTACTAGACTTGCGAGTGAACGGTGCACTGCTCGTGACATTACCTGTCACACTATTCTGTACAGATTTTATGCTTCAGATCGCCTTCATTATCTGGCAAATCCTTTTAGACCTGTTTGGACGAGTTCTCTAGAATACTTCTGACAAGGAGTCCGACCTTTCGCTGGACAGCGATCCTAGCGATCGCTTTACGAGAGCCTGTGCATCAAATGCAGATAATAAAGGAGTTGATAACGAGCAGGAGAAGAGTTCCAACCCGACCCTATTGCCCTCACAGCGAAGAACTTCACTTCCCAGCGAGATTTTGTAAATTTGCATAGGTTATCGCCCTTTTCATGCGTACTGTTCGCAGGCGTTCCTGCTTGTTAAGCTGAGAACAATGATTCTCCCCCAAAAAGGATTCTTCACTTTTGCTCACAGGATCTTCCTCGCAATATCTGCCATTCGGGATCTTCGGGTCATTTCAGAATTTTATTGTGCAAGACTGATTTTGCCCAAGAGTAGCTTGAAGGCGTGCGTGGTCACGACGGTACAGAGCGGACGCTTTTTCCTCGTCTGGTATGGTCTGCTTCTCGTTGATGACGAAGGGGAATGTCGAGAGCAACAAACTCTCGCAACTACGACCTTGCAAGCACCAGGTGGGTCCCAAGCCGACACATTAATCGGGCGTTGAAACGTGGGTAGACTGGTCCTGTCAGAGTTGCTGCAGTAGCCAAGAGCAACTTCGTTCGTACGAATGCGTTGTTGGGGACGCATCTCAAAACGAAAATACTCATAGGGTATCTTCTAAAAATGTTCGTTCTGAAGGAAGGGGCTCGGCCTTTGGTCTGAAAATGCTGCTTGGTCTGTTGTGCAGGTAGCAGGACATCTTTTCGAAGGTGGGACACTCACTCAAGCACTAATTAGCAATTCTAATTTCACATACATATTCATACACTAAAATTGAAGTAGAGGCCAGGTCCCTCTCTGTGTTTGGTGTTTCGTGCTGACATATGTTGGGTAATTGTATTCATGCAGAGGGCAAAGCTGGATCCCTCGTTGACGACTCTGGGCACTTCTATAAGCCACTGCAGGTGAATTTAATGAGTTCACTCACCCTCGCCTGGATCCACGAACCAAGCACTTGCCCCTTTCGCTGGCTGGCAACTTTATGCATGTGACTATCTTGCAAGACAGTGCAGCTGCTGATCGCTAGAGACATTGGTCAAGCTGGTTCCTCCAGTGTTCAGCAATTGAACACGTGTTCAATTGCTGATCACGTTTCTCTCTTGGCAGCGCAAGGGCGTAAGCCTACAAAGAGCAGAACGTGATCTCTCTCCGATGTGCCCATTCAGGGTGGGCCCCGTGGGCGGAGGGAGCACGAGTTCTACGAGACAATCCGAGCGGAGAAGGAAGCGTGTGCAGAGAGGCGGAGCGCCTCAGGTCCGGCTTTGGCATAGCCCTCAGTCTGTGAAAGCCACTTTGCTTGTAGCAGCTTGCCGCTGGACTGTCAAAAGTGCCCCTGACTTGCGGCAAATGCATTCTGTCAAAATTTATCCCTGGCAACTGTTCTGGGACCAATCTGCTGGCCAGAAGCTCCCTGGAGAGCCAAATCACATGTCACAAGCGAAGCAGGGGCGTCACGATGGCTGTGGGATGTTCAGGCAGCGAGGATGGGCACAGTGCGTGCGAGGAGGCGTCCAGCAGCGGGCGCAGCACAGAGGAGGAGGAGTACAGCTGGGGGCAGGTCGCATTCTGCATACGCAACGCCGTGCTGCTCTCGGTCATACCCGATTACCGTGTGCCCCGCCCGCTGTGCCTTTTTCATTGCTTGAGCTGCGGCTCTGATGGCAGAAGTGCATTGCAGTCGTCTCAGTCAGGCGCTGCGTTTCGCGCGGTTGCCATTGGGCCACCTCAGTGTGTTACGCTCCCGCATGCAATATTTGTGTTGCACCTTTGTTTTGCACACCTGTGCAGACTTTTCTTTCAAAATTCATTCAGGCATCGCGCTTGCTGGCGTTTGTTTTTCCGAAGCTTCTCCGAGGCTTGAGCCTGCGTGGTTGGAAGGGGAACATGGGGTGTTGAAAATGTCATATTGGGTTCTGCAGATGGAGTGGTGATGGCTGGAGGGCGCACGCTAGTGGAGCTTGAGGATGTGGCGCAGCACTACCGGCGGCCCAGCATCATAGACATCAAGGTTAGATCTTGTACTTCTTCAGGTTATATGACAGGGTCCAAATGCACGAGGTTTCTAATGATGTGTGCCTCAGTTGGGCAGGAAGATGAGTCAGTTTATAAAGTGGGCAGCCATGGAAAGTGCCCAAGAATGTTTTCTGTGGGAGAGGAGTGTTCAAGGATTTGAGTGTGGCCCAGTGAGCGCATGTGGCTGGGTTGCAGGTGGGCTACCAGACGTGGTACCCCAACGCGGACCCCTCCTACATCCAGCGCTGCCAGATAAAGGACGAGCAGACCACGCAGGCCACCTTCGGCTTCAAAGTCTGCGGCATGCAGGTGGGCTGCAGCTTGTCCTCCTCGAAGGGTTCTGCTCTTTTCAGCATGCATGCGGCCTGGGGCAATTTCTTTCTTCACACAAGCTTTCCTTGCCTTGCCAGTCAGGGGACCTATCAACTCGTTTTTTACTTCAGAGCCACTTGTGACAGGGCGCAAGGGTTGATGCAGTGGTTGGTGACTCCAGCATCATTACTAAGGGGTGAGTGATGGCGCCAGGTGTACCGGGCCTGCCAGCGGGGCTACTGGCGCGCGAGCAAGCGCTGGTGCAAGGCGCTGCAGCCGGAGGCGGTCAACAAGGCGCTGTTGCGATTCGCCAACAACGAGGCCGGCCTGCGCCCGGCCGATGTCTATGGTGGGCCCAACGGCGCCTTCGCGCAGCTGCAGCAGCTCGCAGCCTGGTTCCAGGTGCACCCCCCTGTCCCCACCCATCACTGCAGCCATGGCGGAGCAATGTAATTGATGCAACGCCATTCAAAGCACACGATGGAGAATCCCACCTAGACAGCCCCAGAAGCAGGGAAGTCAGTCAGCAGAAGGCTGGGAAGCCTTGTGGAGATTGCTCTGTCCATCATACATGGAGGTCCAGGAAAGAATAATATTGCATGCGGCTCCCACCAGTTGCCCCCCAGGTCCCAAGAAGTGCTGGCTGCTTGAGAAGATGGTTCTGTGCTGGTCGGCACCGCGCATGCATGCCCTGCTCTCTGCTGACCCGGGGAGAACAACCTTTGCAAATTTTCCACTTTCTGCCCCAGATGCTCGACATCGAGATCAGCCAGCTGCTTCCGAGTGCTAAAGGCTGTTTCTATGTGTGCCGCGCAGATGCAGCGGGACTTCCAGTTTTACAGCAGCTCGGTGCTTATCATCTACGAGGGGGATGCTGCGAGCGCAGAGGATGCCAACGTGTCAATCCGGCTCGTGGACTTTGCGCACAGCTTCCCCAGCCAGGGCGCCAAGGACCTCAACTTCCTGCGCGGCCTCCTCGCGCTGTCAAGCACGCTGTCCAGCGTGCTGTGCCTTGACCACCACGACTGCTTGTTCTAAGCCCTATTTGGGCCGGGATCTATGAGCGCGTGAGAGGGCACCGCCCCTCGTGGAGCACCGCAGAGTCCTGTTTTGGCCGGGGACTGACCGCGTCACTTGGCGCCGCACCAGAATCCTGTTTTGGCGCTGCCAACCATGATCGCCCCTGGCGCCACGGCCTGTTTTGGCTTGGACCATTACGGTTGCCTATTTGAGCAATGCGTCCTTATTAGGCGTGGCCGATTCAGAACGCTTGTTTTGGCGCCGCGCCTAATAAGCTCAGAGCAGCGCTGACCCCTCGCTTTAGCTTGCCGGATGTGAACATGCTGCACAATCCCATACCTTGATCTCTTGAGCACTGGTTGCGCCGTAGCAGCATATTACAAGGAGCTCAAGTGCCGGAGACGAGCTGATCAGGACATCCTCCTGGTGGTAAAGGGAGCTGTTGCTCGTGGGATTTGTGTGCTGTGCGGCGCTGGAACAGTGCTAAAGAAGGTCATGTGAGGTGGCGGTTGTGGCTGGCGTAGACGCAGGCATGCAGCACTTTGGTATTGAAAGTAGATTCTGTTGCCCGCCAGGGACTGTGTATGTGTCCGTCATGACTGCGCACTGCTTAGGAATGCTTTCCCGGCACGTCTGCTCGGTTGTTTTCTGTTGTTGCGTTTTGTGTCAGCTGAGTACACGATATACCTGCCATGAACATCTGTGACACCTGTAGAGCGTGCACATTATTTGTGTATTGCACAGTATCCTGCTATGGTGCCTTCCTGCCCGTTGATCAATAGCAGATGTGTAGAATTAGCCAGGCGCAGCGCGCTAGTTAGAACAGCCTCTTCAGGCAGGTAGTTTGGGGCTCAGCAGAGAATTTGGATTGCTCTTGCAATCCTAGGTAGTCCTGTTGTATCCAATTGGCACTCTTGTGCACCATTGATACAGTGTGGGCTTTGTTCATAGCGGCTAGCGTGGGGCCTTGTAAAGACTTTCTCCGGAAGCTGAGTACGCAGAAACTCTACGTGAGCTGTCCAACATGAGTCGTTTTATTCGGGCCAAAAGTGCATGCATGGAAAGCCGGTCCACATACACAGTGCCAGCCAGTGGACATCACAACTTTGCCATTGAACGCTTCAAAAGAGAAGAATCGAGTGAAGCCATTACAGTGGTTGGCTTCACACAGCGTCGGACAACCCATTGTAGCAACCCTTGGAAAGGAGTTGGTGAGCAGATGTCCACCTTTCAAGTCCTTTGAAAGCCGGACTCCCACCAGCCTCAACCCAGTCAGAATGCAGACCAAAATGTTTCCCTGTAAGTTGCTACCCTAGTCATACCTCATATACTTCACCTAACATGGTTGGGGGAATGGTTTTAACAAATCAGTGACTCTCAACACACCGAAATTAATTATGAATCCACACTGTGCACTGAACCAAAAAATCCCTGAAGCCAGTCAGGCGCAAATACATAGAATGTGAACCAGGAGGGTGGAGGAAGTCACTCTGCTGTGCATCAGCACACACTCTACTGTACTTCGGTATTCAATTAAGACCTGCCCAATCCTTCACCAGTCGAATCAAGTCTCACCAAAGCTGCCGACCCAGCAAATGGTTCAATCAGGCAAACCCAGTGACAGCAGTGCTCACCCCAGTTCTGCCAAAGCTGTAAGAATTGTGTTCTTGCAGGTAAAATACTTCACAAGACACTCCCTGTAGACTGCTCCTAAACATTTACACCAGTCCTCCCTCACACATTAATGTGCAGCCTGCCTGTGTGCGTGGGAGCAACCTGGGCATAGATTTTATTGCAAAGGAGTGCCGCATGTTATGTGGAGGATTGATACAGAATATCAGTACTGCTCACTTGCCGCTGAGGGACTATTCAAGGCTTGTACATCTTGTCAGGCTTGTCCATCTTCTCGGGCATGGCCTTCACCTCCTTGACCTCAACCTGCACCAGACATCACCCCTCTCAGTGATTCACCCCACCTTTTTACATTCGCCCCGTCGCAGCACTCCATGTGCAGAACACTGCGCCCCTAGTGAGACCTGCTCAAGAGGAGCCACAGCTCTGCACTGCAAGGCCCTTGGGCTGCATCATTTACTGAACAGGACATTCAGCAGGAGGAGCAACATTTAGACAGCTGCTCAATCAGCAGATCAGACCGGCAACCCTACAGCATGTTATCCCCCTGCTACTGTGTTTTCATTCCTTGAATTGGAGGTGATATGCAGCAGGCTGCCCTGGGCGTTGCTACAATTTGTGGGAGTCTGGAGGTTCAGGGTGCACACACCTTGGGGGCCTCAGTGGGCATGGGGGTGGGTGAAGGGGTAGGGGAGGGGGTGGGTGACGGGGTGGGTGATGGGGTGGGCGAAGGGGTGGGCGAAGGGGTGGGCGATGGGGTGGGCGAAGGGGTGGGTGTGGGGGTCACCGGCACCTGCAGAAAGCAAAATATAGCATCAGATCAATACAAAGCCATTTGCTTCTCATTCAATCATATTCTTGGCCTGGGCCGTTTGTGGCAGCCAAGCAGAGCATGCACAGTGCTGCCTGTGTGTCTCGCCTGCTCATTCGCTGTATACACGTAGCTATAAAATGCACACATCCATATACAGTAGTTGGCCTATCCAGTCTAGGCATGCCATCATTCTGTTGAGCAATGGGGAGCAACCCGGTGTAACCTGCAGCTGTCAGCCTTACAGATGCTTCATGCACTGGCATGAGAAGATTGACCAAAGAAAGGAATGACCAGAGAACACATGAGAAGATTCGCACCTCGATGGTGTAGCACGGAGGAGGCGCAGGCACATCCTTGAGCTTGATCTCCTCCTTGGGCATTTTGTCCATGGGCATTTTGTCACCCTCCATGCCGGCCAGACGGCGGCCGCCGTAAAACTTGTCGGGCTTGTCCATCTTCAGGGGCTTCTCCTCCTTCAGGGGCTTCTCCTCCTTCACCGGCGCGGGCGCGGGCGGGCAGATCACCTGCACCCAGTTTCGAAGTTGAATTCAGGATATTATCATTCGTCTAATGCCATCCTGCATTGACTCTTCATTCGCCCCTGTGCATGCCTGGGGTGGATACAAAACTACATGGGCATCTGCTGGGAAGCAAGCCGTGTCTGCATGTGTATCATCTCATTCAAGTCTGTACAGAGCAGTGTGCAGGAAGTCTGCAGCAGATATGTACTGCGTGAGACCGGGTGAGGTGGGGCTTGCCTGGGTGACAGTGGGCACGGGGGTGGGAGATGGGGTGTGAGTGGGCTCCGGAGTGGGGCTGCAGCACAGCACATACAGTTCTCAGCCTAGATACAGCTCTTGACTGCTTTTTTCTGCAGGATGCAGTCACCCTATCTCTCCTGGACACCAGGCTCTTGGCTGCAGGTCTTCAAGGTGGTGGGCAATACAAACACAGCGCACTCGGGGCGACGCAATGCCCACAGCTATCAACTGCGGCCGGTGTTCTTTACCCGCATGCTCACTTGCAAGATATGACATACAGCAATAATTCCAAGCTGGCATCACAGGGCGAACCTGGGGGTGGGAGACGGGGTGGGTGAGGGGGTGGGCTCCGGGGTGGGTGATGGGGTGGGCGAGGGGGTGGGTGAAGGGGTAGGCTCCGGGGTGGGTGAAGGGGTAGGTGAGGGGGTGGGCGAAGGGGTAGGTGAGGGGGTGGGCGAGGGGGTCAGGTAGACAGTGGGGCCTGGGACCTCGACATACACAGTCGGGCCTGGCACCGGCACCGACACATACACAACCTGCACAGGCGGCAGATGAAGTCTCAGGCACTGCAAGAAGCGCTATATGGCCAGCAGTTCCTCTACTGACTGCCTCGAGCATGCGCACAGCTGCAACAACAGTGAAATTTGCAACAAGTCAAGAGCAGAGATGGTCCACAACGCATTGGTAGCTGAGCCAAGCTTGCATAAGATACCCATGATTTTAGGCAGACATTGTGGTTTCCTTTCCTGAAGGTCCTTTGAGGGGAAGACAGATCGAAGGTTATTAGACTAGGAGCAAATACAGGCAAGACTGTGCTGCCCCACCTTCTCCTTGGGCTCCTTGTCCTTGAACTCAGGTGCTGGCTTGAATTCAGGGGCAGGCTTGAAGTCCATAGGCTTGGAGTCCATTGACTTGTCATCTCCTCCCTTGAGGCTGCGACCACCTGCATAGGGGAGAAGACGTCAGAGCAAGTGGGAGTTCGGATGCGCTGGCAGTGCTTTCGCAGCCACAGTAGCCAGGAAGCCATGAAGCAGCCGGGCCGATGCTTCGCAAAAAGCCCTCAAAAGAGTGCAGGCTCGAACCACATAGAATTCAGGCGCGCCAGTCCCGCAGGGACCGCACGGCAAAGGGCTCAAGTGTCACAGCGATCTGAATCCGATCTGCGCCCGCCCTGTCACTGACGCCCGGTGGGAAATAATATTTAACTGAATAATGTGCCGTGATGAAGCACTTGATCTGCTGCCATGGCCAATTGCAAGGTGCATCACCCCGCAGCACCTCAAGGCTCTTCCCACCGATATCACGTGTAGGCATGGCCATCAACGCTGCACTGCGACATAAACAGCCCAAGAAACCCAATCTGGCAGACATTTTCACAGGATTATGAGTAAGCGCTCAATCCCCAGGCACTTTAGCTGCATAGTATCTGTACCATTGGCTCCACAGCAAGCGCAAGTCCGGTGCGTCATGCGGTTTCGCAAACTCAAATGGCGGCTAAGACTCCAAATTGTCCCAAAAACCAAGCTTAACATCATACTTAAAGCTCATGTAGACAGCTGAGACCCGAAAAGGTAAATCTTGGCGACGTACTGACCGTCTTCAAAAGTGTACGGATAAATGGTCGACAACCCCACGCCGACTGAGGAGGGCTGTACTCCGGAAAGGAAGAGCTTTAGGACCCCAAAATAATCAGAATGATGACATCACCCGATACAGACCGATCCGGCACCTCTTGGAGCAACAACCTGGTCTTGCAGCTTCCCCGTGAAAGCTCGGATGCTCCGCATGTTAGTCAGACCAAATTTGACCGAGCCATTCCGCCAAGCGACCAACAGCTGGCCTGTACTTGCTGATAAATGATGATCTGAGCCCTATTGGCTTGCATTTTACAGCGGTGAAGAGCTGGTAGTTCGCCAAATTGAATTAAAGGACATTGACTGATGCCATCGGCTTCCTACCTGCGCTGTGGGCGACGCATACGGACGCGGCGAGGAGAGCAAGGAGGAATATGGCTTTTCCCATCTTAGCGGCTCACGCTTGACTGGATACTCAGAGTTCTTGGGTGCGTAGTGCGGAGACAATCCTTCGACCTCTGCAAGTGTCCGAGGGGGTGGGAACATTAAAATGTGGCAGGAAATATTGAGGGCCCTTCGGGACGCGCCAGATGTCCCCCATACAGGGCCCTTTCAATTCACCCCCACATGGAGTCGACCACCCCCAACTTTTCTATCCTTTTATTGGGGTCCGCCTCGACCCTGATAATTTTATGCATTTGTGAGTCTCAACCGGGTCGGGATGGTAGCTTCAAAGAATCCTGAATTCGTTGCTAGATCCTGATCAGGTCTGGCAACTTGCATCACTGCTCTTCATTGGTATCAAAGATATACTCTTCATCAGATCATGATCAGACTGACTATCAGATGATGTCTATTAGCATCACTGATGGCGTGCGCATGTAAGGTCGTCTTACACATGCACATGCAAGCTAAAACAAGGCGTCTAAGAAACTCCCTTTATCATGGTCAAGGCCAATTTTCAAACAAACAAACTAGCTCTGATACACTACTACTGCCACAGGCTGTGCCAGCTGTGGCACAGAGCCTTGTCATTCAGGCACCGAGTGGGACTTGCACTGCAATGCCTCGAAAGCCACAGAAATATAAATACACCAGTGGTACTCTGCAGCTACCGCAAAATATCAAGCTTTCTCGACTTCTGTCCTCCTATCGCACAATGCCTTGGACCACCTGCCAACAAGCGCCTTGCAGATGACAGCTGCTGTCCAATGCACATGCAATCCCCAAAAAGCAGCTGCATGGTTCATTTCTAGTATACAATACACCATGATGTACAATCATCTCTTCCGCCAGCAGATTGCAGTCATCTGATCTCATGAGAGGACATCCTCTGCATCTGTAATTGCAATCTTGTGGATCTGGTGCCTGCGTCTTGGACAGCTATCTCCATCTCAATTCAAGCATCTTCTGCATCCATCTTGGACTGTCTTTTCTTTGACCATCTGCTTTGCCGAACCAATCTCTGCGACTACGTGGGTTGGCAACAATACTGCCCGAGAAGATGTCAGTTCTTCCGTCTCATATACACTTGAGGGCGCTGGGCACACAAATGCCCTGTGAGGTACGATTGCATAGAATGCCTCATCTATGATAGTGTATCCAAACTTTGGGGCTGCAAGGACATAGGAAACATGCGTTGGATCTGACTGGCACAACTATGCACCAGCAGCTTCAATGATGGTATAGGGCAAGCACAGCAGTGGTGTATGGATTATTGTACAGACCAATCTAGTCTGAAGCAGGCCCAGCAAGACTACAGGCATGCATTATATAAGCAGCTGACCAAGGGCGACTTCAATAGCCTCTTTGAAAGTTTCATCAACCATCATCTTTCGATGTGAAAGATCACTCTCTGCAGTGCCGTGCTCAGAAGTAGCCGCACTGGACTCTCGCAAGCACTTCCAAAGTACAGAATAAGGGTCTCTTCTGCAAAATATATGGCGCTTACTGCCTTGCAGCTCCTTGTTGCTTGCTGAGGCAACTGCCCCGATTGGGCAGTGGAAAAGATCATCAGTCGGCGGGAGGGATGGCCGCCTTACAGGAGGGTGATGACGCTGCGCTGTGGCAGAGGCGACTCATCCGCCAGGTCATTTGCTGACACGATCAGCGCTGCCAACGCTGCGCTGGCCTCCAGCGGTGTGTCGGGGCTCATCAGCCTGTGCAGCGTCCGCCTGCCGCAGGAAAAGATCAGCACCTTGTCATGCACTTTCCCGTCTACGGAATCTGAAGCTCCCAGAAACCAGCATACGGATCCGAGGCAAGGTCGGAAGAGTTACAGCGCCATGTGAGGATTTTCCTTTTCGGGGACTCTGTAGGCGACATGCTACACCTCACAGACAAGCTCTGCGCAAGACCCTCATTGCACTGCCGCAATGGTGCAGCGGCAACCCGCCTATGAGCTTTCAAAGCTGACACTGGAAAACAAGGGGGTAATCTTTCTACTGTAGATATACATCACACTGGAGAAACACTCCCAAGTCAGCGGATGGTACACTTTAAAGAGGAAGAAATGGCGAGGCAGAAATGTGGGTGTCCCCACCTGCAGGCAGGGACGCCCCCGGCGGCTGCGGCAATGTCGATGACTCGGCCAGTGCGCTGCTGGCACCGGGGTGCGGGCGTATCAATGCCGGTGATGTGCTCCGGCCCCGGCTGCTCCGGCGCGATGCCGTTTGCCGCCTGAAGCGCGCCCCTGCACCCAAAAAAAACACCTCTTAGCACCTCTGAAAATCCCAGGTGAGAACATCGATCTTTCTTTGTACATGAAGCGGTGCTTGCTCCACGCCAACTCTTTGCAAGGGTTCGCTGTGGCAGGCAGTGGCTTCACCCCACGCCAGTGCTAGACTACTAATGCGCCCTCAATGATGCCACTGACAAGATCGAGCAAGCATCCATGCAATGACATGCGTGGTGAAGAGCAGAAGCAACCATTTCCACCACTCTGGAAACTGCGTCTGCAGAGCCAAAAACATTGGGATGACAGGGCATCTCACATGAAGCAGGCGGTGGGCGCGGGTGGAAGTGCGGTGGCGGCTGCGTACTCTGCCAGCAGAGCCTCGCGCATCTCGCCAAAGGTGAAGTCCGACAGCGGCAGGAAATCCAACAGGCGCCCAGACGGACCCTGCGCTCAAACACCGCCCCTCAGATGAGCCATGCATTTGGACAGAGCTTAGTGGTGGGAATAGGATTCACCCAAGACAGGCGCTTGCACTGAGAGCACTGAAGAGAAAGTCCAATAAAAGAACCTCATGCTGGCAAGCGTCAATCAAACTTGCAGATGAGGCCTCGAGTGCCTGGTTTGAATGCTCAGGTGCTTCAATGCACTGATCAACGTGGCTGCGGTTGCAGTCATTCCGAGGGGGTGGTCAAAGACATACCTTGAACTGCATGTAGGGCCAGTGCAGGTCATCGTCGTCCGCGTACTGGAATCCCTGCACCGTGCAGCAGAAGTCGCCCGTGTGATTCTCCAGCTGATGCTGCACGCACACGGCCACCCAGTCACACCTCACCCGCTTCTCAAAATTTCAAATGAGTGACATTTTGTCTTACACCCGTGCATTAAGGGTGGATCAGCAGTGAACCTTCCGTCAGCAGCACTGTCAAGCATACATGCAAGCAAACAAAGCAGATGGCATACAAGTGACCTGGCTCGGTCTCTAGATGAATGTCCACGTTCGAAAGTGCCCCACGAGTTCCCACAAAAGTATAGACCAAGGGTTACACTCATGCAACATGCAGAGGCTCAACATGTGGTGGGAATAGAAAGGCAGGCGCTGTGGAGGATGGCTGACGGCTGCGATGCTGGCACAAGGATGTGGGACTCACCGTCTGGTACCAGTTGGGTGAGAACCAGGTGACGTCACCCTTAGTCAGCACCGCCTCCTGCAGCGGCCCCTCGCACGCCAGGTGCTTGTTGTACGTGCGCGCTGCACCGACACAACAGAAACACCTCGATGCGAGCTCATGAGCAGTTGAAGGCATGGCCAGGAGGGGGGGGTTGGAACTGGACACCCAGTACCAGAACATCTCTAGTAAGCGTCAGTGCATGGCGCGCGTAGCAAAGCACAAGAGAAACAGGTGCATTCGCACTGTGTTCTGCCAGTACCCACAGCACTTCCCAGAAACTGGTGCACTTTTCCTGCAGAGGTATTGTGGAGAGATGACACCCTCGATGATGCAGTGCATCAATGGGCTGGTGTCGTCAATCAAGGCTATAAATATTGTGACTCTTGCAGCGGCGCATCCAAGATGGAAGTGTGAGGCAGTACCGGTGATGGAGCCGTGGAGGATTCGGACGATGCCGAATGCGTTGCCGTGGTTGTGCACGGGGCTGAAGTGGCCGGCCGGCCAGATCTCCAGCACGTAGGGGATCCCGGGGGAGCAGCCGCAGGGAACGCCCACGGAGACGCGCAGGTAGCTCTGCCGCCGGGGGACCCCCGCGCAACACCGCGCCGCCTTCTCCTGGAGAGCCACATGACGATTCAAATCTGAATTCAAAATTCTGGTAAACAGTTAAAGAATTTTGCAGCACGGTGGACTTGGCTGCAGTGCCCCGCCTCTGTGGCAGAGAGGCCCTGGAGCAAGGGGGTGAGAAGGGACTCGCAATTCAGAGCAGCTGCAAGATTGCCCGAGCATGCTGCTGCAAGTCCTGGATTTTCTGGGTGTCCAAACGCGCCTCTGATACCTGTCTTACTGTGTGCAGGGGTGTTGCTGCAGATCTCCTTTGATTTGATTTCAAGCCCTTCAGATCTCCGTCAGATCAATCTAAGTTGCAGGATGCCTGGAGCTGGGCAGGGCAGGGGGCTTGCCTGGCAGCGGGTGTGCAGGAGTGCTCCGGGGGTGCTGAGGCTGTGGCGGATGGCGTCCGTCAGGCGGCAGGAGCCCCCCTCCGGCGACCAGTCCAGGTCGATGCACGGCTGCGACAGGTGCTGGTACAACACCTGCGCGCGCACAGACGATTGGCCTAACATCAGCAAGGGAGTGTTGTTCGGTGTAGCTGGGACCGGTAGTACAGCCCCAAGCAACATTACATGGAGGCCCTGCTTTAGGAGTGCTGCCTGCCACTAGGAAAGCAAGCAGAGGCAGCTAGTAGACATTGACATCTGAAGTAGCATAAATCATGCCACATGCATCCAAGGCATTCGAACCAGTGCTTTTAGGCTGGCTCAGTCCATAACTTCCCAGACTGGTTTCAACACAAAACATATCTGCATGGTATTAGACAAGGACCGAACCCAATGGTACTGCCTTTCTGAACACCAGCACACACTCCCATTCGTGCTGGAGAGGACAAAGTCCCCAATCCCCACCAGCATCGTGTGCTGGTATTGACTCAGAATTAAAAATTCGAGCGGGACAAGAGCGGGACAGTCCCGGACAGACCTGGCAAGCGGGCGGGAGGTCGGAGGAGGGCAGGAACGCGCGGCGGCCGAGGTCCAGCAGGGTGAGGCGGCTGCTGTCCATCACCAGCGACGGCGGGTTGGCGATCAGTGGACACCGCGCAAACTCCACCGTCGCTGCCTGCCACACGCCCCGCGCAATGACTACCAGAATACTCCAGAGACTGACCGACTCAGCATGCATCACGCGCCAACAATCAGTTCAAGATTGCCAAGGAGCAAGAGTACCCCTCTGAACGAGTGTGCCTGCCATCTCCAGCTGCTGAGCAGGCAAAAACACCCACTTCTAACAAGCCCATCTGTTAAGCACCGCTTGAGCTCTGATCCACACAAGTTAGGCCCATAAAGTTGTATGTCCACTCAAAGTTCTTCAGCTCGTCCGAATCAAGGCTCGCATAAATGCATGGTAGCATGCAGACGCAGCAGCGTGCCTCGGCACACAGACATGCGACCGGCTCTAAAGATTTATGCATAATGGTGACATCAGCGCAATGTGAATCCCCCCTGACCCCTCACAGCGCACCTCGTGACCGTCGAGGGTGCTGAGCTTGGCCTCAAAAATGGATCGCCGTTCGACGGGTCCAGCAGTGTAGCCCTGCAGGGTGACCAGCTTGGGTGTCGTAATGAACAGGCCGCCCATGTCAGAGGGCAGGCCGTAAGTTATCATCGTGGTCTCCTCCATATGGTGGCCCACGCCGTATTTCAGCGTGCAGGTGTCGGGGTCGAAGGACACCCAGTAGCTGAGCCACCTGTCTAACTCGTAGCCTGCACATGCCGGCAACACTTGATAAGTGCAAAAAGAAGAGAACCTCTGCAGAGTCTCCGTTGCATGTCTTTGGTGTCCTGCCTCTCAGGGTGCCATGTGCTGGTCTGTCTCCCCTTTCTCGTACTTTCTGAGCCGTGCGCGATGCAAAAACGAGAGACAGGCCAACTCAGGACATACTGAAGAGGCAGGAGACAGGGTTTGGAACAGAAGCGTTTGGATAGGGGTGCTTCTGGCTACCTGTGGCTGTGGCTGCACCAGTACGCGCGTCAGCTGTGGGCACGACGTGTATGGCTCCCTTGTGGCGCAGGACTATGTTTGCAGAGTCCTTGCTCACAAGCACACCCACCCACCCAGCGTCTTGGTCACTGCCTGCATGTCAAGAATGGCTTTGGCTACAGTGCAGCAGCAAGATATTTTTACCATTCATGGCAGTGTCGACTGTGGAAGCCTCGTCACTGATTAGCAGGGGATGACAAACGACCCTGCACCTGAAAAGTTTGGCTTTGGCTGCACAGTGATGCAGAAGGGCTGCGTGGGCTTCAAGGAGAAAGTCACGACGCCGCCACGAAGCATTGGGAAGCCACCTGACCATGAGATTGCTTCCATCAGAGTCTTAGCTTGGTCGGCCAGCAGCACCATCCGCCTGCAAGTTCCACAAAGAGCCAGTCAGCTCCTTGGCACTGACACTTCCAGTACCCGTGGTGCTGAGGATGTAGCAACACAGCAGATGCTGGTATTCGTTCATGTAAGTGATTATGTGACAGTCTTGGTGCCAGCTGCATGGCATGCTCGTGACTTTTGATACTAGGGACGTTTCGCTGACTGTGACAATTGTGGTCCAACTCATGGAAACGGGGGACGCTGAGCTTACTGTGCCACAAACATACGGCAGAAGTAATCTTTTAGGCTTCTGAGTGCAACCAATGCTGGAAATGTCACGATTCCTCTCGGGTTAGGGTTGCTCTTTCAAGATGCTGACATCGGAGCTTGGCCGTTTGCGTGAGAGCTTTCTCTTCACCCGTACCAGTCCGGCCTGAACTTAATATTCACAGTATCAATGGTGCTTCGACCAGGTACAAGGGGGTATATGGGGCTCACTTCTCTTGCTGACGCTTGCAATTTCAAGCGCGCGCCTTGTGTTGGCCTCGACTCGGCCTACCTGGGTCGAGGATACGGGTCCTGACGAATAGTAAAGTGATCTTTGGTTTGTATTGCACCTAGAGCACTTTGGCTTGTGGCAACTTGCCGGTAGACCAGACTCTTCTCCAAATCACGACTGACAGTCAAAGGTTGAGGAGGTCAGTTTCGTGCCCAAAGCTGACGACGTCAAAGTTACAAGTATGCCAATCCAACCACACACTATTGTTTGACAGCGAAAATGTGTTTTCCATACAAAGATCTTCGTTATGAATGCAATCGGGGTCCCTTACTGATGAGTCAGTGGTGCTGACGGAAGCACAGGAGCTACATGAAGCTAGGGTTGGCTGTTTTCTTGGAACAGCTTTCAACTGCCATATAGTTGCTGTCTTGCCATTGTCATTGCAGCGGAAGGAGTTTTACGATTGCAGTCTTTTCAACACTGTCCTTAGAGCAATTGATTAGGGCATTGATATAGGAGAGTCGTAACGGTTATGCATTGGCCCTACCTAGTCCAGGACTCACTCTGTCACAGAAAGTGGCCCACTAGGTCACTTTCTGGCAAAAAGTTGCCAAGTCTGGGTCTGGCACTGAAGAAAAGGTAGCTTATAGAATGCAGCTGCAACTGCCGCGGGACAAGACTAGCAAAAGCAGCTGCGAGCAAGCTTGAGGAGTGCCCACAAAGGCCAAAGACCTAGGTAGCATGTGCAGGTCCCTCAGAAACAGCTAGCCACTCAGTGGGAGGCTGCCAAAAGCAGGCTGCCAGTGGCATATGGCATTTTGAGCACCATCCAAGGCACCATTGTGTATTCTGTGACGCAGAATCTGCCTGTCTGAAGATCCTCCCCTTTCTGCCTGGGCCATGATGCCCTCAATCAAAGCCCTGCAATGGCAGCGCAGTGACAAGCATTAGTATCTGAAGGTAAGCATGGACAGGGTTGAGGATAACCCAAGACGAACCATGTGTACACTTTTAAAAGGTACAGCAGGAGTGCCCCAAGTGCTCACCTTAATTTTCAGCGCTCGCAGCAGCGTTGCCCTGTCAGTGATCTCCAATATACCCTGCGCATGGGAAACCCATCACGCGGACTTCAACACTCCAAAATTTCAGCTCCACCATCACGCACTTTTGGTATCATTGAATTTTTTGCCACCTGTCTCTGGTTGTGTACTTATGCTGTATGACACTAGAAATGACTGTGCACTAGTACGTCTGCACCAGAGGTCGATTCTGACCACGAGCAGAGCGCACCTCGTTGATAATCTCACTGAGGATGATGCAGACTCGAGTGTAGTTGTCCAGGAGCACGGCTTCGCTGGGTGTCTTTCTGAGGACATCATGGAACGCCGTGCCGATGAATCGGAGCGTCTCAGCTACTGCATCACAGACAAGGTAGCATGTCAATCTATTGCCTCTCCAGATGACATGGGCGCAATGCTGCTCGAGTACAAAGCAGGGGCAGCTGAATACAGCTGCGCACAGCTCTGGAAGTACAGCGCTGGATTGAGGCCTGACTGCAGGCAGGGTATGCTTACATGTGAGCTCGTCATACTCCCCAGTCCCTAGGGCATGATAGACCAGCTCTCCCTCAGCACGCGCCACGTGCGCGCCAGACCTGTGTGTATGTGACCCACGCATACTTGTGAGCTACTGTCTATGGTGCAACATCAGCGATATGAACGATAAGTAGCTCAGTAAAGGCTAGATCTTTGAAAAAGATTTAAAGTACACTCCAGCGATCCGCAACCAAGAGAAGACATGCCATGCCAGTACCCTATGCCTTCTGCAGAGGTCTGGAGAGGCCATAGAATCTGTGTGGATCACCTGAGTCTCCCTACAGCCTCTTGTTTGTCTGCTGATAGTTCCCTCTGAGCATTCTGAAACGCGCTTCTGATCTCTGCCTTTTCCACTTCCGAGAAACGTTCATAGAAACGCTCGTATATGACGTTGCTGCTGGCGGTGGCAATAAGAGCGCACTGTATTCTTCCACAACTCTCCATATCGTGCTCTTAAACACATGCTAAATGCCTTTCAACGTGGAGACCAGTGAATCCAAAGCATCTTGACAAAGTTGATCAGTAATGCGTAACTTTGAATATGAGGTCAGTGATGCACAAATCAACCAATCGACAATAGAGTGACGTATTTAAATAGTCTGGAATGTCTCCAATGCAAGATCCCAGAAGTTGACTTTCTTGCTCGAGTGACGTCAGCCTCTGTCATTGGTTTGCTGAAGGAATCGAGCAAGGGGGAACGGATGGGAAAAGTTCTGTCCATGCATAAATATTCAGATATCAGTGGGGATGTTTCTCTGCCAGATCAAGACTTAGGTCCCAGAATTGTGAGAAACGCCTCTGCATGACGTTGGTGTCGCTTGACAAGAGTACGTTTTGGGCAGCTATCGACGCTGGCATCTGCACAACGGATGCAACTTGGTACCTTCAGCTGTTCTAGAAGAGGTCACAAACGTCTCAACCTATCTGTGCCACAGAAAAGAGTTGCATCAGTTCTGATCCTCCCCTCAATTCCACAGCCGTTGCAGTTGGCTTTCTGGAATGTCAAATTTTGAGAATTTTTGATATCTATTCCGCTGATAATCTCTTTTGCTATTTATACACAAAGACACTTTGACGTCCCGGTTTCGATGCCACAGGGAGCAGAGGCACCGCCTTGGATGAATTGCCGTTGGCCATTGAGATCGAATCTCTGATACCTGAGGACGCTGCTGGAAAGAGGAAGATGCGTGCATCAAACGGCATCAAAGCGCCCTGGAGTGTGATTCTCAGGTGCCCTACTTCCTGGTTGTGTTTTGCTAGCAAGCGCCCACTGGACATGTTTAATAGTAGCAGTATTTCACACTGGCAGTAACCGATGAGAAACAGTTAAAACTCATTTCCCCCGCAGGTTTTATATTGTGGACTACGTTGTGCTTCTTGGCCTCACAGTTGCGCTGATTATTTCGGAGACCTCAGTACCTTACTCTAGATTCATTTTCCATAGGGACGACTCGGTGAGCTCTGAAGCACTGCCCTGACATGCTGTACTGCCTTGCTCTTCCCCCTTTCACATTGCTGAGATGTGTCGCAGTTACCAGGGCTGCTATTCAGATATGCATTCGCATGCCTCGGAGAGTATGAATCTGAGCTGGAGCCAGTGTGAATGCTGGAGCCGGTGTGTGCCAATCCCGCATGTCTGACTCTGGTGCAGGAATTTTGGAGGTACAGTTACCCGCTGCACAAAGACAGCGTCCCCTCTTGGAGTGTGCCAGTCATTTCTCTGTGTGGGCCGGCCGCAGTCTTTATAGCGTACTTCCACATCGCGGACACCCCGCGGCTGGAGGTGCACAATGCGGTGCTCAATGGCCTTATGTGCGTCATCACCACTGCGCTCATCACCAACCTCGTCAAACTTGGGGTGCGTCTCGTTCCCTGGCTGCGATGCAATGATCATTTCCGCTGTCTCCCTTTTCTTTCTACCATTTGTCATTACTGTTGACAAAACCAGTATTCCTGTGCTGAGGCATGATGTGCTTTGCGCCCTGCTGCTATAATTGAAACATGCTTGTTAACGCTCCTAGGAGGGATTTTGAAAGTTATTGTAGTTTGGCTTTGCACTGGCGGGGCACAAATGGCTTTACTGAGGTTAGATGAAATTGTACTGTTCTGCGTGCATTCAGGTGGGCCGTCCCAGGCCGAACTTCATGATGCAGTGCTGGCCGGACGGCCTTGTCAAGTGGAATGAGGACTCGGGGGAGGCGCTCTGCAGCACCAATGCCATCGATCCAGCAGAGGGCCGGAAGAGCTTCCCCAGCGGTGAGCCTTCACCCCAAAGGTGGCCCTACAGGCTTGTTTCTTGGCATGAGCAAATCATGTGGCGTAGCATGGTCTGGTAGAGAAGCGTATTGGCATTTGAGCAGACTGTATTGCATATCAAGAATCCTAAGTCCTTCTCTCAAGGAGATATCTGCAAACCTGGAGGGAGATTGTTAAGGGCGCGTCCACACTGCCGCAGGGAGAGGGATCTGCAGAGTTTCATGCACATATTCTCAAGACACAAAATTCATTGGATGGAATTGTGAGGTGGCACACGCAGGGCATACATCGTGGAGCACGTCGGGGCTGGGGTACTTGACGTTTTGGCTGGCGGGGAAATTGAGGATCTATGACGGCAGCGGCCACTCCTGGCGGCTGCCGGCATCGCTGGTGCCCCTTGGTGGCGCCGTCTGGATCGGCATCACCCGCCTGCAGGTGACTCTTCCCTCTTTTGACCATGCACACAAATCAACTTTAGTAAGGCAAGTCATGATGGCACCAGTACAATTGGTTGTTTTGTAAGCTCTCTGTTCAGGGCAGCAACTCTCTGGGTGCATGTTTGACTTGCTGAGATGAGATGCTCATAAGGAAAAGGGTTGCAACTTGCACATCTCATCATATTACGGGGAAGCCAGCAGCTTGATGCATTGCAATGTGCACCAGTCTGACATTGACCTTGGTGCCCTGCAGGATTACTGGCACCACTGGGAGGATGTCACGGCGGGCTTTCTATTGGGGCTGGGTCTGGCGTATGCATTCTACCGCCTGAGCTATCCGTCCATATCCAGCCAGAAGGCAGGGGAGCCCATACTACCACTGCTGGAGGCTGGCAGCAATGCAGAGGGAACGCCCCAGAGAGTGCGCTACAATGACCTGGAGGCCGCCACGTCAGCAGAGCCCCAGCAGCTCTGACCCAGGCAGCCGCTGTCACCGCAATAGCACGGGGGACCAGAGACCTAATCATTTGGCTTCACCATTGGCTGTGAGCCTCTGAGATATTGGACATTAAGTTTGGGTGAGCTCTGACATAAAGTGGCACCTAGCACTCTGACAGCGAAGAGCTGAGTTTATGGGTTTTACATAATTTGAACAGCATTTGTGAGAGAGTTGATGTATTGCTACACGTTCCCTGGAGCATTCACCTCCGTTGCTGCAAGCACAATATACATATCCATTCGATCAGCCTCACTGAGGCTGATCGAATCAATATTACATCAGTTTTACATGGTCGGCAGCCTGGCAGGTATGCCATGGCCATGGCCGGCCGGCGCCGTGGCTCTACTGCTGGCAGCCTCTGCAGCTGAGGCTGAGTCAGGCTGTGGAAAGTTGGGTCAATTCAAGACTTAAGGAGCAGCAGAGGAATGTATTGTGCAACTCCTGTGGAATTTCTGAAGCTTTTCCTTCCATGCACGGAGTGTGCACAGTCAGACGTTGGGGGCCTAAAGAGGCATGGAACGGATAGAGCTGATGTGGTATTTCCCCGGAGCCCAAAACCGCCCCCAGCAGACTTTCTGGCTGTTTGCTGTCCTTTGCCTGCATCAAATTTGACAGCTATCTCGGGCACAATTGCAATCTGGGATATCTTGGTAGGTAGTTCTCAAGCTACAAGCGCATTGATCGCATCTAGTTGACGGTCACCGTATTGGGACTGTGACAGCTCTTTCTGGGGACCACGACCATGGGCAAGAAGAGTGCTCAGATTCGCAACAAAGTGACGTCTAGTCCTACTGCTAACTCTAATGAAGCGGAGGTACGCATTTTTGCGAGTTCGCAGCCTTCTCTGGAGTGTTTTCCCAGCCCTAGACAACTACGTAGTTTACTAGTGACCTTTTCTTTGGCTGCCAGAAAAAGTAAAGGATCTCTTCTGATACAAAGCAGAAATAACTCGTTATTATTATATTATAACACCATCACGATATATAAATGATGAACGAGTTTTACAGTATCGTCGTGGCTCACTAGTTCGTCAGCTTTTGGGATGCTGTCTTAAAGCAATGATCTTTTACCGCGCATGGATACTGCATGGAATGTATCGTGGTTTGTAATGCAAATTGAGGCTTTCGTGGTAGTAATTCAAATCTTTTTGTAATCCTCGTCACTTTTCTCTTAGACAAGAAGCTGAGGACGGTGTCTTCTGAAATAACAATCTGTTACCTCTTGGTAAGTGCATCGTCAAACTCATTGAGGAGTGGCTATTTTAAATCGCACTCAACCGTAATCGAGGCTCATGCTGTCTTCACAGGCGGGGTCTCCCGAGATGCTGAAATTGAAGGATGAGGGCAACCGCCTTTTTGGCCGGAAGGAGTACCAGAAGGCGTTGGAGGCCTACGATCGTGCACTGAAGGTTGCCAATGTCGAGACCAAAGACGACATTGCCCTGCTGCACAGCAACAAGGCTGCCTGCTACATGATGTTCCAGAGGTAAGCTGCAGGTTCTTTTGTGAACCCTTCACTAGTATCTTACACCATCATCTCATCCAAACAATGATATGTGCAGATCATACATCATCACATCAGTAGAAAACAACGGGCAGCTTGGTTGAACGCTGTTTTGTGCTGTATTTTTCTCCTGCACGGGGTCATTGCTCTGGTGCGTCGCAAGATGCCACGATGGAAGCCTGAACATGAAGCATGAATTGCTGCGACATATCATTCATTGCATTTATGGCAACAGGTACAAGGAAGCTGTCAACGAGTGCTCATCAGCGCTAGATGCAGTGCCCGCCTATCACAAGGCCCTAGTGAGGCGCGCTAAGGCCTACGAGCAGATGGGGCACTTCAAACAGGCTCTTTCAGACATCCAGAAGGCCAACAAAACAGACACAGCCAACCCCGAGATCCAGGTGTGCCTTCCAAAACTGCCCCACAGACAGCAACATACTAGGCATGGGAGGACTTTGCTTTTGCTAGAATCCTGTACTTAGTGGTTCTCTTGTAGGTCCACAAGGGTAGCTCTCGTGCTCTAGCAGATGCCATGGCTTGACATGCATAAGCTCAAGCCATGCATGACAGTGCTTCCGATGGGCAGAGTCGCTCCTCAAACTAGATTGGGTGCAGCTTGCTGAACATGCATGCCTGCTTGCTGTGCACAGGAGTCGGAGAAGCGGTTGCGAGACATTGTGACAGGGAAGAGGCAGGGCGGTGTCCTGGCTGCGAACGGAACAGCAGGCAGGAAGCTTGGAAAGCAGCGCCAGCAGCTGTTGGTGTTCACAGTGAGTGCACTCACTCGCCCATACAATGGATTGCCTCCCCTGCAACTGGTGTTTGCATGCTATTGCATCTAAATCTGCTCTCCCGGACACATGCATGCATTATGTCAGGGAGCAGAATTTGCTTGTAGTGCACTCTTGCAGAGGCATGCATGCATGGGATCAGGATTTAGAATTGAATCTAGGTCACTCCTTCAGAGGTACGCATGCACTGGGTCAGGAAGCAGGGAGTGGAAGCTGTACACTCTATCGGAGGCTGACATGCATGGTGTCGTGAAGCAAGGCTAGGAGCTACTGCACCCTTCCTGAGACATGCATGCATGGTGTCAGCACGGGATTTGGGGCTTCGTATGCAAGGCATCTGACACTCACAATGGCTTGTGCGTGTGCAGGGGAAGGTGTCTTTTGAGAATGAGACGAGGGTGATCCACCTGCCCAACACGCTCACATACGCAGAGCTGCTGGAGCTAGTGAAGAACAAGTTCCCCAGCGCGTGGCCCTTCCAGGTCAAGTTCCTCGACCGGTGAGGCCCCCACTCCCTTCTTCTCATTGTCTTCTTCCAAGCAGAGTCTCTTTCCCTCTGCATTGGACTCTGGGCAACTTGGTGGCATTTCCAATATAACGACAGTTAAACCTCTGCCTTGAAAAAATTCAAGGCAGCCGGTCACCTCTTCGCATCCTGCCTGAAGGCAGTGCACACACAGCAAAAGTGTCATAAATTTGGATGCATAAGGACATTCAGTGAATGAAATGATGAAGCAAACGAGCCGTCAGGTGTGCACCGTGTGCTGCGCAGGGAGGCGGACCTGATCACGGTCACAGACAAGGCGGACCTGCAGCATGCGATGAACGACGCGATGGAGGCGGCCGAGCGCAGCGCATCGCTCCCGGGGCACGGCACGCGGGGCCTGCCCCTGCAGTCCCTCCTCGCCGGCCACCCCGTCAAGCTGCAGCTCGTGCGCTGCAAAGAGGTGCGCCCCAAGCCGCTCTCTGTTGCCCTGTGACCAATGCAGACTTCTCTCTTCTTGATGCGGTGAGAGAAATTCGCTGCATGGTTTCATTGGTGGGATGATTGTGACACCCGTCAGAAGGAAGTTTGGGCAGTCATGAGACATTACTGGTCGGCGGCCAGAATGTAGTTGCTACTGTATTCTGCATGCATGCCCAGCTTTTCGCAATTTCTCTAGTGACCATGCAGGAAATATGGGTCATGCTGATTGAAGTGCAATGCTTTGTCTGCTAATCCTACAAGCCTTCCATGCACAATCCCTGTAGAATTCTAGAAAGCTCGAGACACAAAATGTCGAGAGGCACTCACAAGGGGAATAAAGTTGATCTAATATCACCAGCGGTGGCTTTAAGCCCTTTTCCCAAAAGAAACAGGCATGCCTTGTTGACATCATGTGTGCGGTGGCAGTCCATGCCTTGTCAACAGCGTGTCTTGTGGTGGTGCAAGACGGCAGTGCATGTAATGCTGACAGCGTGCATGCTGCTTCCATAGGAGGAGGTGCCGAAGCCCCCCCAGGAGGAGGAGTACATGCTGGCGCAGCTGAACGAGATGCGGCGCCAGCTGCAGGCCCAGCAGCTGGCGGCCGCGCAGAAGAAGGCGGCCGAGTCTAGCGCGGCAGCGCAGCAACAGCAGCAGGAGACGTTCGAAATCGACCAGTGGATTGTGGACTTTGCGCAGCTGTTCCGGGAGCAGCTGGGCGTTGACCCCGACAAGCACCTCGACCTCACCAACATCGCCTGGGAGAAGCTGCAGGCGCGCACCAGCACTCGTCGCCATTATCCAAGTCAAACTGCATCTCTTTGCCCTCATACTCCCGTGGAGGCCATAGTTCAACCAACCCTGGAGCTCCTCGCAAGGGACCAGGATGGAATTGATATTGTGACTCCTCGGAGCTATTGGCAGTGCCAGAGAAATACCCATGCCGCTCTAGAAGGCGTCCGCCCAAGGGGCACCTTTATGCATTCCTGAAGTATTATGTGTTAGGGGCAGTCAACCCTCGGCTGTGGGCATAATACCGACCACAATGTGTTTTGCACCAAAGGCAAGTCAGTGTGCCCAGTAGTATATCCTTGGCAAAGGCTGTTTGTCCACTAGAACTCTGCAGTATTATTCCAGGCCTTGAATGGATCCAAGGACATGCAAGAATGTGGAATCAGGTGATACTATTGCAGCTTGCAGTGTCTGTTCTCATGTGGTGTGGTGCTGGAAACAGGCGGCGCTGGACACGGCGGTGCAGAGCGACAAGGCACCCGCGCTCTTTGACGGGGCAGCCGACAAGTTCCAGGAGGTCTCAGCGCACGGTGCGCTCACATTATGCGTGTTGCTTGTCAGCTGAGAGTTTCACAGAGACATCGCATGCAGTAATAGATGCAGGGTTGCACAAAGTAGCAGAACAAGGCGTGCTTTTGTCGTCTGACAATGTCTGCAGAATGTTGTGATCTCGCTATGTAGACTCTTATGAGTTGGCATTCTTCTTGGTGCAAACCTGGTTATTTTGCAAAGATTCTGCAGGCATTGTCAGGTACCGGAAGCGAGCGCTGTTAGCTTCTTTGGGTGTGTCATGCATGAGTTACACAATCGCGACACAGCACAGCTAGCCGACTGCAGCTGTTGCTGATAATTTATTGGATGTTCTTGCCTGCAGGCATGCTGCAGTGGGGCAACGTGTTCTTCTGCATGGGCAAGCGCACCATCGACAAGGCCGCAGCCGCCGGCCAAAACGTTTCCGAGGTGTGCTCTTCTGGTTTACCTCCGCCCGCTTGTGCAAGCAATCATACCTCCCTGACCCATCCACAGACTGCAGCTGGCCGAACGCGGCCACAGGCTAGCTGTCTACCAAGTGTAAGCTGATTGATGGCTGATGGGCAATGGCATTTGCATGCTCGGAAATGATCTGCGAGGGCGCAAAGACTGCCTTGGGGCAGTCTACACCTGCAGTGCAATTTCAGATCGTGCATTTTCCACATGCACGCAAATCAGCTGTCACTGTGAGCTTTGCTTGGATGTTATAAAAATTTGTGCATTTTTAAAATTTTCTGTCAATGTGTGCATATCCAATTTGTAAGCGTGGAATAATGGGCGGTGTTTGCCTGCCGCAGGTGGCGGAGGAGGCGGAGGCGGATTTTGCGAGGGCGCAGGAGAAGTACGAGGAGAGCCGGCGCATCAAGTCGGACTACTACGACGCCTACGTCAGCCTGGGCAACCTTGACTTTGAGCGCGGCAAGCTCGCCCTTGGCCTCGCCGTCCCGCCCCCACAGTGCGCCCCAACCTCCCTGCAATTCCTCATCCTCAACCCTGTAGTTCCTCAGACGATTATCATCACGATGGCATTATTGGCATGGCTCTGTCAGTTATTGTCAAGATACAGCAACAATGGGAAATCTCCTGACATGACAATCTTTGTCACGGTACAGAAGTACTAATGGGTATCATTATCAAAGCATTGGCTGGGGCTGCTGCCTTGTTTCAGTGATGGTGGCTGAGTAGCATCTCAGCATGGTTGGCCCAGCAGTTAGCTGCTAATCATTTGTGAGCACTGCAGAAAAGGCTGCAGCAGTCCTGTGCCAGACCCTTGATCACATTTCCTGGGCGCAATGCAGGCCTGCGGAGGAGCCGGCTGAGGGAGCTGAGAAGAAGAGCGAGGCGGAGGTGCAAGCCGCACAGGAGGCCGCCAACAAGCAGCAGCAGGCCGCCCTCAAGGCCGCCCTCGCCAAGATCACGGTGCGCAGCCATCGGCTTCATCCCCACACCGGGCTGAGTTTTGCAGGCTTGGGACCTGCACGTTTTCTGTGCATGCCCTGATTGGCAAACAACATAGTCTCATGCTTGTACTCTTTGGTTGTGGCGCCATGCCAGGTCCATGTAATTGTGTCCAGGTCCATGTATTTGCGTCAATGATTACCGAGAGAAGTGCGTTCTGGTCATCCTTGGGGAGGCTGTGGGTCATTTACTTGTGGGGCCCCATCCTTCTGACGACATTTTGCTGGGAAAGATGGTCTGGGCAGGGGTCAATGAGCAGATGTGTTCCCTTGAGTAGGCATAGAATGTCAGGGCAGCACGATGTAAGGGTGGGTGACGTTTTTGTGCAGGATGCGAAGCTGAAGGCTGCGCAGCCGTACTTTGAGCGCACGTGGGCCAAGTTCCAGGAGGCGCTGGACCAGCTGCCCGAGGCAGACAAGGGCAAGAAGCTCAAGCCCGTCCAGGTGTGTTTACCTTGCTTGTTTGCTCGCTACAAATGTTCTCTGCCCCAATCTGCCCCAGTATCTTCCCTGCACAAAGACTTCTCTCATTGAGGCTACTTGAAAGATGCTTTACAATTCTCACCTCTGCAGCCCAAAGCAAAGAGTGTCAATCGACAATCTGAGAGATGTCTCTTTGGAAGATACAACAGAAAGAGCATGCAGCATTCTCACTCATTGGGAGTCGACTGAGGTTGTGACATTAACAAGCTACATAATGCAGGGCTCCTCGTTGCTCCTCGTTGACCAGCTGATCCTAACTTGCATCAAATGATTGTCCCAGGGGTCTGGAGGACAGGTGTGGCTGGGGCTGTTTGTCCAGGCCTTCTCTGCAGTTGAAGTACTAAACTCAAACGCTGAGCCAGCGGTGCATCCCCCCGTGCAGGAGGGGCAGCCAGTGGAGGACGAGAACAACCCGTGGGCGCACTGCATGGTGATGTGGGGCAACTTGCTGTACGAGGCCAGCCAGATGTACGCCGCCGCCGGTCGCGCCGACTGGAAGGCAACGCTCGACCAGGCCGTCGACAACTTCCGCGCTGCCGGCTGCCCCGAGAACGACATCCGCGCCGCTCTGGGCAACCACACCCAGGTCGAGCACTTGGACCTGCCCCCCATCAAGGTTGGTGCTGCCCCTCCCTTTATGCCTCACCTACAAACCGCACCTGTATCCTGTGGACCCATAGCTCCAAATCAAAAGCTTTGATCTGGTGGAGGAACTACATCTAGCGGCGGGACACATTCCTGTATCCCAAAGCTTGTGTTGGTGTGGCTGTCTGAAGCATTCTGTGGTGGACCTCTTAAGTACACAGATTCACAGATTGCATGGATCTAATCCATGCCGATCGCCCATTGAGCATCATGTGCAAGTATGTGACCCATCTGAGGGCGCAACGCATTCATGGTTGGCCTGCTTCGATGTGATACTCAAAGACCGTCTGGGCATTGGGTGGGATCCCACAGGAGCTGCTGACACCAACGTCTCTGGTGAAGCTTTACAAAGCCAGTGGTTGGCATCTTGCATGGCTGATGTGTCGTCTGTTTCCACAGGAGCCCGAGAAGGCCAAGCCGGCGGCGGAGGAGGCGAATGGCAAGGCCGAGGAGGAGGCGCCTAAGGGCGGCCTGCCAGCTCTCGGCCCCAAGCCCAAGAAGAAATCCGCGGCCGCCGCGCCATCCGAGCCGGCCAAGCAGGCCGAGGCCTGAGGGCCTTCCTTTTTGCCATCAGTGTGACTGTCAGCACAGGGTGTGAGGGGACGCCGTTCTCTCATCACATCCTTCTACGTGCTGAGTTACAGTCACATGGGAGCAGCTGGCCTGCTTCTTAGCGCAGCATGGCAGAAGTGCACCGTGGCCCAGGCTGGGCTTGGCCTTGGCCCCTGGGGTATGGAGGAAGGATGTGCTGGTTGCGCCAGTAGAAGGAATGAGCGTTGGTTGGAAAAGGAGGGTTGGATAGGAACATGGCAGGAGCAATCTTGCCAGTGAGACTTAAAGTAGGTGGCAACAGCGGGCTGTTGTGTGGGCCAAACATGCAGTAATCTAGCTCAGTTGAGTGCAGTGCAGCCATCCGCAGCCTGGCAGCGAGGCTTGCACGCTTGCCAGCAGCCATATGACTTCACACATCCAGCAAAGATATCGGCGTGAACTGTCTATTGATGCTGGTAATCAAGTTGCTGTCGTGCGAGAGCATGTCGCCAGCTAGCTTGCTGTGATGATGTGATCATCTTAGATGCAACAGCAGCTGAGCGCCTTAGCGGAGCAATTTCGAGTGCTATCTCTGCAATTGCCTTATTTGAGGGTCTCAAGATCAAGAAGCTGTCTTTCTAGGGGCTGGCCTTCACTTCGCATATTGATTTCGCGGTTTTGAGAGGGGGCTCATGAGAGAGAGTGCTTGTAGCGAAGCAGAAGTCAATCTAATACTGCTGCAGGTCTGCAGATCTGCACACAAGTGTTAGTGGAGACAGGCATCAGCTTATCATGTATAGATTTAAACATGTCGCAACCAATTGGCAAGAGGTTTCAGAAGTGTCCTATGGGATATTATTTCAGCAAGACTTTGCAGACCAGTATACTTTGGCTGTCATGGGTCATGGCGAGCTCTCACTGCTATGTAGTGACAATGCAGCAATTGCGCCATCTCGTTCTGAGCGCGCTGCAGCCTGCAAATTAGCTGAGTGGCAAATTGTGGTTGAAGGAGTGATGCACATCGGCCTGATCTAAGATCATGCACGTGATGTGGGTCTGTTCTTGGCTTGTAAGTATAACTTCCCAGACGTAGCCTACAGGCCATTTAATATCAATCCAGAGCAAAGGATCCTCTCCGAAACTCTCTCAAACAACATGCTATACAAGGACAGCATGCAAGGAAGGAAGGATGGAAGGCCTTCCTAGGAAGGTAGGGATGTTACACATCATCCAGCCACCTGGGGCTAATAAGATGTACCAAGAGCATCCAGATGACAAAACTTTCATGACAATATGCAAAGACAGACGAGACACAGGCAGCTTCTTGTGCCAGCACCATCAGTCACCCCTTCCGGAACTGCCTGTTTCGGAACCCTGAGGATCGAATGTGCATCGGACTGAGCAAGGACTCTAGTGAATAAAGTATCTTCTTCGTTCTGCGCAACAAAACTACTGATAGTAGCAGGATATGCCCAAGAACCAGCCGCTCAGGAAGATCTGTTGAGAGATCGTCGTTACTCACTTCACCGAAAATGGCAGGGTGGTTCGGGAATCAGTCGCAGTACCCTCAGGCAGGCTTCTTGATCCCACAAAAACGCCCTTGCACCTCCAGCTTATCTTTCTGTTCTCCTCTTGGCAACGTTTTGTTCGCCATCGCGCCCTGCATGCCAACGTCACCAAGACGCGACAGTGCGCACCATGCAGCGTCCAGCAATTCAATTCTCAAATTGATTCTTTGTACAATCTTTCATTGATCGGATTTATGTCTCGGCGGTGGCATTGCTTGAGGCACGGCAGGGCAAAAAGTGAAGCACATGAATAATTTGCATTGGACTGATCTCACACCAACCAGCCGCGTATGCACAGAGACTCTGTGAAGGGCTGAAAAGCTGCAGCTGCAGCAGATACGTCTTATATTGCAGCAAACAACAACGACTTCCTCATCTCCTTTGGATGCTCTTGCTTGGCTCATCTGGATCGGCTGCTGCCACGCAGGGGCAGTGGGGGTCAAACATGGTGAACAGGGTGACGCAGTCACTGGGCATGGCGAGCGTGTCTCAGCCCTCAGATCCTCTGGAGTATGCAGCGCAAGGCCGGGGAATGCTCACTTACCATGTCGGCGGCGTTGATCTGGACGGAGAGGCCTTCAGGAAATTCTGGGTCGCAGCTCACAAGAACAAAGCCGTGGACGGTGCGATGCCACTTAGCGTTTGACACACTCACTTCCAGACCGCCTGATAATAGTCTTGGGTTAACATTGAAGATGCAGTTTGTGCTCTTGCATGGCATTATCTGTAGGGAGACCTTCTCATGTGTCTGCCTTTTGCTAACAGTCAGACAGGCACTCTATGCAGCTCCTCAATATTCAATAAGGGCATCTGAAATGGTGTTGTGAAATATAAACAGCCCTGAGTTGCCTGAGGCTTGGCAGTACATTGCAAGCAGACCCAGGACAGTGAATGAAGTACGGTGTGCGCTGACGGCATGCAGGCATAAGGATTCCTCCCGGCGAGTATCACATAAAGCCGCCCGAGGATGGGAGCAAGTATGGGGCCCACCTCTACCTGGCCTGCAACGAGGATGGGGACGACCGCACCTCACCCTTTGTCCTGGACCTCAGCAACACCTTCCTATGGCTCACGGTGCTTTGTTGCCTCCACTTTCACTTTTCTCTCATTGCATCCTCATCTGAGGAGTGCCGGCGAGTGAGGCAGGAACCGTCATGCACCAGCATAGTTTTACTTGGCTGCGATCCCACTGCCGTTGGCAGAGCAACATTCCCTGTGCCTTCGATCTACATGATTCCTGTGCAAAAGCATGGTTTCTTCGAGAGGTCGTGACAAGAAGCACACACATCGAAGCCCCTTGTAGTAGAATCAGCGCATTTGTAGACGCCAGGGGGACATGTTGATATAGGAATTGATTCATGCAGCATGAGCGCAGTGTGCATAGCTGAGAGGGATGTTGGTTGTGCAGAGCAAGGACCAGGGTGCCATTTCCATAGACAATGGGGAGAATGTTGAGCTGCGGGGGCCCTTTGCCGTTTGCAACAACCTGGACAGCTGGAGCTTTGCGCAAGCCACGCTGGTGTCCTTCAACGAGGAAAAGCTAGAGTGGATCGTCCATGTGCGTCCCTTCGTCCCTGCATCATTGTCCCTGCATCATTAGTAGAATCTAACATCATGCAGTGAGAACTTAATCTAATGTTAGACCTCCACATCAGGCTCACGCCAAAATCTTCAATTAAAATTGTGGTATGCCCCATCTCGAATTTGTGCTCATGGCCGGGAATCCCAAGGCATGTGCGCTCCTGGATCATGCTTTATATAAGGCCAAGGCCCTATCCGGTATTTGCAAACTTGCACCTGCAAATTCTTTCCTCAGACCACTAGACTTGCCAAAGGAAAGTAATTGAAGTTTGCATCATATGGACCAGTGAGATTGTTGAATTGTCGCAAGTGTCAGGTCTGAGCTCTGTTCCAAAAGAACGGGCTTTCCACGCTTGTCAGGGCAGATGCGAGTTCAACTTCCTGCCCTGTATTTTGTTTTTCTGTCTTGTTTTGCTTATTGTTGTCATTCATGCCAATTCTTTGGCAATAGGATCCTTCCAAGTTGCCAGGCTGGCCACAAAATTTCTGCTCAAAGTTTATTGTTTGTTTCTTGTTTCTTTGGCAGGTCCAGGGGCTACAAGATGGTGACAAGCCTGAATGCCTCATGCCCGCTGTGCATGCATTTTTGTCAAGGGTGTTTGCGTCGCACGCAGGGGCACGACGGCTACCCTAACGACAGGGTATTTTTAAAGGACGGGTCCGTAAATGCCATCATTTGGGACCCGGCCACGCGGCTCATGAAGGATCCGGACGTGCACGATTTTGGCACGCGCAGTGTGGAGAAAATTGGGCCGAACCAGTACAAATTCACGCTCAGCCACACACAAGACTACAACGTTCGGCCCGGCGATTACATCACGGTGAGCCGCCGTGCCCCCCTGCGGCCGCTGTGCCTGGGAAAGCACTGAATTAGCAGCTGGGCTTTGAATTGGTTCTTTTTGCTTCTTGCGCTCTGATTGCCCCTGCAAAGCTACACTCTGTGAGGCCTGTCAGGCATCCATGAGTGTGATCCTGCCTCGGCCGAGTGCCTCAGAGCTGGCAGTTTTTCGCAGCATGCTAGCATGGGGTAATCAACTTACTGCATTCTGCCCGCAGCTATGCAACCAGCAGGGTAAAGATAATTAATCATCCAGCACGGGCATCTGGGCATCGCAAGCACTGTCTTGCATGACTGGCAAAATGTCTCCAGGCGCGCTCTGCGGACGGCTGCTCGGCTATCAACTTGGAGTGCTGCAAGCGCTGCACGGTGCACGCTGCCACCATCCACACCGCCTCATGCTTCGGCTTCTACGACGCCTTTGGGACCGCCAACGTGTACAGGTCAGCTCTCCCTTTCTGAAGAATCTTGAAATTTCTGGGGTCCCGGATTTTGACAGGAGCAGAATTCCTTGCATTCAGCGACTCAGAAGCTGGCACAGCTGCGAGCCTGCAAAGAAGCTGGACAAGAATGCATTGCGCTGCATTATCCTCACAGTGCAATTGGAAAACACCGGTGTGCCGGTGGCATTACAGTGCCATCCGCTTTCAGTAGATATTCCCCAGGCTGCACCAGGGCGTGTATTGCCTTGTCTTATTCCCACTTGCATGCTTATAGCGGTAGACTCTGCTCCAGGGACTGTTTCCTGCTGCCGTACCCGCGCCCGATCGGCAATGACGGCCAGCTGCCTCTGCTGTCCACCAACGCTGACGGCATCCATGCCACCGACAACGCAGAGGGCCCGCGCCTCATCAACTGCTTCTTCGGCGGCCTCGGTGCGCTCCTGCCTCCTGTCATGTTCGCATCAACAAATGAGGTTCCAAACGGATTGAGCAACGCCTTTCAATATTTGCACTGCTGCACCCTTCCGCTGCACATCGAGTTGGCCATTTCCTGCAGCACTCAAGCCACACACCGTGGGGCTGGAATATTCCCGAGGATTCTGTTCTGCAGGGTCAGCTCTGCAAGAGGTGAACATGGTTGATGCCTGTAGGCAGTACATGACCATCGCTTGAGGTTTGTGCTGGTCCTTGCAGGTGATGATGCCATCGCTGTCACTGGGCACTTCTCACCTGTGGCAACAGCCTGCCCAGAGGAGAAGTACATCATTGTCTTGCAGGTGACCAAACACTGTTACAGCTGCTTGTCTACCTAATATCCGGCAAATACCCCACAAACTGCTGAAAGTTACATAGGAGCCTTGTTGCCAGCTCACCTACTGAGAGCCCTATATTGCATGCATCACAGCTCGTCCAGCATCTTTTGAGCACATAGCATTTTGTTCAACGCAATGATACTGCGTAGGTGAGGCGGTACATGAAGGCAGACAAGGGGGAGCCTGTGCAGGCGTACTCTGTCGAGGGTGCATCCCTGGGCACCGCCACAATTGCAAGTGTGGAGGAGTGCGACAACCCCTTGCCCGGGGGCACCAAGCTGCCAAACTTCTGCATCGACGACGGCGACAAGCAGTACTGCACCAAGGTGGGTTTTTTGTGCCAATCACCCAGTTTTGCACAATATTTGTGTGCCTAGGAGGCGAGCGTGCAAATCACCCAATTGTGCACCATCTTTGTGAGCCTAGGAGGCGAGCAGAGGAAGGTTGCAGACATCTTGCTTGAGAACATCTCTGGCATGCATCTGTTTTAGAGGCACAAGAGTGCTCCAAGCGCGCTCTGCAGATTAGCAAGGGGGTGGCCTTAGGGGCGTTTGGGGGCCTGGCCTGGCACCAGCCGACAACTGCAGCACTTCTGCAGCGGCCGCCTGGCCCCGAGCATCCTGACCCTCAATACTGCTTGCATTGTTTGACATGACAACAGCATCACCGATCATGAGAAGACAGCCGGTTTCCTTGGACAGGACAGCAGCAGTGGTGAGAGCAGTCGCGGGGAGTTGAAACGCGCTATGGCTATGGCGCTATGGCTATGGTATCAGCATGACCCGTCATGACAGCAGTGGCGGGGAATGAGAATGCGCGCGAGTGTATCTGCGCAGATAACTGTGGAGGAGTGGCCGGAGTCGTGGGGTGGCATTGGGCAGGGGTGCGGGGTGCAGTACCCGACCTGGTGCGGCAACGGGTACCAGGCGGTCGGCTGCCGCGTCTTCAACACGCGCGGCCGCGCCGTCCTGGCCAAGGGCAGCCGCGGCCTCATCGCCGACAACACATTCACCCACCTCAAGGGTGTGTGCATGCATTAAACCTGCCATGGAATCTATTAATCACTGCATGCAGGGGGATATTCTGCCTGGAGTGGGTTTTGTAGGGGCATTCCACCCCTGTAGGTTTGTTTCTTGATGTTGTGTGATGCGCTTGAGAGGGAGAAGAAAAACAAGACCACCTTCTTCAAATGCAGTTGCTTGTGATGAATCTTATGTGGAGATGCTTCTGCACATGAGAAAGCTCTTGAGCTGAGTCGTCCAAGATTGATGTCACCGATAATGTCCAATGCTGGGTCAAGCATTGAAAATCCCAATCCTTGGTTTTTGCTTGGACTGGCCTGATTGAGCAATACCTTGTATTTTCAAGTCAGGGGTCAATCAAGCTTATTACCAAGGTGAAAGGATGGAGCTGTCCTTGTGTGTTGCAGGCGCGGGAGTGCAGCTGACACCAGAGTACAACTGCCTGGAGGCGGGCTTTGTGTGCGACGTTACCGTGCGCAACAACACAATCGATTCTCTCGCGCCCGGCATTTGGGTTGGAGGCAGCACAACCGCCGAGGGAGACTCGCCGCCCGCGCCATTCCACCACAACCGCAACATTGTCATTGAGAACAATGTCATCAGCCACTCCTGGAAGACCCCCTTCATTGTCACCAGCTCTGAAAATGTCACGGTGCGCCGCCCGCGCATGCATAAAGCACCCAGTGCGATGTCTCCCTGGTATTTATTGCACTCGTTTTGAGGTTATTTGTCCTCTGAGTTGTCCTTCGCAAAGGTTTTCCAGCTGCTCTGGCTTGTTTGTGGCGAGAAAGCGACCAGGCAAGGACAAAACGGCGGAATGTCTGGGACAATCAGTCTAAGCGATAATAATGGGTTCTTCTGTGGATGATCTTCCCTGGTGCAATGAAGGGTGTCCTACAGCACAGAGCAGTCTGAGCAGCATCCAGGCAGAGTAAACGCATCTGAGGTTGGTCTGCCAGTAAGCAAGCATTCATGCACTTTTCAGGTGCGCGGCAACACGTTTCGCAACTGCCTGCCGAGGCGGACGGACGTGGAGTGGGACACACGCATCCACAGCTGGGAGGTGGACGCCAAGCTCATGCTCTTCAAGCACGTCAAGCAGCTCACCCTTGGTGGCAACAGGTGCTCATGTCACCCACCACTGCCCTTCCTTCACTTTGTGCCCGTTACAGAGAGAGGCATCTGTCTCTTACTTGCTTTGCTCTGTTGCTCTCTGAGGTCTGCAATGTTTTTCCGCAAAAGCAGCAGCAGAAGGCTGTTGCATACATTCATGCTCGGTCATGGATTGTCCAAGCGGGTGTCGGCTTTTTTGCTATTCAAGGTTGCATATGCCATGTGCAGATTCGTGAAGGACGAGCCGCGGGACTTCAGGGGCAATTATGAGGACCCGATGGAGTTTGATGACTGCAGCGATGTTGTGCACGAGCCGGACACAAACACATGCTACAATCCCGCTTACCCCTATCCCACCTACCCCACAAGCACATCCTGAATCCTGCGCTGAAAGGTACAGAGTGTGTAGCTCAGGCCGCTGCAACTATTTCACCAAGTATTTATTTGATGTTTGACAGCATCTCTTTGCTGAACCCCTTATTGCCAGAGGCGAATTTGTATTATAGCTTTTAGTGGTACATTCCTCAAGAGCTTGATATGTTTTTACTGTTGAGGGCAGGCGTATGGGATCTCACTTTTGCCTTTAGAGGGACACACATGCAGGCATGCATGGTATCAGACAGAAGTGATGTTTACTCTTTATGCTTGCAATGTTAGGTGCCTTGCATTCTCTTCTACAGTTGAAATAGGCTCATTGGCGTCTTCCTTGAAGGTGAGTCACTCATGTGTTTTGATGAGAAGGCAGGGATGATCAAGCGTTTCATTTAACGCTGATCTGTTAGTAGCAGTGATAGCTGCTGCCATGATAGCTGTCATGCTGTTGTAAGCACTTAATCCCATTCCAGCATGTCCTGTCAAAACCAGGAGCAGCAAATGCGCCTGTTCCTGATTCACACTCTACAATGAACGCCGCTCAGTGGTCAATTGACCAAGAGCGCAATGTCTCTGCCTGCGTCAGTCTCAAGAATCTTTCCACACGCCGGACACGACATGAGCCACATTGTAATGCATCCTTGCAGCAGCTGCTGTACAGATTTCCGCTCCCAAAAACTTGGCGCAAAAGTAGTAAGCTCTATTTGCCCTTGCATAGCTGCCATCCAGACTATATATCCCCTCGTTCAACCTGAAAGACCACTCAGTCAATCATGGCTCGCCGGGAGGCAGGCCGGTATCCTCATAAACATACGCCCGGCACACCGCATGGATCGGCGAGAGCCACACGATGTGCTTCAGGAATGCAGACTCCACCGGAACCACGTGCTTGATCTCCCAGCCGTCCGCCGCCGCGATGACAAAGTGCACGAAGACCTCGGTGACAAACTTGGGCTTCACCACCACCTTGATGTGGTGCTTCAGCGCGTTCTTATCGCGAATCCTGTGGCGCTCGAAGAAGCTGCCTGTAGTGGTTGCCGGGCAGTTCTTGGGGTAAGCATACGCCGCAAACTCCAGTGACGCCACCTGTCAAGTATGCACATATATTCTCAAACTTTCCTCCACCTCAGGCGTATCGCGCCATGATTATACGCGCCGACTTTGCACAATGGCAGCTCTTTGCCGGGCACCATCAATGCTGCCGAACTCCAAAGTACACCCTGCCAATTCAATCAGGTGGCAAGAGCTTGCATCAGCAAAGTGCAGGGCAGCTATGGAGCATGCATGAGGCAGTCCCTGTTGGGAAACCGTCGAAATCCCAACAGAATTCAAAGACAGAGTCAAAGGACGCTGGGGCGCACCTTAGAGGGGAAGGTCTGGCGCAAAAATTGTGGCAGAGGCACGGGCTTCTTTCGGCCCATGGTGGTCATGTTGATGGAGATGAATTCGTCCACGTCAAACAGCATCGCGTAGTCGTAAGCATACTTGCTGCGCAGCAGGCACTCGTTGTACATTAGCACCTGCACGCAAGCACTATTCACTCAGCACTCCTGCTTTCAACAACAGCTTTTTGGGACAGCAGGCTCGCTGGTTGCCGTTCAGAGCTAAAATCCCTTTGAAAGGTCCACACATTTAAAGACTAAATTTCTGCAAAGAACTGCATAGTGCTAGCAGGCCAATCGGAGCATCCTTCCCATGCCAAACCAAACCAGCTCCCACAACTTGAGTCCTTTTCCATTTTGTCCAAGGTGCAGATTGCCACTTTCAAAGGTAAGTGAAGTCTCTGAACGCAACAGTCCTGATGCAACCTTACACAGCATGCCTGCATATCTCCTGGAGCGAGCAAGTTACACATGTTAACTCCTAGCAATCAAGATTTCCAAGAAGGAAATGCCGGGATGGGGGCGCGACAGTTGGCACGCGCCTGGCCGAAGTAGTTTTCCCGGTTGGAGGGCGAGTAGTGGTGCCAGTGCACGAGCGGGTGGTCAAAGGGGTGAAACGGGTCTGTGTGCGTCTCGCCCATCCGGAAATTGAATCCGCGCACAGTCATCCACACCTCGTGCGGCTCATCATAATGCACCGGCTCATGCGCGTGCAGCGTCGGCACGTACATGTGGAACCGCGATACTCCCAGCTGCATGCATGCAAAATTCAAGAGATTCCCCGGAGACTCTCGTTGTTATGTTATGTTATATTATCCCACGGTGTTCCTGACAGGAGGCAAGGTGCGTGTGCAGGCAAGCTGCAGGTAAAGGCTGCCACATATCCTCCCGTTACTGGGTTTGCCAGATCCCAGCAAGAGACCAAAACCCCACGGGTGCAGTGCTCGGTATTGGGACCACTCCCCGCTAGGCGGGGCTAAGTAGAATACCAGGTTTGAATAGCCTCAGAATGTTGCTCCTGAAGAGTGGAAGCAGTGGAAGCAGGACTTCGGGTGTAACAGCACAACACATGCAAATGACTAGCAGACTAACGACGCTCGTTCAGAGAGCGTCTATCCAATTTTTTGATATATAGATGAGGACTGAAAGACAGGCAGGGAGGGACAGGCTGACCTGCGTGTAGTAGTACAGCCAGTGGTGGATGTCCGGCCGTAGTGAGAAGAGTGGCGCCACACATGCCACCACCGCTCCAGCACGCTCCGTAGGCACATCCTCCACCTGTGTCAGTGACTACTTCATCAGGTAACAATGATCATCAGCGCTGCAGTCAGTCACTGCTGCACCCATACCTGCACTGCATCTGTGCTGTATGGATGTGTCTGTTTGACCAAATGATCACAAGAGCCTTTGGCCCCAGAAGGTCAGCATCTCTCCCAGCTTTACTGTATTTGAAATACCGACTTGCCACCAAGCCAACGCACTCGGCGTTATGCGACATTTCCCAGCCCGTAATGAAGAAACCAGACAGAAAGCCGCAATGAAATGGTGGAGGGATGGGCAGACCTACCCTGACAATCTGCTGGTGCACGTGCCCCGACTTCAGCTGCACCTTGACAAACTTGACCTCCTCATCCTCCGTATTGCAGTCCACCCAGGAGTTGCCTGGGGGCGCCATCTGCCTGATCTGCACACGTCATCCCACTCGCCATATTAGAATCGTTCCGCTCCCCAATTTGTTCTTGCAAATGATGGGCTGCTTTGCACAGGTCTTCACACTGCATAGATTGGCATGCGAGCAAGCAGTGGTCCTGTAGCTTAAGCTGAGTAGGGCAAAAGGCATGCCTACATTCTTTGCCTCGACCTCCACTTTCTCGCTGAAGTTTCTGAAGCGGCTGAAGACGCAGCCCTGGAAGGTGTCATTGGGCGGGGGGTCCGGTTCCCCCTCCTCCTTTTCATTTGGATGATTGAGGAAATACTCCATGAACAGGCGCACGTCGCCCGTCTTGGGGTCTCGCAGCGCCGAATACACGTCCAAGCTCTTGCTGGTGTTCTCCTCGGCACCACGCCTGCCCTCCCCATCCTGGGCACAAGCACGCGCAGATAACCCCCAGGCTGTCCGAGCATGAGCACAATTCTTTCGTATGAGATCAACGGCGTGTAACTGAAACCTCGGCATGGCAAGGATTGCCTGAAGGCTGCAGGTGTCGAAGGAGGACGATGTGTTCAGGAAGCATGGGGTTGGCTCACAGGCATCGCACCTTCAAGTGGGCCGTTTTAAAACAAATGCAAAGGATTAGTAGCACCAGTAGCAGATCTGGTGGTCGCATGGACCCTACTAATGGGGAAATAGCATAGCCAATGCAGGCAGCTCTGTGCTTGCCTCCTACAGGCAGACACTTAGAACGCACCCTGCCAAGATCGATGCTACAATAGTGAAATCATGCATCTAAGCATCGCTAAATCGTCGAGAAATCTAAATGTATTCCTTAAGTTCCAAATTCCGAACTAGCTAGGTAGTAGGGTTCCGAGCGACTCTTCCGCACAGGTTGCTGAAAGGAGATGGACTGAGTCTGCAGAAATAAGTTCGATCGAACTAGAAGACACGTCTTCCCCAAGGATAGTTTGAGCGTTCGACGGAGCAGCTGACTCGAGGAACCGATCTTGTGACCGCACGTGCTGAAAGGCCAGCGTGGCAGACACATGACAATTTCGGCGATGCAAAGGCACCAGCTAGAAGGCCAATGCAAAACAGACACAGATGAACCTGTGTCGCCTTCGATCTGCTGCCTGATTTCAAAGAGCAGCATCAACTAACGATTTGTTTGCAAGACCAGCAATTTATAAGATCTACAAATCAACGTCACACTGCAAGCTTACAATCGGTATCATTATGATGACGGTGGGATGATGGCATTGATATTCTGGATCCATCGTAACACAGGAAGACGGGGGCGAGCGTCCGCGTTGCTCTCAGCATAGTGGGAACAGTCAGAAACATTTGCAGTAGTGTCTGCTCGGCATGGCAGGTTCGGGAGCTGTAGGCAGACTAGCACAAAAGTTATGGCGCTTTGGGCGCGTTGTAGCCGGCCAACCAATACCAGAAACTCACCCTCATGTGAGCCCATAGGAACCCCAAAAGTTCACTTGTTGTCAGACACTTGGCAGTGATCAGTGATTTTACATGCTGATGTAAGCTCATGAGATCGTTTTTTGCAACTGCATGTGTCTAGTTGAAAGCAGGAAGCGATTGCTTTGGCCTTGACTAGCAGAACGTGTGCCTCCAGCTTCTCTTGGAGGGCCAGCTGTGGCCGGGAGTGAGTGCAGCAGAGTTTGCCACACGAAGGAGGCGCCTGGCAGATGCCATGCCTCCTGGAGGCATTGCAGTTGTCCCTGCAGCCTCCCCAGTCTTCATGACCGGCGCAATCCCATACCAATACCGCCAGGCACTGTACTGCACCTCCTAGCACTGCACTGATCAAAATTCTGCCGTTCGCCTGATCATGTTGAGATAGCTGTGTCTCTTGGAAGCAATGGTGCACTCCTCGCTATCGGTGTTATAGCTAATTTTAGGTGAAAGTATTTCAAATTACTTGGAATTCCTTCCATCTGCGCAGCTAATGTGTTGACGCATGCGCTTGCAGGACGCTGATTTCCTGTACCTGACGGGCATAAACCAGCAGGCGGTGGCGGTCATTGAGGCCTCCTCCCCCATGCGCGATGGAAACTTCACCCTCTTCATCCAGGACTCCAACCCACAGGTCCGCTGCGCTGACCTATCGGCCTGTTGAGAGGTTCCCTTTTTTCCTGCAGTCAACTGCAGCATGCATTCTGGTAATTTGTTCATTCAACATGTCTGCGCTGTCAAGGGCAGGGTGAGACTGCGTATATCATCAGTTTCTGGGTGTTAATGTGAATGGCGCATTTGTATCCATTTGCAGGCAGAGGCGTGGAATGGGACGCCGATGAATGCAGATGCGGCAGCTGAGGTGTTTGGGGCGGATGAAGTGTACCCCATGTCTGAGGTGCGGCCGGGGACACCTTTCAAGTCTTCCAGTCACCTAATTTGACACGACAGCCCCTGACCTTCCTGCTCAGCCACCCAAGTAGTACTTTCTGCAACTTACTGGCACCCTCTTGTATATTGACCTGGAATATGGTACTACTGAAATCATATGACTGCAGGACGTCAAGCGCTTGAACTCTTTCTGCAGGCCAAAGAAGCTCAGCTACAGGAGCCTTCTTCCCAGGGATGATCAGGCAGGGACCGACACTGTTGTATTCCTCACCCAATTGACATTTGAGTTCTGCTTGCTGCAGCTGGAGCAGCAGCTGGAGGCGATGGTGGCTGTGTCGGGGGCGGTGTTTTATGACCGAGGAGAGGAGCGCACAACTGCGCCCTGTGAGCACGGGCGGCTGCACCAGGCGATGCTCATAGCGCTGCAGCAGCGGAGAGTGCACCCGCTCAAGCCCACGCTGCACCCCATGAGGCGCGGTCCTGAGTCCCAATCAAACAGAATCAACTTGTTCCCCACATCGATTCCTGTTGCTGTTTGCTATGGCTTCTGTGCATGCTTTGTCGAGCACCCAATGAGGCGTGCCCGACCCAATCTCGGAAATTCGGCTGTGAATTCTGCGCATGTCTTCACAAAGCATGCCCTACCTCTCTGCCCCTTCTGACTGACGGTGGCGAAATGTTGGCCATGCTCTCTGAGTCTATGCACAGCGCCTTCTCTTGAGGCGCATGCATGAAGTTTCCTTGACTAGCTCGCGGTTGCCTTCTGAGCTGGGTTCTCACTCGATGGTCTGGGAGGAAACTTCAACATCATGCGCTGTGTTATCTGATGCTACTTTCATGGTGTTGGTGAGATTCTCCTGGGATGTGCACGGGGAGGCATGTGGGGCGCTGAGGAAAAGCTGTGCGGGCGCAGGTGGCAGAAGTCGGCGGCTGAGTTGGACCTGATGCGGCAGTCAGCATCGCTAGCGGCCAAGTCGCTGACGCGGTGCATGCAGCTCACGCGGCCGGGCGTCGACGAGCACTTTCTCGGCGCAACTTTTGGTGCGGGCCAATGCATGAAAGTCTCCCAAGCCGAGGCATGTGTTCGAGGAGAGCTTGGATCCCATAAATGTCTCCATTTGGCCAATTTGCCACTGCAGAAAGTGCTGGGCATTGCCACTGTGCTGTTTCTGCGTTGCGAGTGCTGTTCTAGCAGCTGCAGCTCCTCAGTATGCCTTCACTCGCCTATGGCAAAAGTTGTCCTTGACAGCCAATATCTAAGAAGTGTGATACTCTAAGTACCTGGAGTCCTCAAACTTGTATTGCCATGTGCGCAGAGTACGAGTGCAAGGCGCGGGGGGCGCAGCGGCTGGCGTACCCGGTTGTGGTGGCGGGCGGGGTGGACTCCTGCATCATCCACTACCTGCAGAATAACAAGGTGGCTGCCTTGCGCTGAGGGCTTTGAGGCTTCTTTACAGCATGGTTCTTGGCACAGAAGCCCAGTAGATATTTCCTGAAAGTTGTTTGCGGAATGGCCTTAAGGTCATCACTAGGCACACTCCAGGCCCTTCATTTCTTGTGTCCAAAGCTAGCTAGCTTGGTCTGGACATGTCTGGCAGCTTGTTCTGCTTGTGTGTCTCCCTTTCAGGTCCCACCAGCACTGATGATTAGGGTTCTCAAGCCACTTTGCCGCACATGCTCTGGGCAGGCCTGACATGGTCTGAGGGTACCCTACTTTTCAACCCCGTGTTGAATGCGCGCAGAGGGTGCACGAGGGGGAGTTGCTGTTAATGGATGCGGGGTGCGAGCTGCACGGCTACTCCAGCGATGTCACGCGCACGTGGCCCGTCTCCGGAACGTTCACTCGCCACCAGCGCGAAGTCTATGAGATCGTGCTGGACACCCACAGGTGCGTGCTTGATCAACAACCATTCGTCCAGGGGCGATGCCTCCCTGCAGGGACTCGCTCTGGCGGCGGGGCGGCGGCGATGCCTGCCCACAGGGCGCATGGTTGGAGGCTGCTGTGGAAGTGCCAAGGGTGCATGTTCTGGGGATGGGGCTGAACATGTTTTTGGCTCAGTTTGAGGCTCCCAAATCTATGCTTGTGAGGAGACGGGGCAACTGCCGTGCTGGTCCACAGTGGCGGCATTGGATCTGGTGCATCTATTGGCTTTTAAGAGTTGGCACTCCTGGTCCGTGGCAGGAGGTGTGCAAAGCTGCGCGTCCCATGGGCCACAATATCGCTGCGTTAGCATTTGGGTTGCCCACCAAGAGTAGTTGGCTGCGACAGCACGAGAGGGGGCGATTGTAATGAGGTGGGCTTGTGTATTGGCTGTGTAGGCAATGCCTGGATATCTGCCGGGCGGGGCGGACGCTGAGGGACGTGCATCACATGTCAGTGCAGCTGCTGTCAGAGGGCGTTGCCTCCCTCGGCCTCTTCCCCGGCCTCGATGCCGGCGCCATCGCGCACAACGCCTACCGCACCGTCTACCCCCACTCCGTCGGTGCGCGCCAAATTTTCACTCCCCATTTTCCTTCATGAAACCTAGTCTGCTCCATTGCTGCTTGGCTTTTGCTAGACATCTCATACTCAGTGGTCTGTTGCTTTCATGAAACTTCAGCAAAAGTTGGTGGCCGCGCGCCCTGGGCCTTGCATTCTGTGCCTGCATGGCTCAATCATTGGCAGCTGCTTTATTTTCTGTACATGCGTGTAATGTGGTCATGGAGTTGCTCCTGGGCCGGGGCATCATTGTCTTGTTCTTGCATGACGTTCACGTGCGAAGCAGCCATTACTCTCATCTCCGGCGCTCGCTCTGCCTTGACGTCTGCATTCTTCTTTCCCTGTATCAGAAGTGAGAAACTTGCTCGCTGCTATTGCCTGAGGAGGACACTTGCACTGCGCGGCGGGAATACTGATCAGGAGTTGCACCATGCGCAGGTCACTGGTTGGGAATGGACACGCATGACACGCGCTGCATCGGCCACGACGCTCCCATGCGGGCGGGCGTGGTGCTCACCATAGAGCCGGGCCTCTACATCCCCAACGACCCGCAGCTTTACGGCCCGTACGCGGGCATCGGGGTCCGTATCGAGGACGACGTTGCCGTTACGGGCCTTACGGACCCCGAGGTCCTCTCCGCGGGCGTCCCTGTGGACGCGCGGGAGATTGAGCTCCTGGTGCAGGGGAAATGATGCGACCCTGTCAAAGGTGCATGAGAAAATACTAGGATTTGTTTCGCAGACTTTGTTGCGTATTCTTTGGTCGTGTACCACCATGTTATACCTACTAGCACTAGCGCTCCGTGCAGCTTCGAGTTGGGGCAGCAGTTTTGTTGCGGTATTGACTGCTTGCAACTCTGCTGACTCTTGTGACTAAGAGGCGTGCTCGGTTCCTGTACACTATGTTCACCGGCATCAGTGGCGGTCTTATTCTTTACAAGCCTTGGACAAGCCCGAAGTGCAACCTTGGGTATGTTCTGCTGCAGAACTTCTGCACAAGCTGTGGGTGAGTGTTGCAGAATGGTTCTCTTGGCGTGCTCTATGTGACAAGGGAGGGGATTTCAGTTGTTGCATTACCATGAATTCAAACAGACATGAGAATTACAACTGCGCAGTTGTGGCATGCCGGAGACTTGCCTCGAGCGGGATGCTAGAATCCAGAGGCCAGTTGTGCAAAATCCTGCACTGCTTTACAAATATAGAATACAGTCACAGTGACTGCAAAGTGCAAAGCAAAAACAGGTGACAGTCTCTGGCAAAACTTATTTCTAGGTCTCTTTGATTGATGGCCCTGGTTGTACTGCGTAATAAGTTGCGGACTAAACATGTAACAGTGCTAGACTCAAGCAAGGCTTGAGTGGGCTGCAAACGTGAAACGTGAAATTATGATACCATTCGAGAGTCCTGATGTCGGCACAAGACTAGGCTAGTACTGTACACATTCCAATGAAACTCAGCTAATCTCTAGAAGGTGCTATTGCACGGCGCTCTGCGCAAAGTCACTAGCACAGTGCCATTGCGGCTGCGTGTATGTGAAAAACTTAGCTGGCAGCGTTGCAGCTACCAAGCTTGAAGCGCTGCCAGCACACATGTACAGAAGCACTAGACAAAGCTTTCGGACAAAAGAACAGGATTCCAAAGCACCCCTGCATCTTTGGCCCAAGGGCGACTCCATATTATTAATTACTTTTTCATATTCAAAGCTTTATTTCCAACTGGTGCTCAGATGAAATCCTGTGACCACGCCAACCAAGCCTTGCAAGCCATCCCTTTTGCATGCATGGATCTGCAGAGACATCATGTTTTTTGGCCCAAAGTCACGTCCACAAAATTATTTTGTCAGCGTTGTTCTTGCTGGCGCTCTCGCTAGTCCTTTGGAGCCGGCTGGATGCCAGCCACTGCTGGCCGCTGCTGAATAGCTGCTGTGCCAACAACAATTGTCCCCGCGACACTCATGGTTGGGTTGACTGCGCCGACTATGTGCGTGACATTCACCAGATACACCGGCGCATTCAAATTGGTCTGCGACAAAAGTCATGACACTTAATTAAAGCTCCTTGATTGCAGGCTTCAAATGCCCATCCTATGACAGATCAGTGTTATATCTATCTCGACTGCTCTGTGCCTTTTGTGCATGTAAGATGCAAAGCTTTCAGAACAACCCTAAAAAATAGGAGGTACACTGCCGAGCCCAGCCTACATGTACTTTTGACTCGACGATGAGACCAGGGGCCTATTGCAGAATCGTGGATTCAAAATCCTCACATGACAATGGGTGGGAATGGTAAAATTACCTGGCTACGGGCGCAGCCGCTGTTGAACGTGAGGGAGTTGCCGGAAAAGACGATCCCGTAAACATTAGCGAGCTGAAACGCCACCTTTTGGATCTGCCATGGGTAGTCGCGCGTGTTGTCCACAGTCGCACTGCACATGACGCCATGCGATATTTTTTGGGGTAATTAAATGCAACAGTTGTAAATTTATCACCCCTACGGTACTTGTTTCAAGTGTCACATGGCATGAATAAAGTGCACATGCAAGTGGACATGCAAGATACAGGCCAAGGTCTCACCTGCAGAGAATGTTGATGAAGCGGTTGTTCTGCACCACAACGTTGCCGGAGCTGGTGATTGTGAGCGGGCTTGTCTGAGAGCCAACAACCGTGTTGTTGATGTAGCGGACATTGTAGTTGTCGGCATAGATGAAGGGAGTGCTCCCATGCAAGTTTGCTCCCAGGATGATCCCCTGCTGCTCGCCCTCCAGGTAATTGTCTCTCACCTGCATGATGAATCGAAAACTTCAATTGTACCCAAAGTGAACAAATTGAGGAGTGATCTTTCTTTACACCAAATTTATTAAAGACAAAACTGCTCTGCAGAGGAGGGCACCATCTGAAGTGTCGCAGCAATTCTGCTAAAGTCACAATGCTTCATAGCAGCAAACAGATCATGCTGAATATCCAGTGCACCCCCAAGTCTCCAAGCACATGTATCACAAAGAATAATGCCAAGAATAATATTATTTATTGCATTAATGATTGGGATAAGAGGGATTTTATCCCAGTCATATATATTCTTAAGGCTCACCAACATGTCTTCGTTGAAGCCTGCCTCCCGCGAGAAGTCGAGTCCCGGTGCCATATGGATGCTGGTATCTGTCATGTGGATGATGGTATTGCCCTGAATTAACGACTGGCTTGCTCGCACGATTAGACCCCGGCCGCGGCCATTGAAGATGTAGCAGTTGGTGATGGCGTAATTGTTCCCAACGCGGCTAGTCGGCGACACAAAGCTGCCAGCAGGCATGCCCACAAAACCAGGCTGCCACATTGTCACAATCACCTGAACACACATACACCTTCAGAATGCTTCCAAATGCCTTGCATCATGATAGCGTCTCCACTCTTCCATGCGTCATCTTGCAACATGCATACTTTTGTTGAGCTGTCTAGGTCACTTCAGCCTGAGCACCTCATGTGATGTCCAAAGCAAGTTTGACTTCTGTTTGAGTTCTTAACTGTAAAGGATGATTGTGTTCCTGCACCAGTCAAGATCAGGGGCATGGGTATTTTGCACATTCGGCACTCTGGGCGCACCTTCAAGTAGCTGTACCGGCTGTAATCGCTACCAAAGACATTGTCATATGTTGAGGATGGCACCGGCGCCGTTACAACAGACACGCTCACAACATCTGTACACATCAGCAGGGTCCCGGATTCAGCTTGGCTTACTCATGACTGTTGCTGACCCTTCATTGTGGGTGATCCAGATCAGGAACATCATGTTTCACCATGACATTGAAAAATTTACGCTTGTTGGACAGTTACCAAACAGAAAAAGGAAATGGTGCAGCGAGAGCTCACTGGTGGATCCGAGCCTGCGTCCATCAGGAGTGTAGATTACTATCGTGTCCCCAGAATTGAGCTCGCCAGGATTGAGAATTGGAGCGCCCAATATGAGAGCACCCTCCTCTCGAATCACTTTCACCACAGTGGAGAAGCGGCCATGGATTGCAATTCCATCGTCCCCTGATCGTGCACACACATATCTCATAATCATAATGCTTGTTGCCTCATGAGCTAGGCTGATCTATTCAGATTCCCAGACTTGCACAAATGAAGTCGTCTGCACGTAGACATTTTGAAGTATTCTTACTCAAATTCACAGGTGGCACTCTAGATTGGGACTAGCTAGAGTCATCCACACGTAGGCAATTGCTTGAAGAATTCCTAGTCTCTACTCTTTATCTATCTGTGAATCTGCTGTTGTTCGAGCTCTCTAGCCCCTGCTTTTTGCACTTGGTCAGGCCGTAACTAAGATGGCCCCAAATTCTCAGGTGCTCCTCTAGATTGGGCGGACCAAAGATCAGTGTTCAAAGTCCACCAAGGATGCTGGATGCTGCACCTGTGGAGACGAACTGGCAGTTGTTGATTGTGGGCCCAACTTTGCCGGAGGTGCAATGAAAGCCATCATGGATGGATGACATCAGTGGCAGCTGGCCATCACTTCCTGGGACCTTGGAAGGCGCCAAAGCCAGATTCCTGCATCAAGCAAGACTGTTCCTTATTGCAAATCCTAGAGGTTCTCCGCATTAAACAAGGGATGAAAGGTGTCTGCAAGCAGAGGAGGCTCCAGCTATCCAGCATGAGTTGCAATTGGGCATGGCATAACAGCAATCCCCTAAATTCTCATGTGCTTCCTCAAAATAGGGCGGACCAAAGAGAGTCAGAGCAGAGGTGGCAATTAGGTGAGTGCATGCTGTTGAAGGTTGAGGGCTCACAGCCAGGTGTTGCCACCCGGTGGGGTGCCGTCATAGAAGGCAAATCCGGCAGCAGTGGGCAGAATGAAATCCCTCACAGTGCAGCCACTGCAGCTGCTGCATGCAATCCCCACAGCATCTGTCGGCTGTGTGACCTGCGCATGCCCACGGCCTGGCATCAATGCCACTCGTGCTAGTACCAGGCAGTGAATGACTCTGCTAGTATCAAGGATATCTAAGATGTTCAGACTCACAAGAGCAGACTCAAAAGTAGGACTTGACGGAACTGGCACTCTGAGAAAGGCAGTCTGAACAGGGTGCAAAGTAAATGTTAGGCTTACCACGACCAAGTCATTCACATAGATTATTCCAGGGTAGCGCACAAGCGTGACAGCAAAGGTGTTTGCATTCAATTGGATCGTTTTGCTGAAGTCCACCACAAAATCTGCAGTCACAGCAGAAATTATTTACTGAGATAAATGAGCCCTCGCAGGGGGTGAAGCTCAAAGGCCTGCTACACCCTGTTTGTCACCTACCACACATCTGGCAGAGCATTATATTGCTTCGGTCTACTTGATGGACAGTAGTTTGATGAGGCGAGGAAGAGGGTGGTTACTCACCAGTGCCACGTCTGTTTAGCGGCAGTGTGAGGCGCGTGACGCCATCATAGACCACCCCACCCCCAGATTCACGATTGGCAAACACGACCAGCATGCGCTGCCACGTCTGCAAGAAGTCTGCATGTATCTGCATGCACATGCAGCCAATTTATTATGACACCTTTTTTATGCCACAAGCAAGGTCCGCCTGCAGACAGGCTGCAGTTGAAGGCTACCAATTTCTCACCCCTTGTTGGACTTGCCAGATTGATGTAAGGCCCAATCAAACGTGGGCTCAGTATTGGCCCCCGCCACCCGCAGCCGATTTCCGCAATGCAAAACAGGGCATGCCACCCAGTGGGCAGGCGATAGCTGTGAACTCAACTCAACGCATCCGCAACAGCTCAGGCTGCCGCTATAGTTCGCCGGCTCAAGAGGCTGCAGTGCGGCCTCCGTGCCTTCTCAGCAACACAAGATTGGATGCATGATTGACATAATGCACGGCTGACCTGGATGTTGTACTGGAGACTGTCGGTGCTGACAGTCTTGATGGTGCCCTGCGCGTAGGGGTACTGGCTCTGGGTGTATGTGAGGGTGGCTGGTCCATGCAGCGTCACACCCCTGCACTGGTTCAAGTATATTCCTCCCACCAGCGCATTCTGCACACGGCGCACACACGTCATGCTTTGCTATGCTCCCAGCCTCAATGGATCAGACATCCCTTGACTTGTGAGCACTAGGCCAGACAGGTTGTCGGAGACCTGTTTTGACATGTGTCACTTCAAGAACCAACTGGGCCGGCACTGCCCGAATTACTCAGAATTTTAGTAATTAGTATGGCATATAGAGTAGAGGGCAATGTGAGAGGGGTGGCGGTGCGTGCCGTGTAGACGAGGGTGCTGCCTGAAAGGTCTATCTCGAAGGCAGACGTGCGCGTCTGCAGGCAGGTCACCAGAATGTGCGCTTCGAGCGCCGAATCCGGCTGAACCTGGTAGCTTCCAGGCTGCAATTTTACTCCTGCACCAGTGCACTGCATGTCATACATGCATGATGACATGCATTGTGGGCATCAGACACATTATTCGCTGCCCCTCATCGCACAAAAAATCAGCGAGCCATGATCCCCACATACATACTGCGGTATCAAGTGTCCTCAAGTGACATCTTCTGGCCATCTAAACACAATGGGTGGTGCCACAATCCTGTTGCAACTTCACATACAATGGTACCGTTGATTCGACTCGGATGCCAGGACCACAATAAACAACTGATTGAGCTCCAAGAGAGAAAGTATCGAGCGTGAAACACCTGACACGGCTGCATTCTGCTGCGCAGCGGAAAGAAAGTTGGAAAAATCTGTGCCATCTATAAGAGAGCTCTGCGGCACATACTGTACCACGCCACTCGCTTGTTTTGGAATTTTCTTGTGGGCTGTATTCAGGAGTTTTGCGGCCTTATTGGCAAAAGACTTGAAGTCAGGATCTCCGGCTCGTGCTGCTTCTGGTGCAAGTGCCGGGATCTCCCAAAACTCCTGCAGGGCAGTATTTCTTCTTCATATGCAGCTTGGCGCACTTCACACCTCAACTTGCGCCGGTATTTGAGCTTAATTCGAAGAATTGTAACGGGAGTCAACGCAACATCTTTTTATGTACTATTCCGAAGCCCAGGCTGTAAGTCAGGAAAATTTTTATTATAGATTGTTGAGAAAGTATGCTAGCATACCCGTGCACCAGCCGCGGTGTGAATGCAGCTGCATGTCAAAAGTAAGAAAAGTTGCCATACATGGAAGGTTGACAAAGCAATCCTTCGGCTGCAGCGATGACTTTCACGCATCAGTGGCATTCTGATATACACAACATTTTCAAATGTCTTGTGCAGTGCTCTACAGACAGGGGCCGAGCTTGGCTTTCTATTGAATAGCTGTTGCGGTAATACTTTGAAGTTCAACCCCAGATGCAACGTCATCTCCCCGGAAAAGATTCTAGAAAGGGGTTGAGGAATATTTGCTGCATGCATCTGTGCTATTTTATGATTTGTAAGGAAAAGCCACTCTAATGTACAATTGCCGTTATTCCCTTCTTGCAGTCTGCCAATGGCAGACTCTCAGAGGAAGGCTGCTGGCCCTTCTGGAATTTTTGCATGCACTTTTTGACGTCATGCACGGTGCACCGAAATTTCGCCTACTGAAAAGAAATTTTACTGTATAAGTCACGAAATCTTGGCTGCATGTTGTATGCCACGTTGACGTCAGCTATAACTGGAGCATCTATATCGAGCTCAAGCAGTTGCACTGTCTGCCAGATGATCAAGACTAGGTGACAGAGACCTAGGTGCACGGCCCTTCAAACCTTAAATGTCAATATCATGATCATGACTATAAAGTGATTCGATCAGTTCATAGTCATGATGAGTATGGCAGTGATGAGTCATCACTGCCATGACCGGGGTAACACCGGCAGCAGGCTGCTGACAGGAGCTTTATAAAAAGCATCACTGATCGTGACGAATTGATTGATTGTCTTCTGACCTTTTACACTTGAGCCAACTTGGGCCACATCATTCACTTTCTATGCCCAATTGTCTAAACACCGTTGCATAAATCCACCGGTACCGGCCAAGGTCCCAGTGAAAACCGCTTGTGCATTTTTTGGAGGCAAAAGGAAGTGCCAAGGGACATCTCCGATGCTCCTTGGCACTTTCTTTGGCCTGCTGCCAGCGTGGCAGTCATAGTATACCTGTGACATAATAATGGCATCTATGTAGCCAGCTGGTTCTCGCAGAAAATTCAACTTATACTCTGACAGTCCAATGCCACCATGCTCGCCAGTCTGGGGCCATAGCATGTCAGTCAAATTCCCAGCCTCTATCTGAGCACAGATTTCTTCAAACTGTCAAGTCACCATGACCAATAAAGCACTCTTTTGGAAAGTTCAGATCCATCATCATTTTGTGTAATCCCTGTGACCAACCTCACAGCCTGAGGTTCTCCCTTGTTGGCACTTTGTCTGCCATATCGCTATAAACTGTCCAGACAAACTGGTATAAAAAGCTGTTGAACTTTGGTGATGTGGCTCTTATTGCCCCGGTTGCCAAAAGCTACACGTTGTGATCTTGCGCACTAGCTAGATCTGCGTCTGCACTGTAACGAAACCTTTGCCCTACCATTCCCACCCGCTGTGGCGCATAGTCATTGACAAGTGTTTCGCATCATTCAAACAAGTTGTTGCTGCTGCTGCACACATGACTATAGCTGTATCATTTTTGATGCGCCAATTTGCTGAGCACCATGCCATATTTTGAAAGTATAAAAATGCATCCTAGTGTACAAAAGGCAAAAGTGCAAAATTTGTGGGATCATCAAAAGACTCAGCTAAAATTATGGAGAGCCAATTATGTACACACGATTGATAAAACACTGCCATGGCTTTCAACCAGCAAACCACCAGTCAATGAGAGGCACTCTCACCAACACAGCGGTAGACACATGGCAACCTTGAAACTTATATAAAAATGCCTAAAGTCGGCCAAAGAGCACCCTTGCATGGCACTGCAATTTGCCAGCCTAGGTGCTAGTTGAAAATATCAATGTTGTTGAATAAAATGGTGGAAAAGATTCCACCCGTCGCAGCTGTGCGCCTTTACTACAGAAAGACCAAACTAAAACGCTGCAGGCAAGACATATCCTCTAGCACCCGCCAAAAGGAAACAAGGAAAAAAAAGCTTGCGAGCGAGCGCATGCCCGCCACAAGCCGCTTGTAAACCAGTGAGGAAGGTGGAATGAAATGCATGAAATCACGAAGTTCATCAGCTTGAATGTGGAAATCCAGAGCGGGGAAAAACATCTTGCATGGGCCGTACACACATACTGCTTCTTCCCCCAGGCAATTGGCATAAGCCCCAGCAGGTGTGACGGCCCATGGACCCTGCAAATTCCCTTGGAAAGGGGAATCACTTTGGACCCTTTCCACAGCTCTGGAGATCGCATGCTGGGCGATCAGGTCAGCGTTCCAGCGCTGTCCTGAAAGCTCAGCAGGCTGGCGGCAGGCAACGCCCCCGCAGCCCCGCTACCCGATTCTGCGCTGCCCAGCTGCAGATTTGGGGCAGCTGCCGCGGTAATGTCACCGCCGGCAGCTGTCTGGAAGCTGGACACCCCGGGAGAAGCTGCCGAGACGCCGACGACGTTGGTGACGTTGACTAAGTAAATGGGGGCCGCGTAGTTGGCCTGGCTGCGCGCGCAGCCGGCGTCGGTGGCAAAGGAGTTGTTGCGGAAGGTGATGCCGTTGACATTGAAGACTTGGATGGGAGTGTTGGCGACCTCGTAATTCGCCTGGCGCGTGTTGCTGTCCTCCGCGCTGCATGCATGCATGACAAGCGCATCGATCAGTGAGATGCTGACTGAAAGCCTTGAGACACCGCATTGCTGGGGAGCTGCAGAAGCCTGCTTTGACGTGCATGCCGCATCAGAGACACAGTCTCAAGCTGCATGCATAATATGCAGGCCCAGAGTCAGGCTTCTGAGCTGCAGACACCTACTTAGCAACCTTCTCAAGCTTCAAATCCTTGAATTGTAAGAACATAGGACAGGAGGTACAGTCAAGCATGTACTGCTTCCAGCATGACTATCGTGTCCATGCTCCACATGCGCTTGGTGACATGCCCCCAGAGCATGCATGTAAAGGACATTGCAACAGAGGTGACACTGTTCCATGGGCTGCTCTGCATGTCAGAGCCTGTAACATGCAGGGCATGACTAACTTGCACCCACCTGCACATGATGTTGCGGAAGCGATTGTTGGAAACTGTGACGGTGGCTGCGCTTGTGATGAAGAGCGCGCCGACCTGCGGCCCCGTAATGTTGTTGTTGAGGATCTGCACGTTGACGTGGTCATTGTACAGGATAGGGTGGTCCGGCGTTGTGGCGGCCCACAGCGTGATCCCCTGCGCCTCGTTGTTTATGACGTTGTTGCTCACCTGCCAAGCAGCAGAATCACTTGAGCGTTATGATGATCTGCACATTCGGTACTCTCTGGACCTCTGGACCCTGAGATCCAGATGAACCTTACTGCAGTAGTCATTCTAAAACCCGCAATAGATAATTATATTTGGGCCAAAAAGGGTGGATAAGTAAGACCCTTTCTCCCAAAATATAAAACCTATGAAAATTTTGAGACCAGATTCGGAAAGCTCTGGACAAGCCCAATCCAATGGAGCATGACCCTGGTTTATTTGAAGTCAGGAAGACCCCTAAAAGTTGCTTTGAGAAATCTCCCGCCGCCGAGGGTGCGGGTTTTAGATTTATCACTACAGTATGTCTGTTAGTCACATGAAGTACAGAGATGCTAAGACAAGCCTGGCTCTGTACATGTCTTCACTGGCAGTGAGCAACTCATCTTATCTTATAAACAGGATCAGGAAGGCCATAGGCAGCTTCAGCTCGTGGAGAAAAGGAGTCATCACTTGAATTTGATCAGTCTCTTGCTCAGTCACATGCAGGTGTTTTGGCCTTGCTGCAAAGGTTGGGATGCTTTGCAATGCTTTCTCCTTGAATATGCACATCCACCTCGTTGGAAGGAGAGCCTTCGCAGGAGCAAGTGGCAGCAAAGGTATTGTTTTTCCTTTTCAAAATACAAAGAGGAGTGAGAGGCTCACCACAGTGTCGCGAATGAAGCCGCCCTCTCGTGCGCCAAAGCTGGGGGTGAGCTCAATGCCGTGGTAAGCCACATGCTCGACGGTGTTATAGCTGATGTTTCCGGTGCTCGCGCGCAGCGCAAAACCCCTCCCCCGGCAGTTGCTGATGTAGTTGTACAGCAGGCTAAGCAGACACACAACACGTGAGCTGCCGAACGAGATCTTAGAGAGAGACTACAACATTCCAGCCTCTAAGGCTGCCTGGATTTCCCAATTGGTGTAGCATGCAAGAAACCATCTGAGTAAATGTGCAGAAAGGTAATTGGTGGTGCTTGTGTGCAGGACGCTATGCATGGAACTGTGCGAGATTTCCCAAGCAGGGCATGGCATTGCATGGGTGTGCATAGAGTTGCGGTCGTGATCATGCAGTAACTATTGGGCTCAGCTGCGTAATAGGAGGTGCACACCTGTATTTGTTGCCGCTGCGCGAGGGGACGGTGACAAAGCTGTTGAAGGGCATGCCGTTGAAGCCTGAGGGCCAGGACGTCAGCTTCGCCTGGGCACATCGCACAGAGACAGGCAATCAGCCTGCTGCTTACCAATGCATGAGCACTTCTATCACACGGACGATGCCTACAAAGTTCGTGGTGCAACCAGCAACACCAAGGCTTTGACTGACAAATGAAGCAACAAACTCCACCATTCATTGACTGAAGTTGCGACCTCCTCTGCTTGCGTGCATGTCAGGAACAAATTCACAGTTTGAAAGGGGCGGGCCCACTGACAGGCAGGTTGGCCTTGCATGCTTGCCTTGTAGTAGGTATAGCCCTCAAAAGTGCCTCCAAAGACTTGGTCCTGTGTGGTGGCCGGCACGGGCGCAGTGGTGGCAGTCATGGTCGACACAGTGGCGCTGCCCAGGAGCCTGCCTGCCGGATTGTACACGTTGATGGAGTCGCCGGTGTTGAGCTCATCTTTGTTGATGACGTTAGAGCCCAGGGTGAGTGTGCTCTGGCTCTGCTGCGAGGCTGCCACTGTGTACATGCGCCCGTGGATTGCTATAGCATCGTCACCTGCAGGTTCCGCATCATCAGAAGTTTGAAATGCAGAGTTTTGAATTGCCAGGAAGCAGATTGTTGTTCCGCTTGACTGCAATTGCTCAGCTTGGCAGTAAAGAGCAAGAATCAGCTTCACCATGCAGACTGCCCTTGCATGCCCCCATCTGGGTGTCACACAGTACTGAATCAGGCTGCTCCAATATATGCTACCACAACAAAGTGGAAGAGCTCGAGGTCAGGCCGATTTGCTGCAACCCAAAAAATTGACCATAGTCTGTGCAGTCAAGGAACTTGCCAGCGCCCACGAAGCGGCAGTAGGTGATGGAGGGCCCGGCCTTGGCGGAGGTGCTGTGGTAGCCGTCGTGGATGGATGACATCAGCGCTCCCGCCGTGGGGGTCAGGTTCACGCGCCTGAGCAGCCACAGACACACCCTCAATATGCACTCCCGAATCTTGCAATGCCAGATCTTGTGTTGCCTGGCATGCATGAGCAGGTAAATCTCTGGAGAGCACGAACAGTGACAGCCTACAAGAGCTTGTGTGGCTCAAGCAAGCTGTGCAGCCTTGCTTTCGTGCCTCAGGGGACTCTAATGAATTTTGAGTCCTCAGTGTGCCTGCCTGAAGGGGATTTATGGGTTCTTAAGGAAACCTGGCTTACAAGCTAGGGGATTTAGGAGGGAGATGGCTCACAGGAGGGTGTTGCTGCCCTTGGGTGTGCCATCGTAGAACCCAAATCCAGCCGCCATGAACAGATTGAAGTCCATGAGCACAACGTTGATGCAGCTGTACATTGCTACTCCTGTGTTGTCAGTCGGCTGCGTGATCTGCCCATGCACAGACACTTTGCCCTCTGAGAAACCACCGTTCACCACATTGACTATCTGGAGGCCAAAATTCTATTTTTCTTCCTCTTGGGAATGTGACCCTCTCTGACTGCAACCAAGGTGTGCTTGATGCAGAGGCGTTCCCTTTGGGGCTACCTGAGCATGCACCCAGCGTGCACAAGATCACAGATTTGTCGAAATGCTCACCACGACTGTGTTGTTGACGTTGATAAGGCCCGGGTCTTGGCGCAGATACATGGAGTAGGTGTCATAGCTCAGCTGCCGCACAGTCCTGAAGTCCACCACAAAATCTGCACACAACACCCTCCACTTGACTACGTACAATCATTGAATGGGGCATGCATTTGTTGCCTTTTGTGGAACAGCATCGATGCAAGTGCACCAGAGAGAGAGAAAAATGACAAGGTCCAAAGGAGATTTGGGACAGACTTGTGCCATCGCGGTATGGTGGCAGCACGAGCCCGTTCTCATACACCACGCCCCCGCCGGCGTAGCTTGTGCTGTACCGGGTGATTATGCGCTGCCAGGCCGGCAGGAAGTCCGGCTGAATCTGCACACAAGCCAGCACGCCAGTTGATCTGATGCTAAGCAGAACTTTGTTGGGTCTGATGCAAACTAGGAGAATTCCATAATCTGACGACTGCAGCATAGACAGTCACTTCTGCTCAACCACTCGCACCCAGCTCAACTGGAGGGTTAAGACATTCAAGAGAGGCAGTAATGGTTAATAATGGGGCTGGTTGCAAACCTTGATGGTGTAGTTCAGGTTGTCAGAGCCGATTGCCAGAATGGTGCCCTGGCCAAAGGGCCACTGGTCTTGCACGTAGGTCATGTTGGCTGGCCCGGTCAGAGTCACCCCGTTGCAGCTGTCCAGCACAATGCCCCCAATCCCGGCGTCCTGTGCACACCCACACACCTGCCTTAGCCCCAGTAAGTCCCATATTCTCTTCAGTCCGCCCAATCTAGACGAGCACCTACAGTCGGGCCTGCCCAAATGTGAAATGAGCTGCAAAAAAAGGTGCTAGGGAGCTCGAAACAACAGCAAATTCACAGATAGATGAAGATAGAAACTAGGAATTGCTTAAGCAAGTGCCTACGTGCGGACCGCTCTAATTGCAAGTTTTTATGGGCGCACGTTGAAAAAAGCTTCCGGAAAGGCTGGCATGCTGGGCAACAGCAAAATATGTGTCCAGAACCTCATATGCGTCAATGAGATCGATTGATGGCCGCACCGTGAAGGACAGGGAGCTCCCTGAGATGTCGATCTTGAAGGGTGCAGTGCGGCCAGAGCACAGCAGATATACGTGGGCATCAGTTGAGAAGGGCAGGACGCTGTAGCTGCCACTCTGCAGCTGCACTCCTGCCAAGTGGCATGCAAATGAGAAATTCAGCCTAAAGTCAGTTTATCAGCCACATCTCTCTATTTCTGTAAACTAGACATGGTCCATCAGTAGGCACTCGCTTGATCAAGTACATTTTTCTGTACTTCCTGTAAAGTTGCTGCTGTTTTGAGCTCCAGCAGTCTGCAGCTCAATTTTTCTTTGGGCCAGATCCTGGTGCCCCATTCATGGCGAGCAGCTCCTGAACAATGGGCAGACTGATGAAGGTGCATGGTGTGCAAGACAAGGCAGAAGAGCTTACCGGTGACTGCTGAGTTCTTGTGCCCAGCTGTAAGGAAGTCCGTGAAGTCCTTGCCATCCAGGACGGTGCCATTGGGGTTGTAAGTGAGGGTGCCTGATGCCGCCGCGACCAAGCTCACAGCACTCTGAGTGGTCTGCAGGAGGACGGATTTTGTGCTGTCCTTCACTGTGAGCAGTGTCAGGGCTGCTTCTATGCTTGCAGGCGACCCTTCAGCCACCACATCCTGCAGCAAACAGCTGTTGGTCAGTGATCACCTTCGCAATTTTATTCAAGGGGCCACAGGAAAGGCAAGTGCACGTGTTATCGTTACGAAATAGAGTCCCTACTATGAGCACTGATGTTGACATCGTGGTGTGTCAAAATGTTCGACCACTCACTTTAACGAGTCAAGAGTGAGTTGCTTGTCCTTAAGATGGCATTTTAGGTATTTTGCAAGGAGTTAATCACACAACGGGCACCGTTAGTATGTTCTTTCAACCGGCATCCCAAGCAGGCTCTAGTGCAGCCAAAGTGTCTCAGAACCCCCCAGCAACAAGTCTAAAGAAGAAGACTTCTCAATTTGCATAGTATGGTATGGCACACACATGGAAAAGCTGTGCTGCGAGAGTATCTTGACCGTAGACTCAGAAAGACGAGTCACACTGCTGCAAGCTGCAAGAGCTTGAGAAGGCCTTCAAACCTTGTGCAGGAGGGATAGTAAGACCAAAACATTGTGGAATAAGAGAAAGCTTTCAGCGTGCGCGGCTGTACGTCTCTGTCTTCCGACATCTTATAGCATACTTACGGACTCAGCACAAGACGGATATGCCACTAAACAGTTGCTTTCTTGAATACTACCAGCACCCAGGAATATTGTCTGAGAAGCGTGGGAAGCAAACCTGGGACTCGGCTCCAGAGATCAGAAAAGAGCCGAGTAGCACGATGGTCATGAGGGTGGCCATGACCCGCAAACTGAAGTAGGACTCTTTCCCAGTCTTAGCACTGTCAGGCAAATTGGACTTCCTTACGCGAAAGGGTATTGGCGAACAGCGTCTGAGCGCCCGGCGCCGCGAGGTAGTAAACACTGGTCAGCTGTCGTACTCTTCTTTGAAAGATTTCTTGTCGTACACATATCGCCAAAAGAGGCGGCTGTGGCACCCATGCATGCTAATGCTAACAATTGGCAGCCAATTGGGAAGCACGTCATCCAAGGTACGGCGCACTGACATTAGAGAATTGGTCCCAGTAAGAATCCCTGTATGACTTTCAGAAGATTCTGGCTCATCCCAGCATGATATATTACCAATTTACATCTCGAGAATATATTCATTGAATCAGCAATTGGAATATATTGCAACATGTGTTGCAATATGGATCATCCGGATGTATTGCATCAGACTCTGTTCGGAACTAGTGCTCTGATGCCATATAGCATGGCCATAGTGTGACAGTGGTGTCTAGGATTGTTGCAGGATCGATCCTGGAAGGATATCCTGCAAGCGGCACACTCACTAGCTGGCACCGCACTGCAGTTGCGCACTCCAATCATATGAGTGGATCCAAGAATTCTAGCCTGTAAGAGCAGGAAACAGACCAGCCCTAATAAGCAGGTACCTAATAGCTGCCTGTGCGCTAGCTGCGCTGTGCCAGGACTCAAGAACTGATGTGCTACTTTATTTCAGACACGCCTAGCTGACCTGCTCTAAACCTACCTACCAAATAATTGTTCCCTGGTTCTGACCCGCCACCCTCCTGAACGTCTGCCTGCTGATCACTGTCACGACACTCTGTCGGCACAAACCACTGAGCAGCAATCTGCTCGACAGCTATCAGGCGCCCTAACATGCTCCAGCTCTATCCAATACAGAGCCCAGAATCTGCCTAGAGGACCTGGAACGCTCCAGCTCTGTCCAAAATACAGCCCAGAAAACTTCCTAGAGGACCTGGAACAGCCCGGTGCAGACGCCGGTCTCGTAGATCTCAAACTCGCTGAGCAGGCCGTCCATCGCGCGCTTGAGCCCTGCCGCATGTGCGCCGGCCACCCCGAGACCGGCCGCCACGTCATCGACGCTGACTGGACGCTTCTGGCCGCGCATCCACGCCAGCAGCTGCTCCTGATCCACGCTGACTCCCTGCTGCGTGCCCTGCACCGCACATGGCATTGCTTCTCATAATCTTCACAATTTGGCAATTTCAACGGTCAAAAGAGTTACAGACAAGTGAATGCCTGGTGGGCTGCTTTTCCCATTCTATGTCACGGCTTGCAAAGTTGCTTCACGGCACGACTGAATGACATGCCAGTCACAGGTATAAGACAAGGGTAATAGAAATCTCTGGCAGAAGAGTGCGGGAAGGTGAGGAAGTGTTCCTGCCGGGGTCCTGTGCACAAGGGGTGTGGATGTTGAGTTCAAGAGATGGTCTGGGCTGCTCACCGGCTTCTCGTGGCCGGAGGGTGTCTCGGGCTCCTCCATGCTGGCGTCAGTCTGCAGCATCGGCCTCTGCTGCTTGCTCGCCGGGGTCTCAGAAACCTGCACATCACATGCTTTTCCCACTTCAGGCACGTGGGTCCCAACCGAGCCATTGGCAGCCAGCTGAAATAAGGCAGTGGAAACCTGATCGCTCTTGCTCTTATTGCCATGGAGCAAGCAGGTATTGGTGATGTGGCAAGCCTGAGGTGATGTGGCAAGTAACGATGATCACAACAGACAGAGTTTGGCAAATTTACTTTGTGTGGGGACGTAAGAGCTCATTAATTACCTGGTCATTGGAGGGCCACAAGGAGGGGTCCCAGCTGACGCGCTTGCTGCCCAGTCCGGTTGCCCCCTTGATAGCCGACTTCTGCAGCGATGCCGGCGCGGATGCTGGCCCGGCGCCGCCCAGAGATCTGCGGCGCACTGGCGTCCCCGTCCCATTCTCCTCCGCTGAGTCACCTGCTGCTTCAGTACACAGCCGAGAGTTGATTGCCTTTGGTCTGTATCTTTCTCTGGCAGCCCAATGATTACACAGCAATGCAATTAATGCAATGATCTGCACAGCTGCTTGTGCTGTCAGGTGAATAATCAGGAATCGTTGCTGCACCTTCACAGATACCAATACTGATATAATATGGAAAGAAAGTCCAACACATACATGGTGGCATGCAAACCCGATACTTATGTGTTGTACATGCAAATATATCCCTGGTATATTAAGCTCTGAAGAAAAACCTGCAGCTGCGGCCGCCGCGCTGCGCAGCCCCTGCAGCTCGGCGGCGAGTGCGCTCAGCTGGGCCTCGAGCGCGGTGCGCGCGTCGGCCGCCTCGGCCAGCTCAGACTGCAGCCGCGCCTTCTCGGCAGCCGCCACCTCCGCCGCGCGCGCGGCTTCCGCCCTGCTTTCCTCCTCGATCCCGGCCAGCCTGCGCTTCTCCCTCAGCTGCTCCAGCTCGGATGCCAGCTTCTCCTTCTCAGCCTCCGCAGCGGCTTGCGCGGCAACCGCGCGCTGTTTCTCGGCCTCGGCCTCCGCCAGGCGCGCTCGCTCTCGCGCCAGCTCAGCGGCTGCCTGCTGCGTGGCTTCCTCCCGCAGCTGCGCGGCAGCTGCCTTGTCGGCGACTGCGGAGGCCTGCATCCCCTGGATTTCCTTCCTCGCAGCATCCATGTCTTTCTGAGCAGCCTTGGCGGCCTCCAGAGCCCTGGCAAGCTCCTGCTTCTCGGCCAAGGCCTCCTCCAGCCGGCAGTTGATCTGCGCAACGGCAGCATCGCTCTCTGCTGCGCTGCTCGCTGGTGTCTCGGCTTCCGCCAGCTTCTTTTCCAGTGCGACCTTCTCCGTTGCCAGCTCCCGCTGGGCGCTCAGCAGCTGTTCCTTCTCGGACTTCCAGGCATTTGGCGCAGCCGCCGATGCCCGAGCCTCTTCCAATGCTGCTGCACTCTCCGCTCGCTGCTTCTCCAAACGCTGGCTCCATTCCTCTGCCGCCTGTGGCATTTTGGTGTATTCTCAGTCCAATGGTTTAGAAGTGACACAGCAGGATCCCATCCCTCAGCATGTCTGCAGGGCCTCCCAAGAGCAGCGTTCAAACAGTAATTATAAGGAGTTCCGCGGATGTTGCAGGGCAGGGAGGAAAAGTCTCGCGCCTTTTGGCGGCCGAGGTCCCTGGCCTTGCGCATGGAATCCATCAGGCGGCCGTTCACGCGCTCAGCCACCGCCGCCTCTATGCGCTCCTCGATTGCCGCTTCCGCCTGCCGGCGTGCATCCGCAACCGCGCTTGCCACCTGCGGCCAGCACACCACCATGGTGAGTTGCCCGATCTGGCTAAAAGGAATTTTGTGAACAACCTATGCAGCAGCATTCTGTAAAGCGATACAAAATGCCATCAAGTTGAGCAACTCCTAACATCCCAGTGACACCTATTTAAAAGCGAAGCACAACACAGCATCATGCGTATGGATTGGCTCGGTCAGAGGCGAGCATTGTTGCACTCTTTTCCAGTCACAATGGCCACTCACCCGGTCCTCCTGCGCCTTGTGCGCGCGGCCGAGGTCGGCCTGCAGCTGCTTGCACGTCTCGCGCAGCTTATCCACGGCCGCCGCGGCGTTGGCCGGCGGTTCCGGCGCTAAGCTGCGTTCCCTCTGCTGCTGCTGCACCGGCGCGTCCTCGTCATCGCTGTCGCTCAGCAGCGCCCTCCCGCGCAGCCGCTTGCCCTGCGACCCCAGCGCCTGTGCAAGAACCTTTGCACTTGTTAACCTACGTCCTAATTAAATAACCTACAGTATAGTACATTATTATATACTACAAGCTACTAATCAAGGCCTAAATACTAGGAAGGGCGGTGATTTTGTCTACGTCAAGTTCCAGGCCAGGGTTGAGATGACTGACCGGGCTGCCGGCCCCGTCCGAGCCGTCCTCGAGCGCCGTAGTCGCCGCCGGCGACGCGCGCGGCCGCTTCGTCGGCGTGGCGGCCTCGGCCGGTGCGTCGCTGTCGGCCGCCGCAGCGCCGGCGTCCCGGGCGCTGGAGATGCGCTTGGCAGCGGATTTCTCGCGGGCGGCAAGCGCCGCGCGGCGCGCGGCTTTGCGCGCCAGCTTTCCCAGCTTGCCCTTCTTCGCCTCTCGCTCATCCTGCTCACATGTGCACATCTGACTGCTCTCAGTCGCTCTAAGTGGCAGTCATTGTGTCTTTGCAAGACACAGAGAGTAAGGCAATGCTGATGCTATCAACAGGACCTTGATCTTGAAGGAGCAGGCATGTCACGTTCTTCCTGTTGGCATGCAGTGCCGGCACCTTGCTTGGGTTTCAGGAATAAAGTCAGCTCACCTTGCCGCCATCAGCCGCCTTCTTGCGCTTCAGGGGCGTGCTGACCCTGGCCTCCTCCTCCGGGGCTTCTTCATCCTCTGGCGCTGCCTCCATGCTGTCATCCACAGCGCTCGCCGACAGCACGTCCGCATTCTCCTTGTCGCTCCCTGCAGCCTGCATGCGTGATGCCCAATCTTTTCACCCATGCTCCATCACATCACGGACACACACATCACGGATCATGATCTTCAGGACACATTATACACGCATGTCCCACAGCACCTTGCAGTTCTTCCCCCGCTCGACTGTCCTACTGCTTCCAATACCTCCTTGCAAACAATCATGTGCAAGAGGGTCTTTAAAAGAGAGCTGGGCTCAGCAATAGTAATCTCAACGGCTTTCATTGTTGCCTTGAAATGGATGGCCAAAGGAATTAAAATTGCAAAAGATCTTAAGGCGCACCTTGGCGGGCTTGCTGGTGGGGGCGTCCTCGTCAGCAGCGCGGCAGAAGGTGCAGACGAACTCCTGCCCCGGCGGCAGGGCCTTGGCGCGCTTCTTGCCCAGCACGCATTTGACGTGCTGCCAGGTCTTGCAGGTGTCGCACTCGATCATGTCGCGGCCGTCGTCGGCCGTCACTCCGCAGGTGCACTTCACCACCCACCCCTCGCTGATGTCCGAGTTCGTCAGCACCTGCTCCAAAACACAGCTCTTTAGCACGCCCAATACTGGGGAGATGCTTGCCGATGTGATGGCGATAGGATATGGCCTGCCCACATCAACATCAAGAAATGGAAATGGGGCAGGGGAGCTCAGAACACTAGAATTTGGACGAGTCGATGACAGAGACTCAGATTTGTGTTAAAACCTAAACAAAATCCATGTGCGGACCATCACTAGTTGGTGTCAGCAAAATCATCGGGCAATTGTTTCACAGCAGTGAAGGTGGCCAGGAGATCACATGCAACTGGCTGCGTGTCAGGACAAGCAAGCAAAAGATTTTGCGCTTGAGCTGGGGGCATGCATGCATGCAGGTGACCATGCACCGTCCACATGTGGCAGCTTTACTTCGGTTAAAAAGAACCACCTTGGCTACATCGTCCGAGCCGCTGTCTGCCGCACCAGCCTGCTTGGCAGGGCCTTGGCTACGGCCTTTTGGCTGCCTTGAGGCCCTACGGCCCCTGCGCTGTTTGGCCGGCGGCTCCTCCTCTCCAGAGGACGCCTTGCTGCATGCAGCTTCCTTTGCCGGCAATGCCGCCTCCGGCTCTGACTCAGACGCTTCACAGCTGGCTGACTCTAAAGCCTCCGCCTGCTTGCTGCCTGACTTGGTTGCGGCCTCGCCGATCACCTCGCAGTCGGAGTCATCGCCGTCGGACGCAGCCTCCTCGGACGATGAGTCATCCGCTGCGGCGCCTGCCGCCTTGCGCCCGCGCTTCGGCTGCTCGATTGCAGATGCACCCTCGCTGTCGCTCCCTGGCAGCTCATCTGTGCCCGCCAGCATTACCTGTCAGGGTCTCACGAATGCCCACAAACAAGCATCCCTGCTGCTTTGACGCTGCAGGCAGTCTTCCTGTGCTGAGACACTCAAGAGCAAGTCGTGCCACATGGTCATGGTTTTGCAGGCAGTCATCTCCGCATGACGTGTCAGTGGCTTGTCACAACACCTACCAACAGACAGCTTGGGGTTGTCACCTGGCTCTGACTCTGAGGAGGTCTCTCCGGCGCTGGCAAACTCCTGGCGCGCTGCCTTGCTCCGGCCTGCACGCGCAGCCTTGGCACGCGGCTCTGTCTTCGCCTCTGGGTCCGCCTGCGGCTCTGCCTTGGCTGCAACCTCCCTCTTCACCTCGCCCTCCTGCCAGGGCACCAGGGGGATATTACGGGGAAAAAATATCCTGTCCCTCACCAAATGCAGCATGGGGCAAAAGGGAAATGTAAGATGGCTGAAGGGTGCAAAGGGCAAAAAGTTCAAGTCAGGGCCACTTAGTGGAGCCAGTGCAGAGGGTCACCTTGATCGGAGGCAGCTCAATGCTCTCCCAGCAGGCGCACTTTGCTAGCCGCTCCTCGTCCTCTGCTGTCAGCTGCATGCATGCGCACGTGCCATCAGCGCGCCACACATTCATAAGAGAAGCATCTCACATCTGCACTGCTGTGCGGCCTTGCTTGATGGCTCTCATGACATAACATTGGAAAACAGAAGGCCAGAACCATTCGGGAGGATGTCCGCACCTGCATGGCAGTGTTGGTGGCCTCCTGCTTGCTGCTCTCAGCAGAGCTCTTGGAGTACCTCTTCCTGGTGACGCTCTTGCGCCGCTCCTTCCTATGCTTGGTCTCTGCAGGCACAGACACGAGATTTGGCTACTTTCATAATGGACTGGCACGGGCAATGTTTTGTTGGTTGCAGTGACGTCCATTTCAGGGATAAAATGAGGCATTACTGACCTTCCAGCATGCCAGCAGCGTCCGAGTCAACCCTCGGTGTCACATTCCCAATCTCTTGCAGGACCTGCGGGCATTGGCAAGAATGTGGCCTTGATAATGAAAGAACTTCCATTGGACATTGGCAGAGGTCAGCCTCATGGTCTCTGTTCTGTTCAAATTCTGTGTGCTTTGAGTGAATGTGAGTCCGGCGAGCATTGAGCGTCTGTGCTCGCAGCAAGAAAGCAGGAAGAGAAAGAATCGTCGAAAGGACACTAACCAGGGGCTGCGGGACTGAGGGAAGGGCAGCCGGTGTGCTTGCCGGGGGACCTGCAAATATAACCAGAAGATCACTTAATATAGCCATGCAAAAGAACACCATGCCACCTGGGATAGCCATGCGGGCCTGGAAGTCCTCTGGCCGCCAGCAAGGCAGAACGGCAACACTCTCAGGAAGCATATTGGGTAGCCATGCCGTGCAATTAGACACATGGGTATGTGCCTTTTCATATTGACATGTCCAGTGCAAAGGAGAGGCCGATTTGTACCGGGCAGGGGCAGAGGCAGCGCTTCGGTGTCCTGCAGGCGAACAGCAGCCTGACTGATGGCGTCGAGCACAAGAGGAGCAAGCTTCTTGTTGAGCAGAATGCCGACGCGCTCGTCCCCATCCGCTGTCTGCACTCTCGCCACCTCCAGGTGCTGCTTCCTGCATGATGACTCAGCTTTGTGATGTCAGAAAGGAGCCATTCTCACCCAATCCTGGGCAATCAACCTCAACAATGGACAGCCTTCAATTTGGATGAAGAAAACATTATCGCATTGAGTGCACTGGCTGCTCTGCTGCCCCATGCTGTCATGCCGAAATTTACACAGTGTTAAGGAGCTATCAGCCAGAAAGGGGAATGTGGGCGGTTGCTTGCCTGGCTCGGGGGTTCTCAAGCTTGAGCCTCTTGAAGAGCTTCAGAGTGGGCTGCAGGGCAGGCATGATCGCGCCAGTGATCAGGTAGAGGTCAGTGAAACGCTTCCTGCACGCAAGCACACACAGAACAATCATGGGGTGGTGCATTGAACTTCAGGTGGCGATGGGTTCTGTTCATCTGCAAATAGATCAGGCCGCCAGCCACTTCAAGCAGGCAGGCAAGTTATGTGGCTGCGTCCACTTCGTGCAGTTTGGGGACATCTCCAGCTCAAGTGGGAATCGAGACACTCACTTGCCGGGGTCCTTGCGGTATTCCTCCTGCCACTTCTTCTCCATCCAGTCAGACTCCTGCCTGTCTGCCTTGACCCGCTTGTACTTCCCAGCGAACTCTGCAAAGCAACCAGCCAGCTCAACCCCTTACTGTCATGCTGATTTCCAACACCCAGGCCCAGGGCCACATGCAATCTCAGCCATCACACAGACTTCACATCGTTGTTTGCTGAAGCGCTGATGACATACAAAAAGCAAGCATCGGTGTCAGGCAGGTCTTTGAGGCGCACCCTGGTAGGCCATGTTCCCTGCTGAGAAGCCGGCATTGGGCCTGATGATGCACATGTATGTGCCCTTCTTGCCTCTGTCGGCCTTTGTGACCCGCCGCCCGTCCTTGTTGCACTCCATCGCCTGCATGCAATTTTCTTCAGCAAGCATCTTCCTTTCCTGTTCCACCAAATTGGAGGCAAAAAACCATGATGACCCCATCACATGCACTAAGAAGACCTGACATGTGCTCAATAATATCAGGCAGAAGGCCATTCTGTGATCGGTGGAAGCAGGTACATGGTCTAAAAGCACACCAGCACATACTGCTCGTTGCCCGTCCCTCCATGGGTCATGACGTAGAAGCCGCTCCTGCTCTGCTCATTCTCTGCCAGCTCGGCCTTCAGCACCTCCAGAGCTTTCTGATACACACACACCAAAATTGGTCAAATCTGTACATGCATAACCTCAGTACCGGTCTGTTTGAAGGCCGCAGTAGAGACACGCTAAATGGCTTGGAGCAGCCTGGCATTTGCTATGCATGAGCAATGATACCGAGGTGCTGCTGCATGTCATTGCTACAAGATGGTCTTGACTGTGTGTGGAAGGGCAAAGCTGTCACAGCGCAGGCATGATAGCAAGCTGACCTCGTATATCATGCCCCTGTCCATCTTGTACTCAAACAGTGAGGTGCTGTGTCCAGCCTGCTGGTTTTGCAGAAGCACCTGCAAAAGAAGTGCGCAAGCTTTATTCCCATCTAACCAATGCAAGGTGGTTCTCTCCCCAGCATAAATACCATCTAATTTCTCATGGCGTGAGGGAAATCCTCCATGTTGAGAACAAACGTCCATCAAGTAGGACAGGTTCGCACCGAGTCGTTGACATACTTGATGGCCCCGGACAAGTGCCTGATGCCTGGGGGGGCAAAGTCTCCCTCCCGCTTGGCCTGGCGAATGTGCTTCTCCTGCACCAGTCAAAACCACGGAAATTGAAGGCAAGCCTTCAACAACCAGTTTCACCAATGCCCCCAACATCAACCTGTGTGTCAAATTGATGGCATCAGCTTCTCAACCCACAAAGTGGATTGGGGCAGACTGATTGCAAACCTGCAGGGCGGTGAAGTAGTCGAAGATCTTGCGCTGGAACTCGATCCTCACGCCCAGCAGCCGGTTCATCAGCTTGTTGAAGCTGGCAGTGGGCACCTGCGCACAGCACGAGACATCATTCTTCTGGGTTGTATGCATACTCTCACTGTTCTGAGCAGGTTGACAGGTTGCAAACTTGACTCAGTGGTGATTGAATGCATCCGGACCTGAAGTCACTACATTTTCAGCAATAGTCAGGTTTCCATGTATTGCTCTAGCTAAGAATTTAATATTGAGGATGGGAGCTGTACTTTTTCAGAATCAGGCAGATTGGCATTGGCAGTCCTGTACTCTGTCTCCCTGCCCAGGAACTTGTAATCCGTGGTGATCACATCAACCTCCTTCAGCAGCTTGCATGCCACGGGGATGAACTCCTGCAGACACCCTCACAACTACCTCAGGGGAAGCGTGAAGAACCAGTAATTGAAGCCTTGCTCAAATTGTGAACCGCAGTTTTTTGTGAACTTCACATTATTGCTAGAAGTATTGGCGCGCTCTATGATGTGGCAAGATGTGTGAAGCACTTTGACGAATCAAGGTTGGCACTCGAAGAAAAAATAATGAATGTCTAAATCATTTCAATCCAGGATGCACACCGCGAAGATGCGCTGTCTCTCGGCCTCTTGCTGCTCTGGCGCCAGGTGGCGCGTCTGCTCCTCCATCCATGCTGGCACTGCATACCCCGGGGCCATGGCGGTCGACCGCCTGAGGAAGATCTTGTACATCTCTGCGAGCGCCGCCTGCCCGTACCTGCACAGAAAAATAAAAATAGTACGGCATGAGCATGCATATTATATTGTAAATGAGCATGCATGAGCCCTGCTCTGAAAGTTGGATCCGTTTGTCCAGTCTGGTGACTACACTCACGGGATATCCTGTCTACACAGAACGCATTCAGATAGTCACATTGCATCGATGTTAGCTGGATTTGCATTCCCGCTAATCTAAGTCTCATTCAATGCCAGATGCTGCTTACCATCCCCGGCCCAGCGTGAGATCAGTAACCCTGGAATGGGTTTGTGCAAGACCAACAACATCATCCACATAACTCGGTAGGTAGTTCAGCCGACTGGTCGGTGGGCACAACGCACTTGTCGTCGACGTTGAATGAGGCGAGGGCGTCCTGGCAGGCGGCGTGGCGGTCGCCGTGTGTGAGCGCCCCCAGCAGCTCCAGCCGCTTGGCCACCGCGCCCGCAAATCGGTGCTCCCCCGCAACGTCGGTAAATAGGATCACGTAGCGCGGCGGCTGCAGCTGGTTGCTGCGGTGCGTGCGCCCCAGCTGCTGCACCTGTGATCAGCAGTCGCCCCCAGCGTCACTGGTTGCAGGCAATGGTTCTGAGCTCCATGCAGCCCCAAGAGAACTGAAGAGAAGCGTGACAGCTTCAATTATGGGCTCAGGAGTGTCATCCCACTTGGGGACTGGTGCTCCTGGGGCCATGGTGCGCATGAGCCAAGAGCCCATCCGCAGATGACAGCATTGAGCATGCAATAATAAAATTTTTCAGACTCCAGGCAGATGCGCTGAGAGAGTACGGTGTGCTTGACATGTCCAATGTCAACAGCAAAGATGCACCCTCAGCAGCGGCAAGGCACGTTTATCGAAGGTGCCTGCTATGATGCCTGCAGAGAGTGTCCAAGGGGAGGGAATATACGCACCGTTTTGTCGGCGGACCAGGCGAGCTCGGCGGTGATGTGGACACGGACGCGCTGGTTGGCCACGCTGCGGTCCGCCTGCAGCGAAATTCCTGTCGAGGCCGCGTCACTGATGATCGCCACCAGCTTCTCGCCGCGCTGGAACCTGTTCTTCTCCGCGATGTTCACCTGTGTTGGGCAATCGTGGCATGTCATGCAAAAACTCAATACTGTGATGCATGGGCCTAATGCACGCCCAGACTCCCCAGTCTGATGGAATGTAGCAGGTCTATTTTCATTTCTTCTTGATCATATTGCTCCATGTCTGGCAATCTGCCAGATCCCATTCAAAACCATGGACGCAAAGACATTCCTGGTTCGGTGTCGGGGACAATTGCCCATCAGTGCGGACACCAAGAGTGGCTGTGTGGTACCGATGCCACTGTATCATATCACTGCGCACACAAGGGGCGAGGAGCGGGTGGCGGCTAGAAGAGTGCACCTCGTTGAGGGGCATGTCGTGGGCGCGGGCCTTGTAGTGGAAGGTGCCGGCGTCGGGGTCGCGCACCATTCGCTTGCGCCGCCCCGTCAGCTCTGCGACCTTATCCGGACCCCCCAGCCGGTCAATGAGGTCATCCTGCGCCAGAAAATTACTAATTTTTCACAAAGTAGTTCTGCAGTGTGGAGGTGTCAATCTCTTGCAAAGACACTTTGCCCATGAGGTCACCTGTCAAGGTCATCCTGCGCGAGACACCAGAATCCTATCGCACAGTTTTCTGTGATTGACTTGCAGGTGTCATTCTCATGCAAAGACACTGCTTATGAGACCACCTCTCAGAGTCATCCTCTTGTCTGAACGGTGTCATCCCCATGCAAAGGCAAAGTGCTCAATAAGTGGCATCACACTGATCATGTATATCCCGAGGGCACTGATCAAGCGTGGAGAAGTGCCCTGCTCTTTGAGACCGCATGTTTGCATGCATGCACTGGCTGGTGCACCGTCATGACGAGCCTTTTATGGGTGATGAAAGAAAGGGGTTGCGTACCAGGGGGTTGGTGGGCAGGTTGAGGCTGTTGGCGCTGTTGAGAAGCTGCTGGTAGTCGGGCGACGCCCTGCAGTGCTCCTCGATGATGGTGGTCATGATGAGGCCCGCCGGGTCAGCAAAGGAGTCGAAGGCAAAGTTCTCGTCGTTTGCAGCCCCTGCTTCGCGCACCATCGCCTCCGTGCGGGCCTCCCCTGAGCGCCATTGTCAATCTCTTGATGCTCATGCAATAACAAGCCTGGCTTGGTCAATGTACAGACTTGGCCTGGGCAATGAAAGCACAGAGCAAGCCCTTCTGCAACTTAGTGCCTGGCCCTGCAAATTAACTGCAGGGCCAGGCACCTAATAGGCCTCAACAAAGGCGCCACCATATATGCTTTCTCATTTTTGGCTGGATTGAAGAAGTGGATACCTGTGCTCTGCAGCCCGATGACGATGCAGTGCCCCTCAGCCAGCATCTTCTTTGCAAAGGCCTCGATGTCATCAATCTTGCATGCAGTCAGCTGCAACCGCACACCAACACCTCACTTTGCATGAAGCATGGTTCATTACGTGCAAGTGTATATCACCTAGACACAGCAGGAGGCAGTATCTGCCTGGTAAGCAAGAACCTGCAGTGATTATGAACCTCAGATTTAAGGGAATGATGTTGAAGAAAGCTCATTTTGCTTGAAGCATGATTCAATATGTAGTAGTTTGTATCTCCATTGCAGATCAACAACGCGCAGGATCTGCTGTTTATGCCCGTAAGCAGCAACACTGGCATATGCGCTGAAGTTTTAAAAGGATTCAGGAAAGCTCACTAGTTGGCGGAAGAATCGCAGGTGTCCGCCCCACATCTTGGACATCCCCTTCTTCCTGTCCTCTGAGTACTTGTCCACGGCTTTCCAGATCTGCAATATGACATGAACAACAGGCAGCGTCAGAATTTCCAGTCTAGGATGCTGACACTTTTGAGCCTCAACTTGATGCAGTCTGCAATAACATGGAGACAATCAGCAGGCATGGATGGCTGCAGAGGAGGTTCCTTTGATGTATTCTGGTCTGGTGGGGCTGTGTGGGGCAAGATTGGGACCATACCTGGAGCCACAAGGCACAGGAACGGTTGTACAGCTCCTTGTATTCTGGGCTGACCTCAATGGGAAGCTGCTCGTATGTCACTCCCTGGACACCATTCAAGACCTTTAGCTTTTCTCCCTGCACCTTGCTTTTTGCTATGATCCTACTTTGCAGACCGTTGGATCAGATGGCAGGAGAAGGCAGGGTATCCATGGGCTGCCTGCAGAGCAGAACAAAGCAGAGACATTCACCTCGTAGCTGAGCGTGCGCGCCAGGAAGAAGCCGGCCTGTTTGAGCTCCATGGCCACCAGCTCCATCACACCTGTGCACACATGCTTCATCAATCACCGCAGCCACCAGCATGTATGAATGGGGAGAAGAATGCTGTCACTGACCCAGGCATGCGCTGTTGCCTGTCTCCCCAGCTAACTGTATCTCTGTTTTCAAGCGCTCTTCAGGGCTCCAGGACGCTTTCTGAGGATGGATATAAGGTCAGCAATGGGGTTGCGGATATGATAGAAAGGAAAGGATGGGAGCTTACTGATGCCCTGCTGCTGCAGCAGGTCGATGAACTCGTCCTTGCTGACAAAGGAAGTGCCTGGGCCCCACAGCCCCAGCCGCTGCATGTACCCCAGGTTGGACGCCTCCGTGGCGCCGGTGGCTGACACATACAGCACGCGAGCGTTTGGCAGCCGCCGCTGCAGCTCAATCACCGCCTGCATGCATGCAGAAATGTTTTCCAGTCAGCATACTCTGCACTGAGATACAATAGGTCCCAGCACTTCAAAAACATGTGTTGCAGAAAAGTGCCTGCTCTTTGCAAAATCTCTCGTTGACAGGGCAGAGAAGATGTAAGGTGGCTGCAGATAGGTGGCCATGGACGATGAGCATCGCACCCTGGAGGTTTTGCTCTCCATCTGCGCTCCACGTTCGCCATACTTTGCAGTGCAGTTCTTGGCCCTGCGCAGCGCGCATGACATCATTGATCTAACAAAGTGAAACACCGGAATCTGCTGACACATTTGCACAATGACGATCTTCAGTCGCATGTCATTTGCCATTGTGACCTTTGCTCATCATTGTCCCTTCATGCATGGAGGGACAAAGAATCACTGAAAGAAGACACAGGGCCACTCACTTGTGGCACTCATCAAAGACCAGTGCGCCGTCAAAAGCTTCACCGCCGCACCACTCCACGATCTGTGCCAGCCGAGACTGAGGTCCTGCAGCAAGGATCAACTCTTCTTTTAGTGTCGTTTAAAGTAATTTCTGCCCACAAATGACATAAAGCAGCAAGCTCTGGAGAGCAGTTGAAGGGACATGAAGATAGGGGTGGGACCCCCACCAAACTCCATCTCTCCACACACTGCCTCCACATACTCCTTCTTGACATGGATGTCGGCTCCAGCAAGCTCAGGATTGCTGAACTTCAGTGGATCCGACTTCTGCATCGTCTTCACCGAGCTGAATTTGGTGGACTGTGAGATGAGCAGGTTGTATGTGCTGAACAGCACCCCCTTGTCCAGCCCCTGCATGCACAGTGAACACAATTGGATCCTCCTTGCCGCCTCCTTTGAACCATTATTGCCGTAGGCATGTAATACCACTGAGGTCCTTTCTATGCAGTTTCTCTGCTCAGAAACTGTCAGCAGTCCAACTTCATTGCTGGCTGATGCGCAAGTCAAGGCTGATCTCAGCTGGCTGCGGGACATCAACTGCACGACGGATTTGGAGCGCGGAACAGAAGGTAATTACCTTGACTTCCTCCAGCTTCAGGCCGGCCCGCAGCTTGCCGATCTTGCGCAAGTCATGGATGCGGATGGGGTCGTACTTGTACGCGCCAATGTCCCTGAAGTCCCGTGTGGCATCCACTGCCAGATCGGCTGAAGCAGAGAACCACATTGCCTGCAGAGGTGCAAATGAAAGGCTGGTTTTGAGCAGAATTTCCACACTTGATGCCAGCATTAATCTCCTACACAACCCATCGCCAACGCCACATGCAAGGCGATCGCACTCTGTCAATGCTGCAGCAAGCACCCCAGCAGGGCTTGCTAGTTCACCGGCAAGTTTGGTGATGCATGTGCAAGCAGTATGGGGTGGCTTGATCAGCTGTAGCGCACCCGCTCATTGCCCCTCTTGCGCAGGATATTTTCAGTGACGAGGGCGGCGATCTGGCGGCCCTTGCCAACGCCCGGCCCGTCGCCAAGATAGAAGCCGGCTCGCTGGCCGTTGGGCAGGAAGGTCTCATGGCGCGCACATGCCAGGTGGACCGCTTGCACCTGCAGTGCTGAGATGCCATCTGCATGCACATGCCACAAAAGCTCATTAAAGCCCATTGCCACTCGCTCTATTTTGCTTGGATTGCCCCCAAGGTCCAACACCTTGCACAAAAGAAGGGTGTCTGTCCTGATCTGGCAGGCGCTGAATTGGTGGACATAAGAACAACATCAAATTCAGAGTGATTTCAAGAGCCAAGAGGGGGCACTCACTCAGCAGGATTTCCTTCGGGAGGCCCAAGCTGTACTGCAGCACAGGTGTCTGCACAGAAGACAGCGCAGCTGCCTCTGACACTTTGTCAGGGTGGGGCTTCAGCTTGATGCCAAGCCTCTTCTCCAGGCCTTCAGATGTCACCGGAGCGAAGTAGACATGGTCCAGACCGTCGCCAATATCCTGGACACATAGGAGATAATACAGGTGAAGGGAGCAAGATGCCAATCAGTGAAACGTTGGACACACAAGGGACACTCGCGATGCATGCAGACCACCCACCAGACAACAATTGCTGATCACCCCTACAACTTAATCGGTGACTTCAGTGTGAAAAAGAACAGCGTCGGTCTGTACCGCTTACCAGGTCGTCGTATTCCTTTTGAACGTCTTCCTGTGGAGATGGCTTGGGGACAGTACTTGCTGGCTTGGGCTGCTTTGCAGGATGGTAGCGAGGCGCCACTTTATGTTTGTGTTGCGATTGGGCGCGGAACGACACTGGACCTGGGACAGCATTGCTGAGCACCTGACCAGCATGGGCGGGCTGTGTGTGCCGGATACCCAATTTTTCCTCTAGCATCATGCGCTTCTGCTGCTCTACAAGCAACTGAAATTTTTTGAGGGCAAGCGATGCATCCATCGCTGTATTGTTATTCATTGAAGGTAGCATCTTTCCCTATGCCATCTTCACTTCAATCACTATGCCCCTGATATATTGCCCATCAATCCCCCAATACAGGTACATCCACGGGATACGATTGTCATGCACATGTCAATTATTCCTCCCCAGAGATTTTTTCTGGAAGTCTGTCGCGTCCGTTGTTGATTTATTACTGTTTGAAAGGGTTTCGCCTCGTGGGGCCGATACGCACGTTTGTTCACCCCTGACCGCCGACCACTTTGGGGAGTTACAGTATCGAGGAAATGTTCAAACTGCCTGCTCACTCCCCCTCTTCTCTTTCTCTTTTCGGTCGCCTTCTTTCACCTCTTTCAGATCACCTGCAGGGACGTGATCTGGCATAGGGATCGGATGGGGAGCGCCGCAATGAAGATAGATCGGAGAGAGCTGCGTTACTTTTGAGGTTTCCTTTTTGCCCAACCATGACTGCTGTAAGACACCAAAGTGGCGCTCAAGCTCGCTCCTACCAGAAAGCAATAGTCACACACAGTGGATGTTGTCTCTCTCCGAGACTCCGAGAGTTCCTCTGCGGGACCCCTCGTACTGTGTTGACTGAGGATGCTTTTGATGAGGATGTCCTTCTCTCCATCCTGCCTGACAGGCTCATCATCACAGCTCTGCAGGTTTGTGGAACTTTCTTGCATCGATTGACATGCTGTTTTGATTGCATGAAAAATGGCAGATGCATGTAAATTGGCAGTTTTGTGCACTTTTGGACTATCCCATACCGGACCCGACCCATAAACGCCTCGTGGGTGCTTTGGACGACAAGATGCCCCAGTAACAAGGAACTAATTGTGATTGAAGATATTTAGACTGCTTGCAACACATTGACACAATATATTTCTTGATGCATGTCAGTCCAAGGTTGGGGGCTCGATGGCTGCGACAATTAGCACTTGTGAGGGATGGTCCCCTTCTTAGTGAAGCTAGCCTCAGATGATGCTCGTACTTTTATCGTCTGATTGAGGCTGCTGACCATCACTGTTGGGCAGGACACCGGAAAGAACGCAGCCTTGCTGTTCCTGGGTGATGCTTGCCTGGGTGGGAGCGGCCCCCTCCTCAGCCTCGCCTACCGGTACGACACCATTAAATTATTTGGTCAGCATATGCACTTGCACACGATGAGGGAGCACCACAAATGCACTTGCCAGCGTGTGAGCCCTTTTATAGTGACAGTGACTATGCCGCCCATGCAGGCTCAATGGAGACGCGCACACTCTGCCGGTATGGGGCAAGGCCGGCAAGGTGCAGATGCTGCCCAAGGCGCTGACCAGCGGGCAGGGCACGGCTGGGGACGTGGTCTGTCGGCTTCTGCTGTCTGGGCGTCACTTTCTCCTAGTGCACCGACTGGCGCTTGTGCTGCTGCCCCAGCTGTCCAGGCTGCTGGCTGACGTGGAGGCCCACCCGGGGTTCCTGCCCGCCATGCTGGAGCCCAGCGAGCTCATGCAGCACCTGCACACAAAGGGCGCAGCTCTTACTGGCCACCCCAAGGTATGAAGATGCCGTTACTATGCAGCCTTACTACTACTGCTGACAGCATGCCAATGTGGTCCCGATGTGCCCTGTCATCGCACAAGGTTGACAAAACATCACAAAGGCTGCTTCTGCTTGTGGCAAGAAATGCTTGTCTGGGTTCCTTGAGCGATGGGGACTAGTGTGTGCGACAGGGCGTGCTGGTGTCCTACTTGGACAAGGAGGGGGGAGTGGGGCGGGCTGTGATCACAGTGGATGTGGCGCACTCCTGCCTGAAGCTATGCAATGCAGATGGGGGCGGTCAAGGGCAGCCTGTGGGCACACTGGATGCAGCCCTGGCGATCCTGCCAAAGTTGCAGCCGGCGAAAGGCAAGCGATCGGCTGAGACATTCGACCTGCACGCCGACGACGGCTCTCTCAGCATCCCTCAGGCGCCAGAGCGGCTCTTTACAGAGCTGCCGGAACAGGCATTGGAGACAGCGCCTTTAAGAAAAGAAGAAGCGGCAGCCAGTGCAGCACAAGAGGAGTCTCTGCGCAGAGACAAGGAAGCTGAACTTGCAAGCGTTCCAGCAGATCCGCGGATAGCAGCGGCAGTGCGTAGCATCAGGAATGGGGAGAGTGCTGAAGAGCAGCGGGATGCCTTGCTGGAGGTGTTGGAGGATGAGATGAGGGGTCCTGCTGACTGGGCAGATGCATGGATGGAGCATGGCTTTCTCGAGGTGCGCCTGTCAGCTCATTTAAACTCTGAATTGGTCCACCTATCATAATGCAGAATCCTGGAGTGTTGGGCAGCCTCATCCCATGAGAGAGCAGAGCCGCCAAGTTGGACAATGACTCATATTTGAACTTTTCCCTGCCCTGGGACAACCTCACCTGCAAGCACGAGTCTTAAGGATGTGTATTGACGGGCAGGCGCTTGTCCTGAGAGCCACAGCTGCTGGAGACGGGGGCGGAAATGAGGGCGACCAAATTGATGAGCTGATCGCCCAATCAGCTGTGGCAGCTCTGTCTGGCGCCAGTGACGAGGCTGCAGCAGCCCAGCGCATTGTCAAGGAGCTCAGAGGGGCGCTTGCAGAGGGCCTGCCTGGCGTGGTGCTCCTGCGGTTGCTGCTGGCTGTGGCCGACCTGCCCGCCGTGTGCAAGGTTAGCCACAATCAATGTTTTCCACACATCTCGACTTGGCGCCATACACATGCAGCAGGCGCCCATGACTCACAAGATAGCTGCCAGGCCTACAGAAGTGTGACATGGACCGTTGATCAAGATGCGCAGAGTGTGTTGCTGCAAGCAAGTTTTTGTACTCAATATTATCCTGTGGGTTTGCCAGGTGGCAATGACCAGCAATCTGGGGAGTGCAATTGCAGCGCATCTGGAAGCGCTGTGTGTGGTGAAGGCGCCTGCGCCGCCGTGTGAGCTGCCCACATCAGACCGCACGAGCATCACGGACGACTCAGCCTTTGCGTCATTCCGCTCACCCACCAGCCAGAGGGCGAAGCAGCCCTTACGCGACGTGGCCGGACTCAAAATTGACATCCCAGGTAGGTGCCTCGTGCAGCTGCTACAACATCCTGCGCAATGGAAAAATGCTTGGCAGACGCCGTCAGCCCTCTTCTTGGCAACAGAGGTTATAATATCTGGTTTATCTCAAGCATGCGTGTGCCAGCAGGTCTGGATGTCAACAGTGGGGGAGATGGAGGGGTCTTGAATGAGAACGAGGGCGCAGTACCTCAAACTCAGGCACTTAGCAAGCTGTGGGCACCGGCCAGCAGTGGTCCCATTGCTGTCCCCGGGTCGTCCAGCAAACGAGTTGTTGTGCCCAAACTCATGCTGCCCACCAGCCAATCTCCAGGAGCACTCATTGGTGAGCTTCTGGTGACACAACATGTGGCATTGGCTTGAAACTTACGCAGAGAAAGAGACATCGTGTTTTGTGCGTGTAATGATCTAGGTGTTTCTGCACTCAGGCGGCCTGACCAGGTCCACACGGAGAAACTTGACAGACCCAAGACAGGGCGGTTTTGCGAGCACGCCGCTTGCGCGCACGCACTCACCAGCGTTCGGCACACCACCCACCTCCTTCCGAGAGGAGGATGAAAGCCTGCCGGTAAGTACCACTCATTGGCATCAATCCTGAAGGGCCTCCGAGCCGACCGGAGCCGTGAAATGGGGAGAAAAGGGGATTAGAGCATCCAAGAGGAGGATGACCATAGCTCATTATTTGTGAAACCTCTGTATTAAAAGAAAACATGCATGCTAAAGGAAAGGATATTGTGCCAGGTGACTGCCTCTGCAGAGCTGGCGGCGCTAGGTGGCGCGTTGGGAGAGAGCTTGGTGGCGGCTGATTTGGCGACCATCATATCGCACAAGCGGCAGGCCACGCTGCGCCGCGCGCCGTCCTCTGCCCTCGCGCTGCACCTGCACCTGACTGACCACTCCACATCCCTGGACGCGCACAGGTGCTCTCATTTCCCACCATTCCTCCCTGCTCAGATTCAGCTCTGTTCAAGTCTAAAGTAGCCATTTAACACCCCAGGAGCAGTATACAAAATGTTGAAAGAATTATCCACCTGACGGAGAACTTAGCGCAAGGCCTCGGCTCCTCTGTTGACACTGCTGCCTTTACAAACCTTTGAGACATCATGAGACTCCTCACTTCCAACCCCAGGAGCTTAGATCCTACATGGCTGGCATGTCGTGTGCGGACAAGGCACTGCCGGTGCTGACAGCTTGAAACAACGCTGCAGGATCCTGCTGACGGCGCGATCCACATCCAGTGCGGTATCGCCCCGGCAGACGGCGCGCGGCTCATCTCTGGGCTCGCCAGTGGGTCGCCTGCAGCGTGCCACCTCCCGCCTGACATCCCACCGTTCCATCGCCTCACAGCAGTCTCTGCCCTCTCCCCACGCTCCCTCCTCAGGTGCGCAGCCATTTGCCGCTCTCATGACACATGCTGTTGTTTTTCAGCTCCTGTGACAGGACCGCCTGAATGGAGGAGAAACTATTGCTGGTGATTCTGCCTGTGTCTGATGGTATGAATTTTTCAACTGTTGGTGCCTGCAGAGCAGAACAAAGAGGCATATAGCAGCGGTCAGGGTTAGACATTGAGCTTTGTATTGAATGACAACAAAAGAGAAGAGAAAGCAAAAGAGTGAGAGCCGCTTCCGACGTTTGAATGCGGGCTTTCTCCGGTAGAAGGCATTGGGCCCATTCACCGCTCTTCCCACATCACACGGCTGATCCAGACAATTTTTTGGGCAGCAGATGATGAGAGCGCAGACAGCCAGCGCATGTGTCTGCTGCTGGAGGCGCTCTTGGCAGTGGCGCCACTTGTGGCGGAGTGCGCCGCGCTGCGCTCACCCGCACGCAGCCTCGCCTCCCACCTCATCGCGCAGGCCACCCCCAGTACCCCTAAGGTGCGACCTCTAGCCGTCATAGAAGATCTGCCGTTCTTGTGTCTTGCAATGAAAGCAATGCAGACCCCGTACACGCTACTGCCGTGTACAGCATGCCTGCACAGAATCCAAGCTGCAGGATCTTGGCTCATCAGTAACCTTGGGCTTATTTGTGCATGTATTTGTGTGTGCTGAGTAGGTTTGAAGAGTTCCTGTTGCTCGGCTGTGGCAGGGTGATGGAATTGCTGGGATCAGCGAGCGCCAGCGCAAGCTGTCCATGGCGGTGCTGCACTACTTTGCGGCGGAGGTGCCCCGTGGCAATGACATCATTCAGCAGCCGAGCTGCTTCATGCAAAGCCCGCACGCTGCGGGGCAAGCCGCTGCAGGGCGCGCGCGCGAGAAGCACCCGCTGGTGCAGAGCGTGGCAGCCTCTCTGACTGCGCTCTGCAGTGACAGAGCGCATCGGGTGCGGCCCCTCAGATAACATCACTGTTGTGCTTGGGAGCCCTGGATGCAGGACACGGATCAATGGAAAAATGTGCATCAGTCCAGCAGTCTGGCGATGACTATCTGCTACAAAGACAAATGTTCTGTGTATTGACCTTCTGCTAAATACTGGATATCCAAAAATCACGATAAAATGCAGATGGTTTCTTCGCAAGCTTCATTGCAAGCGTTGCCCAACTGCTGGGCTCACCGCTAACTTGTGAATTCAGGCACTGTCGGCCCAGGCATTCAAGGATGCGTCGGCGCTGCTTGATCTGCTGGATCACTACCTGCTGGCGTCCCCTGCGCCCTCGCTGCCCAGACTCGTGGAGAGCACCTGCTCGACGGCCGTGAAGGACCTGCAGAGAGCGCTCATGACCAGCGGCCCGCTGCACTCGTGGCCGCATGAGGCGATGGCTGCAATGCAGGCCCTTCTGAAGCTGGACACCACTCTGCTGCAGCGCTGCCAGGTGCTCCACGATGTAACACACCTGTCTAAATGCCAGGATGTCAATAAATTTTCTGTAGATTGGGTGGTCATGTCGGGTGTCAGTGCGTTACGATGAGGGGTATCCCTTTCCAAAGCCAGGATGTCAATAATTTTTTGTAATATTGAATGTCATGGGAGGCATCAGGTTCCCCATGATACAACGAATTTTGGGCATGCAAGGACTTAAAGTTTTTATCTGATATGCGCAGGATGCTGGACTGGGGAGGAGTTTGATCCAGCGCATGGTGCGGGACCGGAGAGCAGCCAACTTCCGGGCGGACATTGTGAGGACCGCGGCGCAGCTGTGCGAGCACGGCGCATCCGGACTGCAGATGCTCCTCGTGGCCTGCCTGGATCACTACACTGCCCTGGCCGAGCTCCTGGGCAGACAGCCTGCTGTTGGACAGGTGCAGTTTCCTGCTTCTCTGTCACAAACTTCATGCCGCAGTAACGAGTGATGGCTTATCGGCTCTCCAAGCTTGCAGCTCTTTCTCCTGACCAGGTGTTGCCCGTCGATTTATCGCTTTCGGTACATGCTTTGAGGCAGATTTTCCTGCAAAGGGCGCATGCATTGCAGATTGTTAGATCCTTTCTTTTTCATGCGCAGGTGGAGGCAAAGCAGCCTGCCAGGGCCGCACCGGCATCCGTATCTGCTGCAGAGGCGGAGGAGGGCGCTAACAGCGATGGAGGGAAGGGGGCAGACATTCTGGTGAAGCACACCCTTCAGGGTGACAGCATCGCCAGTTTAGGCGCGCAGCGGGGAGTCAGCCTTGACACTTCCAGAGCGGAGGCCCTCAAGGGGCTGGCCTTCCTAGTGGACCCACCCAAGGGCGTCGCCGTGCGCCTGCTCACCGGGGTACGCTCCCCAATCAGCACATCCTCATCTCTTGAGCAACGCACGGCCTCAAGTGACCCTGTGCATACCTCCCACAGATGTACTGGCCTCAGCTTCAAGCTGCTCAAATGTATTGTGTTGCCAGCCTTCTTGATGCAAGCGGAGTCTATCCATGACAAGAACCTAATTGAAATACGATACTACCATTGCCACGTTATGACCAGATTCCCAACTGGCCTGTGCGAGAGCCTTGCGCGAAGGGGGTGCAAGAGTTTTCTGGCGCTGACTACGGTATATATCCTGCTGCAGCCGGCGTCGGCTCAGTCTGAGCGGGAGCACAGCGGGCCGGAGGCGCGCGCGGCGCTGCGGCTGCTGGCGGCGGTGTGGGGGGCCCCGGGGAATCCCTTCCTGGGCTCCAAGCAGGCGGTGGACCAGGCCGTGCACCTGCACTTTCTGCACTTTGCCAAACTCTTCCACGGCCGCTCCATCAGCGAGTCCACCACCACCCTGTGCCGCCTCCACCTTGAGGTGCCACCCCCTACTTTTCATAAATATTCTCCAGGAATTTATCAATTGTCTGGGGTTGAAGTAGGTGCTCGCCACAAGCAATGTGACTGCTCCGATGAACTAGCCTTGCGTCTTGCCCACCTTTGGGAATTCAAGAAGGGGCCCGAGAGGGGGTGAGGGGTGATCCACGTCACCATGGCACCTAGCCGCCCGGCTAGCAATACATCCATCAATACAGAGCTCATTCTCTTCCCCCCAGTATTGGAAAACAGATTTGTGCAGGAAACACTGAACACACAATTTTCCTTCTGCAGGTGCTGCGGGCCATGGCGCGGTGCACGGGGCCGGCGGTGCGGCGGCGGTTCTACCAGCTGCGCGTGATGGACCTGCTGGTGCGCGAGCTCAGCCTGGAGTACGAGGCCGCGCTGCAGGCGCGCCTCCCGCCCGCGGCCGGCCGCCTCGCCTCCGCCGCCTCTGCCGGCTCCGACTTCCTGTCTTCGCCCTCCCGCCCAGCCGCTTCTCAAGGTGGGAGCTGCCCCGTTGTGCATCCATGCGCCCCCTCTTTCTCTTCCCATACTCATCATTCCATGGTCTCTCCATTGTCTTGGTGGACTGCGTGGTCATCAACAGACTTCACTGCTTCCAAAGCATGCCCTGCATACATGGCTGGGCCAACAATGTTCGGATGGTTTCCTAATGAGCTCGCCATTATACTTGCTGCATGGTTCAGTGTGTTATGCACTGTGCAGGCGATGCAGCGAGAGGGCCGAGCAGCCCGTTCCTGAACAAGGCCGGGCAGGCCTTTAAAGTGCCCCCGCTGCAGCTCTCGCCGGCGCCGTCCGCCACCGCACTGGATCTGCGCGGCCTGTCCGGGCATATGGCGCCTCTCAGGGACGCCGACTCAAACCTGTCCGACGCCGTCACTGGGCGCGAAGCCTCCTTCGGCTCCCTTGCAGGTGGCCAGGACGCCGCTTCTTCACTCAGCGCCCACGGCTCGCGGCCCCCCACAGGTTTCCCCCACCCCCTGAACAACTCCCATTATATCACTATCACTGCTGTTGTTGTTGTGCTTATTACACCATCCCTTTACCAATAATCAAGGTGCCTCTGCAGATGAGCCTCCCCAATAGTATATACTAAGCCTCGGACTTGTACAGCACATACAATGGAGCCGCGTTGAAAGCTCAATTTGCAGGTATTATCCGCGCAACCAAAGAACAGATCAGCGCCGTACATTCATTTGAACTCACAGGGGTCCGGTGCGCTGTGCAGGGGGCAAGCCGCCGCTGGGCAGCTCCCGGCCGACGGCGCGTGGCCGGGGCTCGCCCGTGCGCAGCAGCCGCATGGCCGCACCGCAGCGGCCGTCCTCCGCGCCGAGCTCCGGCCGCAGCTTCGCGGCGCCTTCCGGGGCGCTCCCCTCAGCCGCCACCCCGCGCCTCGGACGCGCCAACACCGCCGTCCCCCGCCTGCTCCTGCAGAGCGCCATGCTGCATGCCACGCAGAGCGGCGGCTTCCCCAGCCCGTCGGATGACGGCAACCAGACAGCGCACTCTGCGGCTTCCAGCATGAATGCAGCGCCGGAGGCTGCCTCTGAAACTGCAGCCGAGGTGCTGCAATTAAGCAGGGAGGATGCGGACAGCGCCTCGGACTGCTCCACAGAGGACGAGGGCAGCTCTGAGTCGGACAGCGGCTCTGAGGCGTCTGGGGGCGGAACAACGAGGAGGCAGATGGGCCCGCGGCAGGACGCAACCGCCTCGAAGCCGACTGCGCCGTTCCATTTCAGCGGTGACCTGGACGCTGATGTGGCGGCCCTCGAGGCCCTGGAAGGCGCCAGCAGCTACTACAACTGTGACACTCAACGGTACCTACCACCATCCTTGATCTTCTTATACCATTGTCCATTGAAGTGTTCCATGGTAACGCCTGGCAGGGTGTGACAAGCACACTCCCTTTTGCAGTGTGCATGCCATGTGTCAAACGTTCATGGTCATCTGCGCAGGACGTGCAGCAGCACAGGTTGGACGCCACGGCCTAGTGAAGGCCCGGCAGCCGCCGTCAATGTACTGAAGCTGGGCGCACTGCCGCAGAGGCCGCCCAGCGCGGAATCCAACGTGCCGCGCCTGAACCTGATGGGCTCCCTCAGGCGCAGCCAGCACTCCGGCAGCGACCAATTTCCCAGTGAAAAGGTACGCGCCCTTTCTTCAACTCAGATAGGCATTATTTCAGCACGCCGCTGCTTACGCATTTCACTTGCTGCATTCTGTCACCAGCACAATCTATGCTGACCTGCATGTTGCGGGCGAGGACGGTTTGAGGCTCAAGTTGAGACATGGGCGTTGTCATCCTGTACAATCACAAAAAAAAAGTGATCTGAGATGTGGTGCTTTTGCATGCCAAGAGTTTGTGGGGGTCAGCAATAGACATGGGTTAGACGAGTCTGTGGGACAACAGACCTGCATCTCCTTGGCAAGGGCGAGGGTGATAAGGCAAAATTTTGTTGTGGCACAGGGTTACGGTGACGCGGCGGAGGGCGGGCTGGGGTCCCTGGAGCAGATGGGCCTGGGCATGGGCAAGATGCAGGCTGCCCTGGAGGCGCACAATAGCGCGGGCGAGTGCCTGGAGGAGCCCGTGATGGTGCTGTCCTACGGCGAGGAACGCGCCAGGCGGGTGCTGTACCAGGACAAGGAGCTGCAGCTGCTGGTGCGTGCCTGCATGAAGCAGCTTAACATTTCATGATTGTATTTGTCTTCGTGTGTCTTCAACTGCATGTTCCCCATTTTTATATGTGGGATGAGAGTGTAACCTGGCTGCCACGCCTGCTGTGAAGCAACTTGAGAGGGCCCATCTGGGCCAGGCTGGATAATGGTGGGTTCGAAGTGCGGGATGAATGAGCATCCAGAGCCGATTTGGACCATCTGGTGTTGCTTTAGTGCACCACTTGTCCAATGCAGCATCCGACGGTCCAATTTAGCCTTGGGTGCTTGCGTCCTGCATTTCAAACTCACCATTCAGAGTTGTTCCAACATTGAGCAGTTATTATTACAGACTCCTTGGCCCAGAGCACCACCTACCCAAGCATTCCTGCACAGATCTCACCTTCCCCCTGCTGCAGACCTCCTGCAGCTTTCACAGACATGATCACAGAATACAGATCATCAAGGTCCGATACTGCGGCCACAGATCTCACCTTTTGCTGCTGCAGACGGCCTGAAATATGGAAAAGACCAACATTGGGACACTGCCCTCGCAGGTGTTGGAGGTGGTCTTGGAGCTGTTGCTGAACGAGGCGGGGCAGCTGGACTCGCTATACTCCTCGCACCAGCCCCTGGAGCGGCGCCAGCAGAATATCCCCCACCTGTTGCACCACCACCTCAACCACCCCTCCAACGCCGCCCTCGGCCCCCCGCTCCTGGCCGCAGCCGCGCGCATCGGCCCGGCCGCCACCCGCCTGCTGCGCCTGCTCTGCTGCTCCCTCTTCCAGCCGGGCCTCTACTCGCACCGCAGCCGCCTCGCCCGCGGCGCCTACGCGCAGGTGCGACCCCCGCCGAGGCCTTCTGATTGTTTATCATCTATCGCGTGTTGACAATGAGACTGGCGCCATTTAGGATGCCTGTTTCCTCAGATTTGGATGCATACCTGGCCCCTGAACCTGGATAACGGTGTGTGTATTGTTCCTCTGAGGGACATAGGCATTGACAATGGTAACAATTTCAAGATCCTGTCAAATTATTCTAGTTCAAATGTGCGCAGTGGCCAACTTTTCCATAATATGGCACATTTCCTATACCAACACCCTACACTCCCGATTAGTTCAGGCCATTCGAGCGCAAAGGCGTGCTCGTGGTTTTGAAGGGCGTCCCTGTGACTTTGTCTGTGGGGCTTTTGCAGGTCTACACAAGCTCCTTCACGGAGACGGGCGCTTGTGAGGAGGTGGCACTCAAAGTCATCGACATCCCCACCTCCATCCACGACCCCTGCTACCAGGTAAATGCCTGTATTTGCATCCCTGCTTCTCTCTCATATTAGGCGCAGTCATATGAGCAGGCCATATGGTCCCTAAGGGGAAATACATTCCTGCCAGTGTATTTTACAGTCTACGATGTGCCCACTGTCAGGCTCCTGGCCGCCCTACAAAGCTTTGCCCGTCTCCCCGACTTCCCTGTCTCAGCGGTCCGCAGGGCCTTAGTGGCGATTGCTGCGACTGTTGTTTGCAGGTGGATGTATTTTCGGAGGTGTCTATTCTGGAGAGGTTCAGGGGCCAGCAGGCCGTGTGCCAGCTACTCAACTATGGGCTTGAGGGGGACTCCATCGTGCTGGTGATGCGCAAGTACGCGGCCTCGCTTAAGGCCTGGCGCGCCCGCATCACCTCACCGCCCGCCCAGCATCTCCGCCTCTACCTCACCATCTTCGCTGACATCATCGCCGCCAAGCAGGTATTTCTTCTCACCCTGCTGCCATTGCTGCAAAGGCTTCTGCATTGTTGCATGCAAGTGGCAATCTGCCAGGACCCTTCTCAATAAAGCCTGGCATCCTTGAAGAACCCCCAAAAGAGCATGCCTGGCTTCCCATGTAATCTCGAAACAAAATGCTTGCCACGTCTTACATACAGATTGCTGTCTGGACATGCCATGAGGAAGCCTCGATGCCCGGGCAGACTTCAAAACAGCTTTGGAAGCTCTTCGTTGCATTGTACTCTCCTTGACGTGTGGCTGTGATGTGGGCGTGCAGGTGCTGGCGCAGGACAACGTGGTGCACTTTGACCTCAAGTGCGACAACGTGCTGCTGGAGCCGGTGGCGGGCGCGGCCGAGGACGAGTTCTGGCTCCCCGGCAGCGCGCGGCCGCCCTTCCGCGTGGTGCTGGCCGACTTTGGCGAGAGCCGCATGTACGCCTCGGCAGACGGCGCCGTCACCATCCGGTGCGTGCCCACGACTGAAAATTCTCTTTTCAAGATCTTTCAGTTGCATGTTCAGCTCAAGCTAAGCTGGCACCTCAGGGTCCAGTGTATGCCAAAACGGAAACACGGAGACTCTCCGCATCTAAGTAAGCATCTACGTTGGTCCGGCGTTATTTCCCAGCCATGCCCTTCATTGATCCAACTGTCGATTGCTCCTGGTGAGCTTGTCTGCTTTGTGACACGCATGTGGCCAAATGAGCGGCATGAAAGCCTTGGTCTAGCGGGCTCTCAAGGGCACACTGCATATTTCGACCTAGCTTGGCAGCATGAGTAGTTATATGAGATGCATGTGCGGCGCGCAGGAACCGGGGCACGGAGTATGTGAAGAGCCCAGAGATGCTGCTGGTGGGCAACGCACAGCGAGCGGACCGCCACGGCTTTGACAGGCGCCGGCGCGAGGGCGCGGGGCCTCCCGCCGACGTGTGGGCGCTGGGCTGCCTGCTGTACGAGCTGCTCACGGGCGACTTCCTGTTCTACGACCCCGACTGGATCCGCTTCTTCGTCCGCCTCGCTCAGCCTGGCCAGGTGCGGCAACATTTTTCTCCGTGCTGCGCCACTTGCGCCGTCAGCAACATGCGGGTTGCGCACATCAGTCTCCAAGCTATTGTCAGCTCTTTCCTGCAGCTGGGCGATGCGCGATGCCGGTGCTGAATGAGCAGCCATAGGAAGAGCCGAGAATAGCCCACGAGGCTGACATGCTGGAACCTTGTGTTGCTGTTGGCAGCATAGGTTTGAATGGTATTCCAAGTGATCTGCCTGCTATCAGAGTAATGCATTTGTCTTAAGGATACAATGTGTATCCTTATTAAGGCAGGAGTAGACACACGTGCCCGTTCGCTGCAGGAGCTGATCCCGCCGGAGCGCCTGAAGGCTGTGGCGGACCTGCCAGGGGTGGTTGAGCTGCTGGATTACATGCTTGTGCGCGACCCCTGCCGCCGCCCCTCCCTCTCTGACATCGCGATCAGGTACATCCCGCCAGACGTTTTTAGTTGTGGCGCTGAAAGCCCTGCTTATGTCCACTTACATAATGCAGAGACCTCCAGAAAGAATTGTTGTTACTATGAAGCCATGGGGAAATTGCAATGGCATTAGGTGCACTATGTAAAAATGCGAACTGGTGGACCCTGTGGTGCCAGCTTGACCTGTTGAATATGAAGGCACCTGATAAGAAGGGCAGGAATGCAAAGAATGCAGACCTAGCAGAATCATGTACATATGTGTTGATGCGTGCAGGGTGGATCAGCTGCTTCGGGGCAAGAAGGTGAAGCTGCCGGCGCACGAGCGGCCGGCCGGGGCGGGGGGTGGCCGGCAGGTGCGCGCAGGTGCCGCCGGCACGGACGTCACGCCCAAGCAGCAAGCGCTCCTGCAGCCCGCCGTGAGCAACGCCAGCGAGCTGAGCGTGCGCTACAGCCTGGCAGAGCACTATCTGAGCGTACTCACGCCGCTCACGGACCGGCTGCTAATCGGCTCGAAGGAGGCCCTGTCCAGTCAGCACGCCCTGCGCCAGCACGGCATCACCCACGTGCTCCTGCTCTGCTTCGGCCCCCAGGTGACCAAGACCCACTGCACTTAGGATGTCGTGAACATGCTGTGTATACGACTGAATGTCATAAGGGTTTATTGAGTCCACTGGTCACATGCCTCGAGCGCTTGTGTATGTCTTCATGGAGCTGACCTCAGTCTTATACGATAGAATCAGGCCTGTTCCAAGAGCATGTTCAGCGCTGCATGTGTGAAAAGTGTGCAGAGGGCACTGGCAGCAACTGACTGTCTTGCGTATGTGCTGTGCAGTCCACCGGAGACGGCCAGAGCGAGGGTTCAGGGGACGGTGCCTGCTGCCTGGACTGGGTGCTGTCCGACGCAGGCCTCACAGCCGCTATCGCCAACTGCACAGCTACCGAGGCTGCGTGCAGGGTCGTCCCTCTGGGTGCCCTGCCCTGTGGCTCGGTGCGACCACACTCAATAGAACTCACACGCACATCGAGCAAACCCCATAGCCTGCTCTTCTTGGGAAGGAACATAGCTGAAATGAATAAAGTGCAGCACGGCTTTGTAGCTCCTCGTAACTCTGTCAATGGGTGTTGCCCTGGGTGTACACCCTGAAAAATGACATGCATGTCAACGCAACTGGAGTGGTGAGATTTTGTGATCTGTTGGCAGCAGGACGCGGATGATCAAGGCTCAGAGCAGCGGCTGCTGGAAGCCATGCCCAGCATTCTGAACTTCATCGACGCGGCTGAGGCAGGGTGCAGCACAGCAGCGCCTGATCTGGTGCGGGCGTCTGGCCGTTCGGGGGCGAACCTCGTGCGCCGCCGGACGTCCTCCAGCTCCTCAGACGGCGAAGCCGGCGCCGACAGCTTCGCCCACCTTCCGGGGCATGTGCCTTCCAGCGCAGACGGGTGCGCTTGCCATTCTTTCAAGTATACATTCCATGACTGTGCTCATCAGGCTTGCTGTGTACTTTTAGAAAGGCTGTGCGCCCCAGAGTCATAGTGCCCGCTTACTTGCACTTTGCCTTACACCGTACTGCCAACAAGAGTTCGCATGCAACGTGCGCAAACAGTTTGTGTGCCCATGACAGGCTTTGGAGGCCAGACGCGGAGCCACAGGCGCGCAGGAGCTCAGGGGAGGCTCGCGCAGGGCCAACCTCGGCCCGCCTGCCCTCAGACCGGGCAAGGGTCAGTATGGAGGGAACGCGCAGCAACCCGGCGTCCGCCCGCAACGCCGCCACCTCAGCCGCTGACATCAGCGTGGCCAAGCGGTGGCTCAAGGCCCAGGGGCGTTGCACGGGCAGTTCCGCGGGCAGCCCAGCCGAGCAGGCGGGCAGGGGTGAGCGCGGCAGCTGCGCGGGGGCATCGAGCGGAGCGGGCGGCAGGGTCTTGCTGGCGGCTGCGGCCGGGTATGAGGGCGAGGCGGCGGTGGTTGCCATTGCGCACATCATGCAGCAGGGGCTGAGCCCCCACGAGGCTCTGGTGGCTGCATCGCAGCGCCATGTCGCCCTGCATGTACGCGCCCTCACTGTCTCATGTACCTGCTTCTGAGATCATGTATACAGGTTGTGGTGGCTTTGTTCTCCTTGTCACTGCTGCAACAGCGTGAAAAAAAAAGATCAAAAAATGCTGAAGAAAAATGTGGAGCGGTGCTGAGGATGTCTCTGTTGCTGTGCAGCTGCAAGACCACAACCGGAGACAGCTCACAACGTGGGCCAGGCTTGCGAGATAGGAGATAAGTTGAGGGCATTAACACAATTTTGTAGCTTTGAAACCCAAATTTGGATATGTTTGTCTTGAATTCCGGTGCTGAGACAGTGGCTATAGCACATGGAGGTGGCCGTCTGTGCACGGGCACATTGTGAGTTTCCAAATTTTCCAGCAGAGGCGCGCCGCATTTCGCATGTATAGGGTTAAGAACAGTCACTCTGGCTGCATGCATGGGCTGCCCACTTGGGCCAAATACCAGGATTGTACAGCGTAAATTTGATGTGCCAGCCGGCCGGTGTACTTGGGTACACTGTCAGTTAGCCCTGTAGGGGTAGATCTTGTAGATGATGCACGCTTGCAATCTGCCCCAGCTAGATGCATAGCAGCGTTGCAGAAATGCCCGCAAAGTGCATGCAGATCTAGTGTGAACACATCGGCTAAATCAGTCTTGGCTATATCTCATTACATAATCATCCAATATTGCTAGGGTGCTTTTGAATAAAAGCCTACATCTGGGCTGTTGATGCTTGAATTGAAGCATGTATAAACCGATCTTCAGCAATTAAGCTCTAAAGTCTCACGCATAATGTTGTAAGGGCCCTGGTAATATCTTGGAGCCTGTGTTCACCTCCCAAAAAAAATCTTGCCCAAGAGGCCAGAAACTTGAAATACTGAATGCATTCTTCCCTCTCAACTCCAAGCCCATTTCCACAATGGCAACATCCATGTGATGAACAGAACTTGACGAGAAGTGCTGGAGTAATTCAAGGCAGCCACTTGCCCCGTCTGTCTTGTATCAAGAAGACTGACTGAGAACAGTTCAGCCACACCACCCAGGATGGAGCCAAGACCCTTGTGTGTTGAAGAGCTAAAGAGTTATGTTCCACAGTTTATCATGCTGCTTCCTTTCGCACAACTGTCTTTCCGTTCAACCCTTCTGCCCCATTCACCAGTGGCTGCTTCTCCTCTGCCTTGGCCGCCATCTCTGTGTCCTCCACCTTTGATTGGGGCGGGGACTTCTTCTGCAGCCCCTGCCATGCAGACACAATCTCCCTCATGCCACAACGTTGCACATGCCACAAAATTGCACATTACTTTTCTCTCACTCCAAAGAATGTCCAATGCTTGTGATTGAGAAGCAGAAAGACGTCCACAAATTTGGGGCCACAATCGGCAGTGACGCGTCTTTTTGGCCCCATTGGTGATTCTATTATGGCCAGCTCACCTGGAAGGAGTACCAGGCAATGCCAGCAAGGGCAATGCAGACTCCAGCAAACTTCTTGGGGGGCATCTGGTCACCGAAGAAGGCAACGCCGCCGGCCAGCACAATGATGAGCTTCAGGTGGCCAATCACGTTGAAGGTGAGGCCTGACGTCGCCCCAATCATCAGAAACGTCGACCACGACACCAGCAGCCCCAAAATCTGCACCCAACCAAAATGTCTTAAAAGTTGTTTCTGACCACAAAAACCCCTCAGTAAATCCTCACCTTGTAGCCATTAGCAAATGCCTTGCAGACATGCAATGGCCGGCATAGCGCTTGCGCAATGATGGCAAGGAGTGACACACGCAGGAACGCAGGTGCAGGTGCGCTCACCGCGCTCCCAATAATGGCTGCCGAAGAGGCAAATGTGTAGTCAAAGCCCAGAATGGTTTCTGGGCCGGGGTTGGTGAACCCCACAGGCTCAAAAACGGGCACCAAAATTGCCAGCAGGCCTGTGGCCCAGGGCGTGTACTGGTGCATCAGCTGCATGCTGCCTGCCTCTAGCTCCTTCTGCTTGGTTCCAATCCACACCTGATGCCAGCACATCAAGATCTCAGCCTGCAACCATCTGCAATGGATAGCATGGAAATATTTGCGGCAGCTACAAAATAGCTGTTTCTCAACGGCGGAATACACAGCAGACAAGGCATGTATGGCTGATCCATAAAGCACCCTTGTGATGGCATCAATGCCAGTTAACAGGAAGCTGCATGGACAGGATTCCCGGCAAAAGGTAGATTGGAGAAGAGATGTTGGAATGACATGCCTGGTAGACGGCAGAGAAGAGGATAGCGGCGGCGCTGAGCACCACTCCCATCATGTTTGTAGAGACTGTGGAGTCTGTGACTGTCGCCAGCACCACTCCCACCACCACCAGTGCAATGGCCGAGATTTCCATCCGCGTCAGCCGCCTCCCCGTGATCAGACACTGCACAGAGCATGCAGCACCATTCATTTTCTGCAAGATAGGCAAGTGAGCACCATGCATGTGCATGCAGACCCTTCCACATCAATGGGGATATGGAGGGAGGATGTCATGTTCTTGCAGGAGGAACAAGCAAGGCTCACCTCAAGCCCTGCAACTGATGGTAGCACCATGATCTTGGACAGCTGGTAGAAGCCTACTGAGTTTATCTGCAGGCTCAGGTTCCAGAATACCACATACCCCACGAAAGCAGCTGCCAATGGTGCGACCTGCAGGAATATTGCTCACGTTGAGGCCAGCAAAGGCTGACAATAGAAGCAAACTTTGGACATGATCAGAGTTGGACGTGTTGGGCGATGTTGCAGAATTAAACAAAGGGAAGGTTGAAGGGCCCCTCTGGAAGCAAGCGAGTGTGGCCAAGTGGACACACCTGGAGGGCTTTGAACCGCTTTATCTCAAAGATGCCCCCGGCAGCAAACATCCACATGCCAATCATGGTGACTATTGTGTGCACCAGTGTCAGGGCATACACAAATTTGAAGTTGAAGACTGATAGGACAGCCTTGTTCGCAAATACAATCCCACATCCCACAGCCACGTTGAAGACCCCATATACGATTGGCTTGATGTTGGACTTCAAGCTCATCTTTCTGCTTGAAGAACTTATCAGTGGCCCTCAGCCCTGTTATGTGTTGAATGACTAGGACAGCGCTAGGATGTGTGCATCAGTCTGCGAGGCAGACAACATCGTCAAGCTCTTGGATCAACTCTGACCCATAACAACAATCAGTAAAATTTTATCATTACAGTAGAAATGTAGTCGTCCGACAAAGGCCACAGTTTCTACACCTAGAAGCAATATGTGCCCGTTTGGCGCTAACTCCAAATTCCTGAAGAAGCCGTCGATTTTACCAAATATCATCCAGGATTGATCACCTGGTTTCATCGGCTATCATTACGATGCAGAAAGAACGAGTAATTGTAAAATCTGAGAGCACTGCTGGGGCGTCGTATGATTTAGTGCGCCAGGTCTGCAGCCAAATGGACAGAGTTGGGGACACAGTACCCCAATATCGACTTCAAGTTCTTATATCCACATCAGTGAGCGATTGAACTGATAAACTTCGATCAAATCATTGAACCACAAGAAGCTGTCGTTGCCTCCCATTCTTCCCCTGCAGAAACGCCATCGAACGGTCGGCACGATTGATGCCCAGGCGGTGACTACGGCCTCCACGTGTACCGGAACTTCCTCCACTTCAAACGCGCAATCTTTTGCGGCATCGGGGCCTCTACATCCTGAGCAGTCTTTGCAACTGCATCAAAACTTATTCGGGTATCGCACTTTGTAGAATCATAAGAGGTCCTCGATCATTGCTGTGAAGCTCTGTTCCGTCTGAGTCGAAGAGATTTCACGGAGTTCACAGCTACCGCCAACGACCGGTACAGTTCTCCGGGCTCTCTCTCTTGCACAGTGGTCTGGGACAACCTTTCAAAACAATATCTTGACCAAGTAAATATTTGAGAGGATGTACCTGTGGGACCTTCCCTTAGTCTGGTTGCGTGTGCTCTGACAGGGCGACGGTTCCTTCGCGAACGTGCCACACGTTTGACTGGCTTGCATGACTGCTCCAGCTCGATCGATTTTCCTTTTCACCCTTCTGGCGGTGATGTTTATGTCCGGCTTTATCGTGGCTTCGGCCCTTCGAACTGAAGAACCTGATCTCGGTACGCAACTGCAATCTCGCAGTCTGGTGCATGCAAATTAGTCCTGCGCTGCCTTGCATCGTTGCGTACCAGCTATTAGTTGCTGAGGGATCCACTGCTTTTACAGGCCGACGACAGCTGCTGGACGCAATGACTATAGCACAGACGAGCAAAGGCGACACAATCAACAAAGGCAACACCCGCGTCGAAAGCGGATTTACAGCAAAGCAAAGCACAGCTCGTATAGCTGGAGTAACGTGCGTCTCTCTTGACCGACGTTCATTTACTTCCGTTGACGCATGTCTACACAGTTGCTGAAAACTTAGGTCTGCCTTGTTTTTGCTTGTCTATCCATTGTTTGGTCTGTGAGATTACTTTGCAGCGCTATTGCAATGGCGGCACTGAAGAGCAGACTGTGTGGCAAGGCAGGATGTATAAAGGTGGCACGTTATCTCAGGATGGATCCAACTTGCGAAAGCGCAGCCACTCAGCAACGAAGTCGGCCCGGTTATCCTGAGGGGCGCGTGAACCTGCCGTTGAAGTCAGCTTTATGGGACAAGCAAGGATTTCGTTAACAGGATTCTAGAGATCTGGGGTCTGTACATGAGCAGGCATTTTGGACGTTTTCTGCACATGCATTTCTTGCTGGTATCTACGTCAGAGATGAAGTACATCGTGTCACTGACATGATGTGAGAGCAACCATTCATCATTTTTGAAGGCGTTTGATCCAAGCATTGAGTGGTTACTACTCCTTGCCATATTTGCAAGGAGGAGTGATCGAGCGCCTGTTCAGTACAATCTTTGAGCCCAAGAAATTCTTCCTTTTGGTTGATCATCGATGATATCATTGAACAGCTACGTCTGGCTTGTTGTGGCCGCTGACTAGGGTTGGGCGTTGTATTATGTGCCCAGACAATGGGGGAACCCCATTGCGTTTAGCCTGGAGTGCTGAATTGCACAGCTGTACAGTGTTATGCACCATGTTGAAGGAAACAGGACGATGAAACTTGATCGGATGAAACTCATGAAAAGCAGGTGTAGGCCAGAGTCTTTATACTTGGCCCCACAAAACATGATGATTGTCATGCACGATGCTTGGACTGGAATGTGAGGTGCAATTGCAAAGGACGATGCCATAGCATCCTGTAAATTGATCTAAAGATACCCGCTGCAATCTTGAAGGTTCAGTCCTGCGCATTTCCCCCAACTTCCTTGCCAACCCGCGGGTATGCCTCCAGGCAACTCAATTATTCCCGAATGGACATGCTCCAAGATCACTGTCTTTGGGTGTCTTGCAGCAGTCACAAAGAACTAAGAAGCGAAGACCACAGATGGCAATCAGCTTTCTCTTCTCAAGCATACTTCAATGTTCCCGACACTCTACATGTGCCGGCTGACCCGCTCAGCGGAAGTCAAGGAGCAACACTGCGACAGCTCAAGATTCTGCTTCATTCCTTTTGTTGGGGCCATGTTTCCCCTGCTGCTGCTAGAATGGGCGCGTCAGCCCGGCAAATGATTGGACTCAGCAAGGACTGGTGGTGCCAGCTAATTCCGTGGCTTGATGTCCGCTTTCGAGGCAAGATCCCAGCTCGATCCTGCAACCCACACATAAATTCAGGCAGCAATAGGGATATCGGCCATATCGAAACGCACATTGTTGCTGCCACAATACTTGTAAGGCAAGGTATAGCAACTGTTAGAAGTTCTCTTGTACGAGCCGGTAAACAGTCACCAAATTAGACTTACGAGTGGTTTGGCACAGTGAGCTCTGCACAGTGCCATGAAACATGCAGGCAACATGCTCTGTGAGTGGGGCAGGATTGTGCTTCGTTGTGTCGCAACAAGTGCTGACCAAAAGCTGGGCCTTCTTCGACAGCAGCGGCGCTTCTCATTGCAGAATCAGGCTTCCGAGCATGCGCCGGCTCCCTGGATCCAGCATCTGGTCCAACTCTTTCGAATGCTTACTTTAATCAGGGAGCCTGCGTAACCGGAAGCATGATCTTGCAGCTTGAGACGCCGCTGCTATGGAGGAACTCAAAATCGCACAGGACCAGGCTTGGAGGGAGCTGCATAGCTGATGTTGGCGCTGCTTAAGAGCCATGTGCAGAAATGATCCTAAGAGGCCTTATCTGTAGAGGCATGATAACAAGACGCTTGGCTGGCTGGGGGCGGTATAAATGCTGAGCACCGTGCCCATGATTGATCGGGTCTTGCTGAGATCTGGCAAGTCCATCAGGCGAAGGGATCTGTAGCCGCCTTTACCTGCCGCTGGTCTGCAGGCACACCTTGCCTCTGGCAGGAACAGTGCACAGACTAGAAATAAACGTCTGGGAGAAGGGTGCTTGCCTGAGGAGGACAATGAGTGGGCCATGCCGCCGCCGACATCATCCACGGAGACGACCTTGAGCATGAAGTCGCCGCGCACGCTGAGCACGCACACCACGTGCTGCTTGGCGCGCACCAGCCCGCGCTTCAACGCCACCGACACCGCCTCTGCCAGCATCTGCTCGCTGTTGGCGCCCCCCATCGGCGCCCCCAGCAGCGGGATCAGCCCTGCATCAGCAATTCCTCGATTTCTCAAGCCCCTTAGCAACCCAAACAAACCCATCTCATTCTGCGTCACTTACTGATATCTCTGCACCAACGCGCAAGAGAACACAGAGCCAGTCTTCCAAAGAGCGCAAAACCATAGTCCAAGATCACATCATGGCTGATACCAACTCTACAGCGCATACAAGATCTCGCCCCCCACAGGAGGACAGCATGCTGAAGCATTGTGATGCCACACAAGTATTGCGGGCGCAGCCTCATCCTGCCTGCACCATCGTGCCGTACAAATAGCCGCAATTTTCAGACATGCAGGCGGCATTAGACTGACTGCCGGACTTTACACTCCAACAAGCCAGTCTTCTCACTGCCTCCATCCTAGCCGCACGACTCAAACAGAACGACTCTCTCGGACGCCTCTTGTGGCTTTTGATCCCAGCTCAAAGCTTTTTGATCACAGCTCACAGCCTGCTGGCAAGTGGCACTTGTGCAGATAAATCCATGGGGCTTCAGAAGGGGCAGGGTGGCCACTCACCTCGCATGACCTGGAATTGGCGCGCCAGGAAGCGGCCCTCCAGCTCCCAGGACAGTCCCTTGGACTTCAGGTTGGGCACCACGAGCGCCAGAATTGGCACCGTCGGCCGGTACTTGGCGATCAGCGACGCCGTCCGCCCCGTGCCGGCATAGCAGATGATTAGACCCGCCTGCCGCAACACCCACATTTTCTTTTCACCCTTCAAAATCTACCGCCCACAGCTCCAGAGCATGGAAGATCCCATCCGAACAATCACCAAGAGGTGTTGCTTACGGGAGTGTTAAGTGCTGGGCACTACAGCTCCAAAGCATGGGATATCCATTCTAAACAAGCAGCCAGTTATTGTGGTGTAAGAGGTTGTTGTGAGTGCTGGAGCGAGGATGTTGTTCAAGGGGGTGCGCACATCCATCTTGGTGGCGGCGCGGACGGCGGTGGAAGCAATGGACTCGACTTTGCTCATGTAGGCCTCGGGGGCGCGGTGGCTGTCCATGGTGCCCTCCGCCAGCACCGCCGTGCTCATCGCGCGTGGTAGGCTGCCAAACGAAGACACCTGCCATCGTGCAGCACAAAGTTCACTCGGCTCACTCCAATACACCACCGACACGCTGAGCTACAGTCCACCTCTGACTTCAACTTGAAGACAACATTTTGAGGTGACAACATTGTCTTGACCAGATGCTTCTGCTGCTGATCTTCTGCAACCACAGGTGATGTGAAATGGCTGCACCCTGGCCCCAGTTGCTTCCGCATGACGTTTGAAGGCAGAAGAGCAGCAGCTGAGGCTGTGCGCCCAAGCACGATAAAATCAGGACGTAGGAAGGCTATCACTCATACATAAATTGCAACAAGTGGCGCCCGCAGCGGCCGCGAGGCCAATCGATCCTGATGGGTTTGTTGCTGGTCACCCTTGATTGCATTCATCACCCCATCTCCCAGTCGCGTTTATCTATATTACATCATGTTCTTACATCAAGCCAAGTGATCACAAAGGCAATCGACCTGAAGTAGCTTGGCCAATAGAACAGGGGTGCATACCTTGCCGGCGGAGCTGCTGAAGCGCATGGGGCCGGAGGCGGAGAAGCCGCTGGGAGAGGCACCAGCGCTGCCGACCTGGCCGCCGCTGCTGCTGGTGCGGCGCACGGTATTGAGGCTGGGCGGGTGCACCGGCGGCAGCTGGCCCGGGGCGGCCGTTGCCGGTGCCGGAGCGGCCGCGCCGTTGGTGGCGGCGGCCGAGCGCACGGCCGAGGCGGCGCGGCTGAGCGTGTCGGCCGTCGGCTGCGCCGCGCGCGCCTCGTCGAGGCCCGGCGAGCTGCCGCCCGGCGGGGAGAGGTAGTCGCCGTGCTGGCTGTAGTCCAGCGTCTGAAAGTCCTCCTGCATTACAACGAAAGGTAAGTGATGTCCCAAGCAATCTGGCATCTAGATAAGCAGACGCAGTCGCAACGTCCACCTGACCACCAAGAAGTGTGAAAGAGAGAACCCAATATCTGCCATACCAAAATGGGTCTTGCCTAAAAAATTCCAGCACATCAAAGCGCTGTTTGCACTGAAGAAATTTTAACAGCGAAGCGGTGAGGATGATGGCGCACGTCCATGGCGGAGGTGATCATGTGCTCGAAGTGCTCCTCGTAGTCGAAGGCCAGCTCGGCCTGGCGGCAGATGGAGAGCACCGTGCGCACGGTCTCCACAGCGTATCTTCCCCGGAGCGTCTCTGCTCCTAGCAGCATGCCGTCCACTCCGTCCAGTACTGCGTTGGCCACGTCAGTCGCCTCCGCCCTGCACCACAAACCCACCCCTGCCACCTCAGCATGCACCACAACTTCCTTTTTCAATTATATTTTCACAACACCCCTCAATGCGTCATCTAGCATGTGCTTGGTTGGCCTCCACATCCTCTGGGAGACTGGGCAGGCGCTTGCAGGGCACCAGGGAAACCTCTGGCGCCCTGTATCCTCCTGTGGAGCCACCCTACAGGACCAGGGGGAGAAATAGGTGACAAAGGGGCGTGCCTGGTGCAGCGGGGGGCCTCGACCATGGTGTCGACGAGGCGGGTGATGATGACGGGCTTGCCCTGCAGGTTGCACCGGTTGATGGCGGCCTTCTGCACCACGGCAGTCTTCTCAGGCGCCACGTCCAGCCCCAGGTTGCCCCGGCTCAGCACCACCGCGTCAGCCGCCGCCACTATGCTGTCAAAGTTTTGCAGCGCCTGCAGGTTCTCCACCTGCACACACCGTTCTTTTGTCATCCTGTTTCCTTGCTTGCACGTCCGCCTGACAGCTTCGCCTGGCGCTGGCTTAAGCATTCCTGCTGATCCTGATCCCCATCTTTGGTGCATGTGTTGATTGCAGGCTATCACCAAGTTGTACACGTGAACCACTCCTTGGTGAAAGCATCACTTTGAACAAGTCTTTTGTTTGCGATTTGCAGCCTTGGTTGTACGTCTGCCCGGTAGCTTCATCTGTCCCTGATATTACGTTTCCTGCTGAGTCCATTTGCTGCACGTAGTCTAGGCAGGCTGTCGGTCACGTGAACTTCAGACAGGATGAGGCAGGGCGCCTGATGAAGGTGTTGTCTTACCTTGGCAATGATTTTGACTTGAGTAGAACCGATCTCATCCAGGAACTCGCGCATCTCATGCACATCCAGGCCGCTGCAGGTGTACGTTAGGTTGATGTAATCAATCTGCAACAGCCAACGCAAGGTCACTGTCTTGACAATAAGTCAGCGCTGCGGTCGAAATCGTGGGTTGCAATGATCTGCGCAGCAAGGAAAAGGTCGGAGAGCCCAAGGTTTGAGGCAAGGGACATACCTCAAACTCCTTCGTATACATCTTGATTGCTTCCTCATCCAATTGTGTTAGCAGCGGTAGGTCAGTCTGCGCCACCACCACCACAGAGTCAAGCAGCCTCACAGACATCTGCTTATTATACCTTCCACAGACACTGAGACCAAAATGTCTGCTTAGTTGAGCAAGCGGCGTTTTGATCAGCTGATTAGAACTCTGCTTGCCTGCAGGGATGACATGCCGTCTCCGCCTCCCTCTGAGTGGATCACAGTCAGCAAGCCATCCAGCACGGCATCATTCACTGCTGTGCAGACGACATTCTGGCCTTCGACCTCCTTCACCTGCTCAGCATGCAGCACAAGCACTCACCATCTGAATGCGTTGCAGGTTCCAGAACCTTTGCTTTTCTTTCAATTGCATTGCATGCAGAAGCGCAGGAAGAAAGTTCTGAGTGCTGCAGACCTCGAGGTAAAGGGAGGACTGGTCTGCGCCGTTGACAAGGTAGCGTCCAACAAAGAGGGAGTCGCCCGGTTGGCACATGTGGGCAAAGTGAGGGTAGCTGATGGGCAGCTTGGTGGAGCTTGCCACCGCAGTCTCATCCGTTGTCACTACAAGCTCCTGACCCTTCTTGATTTCCAGCACCTCCTTGTGAGTCGGCCAACCCTGTGCACAGGGCACAAGCGCCTCTCAGACATGTCATCGAATAGTACAGATGTTGCAGCTTGGTGACTAATGGATGCGGCTATGTACAGTCCAAGCTTGTGCAGATTGAGAAAGCCAGAGAGGGCATCAAGATGCTGCGTTAATCTGAAGCATCGCATTCAGAAGTCCAGGTGTGAGGGGGGTGGATGGGAGCACACCTCACTGTCCAGCTCATAGTCACGTCGGATCATGAGCTCGCGACCGACAGTGTCCAGAATGACAGCACACAAGAGCTTGGTCTTCTGGGAAGCCAATTGCAGATTCCTGAGGGACTGCTTGTGGTACTCCAATGACCCCCACTGCAGGCACCACCACGTGTCTTCAGGTGCCCTAGAGGACTAGAAGGTGGCTTGTAAATACTACTGGCGTTACTTGTGCATTACGGTAGTGAAATACATGATCTTGATAGCTCGCTTCGACACCGCCATGATTTAAAGCGCACCGTGAGGTCAATACGAGCAGCAGCCAGGCCAGACTCCAAGAGATCCACCAGCGTGTCAACATCTCTGCAGGCTGGTCCAAGTGTAGCGATGACTGCAAATCAAACATCACGTGAGATGCATACCCGCAATGGATGATCGCACAACTTCATCCAAAGCAAGATCCATGGCGCCATAGATGGGCATATTCCTTCCATGGCCATCGAGTACAGACCGCCACACGAATTGTGGACTTTCCAGAGCAAAGCTAAGCTAATACACATGTAATGAACACAAGCAGGTCCAGTCCCAATCGCCCTGCCGCTAACAACACGCAGCGGTGTGGGTCCAAGAGTCACGTTCTTCGCATGTGGACTCTGAAATTCCAACCACAAAGTTCAGACTTCTCACCTTTTGTTCCTGCAATATGGGAAGGGGTCTCTGCTGGCTCCAAAATAGAGGGAAGGTCGAGATTTTTCAAGACGTGGGTCTTGGCCTTGCTTGATGGGGCCATTTTTGCCGGTGATCTGTCGCTGGGTCTCTAGCAAGTTCCAAACGATAGCTGCAAAAACCAGTGAGAAATGCAGCAATGTGAAGATTCAAGAATGTTGTGATGGTTACAAATTTGTTTTTGTATCAAGTTGCCGGCCAATGCCTGACTTTACGACGCTCATGCAGAGGAGCTACATTGGTAGCAATCACCCACCAATTGGAAGCTAGGGTAAAGGGTGGAACCTACGAGCCCAGTCGCCCAGGTACATTCAATCTATCAAGCAGAGGACACATCAAGGAGCAGTCAATTAAAGCTGTCTAATTCCACCAACACATGAACCGTTCGTGACGTTGCACACCAGGTCAGATTTGACTATCAGTAGCGCCACCGGCAGCAGGGGCAGCCACTGTATGTATACACTCATCTTTCCCAGGCAGCTGGAGAGGTGCTGCAAATGGCCTTGCCCCGGATCTATATGACATCTGGGTCGAAGCCCCTGCCAGGGCCGGGCGGCATGATGTCCGGGTGCACGTCAGGGCCTCCCCCGCCAAATCTGCCGCGGTCCCGCCGCTGGAAGTCACCTGGCCTGAAGCCCTGTAAAGCAGCAGCACCACACAATTGTCTCTGCAGCCAATACATGTAGCAGATGCATCAATGCATACTTGCAGGATATATTCTTACAAATCCCCCATCAGTCAAAGAATATTGCCAGAAAGCAATGCCTCCCACCTGCATGCCGGGCGGCATTATGGGGTCCCAGTGCGCTCCAGGGGGCAGGCCACCTGGAGGGAAGCCCGGCTCGGAGCCGTAGCCAGGGCCACCAGGGAAGCTGCCAGCAGGATCGGCCCCCGGGTACACCCCCGCCGGGGGGCCCCGGAACAGCGGATCCCCCGGGCCGACATGCATACCACCACCGCGGCGGCCAGGCAGGCCCCCCGGCAGTGGGCCTCCACCCTCTCCAGGTGGCATTTGGCCTGGCATTGGCGGGCGCACTGGCGGGAGCAGGTCGTCAGTGCCCACCCTGGGCACATAGGGAGCTGGCTGCGGGTACGTCGGAGGCCCTGCATGGCAGTAACATGCAAGGAACATCAGTTGCTGCTGTCAGGTGCCTGCCCCTGTGGAGATGCATGAACATGCGGTGCATGCCAGCTCATGTTACATGTGAAAGTCACGCACCAACTCAACAATGCATGCATCATGCTGACATTGCTGCATCAGCGCATAGACTACACAGGCAACAGGTTGACTGCCTGTCAATTTGACTTGTCATCGATTGTTGCTGCACAGCAGTGACAGCTCCCAGTGCTGCCGAGGGACTGAGTGGAGGGCCTACCCTTCAGCTGGAAGGGGTCGTCCTCCACAGAGCGAGCAGCTGCTGCAGACACGGGCGTGGCGACCGGAGAAGCCTCGCTGCCCGCCTGCGTGGCGGTGGAGGAAGCTTCTGCAGGCGGCGCTGCTGCATCCTTGGCAGAACCCACGTAGAAGGTGCTCTGCAGCCTTGAGGCCAGATCGCCCAGATTCTTGTAGGCCGACGCCACATCTGCATGATCAGTCAGATCATGGCATCAGCAACAGCCGCATGGTGCATCCTCTGACTGCTGCATGAGCTTATGCGTCATAAGATGTTGTGTATGAGCTTGTAGAAGGCACTTGCCATCTGGTCTGGCGGTGTCGTCCACATAGTCATCGACATTGAGTTCCAGCATCCTGGGCTCATCAAAGCTGCCAGGAGAGGCCCAGTGCAGCAGCATCTTGTCGCCCATGGGCACCATCTTGAGCAAGATGGGGGTGCGCTTGCCTGTCAGCCCAGAAGTGGAGTCAGGTACTCTTCTAAAGTCAGTGCACTGCATCTTGTGCATGCTCTCAGGAAAGACTGAACACGACAAGCAGAACAGAGACCTTACCTGTGGTGTCTACATATCGGAATGCATAGGCATCTGGCAGGTCTGTCCAGCCTTCCATGCCCACCTCAGGGCTCTCTTGTGCAATCTCTGCAAGACAAATACCTTGTCACCGTCTTGTAAGCAACACATTTTTGCTCCTCATGCTGCAGAGTAGGAACTCGAGACGTCCCGCACCTGCTGATGGCACATCTGCATCCTTTCCAGTAGCCACCAGCTTGTATCCGTCTGCGAGAAGGAAGGCATGGACCGCATAGGCCAGACGGTCATGCTTAGACCTGCGTGGCCCACGATAATATCGTCAGCAATCGCCATAAGTCCCCATATACAACTAAAGGGTTTAGATGTAATCATGGCTTGGAACCAAGTCCAGAGTTGGCAGAGATGTTTTAAAAGCAGGCCCTTCAGATGTTCCTTCAAAGAACTCATCTACAAGTGAACAGCGTGCTGCACACCGGAATTTCGGTCTCGCAGCGCGCACGATCGCCAATATCACTTGAGGAGTGGCCATACCGAGACGATCGTGAATGAATGCAACCTCATACTTACACGAGGAGCTTGATTGTGCAGCTTCAGAGCTGGAGGAAGCTGCAGCTGCTGAGTCATTCCCAGAGTTCCACCTTCCTTCTCGTCTTCATTCGTCTCACCTTCTGCTTGCATATCCGGTGACACATCTGTGGATCTAATATTTGTCTGTCTTTGCTACCTATTGGATCATCAGGTGGACCGGCTGGGTTCGCATTTCCACCATGTACGCATCAAGTTCCAACAGGGAATCTTCTTTGCGCGTCACAGATGATCAGGATCCCAGGAATGGGACCTTCAACGATAATGTACGCACCTTGACCCTCTTCACACGCAACAAGATTGCCTTCAATTGTTGTACATCCACACTATTAATGAGGACGTTCGTTCACCCAACGCTGGGAGACTCGCTCATAAAGATTTATCAGCTCATGAATAACGCTGTCTTCTCATCGAATCGCAGGCAACCACATCCGGATCACAGCAGAACAGTACATGGCTGAGTCGCTTACCTGCTGTATCTGCTGGAGTCTCACAACTGAGCAACGGATTTGCCACCCTCACAACTCGCACTGCTCAGGTAGCGTCCTATACGGATAATGTAGCCTTCTTCTTCTCCCGTTCCAACAGTGCTAGCTCGACATGGGCTGATGTGCTCCCACAGGCCAAGGATGCAGCAGTGGGGGAAGGTCAGACATGGCAGAGGCGCATTGCAAGCCTTTCAGGCCACCTCACTGGAGCTCTCTCCAATGCCTTCGCCACTTCTGAGACCGCCACTGCCCAGGCACTGCTCACCTCTTATTCTCCATAGTTTCTGCCCCTTGTGCCGGTTGCATGAATGCCACGACAGCTTTTTCGATGCATCGTAAATAGTATATTGCCAGGAGTATCCCTGGTGGCACCAAAATGGCCAGTACAGTGTTGCCATGGACTTTTTCATATTTATGATTGGGACAACAACGTCCTCTCTTGAGCTTATGCAGAGGTTTCTGATCACTTCTTTCCCCCACCCATGCCATGATATCCAGAGCAGCGGCGCGTGCTGCGCAGGGCATAGTGCTGAGCGCGGAGGTGCAGAGGGCGTTGAGGGAGGGAACAGCGGTGGTGGCGCTGGAGAGCACCATCATTAGTCACGGCATGCCCTTCCCGCAGAACCTGGAAACGGCGCGCGCAGTCGAGGACGTCGTGCGCGGTCAGGGCGCCGTCCCGGCAACCATCGCCATCCTAGACGGAATTCCCCACGTCGGCCTCACCGACGAGCAGCTGCACAGCCTTGCGTCCCAGTGAGACCCCCTTCCTCACTGTAATGGGCTTTGCTGGCCCACCCCTCACGGACTGCAGCTTTATGCAATGAGTGGATAGATTTGCATGCATGAACTGCCTGACATGTAGGACATGCTGAGGCAAGGTATGGTTAGGCTGGATGGAAGGGCAGCTGAGAAGGAGGCCTCGGGAAGCCGGTAAATTTTATGAACATGAAGAACGATGGGTTGGTGGGGTGGCAGGGCGCATAGGGTGAGGAAGACATCGCGGCGGGACCTGCCCTACGTCATGGCCAAGCGGCTGCATGGTGCGACCACTGTCTCGGCCACCATGCTGCTGGCTGCACGCGCAGGCATCCACATCTTCGTCACCGGAGGTGCTGCCTTTCCGCATGCTACTTTCCAAGGGCTGCTGCTGCGCCTCATGGCAAAATTATACTTTTACTTTTGAGAATATGCAGAAATAAAATGTACCTTTGAAGTATTTGAAGGGCGGACACATTGTGAACTGCAAGAGTGGCTAATGAAGCTTGCTGTAAAGCATGCTGTTTGCCTGACAACAAGCACGAATTGATGGTGCTTGCAGGCATCGGCGGAGTGCACAGGGGCGGGGAGAGCACAATGGACGTGTCAGCCGACCTGACAGAGCTGGGGCGCACCCCCGTCGCGGTCGTGTGCGCAGGCGCCAAATCCATCCTCGACATTCCCCGAACCCTCGAGTACCTCGAGACCCAGGTGACCTGATATCCCTTTGCTCATCTCTACGGGGGCTTTGCCTGGCAGGAAAACCCTTTGTGCGGCGCTTACCACACTGTTCTGTGGCTGGAAATCGGGAGGAGTATCAGATGGACTGTCCATATTCTGTACACCAATTGTACCGGTCAAGGGGTGCTGAGAGTCTCAAACTGAGACATCAAACATCCCTGTTGGGCGAATTTTCCACTTTTTGGCATTACATGATAAGAATGTCTGATATTTTCTTGGCGCGCCAGGGTGTGGGAGTGGCAGCCTACGGCGCGGACGAATTCCCGGCATTCTTCACGCGGCGCAGCGGCTGCCGGGCGCCCCTGCGCATAGACACGCCAGAGGAGGGCGCCGCACTCATCCGCGCATCGCTGCAGCTCGACCTGCACAGCGGCATGGTCATCGGTGCGCGCCCGCCATCTCAAGCTCATGAAGGCCTGCTGGCCTTAATGACCCAGTCACCTGGCACCTGTTTGGTCGATGAGAATTCCTTTCCATGACAGGTGCTGAGTGGGAGAAAAGCAACAAGGAAGGCAGCTTACACTGCCCAAGTTTGTTGCGGGGCTCTTGGCAAGCTTCTCTGGCTTATGCATCCACGAGGCAGTGTCAAGTTTTGGTCAGACCAGGCTCTGCAAGAAATGGCTTGAAATGAGGGTTCTGCCAGGCGTGGTACAATTTGCTTGCCTACAGCCTGGCACTGAAAGAGAGTGTCCATTGGTATGGCAAGATTGCCGTTGCCGGAGGCTGCACGGGGGCGTCAACATGTCACTTCATTCACCTACCGTCTTTGAGCATGCTTTATTCTTTTCTCTTTAACCACACCCCGGGCTCCACCAGGGAATCTGATGTTTTAAAAGGCCCCTCGTATGGCAGGCGTCCCGGTGCCGGAGGCGGCGGCTGCGGCGGGGGAGCGAGTGGAGCGCGCGACGCAGGCGGCGCTGAAGGAGGCGGCCGGCCGCGGGCTGGCCGGCGCGGAGGTAACGCCGTTCCTACTGCAGCGCATCCGCGAGCTAACGGGGGGCGCCTCCCTGGACGCCAACATCGCCCTCATCAAGCACAACGCCGCAGTGGGATCCCAGATTGCCGTCGCCCTGGCCTCTGCTGCCTGAAGGTTTTGGCCAGCTGACGAAGCAGCCAATTTGCCGCTGTCCCTGATCGGTTTGTGCAAAGCTGAGGCAGAATATGAACGCTAATAGCCCTGCTCTGTGAAGTTCTTTTGGCTATGCCTTTGCTGTGTAAATGTGACTCTAGGAATGCTGATGTGCCATAGGAGTTTTCTGCAGAAGTCCTTGTGAGCGTGTGCCGTGCTTCGGAGTTGTAGCGTGAAATCTGCATCTGGCAATGCTTGTAACAGGCAGCATCGGCATCCCGTACGGTGTTTGTATTAATAGCTCTCTGATGAGCAATGCAGTAGACTTTTGAGACAGGTGTCAGGCTATCCTGCTGTCTTGCTCCATTGAGCTTCTGCAGAAGCAATCAGAGGTCAGCTAAGAGTCAGCTCAAGCAATTTTGGAAGAGAGTGCAAAAGGCAAACAGTGTGTCCTGTTAATTGAATCTCCCTGCAAGTTCTGGTGTCCATGTGTTCCATGATTTTCAAGTGAGGAAGAGCTGGAAGACCATCTTTCAGGTCTTGGCCGCGGCAGAGACAAAATGTGTTTAATGACCATCCCTCCAGCAATAGCTAGCATGCATCCTTTACCAAGGAGTGAAACTCTAAGAAAATGACCAGTCTCACCAGAATACTCACTAATTAGAACCCATATATATGCATACATATATGCCCCAGTCTCTATATTCCTCAAATTGTCCCAAATCTTTCGTGTGATGGCAGCATTTGCTTATGCATCATTCAGCCAGTGTGCTGCTGATGCGGTTCATGTAGCCTCTATGCCAAATGGGCCAGCACACTACAAACTGGCCCCTAGTATATTGGAATGATCATCAGCAGCTCAAAGCTGGTTTCTGGTCCACGCATGAGAGTCCAACACTAAGCTAAGCTGTGTTTAAGCCAATCACACACGTTCATGTCTTAATATACATGTTATTTTTGTAACGCCCCACTAGATTGCATTGCACCCAATGCCCCATCGATGATAGCAGTTCAATATAGTTCAGTTGGTAGGTGGCGCACAATATCACCAGTCGGTCATGAGGACTTATTAACAAAGAACGCAGCAAGAACATGCAATGAAGACAGCAAATTTGGGAGGCACGGTGGAACAACATAACAACAAGGTACACTTATGTTGCAACGCTACTTCAACAATCCTGTTGGCCCACTAAAACAGCAGTATACCAGCACTCGAGGAACACTCTGTAGACTCAAGATGCATGCGACGCTGACTTCCAGAAGTTTGCCACTTCCGCCACTTCCTCAGATGCATGTGCTAGTACAACAATGCAGCATGTAAGCCTGCTTAACAATGTAGCTTGCCTGTAGGCAAGCATAGAGCAGCATGCCTGCAGCGGACATGCCCCTCAATTCATTCCAGGCTCTTTCCACCACGACAAGTCGTGACATCATTGCGCAATTACCTGTTTATTTAGTAAATCTTGACCGCCTTCTGCCAGCCAGCACCAAGGAAGAACCAGACTGCCTGCAGGGCACAGGAACAAACGTATAAGGAACAACTGTCCAGAAAATGGTGCATGCCAGAATTCATAGAGCTTGAGCAGACCTCACAATGGAAAGCAATTGAAAGAATGCTGGGGAGGTGCAGGCACAGCAGAAGTTTGTTGACAAAGGGGCGCACCAGGTTTCCAATCCCAAAGATACCGCCGATGATGAAGGTCGGCAGGATCTTGAGATAGCCGGCACCATAGTACGCGGCGGCCTGGCCGGAGGCATAGTGTGTGATGGACCCAAACAGGTTGGAAACGTAAGCCAGGCCCAGCGCTGCCAAGATGGGGTCCACTCCTGCAGCAGTCAACCCCAGGCTCTCAAAATCCTGATCTAACCCTTTAGCCATGATGCTCGGGTGCACAAAACATATATTTCAGGTGCATGTGCTGTCTCTCAATACTCATTATGTTTGTAATGCACCCTCGCCCTAGCCAGGCCTGTCTTTTATGCATTCGCGGCTTTGTAAATCTGCAATAAGATGCCCCATCTAGGGGTCAACTAAGTACTACTGACCAGAGGAATGCTTTCACTATGCAGCAGATATACAAACATGGCACCACATGTGCGCTGACAAGCAGCAAGAGATACATGCAGGCAAAGGACTGATTCACACATGACAGGGCTGTGCAAAGGCTGCAATAATATGCTGGTGTTGGGACAGGTGAGCTTGCCTGCTGCCAGCATGGTCTGGAGGAAGGGAGTGTACAGGGCCGCCACATGCGCGGTCTGACTGGCAAAAAGGTAGTGAATGATGTAGTAGACAAGGCTCAGAACCCAGAACGTCTGCACACATGCCCACACCAGTACCAGTCAGAAAATAACATGCATGCATGACCATGAACCATCCCATCATTGTGACAACAAAACTTCATGTAGGCCTCACCGGAAGCTGTCCAATGCCCTTTGGAATGCGCTTGGAGATGAAGGTCGCAAACAGCTTCATGACACCCTGCATCCCCACCACGCGCCCCATGTTCAGCCACTGACACAGCCGTACAGCACCAGGAAGTTCAGTGCCCCTGCTTTAATTTGCAATACAAGGAGAGCAGGAGACAGAGGCGTCACCAGTGTGTTGAGGTTGGTGGACATGCCAATGACGACGCCAAACCAGAGGAGGGTGTCCCATGCCGGGGTGTATTCCAGGCAGTCCCGCCAGCTCAGCACGCCGGACACCAGGAGCAGTGACAGCGCCAGGAATGCAACCGACACATTGCTCAGGCCGATGAAACGACTGCTAATCTGCACGCACACACCACAGCACAATTTCAAGGCATGTCCTTCCAGATCTCAGACTGACGTCAAGAAATTGTACCAAAATCAGATTCAGCCAACGGCAGCGCTTTCTAGAGCAGCAGAGGAGTCGATTAGCTGGGAGGTGATGGTCTTGTGAGGTAACGAAAACATGACAATGCTGATCAAGCACCCTGCCCTTACCATCGCCCGATGCCCTATTGCCGACAATGCCAGATTGCTCTCTGACTGCAGAGAACATTTTGTAGGTCTCCCAGATTGGAATTGTCCACGCCAGCTTTCACAAAGGACGCGTGCAACTCGAGCAGCAGGTGATGGCTCAGGGGGGTTTGGCACGCACCCAGAGCGCGACGGCCAGCAGGAGGACAATGCTGGTGATGTATTCGCCGGAGGTCATCGGACCCAGCTCCTTGAGCTTCAGGCGCGCAAGGTGGGGGGCCTCGGGAGTTTTCTTCAGCTGCGGGGGGAAGCACAGGTACACCAGCGCAGGGATGACCGCAAACGTGACCGCTGCCGGCAGGAATGATCCCTTCAGCCACGTCACCCACTCCCCTGCGCCACAGCAAATCAGATCGCACATCCTATCTCAGGAATACGCTCCTTCGGTAGCACTGTATGTCGAGCGAGGGCTTCATCACTGGTATTTCAACGCAAATGACCAAGGCCCAGCGCCCCAAGCAAGCAAAAGTTAAATAGAGTCTCTTGAAACTCTGCTGAGCTTGCTTGCCCGGTCATGCTCCTATTGCAAGAGCAGATTACAGCTATGGGTGCAGATTGGGAACAGGAGCATGGGCGGAGGTTGGGCCACACCTGGGATTGGAACGCCTGCATTGGCTGCCAGAGACAGGCACAGGAAGTTCTGTGCGGCGCCTGCAGGAAGAGAGCGAGCATTTACAATCAGCACCTCTCCTCAGTGATCCTCTCATGCAACACGCATATTGCCCCCCACCATGCAATGGTCAACCATCTATATCCGCCCACACAAGTCTCACGCGGACAGGTGCATGCACAATGCACGCTCCTCTGTGAGCAAGGGTCAGGGAAAGAAAAAGTACAAGGTAGGCAGGAAAGCAGCGACCCATGTGCATGTGAGGCAGGGTGGCAGGGGGTGACTCAGCACACCTGTGGCCCACATGGTTGAAGTCGCAACGCTGACCTGGAACTGGCTCATGGTCAGGAACGCCCCCAGACGCTTGGAGCTGTCAGAGAACGGGTGGCTGTCCGCGTTCACGGACAATGACTGGATTATGGGAACCTGCGCACACCCACAAATTCGCCCTGATCACTGCATCCCCCAATAGCGTCTTTATCCCCCTCGCACCACTGCAGAACTTGGAGCACTGGGCATCAATTGTGCACATCAGCCAGCCCTGACACCATCTGCGAGGTGTACTCTGCATGGCCGGTGTCATCTGTTCCCCAGCAATGCAGGGGAAAGGCAAAAACAGACGGCATGCAAGGGGAAGCATAAAGGGACACAAGCTTCACAGGCTCTCCCTTCGTCACATCTCCTCTTTCGTCTCGACTGGCAGGAGTCTGACCTGCAGCTTCAGTAGCACGTGGGTCACAACTTTCAGATGACACCGCATGCAGTTACACGTTTTACTCATTGGATTGTGTGCTTGTATATCCTGTCTGCAGCATTACTAAGGACTCACGAAGACTCCTCCGGCACGGGCCGTGGTGGAGGGCATGGCGGGAGAGAGCACGAGCTCAGCGCAGGCCAGGCCGTAGGCGAGGCCCAGGGAAGTCTTGCCCAGCACTGAGATGCACAGGTTGGCAATGCGCACGCCCAGACCTGTCTTCTCAACCGCCTGAACGCCCACAGGACAATTCTCAATCTCAGGCTGTCAAGTCCACCTGCCCGCGTGTAGGTCTCATGCATGCTTGGAGTGGCATGCAGAGTGTCTCTAGATCCAGTATGGGGAAGTGTCTGTCAAGCTTTTAGTCATTCAGGGTTGCGACAGAATGGTCTGGATGGTGTGTCAAGGTCGCGGACATGCCTTGCCGAAGAAGTAGGCTGCCACGATAAGCCAGATGGTATCGTTTGCTCCAAAGGCGACAAAGGCTTCCTCGAATTTGAGGGTCCCCGTCAAGAGGATGAACGCCTGTGCTATGAGCGCCACAGCTCCAATTGGTAGGGGCTCGATAATAAGACCTGCCACCACATGCCAACATGGTTGAAAGAAGCATGTAGTCAACATCGAGCTCTGGTGCGAGCTCTGGTGCAAGCTCCTGCTCATATCATGCTGCATGACCGCTGCAGGTTGGGCTGCAGTGTACCTAGGATGGTGGCCACAAAGATGGCGAAGAGCTGCCATGCTTTCCATGTCAGAGTTGCTGGCTTTGGGACAGCATAGCGCAGGATCAGGAAGACCACAATGCAAGCCAGGAACTTTAGAGGCTTCACACCCTGCAGCAGACACCAACAAATCAATTTATCAGGAGCTAACAGCGCATGTGCTGCACTTGGCACTCATTTGCAGGTTGGAAAGTGAATATAGCCAGTGATCAGGTAGCAAAATTCGTGCAAACCCTAGCTTTCGCAGTAGGCTCTGAGGCGGACCTTCCATTGATTCTGCATCGTGTACTTGTACCTTCCAAACATCCCACGCGGGATCGGCTGGGCAGGAAGCTTCTGTGCAGGCTTCCCAGCATCTCCAGGCTGCGCAACAGAAATGCCTCTTACGAACGTCTCATAAGGATCGAAATGCATTTTGATAACAAGACAGAACTAGAGAGAACTGCGAAATATTCCTATGGGTCCTGGACAACGGCACGCCCGCCAGGAACCGTAGACATTCTGAGATTCGTTTGAACACACCTTCTCGATGTCGTCAACAGCAACCTTCCGGCTTGAGGTGTTGTGGGCAGAATCATCCGGATGCTTGAGATCCCCATTTCCGTCTGTTACTATCGGATTCTCCACATCATGCTTCTTGTTAGTCGCCATGGTTGAGATGACCTCAAGCCTGCAGTGACAACTTCAGAGTCTCAGAATGAGTGGGCGACGACAGAAAGGGATACCTTATTGTATTGATTTAAGCAAAGCTGATACTCCCAACGGATCGTTTGGCCTGACTGCACACACTATGAAGTGTTTCAGGGTGTTAAATCACCACTGTACCGGAAGTACTGGCCTTAACAGTCGTGCAGTGACAGCTTTGCCGCCAAGAGGCAAAGTGCCATTCAATCGCATAGGCATACACAGCATGCGTATACACTTGACAACGTAAGAAGTCGTAAAGCTCGCGGCGATCACCAGCTAGGTTATCAAAGCAACCCCCGAGCCGGACAGTTCGGTTGGCTAGACGTGATCGATCGAAACGAAAACCATTGTAGACAAAGCTGAAAGTCTACCTGTGCCAAAAAGGAAGAACACACCGCCCCTCTAGAAGTACGAACTGATGGTCGGACGGGACTACGTAATACAGATGCCGGCCCGTCTCTCAGTTCTGCTGCCCAGCAAGCATATGGATATATACGAACAGGAAGAATTTCTGACACTGCAGACGTGACCTTATCGAAGCACTGCTTGCGCTGGAGCCAAAGCTCATCTAGGTTCAATCCTTCGTCATTTTTTAGCGCGCCCGACGGCGAGTCATGTGAGACATGTGGGACACATGGCAGAAGTTCAAATGGGAGGAAAGACAGACTAGTGTAAGGAAGCACCCGTGTACGACTTCGGTTCGATGTCCAGCTCTGATTCCTTCCAGGAGGAGCATCTGAATGACGACGGCAGTGCCTGCTGTCTGGTCAATATTTTAAAGCAGTGTATACAAGCGCTTTACAAGCGCTAATTTATAAATGCTAGCAAATGAGAAGGAAAGCTCTTTGCAATTGCAACTCTGATTAATCAATTTCATGCCCTTGAAATCTGAGTAGCAAGATCGGTGAACGCCCATTCAGTGCCACTCTTGCATGCAAAGATACTGATAAAAGTTGCATGCAGCATGCAGCCTTCAAGAGAGTTTAGCTGTGCAGCTGAAGCCGGCTCAGTACTTGTGTCACACAAGTTGTGTGCCGCACTTCCTCCAGGGCCACGAGTCTGACACAACTCAATTCCAAGTTGGGACTTATACGCATTAACGGTAGTACCACGGTAGTACAAATCACCCACAACCAGCCTCACGAGGTACAAGTATTTTTTCCCATGTGTCTGTAATCAGGGGGACATCATCTTCTCGTATCGCTTCACTTCGGGAACCTGCAGTGCCGAGCTGGGCTTCTGCGGCATAGCCAGTGTGAAGCGCTGCTCTGTGACCAGGCGAGTCAGCAGGCCCTTCCCCTGCCGCACGCGCAATTCTTTCAGAGTCTTCAGCGCGCTGCTGCGCTCTGCTTCCAACGCCGCCAGAGCCTCCTGCAAGCATTCGTGAATGTTGTTCGAGATTTTGAAGTTTCAGTGGGTTGCAGGTTTGGCGCTCACATTGCAAGCACAAGTGCCCCACAGCTCCTCCTTGAAGTGGACTTGCCCGACAATGCACTGACCTCTGCATATATCATAGTCGGCATGGTTTCATTAAGGCAAGCCTGAAGTCAGCCAGCCTACACATGTGCAAGAGCAGTCAAGGGTAATGCATCACCAAATGGTTGGATAGACACAGCCATGCGTGCACCTTGTGCGTGGAGAGCGCCTTTTTCCTGGAGGCTGCTTCGATCTCGAGCAGGTGCTCCAGGTGACCGATGTGCTGCTGCAGCTCCTCAATCACCCCCCTCTGCTGATCCACCTTGTCCTCCAGCTCACTGCAGGCGCACACCGCCAATTCTTCGCTGTCATCAACTCAGCAGAACTCCCCGAAAAGAAGCAAGTGAACGGTCGATCTCAATTGCCTGGTGTCACCAGGGTGCCATCCACAGGTGGAGGAAATGACTAATTGACTGACTAATTGAGCATTATACTGTATGATGACACGGCAAGCAGCGGGCGTTGCGGCGGTACCTGGCCTTCCACGATGCAGCTTCCAGGGCAGCTTCATGCGCAGCCCGCAGCTCGGCCAGCTGCTGCACAGAATTGTCACGCTCCCTAGCAGCCGCCCGCAATTGCTCCTCTGCGCTGTCCCTGGCCTCGACCGCTCGGGACTTCTGCAGGTCGATCACCTGCAGCAGCACATCCCTGGGCCCTGATTCCCTTGATAGACAGCAGCCAGGGGACTCTCAAATCTCCCAAATCTTTGACTTCTATTGGAATGCAGCATCAGGCTGCCGAGAACAGCAGAGCGTCCCGCCCAAGTGTGTGCAGCATGGTAGTCGAGCAACCTAGCAGTGCCACCAGCGTAATTTTGCACCTTTTGCGTCGCCATGGTACCTTCCGCTGGCCTACCGCTGGCAACCAGTGACTTGGGTCCTTGCACTGACGATTGGCAACTGTTCAGAGCCCCATCATTGAAATATCTCCACACATGCAGGCCGTGGGCGTGCCTGCAGGGCGGCGTCGCGTTGGCGCACGGAGGCCATGACGGAGTCACGCTGCGCACGCAGGTCGCGGACGGCCCCGTCGCGCAGGGCCAGCTCGGCCGCGTAGAGCTGCTTGAGGCCGGCCAGCGCCGCCGCCTTGTCGCGCTCCGCGCTGTGCCGCTGCTGACTCAGCACCCGGTCCAGCTCCCCCGCGTCGACGCCTCTCCGCGCGCGCGCCTCCCGGCCAGCCACCCTCTCCGCCTCCACCGCCCTGCATTGACGCATGCTACGCTCAAGCTTGTACCTTACGAATCAGCTGAGCATAAACAGAATCACAGGCGCTTGCTGAAGTCCATCTAGAGCAACATTCCCAGAATTACCCAGGTATCTATACTTTGCCTAATTTATGTTGATAGGCCCCTTGCAACACATCAAAAGCGAGCCTTGCTTGTGTGGCAGGCGTCATAGTTTGGTGAAAGGAGCAGCCCTTGGTGGTGAGTGTCATGAACATCAAATTTCTGTGTTGCCCCACCGGGAGGGAGGATGACTATGCAGTGTAAGAATATGGGCCGGTCTGAGAAGAAAAGCGCGCACCTGAGCGCCTGTTCCTTGTCGTGCTGCAGCGTTCGCACGAGGGTCTCCAGCCGCGTGACCTCTACCGCCTTGTCTTCTAAGCCACTCCTCAGATTAGTGATCGTGCTAGCCTGCGCGTCCGCCTCCAGCGCCCGCTGCTGCAGCCTCTCTTGCAGGTCCTGCATGCACGCATATTGCTTGAATATCTGCCCATCTCGTGCCCTTCTTGGCCATCTAGTGCTTGTGCCCATAAAGGCGGAGTGCCAAATAGACAGAGCCAAGAATTTTATTCATGCATCCCTGCTTTGCAATCATGTAATCAGGTGGCCCCGCTTGATAGCCATCTGAGGCCCCAGAGTCCAGCGGAATCCAGCTCCCATGCCGGGTCTGAAATCAAACAACAGTATGAAGTGGTAGAGGGATCTCAGACACACCTTCATCTGCATCTCCAGAGCTGCGATCCTGGCCTCACTCAGGGCTAAAGACTCTGAAGCAGTTTGCTGATCCACTGCCCCAGATGTCCTTCCTGATGGACTATCTTTATGGGGGCCAGCTTCTTCTGCCACTCTACTGCTGCGTCTGGCTGACAGCTCATCTCTCAGTGTCTGTGAGGCATGCCGCTCCTCCTGCAAGGCAGATTGAAATTTCAATTTGCCGGCACAATATGACATGACATGGAAGTCAATGGCGGTGCCGAGGGACTCACCTCAAGAGATTGGGCTGTGTCGGCCAGCTCGCCTCTGAGCTTGGCCAAGTCATTTTCAAGGGCGGTCGCATGCGCAGTCGACAGCTTCAGCTGCTCCATGCTCTCCTGCAGCGCTGCTGTCTTGGTGCCTAGGTCGCATCTCGCCTCTGCATGCTGCAGATGCAAAGCAACACGCCTTCAATCATATATGGGCTTTAAGACTGATAATAGAGTACAATGACGCATACTAACTGTTACCGAGCACAACACTCTACTATGCATATAGAGGTGTGAAAGCAACACTCTGTGAAGCAGAGTATTGACGGGTTCTTGGAACAGAATCAAGTCGGCACCTGTGCGCGCAGGTCGTGCAGCATGGCAGTGACTTCCGCCACGCGCTCCTGGGCGGCTGAGGCCTGCATCTCCAGCTCAGCGTGAGCCTCCTTGCCCTTAGTCACCTCAGCCGCTGCCGCCGCAGCCAGATTCTGTTCCTTGACCCTCAGCTCATTTACCTTCGCCTCTGCAGAATCCAGCTTCTGCTGTAGCTCTGTTGCGTCCTGTCTGAGCGCGCCGGCCTCGGACTGACTTGTTGCTAACGCGGCGAGCCCATCTGTGCATATTTTCTCAGCTTTGCTGTTGCGCACTTCGGCCTCCTCCCTCTCTGCCTTCACGCTGTCGCACCTCTCCTGCAGAGCAGCAACCTCCTCCTTCATCCGGCTCGCATTGGCCTGAGACTCTCTGAGGCACTCCTCAGCCGCCGCCCTCTGCTGCTGCGCCATCTCGAGTGCCGCGGCTGCCTCTTCCGCCTGCTTCTGTGCGGCCAGCAGCCCTGCTCGCAGCTTCCCCTCCTGCTGCTGCACTGCTGCATCGTGCAGCGCCCGGGCCTCCGCCAGCCTTGCCTCTACTTTTGCCTTCTCGGCGGCAAGCTCGGCAGTACGCGCGTCGACCTCCGCGCATTTTGCCGCGAGGCGCTCTTCCAATGACGCGATCTCCTCGGCCGACAACGCCGCCTGCGCCTCCGCTGCCGCCGTAGCAGCATCCGCGTGCTCTTCTGCCTCCGCTAATTTCCTCTCAGCGTCCTGGAGCCGAGCCGATGCGTCGGCGCTGAGCTGCGCCATCTCGGCGCCCTGGCGCTCCTCCTCTGTCAGCCGCTTCTCGAGCGAAGCCATGGCCGCTCCCAGGGAGGACGACTCCACTTCGTGCGCGGCCGCACTCGCTGCCAGCCGCTCTTTCGCATCGCGGTACTTTGCCTCGAGCACCGCTGCCTGCCTGCAGGTCTCGGCCAGCCGCCCTTGCAGCTCCGCAGCGGCCGCCCCTGCCTCTCCCCGCTGTCGCTCAAGCAGCGCCATCGCTGCATCCTTGTCAGCCTCAGCGATCGCCAGGCGTGCACTGAGTGCCTTGCACTGCGCCGTGGCTTCCTCATGTTTCCCACCGGCCTCAGCCGCCTCTGATCGCAACCGCTCGAGCAATGCCGCCGCTGCATCCATGTCAGACTTAGCCGTCGCCAGGTGTGCGCTGTGTGCCTTGCACTGGACACTGGCTTCCTCCAACTGCCTGGCAGCTGCAGCCGCCTCTGCCTGAAGCTGGGAGATGCGCGCATCCGACTCTGAGCGCTGCCGGTACAATCGGCGCTCCAGGGAAGCCATGGCGGCCGCCAGGGAGGTGCTCTCGGCCTCGCTGGCGCCCGCACTGGCCACCATCTGCTGCTTCAGGGCCGCCGCCTGCGCGCGCAGCGAGTCCTGCTCCCGCACCGCACTGTCCAGCTTGGCTTCCAGGTCCGAGAGCGCTGCATCCCTATCTCCCTGCGCCTGTGCCCCAAAAGCACGGCAATCAGCTGATCGGCTTGAGTGTGTCTTAAGCTCTACACCCATCACACATCGCATTGGCTTGTACTGCTTTGACATGCATGCTACATGTAAGACACTTGATGCAGCTTTTTCCCTTGTTTTCAAGGCAAACGCGGAGATAGTGCTGGGCAGGTACCGTCACATGCATGCAGCAGCTGTCTCTGTTAACACAAGGCTCACCTTCTGCAAAGCTTTAACGGTCTCTTGAGCCTCAGCCAAGCGCTCCTGGGTGGCATCGCGTTCTTGCGCGGCCTGCGCGGCCGCACAGGCCGCCTCGCCGCCCCGGGCCATGAAGAAGTCGCGCTCGCTGCTCGCCTCTGCCAGCTGCTGCTGCAGCGCCGCGGCTTTGTTCTTGGCCTCGGCCCTGAGCGCTGCAATGGCCTCACTGTGCTGGGCCTGCAGCTGCTGGCAGAAGCTCTGGTTGCATGCGAGCTCGTCCTGCAGAGCTCGCACGTGGCCATGCGCCTGGGCTGCCGCTGCTTCCTTCTCCTCCCTCAGCCGCGCGCCCTCGCCCCTCAGCGACTGCACTTGCGCCTGACCGCCACACATGCACCCGTCATATTGCTTGGCATACGGTGTGAATTCAGGCTGAGAGGTACAATTGTATCCGTCACAGTGTGGCAGCATATGAATAACAGGGTTCACCTATAAGTGACAGTAAGGCCAGCATCAACATGGCCACCACCCTCTCTCTCTGAGCGACAGGCGTAAATAAAGGCTACACAGTAGTGATTTTAAGTACTTCCTGTAAGCACGTACTGCAGGAAGGACAGGATTGCGTACCAGGTGAGCTGCCATGTCTTCCTGCATCTCGGCGATGCGAGCGCTGATTTCGTTGTCCCGCTGCACCAGCCGCTGCCTGGCCTGCTCCGCCGCTGCATGATCAGCTTTGGCGGCGATGAGCGACTTTGATTTGTACGCCACCTGCAGAAACAGCCCCATTGAGACATGCATAGTGAATGAAGATTAATGAAGTTATGTATGCTTAGTAATTATGGTCTTGCAGAGGATACTAAGGAATGTGTCTATTGTGGTCCAAATGCATACATCTTGCAGAGGTGTCTAATTGCATGAAAGGCTTCACCTGTGCTTCCAAGGAAAGAATCTGCTCCGCTTCTGCTGTCCTCCTCTTTCTCACCTCCTCCAAGGCACCCTTTGCGTTTTGCAGCTCATGCTGCAACTTTGTGCGCAGTTGGGCTTCACTGCCGCTCTTTGCTCGTGCCTGACACGACAAATAGCAGCATCCTTTTACTTTGCATGTTGCCAGATGTAGAATGTGTACTAGGAGGTGAGAAGCATGCAGTACCTTCTCAAGCGCCTCTGCAAGAGAAGCAACCTTTGCTTCCAAGGCTGAGGTTGCCTCCGCCCCAGCAGTGAGCTGCCTTTCTGATCGCCTCATTGCCTCTGCATCTTGTACAATCCTGGCTTTGTACTCTGCTATGGCTGCCTCTTTCGATGCCACTTCAGCCTGTGCATGCATGGTGTCTCACCCGTCTGTATGATCACCAAATGGCTCTTCACATGTTTTCTCATCAATATCTTAGCCTGAGGAGTCTGAGTGACTGTCACCTGCAGGGAGTTGAGCTGCGCTTGCAGCAAACTGCAGGCAGTCTGCACCTCAGCTCGGTCTGGGTCATCTTTGTGCTGCTGCACCTGAAACGCAAAGTAGGCACGCATCATTAAGGGCGTGGAGTTCAAGGAATAAGTTCAGAATGGCAATGCCCCAAGGCTGTACTGATGGTTGCACAGTGGTAGAAGATCCTGACCGCTGTGCGAAGGTTGTCGCATTCGAGTGCCAGCTCTGCCTTGTCCTTGCAGGCTGCAGCCAATTCGGCTTGCAGCCCCACCACTTCGCGCTGCATCTGGGAAGCCTCCTCCACAACTCTCTCCTTCTCCCTGTGGACAGAGTGAAGCGACCCTTTCCAGTCGGCCAGTGACAGTGTTTTAATTGGCTCTATTCAGGGGACAGGCCGGCATGCATGCTACACTTCACGTTGCTGAGTACATTCACTTGACTGTGGCGCTGCATGGGGAGCCACCTTTCAGTGAATGCAATTGTGCTGTGCAGCTCGCTGATGACGCTGTCTCCATTGGCCAGCTGGAGTGACAGATCCTTCACCTGAGCATCCAGAGCCTCCTTCTGCGCCAACATCTCATCCCACCGCCTGCGCAGTATTCCAGCAATCATGTCCCTTTTAACGTTGAAAGATGCACACATTTAGTAAGCATCATTGCCATGTTATGTGCAGATGGGAAGGCATAATCTGTCAGTCATGGGCATACATCGGAAAGGGCATGAAATCAGGCAAAATAGAAAGTGTTTCAACACTGTAGGGATGAGTCCCATGCATGGTGCATCAATGCAAGACCGACAGCAAAGCTTCTCCTGTATGCTTACCTGGATGCTTCTGCTGCACGTTCGGGTGAGCAAAGAGCCACAATCACTGCGCCAGTGGCCCCTGTCGGGGCCAGTCTGGTGCGCATTCCCACCATCTCAGCTCTCACTGACAGCACCTCCTCAGATGCAGCGGCGACTGCTCCTTGCGCAGCCTCAAGAGCTGCTTCTGCGCGTTGCGCACGCTGCAAAGGACCAAATGGCGATCAGCTTGTTGATGTCAAGCTCATGAGGGAAGGATCAGCTTGCATGCAGCAAGTGCATGGAATTGGCGGTGTTAAGTTTTTGATGGCTTTGGCACCTGACTCGCATCCATGTTGGCTTCAACTAGCAGCTCCATCTGGACCCTGTTGCCTGACAGCGCCGCATCCAGAGCATCTCGATCCCTGACCAAAACCACATCAGGCTTGTCAGCATCGGGGAGCTGTCTTCGCCTTATCACATGCTCGTCGCCATCAGGGGTTTGCCAGAATACATCCAAACTATTTGCATGCCAGAGATGCAGTGAATCGGAATCGAGGTCTACTACTTGGGTGCAGGTGATTGCATTTCTACACAATTTCTATTCCTCAACACTCATATCTCTCTTTCGCGCCTTTGTCCAAGGCTTGTCTTTGCACCTTTGCCTTGTGAATCTCAGGTGTCTTGATGTGTTGCAGGTTGGGCTGGCATTCTAGAGTCGGGTGGATTGCAAGAGGTGCCGCACCTGCGCATTCGAGACCCCTGGTGCTGCAGCTCGGCCACCCTTGCTTCGAGGTCCTGGTTGAGGGCGAGGGCGCTGTTGAGGCGGCCGCTCCATTCCTCCTCACATGCCGCCACTGCCTCCTCCACACCGGCAGGACCCCCCTCGCCCTCCTGCCTGCCCTTCGCGGACGACGGCCTTGCCTGCATCAGTTGAATCGTGCATCGATCAGCATTAGCTGCAGGTTTTGATGTGGTGCATTCACCAGGCAAAGCAGGCATCTGACAAACCAAGCCAGCCGCCTAATGGAACTCCCTGCAAAAGTTTCATCCTGAAAGCAAGAAGGGGACATGATGATCTCTTTGCGCTTGCAGCTGTTGCGTGCACACCCCCACAGAGCATGCGTGCACAGACAGCATGCACATTGATTTCTACGTGAGTACATGGTGCAAGGTGGTGCCCCTCCTCCGGCGAGGAGACACAATTTTCATCACCATCCACAAGTAAGTTTGGCAGTGCATGTTGCGGCTGTGATCTTGAGAGCATCTGCTTATGGCCTCCTCATTTGCAATCAGCAGAGGTGGTGAGGGACACTCTCCCAATATAATGATGCAGCTTCATGACCACACATGCAATGAACGCTCAGCACAGCAGTCTGATCTGGCGAAGAGGCGGTTACAAGGAGCCTTAGTCAAGGAGTCTGACCTGGCGCAGGGCCTGGTAGGTGTCGCTGAGAAGCTGCAGCTCCCGCCGAAGCCGCTCGTTCTCGCGCGTCAGCAGGGCCGCCTCGCCGCGCGTGTCCTCGTTCACGCGCGCCTTGTTCACAATCTGTTTGGCCCTCTGAGCGAATCCCAGCGTGGACTGCGTCTCCCGCGCGCACCCCGCGCCCGGGCTCACGTTTGCGATGATCACAGTCTTCGCGTTGCCCCCAAGCGAGTCCTGCATGTAGAGCAGCGCAAACCTCTGCCTTCCGTTTGTGCTTTTCTATGAAAGATCATCTTCTTTTGTGTGGGTGCGACCTTTGCTTGATGCTGCGCATGCATGCATGTGCTTATCCATGACTCCATGATCGCGAGCACAAGGCTTGACAGTGGCGGCTCAGCGCATTGACATGCCAAAGCAGCCACTGTGACATCGGCATGCAAGGTCTGCAGATGGATAGGGCTTGTGTTGGCTACAGGAAGGGCTCAAGGGAGTGGCAATATTGCATGTGCTCAAGTGGGTAGAGTGGCAATTGGTGGCATGCCTGCAGCAGGAAGGTGAGCCTGGAGTCTCGGTAGGGGACGTGGGCGGGCTGCCTGTGCGCCCCAGCCAGCTTGTTGATGACCAGGCCCAGCGTGCTGAGGGAGCGGTTGATGGAGGAGGCTTCCTTCAGCCGCTCGCCCTCCGACTCTGCAACCTTCTGCCTCTCGCTCCCTGCATCCCAGGCCACACAGCAATTGGATCCTACATTGGTCACCCGCCTCAGAAGCCCAGCTGCGAGGATCCTGTGGGTGCTTTGCACAGAGAACCCACGAGTGTTGCCCTAGGTGTTGTTGTTGTGTAATATTTGAACAGAGCTAATGTGCATGATGCATGATCCACGACAGTACAACAAGCCCTACTGAGGCTTCAGCAGGGGACTCCACTCAATCGACTGATTTTCAGTCACCTGGCCTTAGGTGACAGGAGGCCGCTCAACAGGCAGAGACCTCCTGTCAGTATTGGGTGAGACCTTTCCGTGTGGCTTTGCATGCATGCGCACCGGCCAGGTCAACGAGGTGGAGCCGAGAGGTGCGGATGGAGGTGACGCCGTCTTCCACGGTCTGCGACTCCACGACGCAGGTGAAGACACAGTGCGAGCGCGAGGACAGCGCGTTGGTGCGCGTGCCCCCGGTGTGCCGGTTGGCCGTCCCCTGCCTCAGCAGCCGCACCACGTCCTCTCCTGCGCAGCGCGCAGCCACATGCTTGTTGCAACATAAAAGTACCGGACCACTGTACTGCACTGTGACAGGCATGCTGGACCATGTTGAAGCACTACCGTAGCACACCAATCTGCCCTAAATTGCTATGAGGCACAACTGTTCCTCGGCAGTGCCACAAATACTTGGAGTGCTGCTTTTTTGGGCCCTGGTCGCTCGGCCCAAACTTTTGTCCGGGAGCCAGCAAGAGCAGGCGACAGTGCAGCCCAGTGTGGCTGCAGAGCTCAGTGTTGTGAGGTGCGTGCAGAGGGCAGCCAAACACACCGTCATTGACGACCTCCTCGGACAGGTCATCCACGTAGATGCCCTGGCGCAGGTCCTCACGCAGCTGCAGCCGTGTGCGCTCGGGACACAGCAGGTCTGTAATCACCTCCTGGTAGATCTCCAAGCAGCTCACTTTGCACAGGAAGCACACCTCCCGCCCCTCCCTCTGCCGCACCCACAATCTTACACTCTTTCCTCTGTGGGCTTCCTAATAATAACCATGCTTGTCCTTGCCAGCGGCAAGGTGCGTCTGATGTGGCCACACGTCCTACCCTTTGCGCACACACTGCCTAATAAAACATGCTCTGTGAGTATATTAATTTCCTCCATCCAAAAGCCACAGGAGATTGATGTATTAAAACCTGTGGTGATCTTGAGAGCATGGTGAGAGATGGAGGCTCACCTTAATGCTCTCCAGCTGCTTGATGCGGTCGAACAGGTACTGGAACATCCGAGGGATGAGTCCTGCCTGCACGTCACAGACACCGATATATAGCTTGGGGCATTGCAGGCATGCAGAGGCTGTGATTGGAAAGGAAGCGTGCGGCTTATTTTTCGGGGATTATAGGTTTCAGAGGGGTACCTGCTCGGGCATCTCCTCTGCCCTGGTTGGGATCTGGCCCAGCATAGTGAAGGTCTTGCCACTGCCAGTCTGGCCATATGCCAGCACAGAGCTGTTGTAGCCATTCAGGCAGTTCTCCACAATGGGCCGGCCAACCACTGTGCACAGCACCAAGAAGACAGCGAGAATTAGTATTTTAGAGAGCGCATGGTGTCCTTATCCCGGATACTGCCCCCAACATATCGATCGATCCAACTCTGTGCTGCGCTGGTGCCCTCAGGTGATGATGGTCCATGCCATGACATGCACACCACAACCATAGGGCAGTCGTGCAAAAAAATTGCGGTGAGTAATATACCCACCGCGAAAAAATTGCAGCTGTGAAACCTTCCCATCTGCTGCGTAGTCAAAAGAGAAGTGGGTCTCCTCTCCAGATGAAGTGAAGCCAAGAGTTTGGTTGTCATGCACGTTCACCGCTTCCCTTTGCCCCGTTTCATCACTGCTTGAGGGCCGGGCACGCACTACCACCTGCAGAATATCAGCACAACTGCATCATGACAGGCCTCCAAGAGCCAACTCCTTATCGGGTTGCCTTCAGACCATGACTGCCTTGGAGCTGTAAGGACTGTACCTTAATATTGTCTGCATCACCTCGTGGTACAGCAGGCTCGGAAACCTGCCCTTCGACTGTGATGCAGCCAAATAAGTCCAGCATCCTTGGGAAGAGCACAGGCTGCAGGACAGAAAGCACATTGTTGGCAAACCGAAAGATGTCTCCGAAGCTCAAATTATGCTTAAATCCATCATGCAATTAGAAAAGGTGATGGTAGACTGAGTAGCACACAATTTCCTGAAAGGCTTTAGCTGTATTCGCAAACATTGAAAGGTCTATTACCGTTGAGGGTGTATTCAAAGACAATTGGCGCAGGGGTGTCGCGCATTGTGCCGATTCCTCGACAGTTTCTGAGTTGTGTTCTTGCACCAGCACGTCTTTTATGCATGCTTTATTCTCGTCCAGGTGAATTTCTTTGTTCTCCTGGTTCCCTCTTCTGAGTCTGCGCGTCTCTCTCGTCATCTTGAATTGGTGAAGGCGAAAAACTACATGAAAGATCTCTTGTGTGTCTGACAAGGCAAGGCGAATGGCTACTGTAGGTCTAGTGATCACAGCCAGTCCCAAAGGCGCAGCTGTCCTTGCTGGATTTCGTGCCTGTAGTTGCCAGTCTAGGCAACAAGTTTCACGTGACCCCTTCACAAATAAGTTCGCCTTCCTGTGCAGATCGCCCAAGGAGAGGAACCATCTAAATTCCTTATTAGATATATAGAGTGCTATCCATTGTTTCGTCTGTCCCTCTGTCCCTGCACCTTGACAGGGTGGGCAGTTTGTCATTCATCTTGGGGCTTTTCCCCTGAGCAAGTAGTTGACAACCCGTGTGCGCTCAGATTGAAACATTGAAGCCTCAATATCATTTTGTTCCACCATCCGAGCGCACCGTGATACGCCCATCCATCTCGATACGTGTTGAGTGTTCAGCAGAACAGGTTTTTGCCCCCATCTATGTATAGAGCAGGTGCGATCTGCTCCCAATGGGGTCCTTGTCACTCCTGTGATAATTCTCTACTTGATCTCCCCTTGTTGCATGGCATCGCTGGCGGTTCCCGGTACCCACCGCCATTTGTCCATCCCTTCACAATTATTGCAGCTGTCAGGCTTGAAGAGGCCGCTTCTGATGTGGAACTGTACACTTTTATTCCTATTCGCGAAAGGGCACATCGGTCACTTGTGCGAGGGATGAAAGGTGGTTGCTGACGTACTGCAGGTTCTTCCCAGTTGGGAGGCAGGCGCAACATATGTGTTGAGGTGGTAGACTAGAAGGTCAGTCTTGAGGAGAGCGGCATGGCTGTCCAAGGCACGAATGGGGGTGGGCCAGGCGCGCAGGAGGCAGTGAACCCAGCTACTGAGAGCTGCAGTGTGTTTGTCAATGGGCTTTCGCTCGAGGTGAGCGCTGTAGACCCGTCCGCAGTCAAGGCGATCATATATATCGTCGATTATGTATACATTTCTAATAAGCATGTTCCCAAAGCAGAGCTCAATATCCAGCTTTTATCAAATGTGCAGGTGAGCAGTGAGACTCTCAAAGAGGTGTTTGGGAGGGTGGGGAGAGTGGCGTCTGCCGTTGTCATGCGCGACCACTTTGGGGCGAGCCGCGGGTTTGGATTCGTTAATTTCACCAAGGCAGACGAGGCAGACAGGGCAATCCAGCAGTTCAACAAGATCCCCCATTGTGCAGGGACTTGGCTGGTGAGTGCCCCCTTTGCAGAGCATTTTTAGCTGATTCAGTGGCAAATTTCTCACCACATGCCTGCAATGCTACCCATTTGCTTGCACTTCAATGACACCGCTGATTATGCTCCAGGTGCGCAAGGCTGAGAAGAGGAAACCAGAGCAGAAAGCCGGGCAGGTGCGTCCTCAAATGGTGGCAGAAGATGGTGGTGCTTAAGTTTTTATATAAAGTTTCAATTTCTAACAATGTGTTGTTTTCAGTTGCCTTTCTGTGATAATGTTGACGGCGTGAGCGGGGCTTGCTGCAGGTCAGTGAGCAAGGCCTGGATCTGTGCAATCTCTTCATTCGGGGCGTGGAACCAGAGATCTCCAGCATCAGGCTGCAGAGCATGTTTGAGGTACTTCCCTTGCTGGCTTCATTCTCAAATCGCCACCCTCCAGTGGTTCTGGATTCTTCATCCTACAGTGTGAAGGACTGTACCTTACTGTTGTCTGCATCACCTCGTGGTACAGCAGGCGCGGAACCCTGCCTGTCAACTGTGGTGCAGCCAATTAGGTCCAGCATCCTTGGGAAGAGCACAGGCTGCAGCACAGAATGTGATTTGCTGGTTTCTTTGAAAATGTGCTGGTCTTCTCTTGGTACAGGCGTTTGGAAAAGTGGTCTCCAGCAAGATCCTTGTCGATCCAAAGACGGGCGCAAGTAAATGCGCGGGATTCCTTCGTTTCACCCTCCCTGAAGAAGCTGCCAGGGCCATCCACGAGATGAATGGCAAACAGGTGAGGATTTTGTCACTCATGTCCACATCAGGACACCGCATGCTTGTTTGGCCTCCCATGCAAGCTTTTGCTGGCACAAGGACAGCTCTTGCATTTTGGTTTCAGCCCGCTTCTGTGCGGGCAGTGTATCAGGATTCTCTACCTTGTGCAGTCGGAGTGATGTGGATCAAGGCCCCACATGAGGTACTTTTTCCCGGGTTCAGGTGGGCAGCAAGAGGCTGTTTGTGACACTGGCTCAGAAGCGTGCAACGACAGATCCCCAGGGTATTATACACCCACCCTTTGAACAGAGCGCCGCTCAGCCTAGCACCCCTACTGGCATGGCATATTTCATGCCCATGTCCGGCATGGCTCCCCAATATCCCCAGGTGATATACAGACCCATCCAGTGGCATTTGTCATTTGCTGTGACACTGCAATGCATGCGACAGTCTGGCCACTCTCCTGTATGCTCAGTTCTCGTTGTTCTTTTCAGGGCGCTCATGGCCATCCCGCATTCCAACCATATGGCATGTACCCGCCGGGCATGGTGCCCATTCACCCGCAGGTGGGCTTTTCAGATAGGGTCCCTTTCTCTCCATGGCCAGGCTAAATCCAAAGCAGACTGCAACCTCATTGCGTGTGGAAGGATACAAGGCAGTGAGATTCCACAAATTTTCTGTGTGGCGTGCAGGCTTACCAGCAGGGGTACGGGCCTCCGCCGCAGTTGGTCTGGCAGGGAATGCCCATGGCTGCGTTCCAGGGAATGCCGCCCGGATACCAGCAGGCCGATCCGCGCGCGATTTCCCGCCAGCAGCAGGTCTGCATGCAAACTAACAAGCCGTGCACCTCACGACCGTGTGCCTACATCAGTTCATGCCATCGGGGGAATGTTGCTTTGCCGTGTCACACAGCAGCATGTGTGGCTGTCAACGAATGCATGGGCCGTTTCAATGAATTATGTTCGAGGTGCAGCTGACACAATCTTTCACTGAGGTCAGCTTGATGTGGCTATTGCAGCAGGCGCAGCAGTACTACATGATGACGAGCGGCCAGGACGGAACCTACTTTGACATGGCCAGCAACAGCTTTATGCACAGCGGCCGCGGCTACCGCTCCCATATGGGCCGCGGAGCCGCCACCCCTCGCGGCGGCGGCCGCCGCGGCCGCCAGCTCTTCCCCGAACCCCCGGCCTCCAACCACCTCGGTGCGTGCCTGCCGCTCCACTCAATCTTCTTCTCTGTCAGCATGCATGCCATCAGCCTTGGCACTGAGCAAGCGCGCATTGCACCTGCAGATGACTCGTTGGCACCTGTGGGCAGCCTCTCGTCTGCACTCATGCAGGTTTTGTGTTGTCCAGTACAGCAGATGTAGTGAGCTAGAGGCACGGTTGCTGCAGGTCAGCCGCGTGCGCCTGTGAAGGTGCCCCTGACGGTGAACTCAAAGCCGGTGGCGCGGCGGGACGTGGCGCCGGGAGCTGCGCCAAAGGACGCGCCGACCAACACCAAAGACCTGGTGGCGCGGTTGGCCGCCACTCCGGACAAGCTTGTGCGCGTCAGCATGATGGGTGCGATGCTGTCACAGCACCATATCACTGACGAGCACTGAGATCCTCACTACATCAGATAGAATAGGACTTGGTAAGATAGGATAGTGTGCAGGATTGAGAGATCAACCTTCTATGTTGCTCTGCAGATATGGCTGTGTTCGGGAGCTATTGAGTATTGAGTACTTGGGAATGCTCCGGAACAATGCAAAAATTGCCAGCGTGCTTGCTACATTGCATGCAAACCTTGTACAGAGCGTTGCTGTGGTGTGTGCGGCAGGGGATCTGCTGTTCACGCTGGTGCAAGGGCTGCAGCCGGCCAAGGACAGCGCCAAGATCACGGGCATGCTGCTGGAGATGACCGAGCCCGAGATCCTGCACATCCTGGAGGACCGCGCCGCCCTCATCAAAAAGGCACGCCATCCCTCCCACTCCGGCATTTGTTCAGTGCATGCCATTCCACATTTTTGCATGCACAAAGCATGCAGCAGTCTCCTGACGTTCACAGCTTCACAGTCATCAGAAAAATCACAGGTAATATGACAGGAGGTTGCTGCTTCTTTTTTTGCCTCGGTGGGGGCTCCTCAGGGTACACAGGATGAAGAGGGTCCTGGGCTCCTGCGGTATGCCGCCTGGATCGTTTATGTGTGCATCCTCTTATTTGTAGCGGATTTGGCAGATAGGAGGGAGGCTGAGGCGTGATGTGGTGTTGAACGGCAGGTTGATGAAGCTCTGGGAGTGCTGAAGGCAGCTGGCTACAAGGAGGCCAAGCAGCAGGTTCCCAAGGAGCTGCCCAGCACCCCAAAGAGCGCCTCAGAAGAGCCCAAGGCCGCCCCGGCATCAGATGCAGCTCAGAGCAGCGCTCCATCAGAGGGGCTGGAGAAGCTGAGGCTCGCATGAGACACCCAGGGGCACTGGAGAACCAAGGCACTGGAGAACCCAGGCAGCTCCAAGACTTCTTATTTTCGTGATGCCTCTACATCTGGGGAGAGTGTGAGCAGGATTCCTGGTCTGTGGTGTGCGAAAGAGGAGTTTCCTTCTAATTTGTGTGGAACAGAATGCGTGGTGATCAAAGCAAGAAAAGGCATGATCCATGCAGGTCAAGATCGCTTGGAACTCCCTGTGATATAAAGGGGGCGCATGCCAGCAAAGTTACCCCATCGGAGCTCCTGACAAGCTGAACGGATATTAAGGCTCCCGAGCCAAACGCACAATCATTTTGGCACCTGTGCAGCTGTCGACTCCATGGGTTTATTTGCCGGTGGCCCCGGTCAGCCGCGCGAGTGTGTATGCATGGCCTACAACCAGTTGTGGGGATTGTTGTCACCCGCCAGCTGCAGTACGTTTCCTTGTCTTTGTGTCGGATGGCTGTATCTCCAGGGCAGCATGAGAACAGTGCGGCATGCAATGACTGTGGAGGCTAGAGCAGGAGGCCTTTCAGCAGGGAGAGACATGTATTGAAAAGGCTGTTCAGGTCGGCTTGAAGTTCCCGTGGACAGCTGGACAGCTTTTCAGGAGGTGTATTGTATGTCTTCCAGATCATGCGGAGCATAAGTGTGGGTGAGGCCGGTGCGGCACAAGCAACAGTGTCCAGGGAAGTTTCAGTCCTGGAAGATCTGCTCTGACAAGGAGAGTACCGAGCAGGCTCTGCATCTGCTGGTGAGACAGTAGCGTTCACATGTGCTTTTGAGAGCATGTGTGTCAGGCGTGATTAGATCCTCCTGAGCTGAATGCGCTGTACTGTCGGGCCAGCACCAAAATGGAGCGCCTGCCCCTTTAAGATTGGTTCGAAAGGGGATGTAGCAAGAATGCATACAATAAAATAGATAAGTAAAAAACACTCATGCATGTTACGATCACGTCGTCAGAATCATTGATCTCATTCAAATGAGACCAAGACGTGATTTGAATTTGACAGTGTATGAGCGCATTATTTGCCTGTCAGGGTGAATGAAGATCTTAAAATGTAGATTTCGAGTGGTTTATATGTGCACACCTGGCTGTGAGAGCTTATCTTGCAAGCATGTTTAATCATAGTGCACAAGAGACTTCCAGAGGCTCAGCGTGTACACTTTCATGATTGCAACTGTCAAAGCATCTCCACCTTTCCCAATCTCTTTCATGGCTGTGCAGCCAAATTTGCGCGATATATTCCAGCCAAAACTCCACAAGTGACGGTGACAGGTGTGATCATGATATATAGACCTTCAAAACTTAAGCTTGTCACTACTGCGACACGTATGTACTCGATCATGCTAGCTACAGCGTGTGAATCACAATAGCAACTCCAGCTCTCAGATCTGTCTGGACCCTCCTGACAGACAACGTCAAACGGACAAGCTCGCAAACGTTTCCTGCTTGCTCGGAAGTGCTGTTGACATCACTAAGCGCAGATGTTCATAATTAAATATCAACAGTACCATTCAACTTTCTCTCACACACCCCAAAAGAAGTCCTTCAACGCACTCTCGTTCATCATGCATGCGTGTGACGCGCAAAGAGCTACGCACTCTTCTGATCACTTCCAAACGCTCATCAGAGTGTGAGTTTGCGCCGTCTGTAGCGCACGCGGCACGGCTTGGGCCCAACCACCATGGACTCAAAGTCCTGCTCTGGGAAGGGGTCCACCAACTCAAAATCAAAGTTGCGCAGCAGCACGCTCCAGATGGATTTGATCTGGCCGGCACACACACCACATAGCAATGTCAGTCCCCAGCAATGCCCACCAAAGCAGTCATGCGCATGCCTGCTCATTTCGCCGTGAGCAGCAGTGCGTGTCTTCTAGGTGCTATGAAGTGGGCACTGGCAGAGGGGGATGGCAGGCAAAGGCAGCATAGGCGGTGTGGTGATCGAGAAAAATGCCGCAAAACAATTGTATGTGTGACCCTGTGAACACCGAGGTACCAAGCTCTTCTGCTGTACATGAAGGCACCTGATTTTAACAAGGCACCAGTGACAAAAAACACGCCTGGCCCGGGCAAAATATACAAGGCGGGATGAATGGCACCTGGAGGATGGCGAAGTTGGAGCCCATGCAGCCGTGGCGGCCGCCGCCAAAGCCGATGAAGGAAAAGGGCGCCGCCTTGTCCTCCTCGCGCGGCGCCACAAAGCGCTCCGGTTCAAAGTCGTCTGGATTGCGGAACACGTGCGGCAGCCGGTGCGCAAACGCCGGCGATGTGGCGACCACGTGGCCCTGCACAATGAAACACAGCACTCTTGACGCGTGCTGTGGACTTGAGATGCCCACTGCTGATGTAACAGTGTGCATGAAGGGAGTGCTGATTCAAATGTGCATGCGGTCTGGCAACTGCCCGGCAATAAATTGTGATCAACCCCTACCAGCCTTCTGGCAGCTGCCATATTATAAGAATAAATGCACAGGAGCATGCTTGAAATGAAGGCTCTCTTCAATGCGGTAAGCCCAAGCGTGTCAGGTAGTCTAATACAGCTCATCTCTTGCGCACGGCATGTCCATACAGCACCCGTCAGGCTGCTGAACTCAAGCTATGGATCTGAAAGCCCTGGCATGCTCCTCAACTGAATTTGGTCAGTTTGACATTCCTCGTCTGCCAGGGAGAGTCAGCTGCGCGGCCTTTATTGCTGCTCAATTGATCTGGTTTGTATGGAACTACTCAGTTGTTATCTGGACTTCCCGGGGAGAGTCAGGTGCTGTCAAATTCCAGACCAGGGTGAAGTTCCTAAGGTCTTCCAGAGGGAGTAAGGTGCGTGGCTTGCCTTGGGGATGACGTGGGTTTTGCCGGTGGAGGTGGTGACGGCGAAGGGGGCCTTGGCGGCGCGCAGGAGCATGATGAGCGGCGGGAAGAGGCGCAGCGCCTCGGTCATGTTGCGGCCCAAAACCTCCATGTCGTTCAGCGCGTCTATTGACAGCTCCTCCCCTCGCGCGCGCACCACCGCCCTCTGCTCCTCCTCCGCGGCCGCCCACGCCGCCTGCCGCCATGCACACGCTCTTGATAGAAGGCATACTATTACTGAGCCATAACGTGGAACGGCCAGCTCAAGGCAATTGCTCAGACCTCTCCCCCTATCTTGACACCCTCTGCACGAGACAGCCATCTGTGGCCAAGGTGCTCCTCCTTCACAGATGAGTACAAAGCATTTCAAGCATTTCAAGCATGTCATGTGAAGAGTAAGAATTATAGTTGTGATCTCCTCCTTGTATGTTACGATGATAGAACAAGGGCTTCACACAGAAGAGCCCTCCTTTGTTCCTGTTGCGAGGGCCGTTGGAGCTGTTAGCAGCCCTGTGCCCTGTCAGCTGGGAGCCCACGCACATCAGGCAGCATGGTGGCTGCACCTTGCTGCGCGCACCTTGTCGCGGATCATGGTGAGGCCGGTCCAGGAGGAGGTGATGGAGGAGGTGTGCTGCCCGGCAAACAGCGTCGCTATCAGCATCCCCGTGATCTCCTCGTCGTTCAGGTACCGGCCGCCGTACACCTGCACATTTTACACTCCCTTCAAACACCCCGCGCGCTGCTGCCTTCAAGAATAAGTCCTTGGGGTGTAAACACATCACATTCAATAATAGAGAAAAACAAGACGAGCACGCCAAAAGCATGAAAGTTGACACCCTTTGAAGAGCGAGATGTGGAAGCAGGGGGCTTATAGTGAAAAGGCACCTTTTCATAGCGGGAGTCGATGAAGGACTGCAGCATGTCGTCCTCCTTGCTGTCGCTGCCTCGCCGCGCCTGGATGATGCGGCTGAAGATGCTCGCCAGCTCCTTCCTCGCCCTGCACGCACATGCACATGGCCACAGCACTTCAGCCTCGCTCTGCAACTGCCCCTCGTCCTCCACCACTCCTAGAGCAAAAATACAACCAGCACTTCAGCCACCCCTCTCTGCATGTGTGCCCTGCCCCTCCCATCGCGCCTCTGGCCCAGAAGCCTGTATTATAGCTCCCGAGGTAAGTTTGTTTCATTAGCTGAATTCATCCTGAACTGCTGTAGCCCCAGCAGACGCAGAAGCATTGCAGAAGGCAGGAGAGATCATGAAGATTATGTCATGGGATGTTCTGCACCTGTCGCGGTTCCAGTGGGCGGGGATGGGAAGGTAGGGGAAGATGACTGAGATGGGCAGCATGCCCATGTCCAGGTCGTGGAACAGGTCTGCCACCTGGTTGAACATGCTCTCGCGCACCTCCCTCCCTGCATCGCCAGGCTCATCATCTTGCTGTCACTGCTATAGGATCCAGTGCTTCACACATGCATCATCTGATAGCAGCGGCATGCTAAGCTCGTTGTAGCAAGCTAGGAGGTCAGCAAGGACCTGTGTTCTGTTGAAGCTCTTGCTTGTGGGTGGGTTTTGGGGCATACCCATGAGCGTCCTTGAGGCTGTCAGGATGATGAGCTCAGAGAAGGTCTTGGCGAAATCAACTTCGCCCTCGTCCCCCCACTTGGCAAAGTAATCCTGCACCAAAGCTTCACACTTTAGGGAACTTTCCGCTCGGCCGCTTGGGTGAAAGTCTTTCAGCCCATATCTGTCATGCTTTGTATTGATGCTGGAGTGCTTGTAAGACCGCACCTGTGCCTCTTGCACGAAGTATGGCACGTAAAGCTTTAGCTTCGCCGACTTCAGGGCCTCTGCAAAGAATTTGAACTGCTCTGCCCGGACCTGCATCATGCATATTCTCTAAAGAATCCAGAATCATAACACACACACCATGCACGTCAGTGCTGAGCAGAAAGCACAGCCGACTCGTACCTTGTGGTCCACATCAAAGACCACACCCTTCCCAAAAGTAGGCACATTGAACTCATACACCTGCGAAGGCATTCGGAATTATTTTGGGTGCTGTATGGCGATCCCAAGAGTAGCAGCAGTTGAAAGGATGATGTCACTTACCTCCTTCTGACTCATCTCGTCGTCATTGGCCTTGAAGAAGTGGCCGGACACATGAGGCCCTAGCAAGAACGTGAACTGCTTGTGCAGGACAGGGACAGTAAAAACCTCGCCATACTTCTCGTATCCATCTGCCATAAGCTTCATAGGGCCCTACATCATGCATGAAAATCTTTCCACATGCATCTTTCGTTGGGTGCAAGAAGCATGTGAACAAGATCACTGTCTAGATGCACCAGCAATACGCTCTCATTCTTGCTGCAAACTTTTTGAGATAACATGATCCAACAGTTGTGGGAATTTCTTTGCCAGTGATGAGATGAAAGCGCCAACTCACGCTTGCAAACTTCATGATGCCGCCAATAAAGGGGAGTCCCTCAAAGATAGGCGGTGCCTTTGTGGGTAAGCTGTTGCTGATCAGTCGCAACGTGGCGATAGCTAAAAGGAAGATTGCTGTTGCCCCCACATAGAGTAAAGGTAGGGGCAGGGCCCTTAGTTCACTCAGATCAAACATGTTGCCCGAAACAAAGTAGGCCACTGTGCTATGCTGCGCACAGATTTGGCTACATTCTAGATCTGGTCATTAAATTGAGCACTTTTTGGCGTGCAATGATGCAGCGTTGTGGTTTTGCGGGCCCAACAGTATTGCATCAACGGGTGCCGATCGTTCCAATAACCTCCGGAGGATCCACAACCCCCAAAATTTTGTAAATGATAAATAGAATATCAAGCCCTAGAATCGTGCACTCTTGCTCAGGTGCTTTATCATGCATTGTGACACTCTCAGGTACAAGATGAGAGCAGGTATATCTTGGATCGCATCTGATAACGTACATGCGGTTTTCAAGCCACCATCGTGCAGTGCAGTCCTGCAGAAGCTGGCCCCAGCCCAGATCCAGCCACAGTCTATTTTTGGGAAACGACCAAATACGCCGCTCACGCGTACCCGACGCAATACAGCTAGGTCATATAGGTCATCAGGAACATCTTTGATAGTAAAGGGGGTTCAAATGTCTTCAAATGCCAAGACAGTACTTGTGCCCATTGCTACTGGTTGTGAAGAAATGGAGGCGGTAAGATCTCTGCAAACCCATTGATTCGCATGTTGGAATCTTCGCCTTGTATTCTAAATATCGATTGTGCTCTCTGTGAAGGTGATCATCATCGATGTGCTCCGTCGTGCTGGTGCTGATGTCACTGTAGCATCAGTCGAGGACAGTCTTCAGGTGACTTCCATATTGGATCAGAATGCAAATCAACGAGCGCGCAATGAGTACGATGTGCAACGGGGACCATCCCAGTTTCACCTTCACCAAGATGATGTGGGCTGCATCTACCTGCAGGTTGAGATGTCTCGAAAAGTGAAGCTTGTGGCGGACAAGCTCATTGGAGATGTTTCTCAGGAGTCTTTTGATGCCATAGCACTACCGGTGGGTGCTGCCTGACACTGACACCTTCCCCTTCCAGTGATAGCATCGGTAGCCAGACAGATCATAATGGCCTCTTTCTGACTCTCTCACATGAGATTACTGTCTGGTGCGAAGGGTGGCATGCCCGGTGCAGAGCGCTTGAGCAAGTCTGCAGCACTCCTGCAGATCTTGAACGAGCAGATCAAGTCTGGGAAGATCTGGTCTGCGATCTGTGCATCGCCTGCAGTTGTATTTGAGAGCCAAGGATGGCTCAAGGGCAAGAAGGCTACTTCTCACCCGGCATTCAGTGATAAGCTCGCCGATCAGAGGTGTGCTGCATTTTCCCCGTTGCAGATGGAAGGGCAGTCATGCGCGCAAACATGATGCATGCATGCCTGCTGGACTTGGGTATTGCTTCATTTGTGCACAGTACTGATCTCTCTCTGTGAAGTCAGAACTCTTTTTAATGGACTGTGCAATTTTGCTTTTGCAGTGAAGTGCCTTCCAGGGTCGTGGTAGACGGCAACCTCATCACCAGCCGAGGTCCTGGCACAGCCTTTGAGTTTGCCCTCACGCTTGTAGAAATGCTGTACGACAAGGGGAAAGCTGAGGAGGTGGCTGGTCCGATGGTGATGTACAAGAGAGATCGTGCAAAGGTTGCTTGAGCGCGAGCCATTAAGGCATGACAGTGTGCGGGAAACAGCATGTATAGAGTGCATCAAAAGACCTCCTGGAGTGGATATAGATATTAAGTGCTTCGAATATGCAATTGTGAGGAGTTGATGAATCGTCTTGCCCTGACAATTACGAATCATGTATCGATATAGCCACGCTCACAAGGTGCTATGCAATTACGATGTAACATCGATTCTTACAGCTGTCCTGATTCATTTTGCTTGATCTATAGTGGAAGCTCAAGGAAGTTTACTGGTCCTCGTACCATAAAATGCCCGGCATAACACAATCTGTAGGTCTCATGTGACAGCACTCTGTTTCCGGGCTCGTTTCTGCCCGCGGCCGCCACTCTGGGCCGCTGTGGCCCCTACATCAGCCTCACCTACAGGCTCCTGTACCAACCCCTGACATGCGTCTACAAGCGCTGTGCTAGGAGCGCTGTCATGCTGCAGAAGGCAGGATGGACCAGCTGCCTCATTGCCCCTTGAGGTGTGCGCTTCTGCTGCTTGCTCGCTGCTGTCTGCTGCTGCCCCTTCATCCATAGTCCCTTTGCTCACAAGTAAACCTGCACAGAAAATAGCCCCCGTGACCTGCATGGCTTGAGTGGGGAAGACGCCGTAGGGCACTCAGTGACACTGGTTTGAGCCTCAATGGTTAGATTCAGAGATCAAAGATAAGCTCAGGATTCCATTTAGTTGAGGCAGTTGCAGGTGCGAAGGGAGCGCACCACAGTCTTCACCACCAGAATAGTTGGTTGCAGGTTCTGTGATTCTGCTGCAGGGAATCTGCGTTGCACTGCCCTGATGTGTAGGCAACAATGGCGTCGTTGCCACAGCAGCCGCCTCGATCGTCTCTATTCTTTCATTGTGCAGCAGCAAGATGTTTTGCACCTGCACCATCAGGCAAATTGCCACATTTCAAAAGGGGGTTATACTTAAAGAATGCAAGTTGCTGTAGCAAATGCCCCTCTGAGCTGCATTATTTTGGGGTCCTTCAGCGTCACAGAATATCCTGGATTCTCATCACCTTGATTAGATCGGCTTCCAATTGCTCCATGCGTTCCATGAGATTCTGCTCTGAGGGAGCGCTGGCGCCGGTTGCCTGACTGTGAGAGGGGAATTGTGGGGCAGCAGTGTTTACAATCACGCCAGAGGGGTATTCCTCCTGAGCATCCCTGGCAATTGCCCGAACCTCGCACTGTCCCAGCTGATGGCTGCAAAAACAACCCGTGAAGTCGGCAACGCTGCAATAGTGTGCTTGCAAGGAGGGAGAAAAAGTAGTATGGAATGATATATTCAACGAAATGATATGCACGTTGTGCAAAGGCAATGCATTTGCTTTCTGAAGATGGACAGGCACCTGTTGATTGCTTTGGCATCAAAAGAGAAGCCCCCTTCAAGACAACGCAGACTCTCGGGTGTTCTCAGGTACAAGCGTCCCACGGCTACGCCGCAATGATCGCACAGCACCGAATAATAAGTGCTGCACAGACAAGTAAATTTTGCTAAGCAGGTCAAGAAAGGCAACTATAAAAGTGTGGGTTCGACACTGCCAAAGCTTGCTGTGCCATCCAAAGAAAAAGATCAAGGTTGATACTAACCTGTCATTCCCAGATAACAAGGAGCACTTCTGCTGTATTTTGTCGATTGCAATCCCAGTAGCACCTGCAAATGCACGGCTTCAGAGCTGCAGTTTCAAGAGTCAATCAGAGGTTTGCAACGAATTTCACCTCTACCTTTCATGACAATGAGCTCGATGTCCTCGATGCTGCAGATAAACTCCTGGGAATCCGTCAAAATCCTGTGACACTGTCCGCAGGTGAAAACCAGAGGTGGTAGGATGTCTCTGTTCACTTCCATGACCGTCGTCGTCCTTGAATAAGTATGCGAAAGGGGTCTTTCGATGTATTGACTACATTGCTGCATTGGCTGGACTCTTCCCTCACTCTCTTCCAAGGATTTCGGTTGCAGGGTGACGTCATAGCATGCACTTCTTGACTCACCCAAGATTCCATGCCCCGTGCATGGGCCAGTGTAAAAAACTTAAAATGGTCTACAGCTGGCTAGTAGTGTGTAGGCAATCACAAAGAGGGCTCCTTCAAAACACAGGTCCTGCATGGTTATAGCCGCTAGCGCCGCATATGCGCAGCTGCAGGCCCACCGGGTGGCTGCCATGGCCACTTGCAACTACAGGGCGCATGCGCATTAAGACCACCAGTAACCTGTCAGACGGCTGCAGTGCTGGTCAATTGCATGCTGCTCTATCAGGCCTTGGGTCAGCAGGCTTCCTGCCGGGCTTCCTTCAGTGAACACAGAACCACCTAGCCTGCTTCAAGCTGGCCCAGGACCGGGTCCCTGCAATACAGCTCCTCACGTTTGGAAACTCCCCAGAATTTGAATCTTCCGGCGTTCTTGACATGATAGCATTCCATGGCAGCACTTACAATTGTCTGACCTCATGGGCAATGAATGTCCAAATGCGATCAATACATAAGGTTACGGATTCAAGGGCATTAAATACAGCAAAGTCATCTCAACAGTAGTGAAGCAGTCATAGAACTTTATTGTCTGGGTTCAATTGCAACCCCGTTACTACGCTCAAAACTTCCAATGGGGTGACCCTAGAACACCGCAAAACCAGCATATCAGCACGATCAATGGTTGCCGATCATGCCATCAGGACAGTGTTGTGAAGCAGCTTCTGACTTTTATCTGTGAAACAATAGCTAGGAGCTTGCCAATCGGCATCAGGCAAAGTCTCATTGACAACAAAGCTCAGTATCTCGAACTGGGCCCCGTCAAAGAATATCCATCGCACCTGCACACGAGATGGCAGTCAGCCTTGACTTTACAAATCAGAAATTGCTGAAAGGATGCAGAAATGACGGTTACCATTGCACTTTGCTGGAGGAAGCTCACCGGCAAACCAGTGTGGACATCAGCATAGTATTTTATAAAGCCATCGGCCTTTGTCCAAACATGTGTGTCGTGAGCATCCACATTTTCTGTTCCCAGGTACGTCGCATTGGCCAGCCAGTCTGGCGTCAAGATACCCACAGGGAAGGTAATCTTTCGGCATGTCCCCTCCTCCAGATTAAAATAATAGCTGGTGTGGTTGGTGTACCTGCCAAATCAGGGCATTATCGTACAGATTACACTGCATGGCAGGTACGAACAGGATGGCTTCAGGGAACAGAGAGTGGCAGAGAGCCTCACTCGATGTCATACAGAGTGGTCCCAAGCTGGGAATGGATGAGGTTTGCATTCCTCCCTCTCTGCCACTCATAGTACAGATCCACAAGTGCTAGGCTTCCACTGCGATTCTGCACAGCCACTGCATGGAACGTCTCTGGCCATACCGGTGGCTCTGGTGGGACTGTCAGAGATGTGGCATTGCTTCCACCAAAAGATGAAGAGAGTAAAAGCCAGCAAGTCAAGCAAATTGTAGCTGATCTCATAAGATTCATAGGTTCCCATGCCCCGACATGCTCAGGAGCTGCACGCTGGAATCTGCTGTTGATGTCAATGCTCATGATGTGCACCATGCTACCAGGTAATTACCAATTGAAGATTCGAACTACAAATAAAACCCTAAAAGCTTGAGTTTGTGGAGGAACAGCACTGGATCAGGTCAGATCCCTGGGACTCAAGCCTTGGGAGACTGTTGCTATTGTGCCATCTAATGCACGCCAAACAATGAGAAGACGAATTTTGAAGGATCCTATTGCTTTGGACGTGTATATCTGGAGAGACTTTTTGACCGAGGGTCATCATGTCTCATCATCTCAATCATGTCTAAATTTGGCTCAGGGAGTGCAGCGAGGCGCGCTGTCCATCGGAAGCCTGTTCAATTTCAGAAGAAATGTTCTGATATATTCGTTTTCATATGGGGCTCAAGCACCTCATGTGCAGCAGAAAGTAGGCTTCTCCGCTAAACCGTTCCCAACTCATCCCCATCCTTTGACTCATTTTTTATATTTTGCGACGTGCCGAGAACATCAGCAGCTATAAAAATAACATTCTAGTGAATGCAAGTCCTGAAAACACGGTTTGCGCTCCACGTGGTCAAAAGGGGACTCAGGTCCTTCAGCTTCCCACACTGTGAGAGTTGGCGAAATTCGCTTGCAGGTAGCACTAGAGGAAGATCAGGACTGGTATGTCTGTCCCAAAGTCTTTAGAGAGCACTTGAGGTTCACACAAACACAGGGCAATATGCATTTTGACTGCTTGTTTGCCAGCTTCATGTAGCTGCCAGTAGTTTCGTACTTCAAAGGGGCATTGTGCTTGATTGATATGGTAGTGTGTGTGGTTCAGATTTGTATGGCGCAGAATAAGAGAGCAAAGAATCAACATAAAGGGGCACAGCAGCAAGAGTGCAGCTCATCCCAGCAGGACACTCAGCTACCTGCTCCAGAGAACGCTATTCTGATAGATGGTAGGCATTGCTTCCGCAGACCTCCTATACCCTTGGTGAGGTCAACAACACTAGACAGGAGCTCGTGCAACAGTATAGAATCTCATGACAAGTTTGCCTGACATGACAGGCAGCATTTTGGAAGGTGGAGGTCAGATACTGCGCAACTCGGCTGCTCTCTCAGTCATCATGCAAACTCCCATCAGCGTGGAGAAGATACGGGCAGGGTATGCTACTTGCCTGTCAATTTACCGGTGCCCAGCACCTTACTGCCATGCCATCACTCCCTCTAGGTAATCTTCATAGTGGGTCCTCTGGACAGCTGGGACTGAAGGAAGAAAGAGTGACTAAAACATGAAAAGCTGTCCTGTGATTGCAGCCGATCCAAGCCTGGGCTGAGGCCGCAGCATCTGGCAGGCCTGAGGCTGCTGGAAAATCTCTCAGGAGGCAGGCTTTCTGGGGGCGTAGAGTCCTCCAAAAGCATTGTGCTGGAGCCTGCTGCCCTGCAGTGTGGGAACTTTGAGGGCAACACTGGCACAGCTGGCAGCTGCACTCTCCTTGCACAGGCAAGTCAGCAGGGCAGACAGTGTGGGTTGAATATCAGCTGCTTTGGCTACTATGACATTACCACTCTTTCTGCAGGCGTGCAGATTTAATTGCAAATTGACTGAGACAGCAACTTTATAGCACATGGTCTGACTCTGTCAGGGTTCTGTGCAGGCCGCGCTTCCTTGCCTGCTGTTTGCTTCACCCACAGGCACGCAAGACATGTCGGTGGTGGGCCTCCGAGGAGGCACAGATGCATCCATGGCCCCGCCCGTGGGGTACATGCAGCACATCCTTCTGCCCACCCTGCGCCGCCTGTTTGACGTGGACATTACAGAAAGGGTGTGTGCCAAGCTGCTTTGACCAGTCTCCCCATTTATGCGCCGTTCTTTTCTTCACGTTTTGCCAGGAGGCCTCGCATGACTCACAAGGATGGTCACGGGCCCTAGAAGGGCTGGCCTGACTGGGGCGCTTCAGAGTTGAGCTCTGCTCGCATACAGCAGTATGCAGCTCAGTGGGCACCTGAAATAATGTTACTCAGTATCTTGATCCTGTCTTTCTTGGGTGCAGTTGGAGCGGCGGGGATTTTTCCCGAAAGGGGGTGGCCACATCAGCCTGGAAGTTAGATGCCTGCCCATCGGCGCCAAACTTCCGGCCTTCAACCTTACAAGTAGCAGTGATGTCACCAGTGTGAAGCTTCTTGCGTTCAGCGCGGGGAAGCTCAAAGGCAGCCAGGGCGGCAAGCCCAGCATCGTGGATCGCTTGGCCAGCTCAGCTATTGACGTGCTTAGACAGGCAAGTGAAAGATGTTCTGCACTTTGCTGACCTGCCAATGTCCCTGTTGCATGCAGTCTTCCATTGCCTGCTCTAAAACCAGTAGCTTGTTGTTGGAACTGGTATATTTGCATGCATCCACTTCTGTCTCAGGTATGCAATGTCTGATGCGCTCATTCTGCAGAATCTTGGGCTGGACATTGAGATCAGCACAGAGTTCACAGAGGAGACAGAACAGTCAGCATTCGGCAATGGGGTTGGCATGCTGTTGATCGCAACAACAAGCGAGGGCTGTCTGCTGGGTGCCGCTGCCATTGGGGAGAGGTGCAAGAGCTCGGAGCAGCTTGGCAAGGCGGCTGCACAGGAGCTCATTAATGACATATATGCTGGCGGCTGTGTGGATTGCTGGTGAGAGTAATGCACATCCTTCAAATACGCATTTACCACTGGCCAGGCCATTTTTGCCAGTCTGTCGCTTACAACAAGGAGGCTGGTAATTCAAGCCCACTGCAACTCAATATAAGATGCTTCTCAATTGCAAGGTAGCGTGAGGAGCTCAACCAGGGAGGGTGAGAAGAGTCATCTGAGAAGATGGTTGAACTCCTTGATGAGATTGTGACACACACAAGATACCTGCTTACTAAAAAACATATGTGCTGCAGGCTGCAAGACCAGCTGATAATCTTCATGGCGCTGGCGGATGGGGAGTCCAGCATGACGTGCGGCGAGCCCACCCTGCACACTCGCACGGCCATGGTCATCGCGGAGCAGCTGACAAGCGCCAAGTTCACTGTCAGGCGGCCGGCCCCCCGCTCGCAGGAGCCTTGGACCATCTCCTGCAAGGGTGCAGGAGTCGCTGCTGGCGGCCATTCATCTGACTTGTGATGGCACAGCAGAATCATTTTTTTGGGGAATGCTGAAATGGCAACGATGCTGAACTCAATGTCTGGAATAACCGTGAACCCATGTACAGAAATGCGAGCGCGTTCCATGAGTTACAAGGCCTTTGTACATATACTTGTAGATCTAGAGGTATGCAGCCATCAAGGCAGAGCGGGCGCCAGAAGATAGGAGAAGAAAGGGCTGACTTGGAGGTGTATGTCATGCAACAACAATGCAGTGCAACAATGACGTGATCCCTGCCCAGGAGCACATATGTGCAGGAAGTAGTATTGTAGCATGTAGAAAGGAAGTTCAAAGCAAATAATTTACAATGTGAGAGCTAATCGCAACCGTGAAGCAATCAAAACTATCCCACGCTTGTGCAAACATCAGATCAAAGCGGATGCATAGTCAAGGCCACAGCCAGTCAATAGAGAATGTTACACATTCTCAATATAGCTGACTTCCGCAGTCAGCCTAGCGTTCACCCCCCACCTTGCCATGGAATCCAATATCTGTGTCCATACATGCCTTGGAGCAGAGGGAGTAGGCACATAGGCACAAAAGCACGTCCTTCAATTATTTCTGACACCCTCACATATGGTGAGGAGCTGATCAAAGCAATCAACCACGTGTCTCAAGGCTCATCCATTGATCATCTCGTCAGAGTTTTACATGGAAAAATTCATGTCTATGCTATCTCAAGAGCACAGCACGAGCTGGCTCTTTCACAGCCAATGTGCTTCGAACCCTGACCAGAGATCCAACGTCATACTTGTTAGGCCCAGCACATGTGTAATCCTGAGCGCGCTTCTTGTGGCACGTCATACAGCTACTCTTGCTGATCAGCTGAGGCCCTGGACAACAGCCTTCCTGCCCTCTGACAGCGCATGCTTCCCCAGCTCTCCCGGCAGCAGCAGGCGCACCGCAGTCTCCACCTGTGCACAGCCACACCAGATAGATTACACTCACTTTTCAAAATACTCCCACTTCATAATTCCTGGCAAGACAGCTTGCCAATAATGCAGCTCCAAGAATACATGTAGCTTCACCACCAATCATGTCTCAGCTTCCAAGACCATGTCTAGAGCCCTTCAGTAATAGGCTGCTGGGAATGGGAGAATGGGAGCAGAGGCAGGCTTGGTGGGACAGCTTCAAATATTCCAGGTTCCACATGTCAAATCAACCAAGATGCAAGAGAGGCAGCAGGCTGCACCTCGCGGCTGGTCATGGTCTGCTTGTTGGTGTGGCGGCAGAGGCGGGCTGCTTCCAGGGTGATGCGGTTAAACATGTCGGCTGAGAAGGCATCCATGATGTCCATGGCTTTCTTGGAAATTGACTCGTCCGGGTGAATTTCCTTCAGCACTTTCAGGATGTAGCTCTGCACCACACGCATGTGTCACCTATCTTCTCTGCAGCCCCAACAGTCATTGCATGCAAGGCCCAATTGTCCAAGTCGCCTCATCACCTGCCAATGCGCCAGAACTTTACAGGAACTGAGGAATATTCTAATGAAAGGAGAGGACCACAAGCAAAGGAAGGAGAATTCATCCCAATGTCACACCTTGTAGTTTTCATTGCGGCGCATCTTCCTGGGCTTGGGACCGACGCCACCGGACTTCTTGGCCGGCTGCTTGCCGCCCTGCGTCGGCCGGCCGCGGGCGCCCCGACCCTTCGCCGGCGCGGGCGCCGTTGCCGGCACAGACTTGCGCGGCGGGACCTTTGCTGGCGCCTTCCTAGCAGGGGCTGCCTTGGAGGGTGCCGGCTTGGCTGCTGCCGGTGTCTTGGGGGCCTCTGGGGCGGCGCGGCCGCGGGGGGATGCGCGAGCAGGCTCCTTGTCGGCTGCTGCCGACTTGGAGCGGGGCGACACGCGCACCTGATCCTCAGGCTCCTCTTCTTCCTCTTCGTCCTGCTCTTCCTCCTCGGGCTCTTCCACTGTGTACTCTGGCGCGCGGCCCCTGCGCTCCACAAGACACCTTCAGCCGTTTCTTACTGCACCCTTTGTGCATGTTGACAGGCAGATGCACCATGAAGTGGGCAGAAACTTTTTTTCGGGTGACATAAATGCCCGTCAAGCAATGTCTTGGACGTGGAGTTGTGATGCATGTGCAGCTTGACCACAAGGAGAGGACAACACATGCAAAAAAGGGGGGTGAATGCGCACTTGCGGCGCTTGGTGGCGGGCTCAGTGGCAGGCTTGGAGGGGTGCTTTGCGCGCTTGGCGGGCGTGCGCGGCGCCGGCACATCCACATGTGTCTCGGGAGGGAACACCCTTGTAGGGGTCGTCTCTGTGTCCTCATCCTCAGCTTCCTCTTCTTCTGCCACTTCAGGCACCTGCACCCCTTCGTGCTTCAGATGCAGAGCTTACACATGACTTTCTGCAGTGTATGCAATACATTTCCATCGATCATTGTGTCATTGTTGCGTGCTGTGCACTTGCGAGGCATTTTCTCGAATCTTCTGGCACTTGCTTTGCCTCGATCTCTGCGTTCCTCGTAGAATTTCACAATTTCATAAAAACTTTGCCATGCAGACTCCAGCACCATCACACAGAATCATCCAGTAAAGTTAGTACCTTTGCAGGCTGCTGCTTCTTTGCTGGACGGCCCCGGCCCTTTGTCTTGGGGGGCTCTGAAGCCTCCTCTGTTGCCTTATCTTCAGGCTCTTCCTCCTGGGCCTCTGCAGGCGCCTCCTGCTTGCCCTTGCGGCCGCCCTTCTTGGCTGGGCCCCTGCCCTTGCGTGGGGATGCTGCGCCAGGCTCGGGCAACGCCGCAGCCACAGCCTCTGCAGCACATGCCAGACCCATCAGTATTGCAACAAATTGCTGATATATCATGGTAATAACGGTGAGGATTGTGTAATGGAGATGGCAGAGCACATTGAACTTTATAGCATCCACATGCTATAATTTAGGTGAGGAAAGTGGGAATGCAGCTAGAGAAAGGTGGGAATTACCAGGCGCAGGCGGCTCCCCAGCAGCATCAGGGGACACTGCGGCTATGGAAGGGTCGGCCCTAATGGGGAGATCTGCAGGCTTCGCCGCCTCCGTATCTGCATGCATCCATCACAGGCTGTTGGAGCTCTGCTGCACTTGACAGTACCTCTGTTGACCCCATCATGCTGTGACTTCAAGTGCTTTGCAACAGGTCTCGACGGCCCAACCAGCAACAGCAGAGTAGCTTTGACAAGGGGATCTGACACACCTTTGGACTTCTTGGACTTTGATGGCGGCCGGCCGCGGCGCTTCTTCTGTGGTGGCTCCTCCTGCGCCTCCTCGGCGGGCTCCTCGGCTGCAGCCTGCTCCTCGGGAGCGCTGGGCCCTTCCTCCTCCATTGATTCTTCCACCATCCCTGCTGGCTCTTCCTCAGTCTCTTCAGCCCCTGTACCGAGCGTTCCGGTAAGCTTGGCTGTGCGATTTGAACAGGGACACATATAGATACGGCAGCAGTCAGGTTCAACAGGCATTGCTGTGCACTTTGGGACAGATGGTCACAGCCAAAGGAGGAGGGAGACAAAAAAAGACAATGGAATTCACAGGAGTAATATAAGTATCACAGTATTATTGCTGGACGCCACGAGGTTACATAACATTATGCGAGGTGGATTCACTTACCGGTACCATTGCGGTTGGCGCCAGCGCCGGGGTGCAGGACTCTCTGGAGGACCTGTGCAACGCTGCCAAAGATGCCTCCACCGCCGCTGGAGGCCGGGGGTGTTGGTGTGGCCGCCGCTGCAGGCTCGTTTACTGCCGGGGCAGCTTCTTCTGGCTCCTCAACAAAAGGCTCCTCTACCACCACCTCTGTGGCCTCGATGATCACCGGTGCAACCTGTGCAGCCACATTCAGCTTTTGCTCAGGCACTGCAGATCAATCGGCCTGAAAGAAGACACGACAAAGAGCCCCGGCTGCTCAAACTGCCGACCATGCCGACACTTGTATTTCCATGGTCAATGGATAGTTGCAGAGGGTAACATACCAATGGAGGTTCGTCTGCAGGTTCGTCTGCCGCCTCCTCGTCTGCCAATTCAGTTTCCTGCGCAGCGGCGGCTCCCTCGTGCAGGGCCCCAGCCGCTGCATCAAAGCCGGTCTCCCCTCCTGCCGCCTGAGGTGCACCCTGCTTTCCACAAAGTCTCTAAAATTGCATGGGCACATGATTTACTCTGCGAGTCAATTATATATCAATCAAGCCACTCATAGGAGCAAGTAAGCTCCCTCCCATCAGAAAAAACCCAGGGATGTTCATCACAATCGCCACTTGTATCCTGTTCCATTGCCGCATTGCAGCACAGTTTCTGTATCTTCAAGGTATTCCTCAAAGAACAGCTCCCTACCTCGGCAGGGACATCCTCCAGATTTTGGGTGTCCATGGGGTTGGCCAGCAGCTCCTCAGCCTCAGCCATATAGTCTTGGGTGGACATCATGGGGTCCTCCACGCCCCCGGCACCCTGATCTTCCTCTTGCGCATCTGCCTCAATTGGCACCTCAGTGGGCGCCGCCGGTGCCGCCACCGAGGGTGCCTCGGCTGCCGAGCCAGTGTTCACACTGCTGGTCTGGCGACGCTTGCTGCCCGAATCCTGTAGCATAGGAAGTTCATTTTCTTGTTTGCACACTAGAGTATCTGGTGGGGATTGTTCATGAATCTGCCAGCATCCGTGTGGCGCAAAGCAAATTCACTGATTCTGAAAGGCGCAGCGGGTAAGGGCACAAGGCTGAGTCAGCCGATGCAAGTGAGCAGCAGACCTTCGAGGCTGGTGGTTCCAGTGCTTGGCCATTGCGTTTGCCGCGTTCCATTGTTGTCCTTTTCACAACCTGCTGCTCAGCAGTGGTCGTCACTGGAGGTGTGCCCAGATGCTCCACAACAACTCTGTCAATAATCTCCCGTGTCCGCGTGATCTGCATTGATCATATATGGGTTTACAAGTTGTGCAGCGAGCATTAGATGGACGATCCCGATATAGGTGACATTCGTGCACCATCCCCTTCGCCAGTATTGTCCGAGTCATCGGCACAAAATCAACACATTGGACGAATCCCTGTGGGTATCCGCTTCCTGAGGACCATCTCGAACACTTGAAAGCCATATGATATTATACGACTGTCGCCCAATAGAGTATTTGCAGCCTTCTAACCCTTTTCAACAGTACGTCCTCCAATGTCACACCAAGACATCTCCTTCCCGAAGTTCTATTACCTTGGCGGTTCCTCTTGTGCGCAACGCAAGTGCATTGACATCACTGGCTTGTGGTGATCTATCTGTCGCTCCAGATCTGGTAGATGTCGGCATGATTAAATCAAGTCCTGGAGAAATTTTCTTGGACTTAGCTAGGTCGGCTGCTATTATCACCGATGACTCGTCCGGGCACTCCCCAACGATTCTTTATTTTGCAAGATCCGTTGAGCTCAGAACTTTGTGTTCACAGTATCTTGTGATCCACTAACAAGCCCCCGAAGGATTGGTGTCCCGACTTCGTGGCAATCCTCTACCGTCTGTACGCGTCCTGATTTGGCTTGTGCCCCAAATTCCAGCGAGGCAAGAGCGAGGAGCTCCTGCTCGCTACGATACGATACATCAATTTTACACCTGATATAGGATTAAAACTACTAGCGAGTCACTTACACACAAGAAACCGTCTTGCGAGCTCATCCCGGTGTTGGTACATCGATCTGCACTTACCGTCCTGCGTTGGTACCTATTGCAGCAAATTCATGGGTGAATATTCTCCCTCAGCAGCACACGACCCGGTTGGAGCTGAAACTGAGGACGTCCAGGATCAAGTAAACAGGTTTGGTCCCGTGATGGTTGATGCGAAGCTGCGGTGTAGCTGATGTATTTCTTGCAGTTGCGACGTTTGTCCACACGTTATACTACCTGGAAGGCTCTATAAGAAACCAGTTGTTGATATACGTAAATATGTACGTGTGACACTGCTCAAAGACATGCATGTCCATTTGGCGATGCAATCGGATGCTGTCCCTGCTTCAGGTTCCAAAGGCATGTTGAAGAAATAATAGAGAATCGTGACGAAGAGGATGTGGAGAAGATCAAGGCGGTTGTGCAAAAGGCAGTAGAAAAAATCCTGCTGGGAAAGAAGTTTGATGGGACCATCTCTGGAGCAGTCGAGGCCTCTATAAAGGTGGGTGCATCAACTCATCAACTGCCCTCCATCAAATGCCAGAGCATTCAAGATTGATGTGCACACAAAATTAGCAGGCTTCCGGCGCTGATTATAACTTTCTTTGACAGGAAGCCAACAAACGGATCAATGCAATTCTGGCACAAGAGGAATTGGAAGAAGAACAGGAGGATGCTGATGAGCCAGCCGGCATAGAGCAGAAGAGCAGCAGCTTTGCAGGCGCAGCGGCTGAGGGCTTCAAATTCATAGGCTCCTTCTTTGCACAAGCAGCCATGGGCGGTGCAGAGGTGCGCATGTAGCCGATCTGCCTTCCAGATGAAGTATCTTTACCCTGTGCTGTTTCCAGCAATCACCATCTACAACAAGATTCACAAGAAGGCGTGCAGCTTACCTGCAACTTGTTTTACATGCACCGCTGAGGTGTGCTTCTTGTGGCTGCAGCTTCCTGACCTGATGAGGGAGGAAGAGCAGGCCTACAACTCGCAGGCCATCGTGCTGCCGCTCAGGCGGCTGGCTGCAAGCGCAAGCACCGAGGCAGAGCACGATGCTCTGGTGGGCGGTCCTGGCATCAATGTTCCTACTCCAGCAGCTCCCAGCTTGGAAGCTAGCCAGCAGCATGCTAAGGAGGGCCGTGAAGCACAGCAGAATGCTCTGAAGGAGCAGACCGGTGACACACTGTACCCTTCCTCTGGTGAGGCCCAATTTAAATGCATTGTGCCATCGGCATGTCCCTCCCGCAACAGGTGCTCTGAAGGGTTGCTACGCGAGCACATACATGAACTGTTGGAGATAGGACTGCTGTGTGGCAGATATTTGAGATGCTGGCGAAATGAGCAGATCTGTGAATGGTGGTGCAGGACGAGAGGAGCCAATCAATAATGGCGCTACTGAAACAGCCAATAGCGACGAGAGGAGTGCAAAGATCCCACGCGTTGACCAGGTGAATAGTACAACACTGCCCCCTAATTCGCAAAGCGTGCTATCAAGCCGTGCCCCAGGAGGAGATGTCTACAGATTTTGAATGAATCACGAATTTCTCCCTGATTTTTGAAGGCGCTGTGATTTCCAGGGCGTCCCATCGCAAGCTGAGCAGCTGAGTCATCTCAGAGAGCCACGCGTTCCTGGTGGCCTCCAGGTATGATTGATGAAGGTTTCAATTTGAAGATTGGCATAAAAATATGGCATTGTACAAGCAGTGAAATATTTGAGCATCTCTGCATAACTGGGAGTGAAATGTGCAGCACTGTCTGCAGGAGGAGGACTGGAACGTGCCAGGTCGAGGTGGGACTGCAAAGACGGCCAGCGAAGCCAAAGCTTCTGATGTGAAAGGCTCCATTGGGCATGGCGATGCATTGTAAACCGTCACTCAAGTTCAGGCAACAGAAAGTCACTCATGATTGAGCAGCTGATGCTACCTGACATTGACTCCTATCAAGAGAGGGCGTTAGTCACACATCGTCACCAGGAAATGTCTTTTGTCCAACGATGATCGGAGAGGTTGACTTACTCAGAACCATCTGAATAATACGAATGAGGAGCCCTGTCTCTGTGCTTTTGTTTGCATAGGTAGTGTCCACTCCGCATCATTTTCCTCTTGAGTCCATGATTGGACATGTGGCAGCCTGTAACGTTGCAATGATTGTCATGTAACTTATTAACAGATGGGCAAAGATATTGAGATGGTGTTGACATATGAATTAATGTGACATCATGTGTTGGTTCAATTCATCGGGAGCATCATGAGATGGTGTTGACATATGAACCAACGTGACATCATGTGTTGGTTCAATTCATCAGGAGCATCATCTTTGCATTACACTGTTGGTAAATACGGCGGCCCTGCTTTGAGCTCTCGCCTTGACATGAAGTTTGCCGGGATCAATTATATACAAAGCTACAAAGCCATGGACTTGCATACTCACGGGAACCCCGAAACTGTTGGTACATATTGGTCACACAGGCTGCCCAGTAGGGCAAGACATTTTTAATGAAAGTGCATGCCCAGTCAATCCAAGTAGCAAAGACTTGCAACAGTGCCGATAAAATATACAATGAGCGAACTTCAGGATTTCAGACGGCGATCAGCCGCTGAGAGTCCTGCTCTGTTCAATGTGAGTGCATGTGGAACGCAAAAATTGGGACATAATTTTTCCTTTCACAAAGGTTTGCTCTTCTCGTCCTTGAAAGGATGTTGTGCGTTGTCTTCTCACAATGCTGTGAACCACTGGGGCTTGACCGGCAGTAAGTCACCGGTGCTGAGCTTCATAACATGCGCGTCAAGTACTTCTCAAACAATGCGCAGGCGCTTGAAGAGCAGCAGTGTGATGACCGCGCAGCCAACGGTCATGAGCACTTTGGGCAGCCACTCCTGAGGCGACTTCTCGTTGCTCTTCTCTGCCGACTTGCCCTCGGCTGCTTGCTTGAAGGGGCGACCCCTGTGCAGAAGCAACAAATATAAGTGCATCATCGACTGGGGAAAAAAAATGCCTGAGGTTTCATCCTCTATGCTGTGCCCAGCAAATGCAGGACTTGCAAAAGAAAACGTTTCAGCGCTGAGAAAGTGCACTTGCACTTTCTCAAGTTTGTGACTCACAGCAGCTGGTGGATCTGGTAGCCCAGATTGACGAGGAGGTGCGCAGCGGAGTCCCTGATGTGCTGGCCCAGGTTCACAATGTTGGCAGCCACCCTCTCAGCAATGTTCTTGATGGAGTTGGAGCCTTCATGCTCTGGGTCCGCATCAGAAGGCACCTGCATCAAAAATTATAATTTCTTTACCACTGCGGGAACTGTTTCCTTTTTAAACATTACCTTGGCATCAGGAGATTGGAGATTGGAGAGCAAAGCATGCCAGAAGACAGCCATTATTTGAAGATGTCTACCGGGAGAAAAGCGCATACCTCTTCCCATCCAGGTTCAAAGCCTGCACGAGCAGCCTGCGGCAGGAAGGTGTCTCCGGCCACCTGCCAAAATATATCATTTTGTCAAATTCCACACGTGAAATCAATTTCTGAATCTGCATTGGACACTGACATTAACACTGCTGCACATATTTTCTAGCACACACTTTGGACTTACTTTTGGTAATACAAAGAAAGAAGGCTTACCCGGTTGCGGTCATTGATGAGTGTCTGCACAGTGGGGTCCTCCAGCAAATGGCGCAGCACCACCGATTGGACATTTGGCTGATTTAGCTGCACCACATCAGTCTTCCTTATCAGATCAGTACTCTGGCCAGTACAGACTGATGAAATCAGGCATCCAGGAAAGCCAAATGCGGCAGGGGAAAGGGAAGGGTAGGCACCAGGTTGTTGAGTGCTTGGACCATGTTTTCGCGCTCGCTGTTGGCGCGCACGACCTGCATGCCGGCAGCATGCATGTACTCGTTGGCATCTGTGGCGTTTGACTCATCGCTGTCTGACAGGTCGTCGCGCACTTCATGTATGGCAACGTCGCTGCCCACCAGCGCCTTGGGAGCCTCCCTGAACAGGCAGCATGCATTTAGAGGACAGGCAAACATGAGGTTGCTGATAAGAACCATCAGGCCTCCAATAAAGGGCAATAGGGGAGACTAAAAGGAGCATACCGGGCGGGCATCCCCATGACAGTGTTGACGACCTCGCTGATCTCTTCTGGCCCAAACATGACGTTGTTGTTGTAGACATCTGTCACGAGCCACTCTTGGTCCACCTGCAAATACCATGGGTGCTCTCTTACGACTGATCAACCAGAACAGATCCTCTGAAGAGCGAAGAATGGTGCAGGACCTGAGACTGTCCGTCCTTACCTCTCCAATCAAGCGGTTCGTGAGGTGGCCCCCATCTTGCGCCTGCTTGACTGCCAAGGATGCATCCTTGTCGCCCTTGCTAGAATTGGGCAGGCCACCCCTGCATGTGCATGTTCAGAAATATGCTCTGAAACAGATTCCTTCCTTATATTTCCTGAAAGTTATAGCATCCCACTGTACCAGCATTTCTGAGCACGCTGCTACAGCTAGGACTCTTGTAACTGTCACTCTAAGCCCCAAAGCTTCACGGTCCTCGTCAGTCCTCACTTTTCAATCAGATGGCAAATAGAAGATGTAGGAACGTGCACTATGAAACCAGATAGTCCCCAGCCTCACTGGCCCCCATCTCCAAAGGGCGTTCTATTAGGCAGGCCACATCATTCTGCCAACAGCTACAATAGGGTAAAGTCGCGCATCTGGAGAAGGTCCTGATACTTTGGTCGCGCAGGCGAACCTGTTCTGGGTCTGAGCCCTGCAGTGGGATGACGATGGGGCACCGATCGCACTTGCTGTCGCGGCCACGGCCCCGCCACGACCGAGAATGAATCGGCTCGCCATCGCAACCTGGCGCCGGAAATATCTCTGAAGTCCAGATAAGAAAGATCTTCGAGGACAAGGTTGGAGCATCAAGGACACCGTGCACTGACTCAGCAGTGACGTCATCTGGTTTGTGTGCAGTTCTGGTATGCAACCGAGAGGATCACACTCAAATACTAGGATGGTATCGTGATTGATACTGGTGTGGATGGTCAGTAGCCGCTGCTGCCGGTAGGGATATCTTGGGTGATTGCTACCCTGGATCACCTTGTGATGGGTGATCTGATTGTGAGAGCATCTCAATCGAGGGAGCTATAAGGGCAACCGGTGCTAAGTTTTCACGTTATCAATGCTTATATATGCACGAAAGTGACGGACCGTCGTTTAGTCCTCGCTTAGAAGAGCAGAGACCAACCTAGTACTTGAAGGCTGCAATGGAGTTCAGTTCAGGGAAGTACCAAGATGGCTGTGACGTTGCAAAGCTATCTATATCTCAACCCGACTGGGATTGTCTGCCGGCGGATGCACTGGCATGCGTGGGAGCTCGCTTGAAGCCTCCCGCTCTTGCCTCAGCACGGCTGGTATCAAAGTCTTGGAGGTTAGGAATCTCCTTGGGAGTCACAAAACTGCAGCCCAAGCTGCAGAGCATAGTGGGGGGCCGTGGTTCCTTGTATCTCTCAAGGATGCGCTGGGATGAAATGAAGCACCTGCTGGTACTGCACTGTCCGTCTTCTATTAATCCTTAGCAAAGCCTCGCTTTGCGTTTGTGAATGACAGATCCAAGAAAATAGTTTATTCGTTACGTGTCAAGTGCGGGAGGGTAGGTTGTGGCATGGCGTCCATGCTTTGAAAATATGACAAACTTGGGCAGCTGAGATGTCGATCACAGTCTCTCACAACATCATGATGTCAAATGTAGGCACGTGAATGCTGTGCATCCGCAGACTGTGTTCAGCGGCTGCCAGGAGCTGAATCTTGTGGCCGAGAAAGTGACAGCCAACTGCGCGCTCCACTTTGAGGCAGCACACCGACTGGCGCGCATCAAGATCAGGAGCGATTGCTTCGAGCCTGCTAGCTGCCGCTCAGGCTTCCAAGAAATGCAGATCTTCTTGGAGATCCTGCAGGTGGGTTTTCATGCGCAATGCAACCCACTGATCTGCTGAGGGCTTGTCTTCTGACGGCACATGAGGCCTTGCACAATGCATGCCACTTTGCTCAAGGCTATTCTTGTGAGAGCGCATGAGCCTTGCACAATGCAAGGCACTGATTTGCTCAAGGCTGTTCCTCTGACAGCACGTGAGCTAAGGGCTGTGCATTCGCAGGCACGGGCACCAAAGATCACTGTTGACCTGGACGTTCACATTGACGGCGACGAATTCAAATCTTCCTATGACAGCTCGCTGCAGCCCCTTGTGAAGCTTCCTCCCAACGTCAAGGTGAGCATTGCTTACATTTCTGTGTTTTCTGGTCAAGCATTCCTCTAAACGATGCTGCATGGTAGTGTTTTATGGCGATCACCATGTGAAGGCCTTTCTAGGAAGACACCTGTGATTTTGAGTGTTTTCAACGTTGATTTACGGCTGTGAGCATATTCAATGAAGTTTGATCAAATTTTATGGGGCTGCATGTGCCATGCAGGTCACTGCTCTGGAGCTGATCTACATAACCCAGGCCACGCGCAAGATACTGGATGTGGCGACCTTCAAGCATCTCACAGCGCTGGACATCAGGCTGAGCGGGGACGGCTTCATAGATGACAGCACTTTTGCGCTCGTGGGACAGCTGACACTGCTGGAGGAGCTGTCCCTGCACTGGCTGTCTCGTGTCTCTGAGGAGGGCCTGAATGAGGGACTCAGCAGCCTTGCCAGACTCACCTCTCTGAAACTCATCGATGTCACAAAGGTAATGCTGGCATTGCTATCATTCCCTGTTTTTGGGGGTCTCTTGAATGCAGAAGCTTTGTTTCTAAGCGCTGGTGCAAGTTTCAGATGTGTCATGCAGAAGTTTGGGTGTGCAGGTGACAGACAGAGTAGTACAGAGCTTGCAGAAGGCCTGGCTGAATCTGGGGAGCCTGAGCCTTTCAAATTGCTATTTGCTGACAGATACATCCCTGGGTGTCTTTGAGTCTCTGCCCAGCATATACAACCTCTTTCTCAGCGGCAATGGGCAGTTCTCATCAAAAGCCATGACGAAAGTAAAGAGGAATGTCAAGCTGACCATTTTCAGGCAGTGCGGCATTAATTGGGCTTCATCGATTCAGCTGCCGGCAGCTTGAGCTGTTTCTTTCGCGCAGCATTGATAAGTATCAACGCCATTGGGTATTTTGGCTGCAGCATAAAACTGAAAGGCAGCCCCTGCAGGGGGACTCTGAGGCTGTATTATGTGTGTAATGTTAATGTCATCTGCAACTTTAGGATTGCTTTTACCATGGATCTTTTAAAGTGCCACAAATGCCTGTATTACTATTTGATGTCCATAAGTATTTATACAGATTGGCAGTGATTTGATATAGAATACTTCTTGTATGCTACATGTATAATTGCAGCTGTTTTTTTTTGTCCTGTAAAATGAGCAGCAAATGTGCAACAAAATCATAATTGAGAATTGCAATCGCATGTTCCACAGACCCCTTCATCTAGGACTGAGGATCTCATGATCCAAAGCAGCAGCACAATGGGTCTGTCAGTATTTGAGACGTCACACTCGCTTGACTCAAAGTATTTCTGAACAACATCAATTTGAATGACAATTGCAAATCTGGACGTTGAGGCCTCAGCAAGCCCAATCAAAGCGTGTGCTGACACAGTGTCTCCTCTGACTGCCTGCGCATGCACCACAACTTTGTGTTACCGTTTACACAAAGGCTTTAGTGATGGACACCACAGAAGGAGCAATGGCAACCACAACTTTACAATCCTGTTCAGGTACTTAAAGAGAGGTGCAGACATTACGGCAAAGCGATTGCCACAGGTAGGGCTGCTGTGCCAGCAAACACCATGCAGCGACGGTAGAATGATCCCCCGGCCCAGGAGCACTTAAAAAACTCTTGCTGGCATCATTGACATGCGCGACAAAAAGCACCTGGAATGTGCATGTGGCGAGGATCAGCCTACAGCGTTTGGGAACGGCTCATGAATGTGGCCAAGCTCAAGGCGCCGCAGGATACCCTCTGGCCGCCTCGCATCGGGCGGCATGCCGCGCACATCTGCCACTGCGCCTGGTCCTTCCACACTCGCCTCTTTCACCAGCACACCTCTTGACACACCTGCACAGTGTAAGCCCATGGATCTTGAGAGGCATAATCTCCCTGACAGATGTAGAAGTTGAGGGCATGCGGCAGCTGCAGGGAAGGTAACTGAAAACAGAAGCGTCACAGAACATATAGGTGTAGAATTTTGTGATTTGCAAAGACACATGATGCAGCGAGTGACCCATCCCATCTGAAATGCCTGGAAGAGCTGCAGCCTTTTGCAAGCCACAATTCAATTTTCTTGTGACAAATGTGATCCAGGGAACAGGGCATTCTTGTACCTGGATTGCTCGTCAGAGCACTTTCTGTGCTGGGGGATATATCAAGCTGCGCTGATCGCGCAACCTCAGTCACAGGTCCGAGTCCAATCTGCCCGCCGAGCCCAGACCTGATCTGGGCAGCCAGAGACTGTCCTGTAGCCTCTGCCGGCTGCTGTCCTGGTACTGGGCTGGGGGCTGATGCAGGGGCGCTTTCCGGCATGATCGCTGTCCCATTTGCCTCCACCTTGTTGGCTGCCAGAATGTCTGCCAGCTGGCCCCTGGACAGGGCAACTGAGAGCAGCTGTAATGGCAGCGCTGCACCACGCATGGGCGCCTGGGCGGGTGCTGATGCATTTGCATTCTGCGCTGGCGGCTTCACAACACTCAATTGTGGCTCTGGTCCCTGTGTGGGTACCTCTGCGGCTGTGAGTGCTGCTTCTGGTGATGCACTGGCGTTGTGCGGGCATGCCAGCTGCCTGCAGAACTCCAGTGTCGCTGATGCCTGTCCCGGGGAGGCAGCTTGGCCCAGGGGCATAAAATGCAGGCACGGCTGCTCGCTGCTTTCTGGGGCACCACTGGCTGCTGGAGCCTGCATGGCAGTCTGCAGCTCTTCTGCTCTCATGGGTGCTGGCGCAAAAAGCAGCGCCTTCTGTGCGTTGCTCGGGGCAGGCGCCACCAGGGAGCTGCGCATGCTGCCCTCTGGGGCGACAGCATGCCCTGGTGCCTGGAGAGGGGGGGCAGGTCTCTCTGCAGAGGGGATGGGGGGTAATTCAGGGGCTGGGATCGATGCGGGCGCAGCTGCCTGCTGAGGAGCTAAGGCGCTGAGAAGAGGGCTGACTGCCATGCTACTGAGAGCTGAAGGTGCGGGCGCTGGTGCAAGAAGCTCTGGGAAGCCACCTTCGTTCCTAAGCTTCCCCTTCTCAACCTGCATCAGACCCACAAGAAGTTCTCATGGCGCCAATGCAGAGGACCTTGCATGCAGCATGCAGGCAGCAGACACGCACTGTGTGACAGCCATCACATCCTCAAATTTACATGCATGCGCAGTTGTCTTTAAAGCCGGGGGACAGAGTGCGACACACCTGCTTCAGCAGACGAAGATCTGGGGCACAAGGTGTTGCTGCTGTTGGAGAAATTTGTTGCTGAGACAGTGGCCCAGGGGCGAATCGCTCAAACGGTGGTGTGGCAAGAGAGCTCGGGGCCAGGCCTGGCGTAGCAGGTGCCAAGGCTGATACACAAGTGATAATTTTCAGGACCTGTTTTGGCGCTTGCTGGCACACTGATGTAGAGAATATACCATATACTGGTCTGCTTCGGTAGGCAGGGAACTGAGGGGAAAGGCAAATCAAGCAACACAAGGGGGGTGTAGAAATGACTACCTGGAGGCAAATTTCTCGGCCACAGAATCTCTGCAGGTGGTGGACTACCAGCACCAGGATGCGTGGCTAATAGTTTTTGCTTGCTGAATTGCACCCCCGTGGGGAACAAGCCTGTGCTGCCATTTGTTGGGATCACCTTCCTGCAACAATATTGACCCTCATCTTTGCTACATCACATGCAAATGGATCGAGCCCGATTGGCCCTGACCCATCTGTGTGCAGATGCTGCGTACCTTGCCATCACTGACTGACCGCGATTGATGTAGATAAGGAAGTCCAGCGGCGCAGGCGGTCCTGCCTCTATCTCCCAAGAGGCACCCCAAGTTTTCAGCATTGGCTTCCAGGTTCTTTCTTGTGGAGTGCTCTGGGCGGTACCATCTGCATCTGATTCTGCGCACAACGAGAACACACAATTTCACTGCAAACCGATGTTGAAACACTGTAAGTTGTGCTGCATCTGTTGGTCTGAAAACTGCCTTCTGGAGATGCATGCCGTCTTACCAAGAGAGCTGCGGATATAGACACGAGATGGCTTGCCAGGGCCTGCAAGCTGGAGAAACTGAACCCGCAGCCAGGTACCATCTGATTTGTACTGGTCAGTTCGTACGACAATGCCGCCACTGTACCATGCCTGCATGGGTTCGCAGTCCACCTGCATGCATGAAGGAGGCATGCATGCATGCGCATGAGGAAGCCATCAACATTCCTGTTGACACATCAATATCAAGGTGACTGGCAGGCCAAAGCTAAATGAATGTCAATGCATTGCTTGCATCCCTCATCAAGACAGGAGGGAAGGTGCACATCTGAATATTCTGTGCAGTACCTGTCGATATTGGATGTGGCGGCCATTGTCTGCAGATTCCGGGCTTCCAGCAAAGCTGGCCCATTGAGGTGCCAGCAATTTGATACCATCTGGAGCACAGGTGTCACAGACTTCAACAACCTGGACTGTGACACTAGGAGTCACCCCACTTGCTACCTGCATCACTGGCCAACTTCAGTGATTGCTGAGAAAGTGATCCCTTCCCATTATTAGCCTCTGCATGCATCAATCTAAGAATTGCTTCAGTGATAATGGTGTCATTGATGCAGCATTCCCAGGCCTGTCGTGCTTCTCACCTCGATGCAGGCACCACAGGCAACGCCTGGGTTCCACAATGCAGATCTTGCTGAAACTCTTGCGATTGCTATGTTTGGCCACGTTAAAGGCCCCAGTGGCCCAAATCCGCAAGACGTCGATCCTGCCAAAATGGAGTCTGCCTCTCCCTTCTGTTGCAAGCCGTCCCAGTCACTTTCGTCAGTCAGATCAGCTCTTCTGCAATTCAGCTCACAGGCACTTGCCGCTTGCTCATGAAGGACTCACTGAGGCGAGCAATGCCGTTCCATTGGTCCAGCTTCGCCACGGCTTTGATATGGGAGTGTCTTCTGCTTCACTTGTATATAGCGTCAGCACGAAAAACGCAAGTGTCAGAAGGACGCCCCTCCTCTTGCTATGCATAAGACTGCACGGCCAGGTCGTTCGCCAATCTCATTTACAATCCCTTTCTCCTGAGACATAAATCACGACCACCATGGAGGAGTTTTGTATGCAGTCGGCTGCTGTCATTTGGAGCAGAGCCTGATTATGGCAAGCATGCAATCCCAATCGCTGATTCGACAGCTGTTGTATCAAACATGCATTGCTGAAGGGATGCTGTTTCATGGATAGGATTAGCAAGCTGTTATTGAGGATGTCTGAAGAAGGGTTCTCATGCAGAATAGTGATTGAGAAGATGCATGCATGCCTCTAGGGGGGCCCGGGCACTGCAGTTTTGCCAGAAAATGTCCCTGATTGTTGCCACTTAACACCACTCAGCACCCAGGCAGGATGGAACAGCAAGACTAGCTATAAGACTTGACGCATATGGCAATATTTACAAGGGTGCGACGTGCACATGCAAACATGGGCACTAGATGAGCAATAATTCTAGTGGCCCCTCAAAAGACGCAATTCAATTCACGCACACAATCTGTGACGCCATCATGATGATGGCGCCACAAATTGTGATTCTAATTGTGAGTATTGATACACTCTAATAAGACAATAGAATAGGAACAACTCCAGTCGCTGACAGCGTCTGACCACAAGGGCAGAACACATGTCTTGGGAAGGCAACCGAGGGTGCAAGTTCAATGCAGGAAAAGACCACACAATGCCGTTCTACCTCTCATCCTCAATGCAGCGCGTTTTTAGACGAAAGACATCTTGCATGCGCATCGAAGCAGTGATCAAATGGACAACACTCATGCCCACATAAGAATGCAAGCATGCGAATTTGAAATGCAAAGCAAAACCGAACTTCAGAAGCTGAACAGAGCCACCAGGTTGGACCTAGTGACATGCCCAAAGCCGGATGGTGCTCAACTATTCCTCTGTGCACTAAGGAGCAGCAAATGCTGACAAACAATTGCTACAGGATAAAACTTCGTAACCGGCCCAGAATGCAGAATATTTGACGTCCCTCCCACAGTTTTCTCGAGGCCCAAGTGTGCCACGCACGGTGTGCAGGACATCACACCGGGGCTCACATTGTTCAGGATACTTAAAATTGCCATCTTTTTATTTTCACAGCTTGTTATAGCACCACAAGTGCTGAGCGTTGGCGATGCCGCGCTTCACTAATGTGGGCTTCCTGCTTTGATATTCCTCTTGCTTTCCCTTCCTCCTTTCCTTTACTTTCTCGGCTCCTGCCGCATGTTTTCTGCCTTCCAGTTGCATCGATTTTTGGGCAACCGCGCAAATACGCTCATGCTCCCTTTTCTGGCCGAGCTTTCGAGGTGCCATGATGATTCTCAGCGGACCTCCTGGCTCAGGAGATTGTGCAGCATCCCTTCTTTGGCAGCGGCGGCTTCTCCCTCCCATTCTCCTGGATGCCATAGGCCTTGGCAGGGCCGGCGCCGTCAGCCTTAGTCACACTGACACGTGTCGGCTGCACGGGTGTCACACTTGCGCTGGAGCGGCGCGTGTATCCTGCCTGCACGGATGCTTCCATGACCGCTTCATCGTCCAAGTCCAGAATGGAGCTGGCAGTGCGGGATGCCTGCACAGAGACACACGCATTTCCGGGGGCTCATCATGTATCCGTGAAACTTGTAGAGTGCTCCGCAAAACAGCCATGGGAGGGCAATACGGGCGCCTGGTAATGTGTTGCAGTGAGGCAGCGAATGTGTTTGGGCAGCTGCCTGCAGGAGCTGTACATACCTGGTCCTTAGGATTGGAAAACGAAATTTAGTGCATGGTAATGCAGGTGCCCACGGTTGATTGGGTCTTGCTTCTGGCAAGTCCAACAAGGGGTAGGAATTTGGCAGCCTTTACATGCAGCTTGTCTGCAGACGCACCTTGCCTTTGGCAGGAAAAGTGTGTAATAATAATAATAATAATGCAGGAGAAGGTGAGACATTCACCTGCATGGAGTTGCGGCTGCGCAGGTTGTCGGCCGGGACAAACTCGTGCACGTCGTCCTCGAACATTGCGAAGAAGAAGGACGGCTGCAGCGCCTTGGCCACTGCCTGGCTCAGCATGCCGTGGCGCGCCGCTGCCTTGGGCGCCCCCCGGTTTGCCGACCTGTCATAGTGACCATGCGCTTGATCATTTTAGTCAGTCCACCTTGAGCCCTCAATGATGTAGTCATTGGACTCTAGGTACTGTAGTTGAGCATAAAACCTGAGAATGAAGGTGAGATCTACAGTATCAGACCAGGATCAAATGTGGCATAGTTCAGGAAAAGAGCAGCAAGCAGGAGGGTCTTTTACGTACCTGAAATGCAGGCGCATGGTGATCTGCGGCTCATCGCCCTTGTCTGCCAAGATGAAGCAGCATGTGAAGTCCCGCTTGCCCACCTCGCATGCCCAGAAGCGCGCCTGAGCCTCATCCTGCAAGAGATGCCACACAACGCTCTTGGCGCATGACAGAGATGGAATTTGTGAGATCAGCAGAGAGAGGCAATGTGTTAAACAAAGTCCTTTTGTCACTGCGCTGAAGAGACAACAGGGGAGACTTTAAGGGCTGACCTTGGTCTCATCCACGCACACGAACAGGTCCCAGAAGTTGCTGTTCACGATGGCCTTGTTTCCCAGACCTTGCCAATACAGTCATCATTGTCAGAAGCATTCAGCTATTGGCATGGGAAATTATTTTCACCCCAGAGCTGATTTGCGCAAGCACAGAGAACGTCCACACAACTCAATAAAAGATGACTCCATGGCGCGGGGACCAGGAACAAGGAGTAGAAGATGTTAGCACCTGCCAGGAAGGCCCAGGTGTGGTTTGCGAAGAGGATCTTGGTTGCTTCGCGAGTGATCTCGCAGACGCTGATGGGCGAGCGGATTTTGTCCAGGGAGTGCAGTAGCTGCTCCTTGGTGCGGTTCTGCTGCTCCACTTCCACTGCCTTCTTGTAGTCGGCCTCCATCTTCGTCGACATAATGCGCACCTGCACAGGAGGGATCACCACCCAGCTGAGCGCAGTTGAGGAAGAAAGGAATGCAGACATCAAGGTCAGAGCTAGGGCCAGAGATGAGAGAAACGGCTCCTGCGCAATGGCATGTTATGCAAGAACATCACAATGATCAGCGCAATTGGCAAATGTCGGATGCATCCTACAGATCTGTTTTCATATTATGAGGCTGCTGACGTGCAGATGCTGGGCAAAGGTTGGGTGATTAGTCAGCATGCACACCATGTCCATGAAGATGCGAGTGGTCTCTGGGCTGAAGCCCTCCTCGCGAGGCTTCGAGTCCATGACCAATCTGCAGCATCGCAACAGTCTCACATGCAGCAAAACCAATTCTAAAAGTGCATCTAAATGGCATTGCATTGGAAGAAGAGCACAATATATTGTAAAAGCTGCTGGAACAGAGAACTTACAGTGCGCCAACGCGGTGGTTCTTGGAGGACATGAGGGGAGCGCATGCATAGAAGCGTGCGCCTGCCTGCCGCTCAAGCTCCGAGAATCTGCTCACAAGCCCATTCGTCACCTAATTTTGGCACGAGCAGGACAAAGTAAAAGTGAATGGCAGGAGCAAGGAGAATATCAGGCTGTGAAATGCAGGGTGTGTGACTGCTGCCTACCTGCAGTCCTCACGTGTGTCCTTTACGATCAGCAACTCTTGATCCAAGGGGACAGCTGCAAGGTTGGGGAGGCTCGGCCAGTCAGCCGGGTGCTGCACGCCAAAGTACTGCAGCTTTCCCCGGTTCAGCATTCCCACGCCTGCCACAGCAAATATACTAATGCTTGACCGCCATTGCTCTTTTCTCAGACCCCATGCATCAAGCCAGTCGACAAGTTGCCCACAGAGTCTGAGGGGGGTTGAAGGGGTACCTGTAGCAGGGACGCGCAGCAGAGAGGACAGAAGCTTGCACATGCTCTGAAGCACGGAGTCTTCATCCGCTGGATTCTTTGATGCTGAGACGAAAGAGATGCGCTGGGGTGAAGCAACAACTCCAGCTGCCGCCTGAGGCTGCTCTGTGACTGCGCCTCCCTTGATATTTGCATCTGCATCGCTTGCAACTGCTTCCTGTGCAGCTGACTCCATGGCTCCTTGCGTTATGACCACTGGATCTGCGGACTGCAGGGCATGGTCCACGTGACAATTCAGTTGTGTGTTCAGGTTGGTACTCAATTAGTGGGCATGTTCTTATATGTTACATTTTATTCTTCATGGCGTCATTTTATAACGATGCATGCGGTGCACCAGTTCATATCTGTCCCACGGTCAATGTGTTGCGCAGATGTTGGGGAAGGTGAGGTCCGTCTCATCTCCATGACTGGAATTGTTCATTGATCGATTCTGATTTAAGCCCTCAAAATACTGCATCCAGACATAAAGATCGAGCGTACCTGCAGCGGTACCTGCTTGGCTGGCCCTTCGATTGCGTTCGAGGTCCTCACTGTTGTGGGCTCTCGCGCAAGACACATGTAAGGCCCAAAGGCTAGGGTTTGCCTCCTCCACCTCTTTCAAATCCGTTCAACCGAAGCCACTTCAGCACGATAAGATACGGGAGAAGCAAGCAGTGCACGAGACGCGGTTTCGGAGAATTGCACGGCTTTCAAGCAACGTGTGCTTGAACAATCTCGCCGTGCATGATCACCACAGGCTGTGGCATACGAGAGCAGGAACGAGTGGGGAAATCCTCGATCCACTAAAAACGAGAGAAACAGGAAGGAAGAAGAGCGCGTTCGAAGGAAGCTAAGAGACTTGGCTTTGGCAGCCAGGGGGAGTAACCCTAGAGGTCATCCTAGGTTTCAATTCCTGAATACCACGGTGGCAGTGAGTCACCGCGGCTAATAAAAACCAAAAACCTTTCGACACCTTCCTAGCATCCCGAGAAAACAACTGAAGTCCTTCCTATCAACCGTCCTGTGAACTAATACGCTGCAAAGAGCGAGAACAAAAGAACTGACAGGATGTCCAGTCTTTCGGGCCTGGTGACTTCCCCAACTATCGCTCCGGAGGTCGAGGAACATGTTACACATCGTGCCGTGGTATGGCAAGGGACGAAGAAGATGGCGGTGAGCAAATCCAGTGAATTTGTTTGTGTTTGGTAGTACAACATATTTGGGATGTCAGCGTGTAAGGAAAAAAATTCTCGGTTCGTCCTTCGGGATGGTCTGTAAATGTCACCATGGTGGCTTCTCGAGTGATCTCGAGAAATTCCTACGTGCATACGCAGGTCATTGACGTACCTAAGCCAAAGATCACCAATCCGGTGCGCTGACCTGTGCAAGACCATTGCTTCATGCTTTTTGACTCGGGCTCCTGATCTCGGAAGATGTGTCTCAGAACAACATCGTTTGATGCTGTTGCACTTCCATGCCGTTTTGCAGGGAGACGCCATCATCAAAGTGACGAGCTCGGCAATCTGCGGGAGCGATCTTCATCTTTACTTGAACGTCATTCCTGGAATGGAGAAGAATGCCGTCATGGGCCACGAGGTCAGCGTTCAGATTAAACTTTTTCCAGTACAATTCCGTTATTTTCTACTCGCAAAGTGTGCATGTCTGAAAACAATGTGCCGACCAACAATGTTTGCGCAAGTGTAAATTAAGTGTAATGCATTGGCACTCCTGCACTGACATTCTGCTGATTTTTCCCCAGTTCATGGGCATCGTGGAGTCCGTTGGATCTGACGTCAAGAACATCAAGCCGGGCGATAGAGTGGTGTCAAGCTTTGAGATGGGCTGCGGCCAATGTTTCTACTGCAAGGTCTGTTCCTCCTCCACCCCGTGGAACCATAGCCTCAAGTTTTGCGGACGACCTGATGTCGCATGAAGCAGCAAATGTGTTATAAAGCTCAAGCACCTAACGCTTTACAAACGCACGTGCACCAGAGGCAAATCTACAGCGGCTGCGACTGTACCAACTTCTCTGAGGTGGAGACAAAGCTCTACGGGCACCACACCGCTGGCTTCCATGGTACAAATGCCTGCACAACAACGACCTCTTATTAGTGCTGTACACTCATCATCTTCTACTTGATTCATCTTCTACACAGTATGCCTGCACATGCGCGGCAACAACATCTGAAAGATCTTCAAGTGATGATGCTGTTGCCTGTGGTCTTAAGCAAAGGTAGTGGCAATTGGCAGGGTACGGAACACTGACCGGGGGGCACCCGGGTGGCCAAGCGCAGTTTGCTCATGTCCTGTTCGGTAAGCTGATTCCCCTCTCAAGCTCTGATTGCTGCCAAGCTCAGCTGTGTATCAACACATCTTTCCTTTCTCTTCTTGTCACTTGAGCTTCACAGCATCCAGGAACTTAATGGCCCCTCCTGTGCATGCACAGCTGACGTGAACCTGCTGAAGGTTCCCAGCCACCTGTCAGACAGTAAGGTGCTCCTGCTGTCTGACATCCTCCCCACTGCCTGGCACGCCAACGAGCTTGGAGGTGTCGGCAAGGGGGACAGAGTCGCCATCTGGGGCGCTGGGCCTGGTGAGTGTAGACACTGCTCTTGCACTGCTTGCACTGTGTCAAAACACAACGCTGCACCGATCCTGCGATGATCGGCAAGATCTGCGCAATTTGATCAGATGATCTTAGGCATCTGTTGCTTCGGCTATTTGCAGCCCCGGCTGGCGGGGGCCGGTATAAATACTGAGCACCGTGCCCACGGTTAATCTTGCATGGATTTGAAGAGTCCATCAAGCGGTAGGATTTGTTCAGGAGCCTTCACTTGCAGCTTGTCTGCGGATGCCCCTTCCTCTGGCAGGAACAGCGTGTAACATGATATGATAAGTGCTGATGTATCTGTGATTGTGTGTCCAGTTGGCATTCTGGCGGCCCACTGCGCATTTTTCCGTGGAGCCGAGCGCGTGGTGATCATTGATGAGGTGGCAGACCGGCTGCGGTTTGCCAAGGAGAAGGTCCCCAAAGTGGAGACCCTCAACTTCAAAGAAAAGAAGGTGCGGCCGCTGCGCAGTCAGGCTGCTCTATGCGGCTTTTAAATATATCTGAAGGCAAACCTTTTTACATTTTCACCTCTGCACTGAGATCTGCTGTTTGAAGTGGGGTGTGCAGCCTCTTGGCTCAAATTTGAATTTGATTTTTGACTTTGAATTTGGGCAGGTGCCAGAGGCGCTCAAGGAGATGATGGGACCGTATGCCCCGGACGTGTCCATCGAGGCAGTGGGAATCCACTACTGCAAGAGCTGGGTGCACAAGTTTGAGATGGCCACTATGCTGGAGACGGATCCCTCTGAGACCCTCAATGAGATCATCTTCTGCACCCGCAAGGCACGCCGCTATTCATGCCTATCGAAAAGTTATCCGTCTAATGCTCTGCAGCACTGATAAACTGCTGCACAAGCACTGATCAGATGTTTTTGTTGCACAGAGAGCCCCTGGAGTCTACTTAGAAACAGAGGATGATATCAAAGCAGAGACCATTGAACCCTTACGAATGTAGATTCGAGAGCTTGCATGCACGAATGATGATTGTGCTCGGCTATAACTTCATGCAGGGTGGAAGGATTGGCGTTGTGGGAGCCTATGCTGGCTTCACCAACCACTACAACATTGGGGCCTTCATGGAGAAGGGGCTCACCATGGCCGCAGGCCAGGTATGTGGCACCAATAACAGAGAATTTCCTGCCAGTGTTTTCTGGCCCTGCAATTCCTGCTCTACAGGAATAGACTCTTGCGTTTATAGATCACAATCTGTGTCTGCCTGGGAATCTTTTGCTGGGTAATTGCTGAGTGAGATGTGCGCGTGCTGCAGACACCTGTGCAGAAGTACTGGAAGGACCTGCTGAGGTGGATTGAGGAGGGCAAGCTCACCCCAGATATGGTGAGCCCTTAGTTGCAGCAGCACACTCAGCACTTGCTCATTTCAAGGAAGCATTTGCGGGTTGCATATCTCATGTACGTGCTGCTCACCCTTCAGTGCTGTGAAAGCTGGCCTTTGGCATGAGAGTTCTGTCTTGGATTTCTGCAGGTGATCACACACGAGCTGCCGCTGAGCAAGGGGCCAGAGGCCTACAAGACCTTCAATGACAAGACAGGCGGCTGTGTCAAGGTGGTGCTGAAGCCTTGGCTCATGGAGACTGAGGAGTAAGCAGGGAGCACACTCGTGGGACCACAGGGATTCAAGCACAAAGTAATTTGATTCACAAAGCAGATCAAAGAGCTAGGGCACCAATACTACATCCGCAGTCCTGCTGCTCAGGACTTCATTCTTACCAAGACTACCAATCACGAAAAAAGTGGTCATTGTGATCGCTGCCGTTGATTAGTTTCTAGGCTTCTGATCTGTTCCCAGCGAGAACATCTGTTAAGATCAACTATTTAGATCCTTCCATGTCCTCCAAACTAGTGAGGATCTGTAGAGACGAAGCGCTGCTTATGGTCTGACTGCTGATTTTGGTGCATTGCGCACAAGTGCTGTTCCGACGCTCTTGAGACTGCCTGGCTGCCCACTCCAAGCGCTGGAGTGGAAGGTATTTCTGTTGTCATCCAAATTCCTTGTGGAGCATGAATGAGCATATTCTGGGGGTCGTGTTCAGTTAGCTAATATACGCATGCAAATGATGTACACCCACATGTGGGAGAGCCATTCTGTTAGTTTCATTGACTTTCATGATTATGCATTCCGGAACAGCGCTCCTGACGAGCGACATGGCATGATGTATATTAATTTTGAATCATATAGATCTTTCATGCATGTCTTCACATGAGGACATATCAAGGCTTGTCGTTTCCTGAAGTTTGCAGCTACAGTCACTCCAGATTACCAGCAGGCCCAGGCTTGCACAGCAGAACAGTATGATATTCGGCATTAGAGACCTGTTCCCTCTGCTGGCGTAGGCACTATTGGCTGAACCTTGGGAGTCATGACCTAGGCATGAGAAGCTTTTGGTAAGAGAGTGCTTGCATGCTGTGAAAGCCCCTTTTCTTTGGCCTGGCTGCCCAATCCATGTATGTATAAAGGAAAAAGCCATGACAGTCATGATTAATGCCAAGTGACACCGAAATTGTTCGAACAAGAGGGAACCAACGGTGGGGATTCGAAGCCTCCACCCGCTGGTGCCCTGCTGCTTTTTTATATCGATATTCTTTTTGTCTTAGGAGGGCCCAGATTGCCAAAGCTGGACTTTATCCGCAGCTTGTCTGTTAAAGATCACTGTACACTTTTCCTAAATAGCTGTGCCTGACTCTTGATGCGCTTGTAAATACCTGCTTCATGCCTCTGATTTTGTCTTGGAAATCTGCCCAAGATCTGGTGGGCAGCAGACCGCAGGGACGGGCCGAGGAAAGCATGGGTGGGCCGTAGCTTGGTGCTGCTCTCATCTTGACGAGCTCGGAATCGGACACAGAAGATTCTTAGACCAACCTTCAGTGTCGAGTGTGCATTTACATAGTCAGTACTGTGGCGTCTCAGGATCCTTTTCGACGTTTGCTGAGCAAAGTTCGCAAGGCATTGTCGACGGTGAAAATGGCGGAGGACGACATGATGCTTGCGGTGTGCTGGGAAGGAAAGGAGAAGATGGAGGTGAGTTCATGAAAAAATTTAACCATTGTCAAGGACGGTGATGCGCTCCGCTGGCTTCCAATCGACGAGCTTGTTGTGACTTATGAGCGGCATGTGAAGTTTCCGTCAGGACTTCGAGATAAATTACTGAAACAATTGATCTTGGAATGTTATATAGGTTCGCAAAGTTCCTCGACCGCACATCAAGGAGACGGTACGTTTGCATTTCTGTCTCGGTGGTCAAGTATGCGTCATTAGGTTTTCGGTCGACGATGCCCAACCAGTAGAGTTTGCAAGAAGCGAGCGCACTGACGACGAGGATGTGATCGCAGACTGATGTCGTGCTCAAGATCACCAGCACATGCATCTGCGGGAGCGACCTTCACATCTACGAGAACGTCATCCCGGGTGAGCACTTGCTGTCATGCACCTGCCTTGCAAGCATGCATCCCTCTACTGTGCCAGCCACGCTCAATCCCAAACGTGCGGTCCATAAAAGCTTCTGTTGTCAGGATCTGAAGAATTCCTATGTGTGCTGCTGTAGGGATGGAGCCGGGTGATGTCATGGGCCACGAGTTCATGGGCATTGTCGATGAGGTTGGCTCAGATGTGAAGAATGTCAAGAAGGGAGACAGGGCCGTGGCCTGCTTCGACATCGGCTGTGGAAAGTGCTTCTACTGCCAGGTACTTTCCAGTCTCAACCCTCAAAAGTTACTATCGGTATACACTGCCTGGTAGCAGTTCGGTTCCGCTTGCCTGGGCTGAAATGTGACCATTTCCAATGCTGTGACATGCGTCCATGCATGCAGAGGGCCCTCTTCTCCAGCTGCTCCACCACCAACCCCTCCAACATGCTCTGCCCCCTCTACGGCCACAAAACTGGCGGCTTCTTTGGTGCGCGGCATTGCATCATCTTTCAGGCTGGCGAATATTGTCCTGCGGTTGCTGTGATTTGATAAGTGAAAAGATGTCAGCAAATTGGACATGTGTCACCGACTCATTGTCACGGACCCATGGCAGCAATACAGGATGATCACAGCAGACTTTCATGGACTGGTACTGATGAGGATCATGTGTGCTGCTTGTGCAGGGTACAGCCACATCACAGGTGATCCAGCTCACTGAGGTTCTTGAGCACCCCCTGTGCATGCCTTCCTCCAGAAATTGTTTTTCCAGCCTGCAGAGCCTTGTCAGTACAGTCATAAAGCTCGGCACAATTTTCTGCTTTTGTTGTGTCACTGCCTGACAGTCTAATGCATGTGCCGATGGCATGTCTGCCTGCTGAAAAAAGGTGACTTATTGCATTATGGCTCCCCAAATCTGCACAGGTGGCTACCCTGGCGGTCAGGCCCAGTACGCTCGCGTCCCATATGGTGACTTTTTCTTCTTCCCTTCTGTACAGATGCTTACCTTTCACTTGCTCGCATATGAGCCAGTCGCATGCATGACATGGCTGCCACAGCTCAGCGCATGCATGTGTCCAGGGGATGTGAACCTGCTGAAGGTCCCCAGCCACCTGCCAGACAAGAAAGTCATCCTGCTGTCTGACATCCTCCCCACTGCCTGGCACGCCAACGAGGTATGTTCTGTTTCACCTATTTCTCTGGCACTTGCCTCCAGCACTTGAGTATGCACACATGGGGACAGCAACCCTGGGTGTCTTGATGCTGGAAACTCCAATTACTGACTTAAGGGCCATGCATTCTGCAGCTGGCATCTGTGGGCAAGGGAGACCGCGTGGCCATCTGGGGAGCAGGCCCCGGTGAGTAACCTCATGCATCATCTGCTACTGTCATGCATGCCATGCATTTTCTACAGCCTGCTTTTTCCGAACTCCAAATGTAGGATGACCATAGGTCGCCTCATGGCCTTCATGCCCTTCATGGGAATCTCAGACTAGACAAAGAGATTTGCAGAAGCACATGGGCTAGGAGTTGGAGTCCCTTGCTTTTATCCCTGACTTGGTGGAGGAAAGCCCAAAAGAAAGAGAAGGTTATAAGGCTGCTTTGATGTGCTGCTGCAGCACACCTCATGTTCATGGATTTGTAAGGCATGTTGTTATAATAATAATCACATAATTATGACTGATCTGCGGATGGTGTGTGTCAACAGTGGGCCAGCTGGCGGCGCACTGTGCATTTGTGCGCGGTGCAGAGCGGGTGATAATCATCGATGACATCGAGTACCGCCTGCAGTTTGCCAAGGACCGCATGCCCAACATTGAGACCATCAACTTCGACAAGGTCAAGGTGTGCACTGCTGACTCCACCCTCTTACAGTCTCAGCTTGTGCCACGGAGCTTCAGGCAGCGCCTTTTAGAACATGGCATGAAAGGGCAGATTCATGGTTTGCATGTCCTTGTCATGACCAAGGTCTGAAAGGCGCTGCCTGAAGCTCCGTGGCACAAGCTGAGACTGTCCTTTCATGACCGTTTCCGCAGGTATTGTCTGAACTTGCTGTGGGTGTCCTGTCACACTGGACCAGCAATTTAAGTGGAAAAAATTCCTTTGTGACGCTTTCATTCATGGCTGGAAGTATGCATGTACAGGTGCCTGAGGAGCTGCACAAGAAGTTTGGCACGACCACTGCCCCTGATGTGGGCATCGAGGCGGTAAAATGTTGTTTTCTTCTTCTCTGTTCTCCTGCCAAGCTTCGCAGCTTTGCAAATTTTAATGCCTATCAGCCTTAGGCCTGGAGAACTCATGATTTGTGTATGTGCATCAGGTGGGCGTGCACTATGCCAAGAGCTGGGTCAGCAAGCTGGAGATGGCCACCGGCCTTGCCACTGATCCCAGCGACATGCTGAACGAGATCATCTACAGCGTGCGCAAGGTGGGGGCCCCCTACCAGCCCTGGGCAGTATGTCCCTGTATCACAGTCCCTGTGGGGTCTGCTATTGATGGCGTCGCTTGACATGCCTTTGCCAGGCTCCAAGATGCCTGGCTTGCTGATATATTCATGGTGGCACACACACACAAGTGTTAGCCCGCCACTTCATGGGTGGCAGGTCGTTGTGCCCTGATCTGCTTTTCTGAAAGATGAGGGCACTGTGGCGTCCCATTTACGAGGTGCTTGATGTTTGCTGCCGAGCGCTGCACATGGACGGCAGCTGACATTGTTGTGCTATTTGTCTAGGGCGGCCGCATTGGCATCGTGGGAGTCTATGTGGGCTACACCAACCACTTCAACATCGGCGGCTTCATGGAGAAGGCAATGTCCGCCGCTGCAGGCCAGGTAGGGCGCATGCATGACCCATTGCTGGAATAATGCCAATCACAAATGATCAACCAAGATATGCATGACAGCAACAAGAGTGAACTGCATGCTGCTCCACGACCATGCTCACATGTAGGAAAACTGCAGGGCAGGCATTTCCAGTTATTGCAGAGCCCTGTCCTCCCTTCAACTTCTTCCTGGCTGATTGCGGACCTGCGTGTCATGCTTGTGTAACCCTTCAGCAACGATACTTAGGCATCCTTGAGAGTGTTTGTGATGCTGCGCAGACTCCTTGCCAGAAGTACTGGCCCCACCTGCTCAAGCTGGTGGAGGAGGGAACGCTGACACCAGACATGGTGCGCACTGAAGACTCCTTGAGTGGTCTTGCTGGTCCTAGCCCTCAATAGCTGTTCAGAGTCTTCCACTAAACAAGCGGCCTCGCTGCATGCCGCATGCTTCATTTAAGATGGTTTAATATAGACCAGACATGACCTCAGGGAGGGGCTCAGCTGAGTGAGAGACCTGTCATGCAGCTTGTGCTGACAATCTGCGTGTGCAGGTGATCACGCATGAGATGCCTCTGATCAAGGCGCCGGAGGGCTACAAGCTGTTCAACAACAAGGAGGAGCACTGCGTCAAGGTGGTCATGCACCCCTGGGACGGGCAGGGCCAGGGTTGAGTGTATGCTCCGCCGCTGATGCACTTGTCATGCCCGAGGGATTTGCACGGGGCCCCAGTTGTCTCTGCAGCAAGTTGCAAGAGTGTGTATTGCAGCATGATGCATTGTTTTGGCAAAGAACAAATGCTGGTGACTGTTCGGGAGCGCATGAATGCTGCCTGGATGTGAGGATCAAAGTTGAGCTGCTGTTGTCGTTGGTTGTGTATGTTTGCTAAATGCATGGTGGCCCATCATAGTGCCTCAATGTGACTGCAAGGGTGCTAGAGGCGCAGAGTCTGACCTGTCTGATTGATGTTTACAGTGCCTGTCTATTTTGAATGCTTGAGCATCACCGTTTCCTGATCTCAGCTGAACTGCATATATTGTATCAATTTACTACTGTGCTAGTAGGAATGTTTGCAAACAATCCCTGTGCCAACTAAAACTGGCCTAAATGAAATCAATAAATTCTGGATGTGCTCTCGAGCATTCACTCTCAGCATCCACGGGGTCCTCAGCCGTCAGATTGCTTAAGTTTACCTAGGTGTAGGCCTACATGCTAGTGACATGTTTCCTGGACCAACTAGCTCAGCCTGATATATCTTTCAAAATCTTTCAGCAACGCCTGGATAGGAAGAAAAGTGTGGGCGGTGAGACACCCAGAGAGTACATATCACGAGGGATCTTCTCACAACACCACCACCACAAGCTCAAACTTTCTGACACAGCGAACATGCTGAGATGTAACGCACGCTCAAAAGACTTTAGTTCTGAATGCTATATCCTCGCCCTCATTTTGCAACACCGCCCGTCACCCTCAGTAACATATTGCCTCACCCTCAAAATGTTCCTGTGTTGCACCAGAGCAGTCCCTCCTGGGGTCCACATGCTGTCATCTCTCGACAGCATCCTTTCTCCGTGGTATTCTCTTCAGCAAATCCCAAGTGGTGACATCTCTCCAGGACATTCTTCTCTGCAGCACTCTCCTCGGCAACACCCACGTGGTGTCATCTCTCCAAAGGACTCTCTTCGGTGTTGCTGAGTGGGCATTGTCAGCAGCACCCCAGCGGGTGTCACCTCTCCAGGGCATTCTTCTCTGTGGCATTCTCCTCGGCCACGCCCTCCTTGGCCCTTGCAGCCTCCTTGCTGGCGCTGCTCTGGTAGGTCAGCAGCTTTATTCTGCAGTCCCCGGCATTCCACACGCGCTGTTCCGTGCGCATTTCCGCCCCTGAGGGGTTCAGCACGCTCACAATGGCCTCCTCTGTCTCAGGAATCTCCCTGTACCCCAGCAGCACCTGCACGGCCCCCACACCCTCACTTTCCACGAAGATACACTCTGCACTGCGCCTGTTTGCCACAATGCCTCTCGTGCCACATCTCAAAAGAGCTACAGCATTGCCCAAAAGAAAGTCACATCGCAGGCAGGCGACCCTCACCGGTGGTGCCTACCAGAAAGGACATCAACGATCATAGGAATATCATGACGCTCTCTCATGAACCATACATTCGTTGCAGAGCATTTCTGGACATTAGTGCCACAGCAATGGCAGGACAGCCAAGCGGCGTGTGAGTGGCGTGGGATGCCTCAGTAGAGCGGACCTGGTCGACTGCCTGTGCTCGCAGTTGCAGGGTGGCGTAGCTGAGCTGTTCGCCCTCGGCGCAGAGTGAGCTGCTGTCCTGGACGATGAGTTGGCAGTCGCCGTTCATGCGCGAGTACACCACCAGCGCCTTGGGCTCCACAGCCACCTGCATATGTTCACCCCCGACACGGCCAAATGAGATTTCAGGCGCAATAATCTCATTTGGCGTCATGTGTTGTCTATTGTGCATAGCATGCGGTGCAGCTGCCGGCATGGGTAAACGGACTGTGTGGCTGTGATCCATGCAGGCACTCTTCTGTATCGCCTGCAATGCATGCGGAGTGATCACCCTCTTCATACAGTATGGCGGACATCTAGAGCCCTCGCTCACTTGCATGGTTGTATTGAGGCAAAAGTTAGTGCGGCAACTCTCATTTGACTGGGGCAAGGTAATTCGAATGCTCAGTTCGCACATGGACAGAGGCGACAAGCAGCCACGTAATATGTTGAGTAAAAAGGGGAAGCCAGCAAGTAAAGTGATGTTTGACAATGGCCGTGCCTGGGTGAGCAGCTTGGCTGAGTAGGCAGTGAAGTTGGAGGAGACTCCCAGGGGCAGCGAGTGCCTGTCCTCAAACCGAGTCAGGCCCTGGAAGGCCACCTTCTCACACACTATGTTGATGTCCGGCCGCCCTTGCTCCTGCACAATGCATTGCATCGTATTGGCAATAGTCCCTCTAATGTCAGTTGCCCCTTGCAAGTGTTGTAAAGCAATTAGATTATCTACTGCGCAAAGGAAGCAGCAAAAAAGTCATTTGAAGAGAATTCATGGTTTACCTCCAGAGATGTTCTGATGTTGAGTTGTACGACCAGGATCTGCAAAGCCAACAATCAGATTTTCTCAGACTCCAATCCCAAATCATACAGACTGGCAAATTGCCTCCCCGCAGCACAGGTAGAACTTACAAGGGGCGGCAGCAACGATGATATAACACTAAACGACTGATTGCTGAGTCAGCCTCCACAAAAGTGTAAGCACGGCAAAGGTGGAGGCAGAGGGAGCACCATGGAGTCGAGGCGCAGGTAGTCTTGGGCCTGCAGGTGCTCCTCAACGCTCTCCTCGCTGCTGCCCGAGTCCCGCCACTGGTTGTCGCACACCACCAGCGCACACTTCACGCTGCCCAGGTCAACCTGCGACAGCATACGCTCATGAGCCCTGCAGCTCCCATGCCATGGAAGCATGGAACCCCACCTACGGGAAGTGCATGCGCATTGCAACTGCCGTAAGCAATTCAATTGAGTGAATGTTCCGCTTGCCTAATCTCTATTCTGCTGGGGCATCAAGGATTTGGCAATTCATGCGGCAAGTCAAGGGCAAGTGCAGTGGGCCTGCTGGGGTTTCCTAGCTAGGCAAGGGATGGATGATCCAACAGTTCAGTTGTATTTGTGAAGCAGTAGCAACGTCCATTTTCACCCATTAGCAGGACCTTAAGCTGCTTTGTCCAGTAGATGGTCAGACTCTCTCTGGGTCTTCTGTCAGCAGGCGGGAGCATGTGCGGTATTGGGATATATAAGTGACCAGCAATGATGACATCTATTTGAAATGATGCAACCACCTTCTTGAAGGACTCGCGGTGCAGGGGGTTGGCCTCGATGTGGCGGATGGCGATGCGGCAGCGGCCCAGGCGCTTGAGGTGGCGTGCGATTTCCTCACCCTCGTGCAGGTTCATGAGGGTGACCTCGCTCCCGCGCGGCAGCCGGTTGTTGCCGCGGTCCAGATCGCTCAGCAGCTCCAGCATGAACGGCGTGTCCTGCCACCCGCAGATCAGCACCGCCTGCCATGCACACGCAGCATTTATTTTTATCCCGTTGAAAATTTCGTTCAACGACCTGCCACATTCCAGCATCCCTAGTACGTGACGCACAGATAGCCTGCAGCTCCACGAGGCAACCAGGTACCTATTGACATCGGTAGGTTTTGACATCATCACACACATCACTCTTGGCAGGCTATCACCATTAATAACTAAATTCCTGCTCATGCATCCATGCATGAGACATTCACAGCATGGAGACCTGGAAAAGGCTTTATACCCATCCATGACAGGAAAGTCTCTATTAATACGCCATAAAAAGAAAGCACATCTTCGGGGCAACACTGTTTAGTATTCTGCATGTGGGAGCAATGGCGCATGCCTCACGGTTGCCAAGGCCTCCGGTGAATTCTGGTGAGACGATGTAGTACATGCCGTCCCCTTTCTGCTGCCCAGCTGGCATCATCTGCGCGTCGCCATTACTGGTGCCGCCCTCCTGCTTCGCCTGGTCATCGCCATTTGCCAGGCCCAGCTGATGCCCTACAACATCCACCCTTACAGCATGTCAGCAACCTCCCCAATCAACCACGCTGCAGCATGCAATCAAATGGCGAGGTGCATATTCCATGGTCTGTCGCTGTGTTCTGCATTCTTCTGTGAGCCAGTGCTCAGATCTGGCGCAGAGTCACATTCAAAACAGGTCGACATGGTGCACCAATCGAGTAAGGTGATGCATACAAAGCACCTCAGCCCCTTGGCTATGTTATTCAACATTTGGCAACAGAGCCACTGCGCGTCTGATGCAAATCAGTATGCAAAACAGGGCGGCAAGGCAATACCTATCCAGGCGAGGGGCCCGCCGCGCTCCTCGGGAGCCTGTCCGGCAGGGGTGACATTGAGCAGGGGCTCTTCGTCGCCTTCGATGGAGCTGCGCGATACGCGGATGCCCGTGGGCGCCTCCTTGCGCCGCTCGTACTTCTCCGGGTCCCAGTCCCCAATGCCACCCACCAGCGGCGCCGCCAGCGGCTGGTACACGCCGGGCGCCAGCCCCGTCGGCCGCATCATGATCAGATCATCGTGCGGGCCCACCTGCGCAGCGCAGCCCTCTTCTCAAGTTCAATGTAACTCTGCCAAATTATGAGCAACAAAACAGCTTATGTGCAAAGCATACCTGCAAGAAGAATGCATCTCGGGGATTGTTCCGGACTGCAAGACGCACAGGAGACGAGCAGGTAAGACTTGGATTAAGGCACAGGCTAAAAGCAGACAGCAGTGGGGTCCAAGATTTAGTTGAGTGCACGTGCTGGGAGGGGAGCTCCAGAGTGGGTGGAAGGCACAGGCAAAAAGTAGGCAGCAGTGCTGAATCACATCGTCCAAGCTAGTGTCCCCAGGAAGGGAAGCTCCAGAGTAGAATGAAGGCACAGGCTAAGAGCAAGCAGCCGTGGGTCCAGGCTAGTGTTGTGTGGGGAGCCGTAGAGTGAGATCGAGTCACAGGCTAAGAGCAAGCAGCAGTGGGTCCAAGCTAGTGTTGTGTGGGGAGCCGTAGAGTGAGATCGAGGCACAGGCTAAGAGCAAGCAGCAGTGGGTCCAAGCTAGTGTTGTGTGGGGAGCCGTAGAGTGAGATCGAGGCACAGGCTAAGAGCAAGCAGCAGTGGGTCCAAGCTAGTGTTGTGTGGGGAGCCGTAGAGTGAGATCGAGGCACAGGCACAGTTGATTGCGTGTGCAGGGACTAGAAAAGCCGGACCAGGGTGTCGGTAGGTGGCGCGACGTCGCATTTGCCGCTGCGGCGGTTGAGCAGGCCCAGCACGGTGCCATCCGCGAATTGCAGCGCCAGCTCGCCATAGGGAACGCCCACCAGCTGCGGAAACTTCTCCAAGAACACCTGCGACGGCGACGCGAAGGACCAAAGCGCCTTGGACACGTCCGCCACCGCTGGATGCTGCACCATGCGCGCCAGCCTGGACAGCCCACATTTGCATGACACTAACACCGCAGTGGTCAATGAACGTAGCTGTCAAAGTATTGCAAAGGGCAGGGGCAAGCATTTCTGCGTCATTGTCGATTTGGCGAGGGGACAATCTTTACAAACACTCAGTATTGCAAGTCCGTGGTTGTCATGTACCACATAGTCCGAGGTATGGTGTTTGCTCAGGGGGGGTGGTCCAAACGCGACAAAGTTATGTATTAGGGACGGAGGTATGGAACAGGGATTCCTTGCCTGCGTGCGGTGACCTGTGTGGTGGGCACAGCAATGATGCGGCGGGAGCAAGCCGCCTGCAGCAGACGCAGCGCGTTGGGTGTCCTCGCCTGCCAGCCACACACCATGCTTCCGCTCAGAGCACAGAGCACTAGACCCCACATGCCCGCTGAGTCTTCAGCAATTCAGAGATGCTTCATCAGGAGCCTCAGGCGCGCAAGCACGTTGGGTGAGAATTGTTTTGAGCATTGGCAATTTGGGTCTGACCTCCACAACAATCTGGGCGCGCCTCCCGGCAGGGCGATCCAGCTCATCCAGCAGTACAGCAGCCCTGAGTGATTGCGCGTCGGCCTCGTCTGGACACCTGTGCACACAGTGCAGCAATTTGGGGGGCACGCCAATGTTAAGGGTGTTAAAGATGCGCTGCCATTGTCTCTGTTCATGTGCATGTGGGTTATGGTCGTTGATCATTACAGGGAAATATGCACAATATTAAAGTGCCACAAGTTGCTGGGGTGTGACCTGGAGGAGTCAGCCACGATGATGGCAACAGAAGCCCACTCAGCCCCCACCTTTTTCAAGTCCCCAGGTACCAGCGGGCTTCCCTGCACACAACACACTAAGGAAGTCAGTGGGACAGCTGAAAGCTGCTTCTAACGAGTTTTCGAGGCTAGGTGAACAGCAATTACCAGACCCAGATCATAGTGGCTTGGTGTGGACAGTGCATTGCTATTGGTGAGATGTGAAGAGGTGCACCTGGCGGAATATGAGGGTGGACTTGTATCTTTTGCTGACTGGGATGGATGACTTGAACATCTCCTCCATTTCCAATTTTGGGCGGGCGCTTAAGACAGCAATGGCTCTGCCTCCAGTGGCCTTGTAGGCAAGGCAGGTCTGCACACACACACATGAGTTTGCCATGACCTTCACGCAGTTGTAAAGCACGCCTAGACATCGGATGACTTTTTATTAGGAACTGTTGATATTAAATATCTAGGCACTGGGATTTTGCAATGCTTACAGACTTTTTGCTGCAGTGAAAGAGAAAGACGGCCCTTACCTGCTCCAAGATTTGTGTGATCATCTCGATGCATCTCTGCGAAATGTTACGCACTCGAGATTTAGTTTGTTCTTCAGAACATATATCTGACACCAAACGGTCATGCAAAACGAGTACAAGCTGAGTGGTATCTCAGTGGATGCAGAACATCACCTGAGACTCGCCCCAAGCCAGCACCACAACCTGCAACAGATTTGCATCACTCTGATTAGTCAACCAGTGATTGTCAAGCTGAGCCTGTCATGCAACTTTTCGAAAGGAAGTTGGTCACTGTCAGGGACAAGGGCATAGGGCAGCACGTACATGATCAATCTCAAATAGATTTCCGCCAGTCTTCACATTTGCCTCAATGGCACCGCGGACGCTCTGCTGCACCAGTGCCACGGTCAAAGCAAAAGCAATCAGCCCGCTCCCTGCCACGCATGCAAACGTCGATGGACTACATGCTTGAAAGCGTCACCTGCCTCCTGTCAGACGCTGCATTGCATGCATGCTGACGCACCTGATATTGCCAGAGAGAAGCCTCTTTCCAGCGGTGAATCCTCTGGGCCTGGCAAGCCGTTTGCAAAGGACAACAATAGAAATACCTGCAGGTCGGACACACAAGAGGTTGCAAACCTGGATCGCAGTATCATCCATGATGGCGCCAGTGCTGAACCAGCATATTTATGTGCGCACACCAGTCCTCACCCTGTAAATGTCCTGGCCCAAGGTTGCTGTGGCGCCGGACGGTAGACTCCGGTAGATCAGAAAGTGCCGCAAACCAGCACCGATGAAGATGATCGAAAGATTCAGGCCGATGAGGAATTGGAGGTCACTTGTGCTGCCCTGCATGACACCCCACGTCCGTCACATGCCTGTTGATCTGCGTATGGTAATTGCCAGCATTACTGGATTACCTACATCTGACTGCTTGACTCACCGTCCGCCAATTGTAGTATGAGTAGAGCGCCCGAGCCCATCTCTCGCCCAACTGCTCATACCAATGCGTCTGGGCAACCGCCTCTCGCTGCCTTCTTTGGTGACCTGCTTGAGAACCATTTTTGGATTCCGAGAAAGGATTCATAGCTGTCTTCTCCAGCTCCGTCCAAAGCTTGTCCTTTGATGCTGTTTGGGATCTGCCATGGGGTGCATCAATTTTCAGTTGCATTGCATGTCTTGGTGCCGCTAAATACTAGTCTTTGGGAAGCCAGTCCATCTAGCAAGCAGCCCTCATGCATCATGAGCTTTATTATTGTATTATCACGTTGGTCGACTAACCTTTCCAAGCTCCTCGCAGCGCTATTTTCCGCATCATTCTGCTGCGATGCTTTTATTCTTGAATTCAATATTCTTTTATGATCATGTGGTAGGCGTGATGAAAAGTGTCGCGCTCTGTGTGCTGGACATGTCGGGATGCCAGGAATGCGAAGATGCCAATTAACACCATTTGGCAAGCAATGCGACCTGAGCCTGACATGCGCCTGCATTTAAGAAATTTACAAGGTAGACTTTTGCATTACTTGCTGCAACTCCAGACGAATGTCCTGCGAATTTGATGATCAATGCTTACCCTCTCCCCACCCTTGAGGTTTTGTAATCAGAGGTCCTTGAATATCTATATTGGTTGCGATGGCCACAGATCGCCAAAAGGGCACTCAAATCGTCTGCAGTCATCAAGAAGCGTGTACCCTCGCTCCGAAAGCTCTTCCAGGAACCGCTTTGACTTCCCATCTTAAGAAACATCTCCATGGCACGGTCGCGGTTTGTTCTTCACGTCGAGAACTTGTCGTCCGTCACGAGAAGTAGTGACGTGAAGTAAGCCTCGTCTCCTGCCAGAATGACCTTGCTGAAATATTGTTCACCTTGACGGAGCCGATTTCCGCTAGCGTGTGGGGCATATCGTCCAAGGTGGCTCCTCGTCGTGATGAGAGGACTGCTGCCAATCCGTGAATTGCGAGACCTTTACCCTACCGTGTGTGCGCAGGCGAGAGTTTGAGTACGCAGGCCCAGTCTATGAAGTGGAGAGGTGAAGCTCGCGCGCAGGACGCCTGTATTTCTAGAAGCTCTTCGAATAGAAGCTGACATGCAGCTGCTTGCAACTCCCAACTGATTGCGGGTTGTTGCGCTACAGGGACTACAAGACGAGGTCAGCGTTGGTGGAGATGCGCAAGTGCGTTCGGTTCCTTCTCCTGATGGTGCTCAGCCCACTTGTCTGGAATGCCAAAGAGACCTGCTGCTTGCTCACGCTAGAAGGTTCATCTCTTGAGGGCAATGCACCTTGCATGGAATATTCTTGCCAGCGACAGTATGCACAACATACCACCTTGCTTGATTTCAGGGTGTGCCACAATGTGCCACACTTACCCTGCGTCCTGACGGTCAGGGCTACCAGTCAGCCTCAATCCGTGAAGGTTTTCATCTCTACTGTTTTGACCACCACACCTAGCATGACTCCATGCAATGTACTTGTCCCTGTATTTGTGTCTTGCTTTTTGCGTTTGTCATCAGGCTGCAAATGGCGGTGCCTGTGGGTTCTTCCCAGCAGCTCGAGTTGCGTAGGAAAATTGCATCATTTGGTAGAGGACATGTTTGTCAGGCCTTGTACAAGCAAGTGATTACGTGACCTGGAAGGAGGGCGCCAAAGAGTGACGAGTTGGCCGACCTAGCAATCTGTGCTAATTTTTCCACTTCTATGCTTGCAGGGCTGGAGATGCTGAGTACGCATGGAAGAAAATGGATGGCATCTCGGTGGACGGGCGGAAGTGGAAGATTGACTATGCCACCAAGGTATGTGAGGCTGATGATCTTTGCAGTTCCTCATGGTGGGGTTTTGTTTAGTATGCCCAATCCTACATCGAAGGTGCTCACCGATGTGTGTCAGTGCTTTTTAGCCTGCCCATCCAAACTGAACAGCCAATTGCAGGACAATGCAGAAGCGCAGATGTTGATCTAAATGATATATCTTATATCTTGTTGTCCTTATCGGCATCCTGGCGTGCAGGACGACTTCAAGTTCTTCGGGTGGAAGCTTCCTGAGGAGATGTACACACCATCACCCTCTCGCTCCAGGTAGACTCCTTAATCCTATTATCTTCAGGGCATGTTTTACCATGTTGGGATCTGTTCTGAACAGGATGACTTCAGTTACCTGAGCCTTGGTTTGCTGCACAACTGTACAGGTCTCCGGTCCGAAGCACCCGATCCGACTGAGTCACTAGCCTGAGGTCACAAGTCTGCTTTCATCAGCTCCACAACAGACTCTTGGGCTTCGCGCTGTCTCAGAATATTATTTTGGGAGTGCAGGGCGCGCTGAGAAGGCCACTTCTCTGTCCATCACATTAATAACAGCCACTGTACAATAGCTATAGCCTTGTCATAGTTGGAGCTTCCATGGCTGCTTTCGAATTGCAATGAGGTGTCTGTTGTCAGAACCCTGGTACACCAATTGTACCATTTATGCTCTGCTGCAGAGCGCTGTTGAACAATAATTGACTAGCCGGAATTGATTGGGACATACTCGTGGTGTCTGTTACTCTGTGGCATGTACATGGAATTTACAGCAAACTTTGGAAACAGCAGAGTTGTTGAGTATCCTGAACAAGTTTCTGTTGCGCTACATGAAGCTGATCAACTTGTAACTGCAACTCCCAGATTCGATATGGAGTCTTGATCACTGATCCTGGCAGGACCGTTAGCAATAGTCTCTGAGGGAAGTCTGAATCATGCCATAGTGCATTAGTTACCGTGCTAAGCAAAAGGAATCGCACTGCTCCTCGAAGGCCAATTGTCTTTGACCAGGCCTTCTGCTTCTGGTGTCCTCAGACAATCATGGCCTGTTTACATGAATCTCACTACCCAGCGTCTACCTGCTACTGGCCAGGCTAGCACAAGACTTCACAAATTTCACAACGCCAGCATTACATTGCCACTGAAATATTTCAATGCTGTAGCTTCACTGCACTACGAAGGGAAACTCTGTCATCCCGTGGCAGTTGTGTAGGGTAGCCTTAGATGTGATTTTCTTCATATCATAGGGGTGAAAGGGGATCCCTCAGTGGATTTTGGGTGGTCGTTACAGCAGGACATCGCAATTTAACACATCCAAAGGCGAAAGAACAGTGTTTTAGAAAATTTCGATCTCAGGAAGTGGTGAGTGTAAGTCTCACGATCTGCTCTCTATGATTTATCAATAATTTGTAAAATCTTGCGATTATAAATGGACATTTGCTTCATTGCAACTCGTGCCAATCCCCTTCTCTACCACCAACAGGTCTGTTTAATGCTGGGGTTCTGAGAAGACAGCCTTAGACCTATACTCTGCCTCAAGACAGGTCTTGTGCCATCGAATGCCTCTATGCTGCCAACGTGTACCTGAGATATCGGGGTATCGATGGGAGACAGCGCCAGCCATGCCGAAAAGACTGCCTTGCTCTCCCAGGAGGTATGCGCTCGCACCAGCTGCATGATCCAGGAATTCCTGGCAGTGGTGGGTCATTAGAAGCGCCATTATTCTTACCGACTCATGCAACATTTCTTTTCATAAGTTTCCAAGAGGAGGAGCGCCATGCATGCATGCATATGACAGAGCTTGCTGTGGGAGAACCTGCAGAGAAACGGCAAGTCACAACCCAGTCACCCGGTCAGTGCGGCTCTGGGGCTGGGATCTGCCTTCCTGTATGGCGGCGCGGCAGTGTCCATGAACTTTGTGAACAAGCTGACGCTACAGGTGCCATTCCACCCTGCAGGATAAATAATCAATCACCCCTGCATCGGAGAAATATCCTTGTTCACGCTGCTGGGTTATCCACGCCTGGGCAGAATTGCACCGCTGAAGTGTACCCGCCGGCGCAGGTATTTGGCCTGGCGAACACACTGCTGTTCTTCCAGATGACCGCCGTGGTTCTCACCGTAATGAGCCTCCGGGTGGGCGCACCCCTCATCACCAGACTGGCTGCAATGTACCAGTGTCAGTTATGCAGAAGACGCCAGAACCTACACCTGCAGTGCAAATTTCAGCTGCCCATGAATGGTGTCTTCAAGAACACCGGCAAGGGTCCAAAGTATTGAGCGACGGCTGTGCTGCACAGGCAATGAAAATGGTCCAATTCACGGCGGTGAATTGGCAGCGTGCCTGGTCTTTGGCACCGGTGACAATCCTGTATGTCAGCAATGTGGCATTTGCCCTGATGGGCCTCCAGAACTTGAACATTCCTATGTACAACACGCTCAAGCGGCTCACACCTGTCATTGTACTTGTAGCTCGGGTGCGTGTCTTCATTTTCCTTCCTTGATTGAAAGGGTTGACTCTCTTTACTCGCAGCATCATGCAGAAGTCCCAGCCCAAATGAGCCGAAGAGCTGATCCATGCACTGTAGGCTGTGCAAACTAAGAAGGCACCGCCACGGGACATCACTGCCTCTGTCTGTCTGGTTGTCGCTGGGTGTGTTGTGGCCGGCATTGGGGACTTCAGTTTCGACCTGAAAGGGTGCGGCCCACATGACTTCTGATTGCACCATGAGACAGGCGTCTCGACAGATAATTTCACACAAACACAGACTTACAGACTAGGGTTCTCTGACTATGCAGACTGATTATCTGGATACATGCCAGGTACATCTTTGCCCTGTTGAGCTGCGCTTTGCAAGCAACGTACCTCATTCTTGTGGAGCAGTCAGGAGCTGAGAAAGGAGTGGGCACTACAGAATTGCTTTACTACAATGCCTTACTGTCCTTGCCCTTCCTTGTACTGGTGAGTGCACATAACATGCTCAGGCTTCACAGAAGCATGCTTATTTGGATAATTTACAGAGACAAACCTGCAGGCAACCAGGAAATTGCTCATAATTCTATGGTCTGCCATGCAGGTGATCTTGATAAGCGGGGAGGCTGTTCAGATCGGCCCTGCATTGGGTCGAGCAGAGACTCAGTTGGGCGGCATTGCTTTGGTTGCATTGTTCCTAGTCTTTAGTCTTTTTGGCATGCTGCTAAATTGGAGCATGTTCCTTTGCACAATGAGCAACTCTGCATTGACAACCACTATCGTTGGAGTACTGAAGGTGGGTTGTTGTCTGACTAATGCAGAACAATAGTCAGATTGCACAACCCTGAATTTAGACAGTAGATGCACTGCAGAACGCTCAGAGGAGCATGCAATTTGAGGCTTGTGTAATGTCTACTGTAATTCGACATGCCAATGCCCACCAGTACTGCAGGGAGCAGTGGCCACGGTCTTGGGATTCTTCCTGCTTGGCGGTGTGGAGTTCCACACCTTGAATGTGATGGGGATTGTCATCAACACATTCGGTGGTACATGGTAAGAACTTCTATCTGCTGATCAGCTTATTTTTGATTTGGATATAAATTCCCTGTGATATCATGCTGCAGAGGACAAAATCTCTAAATTTACAAAAAAAAATGTTTTTTAAAGTTTCCCTTGGTCAGTCTGTGCAGATTGCGCACGTATGCACAAACAAAGGGTCACAATTGCAGCTGATCAGCACTGACTGACCCGGTGGCTGTCCAGGTATACTATCATTAAGTATCAGCAGAGGCAGCAACGTCTCGCAATGGCCCGAGGAGATTTGACATCGTCTACGTGAAGATCGGCAGTGGAGAGTCACTTCAAGCGTCAAGAAATCAGGAATGACGGGACCCCTCAGCGGTAATGGCTGTTACAAATGTGATAATGTACCCATGACAAAGAGACATCTTAAATGAAGGTTCAAGTAAATGTTGCAATATGTTGCAACCTGCACATTGACTATTGTTGACCAGTCATAATCGACTTCCAGCTTACAGCGTATTAGCATTTGGTGCAGGTGTTCAATTGTGGGTGCAAACAGCTTGAATACAGCCTGTAATTGCATCAGTCTGTATCGCTAGTCTTTATCCCTGTGTCTTGCGCCTGACAGCTCCATTGTCATGTTGTACAGAGAGGCAAGATCGCTGTCGTCTTCCATACCACCTTCTGTAGCAGCCACAGAGATTGTTCCAAGCTCCTGCACAAGACAAATGCATGGCACACACTGAGTCACATTGGCAAAATCAACCAGTCCGGTGCCACTTGCTAGTGCTGTGTCATTGGCTTGAAGACCAGATGCATAAGGACGAAAGGCACCCACCTGCAAGGTCTGTTCAACTTCTGCCTGAAAGTCACTAGGCTTCACAGGGATTGCTGTATCCTGGAATACTTTCTCTGGGCTGAGCCCCTGTCCACCGCTGGCCAGGAATGCTCTTCGCTTCAGCTCTGCTGTTGACCGCAGCAGCTGTTGAGCTGCATACACCACCTTTTCTGCAAGAACCTCAAGGATTTCTCCTGGGACCTGCAATTTAAGCCAGTTTCGTCATCATTGCTACCATTACTGGCTGCTGAATAATGATTGACATCCAAAGAACACATTTTTGAGAGCCACACCTGTGACTTTTTTGTGTCATCAGTGTCTTCATTTATGCGAGCAGAGCGCACAAGGTTGGCGAAATTTTCGGTCAAAGTTGTCAATTCTGCTTCGATCTTTTGTGCAGACATTTCTAGATCCTATTTACAGATTCAGACTCAGGTCAACCCATCTCACCACTTGAAGGGATTCTCAGTATGCGCACACTCGCCAAGAACGCACTGTAGCGTCAGCTGCAAAACCAATCTAACGGAAACGCTTAATTAATAAGCAGACTAGGCTAGGATGTACGCATGTCATCTCCCAGATCTTTCAAAGCATCGGCATCGATCTGATGTTCGAATCCTCAAGGAAGCATCTGTCCACCTTTCCCAGTGACTTTTGTATTTCCGCATCTCCCGTCATCACATTAGCATGGCGTTCCCGGGGATCATGAAAGGAACACATCTAGGAAGACATCGAGAAGACATGGCTGACCAGGAACGCCCCGCCACGGTCGTGGTCGCACTGCTCTTCTGCTGCACAGCAATGCAGTGAAGAACAACATTGGGCGGTCTGTCCTGGGAGCATGCCAATGGCACAGATAAAACAACACATTTTGGTGATATTGATCCGTTTTGAGTAGCGGTGGACCGTATCTAGCGCTCTGAAACTTGGGAGCCATGGCTCCTGTGAAGGTCACCTTCAAGACTGTGCAGGGCAACAAGTTCGAGTTGGAACTCGACTCTTCTGACAAGGTAGGGAATTGGTGCTGTTGAGCAGTTTCTGAGCTACGAGGGTCGACGGTATACCGGTTGATTGAGGTATCCGATTCAGAGCCAACTCAGGGTACTTGTGTGCTGTGCTGCAGATTGAAAATGTGAAGCAGAAGATTGAAGGTGTGCAAGGGGCCGATTTCCCTGCAGCCAATCAAGTCATCATCTACCAGGGCAAGGTGTGCAGCTTTCTGATCGTTTCCTTGCTGCTGTCATGAACCTCCCTGACTTTGTCATTTACGATAAGGTGACCTTGTTTGCAGGTGCTGAAAGACGACACTACTTTGGAAGAAAACAAAATTACGCACGAGAACTTCGTGGTGGTCATGATCCAGAGGGTGTGTTTTCGTCGAACTCTGTGTGCCATATTCACAGCCACTTGAGCAAGTCTATTGCAATGCATTGTGGTGCATCCTTTCATACATAACGTGAGTAATGTTTGTCGCTTTCTTAGGCAAGAAAAGCTGCTTCACCAAAGAAGGAGGAACCTGCAGCGCCAACAACCACAGCACCTGCTCCTGCTGAGGTGAGCCCTTGTTGGCGGACCATCATCTGAGAGGGCAGCTAGTGTACAACGTCTTGTTGATGCTGCATGATATACATGAAAATGGACAATACCTAGAAGTATTATATATGCTGAGGATGACATTTGTTGCGCAGGCTGCACCCACAGCTCCAGCAGCCGAAGTGCCTGCACAGCAGCCGAGGTGCGCAGTCCATCATGCCGCTCCAAGTCTGCCATGTCCCTTACTGCTGATTTCTTACATTGCTGGCTGCTAATTTCCTGCTAAAACCGCTTGCCATTTGATGCAGGGCTGCAGCGGTCCCAGCTGCAGCGGCAGCTGCACCCGCCGCCGGAGCTGCAGCCGGCGACCTGAACTCCAACTCCCTCCTGATGGGCACCCAATTGGAATCCACCATCGCTGGGGTGCGCCTGCAAGCACCCTCTCTTCTGACAAAGTCCTTGACAATCTTTTTTGCACAACTATCTCCTGCTAGTGAAAATACTGTATGTGGACTTGTGCTGATGCTGCTCCTGCTCCTGCTGCTGCTGTGCATGTTTCACCGTTGTTCAGACATGGACAATACTCGAGACAAAAAATAGGCAGAACTGCGATATCTGATATCTTTGCTTGCATGTGTGCAGATTGTGGAGATGGGCTTTGACCGCGAGGAGGTGGTCCGCGCAATGCGCGCGGCCTTCAACAACCCCGACCGCGCGGTGGAGTACCTCATGACGGGCATTCCCAACAACGTCGAGGCCCCCGCCCCCGCGCCAGGCGCATCCCCCGCCGCCGGCGCCGTGTCGGCCGCGCCAGCCGCCGGCACACCGGCCACTGGCGGCGGCCCCGCCAGCGGCCCCAACGCTCAACCCCTTGACATGTTCGCCCCCCAGGTAAAAAATTCAATTTGTCCTGCAGCACATGCAAGCCCCACCGTCTCTCATATGCAGACAGTATAGAGTACTGTACCCACCAGATACAGGAAGAACAACATGGATTTTGTCAGTTCCAGTCCCATGATTGACCGATTACCATGTCCGGACCAGAATCTGTTTACACAGTTGGTGTGTCTTTTCCTGGCAGTATTGCGATATGCAATTGACAAGGCACATTGTGATAGAGAGGCGTCCAGTACTTTCTTCCAATACCAGATGATAGGGTATGCACCAGATCACTTTCGGTACACCTATCAGTCAAATGTCCACTCGTTTCACGTTGTCCGGATAGGTGGGGATGATTAATGGAAATTGTGTGTGCATGCAACAGGCTCCAGCTGGCGCTGGGGGAGCAGGCGGCGCGGCAGGGCCCCTGGACTTCCTGCGCTCCAACCCCCAGTTCATCGCCCTGAGGCAGATTGTGCAGAGCAACCCCATGATTCTCCAGCCCATGCTGCAGGTATGTCAGCCTGTCCCTGTACTCTTCTTTGTCCACAGCTTCAACCATTTGCCAATAGGACTGCCAGATGGCTGACATAAGGCACATCTGCAGAGTATTCACCTCACTTGGACATGGAGCATGCTGCACAAGACCTCGTTGCTTTGTGTTCCTGAATGTGCCCATCATGCTGGTGCAGGAGCTGGGCAAGCAGAACCCGGAGCTGCTGACGCTGATCAATGCGAACCAGCAGGAGTTCCTGCGCATCATCAACGAGCCGGTGCCGCCCGAGCAGGCGCAGGAGGTGTCCCAGCAGATCGCGCAGTTCCAGGCCGCCGGCATGGCCGGCCCCGCCCAGGGCGAGGGACGTGAGTCGCCCTATCAATTCCACTCTTTCTCGTTGGCCACTTTGCCTGCCCATTCAGAAGCACCCCTGCTGCTGCGTTTCTGATCAAGTGCCTTGGGTTACTGAAAGGCGATCTAGCCGCCCAGGTCACATGGTAGCATCAGGCACATGTAAATGTGAACATGGGTGTGCAGCTTCAATGGTGCTATAGTGCCTCCAATCCAAGGAGTTTATCATGTTGTTACCATGCCTCCATCAAAGTGTTTCAGCATGTCCTTGTCATTTCTCCAATCCTTCAGAAGTCAGGCACAAGCAATTCAGACGCATTTGGCTACTTTGACATTTCCATCTGGGGTCTTCCAAGATGTGTTTGGCCAACAAGAGGCTAATGCCTTACTTATTGGTTGTGCAGAGCCGAGCGTTATCATGTTTTGGCTGACTGTGCGGCTGTTGCTGTTTGCAGCGCTGCCGCCGGGTGCAGTGGCGGTGCACCTGACGGAGGAGGAGCAGGCAGCCATCCAGCGGTTGGAGACGCTGGGATTTGACCGCAACCGCTGCATTGAGGCCTTCCTGCTCTGCGAGCGCGACGAGACCCTCGCCGCAAACTTCCTCTTCGACAGCGCCATGGACGAGTAGCCGCATCGCGTCTGCGCATGCATGCACGTGCGGTGCAGGTGTCAGGGCGCAGGATGCGGCTGACGGACTTGTGTTGTGGACGAGTGGTAGCTTCATGCGCGTGCATGCGTCGGTGCATATAGAAGGCCAGGGAAGGGGTGACTTTTACGGGTGTTCTCCCAGGGACGAGGAGTAGACCTGTGTTTGCGCTTGCGCCTATGCAAGTTTTAAGTTTAAAGGAAGCGGGTTGGCATTCTTTGGGTGGTCTTCCACGTACAACAAGCTTCCTGTGTGCGCATGTGCGGAGGCAAGTATCATGTGAAGGACGGGGGAAGAATGCTCGGGGAGGTTCTCCACAGGAAGCACGTGTTTAGGTGATTGCAGGAAGCTTGATAGCACGACAGAATGTTCAAGGAGCAGACACAAGCTGCTGGATTATCAATGCATTGGGTTTCTTGGACAGTGGTGCATGTCTCAGGCTGCAGGCGCTGTAAGTTCTTTGTCAGTGTTAGGTGCCTTGCCGCCATGGCAGGAAGTTTCGAGGGATTGCGCTCTAGCGTTTATTTGCGGCGAACACGCCATGTGTGCGTTTCATGTAAAGGCCCGTCTTTTGCATAATTCTTTTCCTTTGCATTACAGCTCGCGCATCAGACCCTTTGCCTCTTGCTTCAGGAGGCCCAGTTGCTTCCTCACATCCGTCTTCTCGGGATTTTGCTGGTGTGCATGCGCCACGCAAGTGATGCGATGTGCCAAAGAGTACACTGCACACCACACACTCCTCAGCAATATATTCATAGATATATCGCACTCACCATTGACCTTTTCTTTCTGTGCTCCACATGTGCAGGTGCCTGTGATCACATTGGGTTCACGGGAAAGCATGTCCTAACCTATCCTGGGAAACAGTGCAGAAGCAATGTCACTTAGTGGAGCGCTCGTGCACCAAAACACACACCTTTGTGCATCTTTGTGGCATGGCGTGCTGCGGCCCCAGTGTGCAAGCTTGCATCGGCCGCCTCAACTGCCTCGGCAATCCGTCTGGCCTCTTGTGTGATGCTATCTGGCAGCCCCACCTGTCACGCCACAAATCACCAATTTCAGATTCATTGCAATACTTACTGCAATAATCTCAACCGTCTCATCCAAGCACAACTGAGGCAGAGCTGAGTCAAGCATGCAAGAGATTTCAATGAAATTGAGAAGATTCACTTACAGCGGGAGCCATCAGGAGGCCATAGTGCAGGACAGCGGCCTGTCCTGGCAGCAGCTTGTGGCCGTACTGCAGCCTCTGCTCCCCAGTGTCCACCCCAAAGTGCCACTGCTTGCAGCTGGGGTACATTTCAGCCAGCTCCCCGAGAGGGGAGAAGTGCGTTGCAAACAGGGTGAAGGCGCCCACGCCGATCAAGTGCTCTGAGATCGCCCATGCTATCGCGACCCCGTCTGCAGCATTCGAATCAGGCGCTTTCAATTCACATAAGGGATACCTGCCCAGTGGTGCAGCCTGAGCTCATGAGCACAGCTGCTGTCTCGGGGCACAAACGGGCAGATCTACCCCTGCTGGGTTAATAAGGGCTGCACACAACATGCCTGATTCATTGCCTATTGGCTGGCTGCAAATGCATGTTGTGGAAGAATCCTATGTCATACAAAGAGGGTTTGAGAGCTACCTGCTGTGGATGTGGCCCTCCCCAGCTCATCAATGAGCACTAGGCTGCGGTCGGTGGCATGGCCAATGATGTGAGCGGTCTCCTGCAGCCACCAGCTAAATACTGTCCAGCATGACTACTTCCGATCGCTTGGTACTCTCTCTGGTGTAGATTAACAGTATAGGGTAGTGCAGTCCTACCTCTGATCAAAGTAATCGTGTTGGGTAGAAATGTCTCCGTTGCATCTGAATCATTTTGGCTAGTGCTGTCTCTGGTTCAATATGCTCACTGTGGGTGAAGTAACTTAGCCCATGCACATGCATTGAGGAGGGTAGCTTCTGTTCGCGCCTGCATCTCGACCATGAAGCTGCTGGAGTTGTTCTCGATGCTGTCAGATGTGCCGATGCGAGTCAGCAGCCCGTCCACTGGGCGCAGGGATGCCAGCCTGGCAGGCACATGGCAGCCCATGTGCGCCAGGATTGTGATCAGCGCCACCTGGCGCAGGTATGTGGTCTTCCCCGCCATGTTTGGCCCCGTGATCACATAGAAGCTGGAACTCTCTGCACAGGGGACACAGCAAACAACGATTCTACTTTGCAATCTGTTCCTGCCAGAGGCAAGCGTTTGCAGACATGCTGCATGTAAAGGCTGCATCAACTCCCACCCCTGGATGGACTCACAGACCGAAGCAAAACCCATTCAACCGTGGGCAAATATGTAAGCTTAAATATATATCCAGCTGCGCTATCAAGATGCCATGTAGAATGCATCCAAAGCCACTAGAAAGCCGGCATCCTGATCAGGTGATGTCTTGTCATGGCATGCATTTTTGGCTCATCTGTTGCGCTGCTGTTGTTAAAGCAAAGGGAATGGAGGAAGTGGGAAGCGCACCGGCAAGGTATGTGTCATTGGCTTGGTACTCGGTGTCCATCAGCTGTTCCACCAGGGGGTGCCGCCCCTCCACAATAGCCATGGGGCCATGCTCTGTCAGCTGCGGCCGCACATAATTGCCGTCCGATTGACTAATCTGGCCACGCAGCACAAAAAGTGATGTCAGCCTACAATGTGCAACTGGCGTCATTTGCTTCCTGTAATACGTACTTTCCACCATTTATGCGCACATTGTGCACATATATATTTAGTGCAGTATCGGTCAACTTGCATATTCAAAAGACCGAGTGCCCCCATGATCGCGCCAGGCCTGTCTTTGCATCCTGTCTTTGCGAACAGGTGCTTCCATGTTCAACATGTCAAGCTGGCACCTTAAAGTCCAGATTCCACATTTGCAGATGCAAAAGGAGGGGGTGAGGAGTTGATATGAGATATGCACAGGTGCCAACCGCAAGTGCAAAGGATGCGAGCATGTCGAGGAGTGCCACGCTGTCGATGAGGCGATGCATCATGGAGAGGCGCTGGCAGGCAGTGCTGACCGTCCCCTCCAAGATCTGCACCCACCCCACAGCGCATGCATTAGTAACAACAGTGCTCGCACCCACAGCGCATACATTAGTAATCAACGCTGCATGCACCCAACAGCGCAGACATTAGGAATCAAGACTGCATGCACCTCAAGAGTGCATGCAGTGTGACAGCTTGACACTCAGCGCCGCACTGCCTGCCCTCTAGAGCTGATCTGCATTACTTCAATCTTTACACATCGGGGATGTTCAATTGTTGAGCTGAAAGCCCATCGGTTCTTGGTTGATTTGGTCAAAGGATTGCACTGTGCAGCTCTGCACAAGATGGAGGATAACGGTCCCAGAACTGAAGGACAGATGGAAAATTGTGCCGTGCATGTCTGCATCAGATGGAGCATGATGCTTTCTAAAATTCCAGCACATGGGAACGCCCTGGGCTGACCTGCTGGGTGATGATCATGCAGTCGTTGGTGGCGTCCTTCAGGCGGGCGTTCAGGGCATTCAGTTCTGCGGTGGTACAGGCAATGGTCACTCTGTTGCGCGTGCCACCCTCCAACTGTACGAACTTCCTGGGCAGCGGAGGCACGGTCCCCTCCTTTGTCTTCGCGCCCGGCCGCTGCGCCATCAGGTAGAAGCCCCGCTTGGCTGCATACTGCAACTGCGCTCACCATGCATCGCTCATATTATGCATCATTCTTACAGTGCAACATTGTTTGCTATGCATCATTTCTCTTATTAAGATTGGCCGAGTCAAAGCCAGGGGCCACAGGGCATGCATGCAGGGCATCTGCAGCCATAAATGCAGGGCCTCTGACAGCCTGCAGCGTACTTACTTGGTCAAGACATTCTCACTCATCTACATGCATTGTAAGTCAACTGCTTGAGCTTAAAGCTCGGCACTGCAGGCCTCTCAAATACAATTACGGAAGAGAGAGGAGGGCAACTGGGACCTGCCTTGAGGGATACGATGCCGTGGGTCTCTCTGTACTTGGCAGCCAGCTCGTGGATCTCTTCTGAGATGCGGCAGAAAGATGTGCGCGCCAGGTCAAGGAAGCTGTCGACACCGCTCTTCACAGCGAAGCACTGCTGCGTGCGGTTGACAAAGGCTGCCTTGCTCGATGACACATCGCTGTCCAGGGCAGCATCGATGACTTGCAGCAGCTCTGCAAAGACTGGGTGCGAGGCGTTTGCGCGTACCTGCAGGGCAGGACACAAATCAAATTGCGAGGCAGCCCTTCCTCATTTCCTGGCGCTCGCACTCCCTTGTATGTCTTGCGTTCTCCCTGGTTTGAGTTGTCTCATTAACAGTGTCACGAGTGGTGTGAACCTCTTTCAATGTTATTGTTGAGTGCCATTCCCGGGATGTAGCAGGCATGCGCAGGCAGATTGTGGGAGGTGCAGATGCAGAGAGAGAGAGGCTTGGTCACCGCTTTGAGCAGCTCGCTCTTGGCTGGCTCCAGAGCATCAGCCAAGCTGGGAAGGGCTGTCAGCGCCTCTCTCAGCAGGATCACGCTCTGCACCAAGCTGGCTATGCGCTGCACTGGGTCTTTGCCTGGAGCCGATGGCCAAAACGCCTGAATGTCGCAAATGTGAGGTCACTAATGGTTGTCTATTGATCAGTCGCAAGGTGATTTCAGCCGGGTGCATTCGGAGACTTTTGTTGGCCCCGCAGACGTGGCTGCAGGCGATTTGCGTGTATGCCCTATGGCTTTTAGCTTTGGATTGCTGACCTGTATTAATAATAATTGCAGTTTAAAGAACAGCGTAAAAATAATGAAGAGGATGTTACCAGGCCGCTGCACAACTTGTCCAGGTTGTTAGGTAGGCTGGCGAGGCAGTGCCCAATGCTGCAGGCCAGGTCATCTGAGCCCAGCAGCTCTTCCACAACATTATAGCGCAGCTGGATGGTGCCTATGTCTGTCAGAGGCTGCAATAAATTCGCCTGCAGCAACATGACATTTGGAGCTCCATCATGCATGCTTGAACCCAAGCATGCAATAATTCACTGCATTGAAGGCAGGCTGGCTAGTTCCATGACACACGCCCGGCGTTGATCCACAGGTTCAACTGCCAAGGGCATGCCTTCAGCAGCTGAGTGCCACATCTGGTCTTGGTGTGGTTGAGCCACCAGAACAGGCTCCCGCCCCTGGATCCCTGAGTGGGCGCCTTCATCGGCTTGATGAGCTCCAGTGCCCGTACGGTGGCAATGTCAATGTGCATGTATGAGGTCGGGCTCACATACATCACATGCAGCGTGCCTCCCGCCAGCACCGTGTGCTGCTCCTGCGCGCAATGCATGCCTTCAATTCAGCTGTCATGGCCTTCTCACAAACTCTTCCAGCTTCAGGAGAGTCCACATCTTGGGCAAGCAAAGAAAATGGCGAGGAAGCAAGTCACGCATGCGAGATGTGAAGCACTTAAAACCTGTTCCAGGAAATGCAAAAGGGCTCCTGCTGCTCCCAGGGCAAGGTAGTAGTTGCTGCGCAGCGCAGTGCCTTCAAGGTCTGCTCGAGTCGCCTCTGATGCGCAGTGACTGACTGCAAGGCTGCCCTTAGTATCGTCAAAGCATGTCTGCATCACCCCAAGCAGTCCTGAGGCACTTCGTTTTCTTGCAAGATCGTGCCCATGGCATAGCCTGAAGCAACTCTAAATGGTAAATTCAGTGAGCAGAGGAGCTTTCACCCTTGACATCGGAACCTGATGGAAAGGTCGTGCAGCTTTGTTGATTCCTGAGCTCAGTGTTTCTTGGTTTGATCCAACAACGATGAGCTGGGAAGGAATGTAGGCTCGAAGGATGCTCAAGCTGGTTGTGTACGTTCTGGAGGACTCTGCATACACAGCGATCATCCATTAAATGAGACTCTTTACTCGTGCAAAGTTGCGAGGGAGAACAAGGCTCACCTATGAATTGAAGCAGGCGCAGGGAGACCTGCACTGGATCAAAGACGGCAATGCCAACTTCCTTGGCTCTGTTTTCTATCACAGCTACAAGAAGATGGGCAATCTCAGGATCATCGGTGTTTGCACCTTCCAAGGATTTCTGCTCTGCCATTGTGGGCATGTTCCTAACAGTCTATATACAATCACAGTGTCCTGGGAAAGATCATGACCCTCGAAGTGTTTTCAGAAGTAAACTTTAAATTGCGCTCGATCCCTCTGCGGATCTTCTACGCTTCTCTTTGACAACTGGCACGTGCCCATGGGTCAGACTCATATGAGCATGTTGTCAGCATGATCTCCTCAGATATATATTTTCACTTGCTGGACCAGACTAAACACTGGTGATCTCATTGTTTGTCATTTTAATGTCAAGTTACAAGTTCCTACTAGTACACTTGCCTATTCAAGCTCTTACGCGAAATGCCTCTTTGCTTGCACAAGGCGCACCAACTCTCACGCTGCTCCTTCACGTCGAAGCTGAAACGAATTAAGACATTGAGACTTTACCATTGCAGACTCTAAACAGACCTCATAAGAGACCTCACAAGTTTGGAGCTGACACATTGTGTTTCTTCTTGCTTTCTCGCAAGTGAGTGCAGGACATTCTTTAAATTGCCTGGCTCTGAGAGTAATAGAGTACATTCGGTGTGCTTGCTGGGCAAGCGCAGCCGCTGCAGCTGATCAAGAGCTGGTAGGTCTAAACTTGAACATTATGCGTTATCAGGCTTGCAGCACCAAGAACAGCCGATGCTCCTGCAACACCTGGCGCTCCATTACACTTGATGATGCCCGTCATGCTGGTGATCGATAGCAGTCGCTATGCGAGCTCGAGTCCATGCCTGTAGGCACACATCCTGTCAATCAAGCACAGCTGCAGCAGCAGCAGAAGGAGCTGGGGCATTAGCAAAGAGCACTCAACACATGCTCGCACTGCCTTGTAAGTCTTGCAATCACTCTCAGCCGAAAGAGCAGACAAAAATGATGGGGCAGATGGGGATGCAGATCTGACAATTGATCGGCCCATTCAACAATTCTGTAGTACAGGTGTCTCACCTCTCTAAGCCTTTCAAAGATCGTTCTCGTCCCAAAGGTCGTTAGCTTCAGGTCAGGATATTCAGCATGGTCGCTGTGAATAGTGATCTGTGGTTGCACCACAGCTGCTGTCAGGATACAGCCTGCTCAGCACGTGCATGCAAGCAAACAAATGCAGAGAGGGCACATAAAAGCTTTCCTGAGCTTAAGTCAGGGAGCCTGGTCATACCGTGCCGCGATTAAAGCAGAGCTGAATGAGGCTGCGGTGGAAGTGAATCTCAACGACTCTCCTCAAGTCAATCGTTTCCATGTTGCTACCGCAGCATCCATCTGAAGTGACAACGCACAGCTATTTCAAGGAATGAGTATCCACGAACGCAGTTTTTGACGTAAAGTTGCACAGGCATCTGAAGACGGGGTGCGTACGTGTGAGGTCAATCCTCTGCTCAGTAATGTCCCACTGCCAAACTGAGCAGCATAACGGGGAGCAGCAGGCCAGAGGAAGAGGGCAGCCTGCACAGATTGCATAAACAACAGCTTCACCACCTGCACCTCTTCTGCATTCATTTTGAGTTACAAAAATGTCCGTCCAACCCTTTCGAGCTCATCATATGCAGTATCAGGTCAACAGGCTCACCTTGCCAAGTGGTGCCCCTCCACACAGAATGTCTCTGCTCGCTTGGGACTGGAACCCTGCGAGGAAGTTCTTTGAATTGAGGCGTCTCTTCGAACAGCTAATACCCAAAGAGGACTGTGGTGCCCATCTCTGTCACATAGCTATGGCATGCCCTACTGAGGCTGCAACATCCCAGGAAACAAGTGACGTGAAGGAAAAAACACTGCTCCGCCACCACTGTTCACTTATGGGTTCCTACAACATACTGCAACAACATCTCTAAAATGCAAAATGATTGACGTTGAAGAGATCACTGACCCCAACGCTGGCTCTCCCTCTTTGTCAGAACCCTGCAAGAGAGGCTCTTGCGTGCTGGCGGGCCCAGATTTACTTGCTTCCCTGATCCAAAATACAAAATTTTATTTAGTTGCATTTTACACGCTCTACAAAGAGAATCAGAAGCGATGCGCGCATTCTAGATCGTGTGATGGTCGATGAGATTAGGAGCTTTACCAGGCCATACGATGGTCGTGATAGTGCTGTTGGCAACCTTTCTCTCAATCCCTGAAGTCCAGTAAAAGATTCTCGGTGTAAGACTTCAAAACGCAGGGAGCTTCGACCTGGTTCCGGAACACGCCAAGATTAAGGGAGGGAATAGGGTGAATATTTTGGGTGGACCCAGTCCTGGGCCATGCATGGCCAGGCACCTCATTCTGCTCACGTTTTACAGTCTGGCGGATATGCCCCAATCAAGTTTCAGGAAGTCTGGCCTTATCAGCATGTCGAGAGACTATCTCTTCTGAACGCCCTGTGACCTCAACAACACTGCGCTGGAGAAAACAATCAGACAGTCTACCAGAAGCTCAGCCGCAGCAAGCAAGAATGTAGCTGAACTCTGTGCTGCCGTCTTATTTCAAAGCTCCTCATGAGAAGGACCTCTTCTAGCACCTGAAGTCTGACCATCAAGCAGAGGTGGAAGTACTCAAGTCAATGGCAGCGCCTGCACGCATATACACATGTCTGCGTGTCTCGATGTGGGTCCCACTATGCACCATTTGAATGCTTCTGCTGTAGACATCTCCATCAGGGCGCGGCCGCCACTGGCAGCCAGGGACAAAGCCCCAGGACAGTGCTCCTGGCCAATGCCTCAGCTCAGCAGCAATCTGCTTGTCCTTGTCTTAGCAAAACCCACAGTGTCCAAATGAAACGCAAGGTCTAGACAACTCTCAGATCAAGGTTGATCACCTCAGGGATGTTCATGCATGCACCAGGCACAGTCACCCCCCGAACGACATAAAACAGAGTCGCACAAACCTCAGTGCTGAAATCCTTGATGGATTTGACTCTGGATATATCGCTTCTTGCAAAGATTCCATTGAATCTCTCATGCATGCAACATGCAACATTGTGGGATGCAATCCTAGCCGCTGATGTGCAGCGAATGCCTAATTCCTCAATCAAATTGGAAGCTGGTCTTGGTCCCAGGAGCATCTGGCTAGGATATAAATCTTGAGAATAGCTGCGAATTCAAGTTTTGAATCTTGGCCAGCTGGAAATTACCTTTAAAGCTTTCCTTGGACTGTACTTCAGCGCGTGCACAAACGGGAGCACCTACCGAGCAGGCGGGCGTGGCAAGAGGCTGGCTGTATTTGTCAACAAATTGGGAGCTTCCAGTACAAACAGCAAGGCACCGAGGTCGGGCAGTGCATGCAGCGTACTACGTAGTAGTACTCGTCCCAGGTTCCAGTACAGCAGTCGTGGTCGATGCCAGCAGTCACAATTCTGAAATCGCCTGCTTATATACAAGCGTGAAGTAGACAAGGAAGTCTAGCAATCGATGTGACCCATGGTCATGCAGATCATGGTCATGCAGAGCGTAATACAGGCTCTAATCGTCAGCGTCGCTCTTTACGCCGCCATCAAGGTACCCCCGTGTGGGGCACGTCGCCGAGTCCTTGACGGACTAAATCTTGTTTGAAGTGATTTCGATGTTCGTGCTGGTTAAACTCTGCACGTTTTGGGCAGGTGTTACTATTTCTTTACCGATTCCTGGCAGTATTCTTCAGCCTGTGGAGGCAAGGAATCCCCTGGGCAAAACCAGCACTCAGAGTAAGCCGACCTTGTTCCTATAGAAGTCATGTTCTTTTTTGCATCTTGGGGAGCAATGCCTTTCTGCAGACTGATTTTGGGGTTGCCGTGGGCCTGGCATCAGGGCAAGAAGTGCTGTCATACAGGTGGCCATCTTGAGAATTTTCGTCCTTAATGTTGGGTGCAGGACCTGACAAGGAAGGACACACACAAGTGCGGCATTGAGCACGCCGCAAAGCATGGGGGAATCTATTTCACCCAGATTGTGCATCTCAACGTGAGAGCCTCGCAAGCCAGCTCCCGCTTTGCAGCTCAACCTTGGACACTGTTCATTCAGCTATTGTGCTCAGCAGCCCTAGGTTTGCTGCGCGCTCACTCAAATTGCGGCGCAGGTGGTCGTTATCTCAGACCCACACCTAGCAGCAGAAGTCTTGGACCGCACGAAGACCCCTCACATGATTGACAAGCCGACAGAGCCGCAGTTCTACAAGATGATGGATGAGGTGCGGGTTGGAAACCCAGCACACTCGTGTTGTTGCTTGAGCAGCTGCAGTGCACACGTCATGAAGGGAAATAAGAGGATCCTGTGTTCTCCTGTTGTCCATGATCCCATTCAAAGAAGTCGTTCATTTCTTTGGTCCCGGCTGGCAGGGGCCGGTATGGATACTGAGCACCATGCCTATGGCCATTTGAGTCTTTGCTTGCTTATCTGGCAAGTTTATCAAGGAAGAGGACGTGTGGCAGCTGCAGCTTGTCTGTGAGACGCGCCTTGCCTCTGGCAGCAATACCTTATGATGATAATAATTATAACATTGGTGCTTGTGCAGGGCACCGCAGACCCTCCAACACCATCTCTCATCTCCACCACAAACGCAGACCCCTACTGGAAGATTGTCAGGAAGGGGACATCGCGAGCCTTCACAGTCAACAACCTCAGGTCCGCCGCTGCCAGCTGACCCGCAATGTCATTTGCTCTGGTGAAATTCTGCAGTCCTGCAGAGCTTCTCGATGCCTTTCAGGCAAGCTTTTTGCTGAGGGAAAGATCTGGCGTGTACAGGGCAGCTTTTGAGGTCAGCAGAAACATGTCAAAGCGCCTGGTCACCGCCGTCAAGGCATATGGAGCTGCCAAGCCCCTTGACTTGGATGCAGTGGTGCAGGTGTGCGCTTCATGCTTCTCTTCCCTTTTTGTTCTGTACTTTCCTTCTTTTTTTATTTCTATGCGAAAAAACTTAGGTCAGCATGCGCAGAGCCGTGCGGTTGCCATGAGGTCTTATCAGCAGTCTGGTGCGCTCTGCAGAACCAGGCATTCGACGTGATTGGGGAGTTCGGATTCTCCAAAGACTACGAAGCCACAAAAGACCTGTGGAAGGGCTCTGGCGCCAAGGCCTGCATGGCACTCAAAAACGGTGAATGGGCCTCCAAGATTCACTGCAAGAACGTTGGCACAATGATCAGGAAAAATCGGAATGCGATGTGTTGAGGCTGCCAGCAGCGTGGGTATGAGGACTGAGAATGCTTGTGTGCTCAATGTGCAGCCATGAAGAGCGCGGTTGAAAGGACCAGGAAACCTTACTCGCGCATCCCTTACACCCAGGCAAGCCATTGCGCAGGGAACACAGTTCAATTCAAATGCTTACGTCTTCCACCCATGGCTTGCCTGGAGATGTACCTTGCCTCTTGGCAGCACCATAGTGCGGTTGATGATGACACTTCTTTAGGTGAAGAAAAGTTTCCCTCTGTTGCTGTTGAGGGCGCATGCTTGCCTACCAGGCAGAGGTGAGCAAGTGGGTGTGTGATGCAGTTATGGCAGAAGCACCAGCAGAGCAAGGTGAGCCTGCTGAGCATCTTCAAGGACCTCCTGCAGGAGGTGCAGGCCAGGTGTGCTGCATCCTGCAATTGCTTTGCAGGGACCGGTCTTGCATGTCTGATCTACTGCCAGCCTGACCGGCAGAGAAAATACTTGGGTATACAACTGTAAGGGCCCATATTGCATCACGATGCTGCTTGCTTTCTGCACGTGCTGTAGGCAGGCTGTCACTTGTTGATACAGGCATGGAATCATGCTGGTACCTCGAGACTGAAGGAAATAATCAGTAATCATTAGTAATGGTGGCTTCAGGGGCTCCCCAGCTGAGGAGGACAATTCAATCGCGGCTCATCTGATGCGCACAAGGGACGACAAGGGGCAGCCAATCCCGGACGTGCGCATCTGGAGCGAAATGTCAATCTTCTTTTTCGCAGGCGCGCCCCCAACAATGCCTCTCACGTCAGTCAGTGAAGTGACATTTGCATTTTGGAATGTGACATCTCTTTGAAGGCGCGCCCATGGCACATGCTGTGACATCAGCGGTGAACTGATATGCGAGTTTTAAATTGGCGCCTACTTCATTGCAGGCCCATGAGCCAACCCACGACATGACGTGCCATCGGACTTTGAATATAAATTGGCGTCTACTGACGCTGAGTTATTTGCGCACAGGGGTCGAGACGACCGGCCACACCATGGCCTGGACCCTGTGAGTTTCCATCCTCCTTTATGAGATATCTCCCGTTGTTTTTGCCATCTCCCCTTGCCAATGCTGTGATTGCCCAGGAGAAAGAGACCCCTGGCTCTTAGCATGGACATGCGCTGCTGCTGGCATGACTCCCAAATGTGCCTGCATCTGGCCTAACTAAAAATTTTCTGGGAAAAATCTTCTGGGCGCAGAGAATCCACTGCAATCTTCATTTCCCTTGTAGTTTGAGGGGGTTCAGAATGTGGTGCTGGAACACAGGTACCTGATCTCACAGCACTCGGAGGTGGAGGCTAAGGTGCTGGCAGAGCTGGAGAGTCTGCAGCTGCTGGCGTCCCCGCAGCTGCCCAGCCCGCGGCCACTGGAGTACGCTGACCTCAGCAAGCTCACCTACCTCTCCTGCTGCATCAAGGTGCGTGTTAGCTACTGCTTGGTTGCCACGTCTGGCAGTCTTGAATTGAAGTTGCATGCACTGTCTTCTGTCATGGCAGTCCCTTTCGGTAAAGGTTGCAGGGCCGATGCAAACGAGGCTAAAGGCTTCATGGAGGTTCATGCTACAGTGTGAACTATCACTTCAGCCATAGCCTTGGAACGAGTGGGTGTTTCTTGCAGCATGCCAGTGAACCCTTGGCTGCACTGTCGGCATTGCTGCCTTCAGAACAATTGATCAATGCCACCATGCCATCTGTGTTGTTAGCATGTGTCGCGCTAATTAGCGTCTTGCTTTCATTTTACGAGTCCATCAAATGGGTAGGATTTGTGGCATCCTAATTCTGCAGGTTGTCTGCAGACACAGGTTGCCTCCTGCAGGAACAAATAAAAATAAAAATAAAAATAGCAATGACTCTGTGGTTCTACCACAGGAGAGCATGCGACTGTACCCGGTGGTGCCCATGATATTCCGCAAGGCCATGTGTGATCAGCGCGTGGGCGGTTATGTCATCCCCAAGGGCGCCTTCTTCATTGTCCACATCATGGCCACGCACTCCACAGAGCGCCACTGGGAACGAGCAGCTGATTTCCTGCCGGTACGCGCTTATTACCTACCCTACCTCTTCCCCAGGCCCCCAGATACTTTTCGTAAGTCGTCCCTCATAAGTGCTGCACTCCCATGCGCCTCTTTTCAGCCTAAATTGGCCAGTCACAATCACCGCATGCCCTGGCAAAGAAGTGGCTCTGGGACAGCCAATTTGCATTGAGAACATGCTCTGTAGAGGCTGCTTGGCTTGTGAAGAATTGCAGAACATTGTAAAGGAGGATCTTGCAGGTCAACTGGGGATATTATATTCTCAGCTGATGCACCTTCCTCAATTTGGTGGGACCAAAAAAATCCTTGCTTGGATTTGGCGAGTCTATCAAGGGGTAGGATTTTGGCAGCCTTTGACTGCAGTTTGTCTGCAGCCTCTTGGCAGAAATAGCATGTCATGACAGACCATAAATGTTGTGCAGGAGCGGTGGCTGGACCCCAACTGCGAGTATGTGCGCCCGGTGGATCCCAAGTCCAGATACGTGCCGACCGGGCCGGCAGACATCTTCGCAGCCGACAAGCCTGGCAACGGCAAGACCACCGTTAACTCCTCAAACGGCCACATCGTCGCAGATTCGCGTGCAGCCCACAGGCAGGAGCACAAGGTGAGATCCTTATTGCCTATCGCCCTGGTGTTTTCTGGACATCTGTAGTCATCCTCAAGCAGCTCAAATGGGGTCGACGTCGCAAGGATGGCAGCCATGCATGTGAGAGGACGCTCCTTGTTTCTGGTGCTGAGCAGTTTCTTGTGGTCATCCCTGAGGGTGTGAATGCCTTTGCAATGGTGATCACTTTAGGGGGTGGCTGTAAGGTGGAAGGCAGCCATGCGTGTGAGAGCAAGCCATTTGTTTCTGGCACGGGGCACTTGCTCTGATTGTGATTTAGGTGCTCGTGCGATGTGGATCAGGTGAAGAGGTGGTTCCCTTATGGCGAGGGCAACAGGCAGTGCATTGGCATGCCCCTGGCCAGGGTCAACCTGCAAGCCTCCATCGCCTCGCTCCTGTCAACCTTCCGCTTCAAGCTGGCAGACGAGGTACTGCCCCGCCGCGATTGCTAATATCCTGCATACTAACACAGGCTTGTAAAAGAGACATGTATCCTATCCGGATGGTCTCCAAGCGAGCAAAACATGCCTTGCTATCCTGGCCAGGACCTCTCAAAATTTGCATGTAGGCCGTGCAGCACAACAGGAAAATTTACAGGCTTGTGGGAGGCATGCATGCAACGTGCAGCATGAACGCTGATGGAAAAGGGGAATGACACAAGTGCCTTTGCTGAGCAGATGGGTGGGGTGGAGGGCGTGCGGATGTCTGAGTGCTACAACATCACTCTGGCGCCCGAGAAGGGTCTCATGATGCACTGCATCCCTCGAGCAAACCATGCCAACACCTGAGCCAGGGATGCCCAGAATTTTAAAGTATGAACCAGCCTTCCATGACTAATGGCAAGTCTGCGGCGCACACAAAGCAAGCTACCTAGCAGGTTAGGATACCTGCAAAGCACCTCATGTGTCTGTTGCACCTCCGCAAAGTATATGCATCCTCCACTTGTTGAGTTGGTTTACGGGGATTTTTGGGGCTCAAGCACATTAACAAATAAAGGCTGGATGCCAAAGGCGCCTCGTGCACTGTTTGTTGTGGCGGCTTTGCCGGCTTTTAGATCTTGGCCGAATGAAGCTCCTGTGCATGCAGTCTCTTGATTGCTGTCTGCAGCACATACCGATTGAGATCTACGCGCATAAAAGAATTTTTTTTGCCTGATTTTGGCTGTCGCTTGATACTAGCAGGCAGCAGTCATGTCTCAGTGGCTTTAATTAAAACAATGTGCACTGTTGCATGTCTGGGGCAATCTCTCCCCAGTCCAACGCCTTGATCAATGGATTGAGTGGGGACTTTTAATGTGTGTACATCTTTGCTTGAATGTTGTAGGCCACTCTTCTTTGGTGCTCAATGTGATCTGTCTCTGCTTACGATGAGGCTCTTGAGGGGCAATGTTTTATAAATATGAAACGTTGCAAATTGGTCGCAAGTGCACTGCTTAGTATAGTATTTTGCTGTATCACACTGGAAGACTTACAGCGTATACTTTGCATTTGTTTTAAATCTTGGATTATTTTTAGATAAAGTAGTATCAATTTCTTTGCTGCATTATAAGTCACTCAGTTATATTATCCTGAAAGATTCTGCCATCATGTCATTTTCTAGACATGTCAAAAACCAACGTGTGATGTCTGGCACAAGACAAGCACCTATGATCACAGCCACCTATCCCTTCTAACATGCTTATCCTCAATGAGATTTGCAGCCCACCGAAACATGCAAATGCCTTTCATTAATCTGATCCATTGAGGGCCACAAATGGCTCAATGGACCAACCCTGGTGACAGACATGCGTGACTGGCTGTTCTCATTAGTCTCATTGAGCCAGCCTGGGGAGTGCATGCATGTACATGCCGCCAGCAATGCCTGTCACCAGAGTGTACTGCTCAGCCCTGCGAACTCCCTCTGCTCCACCCATCTGCGCACACAAGATCCCACACCCCATCTCAGGCCAAATGTGCCAATCCTGAAGTAGCAAAAATTGCGCTTGCACAGCAGTGATCGCCATGCTAGGCGTGCTTACCCCAGTGTGGGTCTACTGCAATGAAAACTTAGGACTGCTCGGTGGGTAAGGGTCCAGGGCCAAGGATGTACTGCAGAATGGCAGGCATGGCTGCCAATTCAAGATTTTTGCAGCGGTGGAAAAGTAAAAGGAGGGTGGAGTTCCGAGCGTGCTGTACCTGATCTGCCAGCTTGAAGGAGAAGTGGGAGAGGAGGGTGGCGAGAGTGAGGGGCAGCGTTGAATTTGCCAGGTTCTTGCCCACGCAAGACCTCGGGCCCTCCGCGAATGGCATGTACCTCTTGGGCCGCTCTGCCGCCACACAACAATAAATTTACCATGATTCACCAGTGAGCATACGCTGGCTACCCATCAGGCAGTTGAATTAACACCAGATGACATACCTCAAAGTCTCCAGAATTAATCCATAGAGACCTTCATGACCACGTCCTCACGTGCAGCTCTGCCTTACAAGGACTTCACAGGATTGAGGAAAGTTGTGCTGAAGCGCATTCAGGTGTCAAGGGAAGCTTCGTAGAGTACCTCCATTGCACAGGTTGCTGCCCTGCTTGCTGGTCAGCCCTTTCCGCAGCTGCATGGGCAGCCCGCACTCCTTCTGTGCATACTCCGCCTCGGGCTCCATCCATCGCTCTGCAGAAGCACACCTCTTTCAAAGCTGCAAAGCTGCCATATGCACCGGCCTATGTGGTAGCGTCATCCCACTCAACCTTTGGCCTGGCTGATAATCTAGAAAGGCTTTCATGGGTGATTTCCATCAAAGTCATGATCCCACAATCTTCCTGCCAAAAAAGGTACGTTGCGTCTGTGGACAAGCTGCAGGTAAGGACTCCCACAAATTCCACCCCGAATGGGATGCCAACATCCCAGCAAGACACACTCGGCTGTGGGCACATTTTTCACCACCTACTGGCCTTAGCAGCCCGGGAACCCACGGGAGGCAAAGATAAGAAAGTAAAGATGGAGAGAGCCTGTTCCGAGCACCATCATGCAATCCTGCTACAGTCATCAGATCTGTAAATGAGGTATATCACTGGCAAATGCGGACAGGCGTGCCTGGCTTGGTCTGAAGAGAAGGACACAGATAAGTGGCCGACCTGGCAGGAAGCTGTGGGGCTGGTCCCAGTTGGCGCTGGTGTTGTGCATGGCGTGGTGGGGCATCCACAGCAGCGTTCCCCGGGGAATTGTGAGTGCGCCGCCGCACAGCACGAGGTCGTGGCTGTGGCTCACCCGGATCTGGCCGATGCCCACCGGCGGATACATGCGCAGAACCTCCTGCATCCAGAATAACAATCTGTCATTCCCCTTCTGTATTTGCACCAGGAGGTTGTTAAATATCATACTAAGGGACCCTGTTTGCACACCAAGGAAAGTGCAGACCATTTGTGATATTCTGTGGACATGCAGGCCACTGATGACATTTAGCTGGAGGAGCACATTGTGACAGGATATGCAAAGCAGGGATGCTTGAAGACAGTCCTGGATCGGGCTATGGCCTTCTTTCTGCCGTAATGGATCCGAAACAGAAGCCCTCAGTGGCTAATTTTGCGCTGATGCTCACTGATCTTAAGGTCTCAAGTGTGAGAATCAGATTCAGGCATCGAATCAGCGCTATGTTGGCTGGAAGCTATGCAATGCGACTCACTGAGGCAGACTTAATCTGGCAGACTGCATGTTACACTAGTACTACTGTGGCAAGGGAGGATGGAGAGACAACAGCGCACCTTGATGACACATTTGAGGTAGGTCAGTCGCGCGATGTCGGCGTACTCGGGCTTTCTGGGGTGGTGTCTGTCTGGCGTGACCAGCAGCCCCAGTGCATCAAGTTGCTGCACCACCCTAGCCTCCACCTCTGGGTGCTGCGACAGCGCATACCTGCCCCCACCAGACAATTCAAAGATAGTCAGTGAAGCCACAATGCAATTGCTAGAATGCAAGAAAGGACTGCCTAATCCCAGTGGCTGCAACATGCGAGACACCTCCAACTCATCATATTTCTTGGACTTTATATGGTGCCAGAAAATTTGCACGTCTGCAGCAATATTTAGTGCTGTCTTGAGCCAGGTTTGCAGCTAAGCAGGGATTGCGAAGGGTTCTTATTTCCCCGAGAGGGCGGATGCGCACAGGGTCCATGCGCCGGTGTGGCCGGTGGTGTCGATGCCCGCGAAGAAGAGCGCTGCAACTTCCGGCAGCATCTGCGCAGCCGTCAGGGGAGCGCCAGTTTTGGGGTCTCTGACCAGGCGCAGCAGGTCTGCAAACGAGCCTGGCGTGGCCTCCCTTGACTTCACATGCTCCAGCAGGCCCATGACCAGCTCCTGCATGCATGCATCAGGCAACATGAATACAAACATCCTTGGAATGTGGATCTGTGCAATCAGATCTGGCTCCCAGAATAACGCATTATGAGGTGTTGTACCTCAGGTCTAAGACTTTGTCTAGCGGGTCCATCAAGGGGTAGGACATCTGCCAGCCTTAACCTGCAGCTTGTCTGCAGACGGCACCTTGCCTCTTGGCAGGAACAGTGTGCAAGACTAGTAATAATAGTGAGACTTTATTGTCGATTGCCCGAGTCGTCATCAGCCTCAGCTTCTGGAGGAAAGTGCAAAGCTAGCCGGATCGGCTGAGAAGAAGTTGCTGTTGTGATATCGACAGAAAGGTGGGAAAAGAAATGCACCTTCCATGTGCGGAAGAGGGCGTTGCCTTGGCGCATGCGGCTCCGGAGCGCGCCCAGCATGTGGTCCACGGGCGTCTCTATGCGCCTCACCACCTCCTCAGTGCACCGCAGCATCACCTGCGCACATTCAACTCTCATGATTAGGGCTGATGGAATACCAAAATATAAAGTAAAGCAGGAATATGCAAAGGCATACGAGGCAGTGCGAGCGCCAAGAATAGAGGAGGGACTGCCCCCCAGTGTTATCATCATGCCTTGACGAACATATCAGGATGGAGCGATGCGACCACGAAGGGAGAGTGCAAGACAGCATGCGGAATGTGAAGCCATAAAATTCCATAAGCTATCACTTCAACACAGAGAGTGTGATACTTGCAAGAGGATGGGGGTTCTGACCGCGATGTAGCTGCCGGAGTCTTCCCCCGATCCGGCAAGCCAGCCCTCCAACGCTCCCATCTCTATCTGGAACCCCGTCCGCCCTGAACCCACGCATGCATATTTATTTTTGAGTGTTTAGATGTCATGCTGGTCGCTGCCTCTGAAAAACAAGCATCGCAGCATCACGAAGCTGGCTGGGAGCGATGTAGTCTCACTGACTGACTGACTGAATGCACATCTTATCAAAAGGAGCAATTCTGCAGCACACATGGATCTTCTGGTCGTCTTGAATGTCTTCGAGGGCCACAAATCCCCATTATGTTGATATTGGATCCGAGTGTTGTGAGGCTGAACGCACCAATGACGTCCATGCTGAGTCGCAGCAGGAGGTCGTCAACATTGACTGCAGCATCAGATTGTGTCTGATTAAGAATGTCCACAAGCTTGAGGCTTCGCTCGATGATGTGCCCAGAAGCATCCCTGCAGCAACACAGCCATCGGTGATAGACTGGTTGTTGCAACCCGCAGTCACTGGCTTGGTTATGCAGAGTCAACAAGTCCTGACACTCAACTGGAGTCAATTAGGGCGGTCACAAACTGTACTCCCTGGCATTGCGCAGAGTATCTAGTACTGCAGAGTGCTAACGTTATGGCCTTGGGGGTGTATATACCTCACATTTGCAGTGCTGAACGCCGGTGCAATGCCTTTCCTGACTGCTCGCCAGTGCTCGTCGGTGTGCCCAGTCAGAAGATTCGTCCCTGACAGGAACTGCAGACAGCACATGTATGGTCGATCTCAAGCCACAAGCTGCAGGCAATATGACACTTCCACACAATTTTAAGACTTTGCTATTGGTTGAAGAGGCTCGTAGATTAGGCTCATACTATCGCACCGGGTCTAGGAAGGAGTACTGAAATCTGAATTTGTCGAGCAGTTTGCAGCGAAGCAGCTCGTGTGCCAGTGTGGGATCAGTCACCACCACAGCCTGTGCAGCAATGCCCATGCTCTCAGCAAGTCTAGAGAGAAACTTCAAAGCGGGTCTCTAGAAGGACAGACTGTTGCCCTGTGTGGAGGAGGGAGCGTACATGGAAATGGAGGAATCTGATCTTGTAGATCGGGCCGAATTGATCAGCCCAAGAAGTCACATACTGATGGATGTGCCTGCTTTTGAGAGCAGAAATGACTCCAAGAGGTCCATACTTGGGCCCTGGCAGAAGCCTCAGAGCCCGCGCCCTCCTCCCGATGGTCAGATAAAACCTGCACGATGTACAGGAACAATCATCAGCTGAAGGTGCTGCAACTGCAACAGCCAGAAGCACAACCACAAGACCGGCCGTCTTTCAGCAGACATCGCGCGATCGGCAGATGTGGAACTGCGCTCAGCACCAAGGGAGCCCCTATAGGCACTCATCACCCGAATCCAAAGATTTTCTAAGAAATATATCATTTGTGTCGAAATTACCTGAGTGTTCTTCGCAGCCTGTAAATCGTGTGTGTCAGAACAGCGGCGATCAGCAACAACAGCACGGCTCGGACTCCAGAGATCTCGCGGAACGTCAACATTGCAATTTACTCGCAGAGATCTTGAGTTTCTTTTGAATACCGAGTTGAAGTTGAACCAGGCAAGGTGCAAATTCTGTCAAGCCAGAATGTTGGCGAGATACCTTGACCGTTTCTTGGATGATACAATTTGCATTTTGAACTCATCCTCATTAATTACATCCCCCCCCTCGGGCAACACACCCTTGGGGCAACCATTTGTAGATTGTCTAGCAGCGACTACTCCGAATGGCAAACCTGCTTGCGCTATCAGAATGCCCCTTTGCAGCGCTCAGAGACAGCATGCTGTTTTAACACTAGTCAACGTCTGTCTGCGTGAAGATGAATGTGCTTGCTGCGCCCACTGCAGGTGAACCAACCATCTTTGGCTTCCGAATGGGCGCCACGGCAATATTGTCCTGAGCTGCAGACCTCACCCTCAGAGGTGCCATGACCTCTTCCAAGCTCTCCTCATCTGATGAGTCATCGCCTCCCATGCGCACAGGGTTCCATTCTGGGGCACAGACATTGCATCAGCCTTGCTGTACTGTGCAAGATCACTTGTTCATCAACTGGCTTGCTGCTGGCACTTTCACTGCAATAGCACGCATGGCAGCAGCTGATTGAGTCTTGCTGCAGTCAGGTGACACGAGGACTTGTGCAAGTGATCGTTGGCAAAGGCAGCAGTCACCTTCTGGCTCCTGCTCATCGTCCTCAGTGTCCTTGTCAAGATGGAGCTGCGCAAGTTTTTCTGCAGCCGCCACCAGCTCTGGAGGGTCATCCTCTTCCTGTGCAGCAGTTGCTATCCCCTGAACACTAGTCTCCTCCGTTTCATACTTCATCATGCTGAGTCATAGTGAAATGCAGGATTACAATTGCTCCGTGCCCAGTTCCGTCACTGTGCAGATCGGGAAAGCCTTGCCTGCAGAGCTTCTGGCCCTCCCTCCTCATAGAAGGGGTCTGTGTCGCCGGCTGGCATGCCCAGGCTCTCCCGCCTCTGCACCACAACATACAGGGGCTGCTCTGTACCCAGCTTGAGTTGTGCAACCGCTGAACTGCCGTCACTTGTACCACCGCTGCTTTGCACCGGACACGAATGATGCAACAGGTGAAGCACCATCATTTGCAGCACAGCCATGAGCTGCTTGGCATCCGTCTAAAATTCATGCAAGAGGTAATGCCACATTTTGTCCCATACAGCCATCTCCTCCACACCAAATTGAGCGATACAAAAGCATGCAGAGCACCGTAGTTTGCAACAGAGCCATTTGAAACCTGAGAAACTGTCTACACTGCATTTGCTGTCACAGTAGAGTAAGATTCTCCGTAAAAAACAGGTGTCCGTGCCTTGCGGAAGCCCTCTTGGCGCACTCGCTGCAGGCTCTCAAAGTTGGTGCGCTGCTGCTCCTCCTCCTCCGCCTGTGCCTGCTGCCGCTCCGCCCTCTCAGCCTCCAGCCCACCCGCAGCCCTGCATGCACCAACCCACTGGCATCCAATCGTCTCCCTTCTTGCGCTCACAGTGCCTCTTTTTTCTTGCATTCTGCCTGGAAAAAGCCATGTGAAACAAGCCTGACACACTTGTAGGAAAGGACAAGAGCAGGGTGTGTCTGATAAATGGTGCCCTGGCCCTGTATATAGAACCTGCACTGCGGCTGCGGCTGGATCGCTTGAAACTTGACAATGGTGGTGATTTGGTTTGTGCGCACCATGCCTCAGCGCAGCGCCTCTCCACGTCAAAAATGGGGCGTTCGTCCAGGTAGGTCAGGCCGGGCAGCCTGCTGATGACAGTCTTGCGGTAGCTCCTTATCGACTCCACCACAGGGTTGCCCTTCAGGTACAGGCAGCGCAGCTGGGGCAGACCTGCAAAGATCTCCAACACCTGCAACCCTTAAAGCTTTTAAATCACCAGCTCCATCAATCAAAAATTGCAATAAAGTGCGCAGCCTGCCCCATGCATCGATCGCCAAGACCTGGGTAGCTTGCAACGTGGCCGTGACCGTTTGTCTCACCTCGGGATCCTCGATTTCGTTTTCCCTTAGGTCGAGCGTGGAGATTTGTTGGCAGTGGCGGATGTGTGCGATGGACTCGTAACTGCTGAGTTTGTTGTTCGAGCATAACAGAGTCTGAAGTGCACTGCAGTGAACTATTCCGGACAGGTCCTCCAGATGGTTGGTACTGATGTTGAGTACCTCGAGCCCAGGGAGGCAATGTAGGCCACTCAAATCGTGAATAGCATTTTGCTGCAGAAACCTGCATATTTTGATATAGAATATCAACTAATGTCCCAAAGCAAATCATCTAAAACCAGCAACAAGGAAGATGCTGCCTGTAGCGATCTGGCAAAGATCGGGCTGGAACGTACAAGCAACGCAGCAACTCCAGTCTGGGGAGGCCGTCAACATTCTGAAGGGCATTTCCTTCCAGAAAGAGCGCCTTTAAACCAGTGTAGGGCTCCAAATTTGCAATGTTCCGAAACCCGCGCAAGTTACAGAAAAGCTTGTCGTTCACTCCGGGTGTCAGGTACAACTCATGCTGCTTACAGATCTTCCGCAGCTCTTCAATTGTCATAAGCATTTTGAAGAGACTTTCAGATCGGTGTAATCCCTGCTTTGCAAGGCAACGGTCATTTTTTCATGGAACGTGGCGTTACAACGTTACAGCTTGCCAAATTTGGCAGGTCCCAGCAACAAGACATATGCAGGTAACTCACTCCTGGGCATGCTTTATTGAGCGTGGAATACAATGCACATGTAAGCCATGGAGTGGCTGCACAGTTATGCGCCAAACTTGGTCTGCCTCCACCTGTGCTGGGCCTCCCATCTGCAAAACGCATGCAAAATTATTGATTCACATTAAGTTCTTGTTTATTTACAGTTTCAGAACTTTTGAAAACTTTCTCCAGATGATGCAACATGGATGGTCCCTGCACAGCGATACACGCCAATCCTTGTGCCCCACAGTCTCATCATCATTTTACTGGAGTCTACCTTTGCGCTAGATGGACATATTAGGTGACAAGGACTCACCTTGTCGGCAAGGCGGAAAGAGAAGTGGGACAGAAGCAGGGCCAGGTTGGTTGGCAGGATCAACTTTGCCAAGGGCATCCCTATGCAGATCCGCTGCCCAGCGCCGAAGTTGAGGCTGCGCTTCACCTGCGCAGTCAGTGCAGCAAACTCACTGCTGCTCAGGCATTAAAGGCCGCCTTTGAATTGCCTGCTGCACAGTATCAGATTGTCCCCGGCCATGTGCGTGCCGGTCAGACACCTCCCAAGCATTCCATCAAAACAGGCCCCTTTTGCGGTTACCTCTTTGTGACTGTGCTCACCTTTGGCAGGATAACACCCTTTGGGGCAGAGCTTGCGCTTGCGGAGATGTTAATTACTCCTGCAGAGGGGAGCTTGCCCTTCTCGGCGCGTGCAGGTCTTGGAGTTGCCATTGGAATGGCTGGTGTATAGACAGCATCGGGCTCCAACCACCGCTCCTGAACCGGGACACCTCAAATGCTCAGACGGAAATTTAGCTTTAGAGAATTTAGCATGCTTCATAGTGCCTCTGTTTTGGGTGACCCAAGCAGGCAGGCTGGTGGGTTGTAAGGGCTCAATCACAGGGTTATTATCCCGCGCCCGAGCGTACCGGCAGAAATTCATCGGGGCGGTCCCAGTAGAGCGGGTGGGTGTTCATGGCCAGGATGTGGATCTCCAAGACGGTGCCTTTGGGTATCAGGTATGGCCCAATGCGCACATCTTTCATCGCGCGCCGCAGGATCATGGGCAACACCGGCCGCGTACGCATTGACTCCTGCATAGCATTGCATGTTGCATGACATTTTTCTGTTGGCGAAGTTGAGGGACTGTAGGCAACACTCTAGTGTGTTTTTTGCTGACACTTGAGAAATTATTTCGGCAGTCATGTGGCCTTCAATTTAGATGTAGATGTAAGGGTCAGGCGCACATGGCATGAGCACTGAAACAGCTGGTAGCTGAAACATCAGCAAGAAAGCATGGAACCAGTGTGACCGATCCAAGACGCACCTTGATGACGCAATTAAGGTATGTCAGCCGAGACAGGTCGGCATATTCAATGCTGCGAGGGTTGGGCCTCTCAGGTGTGGCCAGCAGACCCAGCAGGCCAAGCTCCTGCACAACCTTGCGCTCCACTTCAGGGTGCTGAGATATGTCATACCTGCACACGCACAGCGGGGATATCACTGTTGTGCTGAAGCTGCAGGCATGCACAAAACTGACAAATTCATTCTGCACCATAGGAGAGTGGATAGGGCCTTACAAGCACCAGGCCATCGAGTGCGCTGTGGTCTCCATCTGCAGAACCACAAACACTTTCCAGCTTCAATTGTTATGATTAACACCGTGAGAGGTCTTCACGGTCCAAATTTCAATCGCACTTCTGCCCGGATGAATGCTATGCTTGCACGGATGGCAGCATGTCTGAAGCAGCAGCATGAGCAGAGCTAGACAGAGGCTCACCCCCGCGTAGAAGAATATGGACAGCTCGCTCCACTGCCGGGCATGGGGCAGGGGCTTTCCAGTCTTGTCGTGCACCCGCATCAGGTGCGCTGCAATGCTCTCATCCTCCGGCAATGGCGGCCCCCTGCAGCAAGACTAATATCATGTGTGCATCCAGAAAAGAATGTTTCCTGGTGAGCATGGACACGGATCTTCAATGAATTTTAAGTGGGCACAGCACCTGTCATGAACCTCCTGCAGCAGGCCGCGCATGACAGCGAGCACCCTGTTGATGTTTGCTCTGTGTTCTCGCCAGGCCTTTGTGCCGGGGATCCAGCCCACAGGGTTGCGCAGGTTGCTCACCAGCGACTGTGCGGCTGCATTTGCATCAAACACCCTCTTTGCCCCTCTTTAGATCTCCACATGCAGGGGTGAGGATCTCCATTTGTTCTTGTGCCGCATTCAAAGTTGCAAGCTGTGCATGCTACTCGTCAGCACAAGAGCATTTCCTCCCAGAGATGAGGATTTGAACAATTCAGGCCTACGGGAGCACACCTTGTTCCACGGCATGACAGGCCTTTGCTCCATCGCCTTCAAGGTCTGCTGCAGCGTTGAAGTCCTTCTTGAAACCCACGCTGCCGATTGCGTCAAAGGCTTGGCACTGCAGCACCACAACACTGGATAAGCATGCTGCACGATCCTTCTTTAAAACCTACAGCATGCAGCTGATCAAGTGCTGCAGCATTCAGTCCATTGCCAGCTCAGCCGTCTGCAAGGACAACAAACAGGTATACCTGGATTGCTACATCAATGTTGACGGGTGTGTCTAACCCAATACTGTGCAGCGTATCCACAAGGACTCCAGAAGTCCTGGCCACCTCTGCAAAGCTATTCCTGCACAGCCACAAAGAGGCCTTCGGTGCTCTCACTGACGGTCTCCTTTGAAAGCACCTGCCGTCACTACAAGACATGCACTGATTGACTGGACGGGCTGCAATGAGCATTGACATGTGCTCGATGTGCACCTCATGTTGGTGGGACTGAAGGCCGGCGAGGTGCCCTTCCTCACGCACTGCCAGAGAGGATCTGAAGTCAAGGCACTGAGGTGGCTCTCTTGAGGCGGGCTTGCTGTGGTCTGGAGCAACAGCAAGACCAGCGTTGCTGCTCTGATCATAATCCATTACCCCTTGCAAGGTGTGCACAATATTTGTGGCAGTGGCAGTGGTTCCTTCCAATGGGGTGTTGCCATTGCTGGCATGTGGGCAGTGGGGGTTGCTGCTCACCTCGTCAAAGGCTTTGTACATCATGCGATCAGAAGGCTTGTCAATATACCCCGGGCATTTGCTGCGATCCAGCACCTCAGCAGCCAGCAGTGGGTCACTAATGATTACCACCTGTGAAAACCTCCTCAGTCATTGCAGTGTCCGGCTTTTCTGCTTTCCAGGCATGAGGCGCTGTGCATCATGGCATGCACCTGAAATGCATCAGCAGGAACTCACAGTGTTGTGCAGCATCCTCCGCCAGAATATGCCAGTGTTGAGCTTCCTGCTCCACTCTTGGCCTGATTTGTGCAAATCTGCCTTGAAGATGTCGCCCTGCAGTAAAAGGCAACCATGTGAGTCAGATTTCTTAATGGTTGCTGATACCTTCAAGCACAAAGGATTGCAACTGTCCAAGGATGCGTACATCTCCCAAAAGCCAATGGGTCGAGGGTCTTTTTGGTATGTTCTGTCTGCCAATGATGAATCTGCATCGAATCACGCGTGCCCAGAATGTGGTGACCTGTACAGACGCACACGAAACTCGATTTAGAATATTACCGTAGGGCCAGACTGGCATCGGATGATACTTAAGGATGAATGAAAACGAACTAACTATATTCTTACCAGGTATGAGGCATAGAGGCATCCAACAGAAGTTAGGATGAGTCCAACATGGACGCCCAACACAGCGAGCATCGCCTCTTACTGCCTATTCCTCCTCGTCACAAGACTGGTGAAAACTTCGAATGCCTGATGCAGATTTTGCACACCGGTAATACTATCAGATCATCTTCGACCGCTGGGTCACAGGTGTTCGAATGTCCGAGGATTGGTGCAGGACTGCCTAGATAGGCTCCATGCATGGGTAAACGACGCAAAGACGGCAGTAGCATCAGAAATCTCTGGTGAAAGTTTAATTGAGAAGCTTAGATTGTCCTACTGGGTCCTTGACAGTCAATCAAGACATCCGCCTTCTCTGTAACGTCACAAAGCTCCTAGGAGTGTCTCCACACAACAACATCTGTAAGGAACAACTAGAAAAATGTCCGGCAAAGCGGGTGGAAAAGCAAAACCATTGAAGAAGCCCAAAGCAGCTGATAAGGATCTTGACGAACATGACAAGGCATTCCTTCAGAAGAAGAAGGATGAGGCAGCTGCTTTGAAAGCTCTAAAAGAGAAAGCAGGTGCAAAGGGAGGTTTCGCAAAGGTGAAAGGCACCAAGTAAATGCCATCAGGTACGCGATGAATGTTTAGCGTGTGCAATAAGAGGGTACCAATAATTGACAGCCCTGTCTGATGTTTCTTTATGCACATCATCTTTGTGTTTTCGAAGGTATTATGACGGTCCCACGCAATGATTATCTTCTATCGCAGGAACACAGAGTTCTGAGAATCCCTTCAAGGGATACAGGCCATTGTGCCTGTCAGACCATGAAGGGGTTCTGCTTCTCTGCACTGCTCTGCAGCGCCTGCTGATGGACTGGACAAGCAGGAAGGCAAGTGTCATTGGCCAGGGGCCTCAGGATGCTGTTTGACTATTAAGAATGGTCAGCGGAGAGCTTCACATGCATCTTGCGTGACACAAGCTTGTTGTTGTCCTGCGCTCACTGTGAGGCCTTGCTGAGAGGGGCTCGGGAAATTCTGAACTTGCTACCTGCACAGCAAAGTTGTTGGCATGCTGCAAAATGAGGACAGATGATAACGGCTGAGGGCTTACTCAGCCGGTCCTGTGAGAACCTGGACCCTAGTGTAACGTAGTTGATTTGCTTCAATGTGTGCGGGTTGTCATGATGGGCCGATGTGGAGAAGCATTGTGAGCACTTGACGCAGCTTGTGAACAAGTTAGCCATGGAGGATGCCCTCAGTGATCTGATGTCACCACTAGAGACCTGTCGAGAGCGGGCAAGATTTTGGGCACTGACAGTCTCCCCCAAGAGCGTGTCACCTCAAGAGTCTGCTTTGACGCTGCAGACTGAATACATTGTGCCTTCTCATTGCTGTTGTAGCTGACATTTGTTGCAGCTGCAGACTGTAGGGCAGCGCTCGATACTATCGCTCGCTATCGCTCGATACTAGTAGTCAACCCCGTATGGCTCGCGCATGCACATCACGAGATGAATCTCACAGAGTTCAACTGGCCATCATGCATCAGGGCTGGTGATGCCACTGCACTCTTACAGGCTGGCATGCCGCTAAGGTGTATTGTAGATGCCATCAGTGTGTGCGCATCTATGAGTACACGACAACTACATGGTGGCTGGCGCCGGCCGCTCGAGGCGCCTCAGGGGTGCTGGGCTGGCGGCGCCGGCCGGTTATATCCTGCCGGGGCATTGCCCCAGTGGAAATCTGCCCTTCAGCACGCTTGGTGGTGAACGTCGTGTCATGTTGAGCTCCCCATTCGAAGCGAGCTTCCACCCTGAACACGGCACGCGGGGTGGGCTGAGGTAAAGCTTTGGGTGTATGACTCATCACGTTCTGCTGGTCAAGCTCTCTCCTTCTGCACGAGAATCTTGATAGCATCAAGCAGTAGCCTCTGCGCTGTAGCAAGTAGCTGAATAAAGGACGCATTCTTTTGACACCTTTAATGACAACTTCAACTGTAATCCAGCACAGAATCTTTGGCAAATATTAATTGACATCTATTGTTGCTTGTTGAATCCAGAGTGGGATTGCTGTTTAAGTGAACGAATAATACTGCAGAATAGGATCTCACTGTTGAAGGCATAGTCTGACAGATTACAAGCTCGCAAACTGCATTGTGATGGGCTTGTGCTGATGGACGTCGAACCTGGTAAGCTATCCTTGTGGGTGAAAACTTTTGATAGCATTGTAAAGATTGTTTTGTTAAAATTTGTCATGAATTTTTAGTGTTTCAATGTTCTGCTTTACATTGATAAACGAGAAGACCTGTTGATGGACTGTTGATGGGAACAAGGCAGCGGGTAGCATTGGATCGATAGTCATCTTCACAAGTGTACCTCCCAACAAAACGATGTACGCACTCACGATTGTTCTACACAGGACCGAACGATGACAAGGTTCCCACCGGTGCAGCACCACCCCCTGCAAAGCGCTCCAAGAAGGGCAAGAAGAAGGTAACAGGGGTGCCAACTGCAGCAGACTACCTCAAAGTCACCCCGATCCACAGCAATGCAGACATCCTTGAGGAGGTGAGATATTTCTGCGCATGTCTTACCATCCTGACTGCCTTTCCTATCACACCTCACGCCCAGTGTCCGGAGTGTCGTTTGTGCATTGGCTGCACAGGCAGGAATTCCTTAGTTTCAAGCTATATGATTCGATGTCTTTGATAATCTGTTATTATATCATTTGCCAGGATGGCAAGCCCGTGCAGCTCAGCAAGCTCGAGAAGGCGCAGCAGGCCGTTCTCAGTGAGGACGGCATGTCAGTCACATGCCACAAGGGCTACCGCATGGTGCGCCCAGTACTGAACACCTGCGCTGTGGTGTCTTCCAGTACTTAATGCTGCACAATTCTGCAGCACCGGTCTGATATGTACCCGTTTGCCCATGGCGGGCATGCGGCCACTTTCCTTCACAAGTCACCGCTCCCCTTGCACACAGCTTGCAGGCAGTGAGGGAGGAACTAGATTGGTTCGCACACAGGCTTTCGTATGAAGAATGTTCAATCTCTACTCTTGGTATATCTCTGAATTGACTGCTGTTTTGAGCTCCCCTGCCCCTATTTTTGCAGCTCGATTTGCAGTGGGCAGGCCATAACAATGATGGCCTCAAGCGCTCAGGTATTCCTCTAGATTGGGCGGACGAACCACAGGGGAGCTGAGAACGATATTGGCGCAGGCACGGGCGACAAGGGGCGCCTATGTGGGCACGTGGTACTTTGAGATCCGGGTGACGCATCTGGGTTCGACGGGGCACTGCCGGCTGGGATGGTCTACAAAGAAGGGTGAGCTGCAGGCGCCTGTGGGCTACGACGAGCACAGCATGGCCTACAGGGACCTGGAGGGCTCCAAAGTGCACAAAGCCTTGCGCGAGGACTACGGAGCACCCTTCGCTGAGGTGATTATCTACCTCACTCAGTGCCCCTGCAGTTCCCGAAGGAAGAAACCTGCGGAATGCTAGCACTGCATGGGCGTACTAGTTGCCATATGTCTCTTACGTATTGAATTGGGGGTCACGTTTGCCCCCGGAAATAAGGCAAGCATTTTCTGGCATTTTGGAAACACGTTCCGAACTGGAACGGTGTGTCCTGGATGCCCCTGAAATGAGTAGTTCTAAATATGCGGTGCATGCGTTGCAGGGAGATGTCATTGGGTGCTTCCTCCACATGCCAGAGGGCGGCAGACCAGTGGAGAGCAGCAAAGAGGTGAAGATAACACATGTTGCAGTAACTTCTTTCTTCTGCTGAACAGTGTTTCTGCTGAGCACATGCCCGGTCAATGTCCTTTGAAGCACGCGATGCTGTTGACTGATGCGCTAATGACTTTTTGGCAATGCAGGATGTTTGGAGGCTGAAGAACAGGCTAGTGATTGCTGAACATCCAGAGCAGGAAGCGAAGCGACTGGCTGGCAGTCTTGTTGGGTTCACAAAGAACGGAGAGTTCCAGGGTGCTGCTTACAGGTCCAGACACAGCGCAAACTGGTCCTCTCTCAAGACTTTTATACAAAACAGCTGTGCACTTTAGCTGTATCTTTGACAGGCGTGAATAAAGGGATGATCTAGTGCAAATTTCCATGTGCAGGGATATCTTTGAAGGGACATACTACCCTGCAGCCTCGCTATACACATTGCCAGAGCAGACAGAGGGTGCAACAGTGACCTTCAACTTTGGTGAGTCACCTGAGAAGGCCTCATCCGTTGACATCCCTCCCTTGGCGCTCATGTGCAGACGTGTCAGAGGACAGGCAGTGCATACAAATTGTTACTGTGCCTGATGCAGGGCCAGATTTTGCATTCCCAGCACCTGAAGTGGAGGGCTGCCCACCAGCACGCCCAGCCTCAGACCTGTCAGTCAGGACCACAGACCCCAAAGGTATTCTCCCCTGCACACCCTGCCCTTTCACCTCTCCCTTGCCAAACTTGGGAGACCGTGGTGGCAAACGCAGAGACCCCAGCTTAGCTTGTGCGCTGAAGGCCGAGGAGCAATGCTGATTTGTTTTATTCTTTGTGTCCAGGAGATGCTGTGACAGCTTCAGCCACTGTCAACGGCTCTGGCAATGGCTCAGGCATGAGCAAAGGAGCAGATGCGCAGTCGCTGTCAGAAGCCATTAGCTAGCCGCCCCGCATGCTGTGCATTGAAAAGCAGGCTGCTTGTCAACGTGGACGTCCTTGCAGTTTTTTGAGTGCTTGTGGTGTTTCAGAGTGTGCACGCTATTGTGGAGCGCTGAATAAAGTTGACATAAGGCTCACTACCATCCATACGGTTCGGAATGGACCAGACAGGGGAAATTAATGCAGGAGAATCATGCAACATCCTTGCTCTTACATTTTCAAATGCTCCTATCCCATGCTTGACGTGCTACGCTTTTCAGTATAGTGTGGTGTCAATACCAGACATCTCAGTGTTGATCAGCAGCAGTACATGCCCCCATATGTGACACACTTCCAATCTTGCGACCCATGTGTGTATATGCCCCCAATCATGCATGATATCATTCACTGGCACCAAATGTGCAGAAGCTTTGCCTCTAAGAGCAAAGCCCCCTGGTAAAAGCCCGGCGAAATACAAATGCGTGCATTGCCTACAGATGATGTTAATTTGATCAGCACAACTCTGTACCTACAGAATAGTGCTCTTCAGACCAGAGTATCTACAGAGCAGCACTCATGATAAGAGCACACAGCCGTACTGTCCAGCGGCTATGTCTCTGCGTCGAGGTCTCCCTGCATGGCGGCCAGCTGGCGCACGTAATCGCGGCAGAGGTCCATGGCAGCCACGGCCGCCATGCAGCGCTGCGCGGACTCCATCTTCTCGCGCGCCGCCTCGGGCTGGCCCCGCAGCGAGTACACCTGCGACAGCGCCGCCTGCGCCTCGCACATCTGGTGGTACACCCGGCACGGGAACTCCGTCCTCGCCTGCAGTCCCACAGCGCAAACATACTCAACGCACAAGACAAGGAATATCAAAGTACCACATCCTCTGCTTGTGACCCGCTTTCCGCCAACTACCACAGTTTGTAACCTACCAAGTGCTGCATGTATGGCGGGCCTGGGTGGGCGTAGAATGGGCTACTCATACGGCCTTCATCTCCCAACCCAATGCCTGAATTTTTTGAGAAGGCTGTGCTGACTCGGCATGTATTCTGCAGATAGAGCTGTGCATTACACAGATAGAGGCCTGCATTCTACAAGAAGAGTAGAGAGTGTGGAGAAAATGTGGGCCAGGATTGGGGAATATATTGCAGTGCTGCATGGCAGAATAAACAGCTGTGCACCTGCACGGCGCGGTCGAAGGAGGTGGTGGCGGCCAGGACGACCTGCTCCACACTGAGTTCGCCCACATGGCCGCTGTCCTCGTCGATGCCCAGGCTCAGGTTAGCGTGCACCAGGCGCGGGATAAGCTTCACCATCTGCTTCCCCGCCACCTGCCGCGCAGCAAGCATAGGGCGTCGGACAACACCTCTTTTGCAGCCACACAAACTGATAGGCAGGCAGCACCTCTACAAATATTTGCCAGACGCGAAAAGGCACAGCAGAATAGCTTGACATGTAAACGATTACATTTGGTACCCCAGCGGGTGAAGTTGCCATCATATGGAAGGGTGATAGCGCCATGACCGGTCCTGTGATGATGAGGCATGCTTGATAAACAAAACAGAGCTCTGCCGGCTTTGCAGCATCTTGCAGTGGAAATCACAAGCAACGATGCACAAGTCAGGCTGCTTTGCATCATAGCATGCCGCTACAGAGGACAAATAATTAGTCTGTGTACTTGATAGACAATTGCTGACCCAGTGCAGCGAGGGATGATATGGAGGGCGGGACAAATGCGAGGCGCATGCCTCGAAGTGCACGGCGGCGTCGGCGAGGCGGTCCTCGGAGAGCATGACCTCGCCCCACTCGCGCTGCAGCCAGGCGTCCTCCGCGTCCGCCGTGTGCAGCCGGTGCACAATGTACACGTGCCCCTGCGACGCCTCAACCGGTGGCACCTCCGGCGCCGGCTGCCCCGTCGCCTTCGCCTTGCGTATCGCCGACAGCACTGCACCGATACACAGCCATGCCATCAATCCCAGCTGCCACCCTCTCACGATAGGTTGAAAACGATGTCTGGATCGCTCACCCCCCGGTCTCACGGGCTCTCATGTCATTTACTTCGATCCATGGTTGCTGTTTACCCCAAAAATGGGTCATTGCAAGGAGTCCAGGGAACCATATAAAGGAGTTTTTGGCAGGCAGGCCAATGACAGAGGATGAGGCTGCACTGGTAATAAGACAGGGTGGCTCAAAGCCACCTGCTGATGCCTTTGCCGCAATGCTGCTGTATGCATATTTAGCTAGCTTCTCGGGTGCGTTTGCCAGTGGTGCAGTCAGTTCATGATGAGTCAGTTTCTCAGGGTTTGCCCAGGGAATGGCCGCACCGTGCTCGGGCGGCAGGTGCTGGTGGCGGCAGGCGGCGCCAAACTTGGCGATGTAGGAGTAGCCGGCGGTCTTGGCGGGCAGGGAGGTGGGGTCGTTGCGCGACAGGACGCTCATGAGAACCATGCGCGCCTCAAGGCACACCCGCAGCGCCGCCAGCCCATCCGCCACCGCCGGATCCGTGTGATTCACCGGGTCCGCCAGGTACTCCAGGCATGGTTGCATCGTCTCTTCACACAGACACATTTGCAACATCAGCAACTTGCACATTCTTACTGATGCTCACGGCCTCTTGCGTAAACCACCCATCATCCAAAGCAGGTTCACTGGATGAAGCCTATGAGGAGGGTTTGCTGTCATGGCATCCATGAATACCATGTGGGGAGGAGAGACGGCAGCCTTTTTGTTGTCACAGCACTCTCGACACAGTTCCGGGCAAGAGAGGTGTGCTGGGGTGGGTCATGTGGCCGCAATAGCGGGCAAGAGAGCTGCGCTGGGGCAAGGATTGAGTTCGCACCGGCGATGTCAGCGTCGGGGGGCACAGGGTCGGCGGGGCGGCCAAGGAGGGCCTGTTCGAGGGCGTCGCAGGCCGACTCAACGTGGCGCAGCTCGGGCCGCAGCAGCACGCGCGCCCAGCGCTTGAGGAAGAGGCCCCCCTCTGGCGCCTTCTCCTGCATCGTCGAGTAGATGCGATTCAGCGCCGTTGCCGCGTCTGTCGCCGTGTGTATGCACGCCAGCGAGTCCTCCAGCTCCTGCGCGCACCGACACCCCTCCTCTATCAGTCGGATTGTATAAATTTTCCCTGTGCCTTGCATGGCAGGGACTAAGAGTGCTTGTGTTCCACATGGCATGCAACCTGCAGAAAGGAAATGTGGTTGCCATGTCGGCAGCAAGAGCAGCATAAGATTTGGCACGCAATCACAATGTCCCATGTTCGCACAGACGCAGCTGAGTGCTGGAAGCAAGCAGGCCAGCGCAAGATTCAGGCTACACAACTCACAAAAAGGCATGGTGGCAGACGAGCTTGTGAGTGCTTTTTATGAGCCTCAGGCATTCTCGGAAAAGGGGGACCGGGGAGGGCAGCGCGCCTGGGCGCCGCGGCCGATGTCAGCACCGGCGTTGATGCGGGTGACGCCGAGCCAGTAGAGCGGCTCGCAGAAGCCGGGCGTGGACAGCGCATGCGCCGACTCAAAGTGCTCCAGCGCCACCTCCCAATTGTAATAGCGCCGCTCCGTTATCCCCATGTTCAGCTGCACCTTGGCGCTCCCTGGGCACACCTGCCCGTCCAGGCACTACTCATCAAATGCATGTGTGGGTAGAAGTGCATAGCGTGACTGAGACTGAGACTCTTTGATGGCGGTACAGGCTTTGACATGCATGGCATTGACTGGAGTAGTATAAGCACGTGCTGCGGGGCATAAGGGGATACTAGGTCTTTGGGGCTTGAGAATCGTTTAATGAAAGTACGACCATAAGAAACATGCCATGAAAGCAGGCCAGGAAGGAGGGAATGAAGGAAGGGGCTGGCGCACCTTGAGCGCCGACCTGAACAGGCGCTCCTCGTCCTCCCAGTCCCAGTTGCGGTCAAAGGTGCGCCAGGTGTACCACGCCAGCAACACCGCTAGTAACACTGCCGCCGCCCGACCGCGCCATCCCATTCCCCGCCGCTCCGAATTCAGCCCCTCGTCCTTCAAATGCCCTGCCGTGCGCAGCCCTTATCAGGTTTTGCATGATGCCGGCAAGCAAGATCATCCTATGTAACCTAAAATGTGGTGCTTTGCCCCATTCTGCAGTCTCAAGTTGCTCTCAGCATAGCCCACCTATGCATGCCCCCTCAGTGCCCACCAGCAGAGGAAGAAACGCTGCTCCTGCTGCCATGTCAGCCCAATTGGTGTGCCTATATGTGCGATTGCAAGTTGTGTGACATGAGGCAGTGGTGCAGCGGACCTGGGCTGTCCCTCCACAGCTGGAGGATCCCTGGCAGCGCATCCCCCGCCAGCCAGGCCACCAAGTCTGCCAGCAGGATGCAGTACCCAATGGACGGCGCGTACAGCAGCCTCTCTCCAATGTACGTACCCACCTGCACCGACAACATTCCACCTCAAAATCCGCAAACTACCTCAAGGCTGCAGGATCTGGTCGGCATTCTGGGCATGCATACACGCGCAGCATCAATGTGCGGGGCTCACCCAGAAGAACAGGTTGGAGGCGGGCAGGAAGGGCGCGACAATGAGGCCGAGGGCCACAAAGCTGCGCCACCGCTGCCGCCTGCGCGCCAGGGCTGCCTTTTGCATGGAGCGCCCGGACAGCGGCGCCGACTCAGCCTCTGCCCCAGCCGCCTCCAGCGAACTGGCCGAGCCTCCCCTGACCAGCCCATTGCTCTGCACCGCCCCCTGTGATTCCACATGCCCTGCTATCATACTACGACATAGCTGAGAGCTGCAGCAAAGTGGCCAAGCAATCCCAAGCAGGCAAATGTCTGGCCCTTCCCATCCCTCTTCTTCTTATCTGGTCCCTAATATCGAACGCAACTGGGGCACTGGGCTCTCAAGCTCTCAAGTGCCGCAAGAAATCCGTTACTGCGGGTTCCCATATGCTGCGTTTATTTTTCTGTAGGTGCCCTATCAAAATGCCATATGCTAATCCCATGGGAGTACTTCAACTTCAATTGAAAGACCTGTAAGGCTGTGGGCAGGGAGCGCGCCTTGTTGGGACCGTAGAGCCCCTCCAGGACGACTTCCCAGGGGCGCCCCAGGAGCAGCATGGCGGCCAGCCAGGCATAGACGGCGACGCTCATCAGGTTGCGCCAGTCGCCCAGGCTCTCAACAAGGGCCACGCAGCGGTAGGACCAGTCGGCGCACATGTGCACGGGGGCCACCATCAGTGCTGCATACTGCGCATGCAGGTGCGCCAGCGACAGCAGCTTTGTCAGCCCCGACGCAAATGCCACCGGGTTCTCCACCTGCGGCCGATCGGCATGCCTTCACGTGAACAGCTTATGTGTGCTTTTACTGCAGCTGCATGGTAACCATGACACAATCTAGGGCGAATCTTGACACAGAGTACCATTGATCATAATCAGCCTTGGCAAATGCTCAAGACTTGCCAGACAGAATGAGACCTGCAACACTGCGTTACACTGTTTCGTTCTTCTGCAAGTCTACTGGGGACAAGGCCCGAAGACTGCGCTGCGTGGTTTTCTGAGAGTCGAGGCTATGGTGTGTCAGGTGTAGCCCAAACAAGAGTGACAGGGCCGGTCATCACCTCCCGGTAGATGCGCACGAGCTGATCCACGGCCAGGAACGAGCGAAACTTCACATAGAGAACCAATGTGACCCCAGCTGCTATGATGCGCGCTCCCTTCCGCGTACAGAGCTGCCGCCATACCCGCTCCCCTAATGAGACTTTTGACCCGCTGCACGTAAAATCACACCGTCATGGCTGGCCATGCCCCGTTGAATACTCCTCAAAACGCATAATTCGGGCCACTGCACAAAAGCAGGCAATCAGCAGCCTGAACCACGGTTGGAAGTACTACAAGCAGCAAACAGCAGCTCACCTGTGGGGAGGCTGCGCCCTGTCGAAAGGTACCAGGAATGCGTCATAGAGGACCATCGTTGCGGTCACTGTGATGCCGATCTCCTTGGCCAGGGACGCAGCCCACACGCACAGCATGGCCCCCACAACCAGGGCCCAGTGCTGCACCTCCCTCCAGAACCTTTCCTCCGGCGCTGTGCACCCCACCCTGCTGCTGAGCCTGCACCAATGGCAAACAACTGACTATGCATGGCGCTGTTTCCATCTTGGCGTATTGCTACTAATGATGCTCCTGCAGAATCATCACATGCAGACAGCTGCGCTTGCACAAAGAGCTGCGCTTGTGTCGGGACAATCTCATTGTGCCACCGCACACATCCTGTCGTTCAAAGGACCATGACGGGTCAGGAGCGCACCAGAGGTCCGCTGCCTCAGCGTACAGGAGCAGAGCAACGATGGAGTACGCCGCGCAGACGAGCTCCGCCTGCCCAACAATCCCCGCCACCGCCTCTGTGTGGATGGGGTGCACCGCAAAAATTACGGCCGCCAGGAATGCCTCCGCCTGCTGCCGGCTGCTCCACGCTCTCAGGCTCGCCCCTGCGCAGGTGCAACTCCCGTGTTCAACCACCCTACTTAGCATGCGTCCAGGCCATGAGGTTTGGCTCGCTGTCTTGTCAGAGCACCGTTTTTTTTTTGAAGCGTTTCAGAGGGGTCAATACTGCGAATGAATATGAAAGCCTTGCAGGGGAACAGTCGCATCTTCTCAGCAGTGCAATGGGAGACACTGACTGAATAGTAAGAGTCTTGGGTGCTACTCTCATTAGAAGGTGCCCCACACTGTCAGGCGGCAGCGGTAACTTATTCGACGCACCATTCCTGGCCCTTTGGCCGCCGCCGTCAGAGCCGGCATGCTCTGCGTATGCAGTGCTGCGCCGCTGCCGCAGGCCGCCCTCGGCGCTCCCCTTCCTCTTCTTCCCGGTGCCAGCGTGTCTGGCACCGCCGTCTGCAGCGTCCGCATCCCTGTGGAGCCCGCTGCTGACAGAACCAGTGAGAGGGAACACCAGGCTGTCCCTGGCCACGCACAGCCGCAGGGCCAACAGGTACAGGAGGCAGGTGACGACCGCATGCAGGAAGACGTTGCTGACATGGAACGGCAGCGGGTCCAGGTCAGCGTCGCTGTTGTCATGCAGGCGATAGACCTTCTCCCAGCCAACCACTGCAACGAGGCAGACAGCTTGTCAGAGGGACCGCCTCAGCATCCAGCCTGATCAAGATTGATGCGGGCACACATCCTCGTACATTTGATGCTCTTCAGTAGAAGTTAAAGCAGCTCACGTTTGAGGAGCTGGCTCCCAAAACGGTGCTGTAGCCTGAGCGAGAACACGGTGAGAGGCCTGTAGGATTTGTGGCTCGTCGGCATACTGAGTTTCTGGCCCCTGCGCGGCATTAGAACACAAGAATTTTACCACTTACCTCGAATGTCTGCAACTTCCATGTCTGACCTTAGGATCACTGTTGGGAACAAACATAAAGCACTGCATTGCAGATGCAGTTCCTTACCAGAAGTCATTCTGCAGCAACTCCGAAATCGGTTTGGTGGCGTCAGTGACATCCGTGTTCTTGATCTGTCGCGCAAGTGAGATGCATTATTTCAATGCTGCAGCGAAGAAGCCAATGCAAGAAACGAACAAGATGGAAACCTCTGAAGCTGCAAATCTGATGAACATTATATTTACTGTTGATAGGAATTGTGTGAGAGATAAATGTGAAGCTCTCTTGGGACCTACCACTGCAAAGAAGTCGTCATAGGTGAAGCCAGCCTGGATTGTGTTGAAATATGCGCCAGCACTGATGGCCGCAAGGACCGTGAGAATGGCCCACGTGGGGACCCGGTTCGACGCTTCAATCATTACGTTCCGCTTGGATCACGCCATCATGCAATCTGTGCAAATCGCGACATGGGCTCCTGTGCCTGGCATCACAAGTGTTCATAGTCCCTTTCCTCAAGCCTTTCACCCCGCCCGGCCTTCTCGTACCTTCCGCCATGATTTCAATTCTCGTCAAGAGTCCTTCAAGTTGTGTTACAACACATCGCTGGTGATGCTCTTGATCCTTGCGCTGGACGTTCATCTGTGCAGGCTGGGCGGTCAGCCAGTGCTGCCCGAAGAAAGCTGCCCAGCCAATCAGAGGAGGCACAACAGCAAACCCAGCGCAGGGGCAATATAGGAACATGGCCAAGACGCGCCAAAGTCACCTGTGGGGCTCATCAACCCGATCACGGCGGTGCCTTGGGTTAGAGAAAGGCACTGAATTGCTCAACATGGTAGCCGGTCGGGCAGGCGCTCTCCTGATCGTGGCCCTAGTGGGGGCTGCTGCTTGCGTCGCATCAGCAGAGTTCTTTGAGGACTTTAGTTCTGGCTGGGAGAATCGGTGGGCGTACTCCGCAGATGACAAGTACTCCGGCAGATTCGTAGCTGACACGCCTGAGGGCTGGCCCGACGCAGGCCTCAAGGTCAGCTTACTCCCTGTACCTGATCCCCGATGAACCTTCAAGAAGACTAAAGCCACAGCAGGCTCAACTTCATGGTTGAGGCACTGATGCGAGAAGCCTGGTGGGCTCATGCCATACAAGGCATTTCTTTCAGGGCCGTTGAGCAATTATCGGGCAGGGGCCTTGCCTCGAGGCAGAGCGGTGTCTTTGATGCGTTTTGCTGATCAGAACAGAATTTTATCTCAACCTCTGGTCTGCCGTGCGTAGGTTCCGGAGAAGGCGAAGCACTACGGTTTGACCGCGAAATTGGATACTCCAGTGGATCCCGCGAAGGGTCTGGTCCTCCAGTACGAGCTGAAGCTTACTGATGGCCTGACCTGTGGTGGTGCCTATCTGAAGTTCTTGACCGAGACAGCGGACTTCGACCCAGCTGAGCTCACAGATGGCACGCCATACACTGTCATGTTTGGACCTGACAAGTGTGGCGGCACCAACAAGGTCTGATCCTGATTACAAGCCCATGCTTGATCAAACCAGTAGTGGCCCGCTGCTGCCATTCTTCATGCTTGCAATCGTGCAGAGGTTTCCTGTTGTAAGGTGACGGTACAAGTATGATCTGGAACATCTGGATTTATGCACTCATGCAATACCGCTGCGCACAGGTGCACCTTATTCTTAAGCACAAGTCCCCCAAGACGGGCGAGATTGAGGAGAAGCACCTGAAGAGCCCTCCCATGGTGGAGTCCGACAAGGGCACTCACGTGTACACCGTGGTCATCAAGCCTGACAACACGTGAGGATTCCACACCTGACCCACACCATGCAGCCACAGTCTTTGGGAGCTAATAGGAGCAATGCATGACTAAGAGTATGTCATATGCGCTGAGGTTGGGAATTGTTTTGCAGCTACGCTCTGCTCATTGACGGCGAGGAGAAGAAGGCTGGCAGCATCCTTGAGGACTTTGACCCCGCCGTCAACCCCCCTGAGGAGATCGATGACCCTGAGGACTCCAAGCCTGATGACTGGGTGGACCTTCCCAAGTGCGTTGCCATATCCCTTGTCAACTCTTCCCAAACTCCTGCTTTTTTTTCGACCCGTTTTTTCCACCCCATTGTGCATGGATATCCTATTGAACCATGTCACCCATACGTGATGGGAAGTAGTCACTCGAACAAGTCTCAGTGAAGACTAAATATCGCTGGTATGAAGAGCGTGGTTTTATTAGTCTGTGCTTACAAGGCATATGGCATCACTCACAGGATTGCTGACCCTGAGGCCACCAAGCCGGACGACTGGGATGAGGACGCCCCTCGCATGATCGAGGACGATGAGGCCGAGAAGCCGGAGGGCTGGCTCGATGACGAGGCAGCAGAGATTGATGACCCAGGCACGCCCGAACCCCTTATTCTCCATTATTTAGTTGAATACCTCAGCTACAAGAGCAACATCTTTCACAGGAAACTCGGGCTGACCTCCCTGAAGGTTGTGCATGCTATGGTCTGCCCAAGCTTGGTCAAATGCTGTGCCAGTGAGAATCTCTGCCCTGCATGTGTCATCAACACAATGTTGTGATGTCATGCAGAGGCTGCACAGCCCGAGGACTGGGATGATGAGGAGGATGGCGAGTGGGAGGCGCCTAAGATCACCAACCCCAAGTGCAAGGAGGGCCCCGGCTGCGGCGAGTGGAAGCGCCCCCAGAAGTCCAACCCCGACTACAAGGGCAAGTGGGCCGCACCCCTCATTGACAACCCCGAGTACAAGGTGCCGCTTCTCTCCTCCACTTCCATTGCTGATCAGCCCTGTCCTTGCTTGACTGGTCTATGTGGCATCTGAAGCAGCCCCGCGGACATGGTTGATAATTTTAGTGGAGCCAAGCGTAACCTACAGCAGCTGTGAAAGCATGAAGGCATGAAGCAGTTATGATGTGGCTGCTGAATTGGGTGGTGGGCATTATTAATTCACGTATTGATGCAAGCACACAGCAAATTTGTCCTGGGGCATTGAGCGGATGTGTTGGTGGCTGCAGGGTGTGTGGAAGCCGCGGAAGATCGCCAACCCGGACTACTTCCTGGACGAGTCCCCCCTGGCCAACATCGGCAAGGTGGGCGGAGTGGCCATTGAGATCTGGACCATGGACGAGGGCTACCTCTTCGACAACGTCCTCATCGCCAACGACGCCGCTGCTGCTACCGCCAAGCGCGACACCCTCTGGGCGCCCAAGAAGGAGGCCGAGGTGGGCTGCGCACCTGTGCTTCTAGCACTGCCCACTTCCCTTACTGCATGCCTTTGCTGTGCATGCCCCCTTCTGCCCGCCTAGCCATCTGTTGTGTCTCAAACGATGCTAATTCTGAAGTCATGAGTGAAAGGCAAGCGAGGAATGGTGAGGAAATGTACAGAATCAGACATCACTGGACCCTGGAATGCAAGTGGATAAGATGTCAATGATACGACATGGATGCAAATATAAGCCCGGCCAGATCTACAGAAGGTAGTGTTGGAAGGGATGTGCCTGACAGCTGTGGGCGGTGGTGTGCAGGACGCTGCAGCGGCCAAGGCCGACGAGGACGCGAAGCTGAAGGCGGACACAGAGGCGGGCGAGGACGACGAGGAGGAGAGCCTGGCGGCCAAGCTGGTGGCCAAGGTGCACAACCTCTTTGAGCACCCCTCCCTGGCGTCCCTCAAGGCGACCGCGCAGCCCCTGCTCAACCTTCTGGAGGACAACGAGATGCTTGTCTTCGCCGTCCTGGGCGCCCCTCTCCTGCTCCTACTCCTCCCCCTAGTCTCCCTGCTGGGAGGCAAGGTGTGCACCCTGCCCACACCTCTCCACCCGCTACCCAATGAGCAGATGGCCATCATGCATGATTGATTCTCGTTTAATTGCACTGTACAGCAGCTCAAGGTAAGGATTTGGTTTTCCTGTAGATAGAGCCAAGTAAGAAATCTGATGTGACTCATGAATTTACAGAGGAGTCACAAGTCTCAAAAAAGTGGGAGAGCAGGTGTGCATGTTTCTGAATGCTGTGTTGGATGCGCGAGCAGAAGAAGAAGGACACGCCGGTGGGCAAGGCCAAAAAGAAAGATGTGACTGGCCCGGATGATTCCGCGGTCAAGGCAAAGGCAGAGGTGGTCGAGGAGGTCAAGAAGGAGGTGCCTGTGGAAGATGAGGACGAAGATGAGGCCAAGGGCCCCAAGCGGCGCTCGCGACGGGAGACCTGAACAAGGCCCAGAAGCGTGTGATGCCCCACTGCTCGGTGGATCTGTTGTGAGCTGCTGACATTGAAATCTCCAGGCTTGTGGTGGAACAGACAATTCTGTGGATGCAGATCATGCACAGAGAGCAGTTGTGAACATGCATCATGTTGTGGCAGCGGTCTTTTGGTTGAGCGCATCATGTCTTGGCAGGTTTTAGTTCTGGTTTGCTTTGCCAACATGTTAGGCAACAGCCATGTTGCATGTCAAGGGGTGGAGGGACACAACAATGGTGTGAGTGGTAGCAAGTCTCTTGAATAATCCTGGACTGAGATAAACTAAGTGATTGTGCGAGGTGCCATTTGTTGTAAACTCTGTGCATGACAATCCTCAGACGACATTTCACTGACAACAATCATTACATTGCGGTCAACAAAGCAGACGCAACATGAACATTGATAGGTCAGGGAAAAACTTATTCAATGATCAAAAATCGGGCTTCAGAAACAGGAAGAGCACAGGCCAACACTTCAAAATTAAGGATATTGAATATGGGACGAGGGCAGAAGGCCATACAGCACAAAGTTCAAGTCTCTCACTCCTAGGTAACTGACAAATAAAAGGCAAGACACGACTGACGAAACTGTTGCTAAGTAAACTGCAAGGTATCACAGGAGAATAATCGGCTATGGGCTGCTGAGAGCAGCGCAACACGGCATGAGCAAGCACGCCCAATGAAGCCCACAGATTGTCCCCCTCTGGAGTGCATCCCTCTGAAGCAACCTCATGCTGTGATAATGAGGCGCTGTAGTGCTGCGTGCTACAAATGCTATTGCGGGTTTTTTCTACTGCCATTATGTCAGCTTCAAGCTCGTGAAAAATGCCCGCTCAAGAGTTGCCTTCATGAAGACCCCTACATTCGCAAACACTCGACACTAGCGAAGCGTCATTTCATACTTTGCTAGATTGAAACCCCTCCACCCAAAGATGCTGCCATTCCTGGACAGGTGGACTCCACCAAGGCATTCCACAAATGTTCTGCACATTATTTGGTGTAGTGGGACCCCATGCCCCATTGACTTGAAGATGCTATCTCCCTGCTGCGATGCGCCGACCCAAGGTCAGCCAACGCCTGCAGAGCCATTGGTACTACGAGACCACCAACATTGAAAATGGAGTGAACTCTACTTTGATGTTCGCAATATTCTGCAGGCGTTCTAACTGGACTGGATAGCCCAGAGTTTTGGCCTTGCATGGTGCCAGAGAAGCTGCACCTGCACACCTCTGCTTCCTAAGAACTGCGCGCCGGAGCACTCATGTGAACACCTTTTGTAATCCATTGTTCCTCAATCTGAGTCCTAATGCGAGCACAATCGGGTAAGCTTGCTTGAGCAAGAGGACTGCAACACAATCTGTGCAGATTGCTAGCGGCCATCTGCTTCAGCTTCCAAGTCTCCTAGGCAACCTCAGACCAGACACAGCGGCCCCCTTCCCAACCTCACATATTCTTATCTGCTCTTGGTGTGTGATCATGCTGGGCCCTTCTGTGCAACAAAGTGCTCCTGGCCGTTGCTGCCACCTTGCAGACGCACACAGCGCACAGCAATCATTTCACCTTTGCTCCTTTACGGCTCTTCAGGCTGCGGCGACTGCCGGAGCCGGCCGCTCGCCGCGGCCTTCGCCGCGGCCGCGCGGGGCACGACCCGCGCCAGGGGGGCCGCCTTCGCGGCCGCCCCGGCCGCCACGCCGGCCGCCGCGGGCGCTCTCGCTGCGCTCGCTGCCGATGGAGGCGCCGCGCTCCAGGAAGCGGCCGCCGGGGCCGGTACGCCCGCCATCGCCGCGGCCCCCACGGCCGCCGTCACGGCCGCCGCGGAAGCCGCCCCGCACAGGGCCCGGCCCGCGGCCGCGACTCTTGATGAATTGCGGCTTCTTCTCCACCACAGTCACCTGGAAACGCACGTCACGCCAACATAAATTTGCTGCCATGCACTGGCATCGTATATGCATGACAGTCACTCGTCTCACCAACGGCTAACAGCTTCTCTACGGGTACATATTGCGCAATGACAAAAGCAGGTGGCCGTGGAGTGCGCCCACCTGGTGGCCGTCGACCAGGACGGGTCCAGCGATGGCGGCCTGCTGGGCGGTGGAATCCTGGAAGTCGACAAAGGCAAAGGATTCCTTGCCCTTCTGGATCTTGAGGTTGACAGGCTTGGCGCCGCGCAGGGCGCCGATCTCCTTGAAGGCCGCCTCCAGCTTCTCCTCGGTCACGTCCTGGGGCAGGTTGCGCACAAACACGCTCGTGCCGGGCAGCTCATCGCGGCTGTAGTACCTGCACAAGCCCACACCGCCTCATCAGCACAGCCTTCAGACCGTCTCCAAGCCATTGAGAAGATTGCTTTGCCATGCAAGCCTATGGGGCAGGAGGTTCACAGCAATACACAAGTGCGCATGTGATTATTCCACCATCTGGACATGACATGACATGACCGGCTGAGAAGGCTCCTCTGCCTGTGACAAATTGCAGGTGCAGGGGGAGGTGCACCCGTTCTCGGTGTGGTGGTTGCCGTTGGGGATGCCGTTGTAGGGGGCGGGGGCGGTGGGCTTGGGGTTGGTCTGGGTAGGAGCAGGGGCGTGGGCCGCGGCAGGGGCAGCGCTGGGCTGGGGGCGGGCGGAGGGCGCGGCGGTGTTCTGCTTGTTGGTGTTTGCCATCAGCCGCTCCGCGTACGTCAGCGGCACGCTCGGCGCCGCCGGCTGCTGCGGCGTGGGAGCCTCCTGCAGCAAAGCACAACGCTACTCCCATCAGCACTTTATTTAATTATTTTAGTACATGCTCCTTTTTGGAGCTTGCAGACTTGACTTGCGCAGCATTTTGAGCTGCAAGAAGAATTAAGTAGCACACCTCTGGCTGAGGCTCTGGCTCCGGTTCAGGCTCCTCTTCAGGCTCTGTGGGGTTGGGCCACTCTGCTGCAGGCTCCTCTGGCTCCGGCACGGGCTCCGGCGGTGACACGGCTGGCGCCTCATGGACCTGGGCAACAGCGCAATGCAGGAATTAAGAACACTGCACCATTTGCACCACATTGCTGCCAAGCATCATCATATAAAATTGTCAGTCCGATGATTTTAGGCCGACCTTGTACTGCCTGCACACTAATTCCCTGGTAGATATAATGAGTGACTCACGGGTTCAACGGGCTGTGCAGGCTGGACAGGGGCGGGGGCAGATGGAGCGGGAGTGGCGGAGGGGGCGGCATGTGCGGGGGCAACTGTGGCTGATGGGGCGGAGACCGGCATGTGGGGGATCTGGGCAGGCGCGGGAGGGGTGGCAGGCGCTGCAGCAGCCAGTGGTCTTGCATCCAGTGCGCGGACCTGTGCCACCACCCCGCATATATTGAGATGCCAGTGCACCACCGTGGGACATATTGCACAGTCTGCAGCCATGGAAACAATGACTGGGAATCTACCAGCCATAGTGAAAAGCATCTCAATGCATGCTGCCGTGGCCTGCAGATGAGGAGTTGTGCCATGCAGCACAGGTGGAGTGGAGTGAAGTGGAGGGTACCTGGTTGGAGGGGGGGGCACTGGCGTAGCCATTCTCCAAGGGAGCTGGGACGGGGGAGACAGTGGCGGGGGCTGGCAGGGGGGTGGCTTGAGGGGCGCTGCGAAGGTAGCGGAAGATATCGTTGAGCACATAGTAGCCCTTCTCTTGCACCGCTAGGAAGAAGGTCTGCACAAAGTTGCGCTGCGGCTTGCCCTGTCACAGCACGGCAGCGTCAGCAGTGCGGGATGCATGCACATGCATGTCACAGTCCCATCACAGCTGGCCAACTTCACATATACTCAAAAAAATGGTGTGCATACCTTGCACTGCAGGGAACCCGTGACTTGCACGATGACGCCATCGTGGGCTGAGTATTGGCTGTCCACGGACCAGATCTCTGTGACTGCCTCCTCAAAGTCCAGCTCCAGAACCTTCTCGTGAATGTTCTGAGGCAGCAAAGGCACATTTAAGAAGATGATTGTCTTGCTGAGTCAACACCTCCTTTTATGCAGTGAGTTTGGTGCATTTTCTTGCTGAGGATGTCCTACCACATATCAGGCCGACGACTTACACTGTAAATACTCCACTAGAAATGCATAAAAACACGGTAGAGTGAAACAGGTGCCATGGACTTTTACCTTTTGGTTCTGAACTGTGAAGATGCGGCCCGGCTTTCCATCATAACCACCGTCGGAGTGGGTCATCGAGGAAAGATCCGTGTAGAAACGGTGCAGATATCGCGGTGAGGAATGCAACACCGTGTAGTATTGCTGTACAAATTGGCTGCCGACCTGCAAAGCATGTTATTCGTCATGCATTGTGGCAGATAACAATAGCAGGTTTTATCAGCTATTGCAGAGATGCCCTGCCCCTCACCATACCCATGGCAGTGGTGGCACGAACATCACGGATGTGCATACTGCTCTGATTAGCATGTTGGGGAAAAAGGCTTAATCGCCTCAATGACCGATATGGCTAAAACAAACATCGGCCGCGTCCCCTGATGAGCGTTTTTCTCAAAGGCAGGCTCATCTGGCAGACGCCCACCTTACAAGAATACAGTAAACTTACCGCATGAGCAGGAGTCGCGTAGCCAGGAGATGCATTTCCGGGCACAAGATTAGAGGACTGCTGGGGCGGCACAGACTGATTGATTGCGGCCATCTCTTTGTAGGGGGGGTGAAGGTAACCAACAAGATCAGCTGGCACCTGCAATGGCGTTTGAAAACTGCTTTGAAAATGGTTGCACTGTATGCAAAGAGGTCACAGATCCATACAAACTGCCAAGTAGACCCAACGCATCAGGTCAGACTATGGCAGGACCGGCGGCCCGGCAGCAATCACGCAAGCTAGACAGCTCACCTCTTCCAGTGGTCCCAAAGAAGGACAGCGGAATGCCTGAAACGGTCTCTGGTCTATGGCTTTCCCATGGAGCCCTCTGCAGCCTCTATAGCTTGAGATTACTCACTTGCAGTCACTCACTCGATCCAGTCGCTTCTGCTGCTTCGGAGTCTGCTTCTCGAACCCAACCCTTCATCATCTCACTGTAAAAGTGTCCTGTACATGATGGCATAGTCAGGATCTGCTCTGATATGGCATCGCGTGCGGGGTACCGGTTCGCCTCCAGAGCTAGCAGGTACATTCCCGAATGCATGGCCAGCACAAGCAGGGGCTCTGCTCCAACAACTCGCGCCTCCATGGCTCCACGTGCAACTGGCAGAGCCTCTGAAGCTCCCAAGTCGTCATGCGAGACTGGCAGATCTTTCAGCACACGGCGCAGGTGAGTGTTGATGCTCTACAGCATGCTCTAATATACCTGTAGCTTCAATGACCAGTAAAGTGACAGAAGTGTTCATGACAATGCTGCAGTGCCGACAACATCATTAGAAGACGTGCCCTCATCACACAGCTGCCCAACGCAGTACTAAGAGCTCTTGCTCGCCAGACGTCTCTTATGATATTTGACTGGCAAGGTGAGGGCCTCTTCCTCCTTCGTTACACTAGGCACAGTTCCTCAAAGAACGGCAATCATGTGCAGAAGTGCAGCTGCATGGATTGCTGGTGATAAACGAGTTAGCGGTTGTTCTCTGCAGGTGTTGATGATACATAGTGACAGCTTCAAGAGGGTAACTGTAGTTAGCGCATTCACATGCAGGTGACGACACGTAACAGCTGTTAGAACTGTGCGCGCCAGCACCATATCATTAGCATAGGTCACCTGTACCCGAAGTCCTTTCTGTTTGACATCCATTCTTCAAGGAGCCGCACATGTGCAGGCGATGATGATACTTAAGGACGCGGGGCATGATTGTGGGCATGGTGCCAGTAGCTTAGCATAGGATCCAAATAGAGGACAAAACGGCAGTGGTAGCTGGGCTGCTATGCTGGTGTGCTGATAGCAAAAAACATCTTGCTCAGCATGATCCTGACCAGTGCGTATTCTTCTTACGGGTGTGTCAGAAAGGCAGCAGCTGATGACACCCAAGACTCTGTTGCAAGGAGTGGTGACCTCAACTTGTAAAGTCACCAGCGCATATCCTGATTGTTTCTTGCATGCACACCCCAGATGCAATCCTCACAGCTGTGGCTCACAGCGATAGAACGTGATTGACTATCACTCTTGTCATCAAGATCGAGATATCCCTGGCTGACCAACTCTGAACTCAGCTGAAAGCCGTGCTGACTTCAATGCTGAATCTGAAGCGCATCGTGCCGCTCTCTGAGGCGTAAGGCTGCCACATGACATAGTTGGTGCCCCAGATGTTGTTGGCCAGATTGAAGGAGATGCCCTTGGACATGTCGGGCGGATGCCTCACATTCGGAAACGGTGTAGGCTCCCCAGGGCTCACCACTGCCGCATCCAGCGACCTGCACAGCAATCCCATCCATTCAGGTTTCAACTTGAATGCTTTCAGTCTTTGGACCAATGAGACTTCAGAGAGCATGCAGCCATAAGATCTAGTAATTCATCTCAATACATCTGGCTCTTAGGTCAAGGTGAAGACCATCAATCACTCTTGAGGGGCAGCGGTGCACCTTATGCGGAGCTCTTCTGTAGATAGGTGATCTGCCCCATTGACAGTGACACCACCATCTCCAACAGCATGCTGTGAGAAAGATCCATTCAAGATGACCTCCAGGGGTGAGATCGGACGTCCGAGCTTGAACAGGCGCCATGAGGAGGAGTTCGCTGTAGTTTTGTCGGGCGCAAACCTCACCCACACTGCCTGCAAGCAATCAGCAAGACTTTTAGACCCTAAACAGCATACGCTGGCCCTCTTCAGTGTCAAGAAGAAATCGCAGTAGCATCATGACCGCTCTCCTGAGGTATGCTCCAGGTCAGTAAGGATCTGGGCCCTGCCGTGTGGGTAAAGAGGTTCACCTCAGGTAATCTTGTGGCGGTCTTGTTGACCCAGATGACATGATAGGTGAGGGCGTCACTGCTGGCGGCTGACTGGATGTCCAGCCAGACCTCTGCTGGAGCACCTGTATCCCTGACTGCCCAGTCTGGCAGCGTGGACCTCACCAAAATGCGGAAGCTGCTGCCATCCTGCACAATGCTCCCCTCAGCATGTAGCACGTAGCATGTAGCATATACGTAGCATGATGTCATATGACATCAGCCCACCTCACAATGTGTACAATTCCCAATAGGAATACGCTTGTGCGTGCCATGTCATGCTCACCTGTGTGGCCCAAACATCTTGCACCTGGACACTGTTGTCCGAGCGCCGTGGGTGGGCCGCTGAGCAGTTGGGTTTGCCAAAGTCCTTCTCAACCCACCAGCCAGGGCCACTTGTCGCTGGCTTCATGTTCACGTACTCATAACAGACAACATTGTAGTCATCCTCGGTGTCTGTGCTGTACAGGAAGTGTCCAAGCAGGTGGCCTGGAGACGCCCACTGCACTCCTGGGGCTGAGGCATGCTTGCGCTGGAGCCCACTGAGAGCACCTGCACTGGAGGCAGACACTCTTTGAGAAAGAAAATGCTCGTGTAGTAATCAGTGATGTAGTCCAGCAAATTCTTTGTCTGTGTCAGACGTTCCCAGGCCAGCATGGGGCCACGCTGGAAAGGACACTCTACACATCAAAACATGCATTCGTGCATGGTCAAAGAGCAAACTGACCAAACAGATCCACCGGTGTCAGTCTCTGCTCTGCTGTTGATATTAATGGTGATGTAGTTGCTCCGCACCAGTCGTGGGGTCAAGCCTGATAACCCACGCTCGGGATTCAAATGTGAGGTTGGATGAATTCATCAAGGCCATTGATCCAGCATCCCAAGAAGGTGGTTTCTGCAGCGCAGCCCAGCGCTCCATGCCCCATTCCAGAAGAGCGCCCTGCAGGGTGACCACAAGTGTATTTTACCACAAATGCGACCCCACCACCGCGAGCAGACACTTGTCTTGCACAGGATCCAAAGGAAAAGCATAGAGATGGAGTGGGTCGCAGGGCAGTTCACGCACCATTTTTGTGTTTTCCAGGGCCTGCAGTGCCCAGTCTGTGTAGGATCTCATTCTCGTCCAGCCGTGGGCCATGTCTCTGAACATCAAGCTGAGTGGTTGGCATGCATTCACGCCCCTTCCTGCAATTCTGAATGCTGTATAGCAAAGCAGGGAACACATAGCTTACCTGTAATTGCTTGCACCAGCTCTGAGTTGCATCTGGAAGGCTGCATTGTCCCAATTCACAGTGTCATCCAGAAAGGCTTTTGCATCCGGTCCCCAGGTGTGCTCCGGGATCTGTCACCTGGGCAGTGACTCAGCTGAGCTCCAAGCATTGCATTAGTCTCACAAACGTTTATAGACAGCCAGACAGTGCCCCTGCCTCATACGTCACAATTTTTCTCAGCCATTTTCAAGAAGACACAATGCCTACCATGGGGACAAGCAGGGCTGCTGGAATTTCACCCACCTTGCTCAGAAATCTGCTGAAGTTCTTGTACGATGCAACGTCAACAGCACCAAGCTGAGTGTGCCCATCTTGCTCGCCAAAGCCACGCCTGAGCCGCAGCACCTCACTGTACTGCGCCACCTTGAGTGCATCGCTTGCAGTACCTGCTCAGTGCCTCCAGGCAACAGTTGCATGCATGCAGCTTGGTGATGAGCAGCAGTAATATTACATTCTCTCTAGCCCCTGAAGTCGACCATATAAAATTGATATCACTCAGCATTTGTGAGAGATGTTGCACAACTCACCGCCGATCCAAGAGTCCCCAACTTCTCCGGTGATGACAGGAAGCTTCAGGTGCGGGGCAGCTGCCGAGAGAGGACCGAAAAAGTCATCCAACGTCGATATCAAGACCTCATCTTCGGGGAAGTTGCTGGAAGTGATGTCAAGCACCTCAAGAACCTGCACAGCAATGCAGTACCTTAAAGATGTCACTGCGCTACGCTTTGATCAATTGACATCAATATTGCAACAGAGTAGCCTTGAGTATTGCCTCATTCATGTCGTGTGGCCCTGCATTGTCCTGCCTGTATGCCAGGCAGAGCACATGATCAAAGCCTTCCACTGCGATGCACTCATCCGCTGCATCCACAGGAATTCCGGAATACCCGCCTGCATATGCAGCATAAAGATAATGCTAAGTCATTGATCCAAGTGCAGTTTGATCCTGATCAAGCGCAAGGGCTGATGCCATGCAAGATATAACAGAAGGGCATTGTTGATTCAAGGGGTGCTGCGATGGAGCTCGCCTGGATGTTGTATCATGATGGCTTGAGCACCAGAGGACTCGTCTCGCCAAACAAAGGCCTTGTTGTTGGGCAGGTCTGGCGATGCAGACCCGCCGTTGACACCAATGGTGATGGCTGAAACCCCCGCTGACACCAAGGTGGGGATAGCCACTCGTGTCAGGCCCGGCACATCCCTCTGCGGTGCACAGAGAAGAGGATACTTTTAAATTCAATCTTCACCACTTGCAGACATGCTCAAGAGATCAGCAGCCCTGAGTCAGTCACATTCCATTGCTACAGGCAAAATTAGGCCCTCCGATGCCTGACTCTCATTTCCAAAGTCGGTTGCTAGCATGACATCCAAATCCTCTGAAATTAAATTTGGCGACCACCAACAAATCGTCCTGCCAGAAGAACTGCATCATAGTGGGGCAATGAGAGCGTGAGGGGCTGCACCTGGCTCATTGTGATTTTGGGTGGCAGGCCAAATCTCTTGTCAAGGTCATGCACCAGCCCCACTGATGTCCTGATCAGCTCCTCATCCATGAGCTCCAGCTGGGCATCAAAGGGGAATGCATGCCAGCCGATGACACCCTCCCTGATGGCATCCTCCATTGCCTGCATGCCCCACCAGCACATATCTGCCAGTCAGATTCTTTTGGTGCAGGTGCATAAGTGCAAATGGTGCTTCAGTGGCTGACATGTACCTTGACGGCTTGTGCGGGGGGGCATTGAAGTCCCAGTCCAGGTGGACACTCCAGAAACATAGAAACTAGCCATGCCTGTGGAGCAAAGGAGGTTATATGATCCGCGGGTACACTCAGCAATACCGACACAGTTCTTGCAGAAATGAAAATAAATCTGGCCCAACTATCTATACATGTGGCCTAGTACCGCATCAAGCAAATCAGTGCAAGTGCAGATGCTCGAGCTGGTTTCTAGATGGGGAGAGTCAGGCCGTACATGTGTCGTGTACTTGTAGGTGTCTGGATGTCCCTGCATCTGGAGATCATTGTTGGTCTTGATCTGCACAGGGCCACGCCACGTCAACAGAAAACAGGCATGCTGAGGGGTTTCGTTGGTAATGCTGATATTGGCTCCACTGGGGGGGAAATGACCTTAATGCAGGTGCATAGACATACCGCCTTGGGGAAAAAGATCTCAAAGGCATTGTTGATGACATGGTCATCTGTTGCAAGGAGCTTTTGACCAGTGCCTTCTTGATGGAAGTAAAATCCAATGTCCTGCATGCAGACATGAAAGGAATCATCAGGAATCTGTGCATGGGGATGTGATGTAATGTCAGTCTGAAATGAAATATCTCTAAAGGCTTGGCAACAACTTGAAGAATCTTCAATTTTCAAGAAAGTACCGCATGGCTCGAGAAGACTACGTGAACTTTTCGTGAAGCATTCACGTTGTCCAGCAAGGGGCTGCCAACAGAGAAAGAAAGCAACAGTGTGCTGGCGAAAAGTGCTATACACGCCTGAACCGGCAGGTTGGTCAGCAGCACTGCCATATGGCATTGAGCTGCTGCAGTCTTTTGCGAGTTTCAGGGAGAGAAGACGTACTGAATTCTAGAAAAATAGTGTTTGGTGTGACATCTCCGCGTCCGATGTGTGGAGATCTGCAAAACCTCATTACCCCCATCTTGCATGCAATGGAAACTTCACTGCCAGATTGCAAGTCTGCAGGACCACAGGATATGCACACAAATATCCCAGCGATGCTGCATTGTCAGATTCTTCTTGCCGGAACATGACAGCACACGCAGTAACACAACTTCAGTCCATTTGGATGAGCCGCTCAGAGCAGAAGTACTTCAACACTATTCAACCGAGTTGCACACTTTGACGCTCTGCCTGTCACATATGACTGTAGCGACACTTGGAGTCACTCGGTAATGTGGTCTAGCATGTACTGGCTAATGCAGTATGAAATAGCCATGGCGGTGGTGCCAATGATGTACTCCGACAACACTTTACAAGTTTCCCAGCATCCCAACAGCCTGTCACCCTGCTGGACAGCTGGGTATCTGACTCATCATATGGTACAACCAGGTCCAGTTCATGCCCATTTCATTCCAGCTTAAGCTGAAGGCAAAAGGCTGCTTACAGTACCCCTCGTACTACTGTACATGCCTACCATGTGCGCAGTATGCAGACACCATGATGGAACGGCCCAGCTTGCATGGCTTGCTGGTCCTACCGCTCCTTCTTTGCCTCGGCTCTCTCTTGTTGCCCAACAGGCGCCACCCCTTTTTGCAGCGGCTTCTTTCTGAGCATCTCTTCGACAGGCAGTGCAGGCGGGATATTGGTCCTGATGATGAGCAACACTGTCTCCATAAGCATCGCGAAGACAAGACCGCCAAGGCCCCCTACGATGTGCTGCACCACACAAAGACATTTTCAGATTCTTGCAGACCGCAGATGATCACGTACTTAAAGCATACATTCTCAAGGAGGCAACAAAATTGTCAGGAAAGGGCAGAATTTGCTGCGTGCCGAAGAGGAATCAAGGTTTAAACTTTGTTGTGTGTTTGTGACGCACATGCAAGGGGTCTTTAGACAGGTAGGACATCCCCACGTAGCCGGCTGCAAAAAAGGTGCCCATCATTACAATGATGTGCAGTCCGACAGACAGTTGTGCTTTATATGTCACAACGCCTCCTTCACTTTTTGCTGCTGCCTCCCGCTCCTGTTCGGCACAGCAAGGAAACATTGACTGTCATGTGCCCATGATGGGAAGGCAAGCAAGTAGAACACTACTTTATTTTGTGACAGCAAGTCAGTGGCAGAAGGGAGCAGTCATGTAGTACTCACAGCGCGTGTGATGTCTTGCACCATGGCATCATATTGTTGCTGCTCAAGCTGCTTCTGAAGAAGGGCAAGCCGAGCTTGTAGTGCAGCGCTCTTCACTCTTGGCTTTGGGCCATTCAGTATGATGCTGCTGCCGACACAGGTCTTGTGCAGCCATGACTTCTCATTATCTCCCCATACCTCCCTGGCTGATGCACAGAAACGACCAGGATCGGTAAACGTCACCAAGTGCCCAGTGCTAAGTGCTTTAGGACTTCTCCATGCAGGACGGAATGGTGTGAAAGACAGACATGCCTGCCGCCGCTATTTCTTTCAAATCCCTCCATTGCAATTCATTCCCTTCTAGCATCCCTTGTGCTAGACCATGGATGTCCTGCGGCAATCGATCCAAGGAATTGGATGTGCCCCTAGTGCATATGCATGATCAAGCAAATAAAACAATAAAGCGCATCTCGCTCGCACACCTCTGGTAATGATGGGTCATTGACAACATCTCGAAGATATTGCTCGACGTCAGCAGTCTTCTGCAGTGTTAAGCTAGTCATGCTGTTCCGATGTATTGATCTGGTCCACTGTATGTGCCCCCTACGCGAAGCTAAATAGCACGATATACCTTTCTTTTAACCCTCCCAATCTTTCTTCGAGCATTGATTGCTCCATCTGTGGCAGAGAATCCAATCCACGGGCGTTCAAGCATCGACAAGGGCATCAAAGTATCGTGAAGGGTGAGGGAGGTATCGAATGATGCTTGCCACACGAAGGCAGTCTTTGGAAGGCCTGTGGCTGGCCACTCTGCAGAAGTGCGATTATTTGATGCGTTCGGGAAGTGTTCTGGAGAGGAAGATTGAAGCCTGACTGCAACCCGTCCCGCTCTGTGGCCTTGGCAGGACTTCGAAGGGGAAGCTGGCTGCAAAAGTATCTACACAGCTTTTTCGCTGAACTGGAGCTCGCAGACGTTCTCCTTGTGCCAGGTGAGCTTCTACACGAACCATCTCCTGAAAACCTATTAATCTCTGTCAGTGGCGGTGCAGAGAGTGCATCCGGGTATAAGTCCAGTGTGGTAAGGGCTTTTGTGAAGGTTCGCCTTTTGCACCATACATCAGCCTCATCCAATGCTCAGGACTGTTATTTGTTGGAAGCAAATACACGGCCACACTTCGGTATGTCTTCGCAAATGCGCGGATTGTAGAGGGTCTCCGGTGTCCCAACAGTCACTGAGATCACAATTCGATGCTGGAGAGTGTGGTAACAGAGAGTAATGCTGGGATTAAAGTGTCAATGCCTTGTCGATTGACCAACACACTGGCTATAATAAATCGCGCCTAGAGAAGAGGGCGCACAAGGGGTTTTCAGTGGCAGAAGTAGGCGTGCACAAGTTGTGAAGGTCATCTTCTGGCTTTGCGGTGTTTGATGCGTACAAACTATGGATTCGAAGAAACGCCTTTACATATCATTTTAAAGGCTTAAAAGCTTCCAAGCGGCCCTAATGCTTCCTTTTCTTGCTGGAAGAGATAAGCAGGCAAGCCAGTGTTTAAGTATACTACGTAGTAAGGAGTGCACCATTACATGAGTTCATCCAGCGTCCACGATTGGCAGAGATTATTTCAAGTAAATAGAGCAAGCTTGGAGCTGCACCTGTCATGTGCACTGACACATGCCTTTGGTATGGCAGGAGGTGTGCGACTTGCCTAATGGAGTTGTTCTCATGGATAGTCACCAAACCAGGAAATAGGGAAGCTTGAAAGAGTGGAAGTGGAGGGATCACCTTGAACCTCCAACATGGGAAGACTTAATGGCCATCGCAATGGCTACTTGCCAAAGGAGAATGGATTTGAGGCAACACTTGTCAATCGCACGGGTTCCATGCCAGAAATGAATGGCTCTCTGAAGCAGGTGAGGATGGTGTATGTCTTCACGGACATTGCCATGACCTGTGTCACCTTTTAGACCTTTTCGTATATGGACTCAGCCCCATATTTGATGTCTGATCTTCTCTATAAATGTGCAGGAATATGATGTTGCTTCTCTGATGGAGGGTGATGACAGACAGCGCTTTCTGCAGCGCATCTCAGCTGGCAGTCAGGCAAGCATTTGACTGCCTTTCTCAACATTCCCATCTTGATGTTCGATGAAATTAGCTTGATGGGGGTGTTGCATGTGGACATCATACCAAGGCCGCCGAAGATGTTGCTTTGGCCCTATTCTGCAGGAGTCTGGCAAGAGCCATTCCAGCAGTGAGGATGCGCCCAAGTCGCGTTGGAAGCTCATGTCAAGAGGGAAGAAGGAGAAGAAGGAAAAGGGCTTGAAGCATGCAGCTGAAAAGGAAGGAGCCCCGGAGAGGTGTGTGCTGCCTGGCTACAGGTCTAGATGCAGTTCTGTCAAGAGAGGGCTCTGTGAGTGCATCAAGGATTGCAACAGCGCTCATTTTGAAGCTGCTTCTGGCAATACAGGGCGAGCAAGGGTCGGTGGAGCTCATTCTTGACGGGTGCAAAGGCTGCAGAGCGGAGCGGGCCATCGTCCTCTTCGCCCTCGGCCTCCTCCCCATCCAAGCTGTCTGACAGCTCGGATGGCCTCGTGGCTGCGGACATCACGGAAGGTTCAGGGAAAGCCCTGTTAAAGCCCAGGGAGGAGCCCGGCCTTGCTGCGCTTGCCACAGGGCGGATTGACCAGTCCGCTGAGGCGGTGCAGTCCCCTCCAGTGGCGACATCTGGGTGTTTGGGCATGTTTAAGCGCGTGAAGTCTGAGGAGGTCACCATCCGCGGCCTCAGCCAGCCCTTCCTCACAGCAGGCATGCTCCCTGCCTATTTCCCTGTATTCTGCTCATCTGCACATGGATGCTGCGTGCATTATGCTGGACATGATGCGAGCTCTGCTTGAGGGTGTTTTTCTGCTGTGCACCAGAGCCAAAAGCAGACAGGAGGAGCGGGGAGAGGCTTCCACCAAGGACATCTCGGCGCTCAACTGAGACACTCCCACAGCCTATCGGCAACAGCAACGGCTCTCATGACAGCACCTCATCGGCTGTGTCGTCGCGAAGGTCCTCCTTTGAGGAAGTGCATGCACCCGCTGCTGACAGCGAGACGCAGGCTCCCCACACAAGTGAGCACTCCTGGATGTGGGCTAAGCTTGTCTGCAGCATTAGTACACAAGAGCAGCTTGTTTTTTTTGCATGATCGTATTCATGCAATGGTCAGATAGTTGTTTGTATTGCTGACTAAGTATGTCTGTGGGTAGGTGGATTCTTCTCTCGGCTCGTCTCGTCACCATTTGCAGCTGCATCACTCGAGGCTGACACGCCTGCAGCCGGGCACGGGGTAGAAGGCAAGGATGCGAGTGGCGATTCTGCTACAGGTGCATACACATACTGCAAAGTCAAAATGTGTGTTTGTGCAAGTGTAGTGCTGAGCAGTCTGAGCACTTCATTCAACCAAGAACTCATGGAGAGCTACTGCGGATGACAGGGCCTGAAGGGAGGACGCAAAGCAGCGATGGCAGCGCCGCTAAGAACAACGATCAAGGCGGGAAGAAGGGCCATCGGAGAGTGCACTCTCTTGGCAGCTACCTCCCGTCCTGGGTTGTCAAGAGGACAGCCTCCATCCCAAGCAACCTGGATAAGGCGGTGAGTGCCTTGATGCTTACGTGGCCAAATTGTTTGGCATGCATGTTTGCTGAAGCAGTAATGCCTGCATGGCTGCCAATGACATACATGCATGGAAAGAAAAAGTTGCACCACCCAACAGCATGCTCACACTTTAATGGGCCATTGACATGCTCTACATGCTGACTTTAACTATTGATGGTGTCATGTAGGTGGAGGCGCACAAGGATGATGACAAGACGCCGCCATCCCCGAAGACCCCCCGCTCCCAGACCGAAGATGCTGAGGCTGCTGGGGCGTCAGCAGAGCCGCCGGCCGTCCCACCCAAGACACCCGAGCTGACCAGGAACCAGTCTGCGCTGTCCTGCTTCGGCCTGGGTGGCAAGGTGGCCACAGGCGAGGATGGCGACGAGCAGGTTGAGAATAGCAAGGGAAGCAAAGGCAACGATGCGGATGCGATGCCCTCTGGCAGTGTCGGCCTGCGGAACATTGGTAAGGGCACCTCAGCCATTTCCTTTGTGCGAGCGCCATGCCCTCTTTGATCAATGACACTTCTGCTACTTTTCAAAATGCCTTCAGCTTGAGCAGGATGCTATGGAACATTGCTGTCTAGATGGCATACAGGCGGTGGCTTGCAAAAAGGGTGCATCGATGAAGGATTCTCACACGTGCTGCTTGGTATGTGCAGGCAACACCTGCTTCATCAACTCGGCGCTGCAGGTCCTGCGCTGGACCCCCGGCTTTGCAGAGCTGCTGGTGCCAGACTTGCTCAGCGGGGACTTCCTGCCACTATCCAGCAGCGCCAGGCCTGCTGAGGAGTCCACCAGGGATGCAGCCGTCTCTGCTCTTCCCGCCACATCCAGCCAGATGGCCCCGCTCTCCTTGTCAGCGGCAGCTGCCTCCGCAGAAGCCGAGCCGCAGGCAGCAGCAGCCGCCCCCGAGGCAGTAGAGGGTGGCCTCAGCAGCGGCTGCTCTGCGCAGGAGGACCCTGTCAGCAGCGCCGCAATGGAGGATCCAGCCGTGCTCGCTCGCACTCTGGACAGCTCTCCAGTTCCCTCGCCGCTGCCCACCATCAGGGAAAACTCGCCGGCCCTGGCTGAGACAGAGTGCCTGGCACCTGTCCGCACAAAGCCCAGCTTAGAGGGGCATGAAGAGGAGGACGAGGCCGAGACTGAGCCTGCCGCAGAGCATGCGACGCACAGCACGAAGGACGCTCATGCTCTTGGCGCAATCTCTGTGCAGCAAAAGAGCAACGTAGCGCCACAGGAAGGGAGCGGGGCTTCCGAGGAGTTGGGCAAGGTGCAGACGGAAGGAGGTGCCAAGCAGGGAGGATCGCCACTGGGGCCGGTCACACCTGCCCACAGCGAGATCCCCTTTGCGCACCCGTCCCTGGCCAGCCCTCCCAGCAGCCTGTGGGGCCACAATTCCGCGCACAGCGACACATCCACCGGATCAGCGCAGGCTGCAGAGGAGCCTCAGCTCGATGTTGGCGGCGTTAGCAAGGGCAGCGCAGCAGAGGGTGTCGAGCTGGCAGGCCTGGAAGAGGTTGTGTGCGCCTGTGGCATGCACACTGTGGGCCACCTGGCCGGAGGCAGCTCTGCAGTCAACGCTGTCACGGTGGCGGCAGTGCCCATGGCAATCAAGCTGCCTGAGCGGAAGACTCCGCCCCTTGAGCGGGGAGAGATGGCAGATGCCTTCCGCCAGCTCACCAAACAGGTACAACAGCCAATCCCCTTCCACCATCATGGCCAATAAGCTGTGCACATTGTTCAATGTGCCAAAGGAGACCGTTAAGAGGAACTGCACTGGAATTTCTCATTATCTGGTGGAGTGCATGAGGAATGCTGAGGGTTGAGTGCATTTTGGTTGCAGGTGTACAGCGAGCGCCCTGGTGCGGCGGTGGACCCCACGGCGCTGGTGAAGAAGCTGTACCAGCTGCCGCAGTGCGCTGACTTCCAGGACGGCGGCCAGCACGACTGCCAGGAGGCCCTGCGCAGCATCCTGCTCGGCCTGCACGATGACCTGGTGCGACCCGCCATGCCTCTTCCAGATTGCCTTTGTGCCACATTGGCGCGATTGTCAACACCATCTCTTTAATGTTTCTGACTGTAGCTTATTTTCAATGGCCACAGGATGACAAAAGTCTTGGTGCCCCGTCACCAATACTGCCAAGAAGAGTAGCAAGTAAAAGCTGTCAGGTGATTAAAATAGAATCGACAGGATGGTTGCTGAACGTGCTTGGCTGTGCAGAATCGCGTGGTCAAGGAGTCTGAGAAGCCAAAGGCGGCGCCGGAGGAAGCTGCCGTTGAGGGCAAGGAGCAGGAGGCCGCCCAGGTGGGCTCCGAGGAGGAGGAGGAGAGCGCTCCCAAGCAGGAGGCCAGTGAGGTGCCGAAGGAAGAGGGGGCGGGTGATGCAGAGGGCGTTGAAGTGCCAAAGGAGGACTTGGAGGCCGCCAAGGCGGACCGGGAGTGGGCCCGCCACTTGGCCCAGGACAACTCTGTCATCTACGACCTCTTCAGCGGCCAGCTGCAGTCCAGCATCAAGTGCCACAAGTGCAACAACCGCTTCACAACGTGAGCCTCATTTTCCACTCTACAGTGCCCAGGATTACATCTACTGTGAAAATTCTGTGTCCCCCTCATGTTCCTGCCCTGTTGACATGGAAGCAAAGCGCATTTGGCAAGCACATGCTGAGGTGGCGTGTCATGCTGGCATGCAGGTATGAGGTGTTCCTGGACCTGAGCGTGCCCCTGACCAAGGAAGGCAAGGGAGGCATGCTCAACTTCTTCAGCAAGAACTCCACGCCCTCCATTGAGGACTGCTTGCACGCCTTCACAACAGACGAAGTCATGCAGGTACAATTCGCATGGCATGCTCTACCCGTTCATCATCAACTGTACATCAAGTGTTGCCAGACATGAGACTACTGTGCCAACATTTTGCGGAGATTGTACCAAAGTTGTGGTGCCTGACTGTTGTGGGACATTGACAGGGCGATGAGGCGTTCCAGTGTGAGCACTGCAATGAGAGGACGAGTGCCACGAAGCACTTCAGGATCCACCGCCTGCCCAAAGTGCTGCTGCTGCACATCAAGCGCTTCAAGTACACGGGCACCACGCGCGAGAAGATCACCACCAATGTCACCTTCCCGCTGAAGGTATTGGCCCCCACAACCACTCTCATTGTTTACAAACCTGCACTGCCGCTGTTGCAAGTCGAATGAAGGCTTGCACTATTCATGTTTGCACTGTTTAGATCTGCTCTGCTGCTGCAATGATAGGTCAGATGCGCTTGAAGCTGCATGGGCTGTGCCATGATATGGTGATAACCTTTAGGTTGGCAGGTCAGGCGCTGGCCTCAGGTGCTGACCTGGGGTGGGTGTGTGATGCTTGCAGAACCTGTCGCTGCAGCCGTTTGTGTCGGACGAGAGTGGGCTGGAGGACGCGGACACGAGCAAGTACGAGCTGTTTGCGGTGTCCAACCACATCGGCAGCATCACCAACGGCCACTACATGGCCGTGTGCAAGGCGCCCCCGCCCCCCGGCGCCAAGGACAAGGACCAGTGGTTCTGCTACAGCGATGACTCAGTCAAGCGTGTGCCTGCCTCAGCTGTTCCCTCTCCCAATGCCTACCTCCTCTGCTACCACCGCAAGGATGCAGAGGCTAAGGCGGCCGACAGGGGACGCCTCAGACCAGAGGTGTAGGGCGAGGCGGGTCTGTAGGTAGCACATTCCTTTGCAGCTGCCGGCAACTATGGCTCATGCCATCAGCTCGCGCAGGACGGTCCAGAAATGCACAAAGCAGAGAGATAAAAGAAAATGTCCATTTCATTTGTGCCAGCGTCAGCAGCCTTGACGTGCACAGCGAGGCTCCCCAACTGTAGTACCTGTGTTTTAGCTGTGTCTGGCAGGCGGATCCCACTTCTCTGCTGGGAGGCTTGTATCCATCTTTGCTGATGTATCAGTCCCGGAGCTCACAAGTGGGTGCACATACTGATCTTGCCTTGGGGCTGACAGTCTGTGATTGGCTTTTGCTCTGGTAATGCCACGGTCTTCTAGATAGAGCGGGGTTGCATCCCCCCAATATTGCTTTTAAGGCGGCATGATCTGTGTGCCTAATCAGCAATGCCTTGCAGCAGTGCTCTTGTCAATTAATCCAAAGTATTGGGCGGCTCCCATGTCTTGGGCCAAAGCAAGGAGGAATCATCTGTTCTAGTGTCTTGAGCGCATGAGATGCAAGTGGATTTGCAGAAGCAGCTATCCTGGACCAGTTTCCGCTGCACCAGGCAGCTCCCATCAATCTGTATATTTCTTGTGTAGTGAAGGGTGAGCTGCACAAGGGGTGAGCTGCAGCAAAGTATTGCCACGTGTTTATTGTGTACGCCGATCCTCAAGGATCAGAGTGCCGAATTTGTGTATCGAAGCCGTCTAATGAATGGCTTGACCAGTGTTCCAATCCTCCTTGCACCGAGGGTTGCACCGAGGGTTGAGAGTTTGGAGCTGAATTTCAGTGTAGTGTAGAGTGCACATGCGGCCAGCTGGCTGGTAGTGCAGCAGGCCTTAGGTGCATCCAGAATTAGGAATGTCTTCTTAACAATCTTATGCATATGGTTTTGTCCAGGTTCATATCTGGTATCTCAGAAGCCATGGCTTCGTCTCTCGACCTATTGATATTGAGCAAGCATCTTCTGGGACTGAGTTGAAGCTTGTCCTTTTGTAAGGCCTTGCTCTGAAGGCCTTCTCTGTAAATTTTTATATGGCTGATATATTTTTAAGTACACGGACGCTGATCCCAGCCTCACGAAGGCACAAAGAGAGCTCAACGTTGCATTACCCACATCTTCAGTACCCAGGCTCTACAGCACCTTGACTGGTGAGATGCCCTGGAATGGCCACAAGTACAGCCTGAGAGAACGCAACTTTACAGCTCTTGCTGCGCACATACTTTGCAACATCTGAACAGTAGCCCGGAAGATTTACGTGAGCGGATTGATGCGTTCATTCACACTATGGAAACCATGCTAGGTCCCACATGTACCTACACCAAACAGCCCCGCATTGACTGGAGACAGCAGTGAGGAATTGATCAAGGCTTCCTATCACCAAAACTTTACTATAAAACGATGCTACCTATGTGTCAAGGTAGTTGGCTGCTTTCAGCAACTCCAATGCTATCTCTGGCGGCAGCTGAAACTCTGGGATGGAATTGCTTGACCTGCGCACCAATAGCCAAGCTCGAGGGACTTGCAGCAGAAGAAGAGAGCCTGAAGCATGCATGCATGTCTTTTGGATGAGGGACAGAACGCACTCATTTTGGTAACGCAGCTTATAGTAAAAGTATTCGCAGATCTTTTCAAGAATTGGCGAAGATATCTCAGGAAAGCTGATCTCGCCAAGCTCCGTCTCAGTGAAGTTACCTTCGAGGGAGCTTCACCTCTTAGCCACACACGTTGTAACTTAAAAAAGCTCTGATACAATGGAATCATACCAGCTTGATTAGCTAGCTTACCTTCACTGGAGAGCATCTGCTTTATAGTGTTCGATACACAGGCAGCTTTGTGGTCAATAATAAACTCAAAGCCCTCAGCACTAACTAGCTTCACCGATTTCTTACTCATAATTCAACACGTTTTCTCACTGTTACCAAGGAGGATGCCCTTCTGCTGCCACCAGTAACAGGTGAATCAATTAAGTCATCATCGAACCCGTATTCTGATCTCAGAGAGCGTGGGAATGCGACACAGGCGTCAAGACCAGCTCACTTCAATACAATCCCATACAAATAAATGTAGTTTTCTCTCCGGGACACGACGAACAATATAGTTCTGGCATTCTTTGGTTCGATTTGGATGGTTTAAATCCTCTGTAGCATTTATAATCTTTGGGAATTACGGAGGGTCTGCGCCCTTCGGGAGCTCCTGCCCAAGGCAAAACCAGCAGCCTGGAGATGGTTTTGGGGTTGCACTGACCATCGTGTACTCCTGAAAGATACAGGTGTTGATATAAATCTGTTGTTACGGCGTTTTGGAGGGTCATTGCTATCCCCTTCTGGATGCTACATACCTCTGCTTTTAGAAGCCACGTAACAATCGTCTCTGGCGCACCATCCAATTCCTGAACATGTCCTCATCTTTATTTGGGAACTATTGTTAAGTAAAGACCGCGCGGGCGGGCGATGGCTTGGTCAGCTGGACCCCTGCAAAATAGAGGCTGGAGCTGCATGATGCCCATACAGGCGTGCTGCTTGCTTCCCAAATCATGCACGTTTCTCGTGGAGTCTTGAAAGTCTAGGGAATCTCTGCAATCGAAGTTCAGGCGTCATGGGTCGTTTTTGAAGGTCCCTCAATAGGGGCTTGTTTGCACGGATCGCAAGTCCCAGGCTGATGGGAAGCCCACTATTGACGTTCATATGGCTTGTCAGCATCGTTTTGCACCATATTTGCTGCTAAAGCTGTGCAGTTGATGCTCGTGAGATGCTCATGTACAGTTCCTTGAGGCAGCATGGCTCACTCTAGTTGTCCTGCTTTGCTTCACAGGAATCCCGCCTGACATAGAAACCAGGCCGAGAAGCAACTTAACGAGGTGCTTGAGGATATCCATATCACGGCATGTTCTGGAATGTTGCTTTCAGCTGAGAAATGCTTGTGGAAAAGTTACTGACAGCTGTCGTATTTTTGAAAAGGTCAGCGCAAGACTGAGATGAATGCGCCCATCCCGCTCCTTAGACTTGGGACTTTAGACTCGTCATTCAACCTGGGTTTGTTTCACAGGAGATCGCAAACGTAGGGGTGTCGATCGCCCCGGAAGAAGAGGCAGCTTAACCGAACCGATCTCCAGATCACACACTTGTCGTGTGCCAAATCACCTCACTGGAGAGCCAAGCATGGCTAGGCAGCTTCAGCAGACGTGGTCTTCAGACATCATCGCGCGGGTAGGCTGCTTTACCTCCATTGAAATCCTAATTCTTTGCCCTTGACTAGTTCCGCATGTCGTCCGCAAGCACTCCACTGTTCGGGGCTCTTGGGCCTGGATACCAATGTCACGCCACCTCTGCCCGAGCAGTATTTATATAGACGTGCTGGAAGTGTCTAAAATGTCAGGACCTCTATTATGTCGAAAAAATCCCAGGAATTCGTCTGGGTATTCAAAACGACTTCGGACAGAAGTGGAGTACTGCTTCCGAGGACAGCAAATGTTCTCTTTCCTTGGCGTGAAGCTTGCCTGCTACATGTAACAGTGTTTCGGAGGTTGCGACGTTGTCGGACCGGCCCCTTCGACGCGATCACATAGCTTGAGGAGGTCGATAAATGTCGTTGCTGCTGTGAGAGCTTCTTTCTCTGATGCAGGGTGCCAAGGATCTCCTAAAGAAGGCTGGCAATGAGAGCACAGATTTGCGCACCAGGATAGAGGCCCTGCATGAACTCTCCGAGTCTCTAGAGGCAGAGGAGCGCAAGTATGAGGTGGGCATTACCACTCCACTGAAAATACCACCAGTCTGTTCCAGCCTGCAGCAGATTTTGGGGAGGACTGCTCTGCATCTTTTCTGTTTCCAGCAAGCAGGGCTGGTTGGCATGCTGATGCTGCTATTTCTCTTGTGTGCAGGAGGTGACTGGGGATGTGATGGTCAACATGCGTTCTCAGCAGCCCATTGGAGCATTTCTGTCTGCAGTCAAGGATGAAGAGGAGATCTACGATGAAATCTATGAAAGCTGGATCCACGACCGGCATGTGCGCATCTGTCCAGTGAACACTGCATTGCAGCAGAGGGCATATCTTCATGTTTCTGCATGCTAATGTGTTTGTCGGGAGTGGGAATAACACAACAAGCTCCAGCACCTCCCTCGCAAGGCTCTGCACAACTCTGTGATCATTTATTCTGGCACTGCCCATTGAACCAACATGCAAGATTAAACCAACGTCACAGCTGCAGATGGTGAGGCATCTTGCACACATGCAGGCAAGCCTGGAGCAGAGGGTGGCTGCCATGCGATTCTTCCTGGCCTGCCTCTCCGCTTGGCAGTTTCAGAGCCCGCTCACCGAGCCAGACTTCGTCACAGGGCTTCAGGAGTGGGCCACCACTGAAGTCGCAAAGCGGCCCTCACGGTGTGCACACTCTCTGCATGGTGTCTGAATTAGCACAGCATGTTCCATGTAATTAAATGTAGGTGACCGGCTCAGTGGCACATACCTTCTTGTCATATTTAAGGATGTGGGCATCTGGTGCAGCAGTGGAGCTTCAGAGCACACAGATGAGGAGAGTCTGCTGTTGGAGGCGAGGCGGACATATGCCACTGGCCTCTTAGCAATCGCGCTGACGAGGACGGAGGTCTGCGACGAGGCTGTGCGGAGCGGCACCGTGGCCCAAATGGTCCAGGTAACGTCCTGACAAACTGCCATGACTGCAATGCATGGCGCCTGAGCCTGATTGCATGTAGCACACTCTTATTTCTTTTACTGTAATTACACGCTGTTCCTGCCAGAGGTAAGGTGCACCAAATGCCTCGAATTCCTTCAATTCCTCAGCATAGACCGGAAAACAATAGATTGCCACCTGCTCCTGACCATTGAAATGCATGCAGGATCTTGCGCACATGGGTCTGGGGGATTGTGGCAGCGAGGATGAGGACCACACGCTGGCCTCCAGCTCAACCTGCGACATGATTGCCGCGGACAGCCAGCCACAGCCAGACGTGGCTCTGATCCGCGAGGAGCAAGCGTCCTCAAATCCTGCACAAGGATGTGAAGGTAGTTGCTACCCTCCTACCTGCTTCTGCTACCGAGCAGAAACACCCTAGTTGCAGTTGCCAGCTGTGCAATCACTGGCGTCAGCATGCAGTCCTCCAAAGCTGCTGCCGCTTGAATCCTTGTCAGGCCAGCGTTTGTATTGTGAAGAGTTGTTGAGTGGATGTCGGTTGGCAGGATGGGAGGAGCTGAGGGCGCGGCGGCAGCGCTACGTGGTGCAGTGCCTGGGCAGCTTTGGCGAGTACATGGAGTGCCTGGCGCTGGTCCTGGCAGCGGACGGCGTGGCTGTAATGGCGCGCCTGCTGCATGCATGGCGCGAGCAGCCCACCCTCCTTGCCGACCTGCTGCGCCTCCTGGTCGCACTGCTCGTCCACCGCAGGTCTGTGCATGCATGCTGCCTTCCCCTTCCGCAGTGCATCTTTTTTTTTTGGTGTGCATTGGAAATCAGTTGGGTACATCATCCCAGTGCTCAAACTATGCCCGGCATTGCGCCATGCTGTGCACAATTGAATTTTTGTCACTATCATTGCAGTGTCTACATGTTGTCCGACCCCTTCCAGGTGTCCCGATCACAGATGTCCTCATTTGACAAAACATTCCAAATCTTCATGGTCTTTCCAGACAACTTGCAGCTCAAGGGGTGGACCATCCCTGGTATGGACTCCGCACATGCGCGTATGCCTGTCCCAGCTGCTTGCAGGTGCTCTTGATTGCATGTTATTCATGTTTTTGTGGCTGCTGGGCAGGTTTGCGGAGCTGTTTGTGGACTCAGGCGGGGTGCAGCTGCTGCTGTCCCTGCCGCACAACAAGCACACCTTTGTCGGCCTCTCGTTTGCCTTCTTTGGGATGGCCTCCGTCCCCCTGGCCGTCGAGCGGGTGGTGCGTTACTCCGCATCCAGAAGCGGCCCTTCCCTGTCTTGAGCGTCACTCTTGTTGGCCTGCTTCATGGGGGTTAAACTTCCACATGGATGACAATGGTGATGGCAGTTGTTGGAAATTCATGCAACGTCATGCATCTTCAGTATCAATCTTTATTATATACCTCTTGGAAGGAGGGGCGTGCGACACAAGCGGAGGATCCTAAGTGGAGTTGCCTGGTTTAGAGGGATCCTGAAGGGAGATTCTGTCTCAGTGACCAAGAAACAGGGACTACGTGAAGATCGCGCATGTGTAAATGTCTCCACCCGGTATGGGACTGCAGCCTAAGAAAAGGTTTGCATATGGCAGTGCGCACTGCCGGCGGCGGTGGTGGAGGAGTTGGTGGAGAGGGCGCTGTCGCTGCTGACATGCGGCTACGACCCGGCGCGCAAGAACGTGGCGCTGTTCTTCGGGGCGGCTATCCACTTCCGCGGCATCCTCGACGTCTTTGACCGCGTCGGCGGCCTGCCCCGCCTCCTCGACGCCATGCGCACTGTGCTCCTCTTACTGCACGCCCCCGTCCATGGCGAAAACCGCGCCGAGAAACAGGCGAGCCCCCTCTTTTGGCGTTCTCCCACGCTGACCGAGAACATTGAACATCTTGGAAACCATGGATGCTGTAGAACTCTTGCCTCGGCATGGATTCTCTGTCAGCTTCAGGGCTATTGGCCACTGATGGCACTGCTGACTGGGTGGTGACTCCTGCATATGAACGAAGTCAAAATTGCTAGATGGGCCAGAGTGCACCAAATGGCACTTCTTTCAAGGCTTCGGAGCATTCTCATAAACAACGGATTTCTTTACTTCATGGAGGCTGACATGATGCTCGTCTCTCATCAGGTGGCGTTCCATGCCAGCGCTGCGCTGAGGCAATACTTCCGCACCCACCTCGTCCTCCATGTGGCCACGCTCAAGCGCCGCTACTGCGGCCATGCCGCTGTCAAACAGGTACCTTCAAACCTCTCCTACATACTGCTCTCAATGCACGCAGCATGTCCTAAATAAAGGCTGCATGCCTTGTATGCAAGCTATGGAGTGAGCCCAGACACTTGCAGAATGTGACAGGTGATTGGCAAACAGCTCAGTAAAAATCAGTTTTGGCATGTCAATGCAGGGAGCATCGGCTGCAGAGCGGACAGTGGATGTGTCAGCTGAGTCGGTGGATGCAGCAGTGTCAGCCGTGGAGAACGACCGGCGTGTGGGCGAGGCATTTGTGCGGGAGCGATGGCCGCCCCTTGAGAAGTTCATACACTGCGGCGGGCCAGGGCTCATGCTGGACTTCGTGCAGCACACGCCCGGCGAGCGGTGAGACAATGTCTAGATGCTAGATGGCGACTTCACAATAACGGGCTTCTGCTTGAGCGGGAAGCCGCTCATTCTTGCTCTAATTAGACCTCTCGACAGCTGCGGTGACCTGTGATGTGTGATGCATGGAGTAGCCAAGTAAGTTGAGTGAAATGCTGAGATCTCACGTGCAGGTATTGCAATGAGATCGCACGCCATGCACTGGAGATCATGCAGATTGCCACGCTGATGCCGGAGTGCCGCCGCACGCTTCTGACCGGCGCTGCCTCCCAAGCCAGCGGCCAGTCGGATGGCATCGCTGCCATTTTGGAAGCTGCACATGGCCAGGCCTACCTGAACGACCCAGAGGTTGGTGACTCCTACGCCGTACTATACTACAAGGCAGTATACTGCCGCTGTATCACTGTCTCCCATGGGAAGCTGCTTTTGAGCACCTTGCAGAAGTGTAAGCTGTGCAGCCATCAGGCTACACTGCCTGCACAGGTTGCAAAATGTCACTCAGCATCACTTGACCGGAGTAATTGTCAGACAGCAGCTCCTCACGTGCGCACATGTATCAAACTTCAATGCGCAGGCAGCCATGCAATGACCTTCGCGTACTTGCTGGCATGTTGAAGGACTTTGAAGGGCATCAATCACACAACCAGCATGTTTATGCTGTGCGCAGGTCATGCAGCCGGCTTTGGTGGTGGTGGCAAATTGCGTCACGGTGCCCTCCTCCCTTGCCCACCTCATGCCGCCACCCGACAAGGCGCCCGGCCGCAGGAAGCTGAAGGCCGCGCTGCCGGCCCCGCTGTTCACGCCCCAGCCAGCCGCCGGGAGCTCCATGGACCTGGACCTTCAGAGCACCAGCAGTGCAGAGGTGCTCACATGTCCTCTTCTCCCTGACCAGCCTTCAACCGAAAGCATGTGCTGCTCAGCAACTGGGTGTCCCTTGCCGCTCCTTCGGACTCGAAATCATTGCTTGACTTATCAGATGCATAGGCATAGGCATTTTCGAGGCAACCGTAGGGACAAGCATGCTGGCTTGCAATGCCATGCGCGTGGGCTGCCAAGAATGCGTAGAATGAGACAGTCATCATAATATTGATCGGCTGGTGCAGCCTGATACATTGATCTTTGCTGTACAAGGATTAGCTTGATTACAATAGACAGACAAACAGACTTAATTACAGACTTGAAGGTGAGTAAGCAAATTCTGTGTGATTGATGTGGGTGCCGGTGGTATGCAGGGGGACTTAGTGGCGGTGGAGATGCGGGAGGGGTATGCGCGCGCGCGGCAGGCGGTGCGGCGAGCGGCGGGCATCCGCATGCTGCTGGGCCTGCTGCACGCGCGCTCCAGCATGCCGGCCGGCCAGGTGGACCGCCTGCGCGCGCTCGCCGTCCGCTGCCTGCTCGGCCTTGCCCACGACCCCCAGCTGCGCCATATCCTCGCCAAGCTCCAGGTGCTGCCCCTCCTCCCTTCCTCTGTCTCCCTTTTTCTTGTCCTCTCTTCAGGGATCGAAAATGAGGTTTGTGCAGGTTGCTGCACAGCTGGACAAAGAAGGATGAGAAGAAAGGAAGAGGTCCAGGAGAAGGCAACAAAAGCAGCGGTTGGCGACTGCAGATGCACCACAGCTGCATGTGCTGGCTCCTACATGGCAAGTCAGCTCTGCATCTTTTTTAAAGGGATTGTGAGGTGGTTCTCTGGGCTGCAGGTGTGGCGGCTGCTGGCGCAGCTGGTGCACGAGCCAGACAGGGGCACAGTCGGCAGCGGCGGTGCGGCCCGGCGGCTGATCGGCAGCGACGGCAGCTCTCACGGCGGCAGCTCCCTCGCGACCTTCAACAGCCTCGCCATCGACCTCATCAACCTCACCTCTGCAGGTCCTACTCGCATAATGCCTCATTTTTCCCCTTCACAATCTCCTGCTGTGCTGTGCATGACATCCTCTTCACTAATAGAGCCGCTCAGATGGGCAAAATTTTTGCTGACGTGGGTGTTGCAAAAGGTTGATGCTTGTGCATGGTGAATGCAGGTCTGGGGAAGGCGGGTGCTGCGGCGGCTGCGTCGGACGCGGTCGCGCCGGCGTTGCACAAGATCGAGCGAGCGGCCATCGCGGCCTCCACGCACATCACATACGCGCCCTCCGAGCTGCTGGTTCTCATCGAGGACCACCTGCGCGCGTCGGGGCTGCACGCCTCCGCCAACGCGCTCGCTGCAGAGGCGGCGCTGGGCGGTAGTCAGCCGTCCCTGCGGGCTGAGATGCAGGGCGATGCACAGCAGCCGCACCTGATCACACCCTTCAGCAACATCCGAGCTTCCGCGCCTGCAGAGTCTCCCTTCACTTGCCCAGGTGAACTGACAGCCTCAAAATTTTTTGTGATAAACAGCATGCCGTGCTTGTCCATGACCAGTGCATAATGAGCCTCCATGCTCTATAAGAAGGGCGCAGAGTATTGCTGCGGATTGAGACAAGGCTCGTATTGCAGCAGGAACCCAGCCGTCTGTGCCAAAACGCCGCGCACTTGCAATCGCGCCGTCGCTCATCAGATCAATCGTCAAGGCACCGGTTGCGGCGAAGGAGCCAATCGCATGCATAGAAGAAATCGACGCACTAAATGACACAAGTGCACAGCCGGACGAGTGCACGCCAGCGAATCTGCCAGCCATCCCGGATGCAGCCAACGCTGATCAACTGCCGGGTTCTGCCGCTATCGCCGCGCACACAATGCAGAGCAGAAGGAAGCGCAGAGCTAGTGAGAGCCTGATATCAGGCTCACTCCAGCGTCAGAGATGCAGCGGCGGTGCTCAGCCTGAACAGCCTTGCGCAGCTGGCGCAGAGGAGTGCCTCACAGGTACACTGCGGGTGGCTGCACCAGCGGCGAGCTATGCAGAGCTGCCGCTGCCGCATGCCAGCACACCACTGGCAGAGGCGGCCACACCTGCGCGGCCGAGGGGGCTGTTTGGTGCCAGCGGCGCGCATGAGAGGCCGGGAGGCACACCAGCCGCGGCTGAGCCTGCAGGCAATCCCCTGCTGCTGAACCTCCCCTGCCGCCGCGCGACTCTGGAGGACATACCGCAGCCCGCCAAAGCGTGCAGCACTCCAGCCCTCACAAGGTCCGCTGTGCACTCTTCCTTTCCCTTAGCTCACGGCGCGATGCACTTAACTTTACACCCCTCCTTCTACACATTGGATGAGATGCCTCTTCAATGATCATCAGGAAATCTTGCTCTGTCCGAGGGGTCCCACTCACAATGAAACGCTCTATGCAGGGCGACAGTGAAGCAGGCAATCAGCAGCCCGCCGGACAGGAAGGGGCGCGGAGCGGGGACGGATCCGCCGGTGGCCAGCAAGCTGAGCAGCATTGTGATGCAGTACCTGCGCCACCAGCACAAGGCGGCCTGCCTCAAGGCGGCCGCGCCCATCTCCACGCTGCCTCCCATGTCCCTCCTGCGCCCCAACACCTTGCCCCAGGTGTGGCCCGCCTTCCCTCTGCACAAATGCAAACCACCCGAGTCCATCGCTTGGTGGCCTTCCCACTGGCTTGCCGTTGCCTTATGCCACCAATGGTTTTCTTGATGTCCTTTTCTGAGCAGGATGTGCACAGGGCATGTTATTGCCTATGCTAGTGAATGTCGTTGAGGACCTTCACACACATAGGCTAAATATGCTCTATGCACATCCTCAATGCTCACTGTCTGGGCCTCGCCAAGAAGTTCTGGATGATAGAGTGCCACCAGAAAGGAGATCCGCAAAAATGCTTTCCTGTGCACAAGACATGCCCGTGCGCGGCAGCAGAGCAGCTGTGAGCGGATAATCTTATGCTATGTGGCTTGCATGCGCAGGCCAAGCGCACTCTGGAGGCTCCGACGCAGGTGCACCGGCGGTTGCTGCGGCGCTCGGTCACCGACCCGCACGGCGGCTGGGGCGGCCGCCGCCAGGACCGCCACTTTGTGTACTCGCGCTTCAGGTCAGCTTCCCTTGCTCTACCCGCAACCTTTCACCTTATCAACTTCTCGGTGCCCTAACAAACACTCCAGGCAATGTAACTGGGTGGGCATGTGGGATTGCTGGCAGAGTGACGGAGACTCATCCAAGCCACCCGCACTCAAGATTACTTGCTGTTGCTCTCACTGGGCCTGGCACAATTGTCTCGACATAAATCCAACCGGACAGATAGGATTCCGCCGCCTGACCCTTCTCCAATCCGCTGTCTTGGCTTGATCACGCCTCAAATGTAATCGGCAGAAAGGGTCCAGGTTTTGGACAGACCAGTATCTGACAATTGCCATGATTGGGGTCTGCAGGCATGTGCGGACGGTGCGGGATGAGGATTCGGCGGTGTACCGGTCGTGCGCGTTCCTGGGGGATTTTGCGGCGCTGGCGCTGGGGTCGCACTCTGGGGAGATCCGCATCCACGACACCCTGTCGGGCGACCTCATCGACACCCTCGACGCTCATGACACCCCCGCCTACCAGCTGCGGGTGCGGCCCCACATCCCGTGCCCCCTTGTTTATCAAGCTGCTGTTTTTGCAAGCACTTTGCTTCCACATTCTTCTGCCGCAATCCTCTGTCCTGCGGCTGATCCTCCGGCGGGCCTTGTCTGTGTCATGGATACAAAATGTTGGCCTTGCAAGGTTATGCATTGCAGGTCAACCACCTTGCAAATGGCTGTAATGCACAAACTTGCACTGCAGGCAACTGGATATGCTCCCGCGCATGTGCTGTTTATGGCGCCCCAAAAGGCTGAAGAAGCTTGAATGGTCCTGAGCGTGTGGCTTGGGATGTGGGGACAGGTGCATGAGGCGCGGGGGCGGTCGCTGCTGCTGTCGTCGTCGCGGAACGAGGCGCGGCTGTGGGACGTGGGTGCATGCAGCGAACGCGCAGGCGGCGGATGGACGCCCGCAGAGTACATCACCGAGCCGCTGCACACCTGCGGGGGCATGCGCAACGCCATCTTCCGCCCAGACGGCCGCCTGGTGCGACGCTTGCCTGTCCCCAATGTGCACTGGTCAAACCGAAACCCTCCAGGCTTGTGATTGGCGCTGGAGAGGTTCTGCCGCGCACAATGTAGGCATATGCCGTTTTTGGCAAGAGGATGTTAGGCACGGAAAAGGAAGGAAGATTCTTCCTCTCTTGAAATCTCTCGCATCATGGCATCATGAAAAGGCTGACTGGGAATTGCGCGGGGGCAGTTGGCTGGGCTGATGACGGCGGGGCGAGGGCAGGATCCGCTGCTGTTCGACCTGGGCTCGGAGACCTACTCCACCATCAGCATGAGCACTGAAGGTGGGTGCCTTTCCTATGCCGCTCACCACATTGCAACAGCAAGTTGACATTGATACTTCTGGACCTGCGCAGTCCACAATGGCCGGACGCTGCATGCATGCTGCTGGATGGAGGTTCATTTGACGTTGGGTCCAATCAAGAGAAAACTCGCATGATTCACAGGATTCAGTGTTGATGTGTTTTGTGGGGTGTTGGGCAGGCTGGCGCAGCAAGGGGCAGGAGACGTTGTGCTTCAACCCGACGGGGGAGCTGCTGCTGTTTGGGCCGACGCTGTGGGATCCGCGCGCGCCCCGCTGCCTGCACGTCTTTGACCTGCTCTCCTACTCCGCCTGCTGCTCCTCCTTCCACCCCGGCGGCCTCGAAGCCGTCGTCAACTCGGAGGCACGGCCCCTGCGCCCCCTTTCTAAGCAGACCACTCCACCTCATGAAGCACTTTATTTATGGAGCTCACAACGCTGAATGCCTGCTAGAAGACCCCAGCGAGATACTCTGAGGGATCTTGCAAAAATGTGGTGGCGTGCATGCCATGGGTTCAGCAGTTGGAGTGATGGCATATTGTGTGTGGGGCAGGTGTGGGACTTGCGCACGCTGAAGCTGCAGCGGTGCGTGCCGTGCCTGGATAGCACCAGCCTGACATGGAACGCCAGCGGAGACTGCGCGTATGCCACGCTGCGCCGCCCTTCTGACGACCTGGGCGCCCTGCTGCACCCCAAGCGAGCCAAGCACCCCCTGCACGCCGCCTTCCGCACCGTACGCTCCCCTGCTCATTCCCGGCCCTGCGTAAAACCGCTCACAGATGCCGTGCCTTACTTTTGGCCACATCCTGGACTTGGACCCCTCACACACTATATGTCTACTTGCATCCTAACTGCTCCGCTTCCCTTGTCTTCCTGCATTGCATGTGTAGCTGGCAGAAGGCTCGCTTGGCACATGAAACACATGGTGTGTGACAGCAGTACCTTGTCTTGTCTCGCGCAAATGCAGTGCTCCTGGAGTGGGAGAGAGGCATGGCTTCTGGCGAGATTGGCAGCAGAGAGCAGGCAGTGATGCGAGTGTGACTTGCGCGCAGGTGGATTCGACGGACTTCAGCGAGATTGGGACGATAAGCACGGAGGGGCGGTGCGTGCTGGACCTGTGCGTGGATGCGGCCGACAACTTCATCGGGCTCGTCACCCTGGAGCCCAACGAGCTCATGAGCTGCTCCGCGCGCGTCTACGAGGTCGGCCGCCGCCGCATGCAGGTGCCGCCCCTCACTCCACTCGACCAGCTCCTGATTCAAATCATGTGAAGTTTTGATCGAGTGTTCAGCAATTTGAAGCCATTGGCCTTGAGCTTTGGAGCACCCTGCTCAAAATTGTGCATGGAGCCCTCCAGGACAAGTGCAATTCAGCCAGCCTGGCAGTCAAGCCCTTTGCTCTGCCTTGGTCTGGTTGCTCCAACATAACAACATAAAAGCAATCTGATCACATAGCCTCACACACCCCCACCACATGCACCTTTCTCTTGGTTGTGGGGCCAGCATGTGCTTGGACTTCCCATGTCCCTCATCCATTGATTGGCTTGTTTCCCAGTTGGGAAACAAACTCCAATATCGACAGAAGTCTTTCAAAATTCAACCTGACAGCCGTGTGGGCTGTGGTGGCGCCAGGACGATGAGTCAGACTTGGAGGACGGTGACGAGGACGACGAGGACGAAGACGACGATGACGAAGAAGATGACGAAGAGGGCGCGCAGCTGATCACCGGCGGCCCCAGCGGCTCCTCAAGCGCGGCCGACGCCAGCGCCGACGGCGACGGCGAGGAGGCCGAGCGCGGCAGTGAAAACTCCGAGGCAGAAAACTCGGACGACGACGCCGATGCCGGCAGCGGGTCGGAGGCCGGGGATGATGGGGAGGGGGAGAGCGAAGAGGAGGAGGAGGGTTCAGGGGACGAGGGGATGGAGCTGGGGGAGGAAGACAATGTGGAGGGGTATGTAAGATTGATGGACCGGCTGCGGGAGATGGCAGAGGGCGAGGAGGAGAGCGGCCTGGACAGCGAGTTCGAGGCGCACCTGGACTCGGACAGTGACAGCGACTGAGCAGGGGACCTGAAGGAAGCAAAGATCTCCCTGCCCTATAGTAGCTACCTCTTTGTTCTAGGTAGAGCAGGGCAATTTAGAGTTTCCTGGACTGAGTGCTTGAGGGGCCCCTGGGCTGAGCTCGGCTGCAGGGGTGATAAACAAATGAGGGCACGAGGAATTCATTGTTGGTGTTGCACTCCTGTGCATGTCAGCGCTGCATAGCGGGTTCCAGAGAAAGGGATCATCACTGCATTGCATGGAATATCTGCTCCTCGTCAAACGCTTTGTTTGCACAACGGCCATTTCAGAGCATAGCTAATCTAGGGATATATACAGCACCTGCAGGTTAACCAGGATGCTTGAGCCCTCGAGGGACTCAATTGTTTAATATTGGCGTTGCAGTCATGGCTCCTCATCAGAGAATGGGGCAAGTACCATCATGTAGCAAGAGAGACATGTAGAACATGATGTGCGATTCCTTGTGCACCTTTGAGCATAAAGCACTGCATACTGGATAAATCCAGCTAGATGTCCATCATTTCAGGGAGAGGTCTGAGGCTATGACTGTCAAGTGACCAACACAAGGTCAAATTATTACAATTCCTTTGTAATGATGATCATGCCGGAGAATAAGTCTAGAAATCTGTTCCTCATACATTCTTTAGCAGTACATGCGTTGGTCAGCCTCTGTGCAGTCAATCCCTGCAAGTAAACATTTAAATCAGGTTCTCCAAAGGCTTCTCAAGAGTCGCCGTTTGGGCTGTGGGCCCTTGGACTGCCAGAAGCGCCGCATGCGCGAGTACCAGTCCTGGTGCCGAAAGGAGGCATCCACGAACGTGCTTCTGTCCTTGTTGTATACAGCAAAGCGCAGCACATCCACTATGTGGGGCAGGCCGGAGTTTGTAGTGCCCACAAAGTAGTCTGCATGGTTCAAGAACTCTATGTCCACTAGAAACTGCAGCGTCCCTGTTCAAGCAGTCACACAGAGCCATCAGCTATGTACATGTTCCAGAAAGATTTGGATAACCCATCTGGTATGCACTTACAGCCCAAGTGCTTGCAAGTGCACGGAGAGTGCTTCAGAGCATGTTGTGAGAAGCACACCGGCACACTTGGTCTCAAAATTTTCGTGATTGAAGGTCTCCTGGTCGTGCGAGCCACCAGTGGGAATGTGAAAAAGAGTCTTCGAGAACGGCTTGCATCCAAACGTGGCTGCAGCTATTTTGCTGGCTTGAGCTATCCACTCCTGGTCATCCCCAACCATTATGCATGTCCCACCCTGCACACACATGGTCTCCCCAGATGGAGGCACAGCGAGAAGGGCTCATGACAGCTAATTATGCCAGGCCACACTTATTGCCTGGCTTGCAAGGCAACAGGACTGGAACCATGCCAGAAGCTCCTCAGATGAGCAGACGCGCACCTTCAAATCAGGAAAGGCTTCTGCCAAGTTTGTGACAAAGTCCTCGGGCCGCGTTGTCATTCGAGACTGCACCAGCCCAGACTTGTAAGTTGTCCCCAAGTTAGAGATGCCTGAATTGGTGCAAGATCCCAAATCTGCCCATTGCACAGTTGGCACGAATCCAAGCAGAAGCATCAGCACACTCACCAGCTGGACATCCTCTGAGAGCTTGTCGCCGCCGCGAATGTGGAAACCCATCCTCGGTGCAGGCATCTGAGCCAGCTCCTCAAGCACGGCGTCCAACTCGTCCTGGACCCATTTTGTGAATGTCCACACCTGCAAGCACAATACAGGCATGATGCACATTGGGACATTATAAAGCTGCACCTGTTGTGAGGCAATCATCAGATGGACCTTGCATTTGGAGCAGAAAGGTGGAGCCGCAGCACCTTTTTGGCCGCTGCTGTATCGATCGAGAACCAGTCATATTTCATGTTGTGGAGCATGAGGTCCACATCATGGAATGTGTATCTGGCACAGGGTTCCTGCTGCTCTGCCTCCGCGCTGTACTTGGCCATGCTGCCATTTGTAGAAGAGAAATCAAAGAAGTCATGCCAGCCCCCCTCGTTGGCGCACTTGTACTGAAATTCTGTGCTGTTCAAGTACAGGGTGCCATTATTCTGAGAGAACACGGTGTAGGCGTGCAGAATATGCACGGCGTTAGCGGCAAACCCTGCACCAGTGAGCTCTAGCACTGTGCAAGCCTGTACTGCTCTTGCCAACCCAGCTAAGAACAGCAGCAGTAAGGCTATCTTCATCGCTCGATTGCTCGGACCATATCATAGGTGGCGCTCATAACATTCGCCCTGACCAATCAATCTCATATGTTGTAAGCAGAAGACATCACAGATTACTAGTACAGATGTGTTTCGGGATTTCTATCAGTTGATCGTTCCGGTGAGAACCCAAAGCTAAACAACTTGACTGTCTTTCAATATTTATGAAATTATTGCGTACATTTGAAGTGAAATTAGATATGAAGGAAGGAAATTGAGCTGTCGCGACGATAGTCGAGACTTTTCGACGCCCGTAATTTACAAACCCACCCCCGTAGTTTGCTATGCGTTGGAAGGAGGGCTCTAAACTGTCTTTGATCAAGAGGCCTTCAGTGGCTTCAGCTAGCTCACACTCCTCGACTGGAGGCGATCTCTATATAATCCGCATCATGAAGGCCATCGCTGCACCGGACCTTTGTGCTGACGTTCCTGTTCAGAGACTGAAGCGCACTCCAGAGGCGTGTCTTTACGAGCGGAGCAGTGCAGGGGGCGGCACACCATCATCTCGGACATTCGTGTTTCGTCAGATCACTGTGGAGGCGCCCCAACAGGATTCAGCGTCTATGGAAGCAGAACGAGGTTTGTTCGCGCTTGAACTACAAAACGGATAATCGTATTAAAGAGCAGCTTAACATGTGATTATGATTTGGTACTGGCATTTCTATTTGATCGTACAGGAGATTGGCTGTCTTAATCTGCATCACTTTTGAGAGGGCCACAGATACATGCCAGGATGTGCAACGATGCTGGACTGAATACTTCCTCATCTTACTTCTCGCAACACTTTCTCATTGCTGATGAACTTTTTGGTTGATCGTCCAGGGCTTTGAGCAATATCTAGAGAAGCCAACATGTTGACATGTTTGCCTGAATCTGCAGGTCGACCAGCCAAGCGTGCTCGAGTTGATGGTGGTGATGAGGACCAAGAGAATTCAAAACAGCTCAACACGATCTCGGGGCAATCATGCAAGAAGGCAAAAGCAGCAGAACAGGAGGAGGATGGTGTGGCCAGGCCAAGCACAGATGCTGTGCTGCACGGCAATGGAGAGCTGCCAGCAGAGCCTCAGCAGACACTGCCCGCGGCTTCCCCCAGTCCACTGCAGGAGAAGGTAGCAGAGCCTGCGCCAGCCCGATCGGCTGAACAGATACCCCCAGTAGCCGCAGCAAACGTGGCTGCTGTGCAGACGAACGGCTGCACAGGCTCTGCTCCGGAGAAGACAGATAGTCAGGAGGGTGGCACAAACCCATCCCAGCAACTTGGCGCAGTGTCCACACCGAATGGAGAGGTGCATGCTCCTCCGGCGCCTGATGGCATGCCTGCTGTACAGAGAGAAGTAGAGGCTGCAGCGACCACCCTGAAGGGTCTGAAGGACATCTCTGCAACTCAGACGCTGGAGTACCCTGCTGCATTGCCGATGCAGGGGCAGAGCGCAGGTGCCTCTGAGGCAGCAGGCCCTTCACAGCCGCCCCAGCAGAGTGCGGGTGCCTCTGAGGCAGCAGGCCCTTCACAGGTGCCACATCAGAGCGCTGAAGCAGCGGGCCCTTCACAGCCTGAGGCAGCTGCAGAGCCACAGCCTTCCCACGAGGAGGGAGGCGCCACACCAGAGATGATAGCAGCCGTAAACGAGAAGTACCACCTGAACGAACCATACAAGGTCAGCTGCAGCATGCTTAGTTGGTCACACCATATTGCCCAGTGACCAGCTGCCTCAAGTTGTTCGCACCTCACAAGCGCACAATTATTTTGATGCCGTATATGCTCGCAGGTTGATGTGGAAGCAGCCGCAGCTGGTGCAGAACGGCTACGAAAGTACAGGCAGCATGTCGCAGACCTGAAGGCGCAAGGGAGGGTAAGCCCTGATGCTTTGCTATGAGGCACTTCTGATAGGCCAGTCATGGGCTTTTGGGAGTAAGACAAGTGATATTTTCTAGATTCGTTGTTGCTCCACTAGCACTGTCTAATTCATTTGGGTGTGTGTGCCTCAGATGAAGCCGGACATGATTGCCTTCAAGGACAGGAAGGTGGAACTGGGGACACCTCTGCAAGTGATTGGTCAGATTCCAGGAGTGGCTGTGGGTGCAAAGTTCCAGAACAAGGGAGAGCTGGCAATCATGGGCGTTCACACCAACATCTCAGGAGGCATCTACTTCAAGTGAGAAGCGCAGTCCTGCAGCACTTCAAGCGAATACAATTTTTTGCTGCAGGTGACAGCATGCAATCACGCCGATGGCGCCATGATGTCTGTCTACTGCGTGCAGGGGGAAGAACCCAGCGTATTCCATTGTCTTGGCGGGGAACTATTCAGATGACCATGATGCGGGGGACGTGATTGATTACACAGGCATGGGTGGCCAGGACTCAAATGGCCGACAGGTAGAGTCACTCTCTGCAAGAAATGGCTTCAGGATGTTTGTGCAAAATACTTTAGCAACATTCAGCCCTGTAGCTCCCATGAGGAATGTCCTGGCCTTGAGCGTGGTACATGTGAATGAAACAGATGGCGGATCAGGACTGGGTGAGGGGAAACCTAGCGCTGAAGCTGAGCTTTGAGCAAGGGACTCCTATTCGCGTCATCCGCGGTGTTAATGTGTAAGCGTCTTCTGGATCCCCTTTCTTGTGCGCATGCAGCAGCGTTGGACTATTCAAAGACAGGTTTATACATGGTGTCTATTTTTGCTTTTGATTTAAAAGCTGCAGGAGCAGCTGGTGCAGTCGAGCAGTTTGATATTGTCCTATGATTTTCGTTCTTCTGGCACAGGGAGAAGACCTATGATGGTCTCTATCGCGTCACCAAGTGTTGGAAGGAGGCGGGCAAGGATCACGATCGCATCATCTGCAGGTCACCTCCTCGTTTCCGCCACACTGACGGCATGTGCACACTTCTTGTGCGCCTGCAGAATTGTGATTATTTTCTCGTTTCTTGCTGTTGATGATGCCTGCTGCCCTCATGCCCTGCCCTTCAAGCATCTCCCTTGCAGACGGCTACATCCGAAGACTGCCACATCATGTCAGGCAGTCTTTACCTATTCATGGCCGCATGTATTCCTGCAGAGCTGCCTTCCCATGAGAACTGAAGTGCGAGGTGTCATGCGGGTGTGCAGGTTCCGGCTGGTGCCCATTCCTGGGCACAGCATGCTCAGCGAGCGGGTGATAATGCGCGCGCGGCACGTGAAGAGGGCATTTGACGTCGTGCATCTGCAGGGCGGCCACCGGCTACTGCTGAGCTCTGCCGACTTGCACCGCCTGCCGCCGCCCACTGAGCGCCCGGGCCTCATCACAGAGGACATCTCTGGTGGTGCTGAGACGGTGCGCGCTGCTGTGCCCAGTACTGTACTAGACTTTCCTGCTGCCAGGTGTTCAGAACGGACTTCTGTGAGGGAGACTTTGTATGCAAAGGGCAGCGTGAGGCACCATATTTGTCGAATTGCGTGCCGTTCTGAATAAGCGCCCTCTTTCAGGTCGGGTCCACTAAAACAGGGTGTGGGGATTGGTCGTCTTGATAGCTGTGTGTACCTGTCCAGCTCGGCAGTGTTGTAGCAGGGCTTGGAAGGCATTGAGGCATGCATGTGCCAGATCAGGCACGGATGACGAGCAGTGTTCCATTGTGCTAATTTGCGTGCTGGTTGCTGTCGCCAGGTGAAGATTCCAGCCTTCAACAGCGTCGATGACACCCCCTTGGACCCACTGGAGTACATCAGGTGTGGCCTCACTTCCGCCGCAGGATTTTGCAGATGGTTCTTGTGAAGGTCCACAGTGAGGACCTACTTATGCTGGCGGTTTTTGTGCATCGACATTTTCTTGTTCTTCAGGACCGTCTCCGCCTTCAGTTGCATCGCATGTGAGGGAAAGTAACTTGAGAAGGTCTGGTTTGTACATCAGGGAATCACGGATTGGGTCGGAGGCAGCGCAGAGGCGGGCGGATGATGCAAAGGTTGCCTACTGCCATGTTTTCTGCGGACGGGCAAAATCAGCATGCGCATATGATGAACAGGGCTTGGTGAACAGGAAGCATGCAAACCTTCCCTGCTTCGCAGAGGTAAATAATTCTCTGGTCCTTCATTTCTATGCACTTCGCACCTGTCCCAGCAGGATCACTTGTCAGCCTATGCAGAGTTGGGCAAGAATGCTCCAGTCAGCGGATGACTAGCCATGCCTATGTCACATGGCAAGCACCCCAATGCAGACTCTGTCTTCCACGGTGCCCTTCACAAGTGTGGGATTCTGACATCAGCATGCTGAAGCACTAGGGTAATAATTGGTGCACTTTCTTGCTCGCTGCCGCAGCTGTAGCTGGTTCTGACCCCTTGTGGCTGCTGTGGTGCAGTGCCCCGCAACTTGCGCGGGTTCCCGGCTGTGCAAAAAGAACCAGGTGGTGACCAAAGGCATCACGCTACCCCTGGAAGTGGTGTACACGGGGCCTGCGCGCCAGTGGGGCCTCACCTGCGCGCAGGACATCCCAGAGGGCGCCTTCATCTGCGAGTATGCCGGCAGCGTCATCACCGACGAGGAAGCTGTGAGCCCCCCACCGCTCGCCTAGTTGCCGTGACTCAACTATTATTCATTCTAGTACGTTGTCATTATTTTTTATGCATAAACATAGCTGAACTTTTGTTGCAACCTGGCAGAGTACATCTTTGCTTCTACTCTCCCGCCTCTGTGGGGATATGCAAGAGTGTCTCTTGTGCTTCTCTGCTCCGCCCTTGTGTGATGGTGAATTGTTGTGTGGTGACGAGGGGAATGGTGGCTGTGCAGGACAACCTGGATGCGGCGGCGGACCATGACAAGTACCTGTACGACATGAGCGACTTTGTGCGCGAGAACATCCCTGACAAGGCCGACAAGGGCGGCTTCCGGCCACCCGTGCCGCCCGACCCGGCCGACCCCACGCTGCTCATCGAAAACTGCCTCACCATAGACGCCCGCTGCACAGGTGACCCACCTCCCCGTGTTATGCTCGGCAGGCATACCACGGGTTGTCGACTGTGGTTGAGCATGCGCAAGCATAGTTGTGATGCGCTCGTCAGGTGATAATTACAGCGTCCGATGTGCACAGCTCCTGCAGCACACGGGGTCTTGAGATATGAACTGACACACAGAACATGTGCTGTGCAGGAAATGTGGCGCGCTTCATGAACCATGCATGCACGGGCGGCAACAATGTCTTCCCACGGCCTGTGCTGGTGGAGGGCTGCACAGGGCTCTTCTACAAGGTGGCCTTCTTCGCAGCGCAGTTCATCCCCGTGGGCACAGAGCTCACCTACGACTATCACTGGAAGGAGTCCCACTTTAAGGGCGGCTGCCACTGCGGCAGCGGCACCTGCCGGGCGCCTGCCGGGCAGCCGCCGCCGCTGTCTGCCTCAAATCCCCCTCCTGCGCCTGCCGGGCAGCTGCCGCCTCCCATGGCAAAGTCGCCTCCCGCGCCTGTGCCACTTCCTCCGCCTGTCGCGAAGGATGCGCCTCCTGCGGCTTTGCCAGACTTGCCGCGTGCCAGTGCGACTGTGGCGATGAATACAGCAGCTGATGCCGTCTGAGGGCGTCAAATGCAGCTCACTCGCTCTGGTGTTCATGGCCATGTGAAACATTATGGCCATGGAAGCTGAGGACTGATGGCTGTAGATGATCGTAGAATACGACCACCTGCATGCACGCGCAGCTGCAGCAGCAGGTTGCAGGCGTAAGAGCCTGTACTGAGGCCGATGACCTCTTGAGCCTCTTGGTGCAACTTCAAGTTTTGTGTGACCTAATTGAACTTCTTCAAGTTTAGACGTGCACGTGACAGCTTGATGATGAGTGTGGACTGCAAGTACTAGTAATCATGATCAAGGTCGTCATCATCATAATTTATCACTCTGTGGCATGATGTTGACATGACTTGCGTGACACTTACGCCGCGTCTGGCCCATCAAGTCCCTCCGGAGTCTGAGAGATTCCCAGGGGACCGCATCCTGGCGGCCACAAACTTCACTGAACTTTGAAGTTGCAAGTGGCCACAATTCTTTTGTCACCGGTCGACCGGGGAGCTCCGGCTGGGCCTGGGCATAGTATATACTGCAAATATGCATTTGCTGGATCTTCAGCTAATAGGACCAGTATGTTCCTTTCTTTTGGATGGCACGCTGGGAGGCGGACCGTTCGGTCCCCCCGGGCCCCTCAAAACAAGGGAACGCCGCTTGAAAGGGGCGCTCCTCATGGAACGGTCTTCTGTCTTGGACCTGCAGCAGAGCGGTTGAGACGATGGGGAGCTAGAGCACGGTCTAGTGCGATCTACCGCCACTTCCACCCCCATTATCGCTCTTCACCAACCTTTCATCCCCACACCACCCTCCACGCTCTCTTCGCTTATGATAATGTCGGTAAATGGTGACAGCGTGGAGGCCAAGCTAGCAGACCTGGAAGTCAAGGATGACGCTCCTGCAGAGGTTGAGGAGAAGGAACCTGGCGCAGATGAGGGAACAGCTGGAGAGCAGAAGGTTATTGCCAAGTTCTTAATGTCCAACGCTGCAGCCGGAAGTATCATCGGCAAGGGAGGTGCCAACATATCTGAGCTACAGTCGCAGTCCGGAGCACGCTTGCAGCTCAGCAGAGCCAGCGAGTTCTTTCCAGGCACACAGGAGCGCGTCATGCTAGCTTCGGGCTCTGTAAACCAGGTCTTGACAGCCCTGCACCTGATCCTCACGAAGATCCAGGGCGAGCAGGTAAAGCCCCCCGAAACTACTATATTTCAGGACGGCTATTGGGCCAAAAGGGGGCTCATACGAGGCACCTGATGATCTCTAAATTCTCTTTTGGAAGCGTGCACGTTGGGTCGTGGCGGATCGAAGGAGAGTTATTCTCCTCGCCGATAAGACATCCAAGGATTTTCCGACACCATTGGTGTGGAGTTGCGGTGGTGCAGGGCTCGATCGGTTGGGTTGTGCGGTCCATAGCTTCGCATTAAATCTATAGCCCTCGATTTCGGATCCCAGCTGGGTTTGATGGTCCTATTTGACAAGGTCCCTACTATAGCCCAGCTCGTGCCAACTGGAGTGAGTTTCTGAAACTTGCTATTTCTGTCTCCCTTTTTCGAGTAGAGCTGACTTGAAAGTCTTCAATTTGATATGTATCCTGCGGTAGGAGTTGTGTCTGATCGTTTGACTTGGTTTTTCTGAAGTCCAAATTGGGTTGAGCAGCCACTCCAAGCTCTAGCTCAGCATGAGTGCTGCATTCATCGCACAGGACCATGCAACTCTAGAATAATCAAGGAAAATGCCCCAAGCAAAGCTCCCAGCAGCGCAGCCCCCTGCATTGCCCTGCATGAACGTGCTGTGGACTGTGTCTCCCAGGCTGTGGCGGAGTCGATGATGGCGAGGGATGGGAAGAGCACGCAGCTGCGCCTGCTGGTGCCCACGCCGCTGTGCGGGGCGATCATTGGGAAGGGCGGCGCCACCATCCGCAGCTTTGCAGAGGACTCCAGGGCAGCCATCACGGTGTCCCCCCAGGACAAGCAGCCCCTGGGGATCCCCGACCGCGTGGTGCGCATCACAGGGGCACAGGACCAGCTGCTGCGGGCGGTGGCCCTGCTGCTGACTAAGCTGGTGGAGAGCCCCAACTACACCCGCTTCACCACCTCCAATGTATCATATGGGCCTCCTCCCCAGGTGAGCCTACTGACTGCTTTGCTCTCTCTGCTGCTGCTGGCTTCGTGGCAGCCGCATGCATGGGCTTGCAGAATTGCAAATCTTACTATGTAGGCTTGCAATGCAAGGCTGCAGGAGTCATCACTTTCGTTTGGAAGCAGCAAGTGCTTGCCCAGTGCAGGTATGAGGTGAATGACAGCAGCGTTGCAGGGCTGAATGATTGCAAGGAGGAGTCTGAGATGCGCGCATGTGGTGCAGGCTCACATGCAGGGTGGGTATGGGCCGTATGGTGGTGGGCAGGGCATGCCAGCGATGCCGCCCCAGCACATGGGCTACCAGCAGAAGGGGTACATGCAGCCCCAGCAGCAGCAGCGCATGGAGGTCACCGTGCCCGTACCTGAGGCCCGGGTGAGGCTCCAACCAGCACAGCTCCTGCCCAAATAACTTCCCCTCTACCCATCTGGCAGATTCACCATGCACTTGCAGCAGTGCCACTGTGCATCCCAGCACTTTTACACAGGCCAATCCGCTCTCCCTGCTGTTGCTGCTATGAATGCACCCTGGAAAGTGGACATATCAAAATGGGCTGTTGTGTGCATGGTCCAGGTTGGTGCAATAATTGGGAAGGGCGGCGAGGTGATAAGCCAGCTGAAGAGCGTCATCGGAGTGAAGATCCGCATATCTGACCGTGACGACTTTGTTCCGGGCACTCGCAATCGCAAGGTGACCATCAGCGGGGCAGCAGACGCCGTTCAGATAGCCCAAGTGCTCATCCACCAAAAGATCAACCAGGCAGCCACCCTCTGAGGGGACAAAACCCCCCCTCGCGCGGTTGCTCCGCAGAAAAGGATGTCCCGTGTGTTCTGTGTCTAACCTGTCTGCATGAGGAGTAGAAGAGAAGTTTGGACGGGTTTGCGTCTCGGTCTCGATTGTCCAAGCTAGCTAGAGGTTGGAACGAATGTTGTTCAGGAACCACTTGCACATTTGTTCAAATGCGCTTGCAGTGTTGATAGTGCTCCTGTTTTTGTCAACAACGCAGCCGACTTAATTGACAGACAATATATAGGGCGGGAAATAGCAGTACTGCGGGCAATGAATTTTGTGAGCTTGACTCGGTGGTGGGCCCCTGTGTGAGCTTCAGGGCTGCATGGCGCGCCGGCAACCAGCTCTCTCTCTATCCAGCTTGCTTTTGTACTTCCTGATTTTTTGCAGAGAGTGCGGTATGCGCTCCTTGCTTCGTGCTGGCCGCGAATCAGTATGGATGGCTCTTGGGGGGAGAAGTGTTGCCACGGCGTGAATCGTTTTATTGCTTTGCAGCGCACCACATTGCTATCTGGCATGCACGTGGTGCGTGCACCAATGTAAGCTAAGAAACATGGCGGTTGCTCATCCTAGATTTGTGACACAGCAGACTCCAAGTCATGAGCCCTGTGCTCGGTGTGAATCACATGCTCTTCAACATGCATGCATGACTGCGCAGTCATCGATAATAACTCCATGAAACTCCCCCCTTGACTTCTCTATGAATGAAATATCATGTGCCGCATCACCAGCGATGCGCATGCACCATGCATGGGTCAATTCCGGTTTAGTTTTCCACCCACTAGTGTAGCATCCATGAAAGTGGACTTATATTACATTCTTGTCAGAAAAGCTGCCTCAGACCAGTCAACACTGCTAGAGTCCAATCAAGCAGATTTGCGGACACTTTTGCTCATAAAAGATGGGCTCTCCTATGTCTTGCGGGCAAAGAAGTACATCTGACAGCCAAGTAAAGCAGGCAGAGCCAACTTGAAAATGTACCAGAAGCACTCGTCAACCCCACGACAGGCAGTCTACCGGTACCGTTTGAGTGAGATGCGGTTGTTGCGCTTCCAGGTAGCCCGCCTTGAAGGGCGCAGCTGCAACACAACAACACAGTGCAATCAAGTCATGCCATTTCCGCTTCATTAAACACATGCACAGGTCATTTGTTTTTGTCACTTCCTAGCCTTGTCTGTTTGTTTGCTTGCCAGATTGTACAGGCACTGGCGGTAAGTTTCAGTACTGATCCCTTCTTCTCTGATGCGTGCATTCTAGACAGGCTATCGCGTTTGTATACATGCCTAATACCCCTGAAACCCCTTTGTGGAAATTTGGGAGTGGCCGAAACACACTGGGGAGCCAGGCACACCCAGCTGCATGATCACAGAGCAACAGCAAAGGACAAGAACGATACAGAGGCAACGAGAGAGATGGAGCTCACCTTGTTGGTGGCGTGGCCCTTGTGGCGCAGGCCGCGGAACTTCTTGCCAGCGCTGGTCAGGCCGCGCAGCTCGCGGTGCTTGTGCACTGGGTCAACGATCCAGTTGACCCTCGGGTCCTGCAACAAGACCAATGGCAATCACCCAATGCTTTGGCCAAAATGAACTTGTGCTGCTTGCATGAGACACCATCGCAAAAACACATCAAAAGTGATATGCATGAGCAGTGGCTCTCTTCTAGCAAATGGCGAAAGAAGCGAACGCACCTCACGGACGACCTTGTGTGCGATGTCCACCAGGATGATCTCAAAGTACTTGTAGGTGGAGTCCTGCACACACATGAGGTCCATGCTGTCAGCAACTCACAGCTTTCTCGAGCACTTCATCATGCAACCCCCATGATGCTTGCAGTTCTGGCTTCACTGACACCACGCCCATATGGTTCCTGTGTCCAAGGAGGTCAGGACATGCCTGGTTCACCCAGTAGGAGTTGAGGACACGCAGGCCACCCAGTTTGCGCCCGGCGCGCTCCTCTGCCACGCTGCGCAGATTCCTGGTGGGCTTCAGCTGTGTAATGCCCTGGTTCACAGGCTTGCCGTACACAATACCCTGCAGCAGCACTCCCCTGTCAGCACAACCTCTCCCCATGGTAACTTGCACAGTAAACGCTTTAATGCAGCCTGCCCCAACATAGTGTATGCCATGGCATTAATTATCAGTGCCCAACAAAAGAAGATCATTGACAAGCAGCCACTTTGCTCCTTGTGCCACCTGCACAGCCCCTGACACCCCAAGGCATGCAAACGATGATGATGCACGAACCTTGTGCACGGGCTTCTTGCGGCCACCACGGCGCACTCTGACGCGGTAGACAACAAATCCCTGCTTGGCCTTGTATCCAAGGCGACGAGCCTTGTCAGGGCGTGAAGGGCCTGTCAATCGAACGATGCCGGGAAGCTGACGGTATTCCCAGCACCGCACACGCAGGAGGAAACGGAGGACATCGCTCTGCTTGCGCTTCCAGAGCTCCTCCAAATACTGCAGGATGAGCATACAGAAGATTGAGAACAATCTCGCAATGAGACCCAAAAACGCTAGTGAAACGATCAGTTTGCAGATCATTGTATATGAAACCATCGATCCGTTTGAGCAAATACTTGATCAAACACTCCGCACAAGCATGGGTGCTTGGACTATAGGCTAGCAATCTCCTCAACGCCGCAGCTATAGCACTTTCCGAGAAGGAGATGAACAGTACCTTGTAGGCGCCCATCCTGCTTGGGCTGCTCCTCAACCTCCAATCTGCTCAGAAAGGCTCGCAAGCCAAGGCCTCCTGGTGTGTTTGGCGGCGTCTGGTTACGTGCTGGTTACGAATTGACACACGTGCCCGCCACGTGCCGCTAAACTGGTCTTGGTGAGCTTTGATAAGGCGCTCAATGGCATTGGTGTCATTGGACTGTGTGGAACTTGATAGAATTGGACGAAAGAAACATTACAAAGCCATATGTGGAGCATGAAGTGCAGTTGCGGTGCAGGCATCGCTTTCGATGTCTGTCCTCTCAGAACGCAGAGCCTGGCCTTCAGATCACGAAAATTCTTTTGCAGGGGACGTCCAAGGAGATGCGTTGCGGCTGTTGAGGAAAGGGATGGTCGAGGTGACTTTCCAGCACAGCTGCTCAGCCTGGATCGCCTTCAATCAATACAGGCAATCTCAATAACATAGTTGCATGCAGGGGAGGACTCAACAGAGTCGTTGTTTCTGAAGGAACTTAAAAGGCGAGGACTCTCTTCACGCAAAACAGGTGCGTGAATCTGGCCTTCCTCTCCTAGGATTTCCACTTCCAAAAGGTGTTGGATTACGAACATAACAAGCGTGGCCTTGACAGAGTCGTGATTCTGTTTGATAAAATATGCAGAAAGCGACAGCGCTGCGCAGACGGCTACCTCTGCACCTCCCAAAACGCCTGAAGAAGTGCCACGGTCACAGCTTGAAGTTTCCAGGGCGCTAAATAGCGAAGGCTTGGAGGTGCGCAGGAATGGTTGATGAGGAATACAGCAACAATTAATAGCAATTCTGCTTTGAGGAGATTTACGTTCCAGTCTACTGCACTGCTGAGCGCTGGCAAGGACTTGGAATGACTTGCTGCAATTGCTACCTGTAAGCTCCACTTGTACAAGCAAACCAACTGGCACTTCTGTCATGAACATGCAGGGTCTGATACCACGGGCAAAGGAGCTTCTGAAGCTTGGGCTATCCTTCTTCCTTGCATTTGGGCCCCTCATTCTTGCTTTTGTTGGACTAGCTGCGACCCTCTACTTCTTGTTTGGTGATCAATTCATTCATGGAGGCCGCTCTGGGATGGGAGCCCCGCAGTACGTGGACCCATACGAGTTGCTTGGCCAACCGACAGTCGACCCCACTGTGCCATTGAGATGAAAGACTGTATCTTGTGTGCTTGTGGGCTGGTGGTGCTTGCAGTCAGATATGTGTGCACTGCTGGCCATGGGGCGACCAGCAGAGCTTGTACTAACAGTGTTGAGTGCCCTAGCGGTAGTGGGAGCACAACTTGGTTCAAGTACAGAGCCACTTGTACAGTTGTATAACATATAGAATTGATCAATGCCATCATGATCTCAAGGCATATGCAGCATTGAAATGTGGTGCTGACCTCAACTGGAAGACAGATTGCAAGACATGAAGGCATTGGGACCTTGAAAAGACTGGGGCCGATCACCGTAGAAGGGATTGAACCACCAAAATTGTTAAAATATACGGGGTTGACCTGATGACAATGATGGTGTCGAAAAAAGATCACTGTCTCAGAAACGCATTGTGCTCATGATCCAAGTACCTCAAGACCCGTTCTGAACCATGTGCATGTATGTGAGAACAAAGATGATATGAGCATCATGAATAATTTTACATCCCAGGTCAGCAAGCAACATGGCACATCGCTAGTTGCCTACTTGCTTTGCTAATACATTAGGACACACATGACTAAAGAGCTGGATCCTCGCACACATATTCCCCCTAATATTCTATCACACAGCAACCAATACTGCTGACACTGGACGTATCCCGTGCAATGCAGCACGTCTGCTCCTTTGCCCCATCTCTTGACTTGGCTCAGATCGCATGATCAAGCGCTTGATCATACGAGTTGGTCCCTGAATAAAGCCAGCCTACTCAATGCTGAACCAGAATGGGTGACACTGGCAAAAATGCATGCAGGCATCAGCACAGCCAGAAGATGTCACTCCTGCATGCTTTGCTGTGTTCCTCGGCTGGGCACACAGGCTTCAGACGCAGCATGGCATGCACCAACGAGGCACGCGCGTAAACCGCCCACTCACAGCTTTGGCTGCAGCTTCGCAACATCCACTTCAATGAACTCCAGCCCTTCCCGGCGCTTTGCGGCATCCATGGTCTCCTGGGCCTGCTCCTTGATTTTGTCCAACTGGTTCTTGTACTGCAAGACACACACACACACACACACATGCTTGAAACACATGCTGCAGTCCTGACTGCGACAGGGTCTCGAGATTTATGGTTCCCCACGGAAGGCAGGGGAACTGAGTTGCGCATTGCAGGATGCTTGTGAGATGCTCACCATTTCGAGTATCGAATCCTTCTTCACCTTGGCGTAGTCATCCAGCCCATGCTCTTTCTGGATGGCCTGCAGGCGACAGAAGAACACAGTCAGCTGGCAGGGCAAAGCGCAAATCTGCGCTCACAAGCGCACAGCTGGTCAACCTGCAATGCTGCTTCTTCATGGCACTGCTGAATGGTACGTTCTGCAGTGCCCCACCTCCACGCGCTTCTGCAGTGTCTTCCAGCCCTTCTCATTCGATGTATCCAGCGTTGCGCCAGTCTGGGACTCAATTTCATCCACTGCCTTCAGGATCTCCTCGACCACCTCTGAGTACTTGCCCAGCTCCACGCCCTCCGTCGCAGATGTCAGAAACTTGCGCACGTTGCCGCGCGCCACTCGCAGCTTGTAGTTCAGCGTCGCCCCAACCACCTCATCCACTGGTGGCATGCCAACCTGCATCCAATACACCCTTGCAGCTCATCAATACACCCTCCATCGCATGCTTGAGTGCAGCACAGTCACCAAGTAACATGCAGAGGGCCGACAGGTACCCTCCAAATGACAGCGATCAGGATCAGGGTGGTGAGGATTCCACTGGCAAGGAGAAGCCGTGGTGAACTCACCTTCCGCTTCAGGGCTTCCACCTCATTGGCGTATTTGCTGACTGCAGCTTCGTCTCCATTGAGGGGCACAGGGATTCTCTGTATCAAAGATCATGGATCACCGACTTTTTGCGCGCCACGATATGCACATGCGTGCAAATGAATACCAGCAGGCACCAGAAAGAGACATTGAGGGGGCTATTCACCTTCAGTCCATCCAGGAGCGCTCGATATGACTTCTGCTGCTGCTTAAAGGACTGCAAGACGATGTCGTCTTCATCATCTGCAGGCCCACAAACATACCCTGTCTGAACTGCTGATGGCAAGATCACGGGTAGGGGTAAATTTACTTAAACTGTCCCGTGGCTGCATATCACATCCTCGACAAAAAGGAGGCTTTCAGTGGGCTGCATTGGCGTGAGGTCTGTAGACCTAACAAAGTCTTTTTCTTGGCATGGTTTGGTCTTCGAATACAGCTACACATGCAAGCACCTTTGCATAGCCGTCATAAGGGCCGCTTTTACTCATTCTTGTATATACTATCATCAATGCTGTCGACGGTGAGGTCGACTTTTGGAGAGGGACAAACCTGCTGCTTCCGGAGCAGAAGGTGCCGCACTGAAGAAGCGTTGGCTGCTAAGCTGTTCACAGCATCTGAGGTTTGCAAAGTTCTGCAATCACACAATCTTATTAAGGAAGTGTCTCTTAAAAGGATACAGTTTGCGACAATGCAAATGAAGTAGCAGTAGTAGATGATATGCGCTGAAGATCAGACAGTGTGTGCAGTGCTTATCAGAGCAACAGTGCCACGTTACTTCTGCACTCAGGGATCATAATGAGCTGTGCATGGTGCGCACCAGGCGTCTCAGCCCCAGACGAGTTGTCTGAGCCAACAAAGACATGGTGGCCTAGCTCTTGCCCCCTCTCTGCTGGCTATGTCCTCTGATCAACCAGCCAGCATCCGTTGGGACACAGCAATTTGCGAGTGTGGGCCGCACAGCCTGTGCAAGGAAATTGGATCCACTCTACCTTCCCACGGGTGCCTAATCTGGTCACAGGCCCAAGTAGTGCCCATTCTTGAGCCATTGGCTCGATGCTCACTGGACTCAGTGCAGCACTCCAAAACCGCTTGTGTACTTCTAAATATGCTTCTCTAATCTACCAGATACTACATCTAAGGTGAATGTGATATAGAAGTGAGGAATAGTTGTTCAATCAGTGTTCGATTACTGTCAAGCAGACCACCCAGAGACAAACAGGCCACTTACGGTCATTTTAACAATACACATTGAATCTGGCCTAAAATGCCGGTGCCCGAATCGGCAGTGGTGCATCCATTGGTGCTATTGAGTGTGGTGGACCACTACAACAGAGTGGCACGCGACACCAAGAAGCGTGTTGTGGGCCTGCTATTGGGAGAGCATTCCAAAGGGCGTGTAGATATCACGAACAGTTTTGCTGGTAAGATAGAAGCCTTTGCTCCTTATCTTATTCATATTGACACCGCTGTTCTGGAGGTCATCAGAAGCTTTTGAGGAGGTTTCTGAGCCCTTCAGTCAGGAATTTGTAGCTTTTAAATTTCGACATGCATCAGCACTCTCTGGTGAAAGAGTCGAACTGCGGCCAGGTGGAGCCTTGATTTGCTACAGCTCGTCTGAACTGCTTACTGTGTACTTGCAGTCCCATATGAGGAGGACGACAGGGATCCCTCCATCTGGTTCTTGGATCACAGCTATCTCGAGAGCATGTTCCAGATGTTCAAGAAAGTGAACGGTGAGCATGATCGTTGGCTTCATTGTATGCAGCGCTGATCTATGCAGTGCTTTGTTTGTTTGCTTGAAGTCTGTGATGAAACTGGTGACTGTGCTTGCAGCGCGCGAGAAAGTGGTAGGCTGGTATAGCACTGGCCCCAGGTTGAGAGAAGCTGACCAGGACATCACAGAGCTCATGACCAACTACTGTGACACCCCCCTCCTGGTCATCTGCGAGGTCCAGGTCAGTAGAAGTCTCACATTGCATTGCTGCAAACGCGTTGTAGACTTCCTTGATGCTTCCTTGATGCCTATATGCTGAAGCAGATTTTGTTGTGACTGACTTAATGCACGTCATGTGCAGCCGAAGGAGATGGGCCTGCCCACAACTGCGTACTATGCCACTGATGCGATCCGAGAGGTACGCGCTTGTCCCTTCCAATTCCACCCTTGCACCACTTTGTTAGGGTCACACTTGCACTGTAAGGAGGTACTTCTAAAATTTATAATTTTCTGTGTGTATGTGTGGACAGGATGGAACGCAGAAGAGCCAGAAGGTGTTTGTGAACATCCCCACCGAGATCGGCGCCACCGAGGCTGAGGAGATAGGTATGCGGACGGCTTCAACCCAGTACACTTGAGGACTGTAAGAGCAGGCTATGTGGAAATAGGCAGGGTGTTGAGATGCCATAGTCAGAATGTCATGCCCTATGGCAGGTGTGGAGCACTTGCTGCGGGATGTGAAGGATGCCACAGTCAGCACACTAGCGGCGGAAGTCAGCACCCTGGCGGCAGGCCTGAGCGGGCTCAAGTCACGGCTGCTGCAGATTCAGGAGTACCTCTCCCTGGTCATTGGCGGCAAGCTGCCTGTGAATCACGACATCCTCTACCAGCTGCAGGTGCGCTCACCCTCCTCTGCAGGACTTGGCAACCCTTCCTACCCCATGTCTTCCAGATACTGTGCTGTCCCTAATGAAAATTGGATGGTGCCTTACTCCGATGATCTTTAGAAAGATTTTGCTCGAGACACAATGCAAGATGGTACTCATGTAGCAAACCTGGAGAAAAACCTGGAGAAATTGGTGATCTTGTGTCTGCACTGGTGATCTGTTTTGCTTCTGTGCCCCTGCAGGATGTCTTCAACCTGCTGCCAAATCTGGGCATTGAGGAGCTGGCGCGCTCATTCGCCGTGCAGTCCAATGACATGATGCTGGCCATCTACCTTGCCTCCCTTACGCGCTCTGTGCTTGCCCTCCACAACCTCATCGACAACAAGGTGCGGAATCATCCTCGCAAACCCAGCAGCACTGGTGCTGCTGGGTTCCCACACACATGATAGGCAGCATTTCCAGATCCGGCGCTCAACATTTTTGTGCCATCTATGGTGGCAACAGAGGCATGCATGCCTGCATCGGCGCCGCAAGGTAAGACTGAGCAGCACCTTGTTTGATGTTTGCTTTCTGCTGCAGGAGCAACGGGTATATCGAGAAAAGGAGGCGAGCAAGGCGACCAAGGAGGTCAAGGGGCCTAAGGGAGAGCAGAGCAGCACTGACAAGAAGGATGACAGCAGCAAGAAGGCCGATGGTGGCGAAGCGGCTCCCCACTCCAATGGCAACATTGACGGCCCAGACAGCAATGGTAAATGATGTGCTGGGGTTGAATTGCACCCATGCCATGATGTGGCTTGTGTGAGAGGCTCTACAGCTTGACAGGGGAGAGCGCTGGATGTGGGCATCTGTCCCTGTACACTATGCGTGTGACCAAGTTGCTGTTCATTCACTGGCAGTCTTGACTTCTGTTGCTGGTCCAAGTGGGTGCTACAAACAGAGCAGAACCTTGCTGTGTGACACTGCGAGAAAGACCTGCAATCTTGTAAGTGCTGTATGCAATGGCTGTACTGTTGCACACCTTGTGCTCATGCGCATACGCAACAAAGCGCCTCTTTTCCTGGCAGATTGTTCAGTACAATGGGCCAATGCTGTTACTAAATGGCAGTTCACATTACATGACTTGCCAAGGAATTTTGCCCCGCATGATTTTGCGTGCACTGACTCTGCTGCGCAGACGTCTGCTGTCTACATCTGTCGACATGTCCCCACACACAAAAGCAGTGACATCAGCAGCTCGACAAGTCCGCCAAGTTATGAGGCGGTTCTGGTGTTTCACAATTCAGATGCAACTTTTGAGCCTGGGAATTTTGCATTCTCAAGTGGATGATGATGACACATGCTTCTGCAAGTGATGACATGCTCCCAACAAAGAACCTCTTCTGAATTCGACATCTTGCTCGGCGTGAAGAAGATTTATCTTTACATCTGGACGTTGTTCACGAAGCCATTCATAGCACTGGGAGGAGTGTGTAACGCAGGCAGCAGAGACCACCAGACATATACATGTGATCCACTAGAAACGACAAGCTCGAGCGAGGAACTGGACGTCGATACTGCGGAAGAAGAGAAAATCAAAGTGGTCAGAGTTTGAGATCTCGTTGCATGGCACGCCTTCTAAAGGTGCCAATCATCTGTTACTTGAGAGTCCTGTTGGTTCTACTGGACGCGTTGCATCTGCTCGCTAGGTCTTATTTATCTTCTTATGAAGACCTTATAATCTTAACAGCCTCTGCTGGCTATTGTTTGTTGTCGCAGAGGCTGAACCCAGATATCAGCCAATACAGGGATCGCCGTTTTGTTGGTACCCAAGAGGACTTTGAGAAGTGTTTGCGGGAATCAACCACGCTGTACGTTGGAAATTTGTCTTTCTACACCACTGAAGAACAAATCTATGAGGTACTTAACCGCTGAAACGATGTCCTGTTTGCTCCTGCTTCCTTCTTTCTGCCAGCAGCTGGTGTCATACGACATTTCTACTGAGCTGAATTCCTCCTTGTTTTAGGTCTTTTCACGAGCAGGAGACATTAAGCGGATCATCATGGGGCTTGACAAGAACCAGCTGACTCCCTGCGGCTTTGCCTTTGTGGTCTACTACACACGGGAAGATGCGGAGGATGCTGTGAAGTATATTTCAGGCACCGTCATGGATGACAGGCCTGTCAGAGTGGACTTTGACTGGGGCTTCAAAGAGGGGCGGCAGTTTGGGCGTGGGCGATCTGGGGGACAGGCAAGACCACTCGTCCTGCGGCTGCACAATCGACTTGCATCTAGCCAGGACTTGAGACTGCCCACATTGGGCCCTCGATATTACGCCATAGTGAATGCTTCAGCATGAGCATGAACCTACCATGGTGCTCCTTGTGGTACTGCACTATTTATTACTCGTTGTTCCTTGCAGGCCTGTACTGAATTCTGTACTGACAGTGTTGCACACAATTGCTGCAGGTGAGGGACGAATACCGGACAGATTGGGACGCAGGCAGAGGTGGCTATGGCAACATTGTGAAGCAAGAGCTGTCCTCTCGGCAGATAGCCATCAAGGAGCAGATGAGCATGTATGCTGAGGGGCAGATCGAGGGCGGCGAGGGCGCTGATGATGCAGCGGCTATGGAGAGTTAATGCGTCAGAATGCTTCTTATGATTTGCCGCTGCCTGTCTGGTGCCCAGCGATGCAGACTTCAATGTCATGCAGCACATCAGAAGTTGTCTAGCTGCAAATCCTCCCTGCATAAGTCCATGAGAGGCGTTCAAGTGCTGGGCTGAGTGAATTCGGGAGACAGTAGCATACATCTGCGTTCAAAAATTCTTTCAAGGAACCTCTTTCACAGGCTTGAGAAGGAACAGAGTGTGCCACCAGCCGCATTCAACGTCAGTAACTTTGCTGGGCAAGCTCTGCACATGTAATGGTTCAAAGCTGCTCGTTTTACACCCACTTCCCAGTTGCCCAAATGCATTCCATCCCCATGTGTACACATCACCACCCTCCGTGAGCGCAGCACAATGCCTTGACCCACTGCAAACCTGCAACATCAAGAACATAGTTACTGCTCAGACTGAATCCTTTGAGCGTCCATAGCGTGCATGTCAATTGTCGCCACTCGCATGACATCTGTGGCATCACATGACAGGCCGCACCTTTGCGACATGGGCGTCTGCAAGCATGGGTGACTCAACCAGTCTAGGTCTGCTGCATCCTGGCTCATTGTAACCATGCCCAAGTTGGCCGTCCTTATTCCAACCCCATGTGTAGACAGCCCCTGCGCATGCTTCAGGTGAGTCCACAATTCCATGGGGCTAATTGGGGCTGCTTCATTCGATTGGAACCCAGCAAAAATTGTGCTATTACACGCAGATTTGGAAGGCTGCCGTCAAGCACTTGATTAGATAGAGCATGAGAAGAGTGAGCTGGAGTAGAACTTACCAGCATCAGTGCAGACAATGGTATGACTCAACCCAGCAGCCACATGAGTGACTCGCAGCCCATCCAGGCTAGTGACTGGCATTGGGCGAGGCACGATTGTACCGGCATTAGATGATACCCCACACTGGTCATGCAGGTTGCAACCCCACATGTACAGCCGACCTGATCTGGTCAAAGCACAGCTGTGCCTAGCCCCGCAGGCCACCTGCCTGCACACAGCAGTATTGGCATCTCTGCAGCCTTCTGGCAACACTGTGTCAGTGCAACAGAGGCAAGCCAGCAGGGAGGACTGGGCTCTCACTCGAAGAACTCTTCACCGGTCCCCGAAGTAGATAGTTTCATGTTGTCTTTGGCAATTCGCTGGGCATGTGTCTGGGATTCTGCTGCTGCATCAATACCGAGCTGGCCATCTATATTGTTGCCCCATGCCCACACATGCCCACTTCTATCCAGTGCTAAGCTGCATCAAACACAATCAACTTCATGTGAGTGCTGTCAATAGTAGCAATGATGTCATCCTCTCAGGACGGTGGAACATGAACTCTCTGATGGCAGATGCTGAAAGATGGGAAGCTTGCCTGTGTTGCTCACCGGCTGCGAGGGCGCATATTGTGACAGCCTCCCCAAAGTTCACTTCGTCTTGGGTACTTGGCAAAAGGCCCTCCCCCAGGGCAGCAGCATGCAGCTCCACTTGGAGGACTTTGTTCAAATCTGTGGATGTCCACATGGTGTGGTTCCAGCCGCTTGCGACATTGCTTGCGACAAAGAGCTCCTCTTCGGAACCTGCACAGGTGACTATGTTTTGCACGCAAGCATGCCCTTGGCACGGAAAGCAGGTCAGCCACAAAGTGAATGTACCGCTTTGAAACGTGCATCTACCTGGCTGAATGACTTCTTGTGACTTGCTGAGGCTACCGATACAGGCATGGGTCGCTCTCTCCATTTTGAGAACAGTGAAACCCCATCCTCCAGAGCTGATCGAGCAGATCGACCTGCTGGAGACTCTCGTTGGTACTGTCTCAATGCCTGGTAGTACAGAATCCTGAATCAACTCGTTTCATAGAAGACATTTGCACCAGCAAAGTGCTTTCAAAGGCAGCAGGAATGCGGTGCATTCTCAATGGTACAGTGGCACTTGAGATCACCTATGAGAAATCCAGAAAACCAGCAATTCCCCAGTGTATCAGCTGTGCCTGATGTGCTATTGGTGGTTTCCAAGTGTGGGATCTGGCTGTTCATAACTTCCCTTCATTGGTTTGCAAAATTGCGATCTAGTCGTCTGAATGGTGTCAGACCGTTGCAAATAGAAACTCTACACTAATTTTCATTTTTAAAGTCTGATTATCGAAAGGTGGACGATGAATTGCTGAATTGGAACCGCTGAGGAAAGCACGTGCGTCCAACGCCCTCTCATGTGACAGTATTGTTCTTGGTCAAACGAGGAGTCGAACTTTCTTGCCTGAATGATAACGTGTATTCTCCATGTGTCACAATCTGAGTGATGCATACTCCCTTTAATGCATCCGGCACAGCGATAGCTGGCTGCAAGTCGATCTGCACAAAAGCCAGATCAACGGGGCACTCTTTCAGTCTAGGCAGAACAAAGATCATGTGTGCTGGTGCAGCTGCTAGTGGTATTCCATCAGATCATAGCAAGCTACAGAGATTGTACGAAGTGACTAAAGCATCTATAGGCAGTGGGATGAAACTAAATGATGAGTCAGTTGGACAGATCAGGTCTTCTCTTGGTGAGTTCATGTGTCTAAGACTGATCCATGCTAAAAATTGCACCTGTTATTTTTGAAAATCCTCCAGTCCACTGACACGAGGAGACCTGGATGAACATTTCATGTGCACAGGTGCTGTGACACTAGAAGAGCTGGGTATCACCGCTCCTACGAAAATAGAGGTGAGCTTTATAGCACATCACCTTTATGACAGCATGCAGACGCTTTCTGGTGCTTGATCACTTGAAGTAAGACGCTGACCCTCTAGAGCCCTTCATTGATTACAGGGCAGCAAGCAGAACGGAAGAGGTCAAGGAATGACAGGGCTTGTTGGCAGGTTGGATACTTCTTGCCTTACCCAAGAAATTCTGACCCTTGTCCCACACAACCCTTGTGGAACAAATTGTGTTTCTACACACTGAATGAAGCATGATGCATGCCAGCGCATGGCAAGATGCATCATGCTCTTTATTTGCGCTAAGCTCTTGACGTCCTTATATTGCTTTGTCCAGGTTGTGGGGCAGATCTGAAAGCGAAGCGTCCACAAGGTATGTTGAAAGTGCCTGCTCATGTATCCATATAACAAGTATTGGGGCGCTGGAATGCACACCGTCCATTGCTCACCGACTCTACCTTCCTGCTTGTGGCAGTGGCCGCATGACTTACCTGCATATCCACGAGGAGGAGGCTCTGTCCATCGGCATTTTTCGCTTACCATGCAATTCAAGAATCCCTCTGCACAATCACCCAGGAATGACGGTGTTCTCCAGGTAATGAACCTCGGCAAATTTCGAGCACTAATGACGGACGTTGTTGGGAGCACTGACTGATTATTGAAGGGATATACTGTCTTTTGATGTTTGGACATAAGCAGAGAAAAGTTTTCACTTCCAGGGTGCTGTACGGACGCTTGCATGTCCGATCTTTGGACTGGGCAGAGCCAGAAGGAGCTTTCGACAGAGACGGTCAGCGCAAGGCTACATTGCAGACAGATTCTGTCATACAGGTCAGAGCCTTGCAATAATGGACTGCAGACTTGTGCAGACATTCAATCCTCCGGCAGTTTGTTGAATATCCACTGTGACAGCTGTGTCTGCGCATGGAACGTGCTAATGTACATGTCAGCATGACGCAGGCAGGAGATCCTCCCTCTGTCCTCTACCCGCACGGGGGGAACTTGCATGCCTTCACGGGTGAGACGGATTGTGCTGTGCTGGACCTCTTTCTTCCTCCTTACAATCGCAGGCAGGGTAAGGACCACCACCCTCAGCATGTGAAAACCTGCTTGGCCTACAGATTGTACTGCAGACGATGATATGAAAGGCTACACATACCAGGATGTGGCACCTTTACCCATGGTGTAACTGCAGGTCGTGACTGTACTTACTACCGGGAAGTTACACCTTTGCAATCTGATGGCACAACAACACTTGAAGTACGTCCCCTTTATTTGGTCAGCTTTAAGATCCTTTTTTTAAGAATATTTCTTCTCTGCTCTGCATGCTTTGTATGCTTTCCTGCCTGATTGGGTGGAGTGCTGCAGGAGTATGAACCACCAGATGACTTCATCATTCACAATGCAACCTACAAGGGTCAGCGCATCAAAATGAATTCGCAAAAGGCGTGAACACGATGAATCTGCGGATCGATGGGAATTTAAGAGTTCAATTTCGGCCAATGCTTTGCATGGAAAACGGATGAGGCATTTGAAGAACAACAAAGTATTGCCACCTGTACAGTTGTAAGGACAGTGGGAGACATTCAAAGCATTCTTTTGTATGATCATGCAATACTTAGCCAATTGTAATGAGCTGAAGCCTGGACAGGCAGGTGTGGATTGCCCTGACAATGACATGACAAAAGCCCTTACATTCCATAGAGACCTGTCAATGGCAAGTTTGACAAGTGGCAAGGGCAAGAATGGCAAGTTTATGGCAAGAATGCATATGCATCTGCCATATGGCCACACAGATTCTAGAAAAAGTTCCAGGACAGTGAGATTGAGCTCGATCACAGGATAAATCATATGATCTCAAATTGGTTTGCTACCATATAGATTTGCTCTTAATCTTTTCCCTGGCTGCGGGAACAAACCCTTCTGGCTTTGGCGGAAGCACCTGGACATTCACATCACAAGAGATGCAACTCAGCAATTTCAATTTTCAACCGGCCCAAAATTCAAAACAATAACATGCCATACTCTGGTGACACGAACCCACAAATCAAGAATCCAGGATGGTAGCACTTATGCCAAGACAGCCATTCTTTCCCAACATTCTGATGGGTGCAAACAATGTTGCCCACCTTGTACTTGATGAGCCGGCAGTCCACTCCGCCGATGGTCATGGGAAATCGCCTGTCCGCTTTCATGCGCAGCATGCTTGTGATGTGTTTGTTGCCCGACAGCACTGCCACATCAGCCTCAGGACACTGCCCCTGCACGGGTAACCACCACACAGCTCCTCAACATTCCTTCCTGCGTCCAATGTTCCTTGACAGGCAGTAAAAGAAAACTAAGGAACGCCGGGGCATAAGTGCCCACCTTCAGGAAGAATCCCAGGTCTCTCCAGGCTGCCTCAAGATCTGGATCAATGCTGGCCTCCTCTGACTGCCTGACATTGGCACACAAGGAGTCAGAATCTGAAGAGAAGAATAATCACACTTTGAAGCAACGAGTGCTGCTACTTGGGATCCCCTTAGACAAGGCTCTTCTACAGCTCATCGTGTCTGGGCAGTCATAAGTTAATGATATGCAGGTTTGGCCAACCCAGCAGGAAGAAGCTGGCTACCTTCCATCAGGACCGCCCTCACCACTGGGGCTCATAAGGCGGTTGCCCCAGGGTGGATTAGTGATCACCATGGCCGGCCGCTGGGTGGGTTGCCACTCAGAGCAAGGCCCATGCGTCAGCTGCACCAGTTTGCTCAAGCCCGCATTCCCCAAATCCCTGCAATCATAGATGAACCCGTTATGTGGGGTATATCAGGAGTGCGAAGGGCCGTCTCAACCATGCCAAGACAGCACTCATCTGCAAGCGCAAGCTAGAGAGGCACAAGAGCCTGGAGCCTGTTGATCAAAATACAGAAGGCTCCAGGCTTGATTGATTGTCCTAGTTTGATGATTGTCCTAGTCTCTAGCTTGATGCTTATCCTGTATACTATCCACAGCCTTCAGTATCTAGCTTGGCGCTTGCACTGCTCACAGGCACATTTGCACTCTGACTATGTTCCAGATTTGCACCGGCAGCCCATAAAGGGTGACAGTGCACTCACTTTGCAGCAAGGGACAGGGCGCCAGAGTGGATGTCATTGCCCAGCAGCGTTCCCTTCCAGGGCCGGCAGGCGCCCTTGGCATCCGCTACAACGCGCCTCCAGGCGGCAGCATCAAAGTCGGGCCAGCGCTCAAACGGCCAGCGCCGTCGGTACAAGCCGGGCGCAGAGTGGGTCGCCATCAGCGCCGCCTCTATCAGAAACGTGCCCGAGCCGCACATGGGGTCCGCCAGGACCTTCCCTGCAGTCCATGCAATGTGCCTGTTGACATATTCCGTTGCTCTGTAGATGACTGTCGTAAATTTGCCTTAGGCGACAATTCCTGGTGCTTTGCACGATAAGATTTGCACGGAATGTGTCTGTCGATAACCTTTGCCTGCTTTGGATGGTCAATGTCTGCGCAGAGTGTCTCAGTTGGCAGGTGGTTTGCTGCTGCTTTGTGCTTTGATACTGTAAAGTGAGCTGGGAAATAGGCACAAGGACAGTGGTGCATGCCTGCAGCGGCGGCCTGCGGCCAGCCGGCAAGGGCGAGGCAGCCGGCGGCAGCCGCCTCGTTGAGGGACGCCTTGTGCATCGCCGATCGATATCCTCTCCGGTGCAGCGAGTCCCCGCTCATATCCCTGCATCCGGGGTGAACAGGGTGAGCACCAGTGAATGCAACAGTTGACAAGAGCTGACTAGTCTTGGTGATAACACATGTTTGTTCAGGATGTTGATGGTAACCAGACCTGTAGAGGGTGATGTGGTCGCGCCAGAGAGCGGCATACAGTGGCAAGTCTGCTGGGGCCTCTGCAGTGGGGGGCTGTGGCCGGTCCCGCCTGCATGGTTTAAGTACTTAGTGGATTGTTTCTCCTGAATGCTTCATCCTGGAAAATTTTGAACAACAGGGCCGTAGAACCAATGCCAGATATCTCCAGGTGATAAGAAAGAAGATGGCATTCACCCTGAGTCTCTGATGGCGTCGCAGATGGCATCTCGAGCCCTGACTTGGACCAAAAGGGAGGATGGAATATCTGTGCAGTCTCTCACGCGCGCCTGCAACAGTTTCCTGTTAATGAATATCCAATGGTTTTCACAGCTGCTGGAGTTCCTCATGAAAATATGCGACTGGCAGTGAGTCCTGCTAAGAAAGGGTGCAAGCAAGTCTTGCTTGCCTGCACAGAAAATGTCTGGCCCGGGCGCAGGAGCGAAGGCCAATCCACGCTTGTTCTAAAGAAGCTGTACAGTTCATCGCCCCCTGGCTGACTGCCATCTAGGGGACCCTCTGCCACATGCACCAGCAACCTGCGGCCGTCATTGCTAAGATCAACATGGCTGCCGAACCTCAGTGAAGGAGAGAGCCACATGGTATGTCTTCAAGCATGCAAGAGGACACCATAGCAACATGATCTGCAGCTTGCCTGATGGCTGCTCGAAGCCAGAGGTTTGCCCGGTAGCCCACCTCCAGAGAGTCCCCCCTGGGACACCCACCCTCTTGACCCTACTCACCTTCGTATCATGAATGCGAATCGTAGTAACAGGACACTATTCATTCAGGCAAATATTACTGGGCCTCTCAGAACAGGAGGGCACCTGAATGAAACGCCGGCCTTGCCTGGACGCACTTGGAAGCCTCCAATCTCAGGTGAAGAGACTTCTGTTGCAACAACCTCTTCCAGACCTGCAGATGCATATCCAATTTTGTCGAGAAAAATATATAATGCAGCAGCGACACAGCATGCAGCGCGAGGTTATTAAATACAAGGCAGCTGACCTGGGTGGCATGTTGCATAAAATTGGAAGCTTCTACGGCCGAAAAGCCCATCCTGTCGCCGATCTGATGTTGATGTCTCCTGGTTATCCCTGGTGGGGTGTGACTGGCGCTGTGCTTGTGTTACTAGTGGTGTACGCTCCCTTCTATTTGACCACTTCTTGGAGCTATAGTAGTTTCTTGACGTATATCCCAGAATATTCTGATGGCTCTTAGAGAGCTCAGAAGCACCATGTAGGAAGAAAGCCTTGTGCCTTGCGATGTGCCACATGCCGCCGCCCAACACTCACTTGCGCATTGGCAGCTGATATGAAGAAAGTAGAAGATCGATCTATTGCAAATGAATCGATAGTAATCAAATGGCACTAGGTGCTGCGAATAGACGTTTCGGAGTTTGCACTGGCTTGGGATCTGAACTTGTCTTGGAAATGGAATTTATCAATAGCCTGCTATCTTGGAACAATTTTAGATATTCCTCTCGATGATAAACTTTCCTGTGTACTGCTCCTTCGTAAAGTTAAACGAAATCAAGTTGAATCCATGTCGGAAATTTGGCCTCGTGATGACTCATCGGTAGGCCAGCAAAGCAATTGACTCGGCACTTGCAGAGCTCCTTCTGGGATTAAAGGTAGCCAAGTAACAATGAAGTTGGATGCTGCAGGAGGTTTTGACAGCCGATCGCACTGTAAAATAGCGGTCAACTCCTTACACAGTGTTCCAGATGCATGCACTAATGACATCTGCACTGCGCAGACACTGTGGCTGAGGCCACTGCCTTGATGGGGACCAGGCATGCAACCGTCTGCATTCACTGATGAGCACAAATAGAGAAAAAGATACAGATGCACCTTCAAAAAGAGCAAAATGTCGCATCATGAGAACCTCGGTTATTTGAGTGTACCTAGCAGGTGAGTCAGTGACTCCCTGCCACTCCCTGGTCACGACCTGAGACTCCCTCACTCGCAGAGGCAATACAGGAGAGCCTTGCCTGTGTCAAGTCAAGTACCAAGAAGTGCACCAGACAGATCACTCAGATGTCTTTTCATTCTCACATCAAATGCACGGGGTCGTTCGTAATGAAGTGAACCACAAAATTTTCAGCTCTTCTCTTTTGAGTGTGTGGTGCGACAGGAAACACAGCATCAGATGAGCACCCAAGCCTAAGGGAACAGAGCTTGCTGCAGCAGTCCAGTCTCCTCAGGGATGCCCATGACAACATTCAGGTTCTGGATGGCCTGTCCAGAGGCGCCCTTCACCAAGTTGTCAATGACTGCACAGCACACAACCCGCTCGTACACTTGCAGACACCATTTCCTAACCGATTGAAAAGAATGCACTCTGGACCAACTGACAAAGTGCTGACAAAGCTAACAAAGCATCAACTGACAAAGCATCAAGCCTTACCTGAGATGACAATTGCGCGCCCAGAGATGCGGTCTGGGAAGACTGCAATGAGGTTGTAGTTGGACCCGCGCACATGCCGTGTGTGGGGAATGCTGCCCTTCGGAAGAACGTGCACGAAAGTCTCATCCGCATACCGCTTCTACACGACACCATATCTTCTGTCAGCATCTCCGCCCACACCCTTACATAGCATGGGTGACCCCAGTCAATTCAGCGCTGGGTTCACAATAAATGTGCTAGGATCACCAAATTCAGCGCTGATGTGGAAGCATGCAGGAGGGTGCATAGAGGCCTTGCCTGCAGGTGCTCCCTGAGGTCATCAACAGAGGTCCCCTCAGTCAAGCGCACATAGATGGTGGACTGCATGCCTCTGCTCATGGGCATCAGAGTGGGCGTGAAGCTGATCCTTACTGGTGCCCCCGCTGCCTCGCTCAATCCCTGATCAATACACACCCCAGTCACCCTCTTCTCAATATCTCCCTGCTGCTCAGAAAGCAAAGGCCCTCGCCAAACACCCCACTGCACCATGGCATCACATGGAGGAGACAAGGGGAGGCCAGCAAGGCACCTGTTCGATTTCTGGCATGTGCCTGTGGCTGCCGACTCCATAGCAGTTGATGCCCTCTGCGATCTCAGTGTACAGGAGGTTCTGCTTGGCGCTTCTGCCAGCGCCGCTGACACCAGACTTGGCATCCACAATGATGTCCTCCTTCTCAATGAGACCAGCCTGTGCACCAGCACAATGATCAGACAGACTTTAAACTTTCCAAAACAACACCATGCCACAATGCTTTGCAATGCCAGGAGGCTTGGAGACAATAGATGTGCCACAAATGAGGGGAGCATCACCTCGAGAAGGGGGCAGAGGGGGAGCTGAACGGTGGTTGGGTAGCACCCTGGGTTGGCCACGAGGCGAGCAGTCTTGACTGCTTCCCTGTTCAGCTCTGTCAGGCCGTACACTGCCTCCTTCTGCAGCTCTGGTGCCTTGTGCTCGCCACCATACCTGTTCACATACAAAGACATCCTGTGTGGTAAAGATAGAGGGGGTGCGTGTTGCTGCCATCATGCATGTCAACATTGAAGACGGAGCCAACCCTAAGGATGTGCTGCAGGAAAAAGATGTGGCTCACCACTCAGCATAGACTGCAATGTCCTTGAGCCGGAAGTCGGCAGACAGGTCCACCACTTTAATGTGGCGGGGCAGCGAATTCAGGATCTCCTGTGTCGTCGCATGCGGCAGGCAGCAGAAGGCCGCATCGATCTCGGACCAGTCCACCTCCGCAATCTTTGTGAGGGTGGGCACATTGGTCGCCGTGACCAGATGGGGGAAGACGTCTGAGAACTCCTGAACAGTCAAGACAATGACCTCAGCGTTTTTGCCCATTGAAGGAAGGCAATCCTTTAGTCTGACATGTAAACCTAATGAGTTTTGACAGGAGGCAGGAGCAGCATTATTTAGGCTCTGAGAGATCACCTTGCCGGCTTGCGTTTCCCCGGTGAGAGCTGCGACCTTGAAGTTTGGGTGGAGGGCCAAGAGCCTCACAACCTCCTCCCCGGTGTAACCACTGGCGCCGAGCACTGCCACTCTGTACTGTGGTGCTGCTGCTCCATTGCTTGTGCCAACCGTCGGTGCCTGGGATTTAGGGTTCACAGTCTATGTCAGCATTGCCCATATTCCTGGCGTCTATTGTGCCTGACATCTCAAACATATTCCTCAGCGTCTGGTCAGAGGTATCTCACTGACAGAATCCTTTTTACAGCTGTGAGGCATGTAGAGATGACCAAAAAGTACACACTGAGCGTTGCAATTGAGAAAGCTTTCGAGAGCAGTCTGCCCTCATAAGTAGATCATTCAAAGGTATTGAACGGTGTGTATTGTGTGAGACTTGAACCTGGATCGTGTGTATCAAGCAAAATAACTGTTCACTTCTTTGATCTGGGTAGTCGCTGTACACGGTTTACATCTAATCACAGTGGAACACAAATAATTATTTGGATCTCACCGGTGCTGAAACTGCCGCCTTGCAGACAGTTCGCACTGGTTTCTGCGGGGCGAGCCTCAACGTGACCCTGGGGCGTTCTGCATCCGGAACGGAAACTGACCTCAGCGCAGTACCCGAAGCACGGTACAAGTTCAGAGAAGTATGCATCTTTGGTAAAGTACTTGCTTAATCAATTGAATTCTAGCCCTTCGAAAACTGCATGTGATGAAAGTGCAGACATTCCAAGATCAAGTATACTAAGTCACATGACTGTAAAGGAAGGTTCACGTGATGGGTCAACATGCAGATTGCCACGCATGCGTGAATTGACAACTTGTTGCACACAGGAAGGTCGTCAATGATCACCTGGTGAGCATCAACACATTGTTGCATATTGATTTGGGCAAGCGTTCCTTTTCAAGCAGATCTCTATTTATAGGATCTTGGAGTGTGGAATTGGTGAAAGCTCGAGTACAGATTGCAGGAGTCGATACATTCACAATTTACAGGTGTAAAATAGTGCACAGATTCAAAATCACGGGTCAAATGAAAGCTGTAAAGGTGGAGGAGGTGCAAATCAAGGTGGAGCCATCCACCACATTAGAGCAAAAGAGGGTGTCAGCTGCCAGCCCTCCCAATGCATCAGATCTTAGAAATGGCAGGAAAAGGGCAGTGAAGTCGGAGGACGAAAATAACAACAAAAGGGGCCCAGCTTTAGAGAGCACAAACAGGAAAACGCGGCGCAAAGTGAAACTGGAGCCTAGCGTGAAGATTGAGAGCACTGACCAGCCCAAGGTGGAAGTGAAAGGCGTCTCGATCAGCCCAAAATCTCCGTTCCCGGATTTTGTGCGGCCAACAGCAGAGGAGTGCAGGGTGAGCATGCGCAGCCCCAGACCACTGAAATCTTGATCATTTGTAATTTTAGCGCAAGTTCCCGGGTACAAACTAGCAGACCGGCACTGCAGGCAGCACGTGACGCCCTAGCTCTATTGCATGGAGAGCCACGGCAGCACAAGCCAATTGATGCAGGAACGGCAGCGGCCGCAGCTGACAGCCTGCACACTCACTCTCAGCAGACAGTACTGGACTCTTTGGTGAGCAAAACACCGACAGACATTATTGTGGCTCTTCAGTGTCACACGATCTTTTCCTGTTGCCCGGCATGGATCTGATGATGCATGCCCCCCTGCGCAGGTCAGGACCATTCTGTCCCAGAATACAACAGATGTCACCTCTCACCGAGCCTTTGCTAGCTTGAAGGCTGCATTCCCAGGAGAAGAGGGATGGGAGGATGTGCTGAGAGCTCCTCCAGGTTGACATGTCCTTCAGTGCCCACCTGACCCACTGTGATTTTGGCAATTTTACATTCAAATGTTTACGAGATTTAGCACTGCGCCTCATGCGATGCAATCTTGGATGCAGGCAAAATGGAGGAGGCGATACGGATGGGCGGCCTCGCAGATATTAAGGCAGAGCGCATAAAAGCCATCTTGGCCACTTTGCTGGAGGAACGAGGCAAAATTTGCATGGAGTACCTCAGGGAAATGTCAGACGACGAGATCAAAGCAGAACTGTCCAGGCAAGTAGGGATGCTGATTGCAGTAGGTAATTATGAGAACAGTGAAAGAAATTGATCAGGTGTATGGTTTGTTTTAGCGCCTGCCCTTGTTTTTCCATCTGTGCAGGTTCAAAGGCGTCGGAAAGAAGACTGTGGCATGTGTTCTCATGTTCTGCCTGGCACGGGAGGAGTTTCCAGTCGACACACATGTGTGGCGCATTTCAAAAAGCCTGGGCTGGGTTCCTGCAAAGGCCACCCGAGACGCTGCCTATGAGCACCTAAATTTGCATGTGCCAGCAGACGTCAGGTGTGCAGCAAAACCTGTGGCACCTTTGAAGCAAAATTCATAGCAATGCAGGGTGATGGCATGCAGATTCATACACAATGTGCTGTCACTTTTGGTGTCATGCAGAGGTGTCTTGCACGGCTTACTTTTTATGTGTGCTGGTGCTTGCAGGTATGACTTGCATGTACTGATGGTGGAGCATGGGAAGCGGTGTCCAAGATGCGCAAGCAATGGGAAGCCGCGCAAGGAGTCACATGGAGACTGCCCTCTCAGGAACTTGAAGGAACTGGCATTGAGATCCAAAATGGAGAGAGAATAGGGTAATATTCATCTGTTCACCGGCTGCAGCAAAATTTTTAAGTTGTTCGTGATTCTGGTATGGATACCGTACTCAGGCAATTGCACTGTACTACTTTGTGAGACAGTCTCTCTCAGATGTAGGCATGGTCTGGGACCCTAATTCCGACCTCATACCAGGGTCATGTGATCGCATGAACGCAAATGGGCAGCCCATCACTAGCTAGTGTAAGTATTGTGTACTGTTTCAAGCAAGTTGCTCATCTCAAGATATGTATATGCTCTTTGTCAGTGGCCCCAAGTTAGATGGTATGCATTTCTATGAGAATCAAGGTGTTTGATTGTTGGCAAATTTTAAAAATCAAATTGCACTGGGAGGCACCTGCCAGGGCCGCCGCGGTGCCGCAGTTTGAGCAGGCGGCTGACCGGCGAATTGAGCAGGCGGTTCTGAATAAGGCTTGGCATGAAGGTGAACTGATCCAGCATGGGGCAAAGTTATAGCACACTGAGATAGCTTGATCAATTAAGCGCTCTGGAGACAAGCAGGTCCTATGCAAATTGCATGATGGCCAAAGACATTTTATGTATACGATATTCCCCTATTTGGCAGGGTCATGAAAGGAGACCCTCCTATTTCAATTTCTACCGAAACAGATCTGCAGGCTGCAGCAATTCTCATTGGAGGACATGAATAGTCTGTGACCCTGCTTTAAAGAAAACTGTTACATTCAATAGAGAACTTTGAATCAAGTTGAAGGCCCTCTGTCCGCGTATTCGTAAGATTGGAGCAAGTATAACTGTGTACTGTAAAGGAGTCAGTATCAGAAGCATCAATATAGGTATTGACGCACTCACCAAGTGCATTTGCCATGAGAACAAGGAGTTCGAGGAGAGGTGAAGAGTCTGGAGAGCCAGAAGAGCTCCCAGAAATACCAACTGTGAGCACCAGGCGCAGGGGCAGAAAACCTACAGCAAAAGCTGCACAAAAGACTCCAGTAGCTGAGCAAAAAACAGACATATCGATACAACAACCAGCATCAGAAGAAAGGCCGCCAGAGGCTCTCACGGTACTCAGGACCGTTGACAGCATCCATGCCACTGACAATGAAAAAGCGGACCTTCCTGCAGAAGGGCACATGCACGAAGCTGCTGCACCTTCTGATGCGACCAAAGGCATCCATGCTGAAGGCGAAGCAGACATGGACTTTCTCGAAGAGGGCACAAACCTCGCTGAAGCACTCCTGCAAGCATCTCGCGACGAAGACCAAGCTCCTAGCCCTGCAGCAACAGAAGATAAGCCGCCACAGATCAGTCAGCAGACAGATAACTGCACCATGGATCCTTCAGCCGCGGTGATGGATGCGGAAGACCCGTACCTCTTGACAGCGTTCTTTGCGGCCTCAAGAATGCAGGAACACAGCGGCCCAGGCATGACGTGCCCGGCAGAGATGCCATCAACTGCTCGCTCTCGTGCAGTCTCCAGTGATGAACAGGCAGACAAGGATTCAGAGTCTGATAACGCTGGAGAGCCCAGTCAGGGCCCCCGTGTAGCCCAGCCTCATACTCTGCTGCAACCTCCTCCAGCAGCCCAGGAAGATGTTATGGTGCAGCCAGGAGCCATCAGCACATCCCCACAAGACAGGCCAGAGAAAGGTGAAGGCAGCAGTCACAGCGGAGCGGCCTGTGACCAGCCTCAAGTTGCACCACTGAAAAGGGCAACCAGCAACAGCCTGCATGTGCGAAGGTCACTGCGGTCTGGATCCCTGGATGCCTATGAGAGAGGTGCTGCTTTTTGCCCATGACCTTGTGATCTCGCTGACATCATTCATGATGGCATTATTTTGCATTTGCAAACAGCACCAGGGTGCAGCCTGCTGACAGCCAGGCAGGAGGAGGGGTGGTGCTGACAATCTTGTGTGATTTTATAGGGAGGAAGAGCGGGATCTGGCATGGCGCCACCAACGCAAGCATGGGTGCTCTGGAGGAGGACTGGGACTCCTACAAGGTGGGACTTTTCTTTTGCAGATTAACACACCCTGCCGATAAGCCTGATGGCCCTGTCTAGCCTTGTAACATGTTGACATCAGTGGCAACTGAACAGAATGCCATGCTGACATGAGGGACACCCACTAGAGTTCACTCATGGGCTTGTGTGGCTGTTCCAGGCAACCACACTGCGCGGCTGGACCATGCCCAGCCTCAAGGATGCGCAGGAAAAGTCTAAAGCGCTGGCATCATCGGGATTCACAGTAGTGTCATCCCCCAAGATCAGGCCTGCCTCCAGATCAAAGCTGCAGGCGGACAAGCCTGCAAGGGTGAGCCTTCCAGATGCATCTGAAAAGTCATAATTCTGAGCACTTGCATTTGGATTGTTGCAAACACTGCTCTTCGCAACTGGCACCAGCACCGGCCAGAAAAGCAGTCTGAGTGCCCCTATGCTTGTGCCAGACATGTCTTTGCATCCCTGCCTTGCCAGTCAGGTGCCTTTATGTGTAGCAGGTCAAGCTGGCATCTGAAGGTCCTGTTGATTAGATATTGAGTGGCAGCACTTGCATTATCTCCCTTTTCCACTGGGGCTCAGCAGGCGGAGAACAAGCGCAAGGCTGGCAGCGGAGCGCAAGATGCTTCGGCCGCTCCCAGGAAAGCGCCAAAGGTTGGGGAGACGCCCGGCAAAGTGCAGGCGGCGGCCAAGGGCAGAGCGTGGGCCGCCAGCCCTTCGCGCTTCAAGCAGAATGCCAGCAGCAGCCTTCTCGCTTCCAAGGTATGGCTCTCACAGCCCTAAAGGCAGGGTCACTGCGTCGCAAGAATGCTGAGGGATCCTGTGATGTGCATGATCGGTGATTGAGTAGGCAGTGGCTCTTTGTGCTGGACTGTGATTAGCGGAAGTAGAGCAAAGTTTTCTGCAACAAACCTGCTAATGATCAAATGTGTCTGTCTGTCAGGGAAGCGGCAGCACCAGAAACAAGGACATGGCTGGAGGACGTGCATTGAAACCTTTTGGTGAGGATATTTTCTTCCTGGCAGACTGCCACGACTGCCAGTGTGCATGATGAGATGCGCTGTGAACAGCTTTTATATTGGAAGTGCACACCAGGCATGAATTTACACGCACCCCAAGATCGTGTGCGGTGCCCGCGCTACCAGCCATGAGAAGTGGACTGGTTCAAAGCCTTTGTCATCTGACATGGTTCTGTGGTGTTCAGGTGAAAGGATCCCAAGGCCGCAGAAGGCAGGGTGAGCGGCTGCTGGCCGAGGCCTCCTGGGAGTGTCAGAGCCAGGCTGCCTGCATAAGCTGGCGTCTCGGAGGCACTGCGACAGCACTCGGCCTTTGTAACTTAGAGATTGAGCTACTGACTAGACCGGCCTGTTACCAATGAGTCTTTTCACGCACAGTGCTGCGGCTGCATATCATGAATCTGTATCTTCACAGTGATGCACAGCTTCTCTGTTCCCGAAAGCCCAACCTCAGAAAAGGCCATCAAGGTCAGATTTGAATTTGAAATGAATCTGATCAGGAAGCTCTTAGTCACTACCGAACTTACCGCGACACCTTGATGCTGGATTTGTAAATTCTTCCTCTTGTACCTGCTGTTGTTCGGACATGCAAGGATCCATCTCTTGCACTCTGATCGTACGGGAATGAAACGCCGACCGCTCCTGGTGGCCTTGGTTACGCTACTCTGCGCAATCCCCGTTACACGGTCCTGCCACATTCTTGAGCTAACCGAAGAGGGTTTTGGGGGCAATTTTCTACATCTATTGCACGCGGTTGCCATATACGAAGGCAGTGGCGGTGGTGCCTTTCTGGTTGATCACAGCAGATTCCCTTTCAGATGTGACGATTCCAGCTCTGGAGGCATAATCGACTTCTTTAATCATACTGGCATCATCCCTTGGACACAGGAAGTGCAAGGGAAAGTAGAAGCGGCAGAACTGAAGCCCTGCAAGCGTATTGATTTCCTTTCTCTCGATCATCAGGTATGTTACAGCAAGGTAGCCATTCCACTTGAGAGTATTAGCAGAATTGTTTCTGACATCGCACTGACTGTTCACAGGTCGCTCTCTTGGGTGCAACATGGGACGAGCTAGACAGTATTGCTCTACGTCGGGTGAGTACTTGGCAGCATCATGAAGCATGCCTGAGAGACCTACCTGTGATTTTGACTGGATCCTCCTACATGCACCAGGCTCCAAGCAGCTTTTATTAAGCACTTCGTTATGCTTTTTTCAGATATGGCATCTTCAATCAGAAGCGCAGAAGGAGGTGGATCTGGCACTGAAGGATCTGCGCAGATTGAAAGGGCCAACGGTGGCCTTTCACGTGCGTGGGGACGATTCGTCTGGTGACGAGGAGCTCCTATTTGATGTAGGGCACCTCTGGCACACCACTTCTGTAGCTGAACCCCTTCGTTGGTGCCCATGCAAGGAGTCATAAAAAGCTTGAGAAGCATTGTGTATCTTCAGTAGAGGTAGTAAGCTGGCGCTGTTCATGCATGCAGGAAACCCCAGCGAACCAGGCAAATGACTTGTTGGACACTTTCATAAAGACATATCCAGAGGTCAAGGTGGGCTGATTGCCGGCATGGTTGCTGTTGCAAGAGTTCTCCTTGGTTTCCTGGTCGCCTAGTCCCAAGGTTTGCTTCCTACTAGCTTGCTGATGTGGCAGGGAGGGACATGTGTGTTTGCTGGGGACTCACACAAAAGGATAGACGACACTGCTGCAGCAGCACAGAAGAGGATTGGCTGCAAGGTGTTCAAGCGGAAGAAGTTTTACCGGAAGGCTGGGTACTCACAGGTAAAGGACACTCTTCTGCTCTCAGTCTAGACAAAAGTTTCACATTGTCCCTTCTGTTGCCTTGCCTGGCCCGAGCACATGCAGTGCACGTCACAGTCTGTTTGGCTAACACTTGATTCTTTTCCTGTTTATACTGTAGGAAGATTTCAATCAGGGGACAACAGAGCAGCGGTGCAGCAGCACCATGCACTTGTTGGCTGATATGGAGATTATGGCGCGCTCAGACTACTTCATTGGTGGGTCATCACATTCAGCCACAATGGGGAACCCGTTGCATGTACTGAAGAGTTTTTGGTACTTTGTGCTCCACTTGCTCTTCAAGAAACCTTAAGCTCTGGCTTTCATGCGTGCAGGATCCTTTGACTCAAATTTGCCGCACATTATCCAGACAATGCGGTTTGCGCTGTACCTGAAGGATCGGCGCACTTTCGTGGATGCTTCAGCCAAGCATCGTGACTGGTGAGGGCCCAGCTGCAGGTCTTCTGGTTTGAGTGAGATGCTAACGATGAGTATATGGTACCCATTGCAATCTGGTCAGGGCGTCAGAAGGTGATTGTTCTGCTCCTCCTGCAGGTATGCGTCAGTGAGAGAATACTTCAAGGAGCAGGAGGCGTTGCACCCCAGACTCCCATCCAAGAAGTCAAAGGGTGGGAAGGGGAGGGTGGGGTATCCTAAGAAGAAGAGTAAGAATGGACTCTGATGGCTGGAGGTTGAAGTCATGGTTCTTTTATTTGCTCACAGTGATGAATGTCCAAGTATGAAACAGATCTTCTTCTCACATCTTGGTGAACTTATTAGGCAGGGTGGGATCTAGTACATCATGATCGGATGACGGCAGAACATTTCTGTGAGCCACAAGAGATGCCAATGAGGTTCTAACAATTCTTATGCAGCAAGTCGTGACCTAGACTTTGGACCTGCAGCTTCTTTACGGACTTCCATTTGCGCTTGCCTGTGCCTTATACAGCTGCGATACAATTCCGAATTCAGTCAATCCTACGTTTTGTTGTTGGATGTCCTACATAGCATGAGCTTCAGTCATGTCCGCGTTCTTTTTAGCTCTAAAGTATCAGACTCTAGCAGTCACCAACTAAAATCCTCATAAAGTTTCACTCATTGGTGCATGCTCATTGCTGCAAGATGCTGCTGGAGTCCGGCAGGGGAATGAAGAAGATCTCATTGTGGCGCCCAAACAGCCTTGTGGGCGCATCATACAGCCCATAATAGAATTGGGTGCTGTCAAAGCTCTTTCCATCCGTTTTCAGCGCAAGAGCAAGCCGCAATGCTGCGTTAAGAGTGCTCCCGCCTGTGGCAAAGCCTCCAAACGCGCTGACATAGAAGCGCTGTTTGGGTGATGTCACAACAGTGACGTTTTCGTTCAGAGGAGCAGGGGCAGTCTCCTGCATAGGCACATCATTTTGCTTTGCTATAGCATGCTTGGAGCGCTCAACAGGATCTTGACATCAACATTTGTGCAGAATGATTGACATGCTGCAGCAGCTGCACTTCACAGAAGCAAAGCTCCCTTCCTGGTACTACCTACTACATCGTAAGAGCTTGCACAAGATCTTGACTGCATGGGTGCACCCGGCAGGATGTAGCTCTGACCTTGGACAGATTTGGTAGATAGAAGAACATGGTGTAGTTTGTGCCGGTGGAAGTAAATGAGCTGTCAGTGGGAGTGATGCGGGTAAGGACAGGCTTTGCCATGTCCAGTTTCAGCCCAGCTGCATTGTTCCCTTGAAGGTACCTGTATAGAGGCTGCACCAAAATAGGAAACCTTAGGGCTCGTTGTCAAAGTACAAAGCTTATTGCAGCACTCTGGAGATAACAAGGTATGCACACAGTCCTTCAGAGCCGCACCACGAATGCCTTCGAGATCGCGACTTCAAAATTTCCAGAGGAAGCATTGGTTGCGATCCAGGTGGCTGCATCGCACCAATAGGTTATTAATCACCGGTAATTTTTTCATCACTCAATCAGGACCACTTGAATCACTTTTTCCTTTATTTGAGCGGCTGATCTGGAACAGATCAAGTGCTTACTTTTGGAATACTCCCTCAGCTCGTACGTGCTTCCTTTGCTAACGACCTCAAAAGGAGGACACGGTGCACCCCTGCAAAAGTCTGGGTCAGGGACCTGGTCATCCGGAGTGTCGAAACTCCAAAGCTGGAACCTGGCTTCTGATAGCCCTACAAGCAGGAGGACAACGACCAGGATCTGCCACCCATTCATCGCCTTCATCAGAATGACGATCTTTGGTACACCTTGCTCAAAATCCAAGACGACTTTCCGCCTCGGAAGCTGATGGAATCAGTCGAGGCAAGATGCCAGGGGTCTGCAGAGTATCTAGAGCGCAAATGCATGCAAAAATTTTCTTGGCGAATGAGACTTTGTGCTTCTTCAAGAAATTCTTCTGTACAATCAAGTTATTTCTGTGTTGAACATCCAGTTAGTGAAGTTTCCTTAAGGAGCAAAGACACAGCCCTTCGGGACCTAAAGCTGCAGGGGCGAGTGCCTCCAAAATTCATTGGCCCGCAAAGCTGACTCTAAGCTCAGTCACTGTGCACACTCACGGTGAGTGGCAAGCATGGGCTTGAATATTTTTACAACTGCTGATGTCAACAACGTTGGATCGTACGATTGCATGTGTCTGCGCCATGGAAGTCATGCGCTGGTACTTTGTCTGCCGAGTATACAGCTATTCCGATGATCATGAGAATCGGTTCCAAAAAGACCCTCTAGGCACCCCTGACGTCCATAACAAAGGAGGATTGCAGCAAAATCCATAAACTTCATTTATATTGTGAAACCACACTGCTTCAGGAACATGCATAGTGCACCGCATCCTGTTGATAATGAAATTTGCCCTCAAGGCAAGCTTGCGAAGGCAATACATATAGCAGAGCAACATGCAGCATGGCTCAGCCTGAGGCTTTCAATCAACCGTCACAGAACTAATCAGCGGCACCATACAGCAATCATATGCACGCCATGGAGTGCGAGGTATCCCACATTACATTCATAGCAGCAATCTGACAGCATTCAGGAACAGACACACTCAGGTCTGTAGCACATCTGGCTGCAGCAAGGCCAAACAAGCCCCAAGTCATGCGTTGGTCTGGAAGATGCGCTTGATGTTGGAAAACAGGTCGAGGCCATAGGCAGAGGCGTCCACCGAGGTGCTGCGGTCCTTGTTGTAGAGCACATATCTGAGGTACTGGACAACGCGCGGCCAGCGTGAGTTGTAGGACCCAATGAAGTAGTCGGTGTGGGCCAGCAGCTCCATGTCAATCAGCAGCTGCACTGTGCCGCTGCACTTGTCCTCGTAGCTCTGCTGGTTGAAGTGGTCCTGCAAGTGCCCTGCCATGCAACACAGACAGCTGCTTAGTCAACCTGAGACTGGTCATCTTCTTTGCGGCATCAAAACCATATCTGGGGGAGACCCCAGTTATAACCTTGCAGAGATAAGATCAGAGAAGATCAGTTGTTCCCTCAAATGTTCTCTCAAGAAGCCTAGGTGGTGCGTCAAGAAGTTCTCACCTTCCTTCCTGTAGTATGGCGACCCCCGGAACACCTTGCAGCCGAGCTGCTTGCCCGCCAGCTTTGAGGCCGCAGAAATGCGCGCATGATCATCCCCCATCATCACACACGTCCCACCCTGAAATACAGCAGTGCATTTTCCTCATTAGAAAAGAGAATTCGTGGCTGCTACAAGTGGAATCATTGGAGAGGGGTGAACATGGCAGACATGCGCAGATTACGTTGCAGCAAAGGATGTGCAGTCAGATGTTGCTTGCCTTGATCTCCGGCCATGTGACCATGAACTTCTTGATCAGATCCTCCACCTCTGTTGTCTGACGATTCTGAAAAGAAAGACAGCCTTTCAGGTTGATGCTGCACGAACTTTTTCACAGGGCAAGTGAGCTCTGCTTCTCACGGTGACTGTCTTTTTCCAGTCCTCACATTGAGATGGTGCCAAAGGTCCCCACGATATCACATGGCACCAGAGGTGGAGAATGGTAAGAAAGGAGACTTTAGTCTCACCAGCATCTTGTCCTCAGCCAGCTTGTCTCCTCCCCTCACATGGAAACCGATGCTGGGTGGGGTCACATCTGCCAGCTTGTCTAGCCGCTTGTCAATGGCCTCTTGGACCCAGGGCTGATACTTCCACGCCTGTCACGGCAGCAGCAAATATACAAATCTGCTGCTACAGAGAGTCATTCCACCGCATTAATTCAGCCCTTTGAGATCACACATCAGCAGAGTGTGTCTGAGGTCATTGGCCTGTTCAGCAGCTCACCTTCTTTACCCCAATGAAGTCGAGCTCGTCCCAGCTCAGCTTCAGGTTCTCAAACACCACCTTGTTGACGCTGCTGATGTCATGGCGAATGCAGGGAGCATCTGGCTGTGCGTCCTCCTTTTCCTGAGTCCAGGGCACGAGATTGTCCTCCCAGGCAAAGAAGTCATGCCACCCACCATCCTCGCTGCATCTGTAGTGGTTGTTTGTGTTGTCTAAGAAAAAAGTCCCATTGGTGTTGTGATAAATGGGCACCATGTGGGCTAGCGCAAACGCGTTTGCAGCAAATCCTGAGCCATTGAACTCATAGACCGTACAGCACCGAGCCAAATTGCCAAGGCTTAGAAATGCAACAAAAGCAGCTTGAGAAACTCTCCGAGTCCAACCCCTTAGGAACACCATCGGAACTAGAGACAAGTTCCTTCTTCAACTCATGTGCTGGACAAAGCTGCAGAACGATAGCTGCGCTTCTACGCTTGTGATCGGTGTTCACATAGCCATTTGCCTGTGCATCATCATGTATACCTGCAGACAGACCCAGAAAGCAACCGACAATGGGATCGCAAGTGTCGCAAGGTGGGTTCCGAGACCACCAGTACACTAGTGACTCACTGCGCTGTCGGAGCTAAACTACTGCTTGACGATCGAGACAAACTGGCATTCTCGAAAGCGATCGTTGAGCACTTTCAACCCTACTCAATTTGCATTATATACACACAACATGCATACAAATTGGTCTCGGGTTTAAATTGGTCGTACAATAGAAGAACCCGAGGAACACCCCGTCATCTAGTTGTGGGTTGGCACAGGTTTATCGAAAACGCTTTGCAATTCATAACAGATCTGCATCTATGATATGAGTTCAAATGATTATTTAGAGTTCGCATATTTCCTCTGACTAGGGCTCCTATAAATGGTTTGAGTCCGCACATGCCTTCTTATGGCACGTCGAATCATAGGCTTCTTGAGCTTCCTATTTTTATTGTACACCTGGGTGTGGACAGAAGCTTGCACCGTGATCGAGCTTGATAGCTCTGGTTTTGCCAACAATGCCTACAGCCTCATGCACGCAATTCCCATGTTCTTGGGAAGGAACGGAACCACCTTCCTGGACAACACAAACTTCCAGTACAAGTGCAGCGAGGATGGCGGCTGGCATGACTTCTTTTCTGGAGAGGAGGAGCTGGTGCCCTGGTCCGAAACAAAGGAGCGCGCCACGGGAGAGACCTGTGCCCGCTACAGCTTGCAGAAGATTGATGAGATCATGTACAACACTGTCCAGACAAAACCAGACCTTCTAGACTTCATCGGCGTGAAGAAGGTGAAGTACTGCATGACAATCTTGCATGTCTGGACTAAATGCTCGCTTGAGTCTCTGCACTCCCGCGGAGCTTGTCACCATTAGCGTTCTACACCTTGCTGCCTATCTTGTCCCCTGATGTGCTCGTGTGACTGACAAGCGGCCATGCCACGCAGGTTTGGAAGTACAGGCCATGGGTGCAGGAGTTCATAGACCAGCAGCTGGAGAAACTTGCAGAGCAGAAGCATCCCACCATGGGCTTTCACATCCGTGGTGGCGACAAAGTCTTCGAGGATAAATTCTTGGTGAGTCACTCTCGCTCATGGCACCTGCTGCTTGACCGCATGGCGCGTGATTTGAATCTGCATGTTCCATGTTAAGGAAGGCAGCTGGCTAAAACCAATGTGCATACTGTAGAAACGAGCGACAACAACGCCGTTGGACACTGTCCAGACCTTTGCACAGACCTACCCCAAAGTCAGGGTGCGTCGAGCGATGCGCACTGCTCAGAATTCTCTCATTACTCCCCTGCCAATTCACGTTGCCCATTCTATTACCAGATATGCATTGATGCGCGGAACCCTGCACGCGAATATGACGCATGGATTTCCTGTGGCAGGGTGGCACATGTGTTGTGATTGGCGATGAGCATGCCAAGGTGACTGAGGCAGCCAAGGCCGCTGAGAGGCATCTCAAGTGCAAGTCCTTCCGCAGCTCGCCTTTCTGGCGGAAAGAGGGCTTCTCACAGGACATGCACAACAAGGAGGTGGACTTAATACCTCCCCACAGCCTGTCACTGCGCTGCGCTCTTCTACAGAACGAAGCTATGCCCCACCTCTTGCCTGTGGCTTGCAACTGATTTACTTGGCGGTTTTTCTGCAACAGGGATATGATGTGAAGTGCGGGGGGACGGTCAAGATGCTCATTGACATGGAGCTGCTGGCGCACTCCGACTACATGGTGGCCTCGGACCACTCGAAGTGGGCGAAAGTCCTGCAATACCTGCGCTACGTCCTATATGGTGAGCACAGCCCTCCTTGACAGCGTGTTCTTCTGACAGGATCCCCTGAATCCATCACAACTTGACATTTTGTAACAGACTCCTGTGCTGCCCCTGTGCCATTATAATAAGTTGTGCCTGAGCTTTGCACATCGCGCAGCAAAGCTCAGGCACTGTAGTCGCATTGTTTACCTCTCGTCACTGCCTCCTGTGCTGCAGCTGTGCTAGAATTACAAGTTGGAGGAGGATCCTACATTGCTTTCCAAGAAGGCACAATTCACACCATCTGCAACACGAAGTTATGGGTCTGAGCTTAGCAAAGTGTGGTTTGAATGCAGAGCATGACAGGAGCTCATTTGTGGACGCCAGCAGCGAGCACAACGACTTGTATTCAGCCATCAGGAAGTTCATCAGGCCCAATGCCTTCGACGTGCATCATGAGGGGCACCACAAGGAGCACAAGGCGGGGGCTGTCCCTGCGGCAGAGGCGACCGTTGCCAGGAAGAAGGCCAAAAAGATGCCCAAAGCCACACCGGCCCCAACCAAGCCACCCAAGGCTGCAGTGGCGGATGATGAGGAAGAGTATGACTATGAAGAGGAGGAGGAGTGAGGGCATGGATTTGCTTGGAAGTTTATCCTTTAGCTGAGAACGTTGACCAGGCATACAAGCAATCAGACCACCTCTTTTCTTGCCGATGCAAACCTGATGCTTTTGCATGTTGGCAATAAGCCATAGTGGACTCTTTTCATCGCGCAGGATGAGTCCTCAAAGCTCTGGGTATTAAGCTGTTAGAGAGATTGAGAACTTACTGTAGACCTTAGGCTGCATTCCACTGAATAGGCAACAATGTCCTGCCTGTCAAAAGTGGAACACTGATGAATTATTTTGGACTTGAGAAGGGTGCGCCACATTTGCCTGTTGTCAAGACTGTTTGTCACGGTTCTACATCGCAGAAGGGTCCACCTCATCCTTAGGAGATTGTAGAAAATGGCGTAGACGAGACATACAACGAGCTGAGCAATCATGATGAGCCCGCATCACAGAAACCGGTTCCTGTGAAATTCAAAGTGACTCTGAGCTTCTCAGAGACGATAAAGGACATCATCCTTTGATCACAGAGGGACAGAAAATCCCCTAATGTCAAATTGTCTCAAGGAGACACGGCATGATCACAAGAAACATGGACCATGCTCACAGCATTTCACATGCATGTGCCCAAGCTGCCCGCTCAGGGCAGCCTTATTGATGCAAATTAACAGTGTTGCACGCACCGGGAGGCCAGATTGTTTAAGCGAGATCATTTGACCAAATCCACAACGTATTGTAGTGATCTATTGTCTGCAGGAAGAGGTGGTGGTAAGCTGTTTGAGAGAACATATATTGTGAGGATCGTGCCAGATCATCATCCTGACGCTCTTGTGCAGCACGTGATCAATCTCTGGAACTTTAAACAGGAGAAGGATGTTATATCATGAAAATAATTTGCGAAGCCTTCAGTGAGTAGCCACAAGTGCCGAGTCGTGTGACTGCATATGTAGCCACTTGACAGATTCGTAGAACAGGCCGGTGGTGCAAGCTACAAAAGTTGAAGTTACAACCTTAAACAGCTCGGACTGCTCGGGCTCTACCAATGTCAGCTGTGGTGCCCCCAGCCAGCAATGAGCTGCAGGCAGAGGCCTTCAAGCGCCTGTATCCCAATGAGTATTACGCAAAATTCATTAGCAAATCCCTGCGGCCAGATGGCAGGCCTTTGGGTGGCGCAAGAGCGACCACAATTGGAATTCATCCCCTGGAGAGCACCAGCAGCTCAGCCCTGGTCAAAATTGGGAACACAACTGCCATGGCCGGCATAAAACTGCAGGTACCAGCACAGATTGCAACTGTGCATCATGGACAAAGCATCGATATTTCAAATGTGGTCTGATGGGGCGTGTGATTGCAGCACTTTGCGATCAGCAGCGATCAGCCTGTAGAGGGTACCCTGGCAGTGAATATGGAGATGGCGGCCTTTGCATCATCTGAGACGCGGCCAGGTCGGCCGTCTGACGCGGCACAGTGTGTGCAAGAGCAGGTTTGGACTGTCTGCTCTGCAGAACAGCTTCTCTTTCATGATGTGTTTGTGTCGCCCATTTTTTATCTCAGTTGTTTGATCAGAGCTCACGGGGAGTGCATGAGAAAGTTCCCTCGGTTGCGTCTGGTCCGGCAGAACCATCACTAGTTGATGTGCTGTGCCGCGCATGATCCAGATCAGAACAGCACTCAGGACGGCAGGAGCGGTGAAGTTGGAGGAGCTGGCAATTGATAAGAGCCATGCGTGGGCTGTGTTTCTGGACATCTATGTGCTGGATGCTGATGGGTGTCTGCTGGATGTCTGCTTGCTGGCGGCTGTGGCTGCCCTGTTGGGCCTTCAGCTGCCCCGTGTGGAGGTCAATGACCAAGGCCAGGTAAGGCAATGCTCTAGAAGTGCGAGGTTAGTGAGGATGCACATGAACCATCAGAGCACGAGGCACAGCTCAGGGCATGCATGCGGCAGCTGAAGTCATGCATGCAACACCGAGGTGTATGGAGGCTTGCTGTGGGAAAGAGGAGACCCTCAAGCAAGGTTTGGGAGGATGGTGGTTGAAACTCACAGCTGTGCGGCTCGTGATGCAGGTGGTGACAAAGCCAATCTCAGGGTCGGCATCTGACAGCAGAAGGTTTGGATTGAAGGCAGTCCCGATGGCGCTCACATGTGGCCTGTACAGCGGCAGCCTTATAGCAGACCCCACATCAGAGGAAGAAGCGCTGGTAGCCAGCTTGGTATCGACCATTGTTGATGCGTCCGGCAGCCTCGTTGGTAATCCCTTGCTTCTTCTATGGTTGCTTTGATATAGTCTTACGATCTTGCTCTTGACCTCTAATTTTTGCAAATGTTCTGAAATCTTCTCAATGCTTGCTACCTTGGGACTCATGCAGACATGGACATGAACATGGACATTGACGGTAGCCGGGTGATGGCGCCTCAGGTCTCTACAAGGCAGGAGGCCATGCAACAGCAGATGAAGGGCTGCTGCTGCAATGCATGGAGGCCACCAAGCTACGCTACAAGGAGCTGATGATCCTTCTAAAGCAGGCCCTGGCAGAGAAAGGCATAGAGTACAGCTGACATTAGGCCTCAGGCTTCAACAGAGAGCGGGCAGGGGAGGAATCTACCTGAATGAATCCTGGCAGCTTTTTCAGACATGGTGCAAGGCAGCAACAGTGTATGGGACACTGTCAATGGGACTCTGCCAGTGTGGATCGCAAGGTTATGATGAGACTCTTTTCAGTGAGTGATCTGGAACGCAGTTGGAGCGCTGCAGTGGTATTTGGCTGACAGGGCCGCAGGTGTGAGAGATCATGGCATTCGGGTAATTAGATATTACTTGAGGCTGTTCTACCTTCTACCAGTGGTGGCTTCTACTCCAGGGTAGCCGCCACGTATGCCAAAGTTGGCGGTTGCATGATGCAGCATGATCATGAGCATGCAAATGCGGGAATTTGCATGTGTAGAGCTTGCATCTTGCGCATTGGGCCGGCACGCAAATCAAAGGTTTTTTCATGCCTCTGCTGTCTGGCAAAGAAGCACTGGTCTCCCCAATATTGTAGAGCAAGGCACCATTTGAGAAACCCCAAAAGGGGCCATATCATATTGCTTGGGGTTCAAACTCAAATTGGGTTTCCAACTGTTCGGGTCTTACATTCCACTGAGAATGCGATCTGGTGAGAATGGATGCATGTATCATGCTGTAAAGAAGGCTTGTGTACAGCAAATTCTTTCTCTGGATCGTTGGAGAAACTTCGGGTTGAAGTCAATTGCAGAAGCATCGACTCTCGACAAATAAATCCTGACCGAGTAATTGAGATGTTCATGAGCCGCGTGCTCCCTACTGTTCGTCTCATTGGTTCCCAAAGCAGGGTGCGCTTTGCACGTCGTTGTTCAACTCCTAATCCACCTAGAGGCTGGGCGCATGTCAGAGAGTATTCTTGCAAAGCTGTGCATGATCAGAAAGATTATCCAGCTTTAACATTCTGTATGCAGGCACAAGCTGCTCATACAATACGCTGCCAATCATCAAGTACTCTGCAGCCATTCCACCTTGCTTTCCCAGTGAGGGATGTAGCAGAAGCAAAAGAATTCTATGGGAAGTAAGTATCACTTCATCAATTCATTGGTCAAAAGGTCTGCTCACAATCACCAAAGCACGATATTAGCAACAAAAGCAGTTTTTTTTTGACCAGGGCCAAAGTACTGCTCGCAGGAAGCTCGGGTGCCCTGAAGGACGATCAGCCAGTGCTTGGGTCGACTACAGTCTCTTTGGGCATCAAATTGTGTGCCATGAGATCAAGGGCTACAATGCTTCTAGCACAGCTAGTGCTGGTATATCTCTGCCCACTCTGATTTCCTGCTCCAGCACTAAGTGTTGGATTAGCAGTGGCCCAGTATTAATCGAGTAACTTGATATTCTGCGTCCAGTGGACGGAGATCCTGTGCCAGTGCCGCACTTTGGTCTGGCTCTGGGAGTGGACCAGTTTCATGAGCTCGCTGAGCGTGTGCAGACAGCAGGCATCGATTTCATCTTGGAGCCACATTTGCGCTTCAAAGGTAAGACTTGACCTCCCATCCAAACTTTGATTCGTAATGAGCCCAGTGGCTCCTCTCATATGTGCACTTACTTGAGCAACTGAGTTAACAGCCATTCGTGACCAGGGCAACCCGGTGAGCAGTGGACAATGTTCTTCAAGGATCCCAGCGGCAACTCTCTCGAGTTTAAAGCCATGACGAACCCTGAGAACCTGTTTGCCAGATACTATGTAGAGTAGCAGAGCACCTGCCATGTACCATCACTTGTAGCAGTCGTCTCCTAGAACCTTTGAGGTTCCCGGCAGCTGTACATAGTATGTGCAACTGCCAGGAAACTATTGTGCAGCTGCCTTATGACATTGATGTACCCTTGATGTCCCTCTTTTTTGGTTTGTAGGCTTTAATTCTCTTCAGTGTCCGGGTTGCTGATGCAATTTGTCACCGAATTGCTAATGTGCCTTTTTAAACTGTATGCACGTTCGGAAGAGTCGCCAAATTTGAAGAGCAATTGCAGATTCATCCACAGCCGTTGTAAAGATCATTACTCTTACATGAACCCTCTCAGGCTCATGAACCCTGCGCATGCTCGCACTGTCAAGGGCCACAAATTGGAACTGGAGCAACGGAATACCAACTGACACTTCTGTCATGCCCGATCCATGTCACGCATCACTTATGCCTGCCACTGAATAAACTGCACCAAGTATCAATCCGCTCAGGACATCAAGGTGTAAGATGACGAAGTCTACCTGCACAATTCTGCAGGTCCTACAATGCGACAACTACAGCTACACATATTGCCCCTTACATAAAAGAAGCGCCGCAAGATGCTATTATTCCTTTCCAGAAAGAAGAGCTGGCAAGACAAAAAGATGCAACGGGACATTGCATGTTTGCAGACAGATTTCACAAGCACACTCCTCAATCATTCATGCAGGACACATACAACTTCGAAGATTCTGTGACGATCAGCAGTGGGCTATGGAGAGGCATCAGCCGCCGATCTTGATCATGGCACGGTTGCGCGTTTTGGCGATCTCAAACATGCCGGCATGCGCTGCCTTTTTCCGGTCCACAGCCGCTGAGATGATGGCGCGCAGATCATCCTGACTGGCCCCCTCGCGCATTGCATCCCTCAGGCTCACCTCGTTTGCCCCAAAGAGGCACACCTGCAGCACCAGCCTGGCTCTTACAACCTCCTGTGAACTGAGTCAAACTGACAGCTGTGTGGCGGCAAATACTGCAACAATGCTGCATGTTGGCAGGTATTGTATGGGCAGACGTGCTGAGCAGGTGGGCTGACCTTGAGGTTTCCATCGGCCATGAGGCGCAGGCGGTTGCAGTCGGCGCAGAAGGCTTTCGTCATGGATGTGATGAATGATACGCTGCCCTTGAAGCCCGGCACCCTGAAATTCTTTGCCACCTCCCCTCGAGGGTCCTGCACAGGAACAGTACACCTTCAAGCAGGATTAGGTTCCTTTGTTTTTTCTTTGGCAAAGCTTACATTGTTGGAGGGAGAATTGCCCTTCCTGTGAAAGTGACAAGCTATTGAGCATGGTAAGCAGCAAGGACAGTGATACCAAGATACAAATATCATGTTGGACACTCACCAGGCACCTCTCCAGCCCCTGTGGGTACTGCTGCTGCACGGCTGCCATCATCTCAGCGTAGGGCACCATCTTGGAGTCGCTCCACACGTTGCCATCAAAGGGCATGTACTCAATGAAGCGCACATTCAACGGCGCATCCCGCGTCAACTCCACAAAGTCACACAGCTCGTCATCGTTCACCCCGCGCATCACCACCACATTCACCTGCTCACAAGCCATGATGGCCGTAAGCAATGCATGTGAAAAATAATATTGGGGGAAAGCCTACTGTGACCACCATCGTGCAACCCAGTGACAGGTCAGGACACCTGCAAACAAAGTGTACCTCCGGCAAGAGCGGACAGGTATGCCTGGCTTGGTGTGTTGAGAAACACCCAGATAAATCAGTGCAAGGCATAGTCTTAGATTTGCACTCTGAACAACATATTCCCAATGCTAGCAAAGGTCAGGGGTACAGGAATAGAGGAGACAAAAAAAACGCAGGATGGGTAAACATGGGATGTAAGAAGGCAGGGTACCTTGACAGGGTCATATCCGAGGTCGACAGCATGGCGAATGGCGCCCATGACCCGCTCGTGCCCCCGGCGGCGCGTCATGCTCTCAAAACGGTCCGACCTCAGAGTGTCCACGCTGATGTTCAGAAGGTTGAGCCCTGAAACACAGCCAGACCTGTCCATCGGCCAATGCTCATTGAGTGTGAAGAAAAAGCCGCTCTCACAACATGCCATACCAGCTATTTCCTCTGTGACAGCACTGCTGGCTTCCTGCAGGAACATGCTGGAGGTGCAGTTTTGGTGTCAAAACTAGAATGGTACGCACATGGACCTTGTCTCAAATTTGATACATTTCTAGATCTCCATTCTTTATTGATCTGTGGGGTTGCCTCCCTCTAAATCCCCAAGCCAGAATTCGTACATCTCGATTTGGATTTGGGCAGGGTACAACCCACTGGACCCCCGCAGCTTCGGGCTCTGTAGTATTGGGCGTACTAATGATGAAATCTGGGCACTCCTGTTTGTCCTCCCTGGCAATGTCTTCAAACACGGTCTATAGAAATGGTATGCCATTGTCAGGAAGGGTGGTGAGGGTGCACCGGCGGCATGGAGGGCGGCAAGTTTGCGGGAGAGGGTGAGGCCGTTGGTGGTGAGGCCGACCGCCTGCACGCCTGGCAGCGCGCGGATGCCGGCAGTCAGCTCCACAAGGTCGCGCCGCAGCGTCGGCTCGCCCCCCGTCAGCCGCACCTTGCGCACTCCCGCCGCAGCAAACAGCTCCGCCTGCGGTGCAACGCACGGCTGTTACTGCATGTTCACGCACTCGGGTGCCACAGCAAAGGGATGAGACAAGTATCATTTGCATGATTAAAAAATAAAAAAATTCAATGTCATGCCTGCTATCGGCTGACAATGTTGTGCACAAAGACTTTGGTGTTCACCAGTATGCACCGATGCCTCGGCAAGACATGATTCGTGTTAAAAGAGGCATCTTTGGGCATACATCATCAAGGGCCTTCTGTCATCCTAGGGAAGCTATCTAACACGCGCGACAGCTTAAGAGAGCCCTGCAGTGTTATGGAGAGGGAAATTTTGCATCCTCACCAGGCGCATGATCTCGTCGGTGGTCATGAGGTCCTCGTTGGGGGTGAGATCCACTCCCTCCTCTGGCATGCAGTACAGGCAGCGCAGGTTGCACCGCTCCGTCAGCGATATTCGTAGATACGTGTGCATGCGCCTGTGAAATGACAAGGATTCAATTTCTGCCATGAGCTAGTGAAGTATCAGCTCTTGCAAGTGTGGCGGCGAACGCCAGCTTGAGCGGTGAAACTTGATCGCACCCGAAGGTATCAGTCAGCATCTGGGCTCCTGTCTGGTCTGTCTGCGCATTTTGCTGCCGAAGCCCTTCCACTACTTCTCTCCAGTGCAGGGCTGGTCCTTCCTGCGGGCTCGGTCCTGAGCAGCTGGCATTCTTGTGCGATTGCAGCCTCTCCGATGTCTCCTGAGAGCTCGGCAGCTGGATTGTCCGCCTGGACGGCTTTTGCCTGCTAGCAGCTCGTCGCATCTCTGACAACCTCCTGTGGTTTGCTGCTTCGATCTGCCCGCTCTCGCTATGTAGGTTATGGTCAGCATACTGGAGCTCTGGAGCTGTCTCTGTCTCATGCTTGTTTGGTAGGAGCTCGGGCAGAGCACTAAAGCAGCGACTCTCAAGTGTCATAGGTGACACTGATGGAGCTGTCTTGCACGCTGCAGTTGGTGTGAGGGCAGACTGGCATGTCAGCACACTTTCCGCTGCTTGCGCGAGCGGAACTCTCAGAAAATGAGTCGCAAGGCGTGATAATCCTCGCATTTTACGATCTTCACCGGTCCGATCTAGACAATTGGTTCTCGCGGGCTCAGCAAGCCTCAGCTAGAAATGCAAGTACCCAAATGAAGGGGGTCAATTGTCGTGTGCGAGCGGAATACCTAGACATCTACCGAATTTGCAGCCAAGATAGATCCGTCTATGCTACAAGGTGTACATTCTCTAAAGGAACCTAAAACTAGCAGTGGCTAGGTGCAACATTGTGCCCCATCGTCAGTTTGCATATCTGTCAATGCATTTTGAGGAAAACTTTCTTCTATAAAATGACAATTGATCACTACCCCAGCAGCATGAGAGGACAATGTCAGGAGAAAAGGGGACCTCTGGGCTTCTTCTGGGCCCATGTGGGGCTGACGTAATATACCTTTAAAGGGTTTCCGAAAGCAGCACCAAATCGAGGGATTTTTAAGGGTGTTCTGATCCATTGAAGCTCTTTCTTCTGTCTTATATATTAAGTAAACAATTGGTTGCACGGCAGCGTCAATCTAAGTCTGTAAATTACCTGAAGTTGTCCTTGTTACGTCCAGCTGTGTTCTTTTCTGGAATGACTTGGTGATCTGTCAGTGCCGATCTCCGCTTCTACTCGTGGGCAGGTCTTGTTGAATAAAGACGACTTTATGAGCCCAAAGAAAGTGCTTCTGAGTGGCTCAGCAGATGGAAAGATCTCGGCTCTTTTCAAGAGGGTTTCTGCAGTGAACAAATCCAATGGCCCTTTCGACATGCTTCTGTGCACTGGCAGATTTTTCCCAGAGGCTGGTGAGTGCTTCAAATGCCGATTTGCAGAACGGATGTTCCAAGGCAGGTTGCGCTCGTAGTTGCTTTGCAGGTCATGCATGCATGACTTGCCACAACAGGTGCTGGTGCCGCTTGCCCAAGCTTGTCAATCTAATGTGAGCTGATGATCTTCAGGACCATCCGAAGACGACAGTGAAAAGGACACAGAAATACTGGACTACGTCAGCGGTGCAAAAGAAGTCCCACTCCCCACATACTTCATAGGCTCCTTCGGGCGGGGCGCTGCTCATGCCATTGAGTCCCTCAGCAGCGCAGACATATCCGCTGCAGTGCATTACCTTGGGCGATCTGGGATCAGACAGCTCCATGGCCTGAATGTGGCGTACCTTGATGGGACCCACAATGCACAAGCCTTTCAGGACGGTGTCCAGTCAGCGTCTTGCAGGCATTACAGCAAGGTAGGCATGCGCTGCTTGACACTGTATGTCTTGTTCTGCCTGGCAATCTGATTGCAATCCAAGGACACATGTATGTGCATGCCTGGAGCCAATTAGATTGCTGTCATGCGCAGGGGGATGTGAGGGCGTTGGAGCAGGCTGTGGACAAAGCAGAAGGGGATGTGGACATCTTCATCACCTGTGAATGGCCTGCAGATGTCACAGCAGCTGTGCCGCCGGGCTCAGCACCTGCAGATGCTGGCAGCACAGGTGCATGCCACTCAGAATCCAATCATCGCTGCCCCTGCACTGGAAGCTTGGCTGCCTGCTCGACCCCTGTTTGCTTACACATGTAAATAAGAGCAAAGTTAGAATTGGTCCAGAGGAATAGGTGTGCATGGCAGGGTCTGAGGTGGTGGCCAGCCTGGCGACCAAGGTGCGGCCGAGGTACCACGTTTGCGGCGGCAAGGATGTCTTCTACGCCCGCCCGCCCTACCTCAACAAAGACCTCGGCGCGGGTGTGCCCCCAAGACATCTACCGCTCTGTCCCTGGGAAACTGTCTGTGATCGTGTGGCCTGCATGCACCTCCCTGCAAGGGATTTTCCACCCCTGCAGGAGAACACCATTAGGCATTGGGTGCAGAGCTGTGCTAATTGTGCTGCATCCAACTTTCTATCAGCGCTAAATACACGCGTGGCAGGGGGTACTAAGAACTAAAAAGTATCAAAGTACCATATAGTGATCCCTGGGCATGGCCTGTGGAGGGTGGGTGTGTATACAAGGCCTTCTTTTCATGCTCTGTCTGCAGGATCAATTGCGTTTAATTGAAGCATGGATTGATGGGTGCAGGCGCGCATGTGACACGGTTCATTGGGCTGGGATCCGTGGGGAACGCGGCCAAGGCGAAGAGCCTGCATGCGCTGGCGCTGGTGCCGGCTGCGGAGATGGACGTAGCCACGCTGACTCAGCGGCCGGAGGGCACCACGCCCTGCCCTTACGAGCTGCCCAGCACCTCCAAGCGGCCCTTGCCCGGTGCCGACGAGGATCTGGGCGAGCAGGTCCGCCCACTTGGTTTGGCACACCCTCCTTGTGCAATCAATGACACCTGCAAGGCAACAGGAGAGACGCTTGAAGCCTGCCATGCAAGAAGCAGCAGCAATACCACGCCCTGGGAAGTCTCTGAAGGGACTTCCTGACCACTCTGCTTCTTGAGGACACACTGACCACAGGAAAATCTACCCTGCCTGTCTCTGGCTCCTGGAAAAGGCATGCAGAGGCCGGCGATTGCTCAGCTAGCTCTGCTGGCCGGAGGTTGGTAATCAGAGACTTATACCAAGCATAAGGAGTGCTTGGCCTGGCGCGCAGTCGTGGCGGTGGCAGCAGAACAAGCGCGCCAAGGGCGGCTACGCGGCGCCGAGCCTGGGCCGGCCGGACGTGGTCAAGGACGAGCGCAAGACGGTGTACGTCAAGAACCTGCCCTTCCGCGCAACCGAGGATGACATCATCGCCTTCTTCACGCAGGCCGGCCCCGTCGCCGACGTGCGCCGCGGCGCCGAAGCCGACGGTACTCACCTTTGCACCCCTGAATTCCACTCAGCTGGGTTTGCTTGGTTATGTAGTACCTAGTACACCTTGCACTTAGTCAGCCATGCATCACAGCATGCCATGACTGGCAATCCTGCCCCAGGCAGCCATCCTTTAGCTCGCCAATTGCATGGCCTTTTAGACTTAGGACAGCTTTTCTGAGCTTCAATGTCTGTCTGTCTTGTCAACCAGACCAAAGTACGGCGGCAGGAGGGCCTTACACCCAGTAATTGTCAGCACTAGCATTGCCACAACAAAGCCAAGGAGTTGAGTTGTGCCACCCTGCATGCACCATGATGCGGTGTGTTGAAGAGCAATTATGTGCGTTGCAGGGAAGCTGCACGGCTACGGCTTTGTGCAATTTGAGACGGAGCAGGCAGCGGAGCGCGCGTGCCAGCTGCATGGCAGCGAGTTCATGGGCCGCGAGCTCACAATTGATGTCAGCACCAGCGGCGCCCGCGCTCCCAGCGGCAAGCCCGTGGAGGGCTGCTGGTTCTGCCTGTCCAACCCTAACGCAGACGTCAACCTGGTCGCCAGCATAGGTGCGCCTTGCACTTGCAGTCGTTGCTCTATCGCTGCATGTATGCGCGAGGTGCTACCACGGCACTCTTAAGTGGCCTTGGCAAGAGTGCCGCAATACCAGAAGTAAACATGGAGAGCAGAGGCCGAGGAGGAAAATCGCACTGGTGTCAAGTCCTCCAAGTGTTGACAGGCTCCGCTCATCGCCGGGAGAAACAGGCCCCAATTGTCCGCTGTGAAGCGTGTCTGAACTGGAAGGATGCTACGGTTTAGAAAATGGCAGCCCGGTGAGAATGTATTTGGGGATTGGGCAGGAGAGGAGTGCTATGTGGTGCTTGATAAGGGCCCCATTGTGGACAGCCATGTGCTGGTGCTGCCTGTGGAGCACTACCCGTCCCAGCTGTCCCTGTCCGCCTCATCCTTTGCAGAGATGGAGCGCTACCTGTCCGCCCTGCAGTCCTGCTTCGCCTCCCAGGTGATCCTTCATGGCTTGCAAAAGCTTTCTGTGTTCCCCACATGCATATCTGAGAACTGCTGGTCACTCCGATTCTGTACTTCCCTTGGTCTGTGGTCAGTGCCAACTTCTTGGAGTTCTTGGATAGTAGGGGATACTAAATCCTCTACAACTAGAGTTGGTGTTTCAGATGCCTAAAGCCTGAGAACACTCGGTGCTGCACTGATATGCAATGCAATAGGATTATCTCACAAGAAGCTTGCGGTGTGCGACAGGGGTGCGAGCTGTTCGCGTTTGAGCGCTACATGACGTTCAGGAAGTCGGGCGGCAACCATTGCCAGTTCAACGTGCTGCCCGTTTCGGCCAAGGCCGCCGCCGGCGCGCGCAGCACTGTGGAGCAGCTCGCGCGCGACCACGGAGTGCCCCTGCAGCCCCTGGACGGCCCCTCCAAGGTGACCCCACACACTTTAGACCCCACCCCTTTGTCCAACGGAAGGACCATTCTGTGCATTCAAGCACGCCGCATGTTCATGTGCCTATCTGACCTTGGCTTCATACCCCTCTGTCGCCTGACCTGCAGAGCATCTTGCACTTGCGTACAAACAAAACCCCAGGCACATTCTGCCCTGTGCAAGTCCCTGTGATGCTTCACCGTTGGGAGTCGCCTCAAAAGTGATAATTGCACCCATTTAAGAAGAAGAGTGACTCATCAGGCCTGGTGGGTGTTGATGTGCCAGGGGGAGGCTGGCAGGGAGGTGCTGCGGCAGGCGGTGGGGGACGGTGAGTACTTTGTCGCGCTGCTGCCGGACGGCAGCCGCCTGGTCCACGCCATCACCCGCGGCGACAAGCACCCCCTCAACTTTGGCCGCGAGGTGCGCCCAACCCTCCCAACGCCCCTTGCAGTCCTTTGTGCAAGGGTCTTGAAACAAAGAGGTTCCTCCTTTCCCTGATTCTGATTTGTGTGCGCGCAAGAAAATTTGAATTGAATGTGTCGATTTAGAGTCTCCTGGTGCGCAACACATCCATGCAGCCGAGTTTTCTGAGGGTGTCTGCCCCTGGCTTTGAAGGAAGAGATGAGGGAAGGGAAGGGAAGGCAAGAGAAAGAGAAAACATGAATTTTCACAAAATTGGCGACAAAGAGCCATATGTTGGGTGCAGGTGGCGGCAAGCCTGGCCGGTGCACCAGACAGGGCGGACTGGAAGAAGTGTGCAAGCAGCCCAGCAGAGGAGGCCGACCGCACCGCCAAATTCAAAAAGCTCTTCAAACCGTATGACATCATGCAGTGATGGAGCTTTCCAGATCAAAGTGTTACGAATGCCTGCATTGCTTTTTGGTTCTAGCTGCTTGGCGCCTGTTGCCCTTTGGCGTACCCGTGCGGTCCTTCTCCCTTAGCACTTGCATTGAGTGCGCAATAAAGAAACATGCTCTTGAGTTGTCATGTGTGTACTGGGTGCCACCTGCCTCAGGATGACTCATTGATTCTCACTGTATCAGCAAACCTGCAAGGAACATGGATTGGGTATGTAACATGTGAACGGCGTGCATACTAATGCTCTGGACCACTATTCCCAGATGTGTTGCAACTATTGTACTGTGGAAACAACTTTACTGATGTCCTGCAATGTCTGCATGTGAAGATCAGAATGGTAGCTGCCTTGTTGGAGTAAAGGGTTGAAAGCCTTGATTTACACCAAATTTGCTTGCATAGCATGCCGCTCATCATGGCAGGTTGCTCGTGCCAAGGCATGTAACGTCAGACGTTGACACATGTACACAATATCCTGGATATGTATTCACATTAGGATCAAAGCATGTTCCAATTCCATGCTGCTGTCTTCAGGCACTGCAGCAATGCATCATCCAAAAACTCTGTCTCAACAGAGGAGATTGAACAGCAGCACGTTCCACTGATCCACAACATTGCTGCAGTACATTCGGCAGTCCAGGTTGTGCCCGTCCTTGCCGTGCCCAAAGGAGCCCATGTGCGAGTTGGGCCTGCCCACAGTCAGCTGGAACACCGGCAGCAGGCTGACATGGCTGCACTTGGTGCCGCACTTGCGCAGAAACGCCCTCACATACTCCTCATACCAAGACTCTCCCAGCTTAGTCGCCGGGCAGACCCCTCCCGCCTTCAGCTCCTTTGCGGCCTCCTGTTCCCATCACAAGCTGCCATCAGAGCCTGATTCCTTGAGCCCACAAATGAAGCAGCAATGAGCTAGCCCTGTTGTGCCAGGCAAATACCTGCCACCCATGCTTGTACGTGAAACTCATGCCCGACTATTTGCCCCCTTTATCCCTCTAACAACTCTGCTTCCATCTTCTTCAAAGAAGTTTGCGCTGTTTGATGCACTCTAGCCACGCTGTGAGGCAGTCTTTTCTCCTTCTCTGGCGCTCGCAATGCCTTCACAGCTTGCATCTCTCTTTCCTTGATATTTTCAACCTTCAAAAGGTGAAATATGCATGGCCAATTATATGGGACGCGCCTCCTCAAAGGTGTTGGTGCCGTTGGTGCCGCCGTAGTGGGCGGCTGCGTAGGAGCGCCAGAAGGTGCGCGCCTTGTAGCCGGCCAGCCGCTCCATCAGCAGCTCCTTCATATCCTTCTGCCAGGCCGGCCACGGGTGGTGCGGATCCAGCACCGAGTACCTCGGATACCACGCGCCAAAATTCACCACCTGCTCCAACCCACGCGCCGATCATCAGATCCGACTTCTGCGGCCCAGCAAAAGACTTCCTGCGCCCTAGTAAAAGAGCACTGAACCACTCAATTGGCGCCTAAAGCTCCAATTTTGTTCACATGATCCACATAATGCGAGTCCTGCCACCCAACACATGCACACACAGCGCGGTACCACTCATCGGGACCTTACAGCCTCCAGAGAGACCACAGTCAAGCTGTTGAGTATGGTATTCCCTGCTGAACCCCAGTGAAGGAAGTCTGGGGCATTCAGTCGACACACAGCAGGAGCACCCTGCGTCCGAATGACTTCAAGCAACACATAAGCTGCTTTATAAGCGTAAAGTGCTCACCAGGATGTCATCGGCCTGCAGCTCTCCAAAGGGCTTCATGACATCGTCCCACAGGGTCAGGTTGAACACATTGAAGCTCCTCAGGAACACGTGAAGCCCGTTGTCGAGAAGGAAATCCCCCACAAACTTCTTCTTCACATGCAGACCCGGCTGCAGCGACCGCGCAGTGTATTCCTTGTCCAGCTTCAGATCAGATTCCTGCAGCCGCATTCGCAAATGCTGTTCAGAGCAGCACACCAGGTGTGGCACAGGGAGACAGGCTTCGCTGAGAGTTATTACTATCATTCTTATCACATGCTGCGCCTGCCAGAAAAAAGGTGCGGCTGCAAACAAGCTCCAGGTAAAGGCTCCCACATGTCCTGCCCATTTCGGGCTCGCAAGAACCAAGCAGCAACTGACGCTTAGCATTGGGGCCCCATCTGCTGCAAGGTGCGAGACCCACCCAACCGTGGGCACGATGCTCAGTATGTACACCGCCCACTGCTGGCCAGGGCCCCATCTGCTGAGAGTGAACATGCAATAATGTATTACTGCTTGGATCTCACCTCCCAGGGCGTCTGCTTGCCGGACTTCAGGGCCGGGCGAGTGAGGCAAGCCAGGCTGTTAAACATCTGCTGCATGGACATGTCACCCACCATTATCATGCGCCGGTTTGCTGTGCACTTTGCAAACTCTTGCAGGTCCCACTGCCTCATATCGCACACAAACGGCTTGTACACCTGCACAGTGTAGTCTGATTCTTAGATGCATGAGGTGATGAAATTTGCAGCCATGCGCTTGTATCGATATGATGCAGAGCAATGCCTGGAATTAGAAAAGGGGATCGCACATCACCTGATTGTACTCTTTGTCCAGCATATCCCTGTGATCGGTGCCATCCGCCTGGCAGTCCCAGCCTTGCACCCAACTGGGGCACTCCTTTGCTTTGTTGTAGAAGCCATGAAAGGATGGTTCCTGGAGCACCATACCGCTATTTTCAACACATGAACAGCGAAGTTGAGCTGATCATGTGTGGTAGCCGATCGTCGGCAGCCACTATGCATTGCTGTGTTCCACTGCAATACAGCAACTACCCAGGAGCAGTCAACAGGGATGCTGCTGATATGAGGGGGAGCATACCTCATGAGCCACCCACTCGCCCTTGAACAAGGGGCTCTGTCCAAGGAAAGTTCCAGAGCACACAGCCTTCCTCGTCAGGTGATGCGCCTGCACCTCGTTTGCTCGCAAGCCTGACCCTGCACGGAGGACCTGGGCTTGGCTGCCTGCTGCATCAGTCCAGCCTGGAAGGAGAGCAAGAAGGGCCGCTAGGAGCACCCATCGCCAGCAATCCGACAAGTGTGTACGCAGTCTGATCCCCACTAATGTGCTGATTGGTCCGCCAGATCCCTCTCGCAATCTGGTCGCCCTATGCATGCCCTCCCACCAGTTGCCTGGCCTGATCCTGCGCACACCTTGCATCTTACAAGGTATGCTTCGAGTATACCATGTCGTTGCAAGAGGTGAGATGTGGTGAGAACTAACTAGCCTACATGCACATTGAGCCAATCCAAGGCTGATCTTTGAGTGAGGATACCACAAATGCAACCAGCTGAAGCACCGCCCACAGAGCAACTGCCGTTCTATGTAGAGAACATGTGGCGATCACCCCATCGGACAGAATATCAAAGCCTGAACAAAATTTGCAATATCTGAAACTCATCTAGTCGAGCAGATCAAGTTGTTCTCCCCAAACCGAAACCCAGCAAAGTGGAGATTTGCAGTAGTCGCACCTTCACATTCTTTTGAAGCGACTCATGCTCAGGTACATCCTATGATGACAACTACTCACTAGAGAATGTTCCACAGATGCTGGGCTGACGCGCGAGCTTGTGCAGGTTGCTGTCTTCCCCAACAGGGTACCGGAACGGTGGGGTAGTCATCGTCCGCGCTGAGGTGTGCCTGAATAGGTAATATAGATGATGCTCCTATTCTGGCATCCAGGCCTCTGCAAAGCGACATCCACAAGTGGAACTTTGTTGGCTTTGGCAATAAGATCCTCCCCCTCGCCCCCTTACTTTCATCGTAGCTATGGCTCTCCGTCAGCTGGCTTCGTTTGCTGCCCAACGCACAGGCCTCTGCTGGGCCAGCCCGTTGGCTGGGCAGGTGTCCACCTCCCTCGCAACTGTCCTGCGCGCAGGAGCCTTCAGGGGATTTGCCACAGGTGAGTGGTAATGAGCTGTGATCGATCGCAGCTGACTCTGTGTATGCAAAGGCTGTTACTTCGAGTCTTATCACAATGGTGCGCGCATCTAAACGTGACCGCAAGTAGCTAGCTACAATCTGTTGTTTCTCTGCTGAGGATCAAGTAACACAGGGGAGCAACAATTTCGTGTGCAATTACGCTGGCTGATATCAGGCACAGGTTCTCTCTATTATCAATTGCGTTACTGATGGCTCTCATTGCCCCTGCAGTTGAGGAGGGCTTCAAGTATGCGAAATCCCACGAGTACGCGAAGATTGATGGTGACACAGCCACTATCGGCATCTCAGACTTCGCACAGGTGCGGATTGCGGTGAATTGCTGGGGTACGACAGCAGCTTATCATTTTCGATGTCCAGGGTTGCTTAAATACTGGAGTCCCTGGTGCAATATTTTATGTCAGTGTGGCATGTGCAGAGCGAGCTGGGCGACATTGTGTACGTTGAGCTTCCTGAGGTCGGCTCAGAGGTGACCCAGGGAGAGAACTTTGGTGTGGTTGAGTCAGTCAAGGTGCGCTGCTTGGCTTCACTCACTTTTCCATCGTCATGTGGGACATCGGTGGGATGCAGCACATTTGACAGATGCAACAATTGCTGCCCTCCCCCTTGTCTCAATATTGGTTTTTGTACCTGATGCTGAGCCACGTGATCTGAAGGCTGCTGTGCTCTGGCAAACAGGCCGCAAGTGATGTGTACTCACCATTGAGCGGGGAGGTTGTTGAGACGAACCAGACCCTGACTGAGGATCCCGGCAAGGTGAATACTCATTCCGTAACGCCCTCAGTCAATTCATAGCCAGTGATGCATGTCCATGCATCAGCACATGGCACCGTCAGCACCATGTGTCTTTTGTGGGTTGGCTGTAGTAGTCCTACTCTCATGGGGTAGAAAGAGGTTTGTGTTGGTGGCAGGTGAACACTGCGCCATTCTCCGACGGCTGGATGATCAAGGTGAAGTTGACAGACCCGTCCCAGGCTGACGGCCTTCTGGACTCAGCCGCATACGGCACGCACTGTGAAGAGAATGCCCACTAGGCCCTGCTGATCAGGGGCTCCGTAGATGTCTGCACTCCATGCAAGTGCTGGATGCTTGCAGCCACCATTGCACAGCACATGGCTTGTGTGACGGCAGTATAGTTGTAAGCATGGTCAGTGGCTGTACATTGGCACTGTGCGCACTGCGCATCGTGCAGCGCTGGAGTGTAATTTAAATGTGAGAGTATATTGTGTAGTCCAAGAACACGGTTGGAGTGCTCTAGATACTGAGGGAGACAAAATGTCGGCTCGTTCTGGCAACTTGTACCTAGTAGCTACCTATTTGTGCATTGGCTTCTCTTTCAGGCGTTCTTGATGTGTGGAGTGACGCCCTTGAGCCACTGAAACCATATGCATAAAGGAGCAGCGCTGCTATAGCTAGCGGCTGCAGCATTTGCGGACATCGCATGGCTGTACACACTTGCACTGCATACTTGCATCGGTGACAACTCAATTGTATACTCAATCACACTAGTAACTTGTGAGCTCGAACTGCAGTGCATAATCGGCTTCAAGTGAATTCGCTTCAGAGTCTTGACTCAAGAGGAACATTATTGTTATTAGGAGGAAGGAAAATTATAGTGATGATCATGAATCCCCAGGCTTGCTGTATGCTGTGCAGTCTGAGAGGTATGGAACATTCCTTCACGCTCGACCTTGCATCCGAAAACGAGACCTTTGAAGCCACCCACAAAGGGTCCCCCAAAGTTCAGTGCCAGCCTGTCTTGCGGACCCCCCGATTTGAAGACATCCCGCACTGCAAATGTTGTAGAGCTCTCCGAAAGCAATTTCTTCATCCTCTCAACACGTAAGTGGAGGGCATCTGTGCGACAGTGGCAATAAGTACTTTGGACGTTACAATAGCTTGACCGCGCCTGGAGGAACAAGTCTTTCCGGTTAGTGGAGGACTCGAGCTAGGCCGTGTTGATGGGAACAAGCGTAAGACTCTGCACCTGCCTAATAACGAGTAGGCAGATGGTTGTCGTGTCAGCTGTGTGAGTACAGATGAGAACGACTATCATCGGACTGGTCCAGGCGGCTAGGAGGCACCCGTCGCAGCGTGAGATTGGGTGGCGCAGTTTACAGGACACGATAATAGGACAAGCCAAAATGTACAAGTCAGCTGCAACTGTGATTATAGTATACTGGTAACACAAATACTGGTGTGTGGCCGCTGTTGTGCCAATCGATGCTGGCTTTTACGCTGATCAGCGTTCCGGAAGTTTGGTGCCGAATAGGAGGTATTACTTTACAACGTCAAACGCGTCAGAAAAGCAAGAACTGATTGATGGAATTCCCGTAGGAGTGGCAGAACTTAATTTTGAGTCGGGTAGATCAGCATCCATCATCTTCTGCCGATCGGAGCGTCTTTCACCCTAAGTGAGATGCCGCACGTCCGATGTCGTACTGGAACAGCGGCAAAGGTAGTCAAAGTACTGACGCATTGAAATGTAGTTAACTTATCTTTATTGATTGTTGTTTGCAGGTGTTGAAGGCATAGTGGAGGAGCCTGAAGGCGATAAGCTGCTCACTCCTGCACAGAAAGCAGCTGCTGCTGCTCAGCGAAAAACCCCAGAAACAGTCTGGTCCACTCCCGACAGGATAGGTTCGACTAGGAGCCTAGGCGAGCATTTATGCCTGGCACGGGAGGACAGGAATGGCAGGTGAGGCCTTTACACCCCTCCAACACCCCTCAAAATTTCCTGTGCTTCATGCGAGTGCATGCTTGGCTCCCCCATTGTCTGACACCCATCCGGCCCTCCAGAGAAGGAAGAGATAGTGTCAACACTGCTCAAGCTATCTCTGCAGTGCCTTTGTGAGATGCGTCCAACGATATCGGCAGGCCAAAAATGTAGAAATGGAGGACTCTCTACACTGCTTTCATTGCAGCCTATGCCAAGCAAGGTATGGTGTGCCAAGGCGCTGAGCAGTGCAGCGCATGGTGCAAGCAGGGCATGAATTGGCGCGGGTGGGCATCGGAAGCAGACCTGCGACCTCCGCTGCAGCACTGGCATTCAGCGCCCTTCAACACACTGGAGGGCTACCGCCTCGAGGTGGACGCCACGCGGATGGGCGAGACCTGCACTGCTGAGCCCTTCGACCCCAAGACTGACTACTCCCGCATGGATCCCCTGTCCCAGCTCCAGGTCAGCATGCCGAGCCTTCATACGAGTTCATTGCACCCTGCCCTTTGAATGCCGTGAGAGTGTCATAAGGATCATAGTGCCCCTGTACTCTAAACGTCGTATAGAGTTTGATGATGAGACACCGCCTGTGCAATCAGACATGTCATGAAGTATTCACGAGTGCGACAATGAACGCTGCAGTCAAACGTTCTCATTTTCTAACGTGCAATAGTGCACCCTGCAAAACCGGGTGCACTGCAGCTTGTATAATTGTGGCTATCCGCGGTGACGAGGAGCGCGTATGAATCACGGCGTCTGAGATGTAGTGGGCTGCTGCGCAGAATGCGTTCCTGGGCGGCTACGACATCGGCCTGACGCAGGAGTTTAGCTCGCAGGCGGACATGCTGAATGATCTGTTGCGGCAGCGCCAATTCCAGAGCAGCCCCAACATGCATGCTGTGCCCAAGTTTGGCGCCGAAGACAGCCCTGACATGCTGCAGCAGGGCACAGGTGGGCAGCGCACGTCCCTTAATCTTTTGCCAGCTCTTTTAGTTTTCATTGCACGCTGTTCCTGCCAGAGGCAAGGTGCGCCTGCAGGCAAGCTGCAGTACAGGCTGCCAAACAACCTTCCACTTCATTGACTCGCCAGATCCAAGCAAGACCCAATCAATCGTGGGCACGGTGCTCATTGTTTGTACCGCCCCCCGCCAGCCGGGGCCTGTCATGCCTGTGCAAGCAATTGATGGGCACAGTAGTGAGGGCAAATATATCGTGATCTCATGGCGGCAACTGAGGCCGGTAATGTGTGCAGGCGCGGAGGCACCTGGATCGGACTCACTGACACAGGAGGAGCAGGTTTCCAGCCTGACCATGGCGGCCTTTGACGAGTGCCTGCTCAATGTGGACCTGCCAGCACTCAATATCCCCAGGTAATTGCCGCCTGCTGATGTGCTGCTGTTCTCGCCTGCTTCCCCAAGTCCATGCTCAATGTATTGGATATGCAGCACACCTCGTCCTTCCATTCTGCAGTTGGCTAATGCGCCATGAAGCAGTTTTTACCACTCCAGAAAACAAATATTGAAGAGAAAAGTTGTGTGCAGGCCTGGCACGGTGGATGACATGGACGGCCAGTCATCCCCAATGTCAGCGCATTTCCAGACCCTGCAGGGATTGAATCTGCTGCCGCCGCCAAGCGCGGCCAACATGAACCGCATGCTGCTGCCCTGCAGGTCCGGCAACCCTGCAGCCTTGCTCCCTGGAATCCAAAACCTTGTACAGTTCAGGAGCCTAACCATTGAGCCCACTGATAATTGACACTCTTTGTGCAGTATTCAATTGAATGGAATCAGCTCAAAGATCAAGGTTGTTTTTGTGTTTTGTACATTCCATTGTCCAAAAAACTAACACAGGCATATCCCGCATCCATTGACGTGCCATTCTTGCCCTGCGCAGCCCCAGGAATTCGCCAGGCACGCCGCAAGCGGCAGGCGAGGCCGGAGGCGGCAAGTCGGGTCCAGCGGCCATCCAGGTGGCGACCGTCGGCTGCGGCGGTGCGCTGGGCAAGTGCCCGCCCGGCATGCCCGCCCTGCCGGGGCAGCTGCTGTGCCCCGGGCCCAGCCGCTCCCAGTCGCTGCCCGTGCTGCACAACAACCTCAACAGCTCGCCCGGCACCCCCCAAGCCCGCGGTGCGCACAGTCATTGGACCTCTTGTGAAGGCCTTGACACCTCAGACGCCACTGTGAGAAGGGCTGCAGTGCCGGAGCGGAGACTCCCCAAGGTTCCCCGTGCAGTGATCATGGAGACATTCTAAAGTGGTTCACAAGCAATCTGAAGGGCAGGCTGCGGGGGGCAATGAGGTCTGACGGGGGTGCGCAATTTGAAAGCAGGGGACACGGGGGCGTTGGAGCAGGAGCAGTGCAGTGCGCTGGCGGCCAATGCGGCGGCGCAGGCAGCGCTGTGGAGCACCAGCGGCACCTCCAAACTCACGCACCCAGACACCCTCAACCCAGGTGGGACAACACTCTCAATCCATACAGAATCATCATGATCTGGATCCAAGCAAATTATATACTGTTTCCAATCCTTCTACTGCCTGATCTGCATGCTTCCCTGCCATCACACTGCAGAATACAGGTTGTGTCGCTTCACCCAATCTGCATGCTTGCCTGCCCACATCTTGGGATGTCCAATAGCTCATATTGACATTCATGTTCTTGGCAACACACATGGTACTGGCAAAGCATATTGACCTCAGGGCCCTTATGAGAGGTGAGAGCACTGTTTCTGATGCACATTATGGCATTTTCGGCAGGGACGGGTGGGGTGGAGGAGATGGAGGACGTTGAGGCGATCCACCGCGCGTATCTGACGCCGGCGCACAAGCGCAAGGGCAAGGGCGGGCGGCAGCCGGCAGCCGACCCGCGGCTGGACCCGGGCATCGACCCCAAACGTGCGCGCCGCATCCTCGCCAACCGCCTCTCCGCCGCGCGCTCCAAGATGAAGCAGAAGAGCCACGTCGAGGTGGGGCTGCTTTCAACACACACTGTCTCGACACCTCTCATTTGGTCTGCATCTGAGGCAGTGTGCGCACTGTCAGACACCAGGATAAGACAAAGGGATCATCATCTCAGGGATACGCCCAGCGCCTCAAAGAGAACAAGAAACAGGACAAACGTCGGCCTGGGCCACAGGGGAGGTGCATGGAAGCAAAGACTGGAAGTGTTTGAAGGGTGAATGATTTTGTGGGGCTGTGGCGTCCGGCAGGCGCTGAGGCGCAAGGTGGAGATCCTGACCTTCCACAAGAGCAATCTGGCGGCGGAGATCGAGAAGCTGCGCGCCGCATGCAACCGTCGCGCCAGCCACAACAGCGTCCTCAAGATGAAGCTCGACGTGAGGCGCCCGCCCACCCTCTGCACACAGCTTGTACATCACCTTCTATTGCTCTACTTGCTTCAGTGCAGTAAAATACTGACCTAAGGCAGGCTGCCTGACAGAGCAATCAGTCTCAGAACTGCACTCGTGAGAAAAACTCCTGTCTGATCGGCAGCGCTATGGGTAATAAGTGTAGTTTTCAATGCAGCAGCTCTGATGATACGCCAACACATGTGCTTGCGGTCATGCGCTTCTGGATGCAGCGTTTTTTCCTGAAAATTGAAAACTGCGATCGAAAAACCGCGAAAAATTGCTCCCCTGCAGGAGCTGAGGGGGCACTGCGCGATGCTGGTGCGCACACACAATGAGCTGGTGGAGCAGCGCAACCGCCTCCTCCTGGCCGCCGGCTACAGCGGGCGGCCAGGGTCGGCCACCGGCGGCGCGGAGGCGGCCGCGCATGCGCACATCGGCGGCGCCGGCAGCAACAACGGCGCATTGGACGGCTGCAGCGTTATGCCGGAGACTCCCGAGCACGAGGCTGCGGCCGCAGCTGCCGGCAGCGCCCCCGACCTCCAGCTCAGCGGCGGATCCCCCATTACCGAGGTGCGATACAGGCCCTCTTTGTACCAACTTGATTGAATGATACATTTCAGTCGGCAATTTGGCAGCAATGGACCACACACTTGCTGGTTTGCAGGGACGCAATGGTAGTTGCATCACTGAGGTTGGCAACAATTGTTTGTCCCTGTGAATGACTGTGATGCAAGAGAGATGCAAGATTGTTGCCGGCGATCCTGCCTGTTGCTACCTCTTCCGCAGAAGATTATCATATTTCAGAAACCGGGCACAGCAAATGCTTCATCAACATTGGGAACCTGTCACTGCAATAGACCATTTTTGCCCCATATTTGAAGTCAGCAGACTGGTGGCAGTATGACCAATTACTTGCTAATGGGCTCATGCGTGTTGTAGTACTTGCATTACCACGGGTTGCCTGAAGCACTCAACCTGCGGCAATTGTGGGTGTGCATTTATTCTGGGGAAGCTGTCTGAGGCATCATTTGGAAGTGCAGGTGAAGGGCGGAGAGCACGTCAACAGGAGCCCTGAGACGCCCTCGCACTGATGGCAGCGATCTGACGGCTGCCATCTCCTCATTCAATCCTCGCTCTACCCATCTCCAAGCGCAGCCTGCAGCTTCTGCATGCCTGTCATGCGGAGACAGAAGCCAGCTCATCATCATCTGACAAGTACTCATTGCATGGTATCTGTGGTCAGAATAGAGAGTGAAAGCGGCATGAGACAGCACAGCTAGGGCCACGATTGGCTGAAAAAACCAAGTAAGAAGTTCAGAGACAGAGCTTTGATTGTGCATGCTAAAGTGCATTTGATGGGAGCATTTATTTACGCATCAGGGAAATTGACTCTCCTAGAGAGACTTGATCCTGCGCTACTTTATGCACTGCAAAGTCACCAAGTGATGTACCTTACATTGCCCCTCTGTACTGCATGGCAATGAGATCTCCACAGTACTGGAAACCTCTCCATGAAACACTGTTAGGACCGGCGGCACGCTCTTGGTTCATTTTGGACTGCTGTGAGTGGCAATGCTTGGGCACACCCTGCCAAATGGAGCAGGTTTGCCAAATGTCATTTTGGTCCCCTTTTTCTTTCCTAAAGTACTGGTGTGCAGAGCATATTGAGCCAGACACAGGTCTTGTGAAGGACCTCTACAGCGGGTGGGTGTGAATGTAGATGTACTGCATGCCTTCAATCGGGTCACTAAAGCACTCCAGAAAAAGGCAGGAATCCTTGTGCATACCAATGGCAGAAGGAAGGCCCGGGAGTATATGGTACCTTTTGTTAACTAGGAAGACGACAATTCTGCATTGCCATGGAAAACAAATTGAACTCCAACAGGGACAAATTTCATTTTTGCGATGAAGTTGAGGACTGGATCAAACATGCGGGAACCATCAAAAATGTTGTGTGAAGACTCTTGTGTGATCAAGAGGACCCTTCAAGAGCGCTCGAATGCTGAAGAGGATAAAATCGATATTTGGTTAGCTAGCTGTCCAAAGTGAGCAAAAGAATACACCATTGAGAAAGAATTTGAGGACATGTTCTGTGGTGTTGGACCTAAAATTGCTTCAGGATGAGATAATGTTTTGTAATGTGTCCATAGCAAAGGTTGCCCTTTTCTGTGATGAAGGGGAGGTTTTTAGGATGTCAAACTGGGGAAAATAATGTGTTTGTTCTTTCACCTGGGCTCCAAGTCTAATAGCCTGCATTGTGGGTTCATCTGTAATTGTTGATTGCTTTGCTACAACATGAAGATACACGCTTATTTCACTTTGATCTACCTGGCATGTACATGGTCACTAGCTAAAGGATCCCGCACAGCAATGACAATCAATAATACAGCAATTAACAAGAGCCGGCGAAATTGGTCTCTCATTCCTTTCTAGTTCTACACTCATACAGTATCAGCAACGTAGAGTCATCTGCAAGCGCTTGCAAAAGGACATGCTTGACAGTCAGGAAAGACAAAGCCGGCACTACTTCAAACCCCTCCTCGCCAGCGCCCTCCGTGCAGCTCTGCCTGATCCGTTGCTGCCGGCCCTATTGCCGCCGCTCCCCGCATGCATGCTGCCGCTGCCGTTCATGGCGCTTGCATAGCCGCCGGACGGCTGCGGCATGTCAGGGAGGTCCGGCAGGGAGCGGGCGATGTCGAGCATGGTGAGCTGGTCGGCCTCCACAAGGCTTAGCTCCTCCAGGGGCGCCCCTAGGGCCTCCAGCGCTGCGCGTGCCGCCTGCTGCTCCGCCGTCGGCCGGTGGATGTCCGCCCCTGATGCCACTATGCCCCCCGCCGACACCTGCGCAGCGCAGCACTCCACGCTCAGCTTGACACGTGGAAACCCATCAAGGGTTAGTTGCTAGGACCCAGAACTGTTGCTAGCAAATCAGTGCGAAGACTCTCTAGTTTTGCGGAGCTCAAGCAGCTATGGTTCTCTGGTCTTGGTGCTGGCAAAAGCAGATGAATGCATGGTCCCCAAAACAAACGCAATGGCGGTGTACGACAGTCTCTGTCGCCGCTTTCCTAGGCTCGCGCATGCATGCCAGTAAATGACGAGGATGTAGTGCTTGCGCAAGTCCCAGGGCAGCTTTTCAGGGCATGTCGGGTCAGAACGTGACCAGGTCAGTGTATAAGGCTGCAGGAACGTCATAAGGTGAAGAGGGGCAAAATGTACCCGGCAGACCCAAATGAGGTGGGGGCCGCCGCCAGCCGGTGCGCGGGGCACGAGCGGGTAGGAGGCGGTGGCGGGGTCGGGTGTGCCCATGTGGGCGCGGCTGCGGTAGACGGCGCGGCCCATGCCCCGCAGGCGCATGATGTTGCCCAGCACGCCCTTGTAGTCCCTGTTCAGCGGCAGCCGCTCCATGTCCACCACCTCCTGCACCAGAACAGTATTCTAGCTTACAGCAGCCACTGCAACATAATCACTCCCTCAGGTCCCAACCGATCTCCGACACCCGTAGCGTGGCTTCTACTGTCGTGACAGAGCAAGAAAGTCCAGAGGCACTCATGAGCGGGAATGTACATGTGACAGAATTCAATTCAGCAAGCATCAACCTCTGAAGCAATGGAATGCTGTTCACACACCACAGGTACGGGAAAGCTTTTTGCATGCATTCTCGATCCCAGAAAAGCAAAGGAAACTCTGCAGCAGCAAGGGCGGGGTACAAACCTCGACAAGGCGAAGGAGGAAGGCGCGGGCAGCGGGGTAGCCGCGGTCCATGAACAGCGCGCCCAGCAGCGCCTCAAAGGCGTCAGCCAGCATGCCGCCGGCATAGCCGCCCATGCCGCGCATGGCCCACTGGTCGTCCGCGTTGAGCGCCAGGTAATGCTCCAGGTGCAGCCCCCGCGCAAAGTCGTGCAGCGTGCGCCCGGACACCAGCGTTGACACCATTGTGCACATCGCGTGCTCCGTCACCCCCGGGTACCTGCCTCGCAGCTTCCCGCCTCAATTACTAACGACACGCAGGAAGACTGATCACGTTGCTTCCGGCTAGTCTGGGGCTGATCCCGTGCCAGAATTTGAATCTCTGAGTCAGCGCCCGGTATCACAAGGCACCAGGGGGCTGCTTCTTACTGTGCAGACATGAGCAGATGGGTGCACCAAAGGAGCTGATGCTTTCTGACCCACCATGCACATCACCCGACCAAATCATTGTGCACATCTTAAAAGGAGATTCAGCCGTGAGACAGGCCTAAAAGCAACCAGGATGAGCCATGCCCCACTTGCTGTAGATGTACTCGCGGATGATGAGGCCCAGCACGGCATCGCCCACATACTCCAGCCGCTCGTAGGAGCATCCAACGATGTCATCCACGGCCGTGGGTGATGTCAGCGCGCGCCTGTACAGGCCCATGTCGCACACATGCGTCCCCACCAGCGCCTCAACGCGCCACCGCGGCATATCCGCCAGCGGAGCCTTCATCTTCCCTGCACATGTTCCGTGACGAACCAGTACTAATCACCCGCTCATGAGTTACATGGCAGACGTTCAGAGCTGCGACCACCAAATACAGACCTCAATTGATATCACATCTGTCGATGATTATATTTCGTGCTTTATACCCTTTCAGTAGACCATGACACTGGGACCTACCAATAGGTGATCCTAATGTGAATTGCATGTGCTAGAATCTCCCTGCCAGAAACTGGTTAATGGGTGCAAGAAGGTCTTGTGCTCACCCTCCGTATCGAATCCAGCACCGAGGCTGACCCGACTGGCTTCTTTCTCGTTCCTGCAAACTCGCAACCGCGCCAGGGTGGGGCTGGCATGAAATTTGGGAGGACGAGGCTTCCCCTTCACAGCCCACCAGGCTGCACGGGTAAGGTACAAGCAGGCAAACCATGCCGCCTGCACACAACATGCGCTTTGGCTCACCGCAAGGAAGACCAAGTGTGACTCTCATTGAAGAACAAGACATCTGGAGGGCTGCACACAACCACCAACTTCGCAATGTCCAGGTCCAGTGTAGTATCATTGTGTGTTGCATGCCCCAAATGCTTAAATGAATGGTTTTGTACCTTCAGATCTCGGAACGCCATGCGCAATGCACCCGTGCACCCTCGCAAGAACTTTGCCCTAGCTGCATTCAGAGACGCTAGCGCCGCCGTCAGGAGCCCCACCAGTCCTGATCTCCTTCTGATCACATGTCCTGAAAAGAGAGAACAAATAAGCATTACACAACACCAACAAATTTACAATAGGAGGAAGCTGCGTCAATTTAAATGACAGTCGTGCACTATGTCGCGCAGAAGATGTTACCCTGATGTTCACTGGTAAATGCTGGCGACTGTCTGAGCTCTGCCTCTTTGGGAGGCCTGATTGCATCTGCTGCACCTTTGTCTCCGCCCCTACTGCTGCTCTCACCAGCCCTGCTATCTGATATTGTCCCAGGCTGCTGATCACTACTCTCCTGCTCTGTTGTACCGCTACTGTCTATCGGCTCACTCGCATCCACGGAGAAGATGGAGTTGCTGCTGTCGTCCAGAACAGTCCAGCCATTGCTGATGCCACTGCTGGAAGTCTCTGAAGGCTGCTGCCCCTCTGCGTCTTCCCGGCTGAACCGCCAAAATCTGACTCTCCCTCTCCCAGCACCACCGACGCCATCAGTAGGGCCATCGCTGCTACTGTCGAGCATATTCAACTCCCTCAAACTGTCATTCGACTCGGCACTGTAGGCACCATTGCTGCTGCTGGCCAGTTCACTTGACGCTCCATTGATATTGCTGCTATGGGCCCCATTGCTGATGCTGGCCAGGTCATGTGAAGCTTCTTTGCCGTTGCTGCTGTGGGCCCCATTGCTGCTTGAGCTGCTCTGCTCATCCTCCTCTTCAGAGCTTCCTCCCTCCTCTTCAGTGTCTGCAACTTCCGTTCTGCCCCAAAGCTTGTACTCAAAGTTCACCTGTGTTGGCAGACCAAAATGAAAGGCGAAGCACAATATATTGAAGCACAGCTCCTTGAGCAGGGTGCCTACAAACATGTGCTTGCCATCTCACCCAGCCCCACCTCTCTTGATACTTTTCGGGTTCGGCTCAGTTTGGCAAGCTTCTTCTCGGCCAAGACTGCCTGGCCCATTGAGACAGTCCCCAACTGCTCGGCCAAGGGCCATCCCCCACGGCCATAAAATTGGAAGAGCAGCTCCTCTCCATCATGCAGCTCTGCAAGACAATAGTGCAGGTTATAAGTAGCTTGCAATATATTATGCATGCCACACCATGCCGAAAACATGCAGTCTTGGGTAACATGTGCTGCGGGGCAGGCGTACCAAGGACAAGAGCAGAAGTGTTTGGCTTGGCCTTTGTTTCGGTGTTTGCTGGACCTGGGCGCCTGTTCACAGCGCAGTTGAATCTTTGGTGAGTGTCTACAAGAATACTTTCACCCACACAACACGTGCTGCAGCTCAATCCAGCACAACGGCGAAGGGACGCACGCACTTACCTCCACTGTGAGGGAGGCGTACGCTTTGAATTTAGCTTGGGCGAGTATGGTGTCTTAGGAGCGTTTAGAATTTGCGATCCAGCCATTTAAGGAATTCTCAACAGCTTCAGTATGTCAACAGTGCACCAAGTATATTCTGCTAGCCCGCCTGACAGTGTGCAGCTTTAAAACCCTGCTATACGTGCTGCATGTGTTGGAAACTCTGTGTTAAGAGGAAATATTGAAATCTACTGTACATCACTTTGCAATTCACTCAAGGGCACGCACAGAGTGGACCGCGTGCTGTCCAGCCATCAGCGGCTGGCCCCATACCCTATGTTGATTGATGCTTTTCGTCGTGGTTTTTGTTATCTACACGATTGATTCCTTTCTTTTGAACAATTTTTGCAATTCGTCGTGGGGCTGAAAAGCAAGTTGCGAATCTTGCGAGTCTCGGAAAGCTCATAACCCCACGATTATCACTGGCATGGGAATAACCCTAGCCAGCTGGCTGGCTACCAGTTGCCGCGAAGCCGCTGATGCCTGTTCACAAGAGCTTCTCATGGTCAACGTTCACCTTTTTTGCTTTCGAAATCTAGTCAAAAGATTCACATTTGATCGTTCAGTAAAATCCTTAAGCGTGACAACCGGAGTGCACCATTCTCTATGTCTCGGACTGCTCTATCGCCCGCCTTATTGGCAACAGAGCTCGCCCTGCCTTTGCCTGTGTCACGAGAAGAAGGGGAAGTGTCCACATTAGAGGGATGCAGCCCTACTGCACGCGTTGCCGACGTGAGGGCGTTCAGAAAGAGCTCCAAGGCGGTTGTTACACCTTACCAGGCTCTGCCGGTTCAGGGCCCACTTGTTGCAATAGACAGCCCAGCCACCAATAGCGATCAGATCACGCACCATCTCACCCCTGCTCTTCCAGTCCTTGAACCTGAGGACTGTTCAAAAAAGGTTTGTCCTCCCAGCCTTCCAACGGACAGACCAACTGATTGTTATGTACTTCTTCTTCAAAGCTTTCAAGATGGCCTTTAATAGTATTGAAGAGATTTTGTCCTTCAGATCATTTTAGTCTAATTCTTCTTGCGTCTCTCAGGACTTGGATGAGCGCATACTGAAAGTCATACATGACTACAAGGAGAGGCTGGTTGAGAGAACGAAACATCACTTGGGGTAAGGAGCTGGGGTTTTCATGCTCTTTGCTGGGATGAAAGAATGCCTTCTTTGACTCTCCAGAGGGGGCCATACGACACATGGATGGTTGGAGTACAGGCTCTAGTTCAAGGCACTTGTTGACTTCTTGACCGCAGGTATCCTTACAACCTGGATTTTGACTTCTCGGCTTTGGAAGGCCTGCAGCGGTTCAGCATCAACAATCTAGGGGACCCCTTCATCGAGAGCAACTATGGCGTGCACTCCAGAGAGTTTGAGGTATGCCTAGTAATTACTCTCCAAGTTCCTGGAGCCACAGGTAGCCAGGATGTCGTTTCACTTACGCCTTTTCAATATGCCTTCTGGGCTCCTAATACTTTGTCTTTGCCGCGCAGATTGGGGTGCTGCAGTGGTTTGCTCGCCTGTGGGAGATTGATCAGGACGAGTACTGGGTGCGTCCCATTGCCTTTGTAGACGACCTGTTTTTCTTTCTGTTGCCGTGCCTCCTTCATAGCAATGTGACCGTGGGTTTGCTTCATGTTTGCTGCAATTCAGACCACTGTAGCACCATTCCATTATATATTATGCGGTGTCATATGCATGTTCGTGCATGTGGCAGGGCTACATCACCAACTGCGGCACGGAGGGCAACCTGCACGGCATCCTGGTGGGCCGCGAAAACCTGCCGGACGGCATCCTGTACGCCTCCCACGAGACGCACTACTCCGTCTTCAAGGCCGCGCGCATGTACCGAATGGACTCCGTCAAGGCAAGCCTCCCACTTAAAGGGTTTCCATTTGAAGTTTCCACGAATGCACGCCTTTACAAGCTGTGCAATTCAATTCTATGTGTTTCTAACGGGATCTTGTGATTATTTGCTTGTCTGCAGCACTGATCAAGCTCCCTGTCAAGTACATGTTGAGACTTGCATTTCCGTGCTCCGCCTCATGCCTGCAGAGATGAACCTAAATTGGGGCTCTTCTAAGGCAAGGTGTTTAATTGCATGCACCACAATGCTCAAGTGCACGCATGACGTTTACAAAATTTTGCCGCAGCTTGACACGTTGGAGACGGGGGAGATGGACTACGACCACTTGCGGTCAGTGCTGGCGGCCAACAGCGCCCGGCCGGCCATCCTGAACGTCAACTGCGGCACAACAGTCAAAGGCGCTGTGGACGATCTGGACCGCGTTCTGGATATTCTGCGCGAGACCGGCTACAGCGAAGACCGCTTCTACATCCACGTGGACGGCGCCCTCTTCGGCATGATGGTGCGCTCACAGGACACCAGACAGTAATAAATTGGATTGAGGTCATTAGGATTGCTGTTTTGGATGGGACTGGCGCTGTCCTTAGAGTGGTTGTGTGCAGCAGAGAAATTAATGGTGAACGCAGGACGCTGATCATGGAGGCTGTCAGCAAGAAGAATTACAGAGATGGGAGTGGTACTGGCGTTGGCATGGGCTCTTGTTGAGTCTGTGCTTGGAGGAGTCTGTGATTGGAGGATTGTGTGTCTTGCTCACTGAGTGTGGGGGCTTGTGTGCGCAGATGCCCTTCATCAAGAAGGCGCCGCGGGTGTCCTTCAGGAAGCCCATCGGCTCGGTGTCGGTGTCCGGCCACAAGTTCATCGGAGCTCCTGTGCCCTGCGGCGTAGTCATCACCCGCCAAAAGGTGCTTCCTGCCTCCTGTTGATGCCTCCTGTTGATGTCCCCTGTTGTGACCATTCTCGGTGCGTCTCGCCTTGCAGCACCTTCGTATCTTATAGCTGGCAAGCAAACCAATGCCTGGTAGTTCACCTGTGGATGATATCCAGGACTTGCTACATTCCTTGGTGCATCTGGCATTGCAGCACCCTGTCGATGCTCTGGCTGGCAGGCAGATAGTTGTCAGGCACAGAAACTCTTAATCTTGGTCATTGCTGACTGGAAGGAGCCAGGCATGGCAGTTGTGCCTGTGAATCAAAACTTCTACAAGATGCAATCATGCTAAACACATCACTTATGTTCAATGTGGCGCAGTATGTGGCGGCTCTGTCAAACGACGTGGAGTACCTGAACAGCAGGGACGCGACGATCATGGGGTCGCGCAATGGCCACGCGCCCATCTACATGTGGTTCACGCTGACGCGCAAGGGCTACGAAGGCATGCGCAAGGACGTCGAGCGCTGCCTGCGCAACGCCCTCGTCCTCAAGGTGCGCCTGTGCAAAAATCTGCAACAAAGCCATACCATGGAGACTGCTGCTTTGACGTCTGATGCCACCCCTCTGGAACCGCATGCCCGCTTGCATCAGGGAGCCGCACAGGCAGCATATGCCAAGCAGCATGGCCCTGAGATGTCCCCTAAGTCGCCTTGGCAGGTATTGCAATTGCTCGTGGTGACAAGGGGATGCCCAGCCTTGATGGAATTGAAGACAGGTCCAATATTTGCCTGTTGGTGCTCCAGCGCTCAGTCCAAGTGATTGCTGTACATTTTGCTTCTGCCTGACACTGTTGCTTCCTCTAAGAAGAGCGGGATATCTGTTATCAAATGCATATGTTGCATGCGTGGTGCAGAGCATGCTGGAGCAGGCGGGCGTGAAGGTGATGCTGAACGAGCTGAGCAGCACGGTGGTGTTTGAGCGGCCGCGCGAGGAGGCATTTGTGCGCAAGTGGCAGCTGGCGTGCGAGGGCGAGGTGGCGCACGTGGTGGTCATGCCCAATGTGCACATGGCCATCCTGGAGGAATTCGTCGCCGACCTTATCGCCAGCCGCACCCGCCACTTCCTCAACGCCGCCATGAAGGTCAGCTGTTTCATTTCAATTTTTTGAATCAGAAGCTTGAGCATTTCCTGCGTGGTATAGTTTTTCATCCTAGGGCCCTCTGCCCTTCACTAACTGGCCTGGCAATAGGCCAACAATAGGATGCCCTACACGCGGCAATGATGCCTGCTGGCCACATTTCAGTAGCCCATTGTGCCCTGTTGATGTTGTGCCTGTGTATGCGTGTGATGCTGTGTGATCTATCGCCGGAAGACAAACAGATCCTTTCCGCTTGCTGCTGGCCCTCAGATTCATGCTGTCCTCCTGCATGCCGGCGCCTAATCTAGCTTGAAATCCTGCAGGTCGCCTCAGACGCGCGCGCCGCCCACAGCGATGACAGCGATGAGGAGTGACGCAGCTTACCATGTACTAAGAAAGCCAGCCTCTGCGCCAGGCATCCATTTGCAGATGGCAGAGTAGCTGGAGTCATGCACATTGCGCTTTTTCCAGGAAGGTTATGAGTGCTCGGCGATGGTAAAGCAAGCAGGTTCTATTGTATGGTATGCCAGAGCCACAAAAAGACATGCATGTGAGGTGCAGTGTTTAGGGTAATGTTTTGATCGTAGACGAGGTAGACAGGAAGCTTCATGAAGTGCATTAGATCCTGCATAGTCCAGATGGACATTTTGCGATCGCATGCAGCGCTCTTTGCTCGCATAGAAGTAATGTAGCAAGGTCAAAGGCTCTTGGCACACGTCTTGTATGCAGACTAGGACAGCTTGCTTTCTGGCATGCACAAGCTGCTTGTTCCAGAGGTTGAGGAGTCGTCCGTGTCCATTGAGAAGAGAGTAGTGTATCATTATGAGAGTCTTCGCCATTGTATTGTTTTAACTCCAATTGGGAGTTTGATTGGAGTAGAAGAGTGGACATAAAGCAGCAAGGATTGTCCCTACGTGTCTGCGATTAGAAGGTTTCGATTGTACAGTGCTGTGCAACAATAATTGCGTATTATTACAACCTAATGTAAGGTGATTGTGGCAAATGTGCGCTAGGTGGTATGGCACAACTTGCGTGACATACTGAGAGCTGCATTCTACAGGGGTGCATTTCTTAACATCATAGACAGGGCGTTGTGTCACATCAAGCTTCTGCTTCTCCTGGGCTTTCACTTGTAATGGCAGGCTGCTGTCCCTCTTGCATGACCGCCATCAATGCAAACGTCCAGACCTACAAAATGAAGCAAAATTTTGCTAGTGCCAGTGGCTCATGGAGTCAACCTTCCTTTCTAGCTATACATAAGCGCGCCGCATTCTATGAAATGCAAGCGAGTTGCAGTGCAGGGGAAAGGAGAGCCATGCCTGATCTTCAAGCCCCTCTCTCAACCTTGCCATCAGGGACCTCAGCAGGACACTTTGCGCCGTGTCAGAGATATTGCTGAAGGACTCCAAGCACTTGCTGCCGAGGTTGACTCCGTGAGAATTTAGATCGCGCAAGAACTTCTCGACCGCTGGTGAACCAAGCTCTTCTGGACGGCTGAGGGCAGCTGCCTGCCCGTCTCTACTGCGGGGTTCTTGAAATGGCACCTCAACCACCTGTACACAGCAGGCACAGCCAGCGTTGGGACTACAAGCTCAGACTAGACGCTTGGGCAAACCTGCACTAGGCAGCAATGAGAAGATTTGGCGGTGAACAGGGAGCTTCACCTTGTGGGAGCTGTCAAAAGCGGCCTTGCTTGCTTGCGCAAGTGCTGCATGCGGGAGCACTCCGTTGTCAGCCTGCAGCCCTGCTGCAAAGTCTGCAGGACCGTTCGATGCAGGAGCTGCATCCTGAGTGCTGCTTCCTGGCTCTGCTGCAGGCGGCGCTGCTGATACTGTGGGTATTTCCTGCTGGGGCATGCCTCTCATTGCGCTAGAACAGGCTGCAGCCAGGACAGAGTGTCCCGCCGCCAGCTCCCCTGAGAAAGTGAGGCTGAACAGGTCTGGAACAGCACCTGCAGTTAAGGACACTTCATTGTCATGAGAAGTTGTCACAAGTGCCAGCATGCACCACCGTGCACATGGCTTGCAAATAGCACGGGATGCTATGCGCATGGACAGTCAGCTCGGGGGTCCTTGGCAATAAATATGATGTGCCTTGCCTGCTAGCTGCGCGCTAAAAGGGAATAGCCCCCTGGCCTCCCGCTTCTGCTCCCGCTTTCTGTCACGGAACCGCTTCTGCCTATCTCTGCCATCAGCAAACGATTTATTACTATCAGATGGCGTGCTAGTGCAGAGCGAACATCATTTGGCCTGGTTATGATCCCCTGCGACCCTTTAGCATGAATGCCTAGTACAGAGAGTACTGCAGGGGTGGTCTAGCAGTCCTGGCAACCCTGCCTGATCACCTGAAGGCGAATGATCTCTGATTCTAATGAAATCAAAATGCACTCCAGCGAGATCGTTGTGAGAGGATCCTCCAAGCAGGGTCACCGAACAAGATGCGCATTAATAACGATAGATGAGCAAGACGTTTGGGAACCTTGATCTCACAATCCCATAAATTGCACAAGCACGAATCATCTGCTGTACCTCAGTCATGATACCTGTTTTTCTTTCTGGCGTCCTCCAGCTGCTCAGCGCTCAAGTCGTTCTTTCGTCGTGCCCTCCACAAGCGGGCCCTGCCTGCCTTTGTGTTCGGTGCAGGTGGTCTGTCGGATTGATCGCCTGTAGACGTGGGCTGCTCTTCCATGATCGCTTCAAGCGGCTACTGTACCATCAACAGCAAGAAATCTGACCGTTGAGGGACGTCGTTATGCTAACGTGCAGTCAAAGCAGCGGGGTCCCCCCTCCCAAGCTCAGCAGGGTTCCCCCGCTCGGATGTGTCGGAGTTCCGACAGCAAGATTTCTTCAGGCTTGTCCTCTTGAGGTGCACTTGATCTGCGAAGACGTCAATGATCTGGAAGTGCATGCTGAAAGTCTAGTAATGCAGATCCTGACCAAGAACAAGTCTCGGTGATCACTGTGATCAATGGTGATGACGCCTGATGCTCGATGCTGATTTTGCTGAGTGGCTGCAAAAAGGAGGCGCATTGATCGCTGATATCGAGCCAGGAGCTGTGGCTGAAGGCTTCAGGGGTGTTATAGCGAAAGCTAATATTGAGGAAGGTGGGCCGTGCCCATCGTCACCACAATTGATTTTGTGCCTGATCCTCCTGGTTACTGAAATTAAATTCGCGATAATTGAAACCATCAATCAATTTACAGTCACTCACACCCGCGCAGGCACCCTGCTTGTGGCCGTCCCAGAGCGACTGCTTCTGTCAGCGCACAGTGCGAAGAAGGACAGAGCCTTTGCAGAGGCGCTCTTGGCAACGAACAAACAATCAATTGGATCCTCTCAGGTGAGCACAGGAACACCACATTGCAATGCCGGCCAGTGCAGCCACAGCACATGTCCAGGACACAGAGCCTTGCTGTGACGTTCATGTGTGCTGGCAGGTACTGGCAGCTCACCTGCTGCATGAGGCTTCTAAAGGGCAGGAATCCTTCTGGAGACCCTACTTGGCAACCCTTCCCCGTCAGTACACATGCCTGTCCTACTTCTCGCCAGAGGACATCCGGGAACTACAGGTCTGCCGCAGCATCAGAGACTGGCATTTGCTAATTAGATTTGTTGTTGGGAGAACAGATAAATTCCACAATTTTTATCTACACAGGTGGAGTATGCGATGGACATAGCAAGCTCTGTGGTAGAGGCTCTAAGGTCTGACCACACCTCAGTCAAGCCGCTCCTCAATGCTCTCGGTAACCCCTTCTTTGCCAGTCACTCCAACCACCTCTTATTTCTTCTTCTTGTTGTGCTCAGACGTGGCAATCAAAGCACCCTAAGGCAGCATGTTGGATTTCTTCAAGGTGTGAAGTCTAATGTATATTTTCCAAGCAGGATTGCCAGTGAAATTCAAGACGCTTGGTGCCTGGCGATGGGCTACAGCAACTGTGGCCTCGCGCACCATGTATCTGCCGGATGATGCAGCTGGCGCGCTGATGCCCTTTGGGGACCTGCACAACCACCGCTCGCCCCCTGCCGCTGCCACACCAGACCTAGGTGGGGGCTTCAGTACACTATAAAGAGCCATCTGAGTTGCTCTTGGTCACCGAGTAATTCTACTGCAGTTAACGCTCTTGTTCCCAGGAGGGGCAGCAAGATGAAGGTTGATGACACTGTGCAGGGATTCCAGGAGGGGCTCAGGTTCCGGCAGAGGCACAGAATGATCATGGATCCTCTGGCAGTGGTCAGTTTGATGTGGGGACACGAGAGTATCGGCTGTATGCTCAGACTAGGTGAAGCACGCTGTTGTTTGTTGTCTGCTCCCTTTTGACTATATCGGTGGAAGTATCCCAGACCTGAGACTGGCTTGCCGGTCAAGCAGGTACAAAGCGGGGGAACAAGTTTTTCTAAGCTATGATGCTCATACAAACCTGGAGCTACAAGGTGCGCTGCAGCCATAAGAAAGACAGTGAAGAAATTTGACTTATGAATGTCTTTTCAGTCGGCATGTAATTTGGCATCAGCCCACTTATTTCAAAGTAGAAAGAAAGGGGTGTGATATACACTGTTGGGCATGCAGAGCATTATGGCTTTGTGTTGGAGGACAACCCCTATGACACAGCACAGCTGCCAGTCAGGATGCTGCCTGAGGGGTTGCGGGGGGCTGTTCCTCCAAAGGCATGCTGCCTGCAGCACAGTGGGATGCCCTCTTGGGAGCTGCTGAGAAATCTGCGCACTTGGGCTGCATCGCAACTCGGCTGCACGTACACAACCACTGCTCCCTTGTTCCACTCCAGAGCCTTTCAACCTTGGCAGACTCAGGTTGCTGCATCTCATGATGGAGTGAATACCTTCAAGATCCTCAGTATTATGCTCACTACGCAGGCAACATTCTTATCTGGCGGCTGAAGGGAAGCCTATCAGTGGCCCTAGCGAAGTCCAGGCTTTCACAATTCTGAAGGCCATTTGTCAGAGTAAGGCGCCTCACACGATGTCTGCGCACAAAGTGCTCCAGCGCTGTGCCTGAAGAAGAGAATACTCGCTTCTTCATTGACATCGTGTGATGTGTTGCAACAGCCCTGCTTCAGGATCTGCCGACTACATGTGATGAGGACATAGTGTTGCTAGAGTCCCAGACAGTTGAGGGCGAATGTAGGCAGTTAGCAGTGGCCTGGAGGACCTCTTATAAGAGGTGCGCTTGCCGTGGTCCAGGAAGTTCTCAGTGTTGTGCAGCCTTCACATGTCGTGCCTCAGGATGCTAGGATTATTTGCAATGCTAAGTGTGCTTCTGTTTGGCATGTCAGGATCCTGCAGAAGTGTACTGACCTGGCCAGCCATGTCATTCAGAGCCAGGGACGCTACAATGATTGAGTGTTGTGAGCGGCATGCATGTGCTGATTGCCGTCTCGAGGTCGCAAAGAATGTTGCTGTATTCACAAGAACTTCACTGAAGATTGTAGCTTTCAGTATTGCTTACAATAGTGTTGAGTGAATGACATGATTGACAGGCTGCAGACTTTTGTAGGCCCCGCGGAACTGGCTGCAGACGCTCTGCGTGTATGCCCTATGGCCTCTGGCTATGAGTTCGCCGACCTTGTTGTAATAATAATAGAGCAGTTTTATTTGTTTGTTGCTGTTCTTGCTGCAAGTCAACTTCTGCTTCAGCCAAGTATCCTTTGAGCTCCAACACAGTGGCCTCTGCTGCAACAAGCTCCTCTCTGAGCGCCTCCACCCGCATGGCTGCTTGACTGGCAACAGTGCCCTGTCTGCTGGACTGTAAACAGCTCTGCTGCAGGCGGGATACAGAGCACGATGTAGAAGCACCATCCACTGCTAACTTTTGCAGTTGTGCATCACTGACATCTCCCACCTCATCTGTTTTGCATGAGTTTGTTCTGCGCACATCTCTCGTCTGGCACTCCGATTTCAATGCAGCAAGCGCTGCTTGCTGGGCCAGATCAGCAGCTTTCCTGGCAGCAAAGCGCTCCTGCAGCGATGCTGCTGAGACTGCAGCTGCACCTGAATGCCCCGCGAGCGCCCACATTGACCTCTCTGTGGGCACCCTTTCGACGACCCCGGTTCTGCCAATGCTGCTCTTGGAAAGGAGCCCTGCTCACATGCAACACCCATCCCTCAAGAACATGTGCATCCTGTACGTCATACATAGAGCACTGTGTGCAAAATAAGGAGAGCATGTTCACATGCATGAAAGTGGAAACGCACCGACTGAGAGAGAAGTGCCGTCTCCTGCGCGTCCCCTCTTGCAATTATCCTGATCCTCGTCCTCATCTGACGACCAGCCTGCCTGATTCGCTGCTCCTCCCCGCTCATCTCGCGACACCTCAGATGAGCCACGACTGCCAGCCCTCGTGTCGCTGCCAGGAGGATACAGGGCTTCCAACAGGCGCTGCTCTGTCTGCCGGCTGTAGCTGCGGTTCTGTGACACGCGGCCTCGGCTGTTCCGGGCAGCCAGCACCCTGCCCAGGGCGCCCGAGAAGTAGCCGGGCGGCTGCATGCTCGACGCGGGCTGCGCTGCGCCTACCCGGTCACTGCTAGAAAGCGATGAAGGCTGGCTGCTGTGTGAGCCTGTCTCCCCTCGGGCGGACAGGGACAGCGCCAGTGCACGCTCCAGCTGATCTCGCTCCTCCTCTATCGATGATGGTTGTGCTATTGCTGGCTCTGCAACTGGTGCCTGGGGCTGGCTTCGGCCCCCTCCAGATATAGGCCCGTTGCTAGCAGGCCCTTCTGAGGTCTTTGCTTTCTTCCTGACCAGTGCACGCCTGGGCGCGGGCCTGTCGTCTGCAAAGTCAGAGTCCTCATCGCTGTCTGGCACGATGGTGTCCTCGGGCTGTGCCGCTTCCTGTTGCTTGGCTGAACCGGGCTGTCCTTTTGAGCTGTCAGCTGCATCCCCTGGCGCAGCTTTTGGCATGCGCTGCCCAGGAGCAGCACCTGGCAGTGCATCCTGCTTCTTGACTGTGCTCTTGGAGGAGGGCTGCTTGCGAGCAGATACAGAGGCCACACTGTTGAAGGCCCTGCTAGCTCTGCTCTGTCTGCTTTGCTTCAAAGCCACATTCTTTTGGAGACCATTGCTGCGGCTGCCCTGGTCATGCTGCTTGCCATGCGGCCTTTGCTCAGGCTGCAGGAAGACTCTGTTGAGACTCTTTGCGTCGTTTTGGCAGCCCTGTGGTGCAGCTGGCCCCTCAGCCTGTTGCACATTGCAGACCTGTGGGAGCGCAGTCACCGTGGGCTGCTGCGTCAGCTCCTTGGCAGCAGCGAGCAGCGTCTTGCGCTGAGCGCTGCTTGTCGCTCCCAAGTAGATGAGATCGTCATCGGACAGCAGCGGAAGTGCTCGCATGTCCACTTCTTCCTGCGGTAGTCGAATGACAGATCAACAAATGCAACTGCAGGCCAGTTGTTTGTCACTCAAAACAGAGCATTGATGGTGGGACTAGTATTGAGAACGGACGCCCCTCACCTTCTCGAAAGCATCAGCAAAGCCACCCATGCCCAGAGCCTTGAGCCACTCGCGTACAGTGCGAGGGGCTGGTGTCAGCGGCTGCAGAGGGGCCCTCCCTGCAGGCAGTATAAACTGAGAGTATAGTATTAACATTTCCCAGTAAGAACTCCGAGAAGCCAAAATGTGTACGCTGGTCTCTACCTGAAGGAGAAGCCATGACAGGAGCATCAGCAGCGCCCGTAAACGCTCGTCCGAAACGGAGGGACTCCTGCAATTCGATTGGCAGGACGACCTGCTCTTCTGAGCTCCTTTGAGAAGTTGCAGAGCCTGCATCCAACATGAGGAGAATATCAATATTCAAGCCTCGAGCCTGAAATGAGTAGACGTCCTCCAAGCATACATTCCTTTCATTGCTGGATGTCAGACCTACATTTCTTCATGTGTGCAACACGCTGGGGAAATTCCATGTGCGACAGATCCAGCTGGCACTGTCCACAGTGAAAAACTTCTGCCAGCATGGAGTCACTCTCTGTAGCCATCGAAACTGCCGTAGAAGTGCTCTGCCCTGCAATACCACAGTCAATTTAAGCCTTGTTGAGCAAAGAATTGCATGTATAATTGTCTGGACACGAACACATTACTGTCTGCTCGCTTTTCAGTCAGAGCTGGCAGGTATTGTCTGCACCTGAAGACGCTCTGACACAGCTCTTCGAAGAGCTCGAATCAGCAAGGCAGGTCATTGAACACATTGGTTTCACTCTTTGTTGTATTTACGAGCTGAAAGCTAGTGTCGGCATAACGTCCTTGGGATTGTTGTGAAAGGATCTATGCAAACTCATGATTACAGCAAAGGACAGTTGTTTTCAAATCAAGTGTGTTCAGGATCGACTACACACTACAATAGATTGTCCATTAGATGTGAGTACAGTGAAAGAGAACGAAGAAAGAAGGCCTGGATCTGTGCTGTGCATGCTGTGCCAGCGGGGATTTCCAAGAAAAGAATTTCCGAGACTATGGAGATAGCACCCACCACAAATGGACACAGGGCAAATTGTCCCGCGATAGACTCAGACCCTCCAGTGTGATCCTTTCGATCGGGACGATGGGTGTAGCTTCAGACTTTCCAATCCTTCCCGGTTACACGGGCACTACGGTACAACAGCTACTTAAAATATATGTGATATACAACCAGATGTTGGGTTTTACAAAAATTAATGGTAGCTTCAAATTTCTTGATTTTTTACTGCCACAGGTGCCCTACGGTGAGTTCCATCACAAGCAGCAGACACTGACCTACGAGAAGGGATATGCAGTCAGAGCTCTCCTGACGCACAGCAATGAAAATGTTGACTCATATCCTCCAGAGATGCCAGTGGACTATTCAAGTGCTGGCAAAGAGGTCACAGCATCGCCAGTCTCTCATGATGCAGCAAGCAAATTGCCAAAATGGGTGGAGTATGATCGCAAGGTGTGTGCTTCCCCTGTTGATGATATTGAAGACATCTGCACAACCTGTACAGTGCACCTCTTTTGCAGAGCAGTAAGAGGCCTATCAAGAAGCAATCTGGAAAAACTCCTGCGGTGGGGTTGCCAGGTGCTCCGATGGTTTGCATACTTCAAGGAGTCAGTGACAGAGAGCGCTCAGGAGCAGTATCGCATCCGCCGCATCACCATCTTGTACTACCTCGAAGATGACACCTTGGAAGTGACAGAGCCCAAGCAGGAGAACAGTGGCATCCTACAGGTACTGTCAATGAGCCGCTCTGAAGCCAGTGCTCATTCCCATTCTTGCTACTGGGTATCAATATTAGTGACTGTGCTGTGTTGTTGCAGGGGAAGTTTATGAAGCGGCACCACATTCTCAAACCGGACGGCAGTGCGTACAAACCAAGGGACCTTGCTGTTGGGGCCGAGGTCATCATGTATGGACGGACGTTCTACATCATTGGCATTGATGCACACACTCGGTGCTACCTGGAAAGATTGGGCATCAGCATGGCCCCAGATCAGTCCTACCCCGAGTCGCCATACGACACCAAGCTTGCTTCCTTGCACAGCACAGGTATAAATAATGCAACACTGCATGTTACCAGCAAGACTCGCATGACAGGATTCGGGCAGCAGGACGTCGGCTTCCTTGCCTCAATGAGCTGCGTTCCCTTGAGAGGTGACTGGGGATACATAATTGAGGACAAATATTCTTGGCTCTTCTTGTGCAGGTCATGCTGGCAGGACGGCAGCATTGGGAGGGACCAAGTCAGGCAGCAAGGGGTCTTTGAGGTTTCTGGAGGATGCCAACAAGGTATGAAGTATAATTTTGCCTTCACGCATTCAAGTTCACGGGCATGCAACCGCAACAGGTTTGAATACTTTGGCTCAATCATGTGGGTCTGTACAGGTCTTGCGCTTTTATATAATCTGGGACGATCGAGCTAGCCTGTACGGGGACAGAAGGCCCTACAAGCTGCATTACTTTGTGGAGGACGGCACCTGCGAGATCCTGGAGAGCCTCGACAGAAACTCAGGCCGCGATCCATTCCCTGTCTTCCTTAGACGCGCTCTTCTTCCCATGGTGCGCAGAATCGATGAATTTATTTGGCACTTGCTTTGATCTATGATAGCAGGGACTGGTGCTCGTGAATAGATGTCTCTCGAGAATAAAGCTAGACACCTGTAACACGTGAATATCCTGTCTGGCCAAGTGATTGTACATCCTCATGCAGAACGGAGAGGCTCCAAAGCCTGGCTTCGCCCCGGACCGTGCCATGTGTTACGGACCCTCAGATCTGCGCATGGGTACCTGCATTGCCGTGTACGGACGCCTGTTCTTCATCCATGACTGCGATGACTTCACACGCAAATGGCTCAAGGTGAGTCATCACGTGTTTCTTTTCTTCATGCAGAGAGCACCTTGCATAGAGAAGATTGGATGCCAAATGCACTGAAATTGGCTTTAGACGGTCTATCCTAGACCTGATTTGGCTCTGTGACAGGAAAACATGGGAAGCAGCGATGAGGAGCTGTGTGCTGTTGATGTCACGGAGCCCGTGGATGCAGCACCTGCCAAGCAGCTGCCTGAGTACAATGGCTTCGGCTCGCTGGAAGACTCTGCACAGAACTGCACCAGCCTGGTGATGCTCCAAGGCCACTTCATTTCTTGCACCAGCACGATATGTAATGCCCCATTGAGAGATGCATGCACTGTAGCTGCACAGTTCCAGATGTGGGTCACTGCTGTGATGACACAGGTCGGACGCATACTGAAACTGTGTGGTACCCATGCAGATACCCAGGCCCCCTCGCAAGGACTTCTACAAGCTCATGAACAAAGACAAGGCTGTGCTGCGGTTTGTGTGCCACCTCGTTGAACAAGCAGGGGCTCCTAAGTCTCGCTTGAGCCCTACTGACGGGTAAATATTCCCAACTTTCCACCTGCCTTGGTTTCCTGTGCGCATCTGATAACACAAAGATAGGGGGCCCATGAGTCCCTGCACCTTCAGAGCGTATCTGACCATGCACAATATCTCAACAACAGCTTGAGACAATTGTCATGCAACAGGGAACGGCGCTTTGTGTTGTCATTCTTCATGGCGGATGACACGCTGGCAATCTTCGAGCCCCCACTGAAGAACAGCGGTGTGGTGGGTGGCAAGTATCTTGAGAGACGCCCAGTGACTCATCCTGGCTCAGATAAGTACGTGCACAAACAGCCATCGTTGCACATTCTTCCCTGGCCTGCCAGTTGCAGCTGAATTTGATCCATGCAATTTCACTCCTGGGACCCTGTCCGCTGAGGAGTAGGAGAGCAGATCGACGCATGCACTTCACATCTGCGCAGGCTCATAACAGATGTTGATCTGCACGTGGGAGCAACTGTGCCGATCTTGCAGCGCAACTTTGAGCTATTAGATGCAGATGAGTTCACCTTCCAGTACATGGAAAACAATCGGCATTTATATGTCATGGCCGATGCTGATCAAGCTCTCCGCGCTCTTGCAGCAGCAGTCCAAAGAGCAGGTGCATCCTTATATATATGATTTGCATGATCATAATGTGAATATGCTGATATTTGGGCTGAGATATGGGTTGCAGAATCTTCGCATTCTCTTATGTGCTGTGCATGTAACAACAGCATTTCTGAAGTACAGTGCGCATGCAGGCAACTCTGGAGCATTCCAGGAGGACGATAGTGAGCCTTCGGGAAGCGCCTACATGACCCTCTCCCAGTTGAATGAAGCCATCAAAAGCTTGGGAGCAGTAATCAGCAAGCATCAGATCATCAGCATCTACCGGCGCATGCCAAAGGACGTTCTTCAACGAGTATCCGTCATGAGCATTCTGCAGGCTCTGTGCTGTTGTACTGTGCTTCAGATGAGGTGTCAAGTCAAGATGATCTGTTCCTAAATGTGAAACAGGAAGAACAAATTTTAAAATGGCTCAAATCAATATTCAAATTTGGATTAATGGATGTTAGTCATATATTACCCCTGGGGGGCCACGTGGTGGCCACGTGAGTTTCTTGGACTTGCTCGCAACCCAGGATTGCAATGTTAGGCGTCGTATCCTATAGATTTGACGCTTATCATGCAATAATAAAGGCTGCCTGCACATGGACGCATTATCCTAGATGCAGCGCAATAAGATTGTGGCGCTTTTCCTTGGAAGCTTGGTGTTGTTCAGTGCGGGGTACCTACTGCAGAGACCTCTGTTGCAAGTATATTGGGCAGCGTACTCTCGTGTACCATCTAGAGGGCTGGTATTCGACAGGCATCGATCGCTCAGATTAGGAACAGGTGCAGTCACCTCTGTTCACGGCAGTTACAGTTTGTAAAACACACATTTCAGACCAAAATGCTGTCATCCAAATTTCTATAGTATAACCTCGCAAGATTGTTTCATTGGAATTGTCAGGAGAGAAATGTAATTCGCTATTTGATTGTTGCGAAGTCCTGCAGTGCTGATGGACGTGATCTGAGAATGAGAATGCATTAGGTCTTCTTGTATTTGACTACGGTGTCTCCAAGTCTAAATTCTTGGAGAACATCATAAATCGAGTGCGTGCTGATAATGGGTCTGTTGCGTGCAGAGGCTGCTACCTCTGGGAGGCCAACAGATGCAGCTGACATCCCGCTGGAACAGGTATGAGCCAACCCAAAGCTTCTTCTCATTAAATTCCCTAAATGTGCAAAGCAGGCGACTGATGCCTAATCCCTGCATTGGTCAGGCAATCCAGGAATTGGAGCCCCTCATCGGCCTCGAAGGCTACCAGTCCAGCAATGGCAGCACCATGGGTTTGTGCCTGACAATCCCCAACCCTGTGTGCAGCATATACAAAGAAATTGCTCTCAATAGTATGAGCTAGCATATGGCTGCCCAAGATGTGTTGCTGACGTGCTCTGACAGGTCCAACCTTGGCCCAAGTGGACACCCCAGCGCCTGCCAAAGCAGAGGATCATGCTCTCACCAGGCATGTCTCCATGCATGCATGCTTGCCTTCTCATTGCTCAGTCATATCTTGACCTCCTTACATGACCTGCTTTGGTGGTGAACAGGGAGATGATACTGGAGGTGGCCCCACAAGGTCCTGTGATGGTGACCTGGGCCAATTTCCATTACCTCGATTTTGTTCTGAACTGGCTGGCGCATGTCAATGCACTTGGGATCAAGCCCCTGGTTGGGGCCATGGATGATAAGATACTGCAGGTAAGCATTCCTAGCATTCTTGTTCATAGAATGCATCTTGCTCTGTCTCTCACTGCTCATGACACAGTGTGCATGCAATGTCCCCAGAAACTCGAGCAGCTGTTGACACCAGGCTTTTTGAGCCACAGGCGCTGGTGGACCGAGGGGTGCACACTTTTGCGATGAGGAGCGGTCTGTCAGAGGATGACTTTGGGTGGGGAAGTGCCAGCTTCCACAAAATGGTGCGCCATAAGTCTTGTCCTGAGGAGGTCTTGCTTTCACACAAGACAGCTGAGCGTCAGATTCAGCATACTGCCAGTCCATCATGCTCCTGCGGTGCGCAGGGGCGGGAGAAGATTCAATTGATATACACGTTCACAAAGATGGGCTTTGACATACTGGTGGCCGATGTGGACACAGTATGGTAGGTCTCTCTTTTTCGCTGTTGAAGTCTGACAAAAAAAATTAAGCAAGCAAAGGAACCCATTGACATGGCTGAATTTGACACTGTCGTGCAGGTTGAGGAACCCATTCCCATACATGGCAAGGTACCCAGATGCAGACATTCTCACGTCCAGTGACCATCTGGTAAGTTGTGATTCCTCTTATATGGCTCTTCTGTTGGCATTGCTCCTCTTTCCCCTGACTGATTGTTTCTTTGTGTATACGCCGCAGAGAAATTCAACAGCAGATGATGGCCTGGAGAGGTTTCCAGACGCGGGCTCAGCAGCCAACATCGGCATAATGCTGGTCCGCAAGGGGGCCCTTAGTTTAGCCAAGGTGGGGCCTGTACTGCATGGTTTGTGCCACATGTGTCCTTAATTGTGGTATGCTTTGAACTTGGATTCAATCCCTGTCAGTTTCAGAAGCCATAATACTGTGTGGCAGGAATGGAATGAGGTGCTCTTGGCGGATGACCAAGTGTGGGACCAGAATGCCTTCAATGATTTGTTCCGGCGAGACATGAAGTTTGACGGGCCCGAGAGCGCAAATCGCATCTTCAGGTCTGTTGATTCGCTCCAAAACAGGACTCCCCATTGTCTCCCCCATATCAGCACCTGCTCAGTTGCTTCAACATCACCGGTATTTTAAAAGTTGCTGCCAATGCAGCTCATGACTAAGGATCAGTAATTGAGCAAGTCATTCTGGCGGCAGGGGCTATGATGGGAACCTGAGGGTGGGAATTTTGCCGGTGGCGCTTTTTGCGTCGGGCCACACCTACTTTGTGCAGAGGCTGCATGAGCAGATGGGCCTGGATGTGTACGCCGTGCACGCCACCTTCCAGTACTCTGGCACCCCTGGCAAGCGCCACAGAATGCGCGAGCGCCTGCTTTGGCTGGCGGTGCGCACATTCCAAATATTACGCATCCCTGCTATGCATGCTGTGCTAGGGTGCCCCATCTAGAGGTCATGTGCTCACTGATGCCCAGAGGAATACCTCTGGCTGCGTTTGCTCTGCTGTGAGACCCAAAACAGTGATTGCCTGGTGCTTCAAAGTCTGTGATGCGGATCAGCAAGCTCAGGGCCTTATCAACCAATGTGCGACAAGCATTGGTTAGAGATGCGATGGACATTATCAGCTGATATGACATAAATTTCTGAGTGCATGTGCAGGACCCACCTGAGTACTATGATCCCCCGGGGGGCCTGCTGAGCTTTGATTTCCAGCTTGGAGACCTGGTGAACAAGAGCGTGCCCACTAACGGTGGAGAGGCTCTGGAGGACTACAAGGGTCACTTTGAGCTCGTCAATGCGCAGCTGCAGCAGGTGGGTTTCTGCAACAACCACCAGCTCATTCACGGTCCATAAATGGTACATGCATGTTTCTTGTATTTATGTTGAGATCCTCGAACCAGGCAAGTTTGCTCGAGCAGTCATGCGGAGCTCACGGATGCATGCATACAATGCACAAATGATTTTCCTGTGTTTTGAGGGGTGTGGCGGGTGCGGTGATCAGATAAGGAACGCGATGGCGGTGGCGACGGCGCTTGGCCGCACGCTGGTGATTCCGGCGCTGTGGTGCGGCGCGGACCGCTGGTGGGCGCCCCACAATGGGATCATCCCAGGCTCCGCCCTGCGCCTGCCCTTCCAGTGCCCCCTGGACCACGTCCTTGACCTGGAGCAGTGAGTTATGCTTTCTCATGCTTAACTAATTCTTATTGTTCCATTCGGGGCATTGGATTTGAGAGACCTGTTGGGAGCCACCTGAGGCTCATTGGTCCTGTGTGCAGTCTGTCACTGCCCATCTCTGTTGTTCCTCTTGTGTGGCCAAGATGCTGGCAGAGAATTGATGCTCAGCTCGCACCTGCAGCAGTGGGAAGGAATGCCCAACCTTATTTTTTTTCTGTTGGGGTTCTGCTGTCTACTATGACCGTAGAGAGCACACTTTGCCCTCCACAGATGTCTGGTACTTAATCTGAGGGGATGCGCTGTCCAGTCATTGTGCTTGTTGAGCTGTGAAGTCTGCTGTATGCTCCAGAGTGCAGAAGTCACATATATAAGAGTCTGGGAATTAAAGTGATGAATTGATGTGTTCAGGATGAGCAAGGAGTTTCCAGAGGCGGAGTTTGGACCCGACATACCGTACAGGGAATACTCCTTTCTGGACAACCCGAAAACAAACATCACCGAGGCCGGCATTTTCAATGTCGTTGTCTGCCAGGTCCGTCAAATTGAAAAATGGTGCCTTGATCGCTGCTGCTGCTGCTGCTGCTGATTTCAAGCTGTTGTCCTTAAGATTATCTAGCCTGGGTCGACTGCTGCTAGCATGACCACAACACTGAAGGTCCCGTACGATCATGTATCCCCTGTCACTTGTGCTTGATGCACAGCAACGAGTTGAGGCTGTGAAATTAGCATTCTCGCTGACAAGCAAGGTGTTCTGGAACAGGGAGGGCGGGATTGCAGGCCCCCAGATGCACAGGCAAACTCAGTGGCCTTGCAATCTGACCCGGAGCATGCAAGCCTCATCCAGGCACTGGCGCCCTTCAGCAGCAAGCGCGTGCTTCACTTCGAAGACATGCGGCACGCCTATGGCAATTTTCCAACCAAGGAGTACAGGGATAGGTGATTCTTGTCCCTGGCTCTGCCTGCACATCCCTTATATTTCACAAAGCTCTGCTCAGGGTGTGTGCTTGTACTCCAACGGATGTTTTGTGCTTCTTTTGGGGCATGCAGGTCCCTTACTTTCCACGGTGCTCTGCTCAGGCTACGTTCCTGTACTTCAATAGACACGATGAAGCGTAGTGCAGGAACCTGATTGTCCCGTGTGTTTATGCATGCAGGTTTGAGCAGAGAACAAAGCTGTACACAAGCCTGTGGTGCTGTGTGGACAAGCATCCAGGACATGTGTGGTATGACATGTGGTGGGATGTTATTCCCCATACGGACCGGCACAACAGGATACAAAGCGGGACCTGGGTGCCAGTGACAGGACCTTGACAAATGGGCGGGCATACTGGTATGAAATACATGTTTTGTCCCATATCTGAGCACAGACTCTGTTGGGTGCAGCACATGCTTTGTGGGCACATACAATACTAATGCTGGTCAGGACACATGAAATGAATAGGGGGACGAGTCCTCTAGAATGGCTGCTCATGCAATGTGCGCACATAAAGGGCTCTATTCCTTATAAATTTTTTCTTATCGGGTTTGACCATGACACATGTGCACTGCTTAAAAAATCATGAGCTTCCGATGCTTGATTCTTTCCTAAAGAAGTTCACATGAAGTCACAGCTGCAGAGATTTACACAAGACACCCAGGTCTCCCCAATCCTGAGCGCAAGGCTGGGGTCAAAGCATCAGCATAATAGACACATGTCTAAAACAAACACAAAAACCCGCTCAGTCCGAAGCGTCATCTCATCCGGTATGTCTGTGAAGAACTGCAAGATCCATTCTTGCCTTTAAAGCTGTAGGTCATCGAAAGGTCCAGATCGCGCGGGTTGCTTGCGTTTGGCGCACATGACAATGAGCCTGCAAGGCAAGAAACAATAAGGGTGACCACTATTTGAATTAGGCGACTAGTGGCGCTCCTCAACAAATATGACTGGGGCACAATAAGGCTTTCAGGAGAAGTGCACCAAAGGCAGGAAAGTGACCAACACTAGAGAGCGGTGTCATCAAGTTCTATTAGCCACTCAAGAACTCTCTCCTGGGCGCTGTGCGTGGAGGGCAAAGAGTAGGCAGGCTGAGGTTTAGTACCTGTGATGACTTCGCCCTCACATATGACAATGCTTTCCTGCAAGTACAGTACTGTCTGCTTCCAGTGCGTTGACCGGCTCCTGCATTTGTAAATATACTGTCAGAGTGGCTGATACAACAGTCTGAACACTTACAACGCCTACCATGCTGCAATGGCGGGAGGCAGCACTATCTTAAAAAGTGGTCTGAGGAGGCTCACATGGGACTGGTTGAGAACCAGACAAGCTTGTGGCAGTGTGTGAAGTAGACGTCAAAGAACGCGACAAAGGCGTGGATGTAGTCATTGCGCGAGGCCACCAGCTTGAAGGGCACCTGAGGCAGCAGCAACCCCACACAATCATAACCAAATTACTAATATCCACTCAGCACAATCTCGTATCATAGAAGAGAATACCCGATGGAAACATACTTCGTCCAAGAACGGCATCAATGATGATGCTACTGCAAGTAAATGGCCAATCAGAGAACCATAAACCTGGGGGACTGAAGTGCGTGGGTAAGCGGGTGGCGCGCACCGTGAAGGCGGCGTCCTCCTTGGTCATTTTGCTGAGGTTGAAGGTGGCGAGGAGGCAGGGCTTGGTGGCCACCTGCTCTTGGTCCACCACATCCACCAGAGGCTCCTGCATCGCCAGCCCCTTGATGCACTGCATGTTGAAGCCGTACACGTCGTCCCAGAAGTCTATCTTCTCGTGCCTGCAACCGCAGCACACCGGGCTTTAGCACAAGTTTGCCACCCCTGTTATACTGTCATGCTCGGCCTTTGCTTGGGGGGTCTCCTGGCTCTCCAGACCTCTCTGAACCTGTCAGAAGATGTTTTGCAGGCCACCCCAGATGTAGCACTGCCTTAATATGATATCCAGTGAATTTGGAATGGGAAGTATATCATCACAATGGCGCCCACCTGTACTCTGCATCCTCAATGGCGACGAGGCTGAGGGTGCACTTGTCTGGCATGAGCAGGCCGTCAGGCTGCAGCCATTTGTCACGAGCATAGAGCACTGTGTCCAGCATGCTTTCGTACATCAAGAAGTATCCCATCCATTCTGAAATGATGATGTCCACCTGCAGTTTCAACAGCCCATCTCACGCCACGCCCTCTGAATACTGGTGGCTTCTTTCACAGATCCAAAACATGCTTTCATGCAAAGGAAAGCACATAACATGGCTGCATGATGAGTAAGGGGACCCAAGTCACCTTTTCCACCGGCAGCTCAACCTCCTCCACTTTGCCTTGGATAATGGTGACCTTACTCTGGTACCCATTGTCCTTCACTATCTGCTGCGCCTGCTCTGCGATGGCTGAGCGTTCTATGCCGTACACATGCTTTGCGCCTGCCTGCACATGCGTGCAAGCTAGGCTCAGATGCCGTCAGTACAACTGACGCAGATCGGCATGTGCACTGCTTAGCAATGCATGGCATGCAAGCACATAAGAACACACAACGCACCTTGGCTGCGAAGAGGGAAAGAATGCCGGTGCCGCAGCCCACATCAAGGACGATCTTGTCCTTGTAGAGGTGAGCATTTCCCAGGATGGACTGCTGGTAGCTGCGGGTCCGGACTGTGTCCTTGAGCATCTCCTCATGGATGCCTTCATGTGCAGTGATCCATCAGAGACAATTATAAGGATGATGCAATCATTTCCCCCCCAAAAGTAATGGCTTTAATGAGCGGCGTACCGAAGTGGGCATAGGAATCAAAGTAGTAGTCAGCGGCTGTGTGTTCGGCCTGAGCAGAACAAATCAGGATCAAATATTTGTGTTTGAAATAAATTTACAACATTTCTAACATTGCAGGAAGGATCCTGATGGACAGATGGGCTCTGCAGCAATGGGCACGAGGGCATCACTAGTACGTCTCTTTACGACCAAAAGCATGTGTAAGGATGCACACACCTGGCTCAGGGATGCATCCTTTGACTCCACCTTCATTTCGGATCCATCTTTGGGGCCATTACTGTTCATAATAATTGATTGAGAAGGTGCTCGACCTTTCTTCGCAGGCCTTGCACGTTCCTGGATGAATTTGGAACTGGCTGATGGAACTCCTTGAGAGCGTTTTAACCCTGAATTAATAAGTACAATCCGCATCTACCATTCTGACATCCTCTTGGTGCCACGGCACTAAACACTCTACTCAGATGGCTGCTCAGGGGTCGGTTGCTCAAGTATTACACAATAAGTTCCTACAGTAGGAATCAGAAACGCTAATTGGAACCAAGAGATGACGTATATATGATGTATTTGCATCGATTGAGTCCTACAACAGGCGGCCTTCCAACTGCTTCCAAGGGCAGATGCTTTCGCCAAACATTACTGCATGCCGAGGTTTATGCTTGGCGAAACGATGGCAAAAGATATCTTTCGCCAAGATATTTGGATTGGCTGACGAGTCTTTCCAACGATCGCGTCCTCGGAAGTTAAAAGGAGATACGCATAGTTGAACATTGGAATGATCCCTTAGCGGAGCGTGATTCCACATAAAATATGTAAATCTTCAAGAATCTTAGCCGACCAGGTCCAGTGATCACAATTCATTCAATCATCAGCAGGCGCAAGTGTTCAGGCCCTGTAGAAGTTGAAATTGATTCGATAAAATCCAACATAAGGGCACAATTGAATCCTTATTTCCAATATAATATTTAAGTCCAGTAACATCAGTTGTGTCGATTCGCTGAGATACAACATACTGGTCCAAGAATACACTGAGTAAATTGTCTTACGCCCTGCAGCGTTTCAGGACACAAAGTTGCTTCAAAATGATATTTCCCAGGTCACAGCTGCGTACCCACACGTGTCTCCTGAGTCCTGGCAGGAGCACTGGGGTGCACAGTAGCATCTCCAGGTGTCCCCTGGGAGCAGTTGGTGGCCCACAGCAAAGACCTGCTCTGTGCAGCAGAGGCTGCAGAAAGAGATGGCAAGCATCTCGAATAGCAGGAGTCGCTGTTGCCGCGTCCTCCAGAGTGACAGTATTCCCTGCGGGCAAGAAGCAGGCCAAGGTGGCTTTGCCGGCCTGCATCTTGGTGCTGACAGCTGCGGATGTGGTGGAGCGGCGACAAGAGCTGACGCAGAGCATTGGAGATGCCATTGCGGCCGGCGCTACTGGCGTCCTGCTTGAGGATGATGACGGCACAGGTGCTTTTGCAAAAGGCCTTCATTGCTGTCCAATGATCTACCCGTATCTCAATCACATTTCTGGATCTTAAGACAGTGCTGCCGACAGGGATGCTTGCTGCACCCTGTGTTGTGACGTGCATGTGGCTGTGGTGCGCAGGAGGTGCGCAGCTCTATGAGGCAGCAATCGTGCTGAAGGATGTGCTGCGAGGCCGAGCGGTGCTCCTGATCCAGGACCGCACAGACATCGTGGCTGCTGCAGAGGCCGATGGCGTTGTCTTGTCGAGCCGAGGTACACAGAATCTCCCACAGAAAGTGTTTCTTGGCACTGCTCATTGCTCACTGGATGCGCAAGGCCTCCTTGTTCAGGCGTTTTTTGGTATTTGAGATTGAAGAACATGCGGCAGGCGTGCCAACTGTTGTGGCAAGGCGGTCACTGCCAGACAATGCAAACCTGGTGGGAAGGAAGGTGGCCACAGGTCATGAAGCCGTGCGTGCCGCTGCAGATGGAGCCAGCCTTGTCATTCTGGAGGTGCGCCATGTTTCCACTCGTTTGCATGCATGCAATAGCATATCTAATCTGCTGCTCATCTACAGGCCAAACTGTATTGCAAATGGGCAAAGGAGAGAGACAGAGTGCGCTTCGCAGAGTGGGAGCGGGAGGGCGGTGGCAGATGCAGCAGTAATTCAGGAGGCAAAGACTCAGCAGGGCGGCAATGTGCCAGTCATTGCAGCATTGTCAAAAGAGGAGCCTGTTTCCAAGGAGGCTGCTTCAGATTTGGTGGACGCCGGAGCAGATGGAGTTGCTCTGTACCATGACCGCCTCAACCAGACAGCTGCGTCCTTCAGCGGCCGCACTGGCAGTGAAGCCTCCCACCCTGTAAGCCTTCCCTCTTCTGGTCTGCTGTGCACGCATTTGCAGGAACTGTCAGAGGATGTGCTCTGGACAATCACCTGTTGTGTAATAATATTCCTTGAAGATTGCTCTAAAGAACATGCCATGACTCATGACAAGCATTCTCTCGCAGATCCGGGAGATTCTTTCAATTTTTCCCAGCAGCGCTGCTCTCAGCAATACTGCGGTGGACACCAACAACGCAGAGGATGGCGGCGGGGAGACTCTTTTGCGAGATGGGCTGCGGCATGTCATGGATGAAACCAAGGAGAGCCTGTTCGAGGTTGAGAGGCAATTTGTTGCCTCGGCCATTGAACTTCTTGAGGTATTGCACCGACCTCTCAACATCCTTTAAAGTTTACAAAGATGCCACAACGGGCATATTTCTATGGCACCCTCTGTCCACGACTCATGACAGATATAATTTCACTTGTGCAGGAAGTGGTTCCCAGCATGGAGGAGGTGGGTCTGCTGAGGGATGCGTTGAAGCAGCTAGATCAGCCGTTCCTGATGGTGGTGGTCGGGGAGTTCAACAGCGGCAAGTCCACGGTCATCAACGCTCTGCTGGGCAGACGCTTCCTGGCAGAGGGCATCCTGCCCACCACCAATGAGATTTCCGTCCTCAAGTTTAGGTCATCCCACTGCCACACCCCTCTTTGGTTTTATGTCAAGTTATTGCCCAACATGACCATGACCTCATGCAATACTGCCACAGTCACTTTCTACACGGAAGCTGCTCCAAGTAGCAAGTGGCTGTGGCAGTATTGCATGAGGTCATGGTCATTGCTGCAGCTCTGCAATGGCTTGTGATAATAGCCACATGGCGTAATGGGAGGTTTGCTACAAGTACGCCGGTGTGAATCTCATGAAAATGTAACAAGTCCGCTTCTCCCTGGTGCAGGAGGGAGGAAGCTTCAGGCGAGGAGGAGCAGATGGAGGATGGCTACATGGCAAGTGTCCTTTTGCCCTTTGCATGCTGCTGACAAGCTACACCCTTTGCAAGTCCACATTCATGATCAGCTGCCGCATGTTTTGCGCATGTTTGCATCAGCGCGGCCAGCTTTGGGTTCCTGAGAATGTTGGCGTGTTCGCAGGTGCGCTACCTGCCGGCAGCGCTGCTGCGTGACCTGAACATAGTGGACACGCCCGGCACAAATGTGATCCTGGAGCGGCAGCAGCGGCTGACCGAGGAGTACGTGCCGCGCGCCGACATGGTCCTATTCACCATGTCCGCCGGTGCGCCCCTCCCTACCCTTTAGCTCCTACATCTTGCCCTTGATTCTCACCATTTACCTGAACATGCCTCATATCATTTACCTCTCGCCTGATAAATGCTACCTCGTTTCTCTCACCTCTGACCTGTCACGCGCCCGGCCCTGTCGTTCTCAATGCAGTGCACAGAAAAACTGGCTCACCAGGATGATAGAGGATGTCAGAATTGGTTGCTGGAAAGGTGGCTGGAATTGTCACAAAATGGTGTGCCGCTGCAGACCGGCCGTTCACGGACAGCGAGGTCCGCTTCCTGAAGTACATCCGGCAGTGGGGCAAGAAGGTCGTGTTTCTCGTCAACAAGGTCGACATCCTCAGTGGCGGGGATGAGGTAGGCCAAGCTCTCTCTCCCTCGCTCCTCTCCACACCTTTGTCACATATTGCCATGCATGCCAGTCACCACACGTGTACTATCGTATTGTATGTCTTATTTTGATCATACGCTGTTTTTGCCAGCTCCAGAGGCAAGGTGCATCTGCAGAAAAGCTGCATGGAAGGGCTGCCTTATATCCTACTCCTTGGTGGAGTCGCCAATCCCAAGCAAGACCCAATCAGCCGTGGGCACGGTGCTCTGTATTTGTCCCGTCTCCTGCCAGCCGGGGCCCCACTGCTGGATTGACGTGCGCGCATTCAGCCTGCTGCTGGGTGCAGGTGGAGGAAGTTGCGCAGTTTGTGTCGGACAATGCGCGGCGGGTGCTGGGTGTGGATGCTGCCAAGGTGCTGCCGGTCTCCGCCAGGGCCGCGCTGCAGGCCAAGCTGGACGCCACCTCCTCCAGGAACGGCTTCTTCGGTGAGGCATCTGCACTCCACAGAAGTGTCCTCATAGTCCCCTGCAGAGATACTTGAAGATTAAAAGGTAAAAAGGTTACCTCACCCGGGGTTTGCCTCATCCAAGTTCCCCACGACCATAACAGAGCATCCTTCTGCTACCCATCACACTCACACCAACACTGCCATGCATGCCAGCATCGCAATTGAATGTGGTAATTGAGAGGGAACAGGCCTGCCCTGAGCGGAAGCAGTAACACAGGTGTTGCTTGACGTACGTGGTCCTTAGGACTGGACAACGTTTACTTGTAAGAAGGGCTGCCCACATGAAGTGACTTCAGGCTGCTCAGCGCATTACTGATGGTGAGTATGTGGCCAGGCGGAGGTTCGCCGCTGGAGACGCTGGACGAGGAGGCGCTGGCGCGCAGTGGGCAGTGGGGGGAGAGCCGCTTTGGGGAGCTGGAGCGCTTCATGGTTGACTTCCTCGTCGGCGGCGGCGCCGCGGGCGAGTCGCTGCGCCTCAAGCTGCAGACGCCCCTCTTCGTAGCCGACGCCCTCCTGGAAGCCGCGCGCCAGCAGCTCTCCAGCGAGCTCTCCACCGCAGAACAGGTCTGGCCTGCCTTAATCCGCTCTCAGCAGTGTTCTAACACATTTTGTGTGGTCCTTTCCAAGCCGTTCTTCCACACAGCCCCGGTGTTGACCCTGCCGTCACCAGCTGTGCCACCAGGACAGACACCCTTGTCTGGACAGGGCTGCCTCATCACTCAGGTGAAAGACATCTTTCTTGGGTGAAGAATGGTGTGAACGGCCTGCCTGCTCAATGTGGGCAATCCAGGGATTGAGGGCGCTCAGGTGGGGTGTGTTGTTGTGCGCAGGAGGCGGAGGCGGTGGCGTCGGTGCAGGGGCAGCTGCGGGCGTTCCGGCGGGAGATGGAGGCTGACGGCACCGCCCAGCGCGCCGAGTGCCGCCGCCTCGTCGCCACCGCTGTGCGCCGCGCTAGGGAGCTTGTGGACGACGTCCTGCAGGTGAGGACCCTACACTTGTTGAGTCTGCCCATTGCGTGACGAGGCGCTCGCCAAAACTGGGGCGCCAGGATGTGGCCTATACGAATCAATGCAGCTGCAAAAAAGGGAGGCTGGGGAGCTCTAAAGCCATTGCCTAAGTGCGGACCATCTCTGGTATTTCTATCCATATCTTGCCATGACCTGTGCAGCGGGAGGCCCTGCGGGCCGGCTGTGAGGGGCTAGGAGATAGAGGATCGCAAAGAGCAATGCTGGGGTGTGTGTGCGCAGCTGTCAAACCGGGAGGCGCTGTCGGCGTACGTTTTTGGGGGCGCCTCGGACAGCCGCAAGCTGCCGATACTGCGCGGCTTCGAGGCGGAGGTGGTCGGCGAGGCGGCCGATAGCCTGCGCAACATTGTGGCCGAGCACCAGGGCTGGGTCAATTCCAACTGCCAGCGCCAAATCTCCAGCTACAGGTGCCTGAGAACTTTATCGCATCGCAGCATTTTCCTCTGATCTCCTGATTGCCTGACCATTGCTCAGCTCGACTTTCTGGCTGCTGCAACTCCGTCAGGTTGCATGCATGCAATTCAAACTTTCTGCCCAGAGAGTACTGCCCTTTTTACTTACAGACAAGTTCGTATTGAACTTTCTCATGAAGCAAACATTTTGTGTATCTGGATGGCTCAAGGGGCAGTGGGATGACCACAGGTCCTTTGCAGAGGAGCGCGCCCAGCAGCTGGGGACGTCCATGGACGAACTTGTCGGCGGCGAGGACAAGGCACACGCCGCCGGCGAGGCTGCGCGGCGGCAGTGGCGGGAGCAGCGCGAGGCCGTCGCAGCACAAGCGAAGGATGCAAACGCAGATGGTGAGGCGGGTGAGGGAGATGCGGAGGAGAGCGGCAGCGACACGGCGGTGGCAGCTCTGATGCGTTTTGAGCCCAAGGCTGCGGCGCTGGTGCTGGAGGAGGAGATCAGGGAAGCCGTGCTCAGCAGCGTCAGCTCCGCCGTCGGTGAGATACTTCCTCAATCGCTCACAGCAGCACACCTGAGAACTACGACAGGCATGAGAACCTGGTTGCATGACGAGCCCTGTGGGTGTTGGTGCTGTTTATGTGCTTTGTGTATGCCTTGATGCTGTGTCTCACGACACAGCAATATGGTATGATGCAAGCATAAAGAAGAACGATGCAGCTAATCATCACCACTACCGTACACTGTCCCTCATTATTTGTGCATGGTTGGTATGACAAGCAAATACGGTTGGGGAGCAGGGAGAAGTCCTAGAGGTCTGGTGTGGTGGCGCAGGTGCGGGGCTGGTGGGGGTGGTGCTGACCTGGATTCTGCCCACTACGCTGGAGGATGTGCTGGCGATAGTCCTGACGGGTCTGGCCGGCTACGTGGCGCTGCTCAACCTGCCGCTGCGCCGCGCCGAGGCCAAGGCCAAGCTGGAGCGCGTCGCCAACAACTTCATCCAGGTGCGCCGCGCACTGCCCAGCTTTATCGCGCCGCCAATGTTGCCTAGAAACTGGGGCATCTCGGTCTTGGAGCACGGATAGCGCCTCCTGGGCACGTGTGATCCAGTTTCACTCTTAGCAGAGCACATGATGCAAAGCAGTGCTCCGTCGAGGGGAGTGACTGCAGTGCAGGCACATGATGTGCCTACAAGTGCCGAGGATGTGTGCTTCTTCGATGCTGTGGTCCAAACAATTGTGCTTGATGACTTATCTGCCTGCTGAGCTGAGCTGCGCAGGCATACCTGTATACGTTTTGTTGTTGTGGGTGCTGTTGCTGAAGCCTGGGAGGTGCTGGGTCGGCCAGGAGGTGGAGGACAGGCTGAAGGCAGAGCTGGAGAGCAGCCTGGACGCATGCACAGCAGAGGTGAATGCCTTCATCAAGCCGCTGGAGGAGGCCACCCTGGCTGTGGTGGAGCGGGTGAGGGATTCTGAGATCAGGCGAGCCGTGCTGGCAGACGAATTGGAGCAGCTGAAGCAGCGCGCTGCCAGCGTAGAGTAGATCTGACCACAGATACCAGGAGATGCTTGTGTGTTGAGAATGGTGAGGCTTAGTTGTCCACCCACCTCTCTTACAAGAGGTGGGTGGATCTTGTAGATCGAGAGTGATGCAAAATGTTGGGTGACTGATGTGCTCTTGTTCGGGCAATGTCAGTGAGTTGAGAGACACTGAATAAACCTTCAAGTTTTGGCCGTGTTCTGATTCTCAATCTTTCGTAGCATATTTGCCCCTACACAGTAAGGTGTACGTACACTTAGACCAGAAAACTCGCCAATATGATAATCATTCAATGCACTCCCATTATCTGATTGCAAACCTTGCTATGCAAGACATTGGAACTGTTTCCACATAAATTATGCAAGCCTGGGTTCCGTATTATTACATAGTCCATCATCATCATCATCATCATCATATCAGTTCCCAGACGAGACTGCAAAAATATCATATAGAAGCTGTACCACTGGAAAATTTTGCTGAAAAAGCTAGCTGCACTCACACTCTCCGGGATCCCCTCTCAATCTCCTTCTAGGCCCCTACTCTGACACAGCACCAGCACTCTTTGTTTTTCTTGGAGCAGGTCGTCGCCTGACATTCTTCTTTTTTGTCTCCTGAGTCGTCACAATGTCAAGCAGCCCAGCTGGTGGGGCAATCTCCATCCTGCGGGCCTGCCTGTCCACAATCGGCACCATCTCGGCTACAAATGGCAGCAGCACAGTTCTACTGCTCGTAGAGGCGCCCTCTCCGCTGCCAGAATCAGTTGTTAGCTGCACCCTCAACGTGTCATATGTTCCTGCGCACAGAAGCGGCACAGGTCACTCCGGCAAATGCATGGCCGAGGGCTTTGTAAGCGTCTGACATTGAAGTATCACACGAGTGCATGGAGCAAGGGCTGCACCTGTCCCATCATACAGATCAACCACAGTCCCCACAGCTTGGCCTGTCTCCTGCATGATGACCTGCCCAAACACACCAAGATGAGTTGCACAGCTTCAAGTACTCTCAATACTTCCTGCATTACAATGTAGAAAGGCATACGGTGAAGCATGGCCCTCCTTTGCTACGGAATAAATCGACAGGGCGCATGAGGGAGCCTTTGAAGTGTCACCTGCATGCCTACAAGCTCCTGCACATAAAATTCCTCCTCATCCTCCAGGGCAGGCCTGTCTTGTGCAGGCATCAGAAGGCATTGCGCCTTGAACGCCTCTGCTGCCTCAGGTGTGTCAATTCCCTTCAGTTTCACCAGCCACACCTCCTTGCCCTGCAGCATGCCTTTGAAATTTAATGTCTTCCCCATGTGACCTGATGCAAGTACTGGAGCAGCATGCCACCTGAACAGATGACATGTGCATAATCAACCTGTTTGCAAAATATATAGTAGAAGAATTGCAAGTTGGAGGTAACCACTGGCCACCTTGTTGAGAATGGGCCGACACCGTTCAACCTCCACCGGTCTGGCTTGTGAGTTGCGCTGTAGCACGCTGGCTCTTTGTGGCTGCACAAACCTGTACACATGGGAAACCAGAAGTTCATCATATGAAGGCCTGCACAATTCACCGTGTTTGCATGTACTCAATGCGCAAACAGTGAGGGTCAGGGCTTACTTGGACCCAGGAGTGTTCAGTCTTTCCAGTGGCGAGTCTGTCAGCGCATAGAACTTAATGTCACCCTTCACCCCATGTGGTGAACCGAAAGTTCCTAGTTCTAGCAGGCCGCTGCTGGTCTCTGAGCTCAGAGGGGCTGGACTTTGCAGACTGGCTCTGTCTTCTTCAGATGTGTGCGCTGTTTGTTCCTCAAGAGAAGCTAGGGCGCAGATTGTGCTGCTTAATCGAACTCTGCGGAAGCTGAATCCCCCTGCTGATGCACGATCCGTTAGTCGCCACCCTGACTCGCTTGGAAGGTGAAACTTAGCCGTTGTAGAACATTACCTGGTAATGTCTGGCTTCTCTGGAAAGAATTCAATGATACAAAGTTTGTTAGTATGAACGGATGAGCGTTCAGAAGGCAATTTGTGACAGTCTTCCTCAGTAGCATGGCTGCCAGCCTTTTAATCCCGGGCACAGATTGCCTCTTCGCAACTCAGATGGCCAGTTGCAAGACAAAAGAACTTTTAGTTTGTAATATTGACAGAAGATAGAGAAGGAAATGGGTGTTGGATCGTCCTGTGTGGCATTTCTTCCGAAAGGAGGCAACGCCCTTGCAAGGCCTTATAAGCTTCCGCAGGGCACCCGAGTAATCAAAATCCACTACTTTAGTGGATGTAAACGCTACTAATGTGGTGGATTATTGGCAATCAGGGGCCATGCCACCTGGTAACACATTCCATAGCATGCCATTTTGGTAATAAAAATTAGGCCTTTCGTCAGTAAGCATGGAGAATGATCAGTGATGTGTTTCTGTACCGAGCATGTCACTTATTATTGCTAGGATCCCGTGTTACAAGTGTGGCAGTGACAAGGAGAAGCTTCATCCGAACTGCGCAAGTTCAGAACGCTTGACTCGCTGTGTAGGTTGTGATTATATTATCAGATTCTATTCAGAAGGTCTGACAAAGGACGAATACGGCCACGACGCTGTTGCCGACTGGGTCTTCAAACAAGAGGCAAGGGTGCCATTGCAACGTTGCAATGCCGTGGACTCAGGGGTCAGATATTTCCATCAGAGCTGCCTTGGCCGAGATGAACCTTCAGCATTGTCCAGAGCTAATGGCTACTATTCTATTCGCGGGAAGATTGAGAGCGAAAAGTATCCAGAGCTCAGAAATATTACCCACAAATGCTGTGAGGACTGCGTCATTGCAGCCCAAACCAGGGGCAAGGATCTCAATGAGGATAAGTTGAATTTTATCATGCATCAAGGAGTGATTGGTAGGTCTCAATAAGCACTCCATCTTTGAAGGTTGGGAACACCTATGTTTTGAATCTCCCCATGACCTTGACACAGAGTAACTAACTCTGACTTTTGCGTTGCGTTCAGAGGCAGAGACCGGCGACTTGGAGAGGAAGAGAGCCGATAGGCGATCAAGCAAGATTCGAGGCATCATTGGTGGTCAGCAGGCTCGCCTCGAAGACAATGGGACGACTTCGACCGCCATCTTTGCAACGAGACACCTCAATCAGAAAGTCAGCTTCAGCAAGAGCGCCAGCAGATTGCTGGCAGCAGTGCCCAACCTGAACAGGACAGTGATGGCAGCCTCGTATCTCCAGGCCAGTGGACTTCAGGCAGGCCAGACAGCCCAAGGACAGGCGCAGAGGGGCGCCACAGCTGCAGCAGGCGGCATGCAGGGTCCCGCAGCCCCAGAGGCAGAAGCTGCAGGACCTTCGCAAGCGCCACAGCCAGGGATCAGCCGCAGGCAGCTCAGCGCTCAGGGAGCCGAGCAGGACATCGTCCAACGGTGGCTTGCGTTCAGCCTCAAGGCCTCATCCACCGTTGCAGAGCTGAAGCGGTTCCTGCTTGACAGAGGCCAGCGGCCAGTGATCTTCACCAGAAGCGCGCTGCTCGCCAGGGTGGAAGGGCTGCTTAGATTTGAGCATCCAGAAGGTAGCTATCCATGATGGCTGTAACGATCAGCGCCTACACATCTTATGCCTGGCAAATTAATAACATGTCCTCACCATTTCCTCTGGACATCTTATGCGCTGGCAGCTAATGGATGCTGTCATGCAGGTGGACTGGAGCCGAGTGCGGCGGCGGTTGAAGAGATCACAGCCGCTGTTGAGGCCGCAGCCCAACCGGCACGGCAAAGACCAGCAAGGCAGAAGGTGGGCATCTTGTTGAGGATCCTTATGTTTGCATGTGCTTTGTGAACGCCTCTCATCTGTCAAGCTGCTGGTGCAGTGAAAGCGAGTTTGGCTGAACACACTGATTGTAAGTTATTGTTGTTACAGGCGCCGAAGAAGTCACAGCTTCAGATGGAAGCGGCCAAGTCCATTGTTAACAAGGGTGAGTGGGCGCTCTCAGCTGGAAGCTCTGATCACCTGGTGACTGTTGCACACCCGAGAAGGCTTTAACTTCTGCAGATTTGATGGAAGGGAATGATAGCCAGTCAATTGAGGCGCTCACATGTTTGCAGGAGTGAGCAGCGGCCTGCCCGTGGTCAAACTCAAGCAGATTGACGAGTTGCTCTGGACCTTCGACAAGTGCCACTACCTGCCGCAGTTGGGGGAGAGCACTCCCTCGATTGGTGTCGCTCTCTGGGCCGTCACAAGCACGCTGCACCGCGACGGGGAGTTCCCAGCACGCAACTTGTCCCAGTTGGGTCGTGCTGCCAAGGCTCCTGTTGGTTTGGTGCGCGCTGTGCAGCCAGGCAGCGATGGCACCCAGCTGCATATGGAGATATGGTTCCTCGAGGCGCGCGTGCAGACAGATAGCCAGGGGGAGCCCGAGGCAGCGGTGGCAGGGGAAGGCGGTGGGGCACGCGCAGATGTGGAGGGACGGGGTGCAGGAGAGGCAGCCACCGGTGGGGGCGTGCAGGAAGGGCATGGGCGGGGTCGGGGCAGGAAGCGTGGCCGCCGCGGCACAGGCGGGGCGCGTGGCAGCAATCGGCCCAGAAGGGGCAGCCGAGGCAGGCTCAGGCGCCCAACCGCCAGAGCCGCAGAGTTTTGGGGTCCCCCCACTGAGGGCGACGAAGACGAGGTTGGGAACCTCTTCTCTGAGTCAGATGCGGATGACCAGCCAGCGCAGCAGCACAGTGACCCAGCAGAGCCAGAAGGGCAGGCAGAGGGTGTCCTGCCTGAGGCCAGCGAAGTGCCGCCGCAGCCCACAGCTTGTGCGAGCCAGTCGCCGTTGCACGGCTGCTTGCTGGCAGATGAGTCGCCGCAGCCTGTGCCAGTCCCCAACGTGCGGCTGAGCATGCAGGGGCATGCCGCATCGCCGGCCAAAATGGCTGTGCTGGTGATCGACTACCGGCACATTGCAGCGGCCCTCTGTCATCCAAAACGGCTGAAGGTGGCTCTCGGAGGCGCTGCCGGGAGCTCGCCCATGAACGTCGAAGAGGCTGCAACTGGTGTGGCGCTGGCAATGTTGCTGGCTGAGGAGCAGAATGCGGCGCGCGCCGGAGAAGGTGAGGAGCCATCATGGCTCTCTTTGTCCTGGCTTATATGATTCCACTCACAGTGAGTTTCTAAGTTATAATGCCATGCGAATCATACCCCGAAGGTTTATCGACAGGTAATTGTCAGCAATAAGCTGACGACAGGCATGTGTTGTCTAGGTGGGAGTGCTACGGCAGCGGAGCAGTCGCAGTCAGCCTTGGAGCAGTCACCGCTGTCTGGCGCCATGGTCTTCTTTGATCCTGCTCTGGAGCTCGCTGCCGATGAGGAGCCAGCTTCCTCCTACCGCTCTGCAGATGGCCCAGCAGGCATGTACAAAATCCTGCTCTGTCATTCCTGTGAACTTGTCAACTGACTGCTCTCATACGCTGGTGTAGTTGATTTGTTCATGTCTTGTCTCTCAATGCTGAAGTGTCTGCTTGCCCCTTTGCCTGAGCCATGCCTGTCTTTCACGCACCCTGCTCCACATGCTGTGCTTGCCCCTTTGCCTGAGTCATGCCTGTCACTCACGCACCCTGCTACATATGATGTGGTAGAGTGCCGCACCTAAGGGTCATCTGGGTAATACTAACAACAGGAATAAATTTGAGCTTGACATCCTAGCAAGACACTAGGGAAGATATTGCTTGAATGCGGTAATAATCGCGGATTGTAAGCAGCTGTGTGTTGGTGCGCGCAGGTCGACCGTCCCTGGAAGTTTCCTCCCCTGGGATCAACATGGAAGCTGCAATGGGTGTCATCGCAGGGCTGGCATGTCAGCTGAACCCCTCGCCGCAAGCCAGAGGCCATTCGAGCGCGCACAGTGACGTGCAGATTCTGCCAGATGACACAGTCTATGTCCTAACAGATGACAGGAGGATAGTGGGGACGGCAGAGGTGGTGCATATTGGGCCTGGCACACGGTTCCACGGTGCTGAGCTTGAGGGGTTTGGTGTTATTTGCGGGCTCACCATCACAGACGCAACTGGGGCTGGACACCAGAAGGCATGGTTGAGCGACACAGATGAAGTCAGAGCAGGCAGAACACCCTTGGAAGCAATTGGGGGCAATCAGATGGTGGCAGTTCCCGAGAGGTGCCTTCGCTTTCTGAGGCGCCCACCGGCGGCTGGAGAGTGACTTGCAATGTGATCTTTGCACTTTCAAGCTAAGTCAGTTTCAAGCTTAGTCAGAATTGGCGTGTGAGCATGACGCAAATGTAGCATCAATTTTTTTTATGTCCTAAATTTGATATTGCAATGAGGACTGTAGTAGGTTGTGACCAAGTCTGCCTCACTACAAGGCGTTGCACATCCATGCGCTCTACGCAACTAATATTAGTCACTCACTTGTCCCTCTCTGCACATGTGCGCAACAATCATGACGGTAACCAGATATCATGCATGTAACAATCTGTAAGGTAATTTTGCTCCCGGTTGCCTCACATGCTCAACCTTCGAATCTGAAGTGGCCAGTGGGATGGAGCACTTCTGCTTGAAGACAGAGCACTGCTGCTGACCGCCACAAGGTAGTGGCGGTGGAGGGCAAGAAAATAAATCCCCTGAGCCTATCTTATAATATTATTAACCCCATCTGTCATTGAGCAGCCTGGCTCGTTCTTGCTGTTTCTCTACGATGTCGGTGTCGAAATCCACTCACATAGAATGTTGAACGTGGAAGAATTGCTACAAGATTCTTCTCAGCATCATCGCACTTCTTGGTCGCTGCATAAAGACACACGGCATGTCACATCAGATGGCGCAAAGGTGATGCCCTTATCTTGCCGGCACCCACGCTATGGTACACGCACGCGATGTGTATCAATCAAATGTGCCACAAGCGACAGAATTGGGGTGTCAATTTGCTGCACAGCGTGGGTGCCCCTCCTTGATGGGCACATCTCTTTACATCGAGCAGCCATCTGAGATCGCCAGGGTTGAGGACGTGCTGTCCGTGCAGCACGCACTCAGCGTCAATATTTAGACTCTTTCAATATTGATTATTGATGGTATTCTTGTGAAAGAGTCTCTTGACCGGCCCTGTAGGTATCGCACGCTATGAAGAGGCTTTTGCAGTCCAGGGTTGGGGCAGCACACCTCTG